TAGAGCGTCATTGTCTCCGAATGGGGCCTCCACTCGTATTCTTCGAGATGATTCAGGTGGGATTATTACCAACTCGGATGATCGAACGACTGCTTCTCTAGACCTTTGCTTCACTGCCTTGCGCTTCTTCTGTTGCTTGCGATGCAGGCGTCGCTTCATAATCCGGTCGGACGCTCCCAAAGCTACTTTGAAAGCGTGACCGTCCTCGTCAACAAACCCAGAACCGACCGAATTCTCAATTGGAATGCTGCGACCAGAGGATCCGAATTGCACCGTACTATTCCCCTCCTGCCGAATAATAGACAAAGAGTATTGATCGGCAAAGTCATTACCGAGGATGAAGGGAGTAGTCATTCCTTTCACTACATAGGCCTCGACCGTCATACGAACCAACCCCTGATCGGTTTTGAAATGCAAGTCGATGGGCACAAACCCTGATATCTTAGCATTACCGATGACTTGTACGAGGTTAATTCTCTGACCGCTCTTGAGTTTAGGAGGTGAGTCCATAGCTTCTAGAGCTTTGGTCGAAATTAGAGTAATATCCGAGCCTGAGTCGATGATTATCTCAGTCGGATTCTTCTCCTTGGGTCCTAGAAAACCCTGAGCCTTAGTAGCGGATGATCCCAGGAACGAACAACCAGGCGGTCGTGACATGAACTTGGGTAAGGCGAGTACCTGGTCGTTCTTAGATTCGTCTTTGGTCGAGCCCACATTCTTCTCCCAGTACTTCGCGATCGATCGGCGGCTCTTGCGGTTAGTCGAGGACTGATCGACTTGTCCGACAAATGCCGTCGCTGAAACTTCATTTACCGTTGCCGAACCGGTTTCCCCCTCCAGGGCCTCAGTCTGATCGTTGGTGACCTCGGTCAGCATTACCGGGCCCGATTCAGAGGAGGTAGACTGGAGGGGTTGCTCAAAACCCGACTCAGTCTCACTGTCGAGAGCGTAGTATGTATTCACATAGTCGTCCTCTTCAGCCAGTTCTTCAACGGACATGCTAGCGAAGTTAACTCTAGCTTCTCTACGGCCTTTCCTTGAGTGAGGACACTCATCGTCCCAGTGGAAAGGACTAGAGCAGTGTCGGCATGGTCGCTTGCCGAGTTCCTGAGGCGTCTTACGCTTCGACTTAACCGAATCATCGCGTGGAAAGGGTGCTTTCCGATCGGTAGGTCGGTTGCGCGAGTCGGAAGTCTTGGACCGAGAGTCGACCGCGTAAACTTCAGCGTCGACCGCTCGGACCCTAGCGTCTCGATCGGATGCCAACCTCAGTAGCGTATCCTCATAGTACCTGATAGCGTTCTGAAGGTCGACGACCGATTGGTACAAGTGAGGCTGAAGAATGGTACTCCAGGCGATCGGAGAGCCTTCCAAAATCTCACCAATAAGTTCTGAATCCGAGTAATCGTAAACGAACTCGAGGAGTTCAAGTTTGCGAATATAGTAATCGGAGGGAGTCTCCCTTGGAGCCGTAGAGTCGCGATACTTGGCGCGATTAGCCTTAGACTTCTGCTTATCGAGCCAGGTCTTGTTCATGTAGTGATGACCGATCGCTTCCTTCAACAGAGACCAGTTCTTCTGGAGGCTGTCACGCTGGAACTCCGGCAAGGAGTAGTACCAGTTTTCAGCTCCTGCTCTTAATCGACGCGGAACAACTGCCCCGAGTTGCTTTGCAATGAGTCTCGACTCCTTAGCGATCTGGTTTACTTTCATGATCCATCGCGCGAGCGTGTCGATGTTACCATCCCAAGTTGGAACGATGTCGATCTTCAACTTGAGATCGAACCTTGGAAGGTTCGCCGTATCCTCCTCGCCCGACGATCGAGTATCGCGTTTACGGCGAGGTCGTCTTGGAGTTTCCGGACCGTCATCGTTTCCGTCAGGACCAGAGTCGTCTGGATCGCCGTGTCCTCGGCGCGGTCGTCTACCTCGACCACCTCCTCCTCCGCCTCGGCCACTGCCTCCTCCATGGTGGTGGGAGTGATGAGGTCGGCGTGGGGGAGAAGGAGAGCGATGATCGTCTTCGTCGTCCGAAGAATCATCTGAAGGGTCAGAGGGTGGAGGAGACGGTTCGCGGCCGAATAACTCCGTGTACCTGCGACCAGTCCGGCGTCGGTCGCCATGATTTGGGAGAGCTTGTGATCGCAATCCTGGAACTCTGGTGATCGGGTCGATCATCCGTCGAGTCGGTCGAGCTGGTCGTCGTTCCTCCGCTTCACGACTATGCTCGTTGCGACGAGTCGATTTAGAAATGTGTGGCGGTAGATCTCTTTTCTTACCACCTCCTGCTTGCGAAATCGACGAACCAGCTCCCTTAGGTCGTTCAGGAGGCTTAGGGGCTTCCTCTTCCTCCTCCTCGACTCCAGACGGAAAAATCTTTGCGATCCTAGTGAAGTACTTTAGCACGGTCTCCACCTCGTCCCGGTAGCATGCACAGAGAATTTGGTAGTCATGCGGAGTGTATGCTACACTAGGATCGAGCCCGTCTTTGTCGAATACGGGAACGTTCGGGACTTCGTACAGTTGACCATTCAGAAGTCCGGCAGCATTGTAAAAGTAACTGCTGAGCTTTCGTTTGAGCCACAGGTAAGTGTGCTCATCGGGTCGGATAGCTACGACGTGCCCGTCCTCGTTGTACAGAACACTAGGAAGCGTAATGAAGCTATCCAGCTTATCAAAGATTTCTTTCCAAGCTCTAGTTTCCTTTCGCTTGAAGCCTTCCATAGAAATCTGAGCTGGTAGGGAGTACAAGTCTCTCTGAAGGTAAGAGAAACCGATCGATCGAGCCTTAATCCTCTTCGCAATGTCCAGATCGAGCGATTCCATGTAGGATAAAGGTGAGGCGGTCAGCGGCGCGTGAATAGAGTTCATCTTTTCAGCAAAAGGAACGAATTCGGTGAGGGGAAGCCCACCGATTAATTCGTGGACCGGCAAAGAGGAGAAGTCGATCGGTTGACCCGAAACAATCGGATCGGCGAATAGTTCTTCGTCGAGTCTCTGTTTCCCTTTGCCTTTCTCAGGCGATTGAGAACCAGAGTCTGGCTTCGATGCATCGGAATTTCCAACATTCTCGAAGCCTGAGCTTCCTGCGGGAGTAGCGTTAGCGTTAGCCATCTTGAGCTTGCAAAAAGGTTAGTCGGAATGTTCGTTTGATAAAAGTGGACCCCCCAACGTCCACCAATGTTATGGACTGGGATTGCTAACTTACCGAGTACTTACTTAGTAACAACCGTCGGTAGTTACGTAATCGTAGTCGCCTTAGTTAAGAAATGAATTGAGGATTATCTCGTTGTGAAGAGGATTAACACAACGATTTGAGTGATCGACTTATGAGGTTTAGTCGATCGAGAATCGATTTCGCTCAACAAGTTCACGCACTAAGTCCGGAGTGGCACAGTAGTGCCTACGTTCTTAATGAAGCTAAGAAACTTGGTTGAGCAAAGTAAGTCGGTTACGACTTTAGTGAATAGAGCGTTACAACAATAGTTGAGGATGCCACTAAACACGAACCCGACTCTAACCGTAGATCGATGAAGCTTACTCTTACCGAACCCTTCAGAGTAGCGCGAGGCTATACTAATGAAGGGGTCAAGGTAGATCGACTTAGCGCACGGCTATAAGTACGATCGACCTTAGTATGTCCAGCGCGGAGCTATGGACGATCGAGTGGCTCACACCGATAGATTGAAGTTCAAGAGAGTGTTATTCGTCTATACTCTACAACAGCGTTTATATATCTACAAAGTGTCCTAGAATATTCCATACGTGAACAATAGCCCTATTGAGATCCTCGGTCGACTGCCCGCGTATTCATTGTTCAAAAGCCGAATCGATCGGCCTTGGTTCGGTCACGACAGGTGAGTCTAGTCAAGTCGATCGGAGGTCCGGCACGATCTTCCTTAGTCACTTGACTTAAGTCTTAAGTAGGCAAGTATTGACTTTTCCTAAACAGGAAGATTCGTGCCGTTAGTCACGTGTCGGCGCTAGCCACTTGACAGACTTCGTGACTTAGACACTTCGATTAGATATTCCTAACAGCGATGGCATACGCAAAGATCTCGGCGAGGTCCCAGTTGTCGGGTTAAAACGAGGGCAGGACACGGTCAACCAACAAAGTCATGATGGTACCATCATTATTAATCAAGAAGGGCGATGATCAGGACCATGAACAGCAGGCAGTTGAACTTGAACACAAACTTGAAGGGGGGCCTACAAGAGCTCCAAATGCTTAGTGGGATTACAGGTGAGTCTTCATCATGTGTGCTTTTTTGTCGCACTGTGCTAACTTCCTGTAGGCTCCAGCACGATTGACGTCCCAAAGTGGCCTTCCCAGAAGAGCCTATGGCGTGCACGAGAGGCCATAGCCGGGCACTACAATCACCTGCAGGCTTTCTGGGGAGCTCAACATGACAATGACAATGACCTCTGAAGTGTCGTTGTGAGGTCGAGTTGAGTGTGTTGTTGTTGTAGAAATCATTCCTTCTTTTGCCGGTGGTGTCAAATTCGGTAGTCTCCTTGTACTCAGCTGTGACTAGTCTATGTTTCATAGTCATGCATCTCATAGACCTTTTAGTCCATATCCCATAGTCGAGCAAATTTAGTCAACTGTATCCAGTCAACCGTATCTAGTTGAACATACTTAGTCATTCAAATCTAGTCGGCCATACCTAGACATCCAAATCTAGTCAACCACATCTAGTCAACAATATATAGTCATTTATGCCTAGTCAATTGTATTGGTTTGACCATATCTAGTCAAACATAAGTAGTCAATAGTGCCTAGTCGTGGTATCTAGTTTACTGTATCTAGTATACTATAAGGTTACTAGTCTGACTTATAGTCATTGAATGACTAGTTATGTTTGGCTAAATAGTCAATTATAACTAGTATGTTAACTGAAGTGGCTCCCGGCGCTCTGCCTTGAGCGGGAGGAGGCTTGATCGTAAGTATACGCCAGAATGTCAAGAGAGTGTACTGACATCGCCCGAGGCTACGTGATTGTAATTAGGTACGACCAGGACACATTGCACTATTATATATCATGGAGCTTGTAACTATCAGAGCAGTATGGAATTTTTCCGTGATTAAACCTGAGAATTTGTGTCAGCTGCAAGAAGCTCGTTCATTATCGTGTTTGGTAGGGTGCGATGGCTATGATACTTCTTCAATGCCCATGCGGCTTGTGCGCCGTTAAGACCCTTGTGGTACGCGCAGGCACAGACTCACCGCCGCATGGCCACCAACGGAACACTTTCGAGCGCGTTCAAGACGTCGTTTCGAAGGTCTTCTTCCTTGGACGATGGGGGATTCAGCCGGTAAGTTCGCTTTGAGTGTCCCCAGCGCTGCTCTATGAAATTGAGCTCGCAGTGAAATTTGGGAAGGAAGAGAACATCGACGCCACGAGCTCTGCAGGCCGTCTCGACTAGGCTTGGGACTGCCTTGAAATCTGGTTCCTCGAAGAGCATACGACGACAGCAGCAATCCCTCGCTCCAGGAATGCATTTAAACCCTTTGCACTCGGCGCGCTTCTTTGATATATTCCTGGCACTATATGACTGACAGATATTCGTGCACTCACATCTCTTTCGGCCCATCCTCTGACTGATTCCTCTCCTTCTTGGGCTTCTTCCTCGCAATTCCAAGATTTGCAAATCGCCAGGAGTTCTTGCATTTGGGCATTAGGCAGGAGAGTGCAATTGTAGCAACAGGTCTCTACCGGTACGCGGTGGGCGCTTAGCCACCGGATATGTTCTGGAGTACAGAAATTCATACTACATCGCCATTTCGCCGCGCGTGCAGATTCTGCGAACTATCCCGACACCAGAGACATCAAATAAAGATTAAATCGTTACTCTTTTCACGGTACAGTGCGAGTAAGAGATGTAGTGCAATATTTCGACTTAATGACCATATTGTGTCACACTTTGTAACGCTCGGCCATTCCCGTTGGATGGATCTGAGCGAGGCCAACCTTATCTTGGCAATGCCTCACGAATGTTTCCGCGTGCAGCGCCGTCCCAGCGCGCCGGCATATCAGAGAGATTATGGACTGCTTGTTTTTGGTATACCACAACCTCGACATCGCTCCAATTCATGCGAGCCTTGCTCGAACGTCACCTGAACGCGAGTGGCATCTCGAACCACGACGCAAATCTAACAATCGCGTATATGGCCAGTGGGCTCGACGGGAACTCTCTCCACCGCATCGTGAGTGCTTCCTCTGCGCATGGTGCCACCAATCCTAATGCTGTTTTAGATGTCAACTTGGCTGCTTGCGATAATGTACATTGCGCGGAAAGTTTCGAGGTCACATCCCCGCTCCGTCCTGTATGGAGCACCGTTGATCCCCCGCATGCTCGTTGGACTTGGCGATTTTCTCCTCCTTGGTGCCACAGCAACTTGTACCTTTGGGGTCGACTTTCCCTCAGTGGTGCTTGCCTCGTTCATTCAGGACAAGGCTGCTGTCGCGGGATTTTTGCGCGAGAAGCTCATATAACACGTCACGACTGGAACCTGTGCCGGGCTGACAGCAAGCTATGTCAGTGGCGTCCCTTTCCTCTGAATGTTTGACAACTGTCCTGTCATGCACATGGTCTCGCGTGATCGGACCACTGTAGAAGTATATGTATGTAAGTTGTGGAGTTTGTACGATGTTCTGAATCGAAGTTACCCCCAGATCATTTCATATGCCTTTCACCTTGGTGCACGTAGAGTGATAAGCACTCAGTATCCCCACTTAGTCATAGTAGACTACTGTTTGATTTTTGGTAGTCGAAAAGTTCGCAACACAAGCAGGTAGCGAGGGCACAAAATCAATCGTAGTTCTGACATTCATCACGGCGTAAGCGATAGCAGAGCATGAGACACAGTGTAGACTACAAGGCAAGCTGGGGGACCATGACAAGCGACGAGAGCGGGTATTATCAACATCAATTACACGGGAGGAGCGTCAGTATTGCACTTGGACATGGCTTGCTGCGACTCTAGCTCTGTGCGGAACTTTTCGCGCAATACAGCAGCCACAGCAGTCTTGTTCTGCATGAGCGTAGAATACGCCACGGCGGGAGCGTCCAACCAGAAGAAAGAGCCTACTATCATGCCGAAGAGCACCGAATCTCCAAGGAGAGCGAACACGCGAACCACCATCGGTGCCCCATAGAAGGCAGAACGGGGATGCGACCTCCTGGAGTATCTCAGAACCGCTAACACGGAGGCGATTGAGCTAGGCAGCACCTAATGCGACGTCAACTTGGACGGTTTACAAACGTTTACATCTTGAGGGAGACTCGAACTTACGTCGTCATTCCATACGCTGCGATCAAGTGCACTTGCGAGGAAGCTGATAGCCATGTTCGCGTCCCGACGCGAAATACCACTTGAGAGGAGGTCACGTTCCAGAAAGGTGCTCATGCTATTCATTGACCGGGAGGTCGTGACGAGCTGGAAGCACAGGGCAAATATACTCTCCGCTATCGGAGCTGGGGGCACAGATGACGCTGCACACAGCGGGAAAGTGAGTATCGGTATCATACCGACGAAGAGCGAAACATACAGTGTTCGAGGTGCTCGGACGAAATGATTTTAGGAGGATGACGTGCTATGAAGTCGGGCTTGCTAGATTTCATGAGCACTTCGCGAACTCGGCGCATTGTGCGGAGCGAATCATCAGCCTCCTGCTCGACATGCAGCTGAATAGCACGTCCTAGAGCGTACGCGATACCTCCCGCGCATAGGGACGCGGTGGGAAGGTATATCGCCGTCATTGTCAACGTCGCTGCCGCACTGGCTCCCGCCATCCACATGTGCACATAGTTGAAGTGCTGCGATGGCCAGTTCAGTACAACGAACACAGAGTAATTGCCATAGCACTCACGACGTACTGCACATAACCAGCTTGTGATGCTGCGTCCCGCTTTCCGGGCGGTATTGCCATAGGGACTGGTGCTGGCCTTGGACAGTCCGGAGGTCCGGAAGTGACGTTCGTGAGCCTTACAGCTCTCTGGTAGTAGCAACGTTCACCACATTGGAAGATATACTGCAGGAACCCGTACGTATGCAAGTTGAACGGCACCGGTGCCGGGCTGACGCGTTATCCAGTCCCATGAAGCCGTGCGAAGCTGCCACAATTGGTAGCCAGGATCCCCAGAAGAAGCTATCGAGATGCGGCTGGACTACATCCGTCTGCGACGATGGTGATTGGCACCGATTATTTACGTGGAGATGAGCTGAGGTTTGTCGCGGCGGACTCTGGAAACTCGAGAGCAAAGCACTGCACAATGTCAGGTAGCAGCGATGATACTACCGTCCGGAAACGGATCTCGTATGTTCGTAGAATTGGCATCGTACATTCATTGAAACGGGGGTAGGGCAGCGTAGACCATTAGGACGACGAGTGGGCTGAGCGTGGCGGCGTCGTGTTCTATCCTTGGGATGGGCGCCTGGATATACATAGCGCGACGCGCTCGACGCGTGACGCGGGGGTGGTTTCGCATGGGCGCTCCCCGCTCCCCGCACGGGCGACCAACTTCTTCTCCGCAGCGTCCGCAACGGACTCCTCCTTTCGTCTGCCAACCCTCCACTCCCTCTTCTAGCTCATGACAGTGCCTTGAACATACATACCTGCAAATAATTTCTCAACCTTGCCGATTCAACTACTGTGCGTGCCAGCGCGAACATAGTACCCGGGCCGTCTGACACCTAACCCGTATCCACCGTCTCACAGGTCGCTGCATGGCCGTCCTCAATGACGCCCCCGACGCGGACGAGACCTCGTTCCAGGTCTTCGCCCGCTCCTTCGCCATGATTATCTTCTCCGAGATCGGCGACAAGACGTTCCTCATCGCCGCCATCCTCGCCATGCGCCACCCGCGCCTCGTCGTCTTCTCAGGCGCGTTCGCGTCCCTCGTCGTCATGTCCTTCCTCTCCGCCGAGCTCGGAAACCTCCTCCCCACTCTTCTCCCGAAGCGGTGGACACAGGCCGCAGCGGCAGTGCTGTTCCTCGTGTTCGGCGCGAAGATGCTCCAGGAGGCGCGGGCGATGCGGCCGGACAAGATGGAGGAGGAGATGAAGGAGGCGGAGGAGGACATCGAGGGCGATGACGCGATGGCAGACGGCACGGGCGTAGGGCTGGGGGAGGCTGAAGACGTCATACCACTGGAGGAGGTCGAGGAGGGAGGCCGGCCTGAGGCGCACGCCCGGAAGCTGAGCGTCGGTTCGAATGGGAGCGTACGGACACGGAAAGCGAAGTCCGCGGCGAAGGAGTACGCGGATGCAGCACGGAACTTCTGCAGTCTTTTCCTCGGCCCTGTGTTCGTCCAGGCATTTGTCCTCACTTTCCTCGGCGAGTGGGGAGACCGGAGCCAGATTTCTACCATTGCCCTCGCAGCTGCACATGTACGTTTGACCAACCTTCCTTGTCATAAGGTTCTCATTGACCTGCGCACAGAATGTATACCTTGTAACACTGGGCACTATCATTGGTCATTCATGTTGTACTGCCCTCGCCGTCATCGGCGGTCGCTACGTCTCCACGAAAATATCCGTCAAGCATGGTACGTGTCCCTCCATGCGTGAAGACGCGTCTTCCTCACTCATGCTATCTTTAGTCACGCTCGCCGGCAGCGCGCTCTTCCTCGGCTTCGGCCTCATCTACGTATACGAAGCTTTCGCTTCAATAGACACGGACAACGCAGACTTCAACCCCGCAAATTAGATAGCTACCGCATTGCATGCACATATACTACCCCGCAGCGACTTGTATAATTTCTCATTGTGGCACTGAGTCTCGGTTTCGCCTCGCTTCCATAGCTAGGAACTACTGCCCACGGAGGGTAAGTGAGGACATATAACGAGGCAATAATTTCTTTCGTCACCTTTTGCTATATTTGGAACGAATTGATGATATTTGACGGTCCTTGGGATTGCTGGCTTCCGTACATAACTGCGCTAGGTACCAGTCGTGTTTGCTGCTGCTGCTTGCAACCCGCTAGGTTTCAAGCAGCGAACACGACCAGATACTGAATCGGGGTTGGGATCTCAGCCACCCTACCTAGTCGGTCGGTGCCCTCCCTGTCTGCCACCTGCTCCACAACAACGAAATAATTACGAGCATCTCAGTGACCATCTATCCGATGTCCCCACACTACCCGAAGCCCATACAGTAAGAAGTGCAACCAGGAAAAATCAATCTGTGTGGGGTACCCATCTTTGGTAATTCCCGGCATACCCTTCCACTGCTCTCAGTCCCTGTGCTCACATACTGGGTCGACCAGGGGTTATTACTAACATGTCTGTGAGTACTTATAATAGAACATATTGAACACTATACTATACACTCACCCAGAAGGTCTTGATGACTTGGGCTCATCGGTGGCCAAGATCTCGGCCAACGCAGTACCTATAAATAATCAATCTGGTGGAAAAGAGTCCCTGGTAGTATATCGGTTAGTACACGCGCCTGTCATGTGTCACGTGACCGCGCGAAAGCGGGGTTCGACTCCCCGCCAGGGAGGAATCCGTTTTCGTTTTTGCATCCCTGTTTTTCTCCCGACACCTGAGGAATCCCATTAGTACTCCCGCCATTTTGACTGCTATTCGTGTATGATTCACGCATAAGTCGTCGTTCGTTCGTACAGGTCCAAGCGAAAGTTGAGTGATGCACAGTTCCGAGAGTCAACTTGAACTCATCCCAGAGCCACCGTCTTCTGTCTAATGATCACTCTACTTATGGTGTGTTCAGTGCGTCGCGAACTGGTTGGTCTGCACGTAGAACACTCTTCCTGCAGCTCATCTGAGCTCCCATACGCTCCCGGCCTCCTCGTGCAAGTGCTAAGCACAGGGTGTATTGATCAGCGGTTAAGCCACGCAATGCGACTTCGCACTCACATGGGGTTCTATCTCAAATCCGACGAGAGCCTCTAGCACCGCACGGCCACTCCATGCCTCTATCTCCGCAACCGTCTCAGGGGTGATGAAGTCCTGCGACGTGCGCGACGCGAAGACCATCTGTGCCGCTGCGGCCCTGATGCGTGGCTTCGGGCGGAGGGGCTTACCTTCTGCGTCGGAAGTCGACACATTCGGGGGTTGGCCCTGGGTCGAGGGCGACGGGGGCACCGTCATCGCGGGTGCCACCGGGAGGGCCGTGACGGGCGGCGTGACGGTCGCCGTCGTTTGCGTGGCGCTGGGCCAGTTCGCAGCGAGGTGGAGGATGTGGAACGTCTCCATCTGCGCGGCGATAGTAGTGTGAGATTGTGGAGGCGGGGAAGATCGTACGCGGCACGCTGCACCTCTAGAGTTGCCAGGTTGGCATGGTTCGATTTCATCTGCTCAATGAGAGTCTCGTTGTGATCCGGGAAGGACGTCTGACGTCCTTGGGAAGAGTAGAAGCTGTTGGGACGTAAGAGAGTGCCTCGCGGATTGGGCATTGACCCTACCTATCGGCGGATGCATTGATCGTGTTGTCAATGACGCCTGTGGAGACTGTAGGAGGGCGAGTGCGTTGCAGCGCGTCGCTCAGCTATCGATCATGCGGACTTAGCAAAGGGTCGATTGGGCACAGGGTACTATACGAACAGTACGATGCAACTGGGGGTCAGCATCTACCTGAATTGTTGTTAATGCCAAGCCATCTGGAAATCCAATAGAGCTCACTGGTTTGCTGATCCTGTACGGAGGCTCGGAGGAGCCACCGTCAATGAATTCGAAGTCGTAGTTTCTCGTAATGGCGATGCTGGCCTTGGGCACGACAATTGTGCCGACGGGGACATCAATGAGACCGCCGCAGGACCCTAGCCTTCCACCTTATCAGACGTCTGCAGGTGCCTGCGTGATCGCGCAAGACACGAACCTTATTACGACCATATCACCCGTGAGGCATTCTCTTACTTCGCGGACGAAGAAGTCGGCGTTAGGATAGCCCATACCAATACTGACGATTGACACGGGTACGCCCTTGTATCGACCCGTTATGGTGGTGAAACCACGTTCCGAGGTGACCGTGAAGGGCCTGGGCGACGCATCGAGGAGAGACGCAATACCGTTGGCCCGCGAAGGTGCCCCCACCGTGACCTACACGAGCCTCAGCAGGCGTCATCAACTTGACACACAGTTTACTTCATACGTACGATACGATTAGCAACTTCGCCCGAGCGGATTCCGAGATGGTATACACGCTGATCGAGCGTGCGGGGGAAATCTACAGTGGACGGGTCAAATAGATTAGACGGTGCCGCGAATCACTGGGTAGGCCAGGCCGTACGACGAGAAGCCCGGGGGAGGACTCACTAGCGTCGAGAATCAGATCCTTCATCTCGACTGGCGGGCTTGTTGTGCTGGGGTTTGTAGTCGTTGATTACCGGCGTTTAGCTTTCTGTATTGCCTCTAGTGGATTTGACCTTGTGTTGATAGGAAGTCTAAAGTTGATCAGGAAGGAAGTAGGCCGGCTCCGTATGCAGTGTTGGATTCAATTGTCGATGGTTGATAGTTGGATTGAATGGCTCAATTCAATGCTGGCGCGCTGCCCTCGGATCGGCAATAGCCGTTTTCAGCGATCGCGCCACCCCGACTATCTCGGACCTTCAAGCTTGACCACCTCCACCACCTCAGCCGGTTGCGCTGCCTGCTGCCTTCATTTGACACATCGCCCTCGGAATTTTGAATCATTCTTGCTCCCCGCGGACAGCGCGGGCAACAAAGGAACAACGGGCAGATGGCCCATCACTTGCTCCGGGTGGCAACGTGCAAGGCTGGACACGACGGGCGCAGACAGAGACACAGGATATCTGTTCTATCCACAGTAAGCATATCGTTATCCCTGTATATGCGGTAAATTACACCGAAGAGCGAACACAGCTTGCTGGCGGCTAGCAACATACCGCCTTCGGATGCGCCTGATGTTGGGAGCCGACTGGTAACGATATCCATCTTGCTGCTGCTGCAATTCTCATCGGCAGGCCCTATATCCGATGTTTCAGTGTGCGGCGGCAAGAGAACACAGAAGCATCGCTCGGGCGTGGAGGCAGACGCTCAGAGAGAGCAAATGGAGGGAGCGCGTATGCATGCCGCGAGAGCCACGAGGCTTCCTGACAAGACTCGTCTTCCACACTGGCCCACGAAGTGTGGTGGCTGACCTGCGGATGACCTCTCAGTGACATCTCGCGGGGACGCGTGCATGCCTGACAGCGGTCCGATAGTCCAAAGCTGGGGACATCATTCCTACTTCCGGCCTTCACCGCCAACCATGAGAGCGTCCGTGCGTCCAACAATCTCCGACGCGCTCAACGGAAACATGCGCTTGTACCTGGCTCCCGGAGCGCAGGTAGACTTTGGGTAGACTCGCAGCAAGTCTTCCCTGCCTGCCGGAGGAGAGCGCTCTTACGTGTGGCAAACCGCCGCTCGAATGTGGCTCGAGAGCGTCACCTCTACTCCATGGACGATCACCGTTTGCCGACCGCGACCCGACCTGTGCACCCCGTCTCGCATCAGACCCTTACGGCACTGGCTGCTGAGCATACGTCTCTTACTCTGGGGAAGGACTCCAGCTCCATGATTTGCCGCTCTTCCGACGTAGGGAGCGGCGGCGGTAGACGGCGGGTAGCGACGAGGCTTCTGGGGCATCTTGTTGGGGTTCTTGCCCTACATGACATCAGCGGAGTCCTACCAGGCTGTCTTGTACTCCGTGTGAATGAACACATTCCTTTCCGAGGGCTTCACGCAGCTGCCTGCCCCATGACAATCCACGGGGCTGCCTGCTCAAGGATGCCTTTGGTAGCACCTCCGCCGGCGTGAGCTGAAGGCACCTGCGGCGGATGCGAGAAATGGCCCATCCCCGTAGGACCACACCACATGTCGCGCTCGACATCGCCCACTTAGGCTATTTCAGCATCTAGCTGACGCCACGCACGCATCCCGAGGACAAAACGTTGCCCTGGCCGCCACGATCAGCGACTGCGTTGGCAGCACCGACCGCCCGGATAGACGGCCTTCGTCCAGGTACGGGTACGGGTGCGTAATCCCATAATGCAAGGTTCTGCCGCCAAGCCCCGTTACTTCTCGTGCGCCGCAGTGCCTTTGACCGTACGTGCAATTCTCGGCCATGCATACCCAAGAAGCTTCTTGCTGACGCTGGTTATCTGATATCGATTCACGAGTCGTGTTGGTTCATCTGTCGCCTGGCAGCGCCTGCAGCACGATGTTTGAGACATATCGCGCACTGGGCTCGTCATCGATGTCTCCAGAGCAGCGGAGGGCTTCTCATGGTGCCTTGCGGAAGTCACTTGAAATCCCCGGGTTCCCACTGGCGGTCGTCATATGTCCGGTGACGATACCGGGCGCCAGTCCTTCTCAGATAGCCACGCCAGGAAGGTTGCCTTTTTGTCCTCAATCTCCAAGGAAGGTGAGGCGCTATCGCACCCTCCGCTCGCGAATGTCATACTTACAAGGCAACCACCAGTGCGGGCCAAGCCATTGACCGGTCGTCTTGATTTTCTCAGGCTCATCATCTGGCCGTAGGCTCACTCAGCGCATTCGGTGACTTTGGAAAGCGGGGGTGCGTTTTTGATAGGCTCCGATAGAAACAAGACGACGGGTGGTCCAGCACCGCAAGTAGAGCCTCGACCGTGCCATGAGCGTCTATTTTGATCCCGCACCGTCGACCCAGGGGAGCGTCAATCGGAGGCACCGAAGCCACCTGTGCGGATCCTCCTTACCGAAACGACCAAGTGCGTCTCAAGGAATCCGTCCGCTTGCAGTCTAGTGGAGTAGGTTTCATGTTGTGAGCTACCAGCATCTCGATACCGTTTATGGGATTCCGGTCGGCTTGGCTGACGAGAGTGCGAGCATCTTCGTCTTGCGGCCGATTCGGCTTCAAGTATTTACCAGGCCTGTCCAGTAACGGAACCAAAAGAAAGGCTTTCATGGCCCATCTTCGCCAACTACTGATGCCGCTTCCGGGGTGGTCCCGGCGCTTTACCCAAAGCCGCATGACGACTCACAAACGGGAATTTCCGACCCACCGATATTCCCTCTCTTCGTCCGCCCTTGTGCATCCGTGTGAACTCGGTCGGCAAGAGCGTAGCTCTCGCTTCGCGCCGTCAATATGTCAGAGTACCTGGGAGTCATGAGACGAGCGCGACCACTCCCGGATTGCCAGAGGTAGATTTCACAGTCCGCTTGCATTCCGCGAACGCTCGGATGCGCTCTGCCTACCGCTCTCGTTCGGCGGGATGTCAAGGCATCAGAGATTCCCTCGGCTATGAACCTAACTCGCTCCTCAGGCTGGACTTGTGCGCGCCAGGGCCGCCGGAGCTACGGCCGCATCGCCCCAGGCATCGCATTGGTGTCCAGCGGGCTCCTGGATCGTCTGTGTCTTTTGCGCAGTTCCATGCGCTCGAAGCCGAGCCCCGCATCTTCTCAAGATCGACTGGAGTGCACCTGCTCAAGTAGACGGCCACCACGTCAGGAGACCCCCTGTCAGCAAAGGCGCTGCAGCTCCGGGAAGAGGAGCATGGCATCCCAAGCTAACCGCATGCGGGATCGACTGATCCAGGCGGAATATGAAAAGGTAAACCTTGGCCGATCCGGGGGCTATCAAATATTTCTCAATACTGTAAGTGGGCAATCCACCTGCGTCCACAAGCCCTAATCAGTTCCAGCGTGCCTCTCTGTCCGGCGGTTCGACGAAGAACATCAGTCACACCGAACGCTTCGGCATGTGTACAAGATGCATTGACTAAAGACGCGCGACCCATCTCTCTTCTTGCTCAAACGCTGCGCGACACGACGCAGAAGACACCACCACACGCATCTGGGAAGTATTTAGGAGGCTCGCTATCGCACGCTCCCTCCTCCATCTCTGTTCGGACGTCACTAAGACTAGGGAGCCACACGTCGACAATCGACTTACTCAACGTCGCTCCATGCTCGCTGGTAGCTTGCTAGCGATGAATTACTATAACGCAGATCTATATTACGGAGGCCGCGATGATGGGTCTTACTACGATCAACAGCAGGGACAAGGTCGCGTGGACAGGGACACTTCGCTCGCGGAGTCCGAGGCTGGATCTAGTGTGGCCACTTACGCTGGCGGATTGAAAGATGACTCTGATGTTGCGGGTTAGTGCTCATTGACATTGAATACTCAGTCGTAACATCTCCCCGTATAGATGATCCGCATCTTGCACTGACCTCACAAACACTGAATGCCGACGGTACGCCCAAGCGTCCCATGAACGCCTTCATGATATTCGCCCGCAAGAGGAGGCCAGAAATCTCCGCAGCGAATCAGATGATGCGAACAGGTGACGTGAGCAAGATCTTGAGCCGAGAGTGGAATACAATGGAGATGGTATGTCATCCGCAATCGTCTCGACCCGTACTAACTCAGTGGCTAGCCGGAAAAGAAGTTCTATCTCGACCAGGCGAAGAAGCTGAAGGACCACTTCAACTCCAGATACCCCGACTATGTCTATCGTCGAAGGCCCAACAACTCTCGGAAGAAGCGAAAGCCAGACGTCGGTCACGAGGCGTCCGCAGAAGGGTCACCGAGCATGGAGAGAGAAGACATGGGCGTGGATGACGCTGCCCACGAGCTTGACGAGGTCGTCGACGAAGCCGCATTACACAATTATCAGTATCACTTCGCGCAGACGTCGGCTGCAGCATCGCAGATGACCTACGGACACACCGCGCAGGGGCATTCGCTCTCCGCCTACAACACGCCCTCGTCGCCGTTCTCTTCCAACCGCTACGACGAAAAGCCCTCTTCGATGTCGCAGTCCCGGTACTCCTCGTCCACTTCCCCTCCTGTCACTGGCGGGATGATGGCATCGCCTCATGCAGGCGACCTGAACGCAGCGAACACATGGCCGTTTCAGCGAGATGGCACCAGAGCAAACCGAGTCCCCTTATTGCCGGCGTTGGACACCGGTCTCGCTCGCCAGAGGACCAGCGAGTCAGACTTGGCGGCCAGCATGCGGGCGGAGGCTACGTCTCCTCAAACCAGCGTTCGAACATGGGCGAGCGGTCCGTATTCCACTTCGTCAGGGAGCTCCAGTGCGTCCATGACGCACCAGTCAAACTCAGCATTCCCCACCCTTACTTCCCCGTTCATCCCTGCGCAATCACCTTCACCGAGACAAGCCGATCCGCTCTCCTCTCCGATGCCACACTACAGCGCTACTCAGGACTACTCTTCGGGGCAGTCGACTTATGCGCCCCGAGGAGCGCCCTCCCTAGGCAGATCCGACGGCGCATTTGAACACCGCGGCTTCACCCAGACTAACGTACTCCCTCCCCCTGTTGCTAACACCTACCTGCCTGCCATGGACCAGCTGGGGTCCCAGTGGCCGTCCCAGTATCGGTCGTTCCCCACTTCGCACACGAACCATTCACCCTCGGCGTTGTCTATGCCTGCTCTGCCGCTGCAGAGTTCGTCCCCGACGGCGCCTTCCCCTTCGAACACCAGCGCAATGTCCAGCTCTCTTCCTCACATGGGCTACATCGACCGGAATAGATTCGAGGGGCGTTAGACATGGTAAAACATTGTTTTCAAGCGATCCTGTCTCTCATGCTTTCGCTATCGGCATCTAATCAGCACGGACTACTCATCTGCTTTCGTACAGACTGCGTGTATGTCGCATGAAGTCACTATTCATTATGATGGGTTTCCTCCCTGTGCCATCGTTCGCTGAATTGTGCACAACCCTCGCTCCCTACCCTCTAATCACCGCGACGACTCGGACCAACCGGGAGGGGGGAGAGATCGCTGCGTCGCTTTACAGACAGGTGTGTTGCCCGCGAACTCCCGATGCAGAGACGCTACGGAATAGTCGGTGCCAGAGTGGACTTAGAGTCAACTCTGCGAAACAGTTGACTGCCCTATGCGTGCCGAGCCAGGGTTTGGATTGGCGCCATAACGCCAAAACATCCATGCCGTAATCCAGGCCCCGCGCTGTTTTCGCCCTCTCCCCTGTCACAGAACGCGTGTCAATGTGCTGTGGATCATGCCATAGTGCGTAACGTACCTTCCGGCCGTGCTAGCAGGCGCTATGATGACAGGCACCGCTTCCCCAGTACACGTCTGTCAGGGCGAGTGAAGCCCATTACGTGCAGAAGCACAAGGATGGCCTATACTTCGTTCAGCTATCTCTACTTTGACAAAGAGGCCAGCGGTCGCGAAGCCTGTCGAGGAATCAGCCGTATTCACACGATTTCACCACTTCCCAACCACTTCCTGTATGAAACCGGTGATAAACCATCAGCGCCGAGGTTTCATTGCGCCGACTGTTCCCGCCCAGAGCATCGCAACCGTTCTTGCGAGAGTAAGTCTCTTGCGCCCTTGCCCCTGTCGGGCCGATTTTCAACTTTCTTCGATTGAAAATTTGAAAACTACTACTAGTACTGGGAGGCCGGCGTTCCTCGTCCATTTTGTCTTGTGAATGGTTCTGAACTCTTGACACGATCTTTGGAGACGGTGGATACGTCGATCGACTGTGACGAAGACCTCAGGGTACTGGCGTAATCTGAGTATCTCATTCTGTATGCGTGTGATGCAGCTTCTTGCCCGACGATAAATCTGTGACGCAAATTACATATCGAGAGAGGGAAAAAGTTCTCAAACACGGCATCGCAGACGCTGCATGGTGTTGCCGTTGCGTTAAGGTCTCAATATTCTAGGGTGGTTCAACGCACACTTGGTCTCTGCGTCTTCGAGCGCGATAGGATACCCTCTTTCTGTCTATAGCTGCATGTCCGACTTGGAGGCGTGTTCACATGTCTACTAGGCCCATGCGCAGGAAGTAGACAAGCCTGTAGTCAGCGTACCACACTCACGGAGGACACATTATACGCATGGCGGTCGACGTCACCGGTAATCTATCTACTTGCAGCGATGTCTGGCTTGCCTGTTGCGTGCAGAACATCGTCGTCCAAGATCCGGCCCTGCGTCGCACCATTGAGGCAGGCCCAGTGATCGTCGCCTTCCGGATAAGTGCGACTCTCGTGATACAGCTTTGCACGAAGAATCGCCGTGCGTTGTTCACCGGATCTGAGCGGCATTCAAGTGTCTTGGCAGCTGGGAGAAGCTGGCCGGACGTTGTCTACGAGCCTCCAATGTGAATGAATCGATGCCACAGGAGAGACGCAAAATGTTGATTCGATCGGCCATATCTAATACAGACGGTAGGTGATGATACAGTAGCGCATATCGAGATGAGATTGTAGGCACGATGTCCGCGACGAGGATTGGCACCATTATTCAAGCAGGCTCGATGGCTGTGCTGGGAATGGCATGGCGGCACGTTCAATCAGCAGACCGACGGAACACGAACTCCGTCCCTCTGGCACAGTCTGCTGGCAGAGTTCCAGTAACTCGGACCCAGGTCTCAGCAGGCTCTGGGCAGCGTTCGTGATCAACTTCGGAGCAGGAATGGACATTGCTATCTCATACTCGCATTTCCGCATGCAGCAATGGCCAGTTAGGGAACTCGTTCATCTCCGTTACTGGTCAGACGACATAAGGGGGGTCTGCGACAGGTAGACGAACGCACATGAGACGTCCAGTATACGCTTCTCCCGACTCTCAGGCGGCGCGCCCACCTGCAGGTGACATGAGTTGTCGCGCCGCCCCTCGGTGCTGCAATAGCCATATAAGTAACCTACCTTTGACTGACCGTCCCGAAGTTTAGGGAGCCGGAGATGCAAGCTTCCGAACAAACGCTCCCCGAGGAAATCTTCGCCCAACCGGAAGCACAGCAGTTGCTCCATCAGTATACACCAGTACTAAGCGCGCCGTCAGATGCTTCAGACGGATGTCCTTTGCTCTCTGGCGCATTAGGCTGTATCACAATGGTGAGCGAAGGCGCCCTGAGAATCCAATGTTTTCGTCGCGGAGGTAAGCCGTTGCGCCAATCGAAAGAGAACATCCTTCTCAAAGTCAACTAGAAGGACGGGCGAACGCTTTGTTGCGCGCCGGCTGCATGCCGCAAGCGCTGTCAGCCCAGCTGACGTACCTTGCGGAGCCGCCAGTCCAACAGGGTATACCTACAAATGGTGAGCGGACTGAACCACCTAGCAGTGCGCGTGTGAATACCCTTGTAACAGGCCGGCAGGATAAATATCCACGCTTCTGCATCCTCGCACGGCCATATGGCGAAGTGCGACACGGGCAGCAGCCTTGTAACTCGGAATTGAGCGAGTGGTCTAGGGCTCGGTGGCCACACCGGGAATCGCCACAGAAGACCGCAGTACCGGTCAACTACATCCGATACGTACGGTACATCTCACAGAAGAGGGTCTTCTCCCAACGAGGCTTGAGCCCTTCGAGTCCGGTAGGCTGATGACCTCCGTCGCTGACTTCTAGCTGCCGATGTCGCCAGCTGCACGATTCGCGACGCATCGTCCCTTGCTGATCGTTCCTTCTCGGAGGCCAAAGTCCTTGCCTGTGAGAGCTTGTCTTTGGAACGCCAGCTGCAAACTGATAAAAGAAAGCACGTTTGAGATAAGAACATGATTAGCTCTAGAGACGAAGCTAGAAGCAGAGCGAGAGGTTGAGCATACCTGTTATCGGGTGCAGAACAAATATTTATCGTTCATCGATGTCACAGAGTGAGGTGCGGCGGTAGAGAACCTTGTTGGAGACCGCAAGACAATTGGAACATCCCCGACGAAGAACATCCATAAGCGCATCGCGAGAATTGGCATAAACTCGTCTTATGCACGAACTTTGAACGTCTGGCGAATCAAAAAGTTGACATGTAAACGCACGACGCTATCCACCCACCTTCGCGCGGCTTGTGATCCCCTGCGTGAACGGAAGCCATCTGTCCATTAGACTCGACCCAAGAATGCCTGTAGTGCGTGTCCAAAAGACCTCACACCTGACATGCCAGCCTGACTATGCACGCTAGTAAGGCCTAGGTACGTCGAACCTGCTGACGCTGAGCCGTAACGTCAGGGACGTTCTGTTGCCATCCTCCCGGGAAGCACTGACCACATACTCAAACCGAACAAATCTTGCTGACTGTGATGCGGTCTTCTGTAGTTCCTAGACCTCCCAGAACTCGACCAGACGAGCTTTGCCACTGCCAGATCTGCAGCGGCCAGAGGTTATCCGGCGGGCCGTCGAAGGCCGTTCAGCGCCACGACATGGTGGAAGGCTCGAAGCAGAGGTAATGAGCATATATGGCTATTCAGGGAGGTGGTGCAATTGGGTGACTTGTCTTATTCGCCGCTGCTACGCCCGGCAGGATCCGATATGCATATTGTTGTATGCACCAATGTGAAGGCAACGACACAAAAATATTTCAAGTGACCTGTGAGCACCTAGTATGTACAGTACAGTGCTCCTCTCGCCCGCGGCGGCTTCGCCGCCCCGGGCGATTCGGAGCTATGCCGCAATCACAGGCATATTACCACTTTCCTTGTTCACCCAGAACCTTACTAGTACAGATAGAATCTACTACGACACCAGACTAGTCAATGCTACCGGATGCAGGCTCTTGCAACTCTGGAATTCGAATCTTACAACAGGCGGTTTGAATGTTTGACTCGGAAGCGCGCGGATGATGTAAGCTGTCCGACGTTTCTGTCCAATGAGACTGTCCAATGTCGCGATCTCCTAACGCGGTGCTGACTAAGCGAGGGCTCGGACGTTGCGGAAAAGACCCGATATTAGCATATCGGAAAATCTCAAAATTACCCCACACTGCGAACACGAGTCAATTTGTGTATGATCTGAGTTTCCGCTTATGAGAGCCACCCATGAACTCAAACAGCGAGTCGATGTGGCTGTAGTGCCACCCATTTTTGGCGGAGTCGTAATGGTGTGGCTAGCAACTGATGCGACGCCAAGAACATTATACTGCTCTTTGATCATGATCATGTCCTCCGCCTCTGCGGATGCTGTAGTTTGCATTGCTACGATCCCATAGGATTTCTATCATTCTCTCCACAATTCGGCGTCCGTACAAAATCCAGAAGCTGGACAGTTCCGGCGCTGCAATTGTGTCGGCCATCGGGTCCCGTACGCGGTTGCTTCCTGTAAGCGAAGGCTTAGAGCGGCAAGCCCGTGACGGGGATGCGCGGTCCCGGTCAGTGCCACTGCAATGTGCATGGGACCCTTACATCACTTCTCGGCCAGCTGACACTAACGTCAATTTACGCCGCGCGCTGCGATGATGGCTCCTTCAAAAACCAAGCTCGACGTCGCCGACGTTGATTCGCGTCACCGTCTCACGAGCGCACAGACTACGACGATGATGGTGAAGATGTCGGTCGTCGTCTTTGCAGTGTTGTTGACGCTGGCATGCGTCGTTCTCTCTGAGGCTACGGGAGCACTGAGGCGAACCCGAAGTGTAACAGACGTCTCTGCGTCTTATTCTCTCAACGTTTCTACATGCCCAGGTGCGTCATTTATGGCACGATGACAGCATAGTCGTGTTGCTCAATCGTGAATGGTGGTCAGGCTATACGCTCTCTGCTCTGAACGAATCGCAGACGGGTCTGACAGCGCAGCTGAAGCTTGCCGGAGCGGCTTGCGACGCTTTTGGAACGGATATCGAGGATCTAACATTGCAAGTAACATATGACACCAATCAAAGGTAAATATCTGTACGTTTTAACAAAAGGAGATACATCACTGAAACGTTTTGTACGACTCTACGTCAGACTCCGGGTCAACATCTTCGATACTGCAAAGTCACAGTTCACTATCCCCTCATCGATTATTTCCGTGCCTCCTGAACCTACGGAGAGCTTCACACAGACTTCCGACCTCGTGTTCAATTACGACTCGTCGCCGTTCGCGTTTTGGATTACTCGTCGGTCGGAACCTGACGCGCTGCCCCTATTCGATACCCGACTTAGCTCGTTGCCTCCCACACCCATACCGCCTCTCAATGCAAGTGACTCATCCACTGCCCTGGATGGTTTCCCCTTGGTGTTTGAAGACCAATATTTGCAACTGACGTCCGCTCTTCCGTACGACGCGAACATATATGGATTCGGTGAAGTGATTGCAAGCAGCGGTTTCCGGCGTGATGTGGGAGTCAATGGAAGTCCTGGAACGATCCAGACTATGTGGGCTCGGGATGTTGCAGACCCCGTCGACGAAAACATGTACGTCGAGGCTTAGGGTTCAACGCCACCCCTCTGTTTGACGGTGGCTAATCTTGATGAACTGCGCAGCTACGGCTCGCATTCCATTTATCTCGAGCACCGGCATAATGAGACTACTCAGAAGGCCCAGTCGCACGGAGTTTACCACTTCAGGTGTAGCACATAATCTTTGTCCCCCTGATGACGCAACTAACTCGTTGATGTAACGACAGCGCCGCTGGTTCTGACACACTACTCACAACTCCGCCGTCCTCTCCTGTATCCCTCGTCCAATACCGTGCCGTGGGAGGCACCTTGGACTTCTACTTCTTCTCTGGCCCCAAGCCGCAGGACGTAATCGAACAGTATGGCCAGCTCATCGGTCTGCCAACATGGCAACCTCTGTTCGGCCTTGGCTTTCATTTGTGCCGATGGGGATACACCAACGTCTCGGAGACAAAGGAACAAGTGACACGGATGAGGGAAGCAAACATCCCCCTCGAAGGTGCGCCACAAGGCTGCTACGTGTTGCGGCGCTCATTGACATCCTTTACCGTGCAGTGATGTGGAATGACATTGACCTTTACCACGCTGTGAGAGATTTCACCACGGATCCTGTGTCATTCCCCGCAGAGGAAGTGCAAGAATTCATTCAGGAATTGGTACGTCTTTTCCGCAAACCGAGTGCGCTATCTCATAGATTTTGCGGTAGGCGGCAAACCATCAGCACTACATACCGATCGTGGATGCTGCCATCGCCAAACAAGTCAATTCCACTGACATTGTACGTCTTCTTTCCTACATGAGCACAGCTGCACTGACCCTCTGACTAGTATGACCCGTACACGCGTGGTGTGGAGCTGTGAGTTGCATGTCATGTCCGGCCGCGTGCTTGCGTTAATTACTGCCTTATAAAGGGACGTGTGGGTCAAGAACCCCGATGGGTCCGAATACGTCGGTGAAGTGTGGCCTGGCTACACGGTGAGCCGCAGCGTGCCTTCCTGGCCGAGTCCTTGGGTCGGCGCGCTCACCTAGCGTCCCGCTGGCCTGGTTCTGTGACTAGGTATTTCCCGACTGGTTCTCTGACAATATCGAAGACTACTGGACGGAGGCGCTCAGTAACTGGTCACAAGGAGGCGTCGAATTCTCGGGAATCTGGCTGGACATGAATGAGGTGTCTTCCTTCTGCAACGGCTCATGGTCAGCTGAGGGACTTTGTTCCAATTTTACTGACGCTGACACATGTGTGCAGCGGTACTGGGGCTGATCTCTCTACCCCAATCCCAGTTTCTCTGCCTGGTGATCCTGGCAATCTTGTCACGGACTATCCCGAAGGGTACGTGCGACGCTGGTTTTGTCCGACAACTCCGACTGAAGGTCCTCAGGTACAATGCGTCGATGTGGGGTCCGAGCGGAAATATCACGATCAACGGCACATTGACGTACGGCGTCAATGAGCGCCCGTCCGAGGCTGCTGTGACCAAGAGAGGTGTCGGCGCCGGCGAGCAGTCTGGCGTCAATCTGAACTTCCCGCCATATGCCATTCATAACGGTGAGGAAGCTGTCCGGGTGCCGCCGTGGCGATCTCGCTGATTGAAAGTGCCGGTAGGATTCGGTCCACTGTATGTCCATACTCTCGACACGAATGCCACGCATGTCGGCGGATACGTCGAACTGGACGTCCACAATATGTTCGGGCTAATGGAGGAAAAAACCACGCACCTTGCCATCCAGAAGATCCTCGGCATTCGTCCGTTCCTCATCAGCCGCTCGACTTTCCCCAGCTCTGGCAAGTGGACTGGCCATTGGCTTGGCGATAACTACAGCAAGTGGGCATACATGCATTACAACATTCAGGGCGTCCTGCAGTTCCAGCTGTTCCAGATACCGATGGTTGGTGCCGATACCTGCGGTTTCCAGGACAATACGGACGAGGAGCTGTGTAACCGCTGGATGCAAATGTCAGCATTCATGCCGTTCTATCGGAACCATAATCAGCTGTCTGCCCTGCCGCAAGAGCCGTACAGGTGGGATAGCGTCGCGAGCGCTTCCCGCACGGCGATCAGCATCCGCTACTCGCTGCTACCCTACTGGGTGAGCTTCCTCTGACCGCTCTGCGTACGTGTGCCTAGACTAAGGCTGTTCCTCGACAGTACACGCTATTTGCTAATGCGTCGATGCACGGCTCGCCGGTCGTTCGCGCCCTGTTCTACGAGTTCCCCGACGAACCGGAGCTGTTCGCCGTTGACAGGCAATACCTTGTTGGTAGAGACATCCTAGTGACGCCAGTCTTAACCCCTAACGTCTCAACGGTCGATGGTACGTCATGTACAGCTACGCTTTTCTGCCAGAGCTTATCGTGGTGGCAGGTATCTTCCCCGGTAGAGGCCAGGTGATCTGGCGCGACTGGTACACTCATGAAATCGTCAATGCGACCTCCGGCGGAAACACCACGTTGGACGCGCCGCTCGGCCACATTCCTGTCCACATCCGCGACGGATCGGCGATTCTGTTGTATGCAGCGCCTGCTTACACCATTGAGGAAACACGACAAGGGCCGTACTCTCTACTCGTCTCCGTGTCCCCCGATGGGACAGCCTTTGGCACAGCATACGTCGATGACGGCCTGAGTGTTCCGCCGACACCCAACACTACTCTGACTTTCGTCGTCGGTAACGGCACACTATCAATTGAGAGTAACGGCGACTTCTCCGTCAACCAGACTCTACGGGACATCACCATCTTGGGCGCTGCACAGACAAAACCAGAGTTCGTCACGATCTCTGGGCAAGCAAACGCAACTTGGGTTTACAAGAGTGACAACCAAGAGCTCATTGTGTCGGGGCTGGATCTTGACCTGAACCGTGACAGTGACAACGTTATCGCATGGACTCTGTGATACTTATGGCCGCACATTGATGTCTGTTCGACACTATAGGTTTTCATGAACATGCTGTTTGGCTGTATATTTCAAAACAATGCTCTTGAGGCTCAGCAGGAACGATGGTTAAGCGAAGACAACGGTCATTTGACGGTCACCCACAATTTGACCCACATCGGACATTAGCCGCCTGTCCTGATTAGTAAGCACGATGCGGTGGATGGCCTGCCAGTGCAGCCTCCGGTCCTGGCCACGCTCGATCGTTGAACTGTTCCACATCGGCACTAGAGTGACTGCCTCCAACTCGAAGCTGACGTTTGCGGACGGGTCACAGGACTTGCAGGATCATCAGAACTGGTACGCGAGGTTTCTTTCCTGTTCTGCCTGAGTTCGCGCAATAATCATTGTAGCCTTGTACAGTCGCGATCGTTCGGTTGGATCTGCAGTAGGCCGTGCTACGAACCGCCTCTGAAGGCTAAACCCTATCGCCCCAGTCATGTCGCGGAGTACTCAGGTCCAGAACAACACTGCAATCATCGAACGCCAACTCGATTCTATTGGTGTCGACGAGCAAAAAACAACCGAGGCTCTGGACGTCCTCCATACCAGGAGGAGCTCATTACTATCAGAGGCTCGTCGCACTGCAGTAGACGCGCAGTCCAAGCCCATCCACTGGCTTCCTCCGGAACTCCTTCTGGAGATATTCACTGCTCTTACCCACATAGAGAACACTAGAACGATGACGGTTGAATTTCTGATGCGCCCCGTCGTTGTCTCCCTCGTCTGCCATCGGTGGCGGGCACTGGCTCACTCTGCGCCAGGTCTATGGTTCCGCGTCCCCCTCTATTCTCATTGGGCGACGAGAACCTTCTTGAATCACTCCAAGAGGGTACCTCTTGAATTGGTCTGGCCCCTTGGGACGACACCTTGGAGGGAAGCATTCTCGCTTCTATGTCCATATATCCCGCGTATCCGGTCAATACGGTGGCACGCAGCCAGCAGCGGGTCGAGTACAGTACTCGACAGGCTCCTACTAATGTTGAGGAGTCCGAATTCGCGCCATCGTGTCTTACAGATGGTGGAGCTAATCGAGCCGCATCCGAGGATAATACGTCGATTTGGAAGCTTCGCTGTACTCGAGGAACTACGTCTCGTCGCAACCATGGTCTATCCCCGACCCGGCGTCCCGCTTCCTCGACTACGTTTGCTGAAACTCGACCACCGAGAATCGCTGCTTTCGGAATTGTATCGACTCGTCACATGTGCGCCAAACTTGAAGACACTTGTTCTAGCCAACACTGTGCCCATGCAGGACGTTATATTGCAGTCTGCCTCCGATGCGGATGGCAGCCTTCCTCGAGTTCTAGCTCTGCTGGATAATGGCGACACACATGATGTTCCCATGGCGGGCTGTTTGGAACACCTCGACTGGAGCTTCGCCCCTCCAGCGTACACATGGCTCCTTTTCGTTCTCCTGCCCATGCCGAATCTTCGTTCCCTCGCATTGTGTCTGAATACCGAATCGACCCTATGGCCGCAGTACATGAGCGATGACCCCTTGTTCCTGGACATCGCGCAGAACGGCATTCCGGTGCGCCTATCCTCGCTGCAGGAACTCGTCGTCCAATGCATCGACGATGGGGCGCTGAAACACGTATTCCGAAAAATCCGATGTCCAGTGCTTGCGAAGCTGCACATCACGTACTTGCCTCCCCTTCACGCATCGTGCGAGCTTCCGCAACTGCCCCGCCTCGAGTCCATGTTCTGCGACCCTCGACTCTACACTCTGACAGACCTCAAACTGTCTCACTTCACGTTGGATCCCGACGAAGCGAGGATCATGTTGCGCTACATGCCCGCTCTCACTCACCTCACCTTCCTGGAGTGCCCCCAAGTCGCCGCAGTCATCTGCGCCCTCTCCGGCGGCTCATGTGACAACGGACACGAAAATCCCTTTAACGTCTGGATATGCCCACGACTCGAAGTGCTGAGGGTGGTGGACTCCCCCGACCTCAAGTTTCAATGTCTGCGAGGCATGATCCATGCGCGTAGCCAGGCTTTCGGAGCGCCCGCTCCCTGTATGTCGTCAGCATCATCCAACACGGGCCATACCCTTCCGGGAGCACCGTCTCCACGCGTTGTCAAGCCTTTACGCCGAAAATTCCGGGATGCTGCCATCCGCCGAGCCTGCAATGTTACGCTCTCGCCGTCCGCAGGTAGAGCTACAGCCGCTGTGTACAACCCGTATGCTGCCGTGCGACCATCCCAGCTCCGCACTGTCTGTATCGAAGGTTGCGGTCGCGTCTCCCAGATTGAGGCAACGTCTCTGAGGGGCGAATTTCCATCGCTGAGGGTCAAATGGCAGCCGTAGCAAGAATATGCAACGTTCAGTGAGTCGTCGTGTCATTACCTCTAGTTGGTGCACTCAATACCCTCGTTGTCCCTTGTAGCCGCCTTAGAAATGAGCCCGTTCGCGTTACTTATATCTCAATTCTCGGAATTCCGCACTTCCATTGCATCGCCGAGCATCTCCGAAACATATGACCGCTTCGCAAAACCTATCACCTGTACATGTATTCTCCATCCTACGAATTATCGGCCCGGTATGACGACTCAACGAGAGCGCTTTGGGAGCTCCGTAATGCGCATGGTAACGGGCCGTTGCGATCATATAATCTGTGGTCAAATACGAGCTGAGACAAACAGTGGAAGCAGAGCGGCACTTACGGTCAGTGCGATTGCCGGGTCGTCGATAAAGCTGGCGTGGAAGTAGTGGTGTGCAGGCAGCACGTCCTGTTCATCTCGTCCACTCTGACCCGTCGAGAGTAGGGCTAGCCGCAGTCAGTAGGTTGAATATCAGTAACATAGCTAGCCGAACGAGTAGGAACACTCACCGTAATCATCCGAGTCGAAATTCCATTCTGGCGCACACTGCTGCTCGAATAAACGCTGTCCCGCGTGTGTTTCGAGTGCTTTTAGCACCCTTACGCCATTGCCCGCCTCCTTGCATCGCCACCACCAAACCTTTCCAACGAAAGTCGCATCGTCATCAAGACGCCTGGATGACCCTCTGCCTATGCCAAGGGACAGGTACCGCAAGGGTGGGATCGAGTTTGCCAGGCGGTCTAGCGATGGCTGCACACGACCGATGTCCCAAGTCTGCATGTGGATATCTTTCAGGCAGACTTGTATCATAACTAGCCGTGCTGCTGCTGCTAGCGTGTCGGCTATTGAGTCCTGTACGTCGCAGCATTAGTGGAGTGAAGCTACGTAGTACGGAGTTGGGTCTCCGCAATATGGCACTCACGAGAAAGCCAACGAGTCCTTGGCAAGATTGTGTTGTATAATCCATTGTGAGCTGGAAACAGCGCAGGCGTGGCAACGATGCGACTGGCACTCCGCACCATTTGAGGAGCGGCGTCCAATTGCCGAGGAACACTAGATTCGACAGAGAGAAAATAACCGGTGATGCATTCTCCACGTCTGCTACATTCAACGGCGTCCCTTCATGCCGGTACAAGGGCTCTTGCAGGTCGAGATGGAGGCAATGCACATGGCACGTCGACGGCCAACATGTGTTGAGAAACCGACTCCCAGCAGCATCGAAGACGCGGAGACTTGTCCACATTGCTATCGAGTCTGCTGCCTTGGTATCCCCGCCAAGTCTGCAATGGAATAGCTGAAGAGAAGAGAGGTTGGGGAAAACACGGGCCAAGGATGCGAGGGATGGTATATTGATGTACGTAAGCGAGAGGTGATGCACTGAAGTCCACTGCGATGGTGCCTCGACGTGTCTTTGCAGGAAAATGGAATCAACCAGCCCTGACGGGAAGAGTCGGCTAGAGGACGCACTGAGCCGTAGGGTGCGTACAGTACTCAGCGACGTGTTACGGAAGTTGAGCAGGGGGAGTGTGTGAAGGGAGAAGTCCTCATCACATACTGATAGGGTTTGAAGGCGAGTCCGCATCTGCATTATGGTTTCCAAGGAAAGTGGGCCGACATCCTTCAGAGCGAAATGAGTGAGGTGAGAGAGACCTGTGAGTGCGCTGCGAAGTCGAGCGTCAAGAGGTAGCAGACTTTCTAGCGGCGTCTCTATGGATAGATTCCTGAGACAAGATGTAGCGGAGAGTAGGTCCGCAAACAGTCTCAAACCGTCGCGATCAACCCGTGCGGCCAGGTTTGGCATCGGAAGATGCTCGGGCCGATGTGCCAGAAGAGGGAGGTCGTAGTGCCCAAGGGCCGTTTCGCCCACTGCCAGGAAGCGCAGCCACCGAAGCCGATCTTGAACATCCTCGAGCATGTACATGAAGGCCTTGATTGTGTGGTCCGGGGTCGTGGTGCGATTGGCTAGTATGACCTCTGAACAGGAACGACGTTTCGCCATGGGCAGGAGGTCCCTGCACACGGCCATGAGTCGCCGAGCATCCTCGGGGGATATGAGCTCCGTTATGGCCAGCAGAGAGTCGTCTGTGAGTGACAATAATCCGACCGGCATACTGCGGATAATTCTGCGCTTTCAGCTTGGTGGCATTGCCATGATAAATTGGAATTAGATACCGTACCTTCAGCACCCCAGCTGGGCCCGGGTTGTTCAATACGATCAATTTCCGGGAAGTCCTGGACACCCTCCGATGGACAAAGATTTGGGCGTGATGCAGAATAGTTATGGTACGTAGTAGTACGCACAAAGTACGCAGGGAGCGACCGTGTCGTGACAGAGGGATGCGGGCGCTCCGCTCAGCCACTCCGGTACGTAGCCGTGAGAACATCTCTGGGCTTCTCCGGGGACCGGAGGAGAAGTGCATTTGATGACTCCGTGGCCGACGTAGCATCGTTGATGGCTGGCAGGCTGCAGCAATACAGCGCGATAGTAAGGGAATAGTTCTGTCATATGGCATCGTTTTGCTAGAAAACACCACTGTTGAACGTTGAATGCCGAGTTCCACAACATGAAAGTATACATGGTGTCCAAAATACCGAAGGAAAGGACCTATGATATAAACCTATTGTATATGCGAGGCTAGGCCTCGTAGCGCTTCCCGTATACACCTTCCTGAATGGCTTTGATTTCTGCGAAACACTTCAATCGCACGTGACCACGCCAGTGACAATGATACTCACGGAGAGCGAGGTGCTTCGAGTGGTACCGGCACATAGCCAAGTTACCTGATGTGCAAAACCGATGTCAGGATAGCCAACTGACACACTGACGGCGATGCATACCCAGCATGAACCACATGTTTGGCACACCAAGCCATCTCCACGAGCCCTGTTGCTCGCCTTCCTCGGTGAGGTTCCATATAGGGTGGACCCCCGCAGACAGCTCGTCCCCGGCGATGCGGTTGATCGCTTTCGCGGCGCTCTCGAATCTGCCAGTGAGCAGGATCTTCAATGAGCTAAAACATCGCGAACGCTGGCGTTCCTGTACATACCCAGTGGCATAGATAACTACATCGGCATCGAGCTCGCTGCCGTCCTCGAACCTTAGCCCAGTCTTGGTGAAGCGTTCGAGCAGGCTGTCATTCTTCAGCTTGATCTTGCCGTCGATGATCTTCTGACATGCTCCCACGTCTACATACGATGAGCAAAGACGTATCAAGAGCAACAGTTCACACACCGAGGTAGTAACCACCGCCGCGGGTCATCGCTGAGTACAACAATCCAGCATCGTGAGAGCCGAAGCCATACTTGAAACCGACTTTCTTGAGTCCGTCCAACAGTGCCCTGAGCGATACAGTCAGCAACAAGGACAAGCAGTTTCGGACGCGAGCGACGCACCTGTCTGCCTGCGCAATATCTTGCGTGATGCGCTTGGCCAGCTCCCTCATCATGAAGGTAGGTAAGGACGTGTTCACCAAGTCGGCGTCTTCAATCGGCCCCGTGCCTTCCCAGAATGTATCTAAATAAGTGGTAAGCCTTGTGTAGACATTGAAACATAGGCTAGCATACACACCGCCGAAAATTCGAGGCGCGCCCTCTTTGGTTGTCATGATGTATGTGTCGCTCCTTTGGTACAGAGTAACATCTGTGAAGCCATGAGCCGGACGACGACCATAAGATGCCCCGGTGGCACAACGTACCGACGCCGTGCTCCTCGCAATCCGCGGCAATATCGTGTGCTGATGTGGTAGGCGCAGCGTTGAAAGCTTGCAGGCGAGAGAGAGAGAAAATACTGCGCACCTGACGTACACGCTCCAACGATGACAACCTTCTTGCCAACATGGTCCCTTGCAGTCTTGAACTGCGTCGAATGTATGATCTCTCCCTGATAGCCCTCCTAGCACGCTCGCGTAAGTACCGGGGATCACATGCGCTGTCCGCAGCTGCGCTCCAATCTCATGTGGCATACCTGTCCAGCGTATGTCGGCATGTTCGGGACTCCGCCGCCGAACCCCAGTGCGAGAACGACATGGTCGACGTGGAAGGTACGCGTCGTGCCGTCCGCCTTCTTGACCATTACTTCGTACCTGCCGTCGCTCTGCGTCCTAACGCTCTCAGCAGAAGTGGACGTCCACACGTTCAGTTCCATCGCTTCTGCGTAGTATTCGAGCCAGTTCGCAATCTGATCGCGGGTGGTCATGAGCTCTATAGCATCACGGAAAAAATGATGGTTCGTACCTTCTGGGCAGGCGTAAACACTGGCCATGACGGAGGGAAGCTTTCAGACGGAGTCATGAGACTGCAAGGCTTGGCCAAGGAGAGCGACCGGTGACTCACGGCATGTACGGCATATGGTCATACCCTAGCAAGCAGCAGCTCAGCAGGGGATAGCATACTTGTCTACAACAAATGACTCACAGACAGGATCATGCAGACACAGCGCCTCGTAGCGCAATCTCCACTGATCACCGATGCGGTTCTGCTTCTCGATCACGAGCGTAGGGACGTCGAGCATCTTGAGGCGCACCGCCGCGTCGAGGCCGGCTTGGCCGCCGCCTATCACGATGACCGCAGGGTCGCGCCCGGCGAAGGACCGCTCCTCCTCGCGCTGGCTGAGCCACTTCCCGTGGTTAGGCAGGAACTCGCGCCGGGGACCGTTCCTCTCCGGGAACCCCTTGAGCTCCTCGAGAGTGGTGTACAGCGTAAACGCTTTCCACTCGCCGCTCGCGGTCGGCACGAGACGCAGCACGCCGCTCCCGATCCCGACGTTCGTCTGGAAGTCGAAGAGAACCTGGACCCATGCGAGGTCGGGGTACGGCTGCTTCAGCACTGCGCCCTCACGAAGCTTAAGGTTTGACAAGTCGAAGGGCGCGAGCTGGTCATCGAGGAACTTCTTGATCTTCTCCACTCCGTGGAAGGTGCGGAACTCCCAGGTGAGCGCGAGATGATCGCGCCACCAGCCGTCTTCGAGGAAGAGGCCGACGATCCTGATCGTGTTTTTCGCGGTGACGGCGTCAGCGAACTTCGCGAACCATTCGGAAGCGACCTTCTGAGCATCGAGGTCAGCTTGGAGGGAGGCCCCGAGACGATCGAGCGTAGGCAGAGCCGGTTCAAGGACGTCGATGACGTTAGGACCGCCTTTCTGCGAATCTAGAGTGGTTTGCTGCTGGGTAGCGGCGCTTGGTACCCCCTTCTGGGAGCCGAGAGCTGAAGAGACGTTCTCTCCAATCCTGTCAAAGATGGCCGCCATGATGAAGAGTTCGAGGAATGGATAGCAGGTTTGAGCCTGGCCTTATATACGCTCAGCGCATTACCGCCGACACAGATAAGCCGTAAATATGGTGTAGAATGCACTTCCCGTGCGAGCGAACATGTCCATGATTCGTTCGCATTCGGTATGAAAGGCAGGTCAACTGACAAGCCTAGGTCCCTGTGAGCGAGAAGTTCGATAGCTAGAAGAGATGGAGGTGTGCTGATGCTTCGCTGCCCATCAGTTATAACACGTGCCACGTACTCTTTACGTACCCGGTGCACTCCTCGGAGCGGTCAATGGTACGAGGCACCTGCGAGGCACTGGAGACGTTCTGTATCTCAAGAGCATTTACCACTCTGGGCTGGAGTGTCGTAAACCATGATACTGCGATCAAGGGAACACGCAACGGCTGCAGTGTTTTTCGGCTGGCCGCTCGGATGGGACCCGACAGGCTCGAGCTCGAGGTTGGCCCGCCACTCTGCGGTCGTTCTGGTGAGTACACACACCAGGAAACTGACAGCAAGACACGTCACCAAGCGTTCTCTGCAAATTGGACTTTACGCAGGCAGTAGTCGGGTGGTGCGTGTATTCTCGATGATTCTGAACTTCGAACAGATTTCGACGGTCGCCCACTTGTGCCTGGTCCGTATAGAGCCGTTTACTCGTGTCGATTCAAGGCATATAACTTAGCCGGCCGCCAAGTTGCTGGCTCACAGTATAGAAATACGGCTGGTATGTTGCAACTGGTGCTGAGTCTGCTGACACAGGTGGGTGGAGGAAGTACCCACCAAGGACCCACCCGGCAAGTTGACCGCGGGCGAGCGCCGATGGCGAGCGCTCCTCGGTCCGGACAAGGCCGCAGGCGCCTGTGGCCATGTTGTCTATACAGACTATACTTACTTACTGGGTATTTATTTAGTCTCCGTTGCCGACCATAAAAGAACGACAAGCAATTACTGGGTATTGCTTATACTTATGTTATTTGTGACTACCTTCTCCTCCTCCTCTTTTGTAGTGAGTAGGGGCAATGCCCCGCATGTTCGGCAACTTCCGTGTCCGCGCTGAAGAGCCTTAGCCGCCGAAAGAGGTGGGCAAGACTTGCGGAACATCTGGACGATACAACACTCGTTCAAATATTCTGATTCATTGATGGATATTCATCTAAAATCGAGTACTCAAGAATGTTCCGGATACATTGGGCGTGAAGCTTCCTTAGTGCTGTGTTACAAGAAGCCCATGAGAACAAATGATTAAAAATATTCTGTCCGGAACATTCTCTTGAACCCGATTTAAGATGATTTTACATGTACATTGACGAATATTTGAGCCACGGCATCGAAGGGAAAGTGTTCCTCAGCGACGAGCCTCGCGCGGGCACGGACTGCATTATGTAAGCAAGGCGCGCGCGTCGAGAGCGCGTCGCGACGCGTCTGTGTCTGCGCTTCGTCTTTCATTACCCTTCAGCAGACGCGTTCTCGTGTGCTGTGCCTCTCGACTGCTCTTACTCTGATACCTCCATATGCTACTGAATGCCTCGTAATCATGGGTTTGGCTCGAAACCTCGCAGTAAGGCTCAGAAGGCCATCTTTCAGCAGATCCAGCCCCTCGGCACTCAGCTAGCAGCTGCTGGCTACCATTCTCGTGAGCACCATCGTACATCACTGCGCACTCATTCACATAGTAAAGGCTGCAATGGGGCATGTCTTGTAGCGGCGCAGCCACCATATTTCGCGGACCGGGAGTCACCAGTGCCGTCTTCGTCTGGCGCCGTGGTGCCGACAAAACTTGGTCTCGAAGCAGCATTCGAAGAATTGCGCAGGAAGATTTGGAACCTCGGGAGACAGATTGAGAGGGCTAGAAAAGGAAGGGATAAGCTCCAGGTGCGTTCCTTCGCTCTCGAGAACAATCGCAGTCTCATGGATGTGTTTTGTATAGGCAAAAGTCGTCCAATTGAAGGCAGCGCTAGTCGATAGAGGACCGAGCTCCACCGTAATCTCGGACACGACTCACCATAGAAACTGGGTAGGGTTACCCGGGCTGAAGAGCTGAAGCGCAAAGCCAGGGAGGAGGAGGCCGATCGTGAACGGAAGAAAGCCAAGCATGATGAGTACCATACCAAGGTCGATTCCATCGACGTTCAACTTATGCCGGGATACTGGGAAAGTGCTGATAATGCCAAGAGTATTACTCTTGATAGGATACGGCTTCAGCTTGCTTGGCTTCGCGCAAGGAAAGTCCACGTTCCGGCTGGTCTTTCTTCTGCGAAGAAGGCTGATGCACTCAAGGGACTGATCGACATCCTTAGCGGTCTGCCTCCGGAAACCGCACGGGAACTCAGTGCGACAGCCTCAGGAATACCTGAACATACTGTACCATCATGAACATACCTCACAGACCTCATATGAATATACGGCGGCGTGCTAATCTTCTCTGTAGATAGTCTATACCCTCACCATTGCATATAATCCTCACTTACATCGTATTCTGTGCTTGATCCAATCATCATACAACAGTATCATTGTGTACATACAGTATATACATGCTCACGTAGCTCTACAAATATTTTGGTGGCTTCTGCTTCTCTGTAGCTGGTGCGGAGGGTAAATTGGGCACATAACACGACTGCGTGACCGCGTATTCTTGCGATTTGAATCACGTGCCGTGGACGTTTTCCTTGGGCGCGTTGCCCGTAGTCATTTGTAGTTCGTCCCGTGGCTCGCCTTCAAGTTCTCATATCAAGCTTCTACTTACCGTCAGCAGTTTCTGAGACACCGTTACTGTTACATATCCAATTGTACATGCCAGGAATTGGCTCACTGGCATGCCAAAATTGGGAGATGTACGTCGTACTGTTCCGGGGACGTCTAGACTATCCAGTTTATTTACTGGCCATTCCTCGTAAGGTAAGGGCAGCCTATAACGATGGTGCTGAGTTCACTCTGACCTCACAAATAATAACCGCGTCCTTATAGGTGATTGAAGGAGTGATGCTACGGCATGCAAGACGATCTCCGCCCGGGGATATGATTCTGAAGAGAGACGAAGAGAATGAGCTCGGCGAGAACTACTCTAAGTCTCATGAGGGAGTACCTTCATAACTCCTATACAGGGTTGTGTTCAGATCGTTGACGCATCTACTAAGCGGGCTTTGCTGGGTATGGCAGAACGAGTTCGACCAGCTGCAACAGAAGGGCCTCGCTCTTCATTTACGTCACGAACTCGAGAAAACTTCACGCCCGATTAGTCTTTGGACGGTCGCCTGCAGAGACGCAGTGGATGCTATGCAACTGGGCGCAAGAAAATTTGGTTCAAGTTGCGCGTGAGCGCCATCGCCGAGTTCACCGGCTCGCCTTGCGCAGGCCGTTGGACTAATGACCGTCTTGGGCTCGGGCTCCTCGCGCAGAAATCCTGGTCTAATCTCCCCCCGGACAGCTTGCAGTAAGTATATTTCATGCGATTTTGTGATCATGACTCATGCCATCCGTGTAGCATGACTTATCTAGCCAGGGCGGATTCAGAATCTCTTCGCCCATTTACCTGTGTCCAAGTCGGTCAAGCGTGTGAGGTCTGAATATGAAATTCCGAGTGTCCTTTGCTACAGTTGCTTGAAAAGAGATCTGTAGGACTAGCATTCGAAGTACTTGATTCTCCGAGTCTACGAATCATGACGGTGGGCTCGAACCCTCCCTGTGGATGATGGATGTGATATCAGCTGTCGATGAAAGTGGGTATGGGACACTCATGAAGACATACCTGGAGAGTAGTTCCTTTGGAACTGAATCGACCGCATGGTCCAGGACCATGTTGCTCCATCTGCTGGGATTCGTCGGCATGCTGACCTTCTTGACGTAGTGCCGCACATTCCACCTGAGACCCTAGTGTCAGTTCCCAACAGGCGGGGGGCATCGAGTGACGACCGTACATGAACAGAAGGGAGTTGACGTAGACTAGGTCCCCGTAGTTCAGTAACAGTCACTCCAGAATGAGCAAGCGACTACTTACGCCCACTTGCAGGTACGTAAAATATCATGGAATACAACGTCTTACTCGTACCGTCAGTCAGGAGCTAGCACAACGAGGTCAGCGGCGCGGACTACGGCTGTGTCAACTAGGAAGTAATTGACAAGAACAACAGCTAGGATTTGGGCAATTCTGACGTATGTTATCAATGAGAGACATCCGCGCGTTCACGGACTAGTACTGTGACTTACGCCGTAAACATCCCTCGAGAGATCGCGTAGTTGACGAGTCTGGTTATCATGTTGTCGGAGCTGAGACAGGGGATAGATAGTCAATGGCGCATTCCAACCGGATATAGTTGAAGCTTGACCGACTACGCACGGTTCCTGCCCAGTTTTCGCATCTTGTAGATGATAGCACAACCACACAGTGATGTAGATATCAGTGATCACTGCGCAGGCGAGACGCATGGGTCCAACCAGCTGCAGAAGAGGCCTCATATCAGTACAGTGTATAAGCATCGAGGGACACGAGTCCAACCTTGTTCTTTGCCAAAGCGCCTTCAATATTGTCTGTCATGACACTGGCAGCGTACTAGACGTCAGGGATCCATGCCTACGAACAGTGAATGTAATATACGTACACATGTGCAGCGTTCACTGCATCATTTGAGTATGAGCGAGGATGAGGCCGTTAGGTAGCTCTCAGGGATCACATACCTAGGCCTGCAACTAGGTAGCACAATCGCTACCATGATCATGAAGCATGTAGACGCTACTTACCCAGTGATCCTGTCGCGAAGAGCAGCTGTGCCAGCCGCAGTGTCAGATACACGCAGCGGGCCGGGACTACCGGCGGAAGCGGACACGCACCGGAGGTGCCATGATGAATTGCCATCGCGAGAGACGGTCCGATTGCTTGAGGACTCGTAAGAAGCGGTCAGCTTCAACAAAGGAGTGTGTCTGCCACCGTGTACCCACACTTCCATATTGTGTACAAGTAGCAACTGACTCAGACACATCAGGGTTCCGTCGTGCAGAGATTATATCATGCCTACCAATGGACTATGAAAATAGTAATACACTATAGATGGACGTGAAATGCTATTTCACTCGGTGCTGGAGCATAACTCACACCGAAGAACATTATGCCCTACGAAACAAGTGAGCAAGACGCGCTTTGCCTTGGCCGAAGTGCTCACAGGTAGGATGCTGCGATTATTCAGTATGAGAACCACGTCGCCGAGATCGAGATGGCTTACCCAGGTAGACCCTCAAAGCGCGCGGGTGTGCCGCGACCTCCAACCAGGATATCCCAGTCACACTGACCTACTCTGAGCCGGGGTTCCGAGTCGATGAACGTAGCAAGGAGCTTACCGCAGTCCCCATGATCATCTTTCCGGTGTCTAACATCCTGTCGATGAGGGTGAGCCACAATCAGACCCCAGCGAAGCGCAGCATTCACCAGACGAGGGTGACCTACACGAGGGCGGACTGATCTGAACGGTCCAGTGACTGGTGATAAACAGTCTGCAGACGTACCAGGATTTTGATATGTTTGTGATCAGTGGAGGCATAATTGTTGACGTAGTACAACACTTGGCCGCAGGTGCAGCCGTACAACCTGCGTCATCCAGTCATTAGGGTTAGCGGCATCGTCTCAGGTCCAAAGCCAAGCCAGACCGACTTACATCCACGAGAAGGTTCCTGAGAGGAGTATAGCACCCAGAATACCGTTGAGTTCCGCCTCGGAAATGTGCATTGCCGCGGGCTATAGTGAGTACAGGCGAAAATGTTTGCAATTTCCGGAGCGATATGCACTTGCATCTGGGTCAGGATGCAGATCAGACTTTTATATTAGGCCAGCGCAGTCAGAGTGCACAGTGGTAAGGCTTCCTGCACCACTGACTCATACTGTACGCAAGATTTGATCCATGAATAACGCCGTAAGACACACGGTTACCGGGCTCGTCGTGTCGGTTAGCTGTGTACGATATTAACGGAGCCTGTTAGCATATACTTTCGACACCCCAACGGGTTCACTGTGACCTTGCTCTGATGTGTACAATCGTGAGTTAGCAAAGGTTATCACTGTCTCATGGTGCTTTCCTCCCAGTGGACACGAGGTCTGCAGCGTAACGCACGTTAGCAGCGTGGCTTGGATCATACGGAAGGAATGAACCACAACACACGTACCTGCTCGAGTGACACAATACCACACGCTCCTTCAGCCACCGCGCTTCTGGTTCGTCCCACCCGCAGCACACGCAAAACTCATTTACTTGCGGGATAACGTAGCAGATGAACGTTTGCACTGCCGCTTCCCCCTGCGGATTTGATATCCGATGCTCACGAAGCGAGGGCATGACGGTTCCATTCAGCTACGAGCCACAGACATACCAACTAAGTGACCGGTACCCCGGAGGATGGCTTCATTGCGGTAGGTGAGCGTAAGGCCATAGGCTGAGCCTGTGTAGACCATTGCTGGCCTGACGGCTGAGGCCGTGCCATGAATACTTCTTCCATCGATTCTCGGCTCCAAAAATTTATTCTGATCAGGCCTGTGTGAGCATGATGATCAACGTCCATTCGGTACAAGTTGAGCACAAGAAGCTACTCACCTTCGTGTGTCTGGCAAAGGATGTTATCACCACCGGCGCTTGCGGGGCCTGAGACCCTGACAGGAACAACGGATACATTGCTATTCTTCGCGAAACGGGGAGCGTGCTAGTCTACAACAATGCCATAGATACATATGCATTAACTTCGTACGCGTCGATCCCTAGACGTGCATATAGTGTCAACAAGTCCAACCATAGCAGCGGCGGCGTTATGGTTGATCCTCGATGAAGATACGGTCAACATTCTTCCAAGAAGTCACCTGCCCTACATGTCTGGAGTCCCACACTTTGTCGCGTTCTATCCAATACTCCAGCTCGCCGTTGACCGTCGACGGGGCCCACACCCTCTCGCCTGTGTCAGGTTCCGTCTCTGCAGAGAACCAGCGCGGACGGTGAGGGGGCGCGCGGCCCTCCTCACGCGCTTTCCGTGTCGCCCGCTGGAATTCCTCTTGCTTGTTCTTGAGTTCATTCGCACGTTCGTACTTGCCTAGCTCGAAGGCACGTTGGTCGGGGCGGAGGCGGCAGTCCGTTGGTGCGACGTAGGGCCCGAGCGTATCCGGGCAGTCGTTGAGCGTGACGGCGAATGGAGTGAGGTTGAATGGTGCCGCGGGCTTCTCCGAGTTGCGCCAGAGGAGAATATACTCCGGGGTCACGGACGAGTCCTGACCACCGACTTTGACGTCGGGATGAAGCTGCCCTATACCAGTACCTACGGCTCGCGCTACCAACTGACTGTTCCAGCGCCCAGCGATCTCGTAGGTCACGTTGCCGTGGACATCCGATACGTAGCCACAGATCTCAAACGCGTCCTTTCCACGCCAGCCACGGGGCTTGAAAGTGAGCACGCATTTGTCTCCAGTACGATGATTGGTGACCTATGACGACCTCAGCAAACTGGCTCGCTGACCAGATGGGCTTTTAAACTTACCACCATGTCACCGTAGTGATCGATGGTCGGCGAGCCCAGGATGAAGCCAGAGATATTGGTCGTAACCTTCTTCCAGCTGAAATGCTCAACTACCCGACCTTCAGCGTGCGGTCCTTTGGCTACTGGGTAATTTGGCGCCCGTTCCTTGGGGAGCAGAAGTTCCGCGTGTGCTACGCCTGTTGGACGGATCTCGAAAGATTTACCCATGAACTTGTTCTGGGCATCAACCTAGGGTATCTTGAGTATCGGCTGAGTGTCTGAAAGTACAAGGTCACTATACCTCGCCATAGTAACGCCAGTGAGGGGACTCCGCCCAGCAGGCTGACATTGGTGGATGGTGGCTGACTTGCTCGGACATGTAGCGATAGTCCTTGTCTAGCGAAACGTACTCGAAGCTCTCGCCCTGGACAGCGTTCTGAGCATGCGCCGCGAAATATCGGTCTCAGTCACGTACCAACATCGGATTGAAGGGTTTGGCTATTCGACCGATCGTTGACGAGTAATTGGACATTGCAAAGGCAGCCACGTAAGCAATGCGCCGGTGAGCGTCAGTCTCGGCGTGCGCAGAATCAACTAGTAAGCTCAGCGGTCAGCCTCAGAAAAGCGTGACTCTCATAGCAAACTTACGACACTCGGAGAACTCCATGTCTTCGGCCTGTAGGTGTGGCATTAGAGATACTGCAGCAGAGTATCCTCGGCATATCACGTACCATGCGTTGCAGCATACTCGTTGGCTCATTGAAGAACACAGGGAAGGATATCTTCGTCAAATCCTTGCCAATGCTATTCTTCAGCACCGCCCACAAGCTCATAGGTGGCCGGTCATCGTTGTCTATGGCGAGCCGTTGACGAAGCTTGAGATAGCCGAGATACTGGTCCCTGTGGATCGTGATCCACAAATGGTCGGATATCACAGGCTTGACAACGAGATTCGGGAGGTTGTTGCTCTCAATCGCGTCGAAAAACTCATCCTCCTCGTCCGTGTCGACCATAGTGTCGTCGTCCGCGGTAGGCGGGGCCCCAGTCGCCGAGAACGCTCGAGCGGCAGACGCAGCCATTATAGACTGTATAGGTGACGTCGCAGATGCCTGTCTAGAGATCGGGCGGCGGATCATCCCAACGCCGAGTCCAGGTGTCGGTGGTGGCGACGTAGGCGTCTGAACACTGAAGGAGCTGGCCGATTCAGACATGGGAGAAGCAAGCTGGGGCGACCGGGCCTTGATCGTGCCCCCACTGTCTACGTGTGTCATCGCGGAGACGTAGCTCGATTCCATTCGGCTGCGCCGGCGAGACTGCTTGCGGAGCTCACTCTCCAGGGTCTGGGAGTCCTGGACCACCAGTTGCAGGCTTTCTTCCCACAGGTTCTGCCGCTCGCGCTCGCGCTCGAGCTTCGCCTTCCACCAGTCCTCGCGGTCCTTGACCATCTGCACGTACTCAACAAGCATGCCATGCACGGATTGCAGCGTGTCCTCTACGGCTGTCCTCAGTTCGATGGCTTTCGGGGATGGATCGGGCACGGGCATCTTCGAGACAAGATCGGACGCGAGCTCGACCTGCGCTACGAGTGTGCTTCCTTGCAGCTCGAACGAGTTGTTGTGTGGGAGTATCTTGCCCTCAGACTCGGCGAATGACTCGTGTCCCTCGTCCCGCTCATCGCTCGACTCCTTCAGGCTCTTCTCATGCTTCGAAGGGACGTCGTCGCCCGACTCTGTCTCGGCACCCAGCATTGAGCTCGCGGCGGAATGGTGAATGCTGTCGGCGAGCTTGGCACGCGAGACGTGCGTGCTCACCAACGTACCTCGGATCGAGGTGCCCCCGGAGAAGCTGGGCAAGCTAGGCACGTCGCTCTCACCGCTCTTGCGCTCGTTATCGCCCTCATGGCGAGCGTACTCGACCGCTTTCTGTAGCGCCTGCGTCCATCGTGCAGCTTCGACGCGGTGATTTGCCTTTAGATACCACTTCTGTGCGCCGCGAACACCTGTGGAATGCACCTCGAAGCGCAGGCCTGAGTTGCCCGGGGATACGTGCAGTGCGGCGGTCTTCATAGCGATTGAGCCACGACTGGCTATGGACTCATCCTCTTGGTGTCGATAGTCTGAGGCAGATGTCAGCAAAAACAGAGAGATAGCAGCTGAGGTGACTATATCGACTGACATGATAGAACTCCATTCTTTAGAACGAACCACCGGGTATTGTAGCCTTTCGCTACGTTTGTATACTTGTTCAGATACCCCTTCAGCTCAGGTGGCTCCGAATCTGAGGTTGGTTTCAACAGAGACGGGTCTTGATTCGTGACTAATACGTCATCAGCGCAGGCGAGAATGCAGCGTGTAACCCACTCACACTGCCTCAAGAACGCCTTGACACGGTCGTCCTTGCCGGCACTGTCATACAAAGCCTTTCCGTGTCGATCTCGAGCGAAGACATCCGCGCCTGCACGGACAGCGAGTTCCACCAACCGTAGATCCTTCCGCCTGACAGCTTCATGGAGGAGAGTCCGCCCAGAAGACTCGTCCAGGTACGATAGATCGACATGGCGTATGCGTGGCAACGACAAAAGCTTGATCAGGTCGTCGGGTGGAGGATCCGCTGGCGCGGAGAGGATATATGTACGCAGCAGTGAGCGATACGACGCAGTCAAGTACGCGCGCGAGTCTACGTATGCAAGGTCAGCCAGGAGTCTGATAGCTAGGAACGGCCACACACCTTGTATTGCCCGGATAGTCTCCTTTCCCTTCGCGACGTCTAGACACGTCCTCCCCTGACTATCTCTGAGCGTGTCATCAATCCCGTCCTGGTCAAGCAGTAAATTGATAACATCCACGCGCGCTATTGACGCTGCAAGATGAAGAGCCGTCGTTCCGGTGCCGGGTGGGTGTACCGCGTTGGGGGAGATCGCGCGGTGAGCTAGGAGTAGTGCCACGGTATCGGCTGTGAGAACGCGGTCAGTGGAGTTTCAGGACCATGAGGTCGCCCATCACGTACTCGATGCGCAACGTATGGCAAGGTGAAGCGCGGTTGCTCCCAACTCATGATCGCTTTCGACAGACTTCCGGCTATCCTTGTTCAGTGCGGACAGAAACGTATGTATACGCGCTGGGTCTCCTGTATACATCGTCATCAGACACGACTCTGCGGTGTACTTAATGGCCCACGCACCGCTCCGTAGTGCAGACAAGAGCTTAACCTGGTACAGCGGGTCTGGGGTCCCTGTTAATCTTCAGCATTCCTCGCCGCTCTCTGAGATGAACGTGCACACCATGCACACCATGAGCGTTGCTGCGACCTTCGACAGAGTCCATGTTGATGTACAGGTTGCAAGATGATGATATACGTGTCACTCAGGTCATAGAGTATGGCCCGGGGGGGCATCCAGAGCGGAACCGAGTGCAACGTAAGTATGGAAGTGGTGAACTCAGTCAATGGCTCTGAAGTGACGCAGCCACAGCCTGCCTAATGTGGAGGTTAAGTGGCTAGTATGCCATATATGGTCAGTTGAATGTGCTATAAACGCATGTAACATTTACTTGAATTCGATTCCATTTATTGCGTTTCGGCGCGTCTCAGTCGATCCGACGTCGAAACGAATGCCACCATGACATCCTAACCTCTATGTAGTAGGGCAGTCTACTTTCCTACTCGTTGCTCTACATGCTTATACTCTTTTCTCGAACCCAAATGCACTATGTAAGCTTGGGCCTTCAAGCTTTATGTATAACGAGCCTGTTGAGTCGATACTGCTCTTCCACATTTGTATCGCAAGGCCGCGCTCAAGCTGCTCGGAGACTTGAGACAGCCATGTTCATGTCAGCCCGCCGCCTCAAGCCTCCTCTCTCTGACTCAGGATTCTCGACGTGTCCACTCGGATTCAGCCACGATCTTTGTGACGTAATATTCAGTCCGGGCAGCATGGCTATCATAGGTGAGTCTGTTCCGAGGAAATTTAAAAAACAACTTGAACCGCTGAGCAGTTGCTACGATCTACAGGATTGCATGCGGCTTCGAACAGCTTCGAACCTCCGGGGCGAACTGCTCAACTGTCTCATCATGGCTCTTGGTGACTCAAAGTCTGTGCAGCAGATGGCTCAGGCTGCACAACGAGCTATGCAAATGAGCGTCGCTCGCCGAATGATCCTCGCCTTAACTGTTCACGCATCGTCCGGTTTGAGGAAGCTCGTGGTAGGTCCGCATGGCGCAGCTGCGTAGCCGACCATATGACAAGATGCAGAGTCGCTTCATGCCAGTTGGCGAAGCTGATCCAGTTTTTTGCACTTCGCCGTCGTTGTCTTAGTCTTCGACTTGCGTGTCATTGGCATGTACATCCTGGTATGGACCGGTTCCAGTTACTTCTGCTGCGCTCACCGACTTGTCTGTAGGCATCGATACCTCTGGTCCGATATCACTGCCTGTGGGAGACATCGGTAGTCCAGAGCACAGCTTGGACGCATATCTCCCCAGCATCATTGCATGTGCACAGCATCGCGGCTCATGCGCGTGCTCGCGGTTCATATACACCTCTATCGGGCGTTGAACCACCGTAGTCCTTCTTCACTTGGATTGTGCAAGCAGAAACCCATTGCGCAACGAGGCCGTTGGTGTGGTAGTCTGGAGGTATGTAACTGGTATGTAGCAACTGAGCTGCCTTGCAGTTGCCCCATCAGACACCCGTTGATCGAGACGTGAGTACTGTTTCTCTTCCGGACAATCTAACAATCCGTTGGTCTCTTGGCATGCATGATCATGCTACGTTCCCGGCGGCATGCTGAAATGACCAGAAATGCCAATGATATCCAAATGATATCAGACGCGAGGTGCGGACTCGTCCGATGGTCTTCATGTGGTGTGTGGGTTGTTGGCAGTCCTGTATCCGCCGGCACCATGCCAGGTATACATAAGGGCTCTCATCGCGGCGGACATCACAGATCCACTTCGTTCGTTCCCTCGACGTCGGCCACTGGCGTAGGCCTTCGTTTGCTACCCAGTCCCCATTCCTTGGGACAGTCCTCGGTTTCGACTTCGGTACATCGGCTGTTATTTCTCGTCATTCGTTAACATGACCATCTATATCCGGCTTCTGCCGTTCTTGGTCCTTTCATCTTTGGCAGTTGCCCTGAACGACTGGACAAAAGCATGCTTGAACGGCGAGTGCTCGTATGACGTCGCTGCAACGAGCCTGTACATCGTGAGTTCCGCAGCAAATGGGTCACTTAGCAGTTATCTGACGTGCCATTTCAGTCAGGCTCGCCCACTGCCGTTTCGGATCTTACCTCGGCCGCAGGTTGGGAGATACTCGAGTGCGACGCTAACAGCACGGCACAAGATATACGGGCTGTATGCGCTGATCCCACTGCGTCCTGCGAGCATCTGTTCCAGGGCGGCGCGGTCGGAACAATCGTACGGTTGCCCGAGAACGTTGGTCTGCTCCCTACCTTCTCATGCTAATGTTGATGCTGATAATATTATGCCTGACAGTGCACAGCGATGCCCTTCGCTCGAGTCGCGAAGGTATGGGACCACGAGAACCAGACTCGGGATATGCGTCGTCTAGGGAGATTCTATACCCCTCGGGCTTCCACAAATGTGAAGGGTATCAGCCTCGACACTAACTTCAGCGCTATCGATGTGTCCCAGTAAGTCGTTGCAGGGAAACAACAGCTGTGACGCTCGAGATTGACTTCGATTGGGTTCAGAAACGGCAACGTCTCTTTTGTCATTCGGGGATCCGATGATACTCAGGACCGACGGCGTACCGCTGTTGTTGAGGACAGTGAGTGCTGCGCTCGCAAATCACGAATAGCATCGCATGAGACTCATGCACTTCCAGACTTTACGACCTTTAACCATACGCTCACTTCGGACCCGGCTACTATCACCTTCGACAACCAAACAATCCTACTCGACGCCTCTGTACCTGCCGTCTCGATCGACGGGAACTCCGTGACGGGCGAGGTTCAGATTGCGGTCACTCCGCATGTTGATGTTACGGTCCAACTGGGCGTCGGGGTAGCTGGGACCCTCGTCCCTCCGAAACTCACGGAGCTAGGACTAGTGACGAGTGAGTTGTGATTCATCTGCATGTCTACCACGTAGAACTCACGTATTGAACTCCAGATGTGAATGGCAAGCTAGACGGGACGTTGCAGCTGAATGCCAGCGGAACGGTTCGTGTTGAAATTCTGTGCATCCACCTCAAGGAACCTGATCTCATTATTACTTTAGGGTACATTCACCACCGGTTCGATTCCTCTGTTCCAAATCGGCATCCCAGGACTGGACATTCCGGGGTACGCAGCCTTGTAGCCCAGGCCTGACGCTCGCTGTCTGACATTATGCCAGGATCTTGAGTGTTGGCCCAACATTCCACATCAACGCAAAAGCAACAGCCACCGTCGACGTAGGCGTCGGCCTTGACGTGGGTTTCGAATTCAGCGCAGACAACCTGGAACTATACTTCCCTCCTGCGTCGACATCCTCGAGTGGGGACATCTCGAACGGGCAAAACAGTAAGTGTACTACATACGAAAAAACAGCTCGAGTACTCATTGCCCCTCAGCCGCACAGGTCAACCTCCTCAGTTCTCCCAACGTCACATCCAACAGCACCCTCACTTTAGATCTGATACCCGGAGTGTGTTGACTTCGCATCCTACTGCCTTCACACGCTGATCCCGAGCTTAGATTTCATTTGGGATCAGCGCGTTTGATGGCGTCTCGGATGCGTCCGTCAGCCTCAACCTCGACAACTTCGTCGAAGTGGACCTCGTGCTGGACAGCAACGGGGACTCCTCTTCCAATTCGACGTCTAATGGCACGGAGAGCGCTGTCGCTGGTAGCGTGAACGTCGAGGGCGGTTTCAACGTTGTTGCTGCTGCTGATGCGACGTTGTTTGGTCTGCTCGACGACACCACGAGTGTGACCTTGTTTTCCAAGACATTCGAACTGTTCCAGGTAAGTACGTTGATGGTATGGTCAATCAAACATGTACTAAACTCGATTACTTCTGCGCACGAACATAGGACAATTTCTAAGTAACATTCGCATTCTTACATTCGACTTGGGTTTTGCGTGTGTTTTAAGACACGCGGTAGGGACATTGATTGAGAATACCCCAGCTGATACATGTTGTATGTATGTGCAGCCGAGTCGCAGAGTCATGTTGTCTCGGCGTTGTGCTGCTACGATATGGGTCTCGAGCAACCATTTGTGGATATTCGATTCAAGGGAGGCATGCTGCTGCTTCCGGCGACGTGTAGCCTTCAACTGAAGATGCTGTGGTTAGAGCAAGGTTAGAGCAACAAATATTCACGGGTGGGAGTTCGTACATACAAAGCCCAGGCCCGGGGCAGTGAGAACTGTTCGAAAACGTATGCAGTCACAATGCGGGTGTCAGTGAGCAGCACAGACGCATCACTCGAGTGTGCCGCGACTCAGAGTTGCAGTAGTAACTCGGATACTCGGTAGCCACGGTCGTCCCAAGACCAGCCTCTGGTCCCGAGTCGCCGACTCGGACGTAACGGGATCAACAACTGTGAGAAAGTAGCACGTGGACGTGACACAGAACGCGACTGAGGCGCGTCGCAAAATCCGTGGCGCGGCGATCCCTGCTTGCTGCTTGCTTGCTTGCTGCCATCACCCTCAGCCTCTCCTCCTCGCAGGATGTCTGAAATCCCTACCCTCCTCCTCTCATCCCTGAACCCTGCTACTCGGAAACAGGCCGAACAAAGCCTGCAGGCCCTTAGCGTCCAGCAAGGCTTCCTCTCTGTTCTCCTTCGTCTTGTCCTCGAATTCTCACAGGATCGACCCGTCAGGCTCGCAGGCAGCGTCTACCTGAAAAACGTCGTCAAGAACAGATGGGACGATGTAAGCGGATCCACGCGTTCTGCCTGTATGCGAATACTAATGCCTGTACAGGACGAACAACCCATTCCAGACGCAGACAAAGCTGCTCTACGCAACGAGCTTATCCCCGCGATGATCGCGCTATCCAACGCGTCTGACAAGGTCATGCGGACGCAGATAGCAGAGTCAGTGTCTCTCATCGCGCAGGAGGACTTCCCGGAGAAGTGGCCTGATCTTGTCGATGTAAGTCTCCTTGTCACTAATGCAGAGGCGGGGGGACTGGGGGTCGCGTCCTCAAGATGTAGTCTCACAGTGTTCCGTTTAGAAACTAGTCGCTTCCCTATCTCCGACAAACTACGACATCAACATCGGCGTGCTCGAGACCGCACATTCCATCTTCCGCCCATGGCGTGCTGCGACGCGCAACAACGAGCTCTTCACTGTCATCAACTATGTCCTTTCTCGCTTCGCGAAACCCTTCCTTGAGCTGCTTCTCCACACTACTACGTTACTCTTCTCAACGCCACCACCCGCCAACCTCGCCACGATCGCCCAAGCACAAGTAACTCTTGTTGATGTGTTCTACGATCTCACATGTCAGGACCTCCCGCCTGACTTTGAGGACACTCACACGAAGTTCTTTTCGGCTCCGGATGGTCTGTTCTTGCAGCTCTTGCTTTGGGATCCGCCACAGTTGCGGAGCGAGGTAGGCGACCTCATTCGTCTCCGAGCCGGCGCGAATTTGCTGACCCACGCATAGGAGGAGGACACAACTCCCTCATTCCCATCACAAATTAAGACTGGAATCCTCGAGATCGCAGAGCTGCATGTGAAGCTCTACTCCGAGGTCATGGCCGGGTCGAGTGCCGTGCCAGCGTTCGTCTCGTCTATCTGGAACATGATCAGCGGTGGGAAGAAGCAGAGCGTCGCTGACGATGGCGTATGGATCTTTCTCTTCTTTCATCCGCGTGAACTGATTGAAACCGTCTATAGCTCGTATCGCAATCCCTGCGCTTCATCTCAACAGCGATCCGCATCGGCCACTACAAGGAGCTCTTCAGCTCGCGCGAGACGATCACGAACCTCGTACAAGGCATCGTTGTCCCCAACGTTGGGCTTCGGGGTAAGGTCCTCGCACCTTCCCGCCTGCCACCCGCTCACGCCCCGCCTCGAGTCCACAGAGTACGAGATCGAACAGTTCGAGGATGACCCGCTCGAATACATCCGACTCGATCTCTCCGTGCCGTCCCTCGGCGGTGCAGGTGTGAGCACGGACACGCTCACGCGCCGTCAAGCTGCAGCAGAGGTTCTTCGTGCGCTCGTGTCGTCGGGGTATGAGAGCGAGACGACGGAGATTGCGGGCGCATGGATTGGCCAGGGTCTCCAGGAGTACACGGCAAACCCCGCGGCGAACTGGCGCGCGAAGGATACGGCTATTTATGTCATGACGGCGGTGGCAACGCGTGGGAGCACGACACAGGTGAGTAGAAAGAGAATCCGAGGTCATAGTATCACAGCGCTGACGGTCCCTTCACAGCATGGTGTGACATCGACGAACACCCTCGTGGACGTCGTCAAGTTCTTCTCGGATCACGTCTTCCAAGACCTGCAGGCTGAATCGGGTACGGTGCACCCGATTTTGCAGGTGGATGCCATCCGGTTCCTGCACATTTTCCGGAATCAGGTCAGTGCATTCACAACATGGCCGCCATTCTGTCGCCTGAGCTGGGGTCTCGCAGCTCGTCAAGCCGCAATTGCTCTCAGTGCTTCCATTGCTGCTGCGCCACCTTGGTTCGGATAACTATGTCTGCTACACGTACGCCGCAATCAGCATCGAACGGATACTCTTCATCAGGCAGGGGACACAAATTATGTTAGTCTTCCTCGATAGGCTGCTGTTACCACGGATACTGACATGTTGCAATACAGGTTCGCCCAGGCCGACATTCATGAGTTGGCACCACATTTGCTTGATGCGTTGCTGAAGAAGATTGAGGCTGCTGGCACGCCGGAGAAAGTGGCTGAAAATGACTACCTCATGAAGTGTATGCACGTCTCCTACCACCTCCCTGCACAAGTCCACTGAATATTCCACTTGTAGGTGCGATGCGAGTCATCATCACCGCCAAATCGACCTTCGCGACGGGTTACGAGCGTTTCTTGCAGAGACTGGTCAACATCCTTGGGGCGATCTCGAAGAACCCGAGCAACCCTCTCTTTGACCAGTACATCTTCGAGAGTATCTCGGCGTTGATGAGGTACGTGGTATGCACGATTACCTATAGGCAAGATCACGATTGAATTCTGTGTATCGCAGATTCGTCGTTGCTGCTAACCCATCGACACTGTCGACGTTCGAGCAGGGCCTGTTCGGTCCCTTCACGATTATCCTCCAGCAAGATATTGATCGTAAGTTACCAAGCATATGGCCTTGCACTCGCATGCTGATCGCTTCTCATAGAGTATATCCCTTACGTCTTCCAAGTCCTCGCGCAGATGCTCGAGTTCCACACTGGTGACGTACCGGCAGAGTACCGCAGTCTCCTTCCGTTCCTCCTCACCCCTGCCGCGTGGCAACAAAAGGGCAGCATCCCGGGCTTGGTCAAGCTGCTCAAGGCCTTCCTCTCGCGGGACGCGAAGCAGATGGTTGCGACTGGCCAGTTCACGGCCGTCTTGGCGGTCATCCAGCAACGCCTCATCCCGTCGAAGCTCAACGATGTGTGGGGCTTCGAGCTCCTACATTCAGTGGTGCAGTACATCCCTCCGTGAGTCCCATCATGTCCATGTCATAGCATCTTGTTCAGCGACTGATGCTGCAGGCAGATCGGATCTCAAGCAGTACTTCCGTGCTCTGATGATCACGCTGCTCAGCCGGATGCAAACGAGCAAGACGGACAAATACGTGTACCTCTTTGTCTACTTCCTCACCTACACCATGGCCATCCCAGTGGAGGGACTGGGCCCCGACTACATCATCAGCTCGGTTGAAGAGATCCAACCTCAGTACGGCTCCTGCGTCCCTCGTAGTTGAGTTGGCGCTGACGCACACTTGCTAGACTCTGGTCACAGATCGCTGGGAACTTTGTTGTGCCACAGGCCCCAAAGATGCCTCCTAAAGATCGCAAGGTTGTCGTCGTCGGCTTGACAAGGCTGCTCACCCAGAGCGCTCTGATGCTCCAGGAGCCTTCAGTACAGGCATGGTAGGTGTGTGTGCATCCCCACGTTGTGCATGACGTTGACCCGTATGCTTTTCCAGGCCAGCGACGTTCACATCTCTGGCGAAGCTTTGCCAGGAACCTCAGTATCTCACCAAGAAGGATGAAGAGGACCCCGATGCCGGTATCACTGCCGTTGACTTCGAGGAGCAGACTGCAGGATACCAGGCAGCGTACTCACGGCTAGCAGCGTCTGAAACGGTCTCTGTTGATCCTGTCGCTCATGTCCGGGATCCTCGGGAATACCTTGGACAGGAGCTCGTGAAGCTCTCGCAGAGGGACCCGAGGACGAAGACGCTTGTCGGTGCTGCCGATCCGGCTATCGCAGGGCCTTTCCTGCAGTCGCTCGCAGCCGCGGGTCACAGCATCTGAGCGAACGCGAGCGTGTTCGCCGACAAGTCCATCACGGATCGCAGACGACATGCATATGCACTCAATACGATACTTAGGGTAGGATCGAGCAATTGAGTATTGAGTAGGTAGGAAGAGGATCTGAGCATCGCCAAAATACGACATGCATTGTACATCATTAGCAATTTCAACGAACACATCTGTCTTCAGAATACGACGAGCTGACGCTCAATGTCCCACCCGCAACGTTGGAGACCCGGCTTGAGCGTGTGCTTGATCATGCCGTCGGGTCCACATGCAAGGACCATGGCTCGTTCGCTCGGGACTGGGAGGTGTTCCTCGAGCATCGCGTCTGTTATGCGGCCTACGCTATGAGGCCAGCCACTTGGTGTGACGCTAACTGTGTAGTGTAGGTGGAACCGATGGTCGCCATGTTCTGCGTGGAGCCTGTCGAGCTCCTCTCTGCAAAGGATGTCCTCTTCTGTCCTGTTGGCGTCGATGAGCCAGATACGAGTATGCTCGAGGGCGGGATCGTGCAGCACTCCTCGAAGGACCTGCAGAATGGGAGTGATCCCTGGTGTCACATCGCGCACGTTAGTCCGGTACATTTTGGTCGTAGATGAATACTGACCAGAGCCGCCGCAGACTAGCCCGAACTCCGTGACCTTTCTTGAGACGCCTCTCAAGCTGATCAAGTTGTGTCCCAACAAGACAAATGACCCAAGGGGTCCTTTCATCTCGAGCGCATCCCCGAGCTGGAGCTGGTGGAATCCGACCGTCATCTTGCCTCCTTGTGGCCATTTATCATTGGGGAGATAGAGCCTGTAATCAATACATTAGCCTCTCGAACAGAGAACCCGGGACGGAGACTGACTTGATCAGAAAGTCGATGAAACCCTTCGCGTCCTTGCCAGAGACGGGCGTGTACGCGCGCTGTACCACCTCGCCCGTATCCTTGCGCTTCAACCTGACGAAGACATGCTGCCCGGTGGGCAATCCAAGAACCTGGTCCGGGTCCGGCAGCGCGAAGCGGTACAAGCAGGTATCGTGGTTGACGACCTCGATGTTGACAAGTGTGCCCTGGCGCCAGAGACGCGGTGAGAGGAATCGGCCCGACGTATCATCTTCTACCGCTTCTCTTTCTGCATCGTTGGGAGTCTCAGTCTTGACCAGAGTCCCGACGTGGAACTAGAAAACACCGATGTTCATCTGTATATCAATGCGATCTCGTACGGCCGATGCTCACCTGCCGGAGTTTTGCCCATGCATCCGCAGAGTGGATCGCTCGAAAGTCGTCACTTGCGTCCTCTCCAGCCGCGAGCAAGATGCTATCCTCTCCACCCGGATGATCATGTAGATAACCGGTCCCATCGTAAACCTCTCCGTCGACCACAAACCAAGGCTTGTCCTTCGGCTGAGTCCTCAATTCGCGAAGCGTTACCAATCTTCCGTTGCCACCCTTAGCAACAGGCGCCTTTTGAGGCTCAGAGATCGCGTCGCGCTGAAGGGCAGCGAGGGCAGAAAACGAGAAGTCAGGGCGCAGGACTGAAGCTCCTGACTTCGTCATCAGCTGGAACAGCTCGTCAGAGTGCAACCAGCGTACAGATTATACGCAAGGCGTACCTCCATCCAACCGGCGGAGTACTTCCCGACAGGCGCAGCATGTACAAATCTGAGTTCGGACATCGCCCCTTCGGCGGACCGCTGTTTGAGAATACAAACACGATGCCACCTGACTATCGTTTGACAACTGATTGCAGCTTTTGAAAGGCCACTGTACACACCAATTATTCATCATAGAAGTTGGGTTGGGGTACATGTCTCTCGGCTGCATGTTCATCGACTCATCCATGGCACGCACGGAGATGACGGTGGCCTCTGCGAGGTCTGCGATGCTGACATCGAAAGACCAGAAACACCAACAGCTACATATTTGTGCCAACTTCGTCAAGGACATCATCGACTTGGTGGATAGACCGTTTACTCACAAGGAAGTGTCGCGCTCATTCAGGTCGACCCTACCAAAAACAGGATCGGAATACGCGACAGCTCGATATAGGTCTTCGGGGTAGTCCACGTCTGCTAATCGCCAGCTGTGGCCATCGTCCATCGAGATTTCCACGCGGTTGATTCTCCTCCCGCCACCCGAGTAAGCATACCCTTTGAGCGTATAAGTAGAAGAATCAGTTGAAATAGAGGAGTCGAGCGTGAGGGTCTCTTCATGGGCGGGCTTCGCAATCGCACTGTTCACGTTCAGCTCACTTTCACGGTTGAATCAGTAGGAGTCTCAGCGCACATGAACGGAAGATAGCCTACGTGATTATATACTTGGGGTCATACCACCACTTCTTTTCTTCCGCCGAACGTGCTTGCTCGGGCGTGAGTTGCGTAGGAAGAACCTTGTTGTCTGCATTCATGTCAGAAAAGTTGCATTCTACTTGATTAATCACAAAGGTACCCACCGAAGAAGTGCAGATGATGTTGGCTTTCGACGGCTGAGACCTCGATGCGTTTCAGCCACTGTGGAAGCGAAGCGTACGCACAATCAACAGTGATTATTGATTTAACGAGACGCGTCCTCCAGCTATATACATACCTTCACTGAACGTCCGCCGATTTGCCCAGGGATGACCATCCGTACAGGGAACCCATGATCAGGCTCTAGTGGTCGGCCATTCATCGCCCACGCTACAGTGGATGATTTAGTCTCTGACACCGTGACGAGCAAGTTAAGAACCACGTACCAACAAGGTAGCCCTTCTCCCTATTGCTCGCCCAGGTTAGTCGTTGTGAGGTACCGTAAGGTCCATTCGGCAGGGAGTCTCCTCCCTCGAAGATGACATGTTTCGCACCGGCCGACCGAAGAGGCTTGACGTGAGCGAGGATGTCTGCAAGATATACACCTGTCCACAGCGCAGTAGACAGTCCAGCACTGCCCCAGTCAAATCCTAGGCTTTTCCGTAGGACATTCTGCTCCTTCCGCCGGTTGCCAGCGCAGACCAACGTCACCGGCAGGGTGACAACTTCAAATTTCTCCTTCAAGTCCGCTATTGAGAATTCGACTTCGTGCTCAATAAGACCATGTATACGGATGCGCCAGTTCCGCGATTTTTGAACAGATACTTGGGGAACGGCGCCATGGTTGCGGACGAAGTGCAAGTGTGCCGGCGTGAGAAAGCCCTGGGGCAGCGGCGAGTAAGAATGCAGCCAATGAGAGGACAGATGATGTAAGCGGACGGTGTTCTGTGGCTGGAAATCGCTGGGCGCTTATCCCCACGACCTCGGCCTTGACTATCATCAAACAAGGTATTGAACGTACAGATCGAAAGAGGGCAGAGAGCGGAGCCTCAGCATTGAATGGATGCTTCCCAGTTAGCCTAATGAGCTCTGTATTTCGGTGTATCCAGCGATCAGGCGTTTGGGCATCCTATCAAAGTATAGTTCAGCATCCGTCTCGATAGAGGGAAGTGCCCACTCACTGCTTGTGCAGTAACTAACGGTGTCTTGTCTTCAGGGATCGCTGGGAAGCTAGAAGGGTAAATAACTTTGAGCTCCTCTTCCGAGGGTGGGGGAGAAGATGACCGCGACGAAGACGAGCTAGAGGCTTCGGAAGTGCCGGTGGACGACGGTGAGAAGCGTCCGTCCTCGCTGTTGCTGCTGCTGGTGCTAGCTACGGCCATGGTCGCAGGTCAACTTCAAGCTCTCGCATGCCGCAGCAAAGCTAAACCATCTCATCGACCCGCGTTCACGCAGGCGCCATCGGACAGGGTGGACTGGATCCCGAACACCATTGGTACGATAAGGGTCTCCGCTCCCGACTGGCCACGCTATCATATATCAACAGGAGACGGCGTCAGGCACAATATGTTTCGCCCGTCCGAAGGCTTCGACTGCCGCCGGATATCGGTCGTCGCGGGTCCATGAACTCCCGTCAGTACGGCAATAAGTGTGCGGTATAACCGAGTCTTGCGGACATGGCAGGGATAGGGGTGTTCGGTACACGCAGGCCACACATCCGGGTTTCTCCTTCTCCAAGATTCGCACCCGTGCGCTACCCCTCGCCGACTCCCAGGAATCACAACTCAATTCCCGGGTCCGACCCCATGCATCAGTGTCACCCTCGTCTGCTCGTATAGGTCAGATTCTACACGTATTTTGATTTGGTTGAATCTCGACTATGTCCGAGGAACTCGGATCGGCAGCAGGAGGAGGTTGACAACCTGTGGGGCGAGGAGTACATATGAGACCCAATGATACGCGACGACAGTGGCAAAAGTACACTCACAACTGCAACGATACCAGAGATCCAGAATGCCTTCCCGTACGGCTTGGGTTGCATCCGGAAGATGAGCGCGAAGAACACGCCTCCGAGATTTCCCCAGGCGCCAACAATGCCGGTCTGTGAAGTTGTTCATGAGTGTCAACTGACTAACAGGAAGGAAGCAGTGACAACTCACCATGAAGCCGTTCGAATCTGTTGTCAAACGGAAGATGGGGCGAAGTAACCGTCAGCGACACAAAGATGATAGCAGGCACCGAAATGCCACGTACTCGGATTACAATGCGGAACGAGAGAGAAGTTGGCGCCGTTACCGGCCTCGTTGAACAAAGCAAGGATGACGAAGATGACTATGACGGCCGCGAGCGACGGGTCCGACCTGCTGTCGATGTAGACACCAAGTGCGATGGATAGAATACCTTGGATGACGCCCAATGCCAAGGTGAGATACTTCTTGCCTGGGACGCCGAATCTGCGGTAGACCATGTCACCGAAGTACCCACCTAGCAGTGAGGACTCAGCACGGAAAACCGACTACAGTCAATTGAAGAAGCACTTACCAAACGCACGCGAGAAGATGTTCAAGAGACCGTATATAGCAGCAATATAACCAGCCTTCGTCTGCCCGAACGTCTTGTTCTGATACATATTGTACAGGACGTTCGAAAGGTTTGCGTCCACGGCCAACTCGAAGCCAAACGTCGTCAAGTACGCCATACTCGGCAACCACGTCGCCGGGTTGAGCGTCGTCTCCTTCACCACCGCCATAGTCACAGGCTGGTTCACCGCGACGTCCACGCTGCTGATCACGACGCCCACTGCGTCCGGGTTCGCAGCGTCTACGGGCGCGACGTTGACGTCCGCGTCCGCGCTACCCTTCTTCTCGTCGTCCGTGCGCTTGTCCGCTTTCTCCGCATCTTGGATGCTCGGCGCGTCCTTAAGATTCGAGGAAGCATTGCCGGTGCTCGAGGTGTCTTCCGGGCCAGCAACGTGCTCGACGTCGTCGCGGAAGGAGGCCGACGGGCGCGCGAAGCGGTCCTCCCATTTCCCGTTCGGGTGGTCGGTGCCAAAGATGAGCGTGAGCGCTGCGACGGTCAGGAGGACGGGCACGGGCACTATCGCGAAAGATGCTGTCGAAGTATAGTCAGCACATGCGGGGACGACGGGGCGGTAAAGGGTGGAAAGGCCCCGGTCTCCTTCGACGTTAGCGCTTCCGTTGACACATCCGTAGCATCACCGAAGGCAACACAGACGCGGACGAAGGGGAACGAAGATCGGGGAGACGCTCGATGACTAACTCACCTCGCCAGGCAACGTGCTTTGCGAGGCCGTCGCGGATGAGCCGATCGTACACGGCGAGCATGATGATGAACGTGAACCCGCCACCGCTGTTTCCCCAGCCTCCCGCGATGGCGTTCGCCCGCCCGACGACGCGCTTGTCGAAGAACGTAGATGTCCAGGCTTGACAAGGTACAAATGTTCCGCCGAGGATGCCTGCAAGTCAAGTGAGTACACCGTGATACTCCAGGGTACAGGCATTGACTCTCGAAACATACCGATAAAGAAGCGGACGACGTATAATCCAGACGCGCTCGAGATTGTCCCCGCAAGCCCAGAGGGGATCGCACCGAGGACGAGGATGCCAGCCATGACCTTGCGGGGACCGTACCGGTCAACCAATGGGCCGACGATCAGGCGCACGAGGAGTGTCGAACACAGTGAGACGATGTTCGAGTTGCCTGTACCCCAGTCCAGTGAGTTTCGTGTACGTCAACCCAGGGCATCTTTCGCGATACGTACCAACTTGCGCGGCGGAGAGGTTCAAGTCAGACTTGACCGCCTCCGGAATGAGAGGCGAGAAGGCGAACCAGGACAGGAAGGCTGACCAGAAGCCGAGCCATGACCTGAAAGGAGGAGAGGTCAGTGTTGATCTACCGGCTGCCCGAGCTGCACACTCACAAATGAAAGTTCCGCGAATACTGCGTCTTCAGCGACAGAATCGGGAGGGTCGTGCATTTGCCATTCAGAGGGTTGATACGCGTCTCCGTGATAGACTGCCATAAGGTTGGCGGGGAAGCTGCTGCATGCGACATGATGTTGATGCTGTTTTCTGTGCACCCACAGGTTTCTCGTCTATCTCGTTGGTTCCCTACGAAGATCTCGCACGGGGAAGGAGAAGGGTCGGTCGAAGCAGCGCTAGAGAAAAGGGACTTCCCAGCTTGGGACGGGTGGCTCCGGCGTCGTACTTGAGAGGATACACACCCACGCCACGCGCTAAGGGGAACCTGTCTTCAGGTTGCCGTCGGTGGCTCCAGGACTACCGAGACCGGAACGCTGTGACAGCGACTGCCTAGGAGGTGCAAAAGATAAGCTCGGGTGCAAGGTGGGCCCTATGTCGGGAACGTGTTATCGTACCTGCGTCGTTCGGCGCTGCATGCGACATCATTGACGAGCTCGACGATCCTTGAGCCTATCAGCCCGGGGCCTCGGACGCGGGGGAGACCTCTCTACGATTGAACCTTTTCCATATCAACAATACGAGAACGTCGGTGGCTTAGCGGAAATGATGTCCTTATCTTTGCTTGCGTCGGCACCCTTCGTAATTTATACCGGCCTTACACCTTACCAGCCTCTCGATACCGGTGTTTTGTGTGTGATGTGGCGCTATTCGGGAGACTTGATGTGGAGGGAGCGAACTCGAGTGCAATCAGAATGAAATTCTCTCCGAAGCTAGAGACCCATTGAACGGTTCCTATACCGTGACTGTTCCCTTTGATTTTCTGTGGACTGGGTTGATTCAGATAAGGAGAGTTGTAACAGGTTACAACCATCACTGACTCACTGAGGATGGACTTCAGAGCTCTTCAGAAGCTAATTGAAATTTGAGCGTATCGCCGACTGTCGACGCGGTTGGTGGCTAATCTAGATCCCATCATTTCTGGCAGTCGCGGAGACCAAATTCGCATTCCCCTTTTTGCGAGCAACCGCCGGCTCACAGCGACCTTGACAATGTCATTTCCTGACATTCCAAGCGCATTTTGCTTCCCCCACAACAATCTCACGCATACGACGCGATAGCTTTTCTGAAGTCAACTTACTGACCTTGTCTTCATAACCGTTGGTCTGGCGGCTGCAAGACTAAAGCTTATCATGACCACCTCGAAGTCATTTGGTCATCGACGTCGAAGGCCGCTTTCTGAGCAAGGCACCCGAAGGTAAACTTTTGAACCTCAGAGCCCCACCGCCGGGGCCACAGATTGCGGAACTGCAGCCAGCGGCGAGACGCGCGCTGCGCTCAACTTCGATCAACCACTCAGCGCGGATATCCTTATCGTTGCCAACCGGCAGGGGATTGGATCCTTGACATGCTAATCGTAGTACCGCAGCGGCCATGCTCTAGATTGCGCATCGGATACGTGGAGGACCGGGTGGGCCCGGTGGGGTACGAGGATAGGCCCTGACGGCGAAGACCGACTGAGGCTTCGAGCCGTGATGGAACTTGCAAATGGTAAGTACGGTGACGCTGAACACGCCATCCCGCGTCCTCCTTAGACCGATTCTTCCCCCAGGAAATCAAGCAAGCGCCATAAGCGTGAGGCGCAAGGAAGAGGAAGACCCCTTTCGCAACCCATCTCTTCCTGCTACCATCTGAACACCTTAGGTGACTTCAGCCAGTTCGTGAGGCAGGATGTCGTCACAAGAGGAGAACACCCGCAAGACGGTCTTTGTGGTGGGACTGGGGATGGTGGGGATTGGTATGTCGGCGATCATTCTCATTTCTAAACCTTCTAACCTGTGAGATGTTGCAGCGTTCATCGAGAAACTGCTCAACCTCGACGCAGGTTGCAACTACCAAATTGTAACTTGTGGCGAGGAGACACATCGTAAGCACTGTGCCAATAGTTACACTGCTGGACCGCTGATCCCGATTCCGATCTCCCGCTGCTTTTACTTAGTTGCGTACAATCGGGTGGCTTTAACCGAGTATTTCCAGCATAGGAGCGTTGAGAAGCTCTACTTGAACTCTCGTAAGTTCTGTGTCGCACAACGCCTGCCTTGATGACTCATTTTGTCGTCAAGCGGACTGGTACGCAAAACAGGACCCGGACAGGTTCAGTTTCTATGTCGGGGAGACGGTCACTAAAATCGACCATGAAGCCCACATCGTGGTTACGGACAAGGGTCGCGAGGTCAAGTATGACTACTGTGTGATTGCCACGGGCTCTGAAGCCACATTACCGAGCTATGCGAGCAAGGATGTACCTGGCTTGTTCGTGTACAGGAACATCGCCGACATGGATTCCCTCTTGGCGTATTCGGACAAGGACGGTGTGAAGGGTGGCAAGGTCAGCTGTTCTAAGTGGGTTGATCTTGAGCGCGACTGACGAGGCAATTCCAGGCTGCTGTTCTCGGGGCGGGTCTACTGGGTCTTGAAGCTGCCAAAGCCGTGTACGACCTCGACACGATCAAGGACGTGACCATAATCCACCGCCAAGCCTATCCGCTCTCTCGTCAGCTTGATAATCATGGTGGTGAAATCGTTCGAAGGCGGATCGACGCCATGGGCGTTACCTTCCTCGGTGGCACCTCCGTCCAGAGGCTCATCACGAATGATGCTGGAACCCTTACCGGCCTCGAGCTGACGGATGGAAACGTTGTCCCATGCGACATAGCCGTGGTAGCCATCGGGATTACCCCACGCGACGATCTCGCACGTGCGAGCGGAATCGAGTGCACGGAGCGACACGGCATCGTCGTCGATGACAGCCTGCGCACGAGCGCGCCGGACGTGTTTGCTATTGGCGAGTGTGCAAGCTGGAGGGACAACACGTACGGCTTGATTGCGCCGGGCGTCGAGATGGCGGACATCCTAGCATTCAACCTGACGCAAACCCAGACGGGCGTGGGCGAGTTCAAGCCGCGAAAGATGAATAACCCCGATTTGTCGACGAAGCTGAAGCTCATGGGCGTCGACGTAGGTGCCATCCATTCTGAACGCAGTCGCGATACTCATCTGAGAGTTGATGTGTGCAGGTCGCTTCGTTCGGCGACTACTTCGCGGAGCAGCGTCGTTCCAAGCCTGTCGAGAGCGCAGTATCCGTCAAGCTTAGGAAGCCTGCGCCAGCCAACAGCGAACCTCTGTCTTGGAACCAGCGCGATGCAAACAAGCCCTCCGTGTGGGAAGTCGTGGCCGGCCCAGTCGATGCCACGGGTCCCTCGCTCACAGTCAGTCAGGAAAGCGCGCTTCCCTCCACGTCTAGCTCACACGATGACAAGAATCCCTCGCCTCCTGCCTCCGGTCGAGCGTCACCCCCCAAGGCTGACGCCTCCGCTCCTAAGAAGCGGCATGGGCACGGTCCACCCGAAGACGGGCCAACCGAGACGCTCACGTACCGCGACCCATTCGCTGGCGTGTACAAGAAGTATATCTTCACGGCGGATGGCAAGCACCTCCTCGGAGGGATGATGGTCGGAGACACAAGCGATTACATCAAGCTCGTCGCCCTCGTGAAGAAGAAGAAAGCGCTCGATGTCCCACCGTCGCAGTTCATCCTCGGTGCGGGCAAGGCGCAGGACGACTCCGGCGCGGATCTCGACGACGACGCGCAGATCTGCTCGTGCCACAACGTGAGCAAGGGCGACGTCGTCCGGTGTGTGCGGGACGGCGCGAAGAGCGTAGGCGACGTGAAGACGCAGACGAAGGCAGGCAGCGGCTGCGGCGGGTGCATGCCGTTCTTGACGAACCTCTTCAAGGCGGAGATGAAGAAGGCGGGGAATAGCGTGAGCAACTACGTTTGTCCCCATTTCAACATGAGCCGCGCGGACCTGTTCGACGTGGTGCGGATCAAGAAGCTGAAGACGTTCACGGAGATCATGGAGACTTTGGGCGTGAACAAGGAGTCGGTTGGCTGTGAGCTCTGCAAGCCCGTCGTTGGCAGCATTCTGTCTTCTCTGTGGAACGAACACGTTATGAACCCCGTACATCATTCGTGCGTTGTCATTCCTTGTGTCAACGCTGCTCATGATTGACTATTCATGCAGAAACCAGGACACGAACGATAGGTTCATGGCGAATATCCAGCGCAACGGTAAGTTGTTGATGGCTCTGAGTCCAAAGTGGCGTAAAGAGGCTGACCTGCCGGGCAGGTACATTCTCGGTTGTCCCTCGCGTCGCGGCCGGCGAGATCACGCCAGACAAGCTGATTGTCCTGGGCCAAGTCGCGAAGAAGTGTAAGTCGCCTCTGATCCTTGCGTAGTGTTTATTGACACTACACACTAGATGGCTTGTACTCGAAAATCACTGGCGGACAGCGAGTCGACCTGTTCGGTGCACAAAAGGCAGACCTGCCCTCCATCTGGAAAGAGCTCATTGACGCCGGCTTCGAGAGTGGGCACGCCTATGGCAAGGCTCTGCGCACAGTCAAGTCATGTGTCGGTACCAACTGGTGTCGCTACGGCATCGGCGACTCCGTCGGGATGGCGGTCCAACTCGAGGAGCGGTATAAGGGTATCCGCTCTCCACACAAGATCAAGGGCGGTGTGAGCGGCTGCGTGCGCGAGTGCGCTGAGGCTCAGGGCAAGGACTTCGGTCTGATTGCGACTGACAAGGGCTGGAACATCTTCCTAGGCGGTAACGGTGGTGTTAGTCCGAGGCATGCAACACTCTTCGCCAGCGACGTTCCTCCGTCGAGAGTGATCAAGATTCTTGATCGATTTCTCATGTACTACATTCGCACCGCTGACAAGCTCATGCGAACATCTCGCTGGCTTGAGGAGATGGAAGGTGGTATAGAGGTATGCCCTTCTTTGCATCAAACACTCGCCGTAAATCTGACGTCTGACAAGAAACTGCGACGAGTCATCCTGGATGACGAACTCAACATCTGCGAGGACTTGGAGAAGGAGATGGAGGAACTCGTGGGGACGTACTACGATGAGTGGAAAGCGGTGGTCGACAGTCCTGAGCGTCAGAAGCAGTTCCGGCAGTTCGTCAACACCAATGAACGACGTCTGCCGGTCGAGCAAGTGCTTGAGCGTGGTCAGCCGCGACCGGCAGACTGGGCGAAGGCATTCCCGCCAGCGCATCTGAAGGAAGACAGAATAAGGACGCCGAAGGATCAATGGAAGTGGTGCAAGCTAGCTAAGCTGGACGATCTGATCCCAACAGATGCTGGCACAACGTGAGCTGTTGTACATTTGCTTCTCATACTAGATGCTGACCTCTCCTGGCAGATCTGTTGCTGTGAAGTATGGCGATAGCCAGCTCGCGATCTTCCACGTACCTCGGAAAGGCTACTTCGCGACACAACAAGTGAGTCCACGTTCGCCGAGGAGCATCCGCATCGTTCTGATCGCGTTCGAAGATGTGCCCACATAAGCGCGCATTCGTCTTGGAACATGGCATTGTTGGCGACGATCCAAATTCGGGCAAGGTCTACGTCTCATGTGGGTAGCTACTCTATGTATTATGGGCTATACTGACCATGACCGTAGGTCCAATGCACAAGCGGAACTTCACCCTGAAAGGAGGCGAATGCCTCAACGATGACGCCTACAACATTTTGACATTCGATGTCCGGGTAGAAGACGACGACATATCGCTCCTTTTGCCTGAAGTGCAAGAGCTAGATGAACTGATCGGAACGAGTAAGTGGATGGTCAAGCGCAAGACCGCTGAGATCGTGGACAAGGACATGGGAGATGGTGTCGCCTTAGGACCTGACACAACTTGTAGCGGACAGTCGACGTCGTGCGGTGGCGACCCAAAACTAGACTGGTAAATCTCAATGGCAAAGCTACTGAGTTTGCGCTGTCACCGGATGCGAAGTGTGCGACCTCGCGTACATCGCCCCACATGTTCTCGATGTCGTGCTCAAGAACGCGCTGTCTGCGAGGCTGACGGCATGTTTAGCGGTGAGTCGAGGACAAGTATGGAGAACAAGACTAAGCCTGGCTAGACGCTGAAGGCTGCAGTCCTGGGTTCTCCTGGCTAAGGACAGCATGATTGAGAGAGCGGCGGCGGACTGTATGAAATTCAGGCGCGCTGCGAGGAGGAGAGGTTAGGAGGCGCGAACAGGAGGGCCGGAAGAATCGCCTGCGCTACGTATTTTTCGAGGCGCATCAGCGGATGTCCATCGGACACTCGCTAGAATCCTCCTGCTTGAGACAACCGTCTGGATGACTCAGGCTTGGTAAGTGCACCATGCAACTTGAAGGTCGACGAGGGATCCGCGGTAACGCTGCCCAATCTCGATCTAACTGTGGCTGACTCAGACAGCCACTGCGTCGATCGGTCTCCCTGTGCAGTGTGAAGGACGCGGATGTCCGTGGACCTGACTGATCATTCGCTTGCATGGTTTGCAGAGTAATGGCAAGCTGACACAGGTAGGCTCAGTGGGTGCGCGACTTCAATGTCGTGGTCCTCGTGGCAGACTGGGTGCGGAGCGATATAAAAGGAGAGCAGCTGGACAGGATAGGCCCATGCACCGTTTCAAGTTCCTTCAAGCACTCAAACCTCACAAACACAGCAAACAGCCCTCTAATTCCACTCAGATGGCACCCAAGACTGAGATACTCTTCCTCGGCGCGACAGGTCCGTCGTCCCCCAGTCCAGACCCCGCTATTGAACTAACCTTTTCGCCCAGGCTACCTCGGTGCAGGTGTCCTCACTCGCCTCCTCAACCATCCTAAGGCGAGCGAGTTCTCCATCACCACGCTCGTGCGGAGCACCGAGAAGGGCGAGGCCCTCAAGAAGTACAACCCGACGCTCAAGTACGCTGTCGGATCCCTCTTCGACAAGGCCGACTATCCCGTTATCGAGAACCTCGGCAAGAACGCGGACATCGTGTTCTCTATCGTGAGTGTTGTGTTTCTATCAGGCAGGCCAACAGTTGACCCGACACGAACACTAGGCGGACGCGGACTACTTGCCGTGGACGGTTGCGCTGCTCAAGGGATTGAAGGCGCGCTTTGATGCCACTGGCGTCGCCCCAATCCTGATCCACACGGTGAGCATGTTTGAGGCGAATGTGTCGTGCAGCGCTCTGACTTGTATATTTCTGTTCTCTTTCAGTCCGGGACGGGTATCCTGTTGTTCACCTCTGACCCGGCGGGTAACCACTCCGATCTCGATCTCGCGGATGTCAAGGCCGTCCCCCCGACTGCGCTCCACCGCAACGTTGATCTCGCAGCCATCGGTGCAGATGAAGCAGGTGAGTTCGTCTATCGTTAGGTTGTAGCACTCACAAGCTGACCGTCGCCAACGTTGCACAGGCTACGTGAAGACGTACCTCGTCTGCCCGCCGCTCATCGCTGGCCTGGCTTCGGGTCCGTTGTATGATGCGGGCCTCGCGCACCGCAACTCCATTCAAGCTCCCGCCCTTATGCGGCCCGCGCTGGACCGGAAGCAGGCCGGAGTTGTCGGCGATGGAAAGGGTGTTTGGGCTGCCGTGCACGTCGACGATGGTACGTCCTCCGAGTCAGGAACCGCACCGTCCCTCGAAGCTAATGTGATTTTGTTGCAGTCGCGGACGCGTTCATTCTGCTGTTCAACAAGATCATCGCTGGCGCACAGGGCGTGGGCCACGGCTGGGAGGGCTACTATTACCTCGAGAACGGCGAGCTATCGTGGAACGCCATCGCCGGTGCGATCGGCAAGGCGCTCGTCGAGCTCGGCGTCGGTAAGTCGCCTGAGGTGACGTCCTTCACCGCGGACGAGATCACGAAGTATTACAAGTCTGAGGTCAGTGTCCTGCACTTGATACTCACCTAGATCACTCGCTGACCAAGCATGTCCACAGTTTGCAAGCTCGGTTGTGTCGTCGACGTGCCGCGCCAAGGGCGAGCGTGCGCGCGCTCTTGGCTGGTCGCCAAAGTACGGCGTCGCGGACATGCTCGCTGGCCTCAAGCCTGAGTTGGAGTTTTTCTTGAAGAAAGCACAGGCAGAGGGCAAGGTTGACTTGACGCCTAACCATGGTGTCGACGCGATGCTTCAGCGTTTCGTATCGTTGTCGCAAGCCTGAGCATGGCTATGGCACCAGCTGTGTAGACAAGTCCGACATAGAAATGCATATTTTCTCTCGCAACAGCGGCGGTACTCAAGCTCAATCATGGCGTGTGATATGGAGGTCATGTTGTCTGATGATATACTTGGTAGAACTGTACGCCTGCTAGACGTTGACTTTTAGCAGCAGGTGCGTGAGACAACGAGCGGTTCGCAGACGGACTCGTGGATACCATTCGGAGCGACGAATATGGGAGCAATGTGACGCCGTCTCACAGTTGTGTGGAGCGGATAGGATAGATCGCCGTATCATAGTATACATCATGCTACATACATATAGTACATATGTTCTCTTCTAGCGCCTCTACGACCAATGTCTCTAGGCCCGACAAGAAACCGACCATCACGACGTATAGCGTTTACCATACACTCCTTCCTGGATTGCTTTGATTTCTGTCGCACTCCAGGTAAGCCATCTGTCACAAAGAACACATTTGCAACCATGGTACTTACGGAGAGCGAGATGCTTGGAGTGGTAACGACACATAGCGAGATTGCCTGAAGTTCCAAGGTTAGGACCGCTTCTCTGGAAGACATTTATCACCACGCACCGGTCATGAACCAGAGATTGGGGACGCCGAGCCAGCGCCAAGCGCCGTTCTGCTCGCCCTCCTCGTTCACGTTCCAGATCGTCCCCACTCTGCTCGCGAGCTCGTCGCCGCAGATACGCTTGATAACACCCGTCGCACCGTCGAAACTATCGGTATGAGATCAGCTAAGTTACGTAGCTCGCTTCCGTGGGGTGGTGCTCGTCACACGTACCCTGTCGCGAACAGGACGACGTCAGCTTCGAGTTCGGAGCCGTTCTCGAATTTGATGCCTGTCTTCGTGAATCGTTCGATCTGGCTGTCGTTCTTGAGTTTGATCTGGCCGTCGACGATCTTCTGGCAAGTGCCGACATCTACGGACGCAGTCAATATCAAATAGTGACGCATACGGACTAGGCGCTTACCCAAGTAGTATCCTCCGCCACGAGTCATCGCATTGTAGAGGAAACCAGCGCCGTCGCTCCCCCAGCCTAGCTTGAAGCCGGCCTTCTGCAGACCATCCAGGATTTCCCTATAGCGTACGAGCTCAGTCGAAGACTGAGACGTGCTCGACTCTGACGTACTTGTCTGCTTCTGCGATGTCCTTCGTGAGCCGCTTGTGGATCTCCTTCATCATGAAGGTCGGCATTGAGGTATGAATGCGGTCGTTGGGCTCCACTGGTCCGGTGTTTTCCCAGAAGACGTCTGCGCAAGTTGAGTCAATCACCCATGTGTACGCGCGACTGCCTATCCACATACCCTGCATGATACGCGGCATGCCGTTCTTCGTCGACATAATGTATGTCTCGCTCCTTTGGTACAAAGTCACCTCTGTCATGCAGGCGGTGAGTAGAGTGCCTCATGTCTAGTATATGTCGGCTTACCGACTCCATGGTCGACGCAGTCGGCTGCGATGTCGTGCGCTGCAGTGACAGTAAATGAGTATCACGCAGCGGGAAAGTCTAATAGCCATTACCTGATGTACAAGCACCGATGATCACGACCTTCTTTCCGCGATAATCTCTTGCGGACTTGTGTGATGTCGAGTGCAAGAGCTGTCCTTGGAACTCCTCCTGAAGATTCGGGGTGAGGGCGATAGTGACGATCGACGTAGCAGAAAGACTGACCTGTCCGGGGAACGTGGGCACCTTGGGAACTCCGCCGCCGAAGCCGACGGCCAGGATGATGTGGTTGACGGTAAACGTGCGCTTCGAGCCATCGCTTTTCCTCACCACGACCTCGTACTTGCCGTCGTCGAGCAGCTTGACGCTCTCAGCCTCGGTGTTGGTCCAGACGTTCAGCTCCATTGCTTCAGCGTAGTACTCGAGCCAGCCAGCCAGCTGCACAAGAACGAGACACTCAATCGTCTGGCCTTTCGCTCCACGGATACGGGATACGAACATACCTTCTGTGCCGGTGTGTATACTGGCCATGTAGGCGGGAAGCTGACAACCGACGTATGAGATTACTGTTCATGAACAGATATTTTGATCAAAATCGACTCACGGCAGGTACGGCATGTGATCATAATCTTCACAATACGAATCAGCAAAGCGAGTAGAGCAGCTTCACAGATGCACTTACAGATGGGGTCATGGAGGCAAAGAGCCTCGTAGCGGTACCTCCACTGATCGCCGATCCGGTTCTGCTTCTCGAGGACGAGCGCGGGAACGCCGAGCATCTTCAAGCGAGCGGCGGACTCCAGACCACTCTGGCCGCCACCGATGATGATGACGTCCGGGTCACCCTTCGAGAAGGAGCGCTCCTCCTCGCGCTGGTTGAGCCACTTCCCGTGGTTCGGCAGCCAATCACGGTTGGGTCCGATCTTCTCGGGGAAGCCCTTGAGGTCCTCCAGTGTCGTGTACAGCGTGAATACCTTCCACTCGCCGCTCGCCGTGGGGACCAGCCGCACCACGCCGCTCCCAACGCCGACGTTCGTCTGGAAGTCGAAGAGCAACTGGACCCACGCGAGGTCGGTGTACGGCTGCTTCAACTGCGCGCCGTCGCGCAGCTTGACGTTCGAGAAGTCGAAGGACGCGAGCTGGTCGTCGAGGAGCTTCTTGATCTTCGAGACGCCATGGAAGGTGCGGAACTCCCAGGTGAGGGCGAGGTGGTCGCGCCACCAGCCGTCCTCCAGGAAGAGGTCGACAATCTTGGTCGTGTCCTTCGCGGCGACGGCGGATGCGAACTTCGTGAACCACTCGGAGGCGACTTTCTGGGCGTCGATATCGGCTTGGAGCGAGGCACCGAGGCGGTCGAGAGTGGGCAGCGTAGGCTTGAGCGTGTCGGTACCGTCGGGCACGCCCTTCTGCGAGTCGAGGGCGGAGACGAGCGGCGCAGTCAGGCCATTGGTAGCAGGTAGCGAGGGCTTAACGTCAGCGACGCCCGCGGGGACGTCTTTCTGAGAGTTGAGAGCGGAAGACAGGACGTCCGAGACTTTGTCGAAGACGGTAGCCATGGCGGAGAGGGGGTTCAGAATAAAGCCCGCAAAAGCGGGACTCTATATACGACCAGCACACCCGACACAGAGATAGGCATCCTATGCGAAGGCAAAGAACCACCCGCGTACGCAGGCCCGACCATGGCCTGCTGATCCTACCTCAACAGAGTCAAATGACAAGGTGTCAGTTCCTGTGAACACATATTCCCACGACTTGTGTCGTACTTACGCCCGATCATGTTCACGCGACGACATCATATCAGTTTCTAGCACCACGAGTGCGGTGCAAGAGAGGGGTCCACAGCCTAGCCATGACCTCCCCATAGCGTCATGCCTATGCAGAGGCTGCGATGGCGTCCGCGCCCGCTGCGCGGGAGGTGCAGCCTACTGCCTATACGTGACTATTGTTACCGCGTCAAGTTGCTGAACAAGGACGATAACGGAGAAGTTCTGACCGAAGCTGAATACGCGACAGAGCGCGCAGGGGAGAATCAGGCCAGCGGGTGCCCGGTGTCGCTACCTGTAAGCAGAGCCAGGAGCAGGTGTTGCCTTAGCGCAGCCGGCGCAGGCAGCCAAGAGTCCCTGGGTACCAGGTGATGCACTGGGAGATACGGGACAAGGCCTATAAGGGAGTCCAACACTGCCGACGCTACTTCGATTCCTGGACTGTCCGACGGAGATGACGAGGAGAACCGTGATGCGCCTGAAGCCGGAAGAAGATAGCCAAGATGGATGGGTCGGGACCAGTCGTCCTCGGGCAGCAGGTCACGATGCCTAACTAAGAACCATGAACACAATGTGATGGGGACTGGAATGTCAAACCGCAAAAGGATTCCTTCAGAGGGTCAGGTCCTGTGATGCGGCGGTATTGACGCCCTTCTCGCGCGCTGATGCGCGACGGAGGCCCGTGCTGGAGCCGCAGAATGGAGGAGCAGCTGCCATCATTGTGGAGTTATTCGCGGTGCAGTGTAAGACCCAACGCATGCGCGTTAGATGAGGTTGGCGAAGCCGCAGCCAACGCATGAAACCTAAGTCGATTCGAGTCAGCAGAGGAGAAACATAACAATGATCGATCGAAGCTCAACTATGCTTTCAATTCATTGAGCCTAGCTTCTATCGCGATAGGGACAGAATACTCGGGTCCTTCAAAACAACTAGACTGTTGCTGAAAAGGAACTGCGGGTCAGTAGCATGTCGTACATCGAAGTCGAAGCTGATTGCACGCGTGGTTACAGTGGCACATTTGCCCGGCGATCGTATATGATTCACTTGCTATGCGTTGAGCAGAATGTATGTCAGAGTCGGTGAGCCGACATTCCGCACTCCAGTGACCAACCTGATCCAGGACGTAGAGGATGACAACTTTGATGGCACATAGGGAAGTACGGTCCGCCTCCAAGTGATTGTCTACCCAAAATGTCACGGGATAGTCGTGATACAATCACTGGACGAGGGTCCACACTGCGCGCAATGGATCCCAGCAGACGATTTGCGACTAGGAGCAGTAAAGAGGAGTCACCGGGTTACTGTAACGATACAGCCTTGTGACGTTGACAAGATTCGCAAGACCCGGGCTGGTCTCTGTCTGGAGTCGACATGATAATTGACAATGACTTGCGGATTCCCTGAAGCACTGGCGAGTAGATTGAGAGCCTAAAAGGGCTTCAGTTTCAGTCAACGACTCAATGGACGTGGCCAAGACGTGGCCATCGCAGCAGGTCGCCAGCACACGGAGTCGGACCCGTGGGAAGTCGAAGTGACAAGCGCCAGCACGCTCAGGCTGCCACCCACCACTGCCAGTCTTGACCTCTCTCCCCATGTCCAGCAGCTTTCACTGTTCAGCAGGTTAAACTCTGCTTTTGTCTAACATCTCATACTGCGTGAGTATCACCGTTCTCATATTTCTGCCGCATCCGAAAAGCAGCGGTATTCACCACTGTATCGAGTCTGCTTAAGGATTCAGATCAGACGTACGTGCGGGTGGATGCATGTACATATGCTTACATGTATGCCTGAAGAGAAAGGATAATGTCGAGATGTATGCGAATGCCCTGTGAGAGGTGTCCGGTATGTATGCAATCGCTACACAGACTGATTCTCTACTGATGTCTTTTCGTAGGTAAATGGACACGCCACCGCGCGCATGTATGTACCTCCGTCACCGCGAGCCTGGCCGTGAAGCAACCGTGAAGCCTGCGTGAAGCTTTCGAAAGTGTGCGTCGGGACCAGACGATGCCGGCAAGGTCTTGCTTGCACCGGATGAAACTTTCGATCCTTCAAGTGAAAGAGCGATAAAATTGACAAAATCTTTTTCACGATATTTCGTATGAAAGATTGTCAATAAAAGTCAGAAACAATCAATGAATCATTCAGACTCGAAGTATCAGGAACAGATCACAGAAGGATTCATTGACAAGTGTCTTTGATCTGTTTGTGATCCTCTAGGCAAATGATTGAGAACATGATATTCAAAAATTCTTGAACACTATGTGGCTCAATTGTGCTGAAAGGATTGAAAACAGATTGTCACATGGGGTGTTACAATCTTTTCTCAATCTTTCAGGCTGTCACAATCTGTTTCAAATCCTTCCAGCTGTTGATATCTTGGTGAGATTGGAAACAATTTGTATCTCAGGGGTTCAAAACAATTTGCCCAAAAGGATTGACAAGAGATTGTGACACTAGCTGTGACACTGTGCCACTTCCCTATGACAGAGCAGTGAAGGCAAATATGCCAAACCTATGATAAGCTGCCTTCTGCTGGTATGCTCAGTCAATTTTGGTCCCTCTTTCATTGCATCTGGACATGCACAGGTCTGGGACATGTTCATTAGTCATACACCGGATGAAACTTTCGATCCTTCAAGTGAAAGATCGATAAAATTGACAAAATCTTTTTCACGATATTTCGTATGAAAGATTGTCAATAAAAGTCAGAAACAATCAATTAATCATTCAGACTCGAAGTATCAGGAACAGATAACAGAAGGATTCATTGACAAGTGTCTTTGATCTGTTTGTGATCCTCTAGGCAAATGATTGAGAACATGATATTCAAAAATTCTTGAACACTATGTGTGTTATGGTTCTGTTTTTGTTTATAGAAAGCTAGTTACCGAGTTTATTGCCGAGTCAATAGGAATAGTAACCTCGGTGATAGAGATTTGTATTGCCTATACAAAGCGGTAACAAACGGTAAAATCCTCGGTAATCTTCGGCAATGCAATTACCGAGACGGCGCAAAGTTGAGCTGTAATGAGGATACCAGATCCACAACAAATACAAAAGAGGGTGGGACTTTAGTCAGTGCTGCTATACAAGTATGCAGTACTGCTCTTCAACTGGGAAGAGTAAGCTATGAATGGATTTGAGTCGGCAATGAATGGGGATTATTGCCGAGGTTTAGAGCTTTTCAGAATAGAGGATGAAGTCTGAATACAGAGGATTAGTATCCAGAGGTTGATTCCGAAGGAATGGGCTTTTTTGGTTTTGAAGTCACACAACAGAAGTTGAATGGAAGTCTGTACAGCTAGCTTTGACTGCACAGTGACGATGGCAAGTTACAAAACCCTAATGTAGCAGCGCGAGGCCGTGCTTCAAGAGGGACTCACTAAGGCAATTAATCCTCAACCAGCTAATGGCTATAAGGCTTGCTTTAGTGTCAAGTGAGTTGCTGGTTAGGCTAACCACTTTAATTATAGTAATGCCACTGAGACGTGCTAGTATGGAACTAGTTGATACAGAGATCTATTGATGTTGGTAACAAGTTTACAGAAGTAGATGATGACTAAGCACCTTCTCTTACTGAACTCAACTTGTGAAGTCAGTCAATGGGTTACTTAAACCTTACTAGTAGCGCGAGGACTGTACTAAGTAAGGTTTCACTGTCGCAGGTCTTAGAGCGCGTCGGTAAGAACTCGGCGAGAGTGGTTGAGTGGCTAGTATGGCTAACTTAGCACTCGGGACAAAGTAAGACTTTGAGTGGCACACAGGGTGTGTTTCGGTGAAGAGTAGATGGTGGATTGGATGATAGATCTCCTTGACCGTGCTCGGGAATGCCCTTTTATGCCATTCCCGAGGACACAGCCAATGGAGCTACATGGAAGTATATAGAAAATCAAGGAGTGTCGTAGAAGTGTATAGTACATGTCCTTGACTCATTTACACCGCTTCAGAGGCCATTCTAGGAGAACAATAAGATCATAGCCTTACACTTCATTGTTTCCAACGAGGCAAGCTATGTTACCGAGTCATCCTAGTACAGCCACAGTACAGCCACTGTTTCAGGACTGTGATTCCCGAGGCATTACCGAGGCATGCAAGAGTCCGCATTTTCGGTGTACAGCCTAAGGATAGCACAGCCATTCAACATAGCTTCAGGAATGGCTCGGTAATTGTCGCACAGCCATTCCTTTCTATGCCGATACAAAACCATTATAACTCGGTAATTGATCGGTAATAACCATCATTTACCGAGCATACAATAGCTCTTGTATCAGTACTGAAAGCATCTGGTCATAATAAGTAAGAACACACACTAGAAACTCAGTAATAGTCAGTTTAGTAGATACAGTAACAAGCGCTTCTAAAGCTTTAAAACGTCGGTAATCAATACCTCGGTAATAAAACAATGAAAGCACTACATTGATGTCCATTGAGAGGAATAAAGGAAAGATAAGGAGAGTAAGATAAGCACATAACAAACCTTCACTGATGCAGCCACTCGGTAAGTAAACACTTCTAACGAGTTTCTGTGCACTCTGAGGCTATCAAGCCTCTATCCCTAACAATGTGGCTCAATTGTTCTGAAAGGATTGAAAACAGATTGTCACATGGGGTGTTACAATCTTTTCTCAATCTTTCAGGCTGTCACAATCTGTTTCAAATCCTTCCAGCTGTTGATATCTTGGTGAGATTGGAAACAATTTGTATCCCAGGGGTTCAAAACAATTTGCCCAAAAGGATTGACAAGAGATTGTGACACTAGCTGTGACACTGTGCCACTTCCCTATGACAGAGCAGTGAAGGCAAATATGCCAAACCTATGATAAGCTGCCTTCTGCTGGTATGCTCAGTCATTTTTGGTCCCTCATTCATTGCCTGCCATCACATGAGTCTCATTAGATGCACTCAGTGTACAGGGTTGTACTTGTGATTGTACATTCCTAGAGATGTGCATCTCATTGTATGACTAATGAACATGTCCCAGACCTGTGCATGTCCAGATGCAATGAAGGAGGGACCAAAAATGACTGAGCATACCAGCAGAAGGCAGCTTATCATAGGTTTGGCATATTTGCCTTCACTGCTCTGTCATAGGGAAGTGGCACAGTGTCACAGCTAGTGTCACAATCTCTTGTCAATCCTTTTGGGCAAATTGTTTTGAACCCCTGGGATACAAATTGTTTCCAATCTCACCAAGATATCAACAGCTGGAAGGATTTGAAAACAGATTGTGACAGCCTGAAAAATTGAGAACAGATTGTAACACCCCATGTGACAATCTGTTTTCAATCCTTTCAGAACAATTGAGCCACATAGTGTTAAGAATTTTTCAAAATCATGTTCTCAATCATTTGCCTAGAGGATCACAAACAGATCAAAGACACTTGTCAATGAATCCTTCTGTGATCTGTTCCTGATACTTCGAGTCTGAATGATTCATTGATTGTTTCTGACTTTTATTGACAATCTTTCATACGAAATATCGTGAAAAAGATTTTGTCAATTTTATCGCTCTTTCACTTGAAGGATCGAAAGTTTCATCCGGTGTTGCGCCATTCGCGCGTTATAACGCGTCGACGCGTGAACGTGATCAGAGGTAAGTACCACAGAAACCGTGAGAATTCAGAACTCAAACTTCATTTTTCGGCTCTAAGATTGGGTGAGATGGCCGGGGCGAGCCTGAGGAAAGAGCGAGTTCTACACCCTCCGTATCAGTCTCCCCATCTCGATGTCGGGCACGCTGACCGTATAAGAATCTCTCTAACCGTCTTACTGCTTCTTGAAACCTCCCCGCCATGGCCTCCGCCTTCGACAACCTCTCGAGCGCCCTCTCCTCCGCTCTGGAGTCCGGCGAGCTCCCTGCCGTGTTGCCCACGCTCGATCGCCTCGGTGCCTCGCTTCAAGCCGATCTTGATGCCCAGAAGATTGCCGCGGAGTGGTTTGCGAAGTTCGCTGGGGCTGTCTCTGCGAAGGACACCGGTAAGATCGTCTACCTCTTTCTCGAAGATGGCTGGTGGCGCGATCATCTCGCTCTCACCTGGGAGTTCCGCACCTTCCATGGCACCGCGAAGATCAAGGGGTTCCTCAGCGACCAGCTCGCGCCGTTCGACATCTCAAATGTCAAGCTGCGTGATGGTGCCGTGCTGAAGCAGCCGTACCCCGACCTCGCATGGATCCAGTTCCTGTTCGACTTTGAGACGAACGTCGGGATCGGGAGCGGGGTAGTGAGGCTGGTGCCGACTGCGAGCGGGGAGTGGAAAGCGTTCACGCTGTACACGACGCTGGAGGACCTCAAGGGCTTCCCCGAGAAGATCGGACCCAACCGTGAGTGGCTGCCGAATCACGGGAAGTGGCTCAACCAGCGCGAGGAGGAGCGCTCCTTCTCAAAGGGCGATCCGGCTGTGATTGTCGTTGGAGGAGGACAGAGCGGCCTCGACATCGCGGCGCGCCTGAAGATGCTGGGCGTGCCGACGCTTGTGCTCGAGAAGCAGAAGCGCATTGGTGACCAGTGGAGGGGCCGCTACGAGGCACTGTGCTTGCACGATCCTGTCTGTGAGTGATACTGTAGATATTGGTCGGTCGAGTGAGTTGAACTGTATCACTTGATAGGGTACGATCATATGCCGTACTTGCCGTAAGCCTCCTTTTGCCAGTATTGTCACGGAAGCGATCTCAGACCCTGTACATTAGTTTCCCGCCTACATGGCCTGTGTACACGCCTGCACAGAAGGTAGGCAACTGCTACAATGTTGATGGACGGGGGGCTGACCGCCGTGCAGTTGGCCAACTGGCTCGAGTACTACGCAGAAGCGATGGAGCTGAACGTCTGGACGAACTCCTCGGTAGAGAATGTGAGGCTTCTGGACAACGGCAAGTACGAGGTCGTTGTAAAGAAACCCGACGGCACACTGCGCACGTTCATCGTCGACCATGTTGTCATGGCCCTCGGCCTCGGCGGCGGTGTGCCCAAGGTGCCCTCGATTCCGGGAGAGGTGAGGCTCAACGCTGTAGGGCAGCCCTTGGCAACAATGCTCATGTAGATGGAATAGGAGGAGTTCCAAGGACAGACCCTGCACTCGACACAGCACAAGTCTGCCAAGGATCACCTTGGAAAGAAGGTCGTGATCATCGGTGCCTGCACATCAGGTAGGGTATAGCAAGACATTTTCCTCGGCCTCGTAATGAATGCAACTTCGCAGCACACGATATCGCGGCCGACTACGTTGAGCACGGCGTCGGTACGTTCACGACTCACGGAGTCGATGCAACTGCTCATTACCCGATCTCCAGACGTGACGATCTTCCAGCGAAGCAAGACGTACGTCATGACGACGAAGAACGGTGGGCCACTCCTGTTCAAGGGTAAGTCTTGTCGCACGTCCGGTCGCATGCTCGGTCCTCACGACTCGGACAGACCTGTTTTGGGAGGGTGCCGGGCCAACTGACGTCAGCGACCGCGTACACACCTCCATGCCCGCGTTCATCACCAGGGAGTTAGGCAAGCGGATCACCAAGGATACTGCTGAGGCAGACAGGTATGTCTCTCACCAGGGAACGCAACGTCTCGCTGACCCGTGCAACCCAGAGAGTTGCTGAACGGTCTGGAGAAGGTCGGCTTCAAGCTGGGCTGGGGGCCCGAGGACGCTGGCTTCTTCCACAGCTCCTCGACGCGCGGAGGGGGGTACTACCTCGGTTGGTGCACAATATGTTTCCACCAGCCACTGCTGACTTTCTGTCAGACGTGGGCACGAGCAAGCTGATCATCGACGGCAAGATCAAGCTCAAGAACGACAGCCAGATAGAGCGCTTCACCAAGACCGGCCTCCGGTTCGAGGACGGCAGCGAGCTCGAAGCTGACGTCGTCGTGTACGCTACGGGGTACGTATCACTTCTCGTCTGCAAGTCGAGGCGGTGAGCTCATGCGCGTTTGAGTAGCTTCGAGGGCGCGACGATATCCATGAAGCGTCTGCTCGGTGACGAGCTGGCAAGTCGGGTCTCGCAGATCTGGAACCTGAATGAGGAGGGCGAGCAGAACGGCGCCTGGCGATGGCTCGGCGTCCCCAACCTCTGGTTCATGATGGGTACGTGTTCTGGTATCCCTGTTCCCCCCAAACGTGTTCTCAGTATTCGAATCCAGGTAACCTTGCTATGTGCCGGTACCACTCTAAGCATCTCGCGCTCCGTGAGTCCCTCCAGCCTTCCATGTGCTAGATCATTTGTACTGATCCTGACGGGCTGTAGAAATCAAAGCGATCCAAGAAGGCGTGTACGGAAAGCGTTACGCTCCATGATACGAGTATTCCTTAGGGTACAAAGGAGGGGCTGGGCCAGTTAGAAGCACAATATCGATGTATGATCAATATGCTTAAGAACATGCGATGTAAGGAGCAGCAAGGTATAGGATAATGAAACCCGTTGTTTGTCGCCCGTCTGTTTATTCAGTGTTCCGCCAGGTAGGTATCCTGAACGGCCAAAGACTACAGGCTCAGTTGATACTCTCGCCACAAGACCCTCCTGGGCGAGGGATTTGTGTCGAACCCAAGAATATTCCGATCATAGATACACGCCTGCGCTAATACTATGGTTACATGGATATCACGATGAGTCCTCTGACCTAGCACTTTCGTCGTACATTGCCTACGATGCTTCATCCTCCTGTCTCTTGTACATGGATGTATCGCACCAAGATCCAGCGTGTCGAGGACGCTGTCACTCCGAGTCGTACTTGTATATGTCGATGTAGTGCATCTTCACGGAGGGACTCAAGCAATAGAGCTCGAAGTATATGCCAGTTTTCGTACTTGGCAGACAGTCCTGCGACGCGAGCACAGCGAATATGACGCGAAGATTGTGAACGAACAAAGGTTCAATATCAATGGCAATAATTCAATATGATGATGATATCCCATCACCTCGTTCAAGTTCTCACGGTCCCAGCCACTGTGCGCGCTGAGGGCGCGCTCATATGTAGGTACGTTCCGTCGTCAACATCTGTGGTTATAGGGAATGATAGCCTGCAGTCAGAGAGGTACTGAATTTATCACACGTATTTCCTTGCTGCTCCAGTATGTTGTTTTGACTAAATCGAGAAAGGAACTGTGCCCGTCGTCAGACTGACTCCGAAAATGCCCCCACATTATTCATGTTCGTATGATGGGGGACCGATGTTAATAGCAATCTTCGGAGTCCGCAAAACCTGGTTTGCCCGCGGTGCCTGCTCGCGTTGCGTGCTTTCCACCGGCGTCACTGCTGTCTGCCGTCAATACTGGACAATTGCTCGAAGGGAATGGGTCCTAGACACTGGAGGAAAAATAACTTCCCCCGCTGGGCTTTTCTGGCCGCATAAAGCCTCGGATACGCAGTGTTTGACTCCTTGAATGCGGGGCGCTGCGGCGAAGGGTCCGCGCTTGGTGGCCCGTACAAGAATAAACACCGTTACGAGACATGATTGGGACATGATTCCGATCGGACACCACCTGGACGATCCAAAGGGGATCGTAAACGCGGTGACTACGTCCGTTCGTACTCAACTGTATGGACAGTGCCACGGATGACTCACTCACCGCCGCACAGGTCCGGTCCTCCGGGAAATACTCAGGACCACCATGTCTTCTGCGCTGACATACCACGGTCTCCTAGCCGCACGCCCGAGCGAAAGCGATCCGGTGGCCAGTTGTTACGCCCCTATGTCCCCTCTAATACCGCCCCCGTGCCAGTGGTTGGAGACGTGGCGTAGCATTGTCGACAGTCTCGACACACCTCGGCCTCGTCCAAGGTTCCCCGCACTCCTGTCCAAGTCAATTGTCAACGTCGTCCAGAGACCCCCACCAGGAAGTCACCTGTACAACCAACGTGTTTAAACAAAATGGGGCACCCCTGGCGGACCGTCCGCGGTTCTCTTCTGCGTTGCGGGGCAGGTGGCATAAGTAAATTCGCGGGCTCGGGTTGGCTGGGGAAGCTCCACCGCGCTTTCGATCACAACCGATCGCGACGCGTAAACCGCCTTGCCAGCCCCGCCACCGAGGAACAGCGTCGCGGTAGAACCGCCCCACCAAGCGCGCACCCGACGGCAGCGGGCGATGCGCCTTTGCGTCGGTTCCTCTCAAGTTCCTCTGCACAGTCTGCTTGTCGAAGTGGAGACCATGGCGCAGGGTTTGCAATATTTATGGTCATCATTGAATATGCATTGCAACTACTACTATATCGTTACAGGGCGTAAGTATGGCATACCCGAGGGTATTAACTAAAAGTACACGGGACGGTGCATGCCAATCCTCCAATACCAGGCGGGCTACGGTGACATTACTAGCATTGAGCAATACGACGGGATGCAGGATAAGGGGACCTTCAATCGAGGCGCTGGGGGATGTCGCCCACGGGCAACGTGAACCAACTCTCGTTGCGCGCGAGCAGTTGTGCGGTGCCGACGTAGAACGCGATGAAGGCGGTGACAATGCCAAGCGCGCCGCCCGCCTTGGCAGCTCCAGCGGTAGCAGAAGGGACGAGCTGGGCTGCGGGGGACGTCAGCGCGAGTTGTCAAACGCAGCCGCGTCGAGACGTACCAATGCCGAGCATCATGAACGTCAGCGTCAGGAAGAAGAAAAGGGCGGCCATGCCGACGCTTCGCCTGAGGGAACCGAGACTGGCGCACGCAAATCAGCCAAAATCAGGGCGCAAATCCGGAGAAGATGATACGTACAGAAGCAGGAAGGTGACGATGAACCACATCATCAGGTAGATCCCAAGCGCAGTTGCCTCGTCAGAGGCGGCATCGGCGTACGCCGCTGTGATGCCAGAGCCAGGGATGAAGACCGTCGCGTATGACATCCAGAACGCGCCGTACATCGTAAAGGCTGCGGGAGAATGTCGGTCAGCGCGTGGGAAGGCAGAGGCGCATCGATCACGGGCGCAGGGGGACGCGGCCGCCGAGCGGAGGAAGGCACACTCACCGGTGGCGCCGAAGGTGTTCGCGCAGGCAAACTCCCACATCCCCGCACAGAACTGCGCGAGGCCCCCAACGAAGAGGGCCATCGCCACGATCGCGCTCGTCGTGTGAATGTCCCGCACGGAAACGTTGAAGAGTGATAGCATCAGCGTCGTCGACGCGAAGGCGAACAGACCACTGCGAGGCGCGTCAGGAAAATCGCGCGTCGGAGGGCGCAGAACACGTACAGAGGTCCCGGGTTCGCGAGGCGGCGGAACTGCGCGTTGTCTCGCGGGCCTATGGCCGTACGAGCGGGCACGGCGTCGACATGGTGCGCGTGGGTGCGGAACTGCTCGTGCACCTGGCCGTTCTCGGCCTTCTCGACGTCGGACGGGTTCCCTGCCTTCTCGCTGTATTCGGCGGACATGTTGGCTTTGCGGGGGTGCGGCGAGAGCACAGGGAGCGATGCGGGGAGATGGTGCGAGACGAGGGAAGCCCCGACCGCAAGACGCGTGCCTTTTACCAGAAGCATCACGTAAGCGGCATCCTTCCGGAAAAGGCAAGCGCATTATGGGCGGCACGCGGGCTTCTCATCTGACCCCGAGCGGATGACCCCGCACACTGCGTCTGGGGAGGCTAAACGATACTAGGCACGCCGGGTGACAACTCACCATCAGTCGCTGGATACCCTGACAGGCATAGTGGGGCGCCACTGCCAGCCTGCGCTCGGCGGCGCGCGCGTGCCTTCGCCCGTGCCATCACAGGAGGTGGTTTGACAATTCACCAGAGGGGTGGGGACTTGGGCGTGGTCAGACGGGCCCTCGTCCTGAGTCGTACCTGCTGGGGCGGCGACGGTAGAGCGTTGAGGACGGTGTCCCCCTCGCATGTGAACAGGACACTCACCCGCAGCGCTGCGCACGACGGGCAGCGACGAACCGTAGAACCTTACAGCCTGGCATCCTCCGGAAAATTTGAGCGTCTTGGTGGTGTCTGGCCCGTTGTGTGCGCGATCTTGGTGTCTTCCATCAGATAGCCACGAACGCGTCAATAGGTGCAGCCCGTTGGGTCGGAACCCCCGACGCCATAGCGGTGGCACGACATCCACAATTCGGTGGTCATGCATGCACGAATCATCCCACACGGAGTGGTCAGTGCGCCAGAACGAATGTTGATACGCGGGAGAAGGCCCTGCGGACCCTTCTAGGCTGGCAAGTAGTGTCGAGGACCCTAAGGACACTGACCAAGTGAACGATGTGCGCGGGGGATGCGAGTACCTCCGATCTCGGAAGCTCCGGTGGCCCTCGCGAACATTGAACCATGAAGCCATCGTACCAGAGCTGTGATGGGTCTACCGCGTAGTAGTTGTCCATTGCCGGCATGAACCTGTACCGCAGCGAGGTGGGACCAGCGAGTAGACGTGACCGATGCTAGCGGGCTAGAGTACGCACGTGTGCCTAGGACGAGGCGAAGTGGAACGAACCAACCGACAGAAGACAAGACATGAGTTCGGCGCATGTAGCAGACCCTGCGTAGATCTTGCGCTGATCGAGAACATGGACAAAGGAGTGGAGGACATACGCGACCTCGTAGGGCGAGGCAGAGGCCAGATAAGAGGTGCAGCAGCAGAACGGGTTGGCCTTTAAGTGCGGTGATAGAGGCGCCATCACGAGTACCATTATCCAATGATGTCGAATGCCTGTCATCCAAGGGTAGGACGCCGCCATGCGGATCCGCTTTCCAATTTCCAGTAGACCCGCTGACCCGCCTAGCGTCAGACGCATCCCATGGAACCCATCGTTGCCCGGGAGGTGGTCGATTTCCTGACAACAGGATAGGCAGGCCGTACGCCGCGCGCAAGATCGGGGGCGACGCGTGGTGTGCGCGCGGACGTGTGCGTTTGGGTCCGCGGGCAGCGAAGGGGTTCTTGTATGAAGGATCGACAGACCTGGATCACCGGATTCCTACGAGGAAGGGCTTCGTCCTTGGCCACGAGGGAAGAGGGATGGTTGAGTTTGCCAGACTAGAGTAGCAATTCCATTGCGCGACCGGGTTATTCTTGGAAGCGGAGCGAGCCTTCGTCGACAGGAATATGCACGGAGGCAGACCAGGTACCAGTCGAGCAAGACCTATACCACTTGAGTGACGAAGATCGCTTGTTCGTTCTCATGACCGTGTACACAGGCGAGGCCAGGTGCCTTCCACTCGGAGGCCGGGTGTGCAAATCGCACGGCGAAGCGACTTCAGCCAAGACAGAGCATAGCGGAACACGTATACAGTTCCCGCCATGCTCTGCCCAGATGAAGAGCACCTGAGAGTGGTTTACGCACGCGGCCATTTGAATCGACAGCACGAATTTGGGACTTTGACGCGAACCTGGAGGCGGGTGTCCCAATTTGGAAAGTGGGCGGGGCGCGCGCCACATTCGGTTCATCCGGGGGGTCCACGCTCGGGCCAGGCAGGCGGGGGCGAAAGAAACACAGCGCACCAGGAGCGACCGACCGCGCAGTGTCAAGACGTAGCAGCACTCGGGGAAGAAGAAAGCGCAGCGGTGGGACGGCCCCAGGTCTTATATCTTCTGCGCCAAAGACGGCCGGTATACGGAGTCTCGCTTGGCCGACGGGACGGGAGACGCGCAATAACCGGAAGACGTAGCCCGTCAGGGATGCTGGCCTGGCCGTTCCGAGGCCCAACGCTCTGCGCAACGTGTGGACAGAGCGCGGCCTCCGGGTGTCGGGTTGCCGGAGCGGGACGAAGGCGCGGCCTGGGCGATCGGTCGCGCTTAGGTAAGCCAATATGTGGGCGCTTGAAGCCAGGTTTCCCCGAGTCTGCCCGATGCTCGAACTTGTCTGGAGTTGTTGAAGTTCGAGGTTTGGTGCGTCGTACGCGCGTACAGCGACCTGCTCACGGTCTCTGCTTGTCTTCCAGTATTCTTGGGCATTTTTGCGCTTGCGTAATGCGTTTGGCAATATTTCGAGGCATTATTCTGCCTGGTCTGTCAGCCCTTTTCGAAGCACGGAGATGACCCACGCACGTCAATGTCGCCCATCCACGTTCACAACACTGACGGCGTCGCGCTCGCACGTGTGAACCACTCGGACTGCCGCTGCCACCGTCCGTATCGTCGATGTCGGCCAGAAGGATCGCAGGTGATTGATGCTTGTGGAACGCTCACTGTGCGGATTCCGTCTCAGCCTGTCACACTCGGGCTGACGGGTTCCGCTTGAAGGGCGTCTCGCGTACCGAGGTACTTCGCTGGCTCGAGATGGTGAAGACAGACCCACCATGAGCTGCCTTGCGCCTTCGACTAGTACGCATAGCACGCCAGCAAGAGAGAGTTCCAGTTCAACTTGCGTTCAGTGGTAAGTACCAATTCTAGACAAGCGCTACCGTTGTGGCACACGGAGAAGCACCCGACTCCTCCCGAGGCGCACTGGCCGGATCAGGCAAGTGGCGGGATCGATCGTCTAATCGGCGAGAGCGCATCCCGGCTGCCGGTCTGCCACCGGTGGGCCACCGGGACGGTACTCAACGCTCTCAACCTCGAACCGCTCACTCCGTTCTGCAAGTCAGTGAATTCGTCCACAACTCCCACTCGAGCCGTTTGGAGAAATCACACTTAGCGGCGTACACGAGCACGGCAAGAACAGACGCGGTGAGGTACAACAGCTAACAACTCTCAGCCGGACTCGACTGAAAGCGGGCATAGTATCTTGGAGCTCGGTGGCCGGTAACAGCGACATCCGGACCCTCGTACCTCCAGTATACCTACGAGCCAGTCCCGGAACAACATCTGTCTCTACTGTCCAGTCAAGCCCATCTACGTCATTCCTGTAGCGGCGCAAGCGCCGTCCCCGACTCCATGTGGGTGCCTGAACTGTATTATGAATGAACATCGATTGAGCAGTGAGGGTGGTGTAGATAAGATGATACAATAATCTACATAGATCTTAAACTCCGCTTTTAGTGGTACAACTACTAATGCTGTCTCCTTCTGGGTCAGATACACCTGTGTGTTCCAGCAGTACAGTTGGTTGATCATCTGCATGTTTAGAGTTGTCATGCATAAAAGCCTCTGCAGGACATTCTGTAAAACCTGCTGCTTCTTCTTGGAAGATTTCATCACTTTTTTGGTGAATGTCTTGGATGAATTGAGCATCAACACCAGGAAGAACACCATCATCTGGAAATTGATCTATGTTACTCTGATCCAACAGGATCTGCTCATATAATTTGTTATGGTGCTTCAACCAAAGAAGAAAATGCCATATTTTGGCTTTTTGCACTCTGAATGTATTGCCCAGGTCACTGGCTTTGATTTTATGAGGTCCAATAAATACAACTGAGAGATACCCAGTGATGTCTGCAGGAGTTCTAGGAAGCACTGTTGTTGTTGATATGACATACATATCATGTGTTATGGTGTTTCCATGAAAAATCTTTGGCTGTCCAGGTTCTGAAGATCCATACAAACGGGTTACATGGGCAGTGATATGATAAATAGCACATGCCATCTCTTCAACCCATGTAAGGTCACAAAATTCAGTAGGAAGATGACCTCTATATAGATTATTTGCCAGTGCATATCTGGGCATAGCTGGTTTCTTTAGGGAATTGTAGCAGTCTGAACATAGTGCTATTCTGTGATTGATAGGATCACTGCATAGCAGCCCTTTTTTATCCAACATGAAGCCATCCAATTCATTTCCATACAAGAACTCATTGGAATTTTGTTGTACAATGCATTTCTGAATAATCCATGGGTCATGTACCTGCAAAACAGACATGTTATGCACTATGTTGGGGATTTGATTCATATCATAGATCTTTGTTTTCAATCTATGGGCACTGCTAGAGTACACAGAGCAGATGAGAGGAGAATGCCATTGTGTTGCTTTCCAATAATTGTATGCACACTGTAGCTCAGTCTCAGTGCTAGGTATGGTAGGCCAATTCATTTCTTCACTGAGGTATGATTGCTTTAGTTGTATGCTCTTGTCTTGTCTTTTCAACCTTCTATAGTCTCTTTGATACTGAACTTGCTGCTGTTTCCTTATTTCTGGGAGTGTGTTATGGAATATTGCATTTATCACAGCATCACCATAGTATGCAATCAAGATACTTTCAACAATATTGCATGGCTTTGGCACATTAGGTAACATGTTGCCACTGTATGTCACAGCTGTGAAGTATTGTTGGTACACTTCAGCAATACTCAAGTCACTGATATATTGCTTAATGGCCAATATCTTGGAAACCAGTATTTGCATTGCTCTTGTTTTGCTCTTCATGTAGTCAGTCTGAAATATGGTGTAACAATGATCTAAAATGTCCTTGTCTAAACATTTCAGTTGGCTGAGAATATGAGGGTCTATATCAGGAACTGTACTTGAATGAGCAACATCCTGTGCTATACTGGAAAGCATAGGAGATTGGCATAGACATTTCAGAATCTTGCAGCCATATAATTGTATATAGTAATGCTTCAAAATTATATATCTACAGTGGAATGGTGAACTGAGCAGCAGAGAGAAGTTGCATGTTTGGCACAGGAGAACATCTGACATATTTGCCAATAACACTTTAGTTGAGTTGAAATGCTGCAGTAGTTGCTTAGCCAAAGATGCTTTGGATTGCCTGATACCTTGTGTCTGATCAACACATGTACAAACAGCAGCCCATAATTCAGCTCTGGTAAGGGATTGTAATTGCTGCAGGTAATAATCATCAGTATAATAGAACCATGAAGGATTGCTATTCATGATGCCTTGGACTGTGTCATTAGGGACACTTGCAATTGTATGTGGTATGCTGTCTGATGATGAGACTGGTATATAGTCTGCAGAATCATCTGGTAAAACTGGTAGTGGGCCTGAGACACTGTCTGGTAAAACTAGTATTGAGCCCAAGGCCCTATCTGGTAGTTGGGAAGTAGGGGCAATACTAGTTAGTTGTTGTGACATGGAAATGGCAGCTGCTTCAGGGGGGAAGACAAGATGTGTTGAAGTGAATGTCTCGATCATAGTGGCAGGAGGCATGTTATATATGCTCGGAAAAAACCGGAGGAAGATCCGGCCGCACGAGCGGAACACAGAGCCAGGCAGAGCCTCGGTCAGACGCGAGCGCACGGCTTGCATGTGGACAGTTTCCCTATGCGGTATCGCGCGTACCATATATGGACGAAAGTTTCCCACGGCGACACGGCATCCCCGGCGCAATATCGTTTCTACTTGACAGAGCCCTCCCTCCCTTCGGGAGGAGTCGGGGATATCTTGAGTCTCGAGCAGCCCGCGCTCGGCCTGGAGTCGTCAAGCCCAACGGAGATCTCTCAGTTCGAACGACGGAGCGCCCGCAGCGTGAGGTAGAGACATCGCCTTACCCAGACAACGGGAGTACGCTTCAGCCAACGAGCCTCTTGGAACGCTTCGGTACGGTACGTTCAAGTTCGGAACGGAGAGAGGGCGATAGACATCCGCATATAAGGACGGCGGTCGAACTCAGAAGATGCGCTGCAACCAGAACACGATCATCGTAGACTCGCAGGTTGTCCTTGTACCCTATAGGTGCGACGCGCCGTTTCTCTCCGCCATGCCTCCACCCTCGAGATACTACGGGTGATTAACTCGGAGATGTTGAACCTGCGTTCCCCAGACGCGAACATGTCGCCGTTCGTATTCTGTCTCAAAGCGATCTGCTGAGTGCGGGGCTGATGAGTTGATGTGGTAGGTAGAAGTATCATGAGTGGATGACAAGTCCGGAGTTACAGGAGCTCACGGCGAGCGAGCCGCTGACTCTCGAGCAAGAGTATGAGATGCAACGTAGGTGAAATCAATCCGAGTCCTCGCGTCTATACTAACCACTCGTCGCAACAGGTAAATGGCGAGAGGACGAAGACAGTACGTGCTGTCACATAATGCCTAGCGACAGGTTGATTTTACCCACGCAGAGCTGACGTTCGTCATACTCGCCAACGAACCATCCACGTCCCAGTCCTCTAGCACGTCCGAGCCCACTTCAGCGACGGAGGCGAGCTGGCTCAAAGACCTGCCTATGATCGGCGACGTGAATCTCTTCCTCAAGGGGGATCCTACCGATGAGGACTTCGAAGCAGAGGTCGAGATCATGATCGCCGGTGCGCATATATCCATTTCCAGACCCCATTTCGTCACTCCTTACGTCCCAACGACGAAATATAGAACCAGCCTACCGTCGACGGGGCCTCGCACACACAGTCCTCCAGCTCTTCCTCTCCTACGCCACCTCCGCTTGCCACCACGCTCTCCCTGCCCCTCCATCCCACGTCCACACCCTCCCGCCGATCCCCCGCACTGCCCTCGTCGCGCGCATCGGCATGCACAACGCGCCCAGCATCGCGCTCTTCGCGAAGCTCGGATTCGTCGAGACGAAGCGCGTGGAAGTGTTTGAGGAGGTCGAGATGCGCTGGCGGGACCCGGAGGCGGGCATAGGCATGCGGGAGTGGAAGAGAGGGGAGGTGAGGGAGGTACGGTTCAGCGAGGAGGATTGAGTGGGCGAAGATGGGCTGGGATTTCATCTTCGCAGTGAGTCGCCCCTTCGCAGAAAATCTTGCGTTCCGCGCGCTAGCCGTCCGTGTCATTCCTCCGTCAGAATGCTACTACCGTTCATGCTGCAGCCAGTGGCGGCTCCATTGACATACTATCATCGCCATGATGCAAGGTCGCGAAATGCAGTATGTTCGTCTCGACAAACTTCCTCCTGCAGATTTTCGCTCCTTCTCGTTCTCCCGCTATAAATGACATGTCAAGGCGAACATCAGGTGAGTTGCTGGAATCGTCCCATCAAGCGGGATCGCTGACCACCTGTTCTGTGGCAGCCTGCGGCTGGTCATCAATCGACGGACGTACAGCCATTACACCTCGGGCACCCAGAGACACATCATCATACTCAACAATTCTCACCCACAACCGCGCATATAACGATGTTACAAGCCGCTCCCTAGCCGCAGTGACGATGGCGTGGCCGCAATGTTCAGCAAACGGGGTCCAGGGTACAACGACAGACTTATATCTTGAAGACGGCTGTGGCGCCCCCGCAGAATACGACCTCATGTATCTCCTCTCAAACCCTCCGCCGTATGCTCCAGGCAGTGTCTAGGACGTTCCAGCCCCTCACACCCTGACAAGATTCCCGACAATTACAGCACCTCCGGACACCTCTCTGCGCACGGGTCCGCCCCTCCATCATTCTACGTCGTACCCACAATCGTCGCACACCCACAAAGGCGCATCGACGGCCCTCCGACGCCGCCCTTCTGTCACAGACAATACAAATCGCCGTTGACGTCTCGCACTACGGCACCCGGCTCTTCCATAACCGGGAGGCTCGAACGCAGGTCTGTGCAGCCCGCGGCGCATGTTCAAGATAAGTGAACCACTGTCCTCCCCTGGCACATCAGAACACAAGATTGTGTTCCATAACCCCAACCACTGCCCCGTGGGGTCGGCGGGGATCTCCCCACCTCCACATTGAAGAGAAGAGCGGTGAATTTGCAAGTCGGCCCGCGCTGTGCGGGGTTTGTGCTGGTGGGGAGGTGCTGATTCAAATTGTCTTCGTCCATGAGACGCTTCCGATGCCGAGGTGCTCATTAGAGGTGAACGCACGGTAAGTATGCGGTATTTCTTGTAGATGGTCCGGGTCGTACGATTCGCTACGGTTGACCTCTGCGCTCGCTTCAGGGAGTCAAGGCGGATGTGGCGGCGATATTCACGCATGTTTCCATGCGTTGCAGTTCCGTTTTCATGACGGGCCGACGGGGTGATCTAGTTGCTTGACTATGGTATGCGTCGCCTGTCCGGTCGGTTTGACTGCCTACGGAGGATGAGACGATGAGCAGTGTTTCGCGTCTCCGCACTGTCATGACCTCCATCAGCATTGACGTACATTGTGTTCAGTTGCATACCTTGAAGCAGCATTCTTCTTACGCCCGGTCGCTTCGCGGACCGTGGCAGCCTTCCGACGTCGATTGTCTACTGGCACTCGTCATCTCCTACCCTGTCTTTCGCGTCTCAGGCCGCAAGCCCAACAAATTTATGTCCACATTTTGCACTACGGCTTCCGGCCCCTTCCTTACTAGCTCCGACTCCTCACGCACCAGCACAGCTTCCAAGACCACATGCATTCAACACGCGAGACGGAGCGCACGCCTGTCAAGATGGGACGTACTCCTGGAAGCCTCCTGCTACTACTTGCCTGCGACGATCCGAACACCATTGTTCGTGGCGTCACTTCGGCTTCGGGAACGTCTAAAGCCGGCGACGAGGTAAGCTACCTTGCTCACTCTTACCAGGCCGCCGTGTGCTGACAGACGAGCTGATTACGGTCACATCGGGATCTCATTTGCGGGGGATGTGTACCAGGTGATGTGCGCAGCATCGATCGCTCGGTATTGAGTGGGAGTGGGGGTAATCTGAGATAGGTGGTCACCCTCACGGTGTCTGTTCATTTCTTGGGAGATGGCGATCGGAAGGAAGGGTGAGACGGACGAAGATTGTCTCGACAATCGTGTTGACGTGCGCCAGGGAGGTGAGTGTGCCTGTCTCAGGTCGACGTTTACATGGTGTTGCCTCCGAGCCGCACACGGATCGCAGCAGCGGGCTCGACCTGGCGTGTGCCCACGCATCGAGGGCTTCCGGATCCCGAAACGACTGGAAGACGTCTCTATCACGGCGCCAAGCTTCGCAAATCCATCCCGCGTTCAATTGCGTCCAGCGGGTCCGTGCATCCGGGCAGATCGCTACTCCGACGGAGAGGAGACGGGGGTTCGCGCAGGGGTCCTCTGGGACACATGAGGATGGGCGCGAGATCCGGGTATGCTGGGGTCGTCCGGGGCATCAGATGCGCTCCTGTCGACTAGTGCGGGGACGTTCACTGGGCGCCCCCGCAGACGGTCGAGGCGCGCCCCGCCCGAACGATATGGGGGTGGACTTCCGTATTCGGACGGAGGGGCGCCGTGACTTTCCACGTGAACTGGGGTCCCACGCCACAGGCGCGATCGTGCGCCATCGCCATTTCGTCACTGTCGCCGACACAGTACCCGCCCTATCCCCTTTCTGCGGACGCTGCTTCTCCTGGGGACGCTCTGAGGCGGTGCACACACAGGTCCGCGCGGACGATGCAGACGTCGGGGCGCAGCGCAAGACAGCGAGGAACAGTCGGACTCGGAGGCACGTCATGGTGCTGATTGAGCCGAGTGGGAAGGGTGTGACGGCTTCGCGCAGGGATGCACAGGCGGCAGGTGACCCCGGAAGGGTGGGCCGGGAGCACGGCGGAGGAGCAGGCAGTCTTCGCTCAGGGCAAGTGATCTCTCCCAGCAGTGCTATTCCTATTCCCGCTCGATAATGCGGGAGGCCGCCAGCCCTCCAGCTTTATAAGCCCTCCCAGCGTACACATCGTCCCATCCACCCTCCTCGCCTCCTCTCTCATCACCCCAAACAACATGACGTCCACCTGGAATCACACTTTCAGCACTGCAGCCTTCAAGGGCTCCGTCGAGGTCCCCACTGGCATCTACGTCAACGGCAAGTTCGCGGAGGGCTCAAGCAAAAAGACCATCGAGTGCGTGCTGCGCCAGGCTTACATTGTCGCTCTCTGATCCCCCGCAGTGTCATCAACCCCTCCTCTGGCAAGCTGATCACGAAGATCAGCGAGGGCACCGCTGATGACGTCAACGCCGCTGTCAAGGCTGCCCGCCACGCCTTCGACACCGTTTACGGGCTCAAGATGCGCGGCAGCGACCGTGGCTTGCTCCTCAACAAGCTCGCGCAGCTCGTCGAGGATAACGTCGACGCCATCGCCGCCGTCGAGGCCCTCGACAACGGCAAGACGTTCTACTGGGCCAAGGCCGACGTGCAGTCCGTTATCGCCTGCTTCCGCTACTATGCCGGCTGGGCGGACAAGATCCAGGGCAAGACCATCGAGACGTCCGAGGCGCAGCTTGTGTACACGCGCCACGAGCCCATTGGCGTCGTCGGCCAGATCATCCCCTGGAACTTCCCGAGTGCGTGTCGCTCCTCCGTCGATCATTAGCCATGCGGCGGATTTGCGTGCGATGGGATCTGACTGACGAGATGCGATCGTGTGTGAACAGTCCTGATGCTCGCATGGAAGCTCGGCCCCGCGCTCGCGACGGGCAACACTATCGTCCTGAAGCCCTCCGAGTTCACGCCCCTGTCCGCGCTTTTCGTCGCGAAGCTCATCGACCAGGCCGGCTTCCCTCCTGGTGTCGTCAACATCATCAACGGCTACGGCAACGTTGTCGGCCAGACCATCGCGGAGCACATGGACATCGAGAAGGTGTGTGCCTTGCCTTCAGGTCTGGATGTGTGCTGATGCTGGGCCAGATCGCGTTCACGGGCAGCACGCTCGTCGGCCGGAAGATCATGGAGGCAGCGGCGAAGTCGAACCTCAAGAACGTCACCCTCGAGCTCGGCGGCAAGAGCCCGAACGTCATCTTTGACGACTGCAACATGGAGGACGCCGTCAAGTGGGCCGCGTTCGGCATCTAGTGCGTCTTCTTCCCATGACCGAGTGTGGCTTGATGCTGACCGTAGCGCCCGCGTTGCAGCTACAACCACGGCCAGACATGCTGCGCGGGCTCGCGGATTTTCGTACACGAGAAGATCTACGACGAGTTCCTGCACAAGTTCACAGAGTACACGCGGAACGTCAAGGTCGGCGACCCGTTCGACCCTGAGAACTTCCAGGGCCCGCAGGTGTCCCAGGTGCAGTATGAGGTGCGCATCACTTACCACAACGCAAATAGCGCATTTAGGCTGACACCATGCGCAGCGGATCATGGGCTACATCAAGTCCGGCCAGGAGGAGGGCGCGACGCTGCACCACGGTGGCGAGCGGATCGGGACGGAGGGCTACTTCATCCAGCCGACGATCTTCACGGACGTGAAGCCGCACATGAAGATCGTGCGCGAGGAGATCTTCGGGCCCGTCGGTGTCGTGATCAAGTTCAAGGACGAAGACGACATCATCGCACAGGCGAACGACACCGTCTACGGGCTCGCCGCCGCCGTGTTCACGCAGGACCTCGTCAAGGCTGTGCGCACGGCGAACAGGCTGAAGGCCGGTACGGTGTGGGTCAACTGCGTGAACCACCTCCACGCGGCGATTCCGTTTGGCGGATACAAGCAGAGCGGAATCGGCAGGGAGCTCGGCGAGTATGCGTTGGCGAAGTATGTGGTTCACTCCTGTGCTCTTCATTGACGGGTTGCTGATCGAGCTGTTGCAGTTACACGCATGTCAAGGCTGTCCAGGTCAACATCGAAATGTGAAGTGCGGTGCCTGGCTGAGTGTACGAGTTAGTTATTGGAGGTCGCATCGCTTGGGTGTTGTATTCATACCACTTTGTTTTTCTCCTCTGTCCTGCTCTCGTCCGCATATGTATAGTTACCCATCATATCAATCATTCGGTTTGAACTCAGGTCCTGCAGATTGGGCGAGACATGCGTTAAGAATATGCGTTATGCCTACCTCGCAGGGCGTCAGTGGGGTGCTCAGGCTTGAGCGATGTTAGAGTGCCAGAGGTCAGACAGCTTGGGTTGGCACGAAGAGTGCGCAAGTATATCCAGCTGGGCTGCCAATGCCTTTCCAAATAGGCGCATACCAGGTGCGCGTGGCTCTCTCGCTGCTCGTCAGCGTCGCGCGTCGTCGCGGTTAGGCCGGGTATTCAGATTGTCAGACCGCTGGCGGGGGAAAGCTTGAGCGAGGGAGGTTCGACACAGGCCAGGCGGAACAGGCTCGCATTTTATGCACAGAGAGCGCAGTCAATAGTGGAGCTCATGCGTAGACGATGTGGTATTTTTAGAGCAGATGAGCGAATGAAACGAAGGCAGATGACGAAAGAAACGCATTTCTGACAAGAAAGGCAAGCATGCTACCGAAAGTGGCAAGTACTCAATGAACCAATGAAAGGAACACCGGATGACAGCAGGCCCCGGGCGGACCGAGTCCTCCAGGAATAGGCTGTCGCGGGATCATAGCGTCGCCTGGGGCATCAAGACCTCCTCGTGAGCCACGCCGAGCCGTGGGAAACTGAACGACAAAGAACCTTTTGTTCGATCGCAGCTCGATCGCTGATGCCACACGCAGCCACAGTCCGTGCCACAACTTGAAGTGCAATCAGGTGCAACCGCCGTGATACCTCACAATGGGCCAGTACTGGCACGTGTCAGTCCCCCTAATCCCTATGATCGTTGTCAGAGGCTGCAAATAACGGACGTTCTGTTTCTGTGACAAGGATTAACATAGACAGGAAACAGGCTATAGCATTTGAGAACTGGAAGCTCCCTGGGGTTATCTTCTCGTATGACGCAAATCGACTTGTTTGGCTTCTGGCAGTACCCCGCGAGGTAAGCACTTCGAGGTAAACCGCATTACGTCGCACTCTCAAAGAGGGTCCTGGTTCTTCCAGCCCAAGCCGTACGTCCGCTCGCTCGAACGTGGCCTCAGCAAGGACCCACGCGATCTTGGCGCGCTCAACTTGCCTTTCGATGTCCTGGACCAAATATTCTCCGAGGCTGGACGAAAAGACACGAGGTCTGCCGTCTTCCTCGCGCTCACCAACTCGCTTCTGCGCGAAATTGGGCAGAAGCACATATACCAGAGGCTGCTGACGTACATCTGCCCGTGGTACCTAGAACGCGTCGTCTGTGTCGGCGAGTACACCGACCCCGACGAGCTCCCCCCAGGCATCAAGGAGCGCGAGAGGGCGCAATTTAGCGGTCGCGTGCACGATAAGTACTGGGGGGAAGAGCCTGTCCCCAAGTTGCTCGTTGCGTTCGACACCTACTGCGACGAGCACAGGCTGCGCAAGCGCTGGGAAGAGCAGTTCACCAGGACTTGTCCCCCGCTGAGCGTCGCGAAATGAACGCCTTGGTTCGGCCGGACTACTCCTGGGACGGACGGCCCGAGACGGAATGGGTCCTCTGCAGTTGGACGGCCGGGGAGTACGTGCGCGCCAGCGCCGTCGCGAAGCTTACTGGGTCGCAATGCAACGGTCCGTGGACCCATCGCGATCTCAGCCTTGGCCATGTCCTCCTCACGCAAGTTTGCTGGTCGACCGACGCCGACATCATTGGTACGAAAACTGAGACGATCAACCGCGGTCGCTGGGCCGCACACTACGTCGCGATCATCACCGTGGACCGGCTGAAGACGGATGAGACCTACAGGGTGAAGACGTTTGTTGACGTGACGGATGAGATCGTCGACGAGGTCTTGGAGATATGGAGAGATAATACAACCGGGATGTTGGCGAAAGAATTTCAGCCTGCAGGCCGTGGGGGTCTCAACGCTGGCGACGGTGCGGATCGCGAAGCCACAGCATGATGACACGACAAGAACGATCAACAGAGGATCATGGTGATGGCCAGTCGGATCCCGGGAGGGTGCGCGAGATTGCTGCCCCGCAAGTTAGACGGACCCATCACCTACTTCCTGTCACGGACAATTTGGGCTCCTGTACCAATTATTCTCGACGAGACTGCGATGTTCTGTGGTATTTTCCTTCTGTATGACATATACATCTGTAATGATATATGCGGTGATGATCTGACGTTCAAAGTGTCGTTGAACTTGAAGGCACACGAGGAGTACGACGTAGCAAGCCAGTCCGACGCATACACCTTTGGCGCGGGAGAGACCTGCACGGATACGCAGGCGATCCAGCTCCTTTGACGCAGACCGTTTGACGGACGGGCTACCAGCATCTTGTCATTAACGCAATGCCGCGAGATGAGGGACCTAGTACGGCCAGACTTCCTTGTGATGACATGCGCAGCCCAGAGAAGAAACGAGCCCTGTGCAGTGGGCTGACTGCCAAGTACGTGCACGTCAGTGGCATCGCTAGACTCACGAATGGGGTGATGAGTAGCCAAGCTCCGATCTCGAGCCAGCAATGTCTTCGCCATTTCACCTGAGTATAAGCTGAAGGCAATCTATGTCCGGTATGTCTCAGAGGGTGAGTCATGCTATTGCGAAATTGAGGCAACGCACAGACAGGCCTCCCGCTTGCCACTTTGTACGCACGCCGTTGTACGTGGGACGTGGCGCCTCGAACTAGAGCTCAATCCCGGCGGCTCAGCTTGATGCGCAGGGTTTGCATCCAGTGTGAAGGCAACGACCCTCCCAATAGATAATATGCAATGCGTCAGTCAGTACATTCCCATCCAGTACGGTTACAGTCAGCCGATACAAACAGAGACCCTTCACAGCGCTGACACGCGCCTACAACCTCGGCTTGATCAACTCCTTGACCCCCTCCGGGTCGAGCACCGCCTCGGGGTACGGCAGCAAGAACTGGCGAAGGTGCTCGCTCCCGCCGTCGACGGGGAGCACCTGGCCGGTGACCCAGCTCGCGGCTCCGCTGAAGAGGAAGACGGTCGCGTTCGCGATGTCGTGCAGGTGCCCCGCGCGCCCGAGCGGGATGTTGGCTGCGTGCGACTTGCCCTTGGGCGAGAGACGGTCGACGCCCTCTGTCCCGCCGATGGGGCCGGGGGCGATCACGTTGGAGCGGACGCCCTGGGGGAAGGTTAGTAGGTGTGAAAGGGTGGGAAGAGGGGGACGTACGTGGGGGCCTTCCTCGACTGCGAGGACGGCGGAGGCTGTGGACAGTTATTGACTCTACTGGTCATAGAGCATGATGGTCGCAGTACTTACTGGCGTCGACAGCTGCTTTCGCGGCTGAGACATGTACCTGGTAAGGTGTGCCTGCAAGAAAAGTGAGGAACAAGTAGTGCCCCGTGACACTTGACTGACCCTTGTAGTGCAGCGTCGCGCTAACATGGATATACGCGCCCTTCGATGCGCGGATATGATCGAGGGTGGCCTTGATCGTGTTGTAACTACCAAGCTGCAGATTCTCACGTCAGCGACCATCACACGACCTTCGCATTACACGCACCGTGTCGATGTCAATGACGGTTTTGAAACCCTTCTCCGAGAGGCCAGAGATGGGTACGAGGAAGTTGCCGGCAGCACCTGTACGCGTCCCAGAGGTTCATCAGAACAGTACTTGGCAATCTCCAGCATTGTAGCACCTACCACAAATGACGAAGTCGATCCTTCCAAACTTCTCAATGGTCTTCGCCACAGCGCTCTTCAGCTGCTCCGGCTCACGCACGTCCGCCTGGGCAGCAAGACACTGTCTGCCAGTGATCTTCGACAGTTCTGCCGCGCTCGCGTTGAGCCGGTCCAGTCTACGGTAGCAGTAGCTCAGCAGCAATACGGGGTGGCCTGACTCGCTAGCACTCACTTCCTACCGACAATTGTTGCGTTCGCTCCGTGGCGCATCTGCCCTCATTATAGCTCCGCTGTATACCTCAAGAATATCCGCACGTACCACAGCCTCCGTCATGCCCTTGCAGATCCCAGAGCCACCGCCCGTGCAGAACAGCACCTTGCCCTTGAATATGTCATTCTTGAAGACCGCAGACGAGTCTACGACGGGTGCGACGTATGCCTGGGGAGCCATGGCTGTTGAAGAGATGAACGAGACCGCCAGCGAGGGCTATACAGCGCTACTTAGCGGTCTGGTGAGTACATCATGGGCCGTCTCAACCGGACGCAGCTGATTGTGGCGGCGGCGGGGTCGGCGTCGTGCAGATGGCCGACCGACTCGGGCATCCCAGAAACAGACGGGAAAGACCCTCGACAGCGCCTCAGGCGCAGAGGCGGCGCGGACCTCGGACAGCGTGCCTTCGACGGACCGGGCGCGGGAGCGCGCCACCGACGATCGCAAAGACTCTCATGAAGCTCGCGGGCGACGACGGTGGGCATGCGCACGGTCAAGGTCGTTGTCATCGGTGCGTCGGGGGTAGGCAAGACTAGTCTTCGCAACCAGGTGCGTGGTCAACATCCTGAACGATATGTCTGTGCTGAGCCCTGTGAGCAGTACATTTCAGGACGCTTCACGACCGGATATCGCGCGACCATTGGTGCAGACTTCATAACGAAGTCTGTGCCGCATCATAGCTCGCCGGATGAGACGGTGACACTGCAGTTATGGGTGCGTGGTTTGATTTTGATTGCACGGGCGGGATGAGACTGGTGTTGCGCAGGATACGGCGGGGCAGGAACGGTTCTCGAGCCTTTCATCGGCATTCTTCCGCGGCGCGGACGCAGCGATCCTCCTCTTTGACGTGAACAAGCCCGAGACGCTGCAATCACTCGTACGATGGTGGGCCGACTTCCGCGAGAAGGCCCCAGTGCCGGACGAAGACCTGCAAGACTTCTGCTGCGTCGTCGTCGGGAACAAGATCGACCTCGCGCGGGACACACCCCCAGTGTCTGAGGCGGACGTTGTACACCTAATCGACGAGCTCGTACCTCCTCCTTCGCCTCCCCTAGCCCCAATCCTGAGCGTCACGCCGATCCCAGAGACAGACACAGACGAAGACACCATGCCGACCCCCATCGCCGCCCCGGGCACGCCGCCCAGCAAATCCATCGATATCACCGCGCGCCGCCCGCGGCGGAGCCTGCGCTCCGTCTCGCGCTCGCGGAGCCGCTCGACAGTCTTCCGGGGCGGGACGGTCGGGACGATGACGACGACGCACACCATATACCACACTCCGTCCTCCTCCGTCTTCGACCTCTTCGAGTCCGCGCTGTCCTCGCCCGCGCACACGACCATCTCCATGTCCGCGCGCTCCGCCTCGCCCGTGCGCTCCCCGTCGTATTCGCCCACGCGCGTGCCCCGCCGCCAGCCCTCGTCCTCGACGGTGTCGTCGGCGCCGACGATCACCCCGAGCCTCTTCCACCGCGAGCGCGCGCCGAGCCTGTCGACGACGCCCACGTCGGGCCCGTCCCCCGCGGGCTCGTTCTCGCTGCCCCCGCACCCGGAGCGCCGCCCGAAGCTGTTCTTTGCATCCGCGAAGACGGGGGAGGGCGTCGTGGACGTGTTCGAGTACGTCGCGCGGCGGGTGGTGATGCGCTGGGAGTACGAGGAGGCGCTCGATGCGCGCACGCTGCATATGCAGGAGGCGGACGAGACGATCCGCCTGACGCACGCGCACGGGGACCGCAGACGGCTTGTTGGGTCATGTTGCGGGACGTAGTCCATAACGTTAGACGTACAGGTGTTTCCTTTGGCTCTTGGCTATTCCTTATTCTTCCGTGAATCTATGTATACAAGGGGTCGGTTCGGACGTTTTCCTCCGCACATTCTCTGCCTGCTCGTCTCCTGTCTCTAGCTTTTGTACTACTCTGCAAGACCAGTCCATCGGTCCATTCGATTCTTTCCCTGTGGTGCCCGGGTCGTCTGTCTCCACGCTATCGCAGCTATATTCCTCAAAGATAAGTCCCGGATGCCGTCACAGCCCAGGAGTGCCAGATCCCATGTACGTATGACGGGATCTCGAGCGCGTGCTGGCAGATGCGTGGCCAGCGCAGATCTCGCTCGCCCTGACGATCCCACTCATGCGCACTGTTCTCCCACATTGACTCTGGTGCATGGCGCCTTGGGTATCACCGAAGATAGGCTCACCTCACCAGGGCTACCTCGCCCATCCCCGGGGCAGGGGCTGGATACTGCATGCGTGTGCTTCATATCGCCCTCCGGATTGACGAGCACACTAGCGCATGCGCCATCACTCGACATTGTATCTGAAATGGATAGGCAAGGACACATGACTGAGTCTTGAGCTATAGAACGTCCAGGACGAAGGCGTATCGTGGATCAGCTCGCCCTTGGCCGGTCTCGCGCCGTAGTCTTGTATTGGTCTTGTGCACCATAGGAAGCAGCAGGCCGTGGCCTCAACCGGAAACATGCCTGGACCGGGCCACCCCTCGATGTTGACATCCACTGCGAAGACCTCGCGTCCCTGCGCTCGAGGGATTACGTAGTTCATCAGTGCGCCACGGAGCTCGACCTGAGAAGATCCATATTTACCAGCCTGTATGCGTACAGCGCGTCTTGTCCGCGATGGTACTATCCGAGGAGAGGCACGATCTCGGCCAGTTCTCACCTCTGACAGAGTGCGGCGACCGGTGCCGGTCGGGTAGGTGCGCTGGCTTGCGCATTGCCCGAGCTCGAGCCTCTCGATCTGCGGGCCACACATGGTGATATGATCAACCAGCTGGTTGAGCTCGGTTTGCGTTCTATCAGAGCAGGCGCGGTATGAGCCTGCAGATGAGGCGTAGGTTTGGTCAGCGGTACTGCGCGGAACACTTGCCACGCCCATTGGGATTGCTTGACGACGATAAGTACCACAGGCCGGCGGAAGAAGGGCGGGCTGAATGCAGACTCGGCACGGGTTGTCACTTGACTGCTGCGAAGTCTTCGTCGATATGAAGCGTGGAATGCGTCCAAACGGAACGTCATAGGCGTTCACATAGCTCGCCTGGAATACAGACCCGCTGCGGCAGAACCGTCGCTGGCAGCGCGAAGGGTCGAGGGGGCCCGCTGGCGAGGCGTTCTCGTGCCGGGCGCGCTGCGAGAAAGAGAGTTGGTGTGAATACATGTACAGAGGCCGATGAAGGGCGTGGGTGTGGTGATGGGGAGAATTGGCTGGCCCGCGTTGGCCCGGCGCACAGCGAGCTGGCACAGCGGCCGCTGGAGGGAGGCGTGCTCAGAAATTGTCAGCGAGACAGAGCGTCCGAGGGGCTGAGTGAGAGAGTGAGCCAGGCTGAGCGGAGCGGAGAGCGCCGCGACCCATGCGCGACGCGACCAAACGCAACTTGTCCTCTCTCACCCACCCCCTCCCCATCAACGACGGCGGCGGCGGCGACTCGATGGCCTCCAAGCAAAAGAGCCTCTCTCCCTCCTCGTCGTCGCCGGGCGCGGCGACCAAACTCCCCAAATTCTTCCAGAAATCGGGCAGGGACCGTTCGAAATCCATTGCCGACACCGCCGCAAGCACGGCTAGCACCTCCTCGTCCTCGTCCTCCAGCCCCGCCCCCGCCCCCGACGTCGCCAAGTCCCGCAAGCCTCTCAAGAAGGTCCTCTCGCCGACGAAGGAGCGCGAAGAGAAGCACCGTGCTTCTCACGACACGGACAGCATCGACCGCGTCGAGGCGGAGACGCCTGCGGACGAACCCCCCGTCATCGTCGAACCCGTGAACATCCCGCGTCCCCGCACACGCGTCGACCGGCCCCCTACAGACCCCAGCAACACCTACCCGCAGGTCTATTATCCCTCCAGCTCCTCCGCATCCCGCCTCACTGACCTCCCTACCCGTCTCTCCGGCTGGTTCTCGCACACCTTCTCCACCTCCTCCACCGACCTCTCCCTGCCCTCCCTGCTCTCCCAGCAGCAGCACGCATCGAACACGACGTCCCCGCGTGGCAAGAGCTCCGCCCTCCTCACCGCTGCTCGCCACGGCAAGGGCCACCTCGACAAGGCGATGCGCTATCTTCTCGACAGCGATGCATTGCCCGATAAATGCTCAGACCCTATATGGCTGCTCGGCGTCGAGCACCCGGGCTACGAGCCAAGTCCGCCGCCGACGGCCTCGGCCTCGGCGCTGAGCGCGAGCGCAGGCTCAGCCGTCGTCCGACGCGGCTCCGCCGACTCGCGTCGTTCGCCATCGTCGCTCCGCTCGTCAACATCCTCCGCGCCCCCAACCCCGCAAGATCCATCGCCGCTCGATGCCTCCTTCTCGTCCGCACAACTCACGCCGTCGTCTCCCACATCAGGCAACAACGTGAAGGATCCGTCGAAGAACTGGCCGCCTGTGTTCTACGCCGACTTCACCTCGCGTATCTGGCTCACATATCGCTCGCAGTTCCAGCCGATCCGCGATACGACGCTCTCTGCACTTGAGACGGAGATAGGTGAGAACTATGCACCTACAAATAGTCCGCAACCCAAGCGATGGAACTGGCCGCTTGGCGGCGAGAAGGGATGGACGAGCGACGCAGGATGGGGTTGCATGCTGCGCACGGGGCAGTCGCTACTTGCGAATTCCCTGCTCCACTTACATCTTGGCCGCGGTGAGTATGCCTTGGCTCTCCAACCACTTCACGCTCATATCACCAACAGACTGGCGGCGGCCACCATATCCTATTTATACGGCGGACTACGCTACATACGTACAGATCATCACTTGGTTCCTCGACAATCCCTCCCCTCTAGCACCGTTTAGTGTCCATCGGATGGCCCTCATTGGGAAGGAACTGGGCAAGGACGTTGGGCAGTGGTTCGGGCCCAGTACAGCAGCTGGCGCGATCAAGTGCGTTTCACCCTCGTTTCCATGTGTTCTGACTTACAAGTTACATGACCATGCAGGACCCTCGTGCATGCATTCCCCGAGGCAGGTCTGGGCGTGTCTGTCGCTGCGGACGGGGGCGTGGTCTATCAATCCGACGTCTACGCTGTATCCCATTCGATGATGGGCTCGCCCAGAAGACACGCGCGGATGGGCTGGGGTGACCGTGCTGTTCTCATTCTCATCGGCATCCGTTTAGGACTCGATGGAGTAAACCCCGTTTACTATGATACCGTCAAGGTACGTCCGATCTTTGTGCGCGTGGTCTCGCTCACTCCATCTGCGGTCAGGCTCTGTACACCTTCCCACAATCCGTCGGCATCGCTGGCGGACGGCCGTCTTCTTCGTATTACTTCGTTGGTTCACAAACAGATAACCTGTTCTACCTCGATCCGCACCACGCCCGGCCTGCAGTCCCGCTTCGGCCGCCTCCCAGGTTTGGCGACACGCCGGCATCGAGCATCGATGGGTACCCCGAGCGGGCGACGTCACCGGACAACTCGTACTCATCTGACCGCGAGCGGGAACGTGACCGCCATCCACGCAAGTCGCATCACTTCCGGTCGCCCACCACGCCGACGTCGGTGCGGATGAGCAGCGGCTCCGGCGCCTCGAGCTTCTCACATCGTTCGTCGCCCGCGACGCCCTCCCCGCTCCAGCAACAGCTCTCCACGTCTTCGTCCAGCGCGACCTCGCAGTCATCCTCGTCGCAGTCGCACGCGCGCTGGCAGTCGTCGCCGAACATCCCGGACGACACAGACTTGGACATGCGGGAGTTGGGCGCAGACCTGGACCCGATACAGAGGCATTATGTGACGGCGTACTCGGCGACGGAGCTCAAGACGTTCCACTGCGACCGTGTGCGGAAGATGCCCCTCTCGGGGTTGGACCCGAGCATGCTCATTGGCTTCCTGGTCAAGGATGAGAATGATTGGCATGACTTCAGGAATCGGGTCGCTGAGGTGCGTTCGTCGCTGCCGCCATTTGCATCCTGACGCTGACACCGGGACAGCTCGCGAAGACGCACAAGCAGATCTTCTACATCCACGACGAGCCACCGAGCTGGCCGTCCGACCCGGAGGACAGCATCGGCCTCGAGAGCATTTCCGAGCCGGACATCGACATGCCTGAAGACGACGACGGCGACTTCTCTGACGGCCCGCGATCCCCCAGTGCCTCGCCCGACACGAGCGTGCAAGGTGTCGGCTCGAAGAGCGAGGCGGACACGGAGGACGACCCCATTGGACCTGTCACCCCAGGTCCCGGGACCGCCAAGTCGTCCTTCGATATACCCCAGCACGAGGTCATGGCGAAGAGCAAAGGCTCACTCGACGAGCCGATTGATTTCGACGACGAGGAGGACGAGGAGTGGATGGATCCCGCACCGTATCCCGAGGCCGAGCCGACGCCCTCGGTGATACGCTCCGAGCAGGTACACGCGCCGTCGATGAAGCCCTCGCTGTCGAAGGACTCGACGATGAGCACGGGGACGAACGGGAGCAAGAAGCGGAAGAAGACGAAGAAGGGGGGCAGGGAGAAGCAGGTGCCCGTCCCCGTGCCTATGCCGCCCGTGCAGTTCCCGTTCCCCGCGACGAGCCCGGACGACGACGGCTCGCCGCAAGACGCGGAGGACTACGAGGGGCGCGAGCGGGTGAGCACGGAGACGGGGAGCAAGCGGGTGCCGCAGATGCGCACGGCGAAGGCGCGCGATGGCGGACGGACGCAGAGCGGCGGAGTCAGGGGCGTGCCCGCTGACGACTTTGACGACTTCTGACTGTGATGTCAAGGGTGGCGGGTGGTCTGTGGTCTGTCCTGTGTGTATGGTCAGTCCGCGCGGTGGCCCCGCCGCCGATATGTTTTGTATAGGCGCATATGTTATGGTTCCTATGAGCTTCGGGCATACCGTTACAGTACTTATGATCACACTTGGTGTATTTTTTTGTGTTGGCATGCGCTACTAGATAGTGACATATCCCCGTTTCCCTCCCCGTCTCTCACCAAAGCAATGCTCAACTTTGCGCGGACTGATCGCCGCTGGATTCTCCCCACTTACGTATGGTGCCCCTTCTCATCATTCGACTTCGTGTATTTTGCCTTTGCGCGCCCCTTGATGCAAGCCACGTGTATTATTGTTCCCTAACAAGCACCTTGTCTTAGTCTACCAACAATATACCTCGTCTACTTTGGCTGTATGGAATCAGACACGGGCCGCAGAGCAAGTGCGGAACGTCGTGCGGGTCTGGCAGCCTAATGAGTGGAAATGATACCATATGTATTGTTGTCAGTGTCAGCAGCTTGACTTGCACCTTCCGGGCTCGACTTGTGTTGATTCTAACTCCTAGTGCCGGGCTGGAACCAGAAAATAGAGGAGATGCGGCGGCTGTGCACACGAGTGAACCACAGTAAAGGTGGTACGTCGGAGTCCGTACTACGTCCGTCCGACCTTGTTAAACTTATACTGGTACGGATTCAAATTCACCAGCAACGGTGGCAACGGCCCGGACCAGCCCGGACCCCCGCTCATGAGGCTGAGACTCCAATGAGACGCGTGTTACACGCGTGTGTCCTCCTCCTGAGTCCTCCTCCTCGGAGTCCTCCTTCGCACGAGTCCAACTTCCCATATCCGCTTTCTGTGGTGTTCAACTGCTGTCCACCTTTTGTCAACGAGTAAACACTGCTCTCTGCAATCCATATTTTCACTTGACTAAGTTGACCTGAACCAGCGTATCGGGAGTCCATCGATATCTTGAAGTACATACTCGATCGGGGGCTCCAAAGAGATCATGAACAAGCACGATGTAAGTGAAGGCAACCTATGATGACTCAGGCTTCCAAACTGAGTGAATCCGGTGTCCGACTCCGTCCCCCAGATAGATGCCAGTGAAGCCGCATTTCCTGTGGCTATCGACCCGTCCGACATGGGCGAACCGATCAACATTTTGAACAGTTTCTGCAACGACCTCCTACAAATCACAGAACCCATGGAAGTCGTCATGAACACATCTATCATGAGGTAGGGACGGTATCTCTGGCCTCCCATCATTCTCTATATGCTTACAAACCTGCTTTGTCCATAGGATGGGCCAGGTCGGTTAGGATATGCATGTTGAAGATCTACGGTTGAGTCAATCTCATTTGCAGCTCGCTCGGCTGAACAGAAGCTTGCAAGGCCCGAAGGGAAAGCTGGACAAAATGATCTGCATGCTCAAAAGTCTCCAGAACCACCTGTGCCCGGCGAACGCCTTGCCCCCAGACATATGGCGCGTAATTTTCACCCTGGTCATCAAAGACGTCTACGACTCGGCCGACGATATGCAACCGGACTTTTCGCAAACGTATGGGTTATCGATAGACGACGAACAGCTCGTTACCATCACCACCGTGTGTCGTTACTGGTACGACGTTTGTATTTCAACGCCATCCCTATGGAACAGCATCAACACCTATCATATTCCTCAACTCCAAGCACGCGTGCTCAAGCAACACCCTGACATTCCGTTGGAGGTCACAGTCTATGGCAGCACAGTTCCAACCCTAACGTCAATGTTTCCCAATCCCCCATGCAGATTGTTGTTGTGGTTTCGATGCTCTTGGAACAATGTTCGTCGACATGGGAAGTCCTTGTCGTCGGCGGGCGAGGTTCTCAAGACTTTGATACTGGATTCTAATGACGATGACTCGGACGACGACGCCGACAACAACAACGGAGACGGTGACGAATCAGACGACGACGAGTCGCAATTCGCAGCGCCTCGCAAGATCACTCTATTCGGTGACTCGACTCCCTGTCTGGAGACCGTCTGGCTAACCGGCCTTGCTTGGAGACCGATGAATCGCTTCATCACCGCCATCCAACTCCTCATAGACGACTGTGACTGGCCCAATCCAATCTCCAACATAATGGATCTCCTGAACGGCACACCGGCCCTGCAGGTCCTTGTCATATCGAGCACGCAGAATCATTGGGGGACATGGAGGGGCGAGACTGCCTTGATCGAAGCTCAAGGAAGGCCTCGTTTGGAGCGTCTTAGACGCCTTCACTTCCGCGACATCGATGGAGGCGAAGACGGTATAGCACTTCTGCTGTCGAAGCTAGATGCGCCCCAAGCCGTCGTTGTTGTGAACGACGCCCGTGCTTCGGAATCAGAGGCGCAGTGGCTCAGACTACCAGAGGCACTCTCTCGACTCAACCTCGAGCTCATGAAACCGACGAACATGGAACTCACATTCCACCTGAAGCTTTACAAGGTATTCGTCACGGTCATCGTCGCGAGCCGACACGGAGGGCTGCTTCTAAAGAAGAAGCATCTCCTTTACAACACTCCCGCAGACCGGAGCTATCGTTTCGCCAGCGTCTTCAATCTGTCTCAAGTGCGGGACCTTCGTTGCTTGGACCGCGTTCACGTCAGGCAGAGTCTCGTAGCGGTTCGGATGTGGTCCTCCATGTTGCCGGGTTTGGCGGAACTGGAGCACTTGATGCTCTACAGTCGCAGCGTATGGTATATAGCCCACGCGCTCAATGACGGTGACTGGCTTGCGCGAGTCAAGCCCCTCTGTCCACGGATGGAGCGAATCATCGTCCTCATGGAGTCGGACGCGAGGCCGCCTTTTGCAGACGTTATACTCAAGCTCGCGAGGATACATGAGGACATCCCTTTTTGCGGCGTCATCATCGCGTATCTCCCGGACTACGGAGACGAAAGGGTGTACCAAAGTGAACACGACAGCCTCCTGCCTTCGATAGAATATGTCGACTACGATGAGGTGCCACCGATGGAGACCCCATGGCATGATCACCTCGATTCAGTCGACTTCCACCTACCTTCGGCGTACTGGCCTTCGCTCGCAGAGTGGTCCAGGCCTTCGCTCGCAGAGTGGCCTTAGACACTCCATCGACCAGACAACTGTACTTCGTAGCAATAGCATCCGTCAGAAGAGCCTTGTCCAACTAGCGTATCAAAGCTGTACGTTGAATTGTGAGGTGTGGGTGTCATGTAAGATTAGCACTGATATACTAGCAATATACTTGATACTATAGATCATGTCGACGCCTGTCGTGGTCTAGTAGCCAACGCGCCGACCTTCTTCCTCATATCCTTTGCCTTCGCTGATCCCCGCCCCTTCGTCTTTCCAAAGATGATGACCTTGCCTTGCTCGCCCGCGCGCCCCGAGCGGCCGGCGCGGTGGAGGAAGTCGATCATGTTCCGCGGCTCGTCGACGATGAATACGTGCTTCAGGTCGGGCGAGAAGTCGAGCCCGCGCGAGAGCAACGACGTCGTGATCATCACATGCGGGACCTTGCTCAGGTCCGTCGGGGCCGGGGCCGGGGCGGGTGCCGCTGGCGCTGAAGCCTCGCCGTCCGATACAGCTGCAGGGGCCTCCTCGACGTGGCGGGTCTTGTCCTTCAGGAACCCATCGAGGTGGTGGTTAGACCCCCACTTCCTCGCCTCGCTCGTGCTCGTCAGCGCGACATTCGCGATGCCCTTCGCCTCGAGGTGCCGCCCGAGGTCCTCCACCTTCGTGCTCCTGTTGCAGAATATCAGCACCTTCGACTTGCCCCCGCTAGACTTGTCCCCGTTGGACTTGTCCCCAGTGTCGCGGAGCACGTCCTCCTGCCACACATAGCGGAGCTGCCGCTCGACGTCCGCGTTGCGGTTCCCGCCCGACCATGCGACGTACACCGTCTTGAGCGACTTCGGGAGGTGGTGCAGGTGCGGCGATGCGAGCCGCAAGAGCGCCGGGTGGTACGTGTCGAGGTACCAGGCGAGGGCGGACGGGATGGTCGCCGTACTGAGGAGCAGGTTGAACGGGTAATTGATGGGCGCGGGGTTCTCGGGGCCGACTTTTGATAGCGCTGCTTCGTCGAGCTGCTCCGGGGCCTGACCGCGAGCCTCAGCGATGGCAGAGAGGATCATCTTCGTGTGCTCCTGGAAGTCAGGGTCTAGTGGAATAGTGGTTAGCCACGCACAGCCAGCCGTCCATAGAGTAAGAGACGCACCGAAGAGAACGTCCGCCTCGTCAACCACGACCCACTCAATACGGTCGAGGCCCATCTCCGGCTTGCCGACAGTGAATGCGCGTGGCTTCGGCGCGTTCTTGTCCCACGTATCCTCGATGTTCGGCTGTTCACGATCCCAGCTGCGCCCCTTGACCAGTTCAAGGATCTTGGATGGTGTGCCGACGACCACATCCACAGGCCTGGTTATTTTCCGCTGCGTACCCTCCTGCAGCACAAGCTCGTCAAAGTCCATCTCCTTCGACATCTTCGACGCGGACACCGTGCGCGCAGGGGTGCTCGGATTATTGGCCTGCGAGACGCACAGCACGCGGAGCTTCACCTCATGGAGGAGGGCCTTTGCGAAACCAGAGAGCTGCCTAGAAAGTTCGTGTGTCGGCGCGAGGACGAGAGCACGCGGGGCTAGCGCAAATTGTGACGGGGGAAGCGAGGCGGGGTCGGATTGCATTTCGGATATCTTGAGGTCCTGCAGCATCGGGAGGAGGTACGCCATCGACTTGCCGGACCCCGTCTCGGATGCGAGGAGGCACTGTACGTACTCGACGTCCTCTTCGCTGAGCGGCGCGGATGAATCCGGCAGCGGTCGCTTGAAGAGGTGCTTGAGTGACAATGCTTGGATGGGCGTCGGCTGTGCGTGCGGGCCGAGTACGTCCACCACCGAGGTCAAGAAGCCTTCCATGAGCGGCGGCGACGCGAACTTTGCAGGCAGCTGGAGGGTCGACGCCGCCCGCGATGTCCTGTCGAACTCGTCGCTCAGCGGGTTGTGCACACGGGGCTTACGCGGGGCCTCCGTGTCTCTCGACCACTCCGTAGCCCTCCCCTGCCCGTAGTTCGCTGTTTTGTCCGTCTCCGCCGTTGCGTCCCTCCGCATGCGCCAGGGCGGGCCATGGTCCGCAACGTCTCTCGCTGGAGCCTTCTCTCCGCGGAAGTTCTTGCTCGACTGCGCCCAGCCCGTCGTGGTCGACCGTCGAGAGTCACCTCTCCTGCCGTCGCGCGGAGCCTTCGCCTCATACCTCTCCTCCCGTTCCCTCCGCCGCGTGTTCCACGCCTTATACTTCTCATTTGCCTCTTTCCGTGCCTGGAACATGTCGCGTACGCCAGGCGCGGAGTGGGGTACGGCATCTCGCTCAGGCTTCCTCTCAGGCTTCCTCTCGGGCGCGACGACGAGTTGGCCACTTCCGCGAGGTTTCAGTGTCTTGGCGAGCCGAGTGCGAGAGGGTGCAGCACTCGAATAGGCAGAAGCTGCCGCTGACGTGTGCAGACAGGCTATTACTAGCTCTGGAGGAAGCAGTGGTGCATGACGAGCGAGAGCCCGAGAGGAGGAAAGGAGCGACATGGATTAGACGTTGGGTAGTGAGGAGGATAGAATTCTCTCCCGCGGTCAAATGATGGTGGTGGCTTGGTGGAGGCCGACCTCGACGAGGAGGAGGAGGAGGAGGTGGACAAGAAACCGAATCGGAAGAACGGCTGGACATATGTAAGCGCCCATAAATTTACCGAGGCTACGCTTGGGCTACGAAATATTGGTGATCTGGCATGGTTGGTATAGCACCCTCAATTCCTTCCCTCAGGCCTCATTTCTCACTATGTTCTGCATAAACCACGACTGGTTATCTATTGCGGAAGCGGTGTGTCTATGGATGCCATTCGCACCGGCAGAGGGGCAGAGTCCGTGGCAGGCCTACGCTGACTCCGTTGCGCAAGGTAAACGCATATGTAGACCGACCAAGTGTACGGTCATATATTTTACAGTATGCTATGAGGTGTACCACCTGCTGTGGCATTTTGCTGGCGATAGGAACTGTGGATTGGTGCCGTCTCGCACATTAAGGCGGGGCCGAGTGTGTGGAGGACGCTTGTCACAAAGCACTAGCGTAGATTCTGTGCACTACAGGGCGCAACATTCAGTACTTTCAGGCGATATTGAAAACGATGCAAAACACACCATGCACGTCGTAAGATGCATCTCATTCCACACTCGTGCAATCCTTCTCCCTCACGCCGGAATCATCATATCTCCCCACGTCCGGATGGCAGTAATGCCACCAAAGAAGACGACCAGCCCCGTCAGGATACTGATGTTCCCGGGCAGCTTTTCAGGTGCCCAGACCTCCTCGCGCATGAATGCAGAGAGCTTGGACTCGTTCGGGTCGTGGAGGGCGCCGCGACGCGCGGGTGGGGCGGAGTAGTAGGCGGGGCCGGAGCCGGGAGGTGCAGAGCGACGGGCCATGGATGAAGTTGGTGGGTAATGGGCTGAGGAACGTCGACGACGGCGTGAACAACGTGAAAGACGTCCACCTTTGTGCTGGTGACGAGTGGGTGGTACCTGGACCCCGGAAGCACCCCCTATTACGGGGTCTCTTTGGCGCCTAGTTACATGATGGTACTTATGCGTCGCGATCGGTAGATCGAACATGGACAGCTGGGACCTACGCTGGCCTATGGACGGTCGCTCATTGAGCTTACAAGACGAAGTCACACACTTAGCATCACCAAACATATGTTACGATCCGGCAGGAGGACGCAAGGACATCAAGTCGAGCCTGACGACTCGGAGCCGCCTGACCTAAATATTATTCACATGCTTCCGATCCCCGAGACTGTCGGCGGGTCCTCCTCCTAATGAAAGGGAGTGGCGGGACTCGTGCTAGACGGTCATTCACTATATAGCCTTCTCGCTACGACAAGGTCCCCAGTCTCCTCAGGCTCCTCGTCTCCGATTATACCAGCTTACGACGTGAACTCGTCTCTACAAGGAGAAACAATGTCGCTCGCTGGTATCTCTACCGAGTTCCTGAAGGTCTCTTCCCCGGACCCTCACGTTGCATTGGTCGAGATTCTACGGTAAGGCAGCGCATATTCTCTGAAGGAACGCTGCCGACCGACTTTTCTATGCAAGCAAGCCAGTGAATGCCTTCAGCGAGAAGTCTGATCCCTCTGCACTCGTAATGTCACTCGCTCTCACGAGAGTTCCGCTTCGACAGGTGCTGGACGGACTTAGCCCATGTCTTCGACAAGATCTCTCACGAACCCACCGTACGCGTTGTCGTGCTCGCATCCGCTCTCCCAAAGCTATTCTCAGCGGGCATTGACCGTAGGCGCGCCGCTCCATTGACCCTTCTGACTACTCATCATCATTGGATAGTGAGCGCACTTGGCGGGCTCTCGCATGACTTATCCGACGAGCCGGCTAGACGTGCCCTGCAGCTGCGCGACCAAGTTCTCTCGTTCCAGAACTGCATATCCGCCATTGAGCGGTGCCCCTACCCCGTGATCGTCGCAGCTCATGGGATTGCGTACGGCCTCTCCATCGACATCATGGCTGCCTGCGATGTGCGGTACGCTGCCTCCAACTCCGTCTTCTCCATCAAGGTAAGCCTAGCCTATCTTCGTCTCGCCCCCTACACCGCTCAGACTGTGCTCCCAGGAAGTCGACGTCGGCCTCGCCGCCGACATCGGCACGCTCGCACGCCTGCCCAAGATCGCGGGCAACCACAGCCTCATGCACGAGCTCGCATATACCGCGCGCGAATTCTCCGCGGCCGAGGCGGAGAAGCTCGGCTTCGTCTCGCGCGTCGTGCAGGGCGGCCGTGACGATGTCCTCGCGGCGGCGCTGCAGACTGCACGGCTGATCTCGGAGAAGTCGCCTATCGCGGTGCTGGGATCGAAGCATTTGCTGTTGCATGCGAGGGACCACACGTATGTATTAATGGCTGACGGTTTGCTTGTGGTGCTTACATTGTGCACTCGAAGTGTGCAAGAGAATCTGGACTACACTGCTACGTGGAATAGTGCCATGCTCCAGACCGCCGTGCGTTTTGCGTTGACCTCCAATGAGCGGACCTCGTCGCTGACTATCTTACAGGACATGCAGGACCTCCTAAAGTCCGTGAAAACGAAGGCGAGGCCACAGTTCGCTCCTCTGGGAAAGCTACCGTCCAAGCTGTAATTACCTTCCATTGCATGTTTTGGTCTGTACGATCAGCAGCCGCGTATATTTGTGCGTATAGCACTTCTTCTCGCGACAATTGACTACTGCCTGAAGTCACAAGCTATGCAATCGCCTCTGCATAATGTTTTTTTGGACTTGCTTTACTACAGGCTACCACTGACCAGTGACCCGTCCTACACTGACGGTCTGTCCACTGAGTAATCGAAGGCCAGTACTACGACGGTGGCACTTAATCCGGAAGGGCACCCATCCCCGTATTGCGTCGAGCTTGGTTACGACTTCGTCGACTGGTGGATCCCGTGTTGACAATAGGTGTCGTCGACAATCCGGGTCAATCATGGACATAGCGACTGCTGTTCGCTCGCCGCTGTCCCGTCGTTCTTGCTATCCTCGAGCGCTTGAGCGCTGTGTGGTAGGGGGCGATTGGGCTGAGGCAGGCCAGGGTCAGGTTCTCTTGTTGTGTCATCTATATGGTATTCAAAAACGACAGCGGAAGTCTCGCGCGATCCGACTATCTAGGAACTCCTCTGCAGATCCCAGGTGATCTCCGACGCATCAACTTGGCTCATTGCCCGGCGGTTAATGATCTGCTCACAGAAGGGCCTCTGTCCTTCCGGGTTGCATGCACACATGAGGTAAGCCCCGATCAAGCTGTCTTCTGGAGCGATGAGAACATCTCAGTAACCGCACTCCTGACTGCATATAAAAGCCCTCGAGGACAATGCCAATACCGTGACGAGATCCCCCGTTCGAACCTGTACATGGTCGCGAAAATTGAGCCTTCAACGATACGGTCTCGATCCAAGGGAATGTCCATATTAGCGATGTTAACGAGTGATGACAGTCCGCACTCAATCTTGTAGCAACTAATACATGCCTCGCTCAGCGCCCTAAACAAGCGTCCATAGTAGTCCTAGGAAGCTGCCCCCCTTCTCTAGCTCCAGCAGTACTTCTGCATGCACGTCTCGCACACCCCGCTCCTCTCGACCCCAGCCTTCGCTCTGCTCCTGTCAACGACCGCGCACGCCAAGCACGCGGGCCACTCCGGGTCCTTCGCCCACACGCCGTCAGCCTCCGTCGCCATGCCCTGCGTCGTGAGGTCGAACATCTGCGACATCGCGGCCTCGATGTCGTCCGCCTCGAACGCTTCTTGGACCGTGGTGATGTTCGTGAGTGGTGCTTGGCCGAGCGGCGGCGCGCCGTTGGCAAGGTAGATGAGGAGGGGGACCGGGGAGGAGGAATTGCACCCGAAGAAGGTGGGGTGGGTGGTCAGCCCCTCGTCAAGCCAGGTCGCGGTGTCGGTGGGCACGGGTGGGAAATCGTAGGCAGAGAGGAGTTCCGTGCGCGCCTGGGCGGCCTGCACGATGAGATCGTTAGTCGTCAAAGGTCTGGATGCCGGACTTCGGAGAGCGACGCACGCTCACGACATAGCCATTGGCCCAGTTAGTAATGTTCCCGCTCTGCGAGACAAGTAGTCAGCACGATCGTAACATCCAACACTCCTGCTGATATCTCACACCATCAGTCGCCCATATCACGTCCACGCCCCTCGCCTTCGCCAGAAGAGGTGTGAACGGGATCCCTTCACCGTCGTCGCCACCATCGACTAGCGCAAGCTCGGTCGCATTCGAGTCGAGGTAGGTCCCTTCATTAAGGCCGTAGAACGGGTTGGGAACTCGAGAGGTGACGAGCCAATCGAGCGATTCCGTGTCGTTGCTCAATTGGGTGAATAACTCCAGCAGGGGCGTCAGCAAGTTTGTGCCGTTCAGGAAAGACTAAATAGAGAGGAACACATGTCAAAAGAGATGGCACTATGCACGAATAAGTCAGACGCACCGTGTAGTTGAAGCTGCTGAATATGTTCGAAGACGTCGCAGCAATGAAGGAGAGCTGGTCGAAGCCTACCGTGCAGGTATCGCTTCCAGGCTCGGTACCAAGGTATTGCATAGGCGTGAACGCGGCGAGGCTCGGATCAAAGGAGCCCATCTCATCTGCGTGGCGGGATCAGAGAAGCGAAGCCGCTGTCAGTGACTGTCAGTGTCAAACGGTGGATACATACAAACGCTGAACTCGTAGACTGGGTTAGTCAGAGGGACGTTGTCATCCGAGTCCGGATAGAGGTTGGAGAAGTTCGCACTCCAGGAGCGCGAATCAGCCACGACGATGGGAAACGGCTGTGAGTAGGATACGAATGTGGATCTAGATGCGTGCTTCGTTAGCGAAATGCTCACAACGGATAATGCATACGCACAAATTAGTCAAAGACGAGAAGGTAATGCCAGCGCCGTGCGGGAGGGACGAGTCGAAGTAGTTATTCGCGCTCGTCCCGTTCGTGAAATGTCTCGCCAGGATGCGCGCCCACAAGTCGACAATACTGACAGGGTACCCAGCGAGAAGCTTCCCCTGGATCTCCGTGATCAGACCCAAGTCATACGCCAGCCCCTGTACCGTGTTTGAGGTAGGCGACGCGAGTGAATATTGCGCATTCCAGCCTCCCCAGCCCGACACGTCGTTAGGCTGGAACACGAGCTCCGACAGAGTCGGGAAGTCCGCCTGGGCGAGGGATGTCACCAACCAATTACCGCCAGACAGACCGGTGATGTAGGTAGCAGCCTGGAGCAAGCCGCCGGTCCCCGCCTCTATGGCTGAAGCGTTCCGGCCGTCGAGGGCGTTCAGCGCACCTGCGCCAACGATCGCGGCGCGGTAGCCGCCCCCGCTAGTGGCGATACCGAAGGTCGGGTACGCGCTCGAGCCGTTCGCGCCGCTGAGGATGTCGGAGACGTAGGACGGAAGGGCGGAGACATTCCGCGCCTCTATCTGTTGTTGGACGGTGGTCAGGTAGCTCTGCCACGCAGAGGGGAGCACGAGAGTTTGGCGGGAGGATACGTAGGCTGACTCGGAGGGATTGAGCGACTGGGAGGTACCCGTGCCGGCGAGACGGACGAGAGAGGTGTCCGGTGGGCAGGCTACACGAGTTGGTGTGTACGCTTCCGCTGCGGCCAGTTGCCCCCTGACAAGGAGTGGTGAGAATAATGGATATCCAAGAAAAAGAAGCGACAGCATAATGAGTGTAGGCCTTGCCGGGGGAACAGCGCGAGGGATCGTGTGTAATGTCTCGCCATCATTATATACTTACGGCGAGTCGGCGACGCGACTGATCGACTGCGAATCCGAGGACCGATCGACGGACGTTGTGCGGGGCAGCCTCGGAGTTGCCTGTTACGGCCTTCTTTCGCCCTTCGACACCGAGCTTCGACAACACTAGGCGGGTCGACACATCAGAGCATCGTAAGCTCGTACGAATCCGGCACCGAACGAGCGACGGCATGAGTATATCACTGCAATATTGGTCAGATTTATTCACAGAACAATGCAGGACCCTGACCGTCCTACGTTTTGCCGTCACTATTGGCAGTCCTGAGAATCGAGATACAGCGATCTGCGCGCTGTCGCAGAAGCCTCAGCTAGCCGACTACGTACAGACTGCGGCCATAAGCCCGTCATGTCCAGATCATTGACATGATTAATGCAGACCAATCAAGCTGTATGACGGAACAACGTTTCGACCGCTGATGCAACTTACGTGTGATTTTAGGTCGACTGTGTGCGACTGTACCGCTGAGGCAGCCGCGGACCATGAGGCAAACTATATGGCAATGGCAGAAATAGAGTAAGAAACAAGTGGGGGATTTGAGCAACACACATGCACTGGGAACTACTCACCCAGCTCTTTAGGCCCATTGAGATTGCCTGAAACGCCTTGTCGGGACTAAATGATATCATGTCTCGGAGTCGTCAGTTGAACTCACACCTTCGGGCTGACTGATGAAGACTGCGAGAGCGATACTGAATTAACAACGTACCTATGATACACAATGGCAAGGCGCGGCCGTCGTAATGTGTACAGGTGATTCATCAGCACATACAACAAAAACATGGTGGTACAACAGACAACATCAGAGTAGGTACCAATTGAAGCAAAAGCCCTAGACAAGGATCAGCACGGCCCGCCGACCGTTTGAATATACACAGCGGTGATGGCTACGCCAAGCGAGAACGCGATGACAAGCCTAGTCACCTCAGAGCCATCCAGACCATCAATAACAGTCTTTAGCTTCTGCAGCCCCACAGCTGCACTAACGCTGCCGTTCACGACATCCTGCTTGTCCGATTGTAGCAGCTCCTTGCCTTCCTTACCCCACTCTCCGCGCGGCGGCCCGTGCACCGGTGTCGTTCGGCTAGTGTGTGCAGCCTTCATGGCGGGGAGGCCGTCCATGCTCTTCAGATTCTCCTTGATCCAGTATGCCTTCAAGCCTTTCTCGGCAACGTGCGGCTTGGACGAATCAACGATGTCGTTGGCCACGCCATGCTCTCGCTCGGCGGCCTCTAGCTGGGCGCACCAGTTGTACAGGGTCGGGCGGTGCGAGAGGAACGCGTACTGCGGGACGCCGAAGCCGCACGACTGAGCAACGGGTGAGGGACAGAAGGTGCAAGATGCAAGCAAGATACGCACAGTGCCGACTTTGTGGATATCAACTACAACCGCGCAGCGCGAACCGGGGTGGCGGACATCAGGGGGAAGCAGCTCCTCATACTCGGGAGTACCAAACTCGAGGACTCGACCTACGGAACAGTCAGCATCTTGGCCAGGATTACTCAGCTGTTCGTGACAGACCATGTCCGAAGAGCCGCATGATTCGAGGGGCGCCCTCGAAGGCGCAGAACATGATAGTCATCCGACCGTTGCCCAGTTCACGGAGGTGGGCCATGGTCTCGCTGCCTACAATTGTGGTATGCGGTCGTGAATATTTGCAGCTCGGACGAGAACGTATGGACGCACCGCTACCCGTCATATCCTCATACCACACCTGACTCTCACTCGCAATATGCAGTGTCCCCTTGAGGCCCTTCGGTGAAATATTGACATGCCCCTCTCCGCCTAGGGGTGCGGAGGCGACCCAGAACATCTGCTGAGCCTCGATCCATTTGATGAGGTTGGGGGGTATGGACTCGTAGAATTTCCCCATGACAGATCTCGGTCGAGCGACGAGTAAGTTCTGAGAAGCCAAGCCACCCCGAGTTCATTATATACAGCCGTGTGTATGTGGCTTGCTAGCGGCTCGCGAAGTTGGTCGGAGTCATCCAGTGATCCACGAGCTGTCCACGAGCACCACCGTGACCGGATGACTGAGAACAGAGAACGGCTGAGGCTAGGGTCCTATCACATTCTTTGCGCCAGGACCACAAGCCCGCCGGTTTGAGTGTCAAGCTTAGCTTCCAGTCAAGCTTCGAGTCCCAGAAAATCGGAGGAGGTGACTGTAGCTGGCAGTCAATCGTCAACGACACGGACCACGTGATTAGAGCAATGTCAACTCTTGTCAACTTACGCCACAGTTGCGCCACCGACGGCCCACCGTGGGTCCGTAATACTAACCTTCCGTAACACGAGTGACACTGAGCAGTGAGTACCACAAAGTTCTCAAACTACAATTATTTCCCAGGCCCTTGCCATCTCAAGCACTGCACTGGCAAATATCGGCTCGCAGCATATGCAGAGCCTGGGGATATCGCTGCCGCGGCCCCGAGCAAGTGCCTGCCAGTGGCAGAGTCCCTCAACAGATTTGACAAACGCTTCGAGCAAACTCATGATTGGCTCGAATGCTGATCCCCAATCAGGTTCAACGCGATCGATGACGCTCGGATGCAGACTAGACGCAGACTCAGATGTCCGGCGAGTTCTTGCAGTGGAACTTCACTCCGTATCACTGCCGGACTCGGCGGTGCAAAGGCGGCGGCGACTTCGAAACAGCGTGAAACAGGTCGTTGAGCCCTGACATATTCTCGATTGCTGCGTCGCCTCTCTTGTCACCTGCGAGACACACATTATAGGTACAGCACCTCGCAGCTTGCTCTTGACGTCGTTCGACGTCCTTCCCCATCGTGTTGGCAAGCCCTTCTGACTACCTGTTCGTGAGCAGCGGTGACAGCCGAGTCGACGATGGCCATCTCGTGAGTCCAGCTGTGCAGACTGTGAACATATGGCACGCTCACTCGGCCTCGAATTTGTCCTAGAATGCAAAATCAAGCTACGTCAGACGCGATTGAACTCGCCAGGCTCGGGTATAAGCAGGAATTCAAGCGCGCTTTCTCTCCACTGCATGTCTTTGGACTCGTTTTCAGCATATTCGGGTTATTCTCTTCGATCTCGTATGTTTCTAATCGCGAGGTACACCATACCGCGTACGTAACTGACAAAACTTAGATCAGTTCTCGTATATGCACTTCCCTACGGAGGGCCCGTGGCTATGGTCTGGGGCGTGAGTACCATTCAATACTACTCGTGTCTGACGAGGAACTAAAACACATCGCATCTGCAGTGGGGGGTATGCAGTTTCTTTCTCCTGCTAGTAACGATGTCACTCGCCGAACTCGGCTCGGCTGCACCTACCTCTGGAGGCCTGTACTACTGGTCATTCAAGTTTGCATCACCTCGATGGCGTAGACTGATATCATGGATCGTCGGGTGTAAGACCAAATGCTTGTCGTGTCGAAATCGAAAATTGACATTGGAAACGTTTGCAGATTCCAACACGATCGGTCTCGTCGCTGGTGTCGCGTCGACAGAATGGGGATGCGCCGTTCAGTTGATGGTCGGGAACTCCCAGTCTACCTTGATGACCTTGCTCACAGGACTATCATAGGCGGCTGTCAGCATCGGGTCCGGGCAGACATGGTCCGCAACGACAGGACAAACATAGTGAGTCGCATGTTACCGCAGACTATATGGGCGATGACTCATGATCCTCCAGTGCCGTCTTTTTGCTACTACTGTTGCTGCATGCTGCTACGACCTCCCTATCCACTTCAATCATCGCGCACCTTCAGACCGTCTACGTCGTTTTGAACATCGTGTAAGTACCTCTTCGCCCGAGGTGGTCCTATCTGTGAACTGGTCCATATCCAGACTCTGCCTCGCGATCATCATCGCCTTGCCTATCGCGACTCCCGCGGAGTTCAAGAACAGTGCCAGCTACGCATTCACCGGGTTCGTCAATTGTGAGTCGCGCAGACCGGTGTCCCGACGTAGTCTTGACATGAAACTACTGCAGACAGCGGCTGGACGGACGGTTTCGCCTTCGTTCTGAGCTTCCTGGCGCCGTTATGGACGATATGTATGATCGTGTTCACCACCCGGCGTGTTATCGCTGACCCAAATGCAGCTGGTTTCGATTCGGCTCTCCATATTAGCGAGGAAACCCACAATGCTCGCTTCGCAGTGCCCCTCGGACTCGTTGGTGCAACAGCCCTCGCCGGTGTGATGGGATGGGGTGAGTGCTAGCACCACAGGAAGTCAAGGTGATGCTGATGCCGCGGAACAAGCAATCAATGTTGTGCTCGCGTTCAACATGGGAAAGGACATCGATGGGCTTCTGGACAGCCCAATTGGACAGCCGATGGCAGCAGTGAGTACTGAACCCCACTACAGTGCGATGTAGATGAGATGACGCGGTACCATAGATACTGCTGAATAGCCTCGGACAGAAGGGAATGCTGGCGATATGGTCCATTGTCGTAGCGGTGCAGTACGTCGACGTCTTCGCCTCAGCTTTATGATGCTTGACTTGCAATCGTACAGGTATATGGTGGGCACGAGCTGCGTAAGTCCCTGTCCACTATACCGCACGACGCAAGAGTTGACCCATGACGAACAGCTCGTTGCCTCTTCTCGCCAGACATTTGCCTTCGCGCGCGACGGCGGTCTACCCTTCTCGCGCTTCCTCTACCGAGTCCATCCTCGCACTCAAACTCCGATAACGTGCGCCTTCGCGGTGGCATTCAGCTCCGCGTTGCTTGGATTGCTGGCCTTCGCTGGTGATGCAGCCACATCTGCTCTGTTTGAGCTGGGTGTTGTTGGACTCTACATCGCGTACATCGTCCCGATCGCGTGTCGATTCGCGGGAGGAAAGGCATGGGTACTCGGCAGGCTGGTGAGATTGAAGTCGCGGAACGTGTGGCGCGCGTGCCACACTCAAGACCGGGCATATTTCGTGAGACTGGGTGTATTCTAGTGTCTAGAGGAGACGCGAGGTCCTCGTATGTAGAGGACTCTGTGCGGTGGCTCCGCAGGCGCTCGCTCTCGCGCCGGCGCCAAACTCGCCTTCTGGAATCTGCGCCTCTCCGTCTGCCATGTACCACCATCGACTACATACATCGCTCTGTACTTACTCAAACGACCCCGTCTCACCCCCGTACTAGTCTCCCCGCCGCTCCTGGCATGCGCCCCCAGCAACCGTTCGCCGTCAATTTGAATACGGGCCCGCCTGCTCAGCACGTCAAGAGAAGATGGCCGGCGGCAGTTTTGGACCAGTGGAGAGCCAAGTCTGGAAGTCTCGTACGCAAGGAGGGCGCGTTGCACAGCCGGTGAGTAACTGCTGAACGTCGTGTTACGTCGCTGACCTCCACCCTGCCTCCTCTCCAAATCACGTTTGTGACGACACTTGGGCACCCGTCCGATCATTCCGCCTCAGTCCACAGCCTGAAACTCGACCAGGGGGCGCCATGAGCCGGACGAGCCAGTCGCGCGATGCCCGCCCTCGCATGTCATTGGCGGTGCGGACGTGTTGATGCATGAGGGCGCCGTTGCGTCGAGCTGCGCGAGTTGCCGGTAATTGACCAAGGCGTTGAACTGTCGACTTGTGAGTCCCGTACATGGTGACGACAGCGCGAGCTGACCGGAGTTTGTTTGCAGGAATGGCGCAGGGCCCGGTACGTCTACAGAAGATGGTGGCTTGCGCGCGCCTCGCACCACCAACGCCCGCAACTCCTGGGGATTGCGGTATTGATCGGATCATCGGTGGGGTGGATCAGGGTGCCGTCGCGCCAGTTGCTACGCGCTCCAGTTGCCCAGCCGTCGATTCGTTGACTCTTGGTGTCCGCGCACCGCTAAGGATGGTCCTGGACAACTTGCGCTGACTGGTCGTCACAGTAGCGACGCGGATCCCGGCACGTTCAAAGAAGACCGCCAATCGGCAGTGCGAGCTTGCAGGACCAACGTCTGCTGGACTTGAGCATTGCAGCGGCGTTGTGTCGTGCAGCCGGTATGTAAAGCTGTGGATGACATCGTCGACCGGAGCCACCTCGTTGCGCTTGCCTCGTCCTCCACCTCCACCCCATGAACGACACGGCACGCCGCACGCGGGGCAGGTGACCATCCTCCGCGCTGCCTACGTCGAAAAAGGTTGACCAGGCGACGCTATCCTCGCCCGCCGCACGACTACTCGCGGCAGGCGCTTCGCCCCACATGACCAACAAAGCGGACTGGTCAACATGCGAGCGTGGCCTTGTACGTCGTCGTGTCCGGTTTCCCTTCCAGTGCAGCCGCACAGATTGTCGTGTACGGGCCCGTCTCGTCCTTCCTGCGCGAAGCCGACCAGCAGCCACCGGACAGCGATCGGCGCAAAGTGCCGACCCCGAGACTCGACGCGGCGCTGTTGACCAAGAGCAATAGAACTGACGAGCTGAACACGCGGTTGGCAGTGCGTCCAGTCGGTGACCATCGCAATCGGGTGACGCGCCTCGCAGAGGGCGTGTCCGCGTAGGGCTGATCAGGAAGCGGTAGGTGCACTTTTGTTTGCGTCGTGTTCAGTCATTGATGTGTGTCCCGTGCGTGTCGAACCGGGCGGACGTCAGAGGAGACCGCGCTGCGCCAACTTGAATGACCATGACCGCGAGATGCGCGCAGTACAGCAAACGTAGCACATCGCAAGTGCTGCAGCTCGTCTCTTGCCATCGCAGGGTCGTAGAGGTAACGAGCGGTACGTAAACCTGCCGCAGGTTCGTGAACATGTTGCTGGCCTCGCCATCCTCCACATAGTCCGACCCACATCCCGACGCTGTCTTCCCTCGCGCAGTGGCCCAGCGTCAGTGCGTGCGGGGGCGAGGTGCCTGCGAGCAACTCGTACGCTCTCTGACTGTACACGTGCGCAAACATGACGACGACCATCTCCGAGCCGGGCTCGCTCGGGGCATCTGCTACGAACGCCGCCTTGTCTCCGACTCGGGAGCAAGACGCGCCGTGTACGTGTGGTCGACCTTCCTGCAGGCGCGGTCGAGGTACGTCGTGCGTGACCGGGCAGCAGACAAGGCTCGGCGAGACGAGACCATTATGTGCAACTCGACCATGAGAAAAAGGACCGGGCCAAGATCTGCGTCCCAAGCGTCAGGAATGGACATCCAAAGGAGAGTGAGCCAGGAGTCGATGGCAGACGCGGCATACCCCCAGCGTACTGCGGACGCGCGCGCGCAAGGAGAGCCCACGCGCTGCTGCACTCTGTCTGGGGGCTGTAGCACGACCAATGATCGAGGCCCGGCGGTTCACGTTCCAACGATGCCGTTCGCTGTCATGGGCGTATGGTCTGCTTCTGCTGTGACCAGATCAGGCGGCCTGTGCTCGAAGGCGTTGTCGTCTACAAGTGAATCACTGCAAAACCGGCTGCTTAGTAGTGCTACACAACACCAATGAAACCGAGAGCGCGTACCCGCTGTGACGCGGAATTCACGCGCGTGAGGTCCTCGCTGTCCAAGACCGTTACGTTTCTCCGTTTGACTGACCAGGGCTCAACCGTGCGGACCATTTGCAGGTGTTGCTGACATGATCGTGACGTTGTACTGGCCGGGTGAGGTGACACCCGCACTTTGAGCCCCTTGGCCGGAGCGAGGCAAACAGGCTCAACGCACCGGCGCCGCAGATGCCAGAGTCCCTCGTACGGTATAGTACGCGCCCTTCGGGGTGCGTTCACGGATGTCGGATCCCGACATTGTGCTCGTCGCGCGTGGTCTGATTGCACGCCGTGGGGTCTCGTGCAGAGCTCTTGGGATAGTGCAGTGATGTGAGTGTGAGTGGCGCCATCTTGAGCAGGCAACGAGATTGACTGAACATGTTCACACTTGTCAGCCTTCCCATTGAACAGGAGCTTGAGAGAATGTACGTACCTAGAACATGTGTATGACGGTTGGTCTCCACTCTCACTGGCACGTGTGAAGGACTGGTGGGGACGAGGACTCAACCATGAGCAGATGCCCTGAAAGTGGGAAGGATACGTCCTACTAGGCTGCCAGTGAGTAAGTAATAGAGAATATGGCCCTGAAACCTGAAGACCAGAATCACCAGATGGCCTATTGTGCAACGACAGGCTGATCGGATATGTGCATAATAGTGAGACTCTGTAGACATGTCAACAGTAGATTGTCTCATTGCTTCGATTTGTGCACATCTCATCTGTTTCTTAGTTACAACAGCGCTCACTCGCTTCTCACAGAGACCGGCATGCAATCACCGAGGACTTCCGGGCTCGGATCCTTCCTCCTTAGTTACCCGCTGCTGCTCACACTTGTCCGAGTAAGGACGTGGCATTGACATATTTGGCTAAATATGTCGATGCCACGTCCTTACATCGTACGACGTGAGCAGCTAGTGCTTCAAGCAGATCGGTAAGTTCTATATCCTATTCAGTGATTATATCTGGTGTCTTTGTTCTTTATGGAGACTACTGGACGTCAAGGGCTCAGACTATTACTGTACATATCGGGCTGAACCCTGCCGGGTCATGGGGTAAGTGACAACAGGAGCAGATGAGCATCGCAGCGGCACTTTGCAGATGCAGACACAACTGCAGATATGTTCGCACTCTCACGGTCACTGTTGCTTACTGCGCCGGTCGGCCGTCCTCGTGCACTTCGTCTTGGTACCGGTGGAATGACGCACTGAAGTGAAGATCCGTGGCTTTGTATCACTGTAATACAAGTTCAAGTTTCCGTGCTTAAAGTGTTATTACAGTGTCGGAAAACGAGCTGTCGGGATGATAGAATACCGTTGCTCGTCCAAGTCAAGCCTCGCCGTAGTACTACTAGTAGCAGTTCTGGACCAATGTAATGTACTTACTGTTAAGTAGTACTAGTAGTATGCCGATTCCCGAACCATAACTACCATTGACCACCTTTGGAGAGAAGCTACAACAGCAGAGCAGGATTCCCAGAGAACCTGTGTGGACGGTGTGAATACTGATCGAGAGTCGAGACAACGTACAGCACCTATTCAAGCCATGCTCACTGAGCTACGCGTGACAATGCCAGTGAATGAGGCATCTGGTGAATATACAATGTTTATCAAGTAGATATGGTCTGAGAGAACATTGCGATTGCATCAGGCCTCAGATTTCGACCTACGCCGTGCATGCGGCTGACACGCTGTATTTTTTGCTTGGTTCATAAGTGCAAAGCGACGCCGTTGCGATCCTCGACAGCATCTGCTTGTCTGGGTATGTACGGCTTCCCATTTCGAACCACCAAATCCGACTAAGACCTACAGCTACTGTTTGCTGCCAACTTCGCCAGCCGAAAATGACCACTAACCACAATGAATCTGGTCAGGTTGTCAACCACGTCGTGATCTGGATCGCACTGCTCAATAAAATATATCTCAACGGTCAATAGTTCCACACAGATGAGTCTCGCACCACTGGTACGGACCCGCCGCCGTGCTTGACTGGGATCGAACAGGAAAGGCTGGACTTCTCCCTGCTCGTCTGTCTTAGCCACTGACATCTTGTCCAACCGGCAGACAACAAGCACGTCGCAGTTTGCTTGCATGTCATTGTGAAACCACCAGGCACTCGTCCGTCTCACTTGACGTCGAGGGCCTCCTTGTCCCGCACTGTGTCTCGACATGCTGGTTCGTTGGAAGACTCGTCGCCGTTGCTATCTGCACGGCTACCAGCCAATAGCCTGTTGTGTGTTACAACGTCTCCGTCTCCATACAGACTGCCTGCTCTCCCTCAATCTCAATGCCCGCGTGCCGCAACATCCACCCGTACTCCTGCATCGGCGTCGATTGTCTCGTCACGGCGCATCGGCCGCTGCTCTCCTCGCCCGCGCCGGTCAATCCACGATGCGTAACGCCTTCAGACACATCGCGCCCGGTCATCGCTCATGTCGCAATGGCTATCACGAAGACGAGATGTCTGACTGTCAGTTGCCGTCGTGCGGATCGCCGCTAGCGCGATCGGAGGAATGTCGCGTACAACTTGTTTGAATACTAGCGTCCCGCCTTCTGTGTTCATGTAAGCCGCATCAGGAACGAAAGACGGGCGGCCTACCAAGTCCCCGTTCCATTTGCGGTCGTCAATGGTCAATCCCGCACATAGATGGGGGCCGAGCGGCATGTATATCCTGGTTGCATAACCTTGCTGTCTGCTCAGCTTGAGATGGTACGTCGGTGCTTCAAACAGCGGCGAGGCAGCCGTCAAAAGACTGCTCTGCATGCGTCCAGTTGCACAGCGCGGACTCGTCCCAATTCGACGAACACCGTCGCTTGTGTTTCTGTGTTAATTCACCATTCTTGCACGAACTGCCATGTCGGAAACTCGTCGCATCTCGCGACGGCATTTGCGCGGACGTCGCACGGCGGCCATCGGTTGCATGACAATGGTGCGGCCGATCCCGCATGTCTGCATGTACCTGCACTCGAGAATCAGGTACGCAAAACGCGGCAGATGCGACATGAACGTACACGTCGGTGTCCCACAAACGGCGGCGCGCAGCCCATCTCACTAGCACTTGCCCATTTCCGCAATCTGCGTCGCTGCCGCACCAACGCTAGACTACAGGACGTGGCAGCCCGACCTCGCTGTGCAGAGCCCAGTGCCGCGACCCGTCAGCGAGGCTTTACGTCCAGAGGCAGGTTCGCGCTCTGTGCCGACTGCGTCCAGCTTGCCAACGCAGCGCGCCCGCAGAATCTGCGACGAGCGCGCATAACGCACGACGGCGTCGGACTCGCAACCTGTCACATCCGGTGTGGCAACGACGAGCGCCGTGTACGAACACCCGGACCAGGCCCGCGTCGGTTAGGGATCCGCGGGATGGTTGTTAGGGTTCCACCGGAAACGATCTCGTTAGTGCGAGGGCCGCTGGGGCGATGTCGTGGGATCTGGGGCTGAGGACGAGGATAAAAGGGCAAGCCTGGGATCGACTTGCTACAGGCTCAGTCCCTCCCGTCTCTGCGTTTCGCTTCTCGCGGCGGGTAAGCCCGTTTCTACGTGGTCGCGGATCACTGACGTGCTTGTCTACCGGGTATTAGATGCCCCATGGTTGCGTCCGCGGTTGGACGGTTGGTGCACAAGTCAGCAAGCTAGGCAGAGAGGTCCCCGCTGATGTGAGTCCGCGGTCACTACACGTTCGCAGAGACACTCACTGATTGGCTTGACGTGCTGGCGAGGAGGCGTTGCAGAGGGACTGGTACATTGAGTAATGCGCGTCGGGCCCTGTCCGGTATACCGCAATGTTACGTTCCAGGTACGTAGTATCATCCTGACATTGAGGTGGTCATTGATGAGGTCGCCCAGCAGATCTCACGAGCCGCAATGTGAGGGGCCGCTGTGCAACTGAGGGGCGGTGGACGGCGTGGGCATAGATAGTTAGTACGTACCTATCATGCGTGTTGACGAGACGAGGGTGACTGGGAGTGTTTCCCGCAGCAGGGTGGCCATCTCGCCAGCATGGTGCTGATTGCGCATCCGTGGATTTTGACGTCACCCTGACGCCGGACGAGTGTTGACCGATGTGCACGCGTTGCGCGGACATGATGCGGCTGTGTTGGGACCCGGTCGCTACGTCGCGTTTTGCGCACTGTTGGGATGTCGCGCCGGAGGGTCCTATGGCCATCCCGCCTCATTCTCGCTTCTGTGTCTCGTCCGCGTCTCCGTCTCGCTGCCCTCGTTCTCGTTTACCTATTCTCCCTCCTCGTGAGCATCATCTTTGCTCGTCACTCCTGGCATGCCTCATTCTCGCTTCTCTTCCTTATTCGCCATGTTTTCACTTCCCAATCCTAGCGTGCCGCATCCTCGCTTCGACTTTGTACAGCCCTGTCCCGCCCGGCTTGCCGACATACCTCATCCTCGCTTCCTCCCTTGTCCCCATGGTCGTTTAGGTCAACTCCGTGTCCCGCCCTATGTAACACGGGCAAGTCCGCGTACTCGCACGAAACGTCGGCACGGGAGGTAACACGGCGTGTAGATCTGCCGCCGCACAGTAGTCAGGCGGGCGCGATCGTGTGCGCAGAGTAGTGTACTACTTATGTAGCCACGATGAACGTGCTGTGCCTATTGATCAGAGCGCGAATGCCAGCAATGATCCTGCAATCTTGTACACGGTCCACGGCAGGCAGCACATGTTGCGCCGCCGGTGGCAGATATGTTTGGACTGGGCAGTCGGCGAGAGGCGGGAGAGGCGAGCTGGTGAAGTTCCCAGTCGCGCGGCACTGAACATCGCGCGGCGCCATGTCCCGCGCGCGGAACCGTTTCAGACGGATGGCGCGTGTTGCGTACGCGCCGTACGCACACGCACAATGCGTCGTAAACGTGTTCCGCGACGGGAGCCAGCCAGCTGGTCGCAGCAAGTGCCGTGACGGCGTACTGTAGTGCGAGTCACACAGGGAGCAGGTAAGAACGTAAAATGGGACGTACTTCGGCGGTGTGTACACTGCACGTCCTGGGACGCAGCATCTGCGTGCAGTGGCCGGGAGCGGCGGGCGAAGCGAGCAGGAGACGGAGGCTGTGGGCGCTTTTGAGTGGGCCGCACAGAACGTTGCACAGCGCGGTGTCCCGTGCACCAAGTCGTGTCCAGTTGCCCACCAGGGCTCGACACGCGTCTTGAGGACTTGTATGCAGCGCTACATGGCCGCAATATGGCGCGGCGCAGGGTGCCAGAGGGGGGAGAAAGTCGGCGGCGAGGCGCAGCCAGACGACACGCCTCGATGAATGCGCGCAAGTAGGCGTTGAGCGCAGTTTGTCGAAGGTTGCTTGCGATGAACGGGACAAAACCGGGGATTGGGGGTGCCGATGGACTCGTCTCGAGCGTGCGCATCGACTGGTGCGACCGGCGAGCGCGGGAGAGCAGCGGGGCCGGGGCGGGGAAGCGGACAAGGCGGCGGGAGGGAGCGACGAAGCGGACAAGGCGGTAGACAAAGGGCTGCCCGAGTCAAGAAGGACGGCAGACGAGTGCGTGCATGAGTGCGCGCGAGAGGTCGACGTTGGGTCGACGGACCGCCAAACGAGCGTCGTCGAGCGATCGAGGCGGGTGTTCACATGCGCCGTGGCAGCCAATCAGCGGTCTGAACGCGCGCCTAATTGGCGCGATCGAGGCAGATCGCGCGACTTTGGACGTTGTGCGCTGGCTCCGAGGGCCAGAACGGTAGAGGAGGTGCCAGTGGCTGTAGCTTTGAGAATTGTTCAGTTCAGCATCCAGCTGGCAGTCAATCGTCAACGACACGGTCCACGTGATTAGAGCAATGTCGAGACTCAACTTACGCCTCAGTTGCGCCACCGTGGCAGAATCGGCCTCAACAGACTCAATTCGTCTTTGACAAACGCTCTGAGCAAACTGATGATTGGCTCGAATGCTGATCCCGAATCAGGCTCAACCCGATTGGTTTACTGATACGTTGACGCTCGGATGCAGACTAGACGCAGACGGCGAGTTCTTGCAGTGGAACTTCATTCCATATCACTGCCGGACTCGGGAGGTGCAAAGGCGACTCCCATCGTGTTGGCAAGCCCTTCTGACCACCTTGTTCGTGAGCAACGGTGACAGCCGAGTCGACGATGGCCATCTCGTGAGTCCAGCTGTTCAGACTGTGAACATATGGCACGCTCACTCGGCCTCGAATTTGTTCCTAGCGTGCAAGACCAAGCTACGTCAGACGCGATTGAACTTGCCAGGCTCGGGTATAAGCAGGAATTCAAGCGCGCTTTCTCTCCACTGCATGTCTTTGGACTCGTTTTCAGCATATTTGGGTTATTCTCTTCGATCTCGTATGTTTCTAATCGCGAGGTACACCATACCGCGTACGTAACTGACAAAACTTAGATCAGTTCTCGTATATGCACTTCCCTACGGAGGGCCCGTGGCTATGGTCTGGGGCGTGAGTACCATTCAATACTACTCGTGTCTGACGAGGAACAAAAACACATCGCATCTGCAGTGGGGGGTATGCAGTTTCTTTCTCCTGCTAGTAACGATGTCACTCGCCGAACTCGGCTCGGCTGCACCTACCTCTGGAGGCCTGTACTACTGGTCATTCAAGTTTGCATCACCTCGATGGCGTAGACTGATATCATGGATCGTCGGGTGTAAGACCAAATGCTTGTCGTGTCGAAATCGAAAATTGACATTGGAAACGTTTGTAGATTCCAACACGATCGGTCTCGTCGCTGGTGTCGCGTCGACAGAATGGGGATGCGCCGTTCAGTTGATGGTCGGGAACTCCCAGTCTACCTTGATGACCTTGCTCACAGGACTATCATAGGCGGCTGTCAGCATCGGGTCCGGGCAGACATGGTCCGCAACGACAGGACAAACATAGTGAGTCGCATGTTACCGCAGACTATATGGGCGATGACTCATGATCCTCCAGTGCCGTCTTTTTGCTACTACTGTTCCTGCATGCTGCTACGACCTCCCTATCCACTTCAATCATCGCGCACCTTCAGACCGTCTACGTCGTTTTGAACATCGTGTAAGTACCTCTTCGCCCGAGGTGGTCCTATCTGTGAACTGGTCCATATCCAGACTCTGCCTCGCGATAATCATCGCCTTGCCTATCGCGACTCCCGCGGAGTTCAAGAACAGTGCCAGCTACGCATTCACCGGGTTCGTCAATTGTGAGTCGCGCAGACTGGTGTCCTGACGTAGTCTTGACATGAAACTACTGCAGACAGTGGCTGGACGGACGGTTTCGCCTTCGTTCTGAGCTTCCTGGCGCCGTTATGGACGATATGTATGATCGTGTTCACCACCCGGCGTGTTATCGCTGACCTAAATGCAGCTGGTTTCGATTCGGCTCTCCATATTAGCGAGGAAACCCACAATGCTCGCTTCGCAGTGCCCCTCGGACTCGTTGGTGCAACAGCCCTCGCCGGTGTGATGGGATGGGGTGAGTGCTAGCACCACAGGAAGTCAAGGTGATGCTGATGCCGCGGAACAAGCAATCAATGTTGTGCTCGCGTTCAACATGGGAAAGGACATCGATGGGCTTCTGGACAGCCCAATTGGACAGCCGATGGCAGCAGTGAGTACTGAACCCCACTACAGTGCGATGTAGATGAGATGACGCGGTACCATAGATACTGCTGAATAGCCTCGGACAGAAGGGAATGCTGGCGATATGGTCCATTGTCGTAGCGGTGCAGTATGTCGACGTCTTCGCCTCAGCTTTAGGATGCTTGACTTGCAATCGTACAGGTATATGGTGGGCACGAGCTGCGTAAGTCCCTGTCCACTATACCGCACGACGCAAGAGTTGACCCATGACGAACAGCTCGTTGCCTCTTCTCGCCAGACATTTGCCTTCGCGCGCGACGGCGGTCTACCCTTCTCGCGCTTCCTCTACCGAGTCCATCCTCGCACTCAAACTCCGATAACGTGCGCCTTCGCGGTGGCATTCAGCTCCGCGTTGCTTGGATTGCTGGCCTTCGCTGGTGATGCAGCCACATCTGCTCTGTTTGAGCTGGGTGTTGTTGGACTCTACATCGCGTACATCGTCCCGATCGCGTGCCGATTCGCGGGAGGAAAGGCATGGGTACCCGGTCCGTTCAATCTCGGCAAACTGGTGAGTCTGTTCATTGACCCCTCAAGTTCGTTGTACTGATCTGCATCTGTCTGTCTCCCCTAATGCAGGGCCTCCCTGTAGCAGCTGTCGCGCTCCTCTGGATGATTTTCAGCATCATCATCCTGATCTTCCCCTCATCCCCTGCCCCGGATGCTCCGAACATGAATTACACGGTTGTCGTGCTCGCTGCGTGGCTTGCGCTCTGCTTGGGATACTACTACATGCCGGTCTACGGCGGCGTATACTGGTTCAAGGGCCCTATTGCTAATGTCGACGTTGACGAAGGAAAGCAGGCCGAGAGTGAAGATCTCGGGAAGGAAGGGATACGCGCGAGCACGAGCAGCGTAGACGAGAAGTCCGAGGCGGTAACGGTATTTTGAACGACTCTGTCAATTCTGTCAACACGGGTTTACAGTCTCTGTCACGTTGAGACTCCCACAAGTCTAGAAAGAGGTGCGTTCATGCCCTTGTTTCTCACGTCTGTACGACCTGCGAGATGTCTCAAACCCGACCTTGTAGTAGCACCTGATGCTAGGTAGTATGGTGAATACTCGAAGCATGTTGGCTACAGTGCGATGCGGTTTACCGCCCATACAAGTCCACACGGTAGAGGGTGCCTCGAGGATCGCTGCTTCTCGGAATAGCTATGACCTCTACGGATCCGCGCGTCCGAGACTCAAATCCAGTGGCAGGAGTGACTCGTTATCTTGGAGCAGGCTCATGTTAGACCAGCTCTAATTATGGCCGGGTTCTTGGTTATCGATGTGCGTACACCTGTGAGACCATCAGTCAGGACGCTCCTCGTCTCTGCGTGCTCTTTTCAGGCATCCTCACAGGTTAGAGGTAGGCGAGGCCCTCCCAACTCGGTACGTATTGGAACCACTGCGTACCGTTGTACTTGGGGTATATGCTCAGGCCTCGGGCCTTATCAGGGCCTGCGCTCGTTTGTCGCAACCTTACTGGCGTGCTTCTATATGTTGACGCTCGGGCGTATCCTGAGCACCTTCTGCCGGGGTCTCATGAAGAAGCGGCAAAATGGAGCGGGACCCTGGTGAGGAAGATAAGGGCTTCCGTCATGGGCCGTGGTGCCTTCGTGCTGTCTGGACGTGATACGTATGCATCGTTCGCTTCCGCGATATCACTGACCGCCTCTAGCCCTTCTTCCCTCACTTCGTCTTTGACTAGTAGCAATGGGTGTCGCGGAGAAGGAAGATCTGTACGTTCTGTTCTCCAAACTGATGTTACAGCACGAAGCTTATGTTCGGTATACACTAGGAAATGCAAGCAAGCTGACGAAGATGCCCTCGAGCTTGCTCGGCTTGGGTACAAACAGGAGTTCAAGCGGGCATTCTCGCCTTTGCAAGTCTTCGGGCTCGTCTTTAGTATCTTTGGTCTCTTCCCCTCGATTGCGTGCGGTTTCAAATTTTCAAACACGATGCCATGATCCCACTGATCATGTTATACGCCTCCTTAGATCCGTCCTCGTATATGCCCTACCATACGGAGGACCAGTGGCTATGGTCTGGGGCGTAAGTACAACGTTCAACATGTCCCGGATGTTTCTCAATGCCAACACCATGCTTTCTCCTTACAGTGGGGCATCTGCAGCTTCTTCCTCCTTTTGATCACGCTCTCCCTCGCCGAGCTTGGTTCCGCGGCGCCAACGTCTGGTGGCCTCTACTACTGGTCGTTCAAGTTCGCCTCTCCCCGTTGGCGGAGGCTGCTCTCGTGGATTGTCGGCTGTAAGCAGATCTTCTGGCCTTCTTTCTGTCCGAAGGATGTCAGTTGATCATTCCGCTGCATCATGCCAGACTCGAACACGATCGGACTGATCGCTGGAGTGTCGTCTGTCGATTGGGGATGTGCCGTTCAGCTTATGGTTTGGATTCTATCTCGCTGTTGTCAGTTTCATGCATTAAATGCGCATGTCATAGGCGGCAGTCAGTATCGGCTCCGGACAGACGTGGTCAGCCACGACGGGACAGACCTAGTGAGCCCCATGACCACAGTTCCGCGTGTCCGGACTCACTGTCGGTTTGGTGATAGTGCCGTGTTTCTGCTGATCCTGATCCTCCACGCTGCAATCACGTCGTTAGCGACTTCCATAGTCGCGAAGCTGCAAACCTTCTACGTTGTTCTCAATGTCCTGTGGGTGATCTATATCTTGTAAGACTAGCTAGCTTCTCATACACGCCCGCTGCTAGACTTTGCCTCGCAATTATCATTGCGCTACCCGCGGCTACGCCGTCTGAGTTCAAGAATAGTGCATCATATGCTTTCACAGGTTTCGTTAACTGTGAGTGCAATCTGAGTTCGCACCACATCACTCGTTTGACTGTTTCACCAGATAGCGGCTGGCCGGATGGTTTTGCATTCGTCCTCAGCTTCCTCGCGCCTCTTTGGACAATATGTACGTCGAATGTGATTTCTACCTCTCCGTACCGACATCTGACACGTCGGGTGGGAACCGCAGCTGGTTTTGATTCCTCTCTTCACATCAGTGAGGAGGCAACAAATGCAAGATTGGCAGTTCCTCGAGGACTTGTTGGTGCCACATTTGTAGCGGGCATCCTAGGATGGGGTGCGTCGTCATTTCAGCATGATCCTGACGGCAATTGATATGCATTTGACATATAGCAATCAATGTAGTGTTGGCGTTCTGTATGGGCACCGACATCGAAAATATCATGAACAGTCCCATTGGGCAGCCAATGGCAGTAGTTAGTACACTATTCTTATGTACTGATTCAACCTTCTAGGCTCCGTTGACCACTCCGACAGATTCTGTACAACAGTCTCGGACAGAAGGGTACATTGGCTGTATGGTCTGTTGTTGTAGCGGTACAGTGAGTTCATTCGTCGTGTCGTCGCTGTATTGCGGCTCAATTTTATCCACGTTGTAGGTTCATGATGGGCACAAGCACGGTGCGTAGTCCCGCTTTAAACATGGCACAGCAGCCGTGATTGAGCAATAATACAGCTCCTCGCGTCGTCGCGACAGACATTCGCTTTCGCTAGGGATGGGGGTCTTCCTTTCTCCGGCCTGTTGTATCGCATCCATCCGCGCACGCAAACGCCTATAGCGTGCGCTTGGGCTGCCGCGTTTGTGGCAGCTCTGCTCGGGCTCCTCGCCTTCGCTGGTGACGCGGCAATATCAGCCATATTTGCTCTGGGAGTCGTAGGTCTCTACATCGCGTACATCATCCCCATTTGCTCCAGATTCGCTGGTGGGAGAGCGTGGGTACCGGGCCCATTCACCCTCGGCAGATTCGTAAGTCATCCTCCCGTTTCGCCAGCATTCTCGGTGGTTCACTGAATCCTGGCCATGACGTTTAGGGTTTTCCGGTCGCCGTCATATCCCTGCTCTGGATGGTTTTCAGCATCATCATTCTCGTCTTTCCCTCGTCTCCCGCTCCGGACGCGCCCGACATGAACTACACCGTCGTCGTTCTCGCCGCATGGCTCGCACTCTGCCTCGTGTACTACTATCTGCCAGTGTACGGCGGCGTGCACTGGTTCAGGGGCCCCATCGCCAATGTGAACGTTGACTCGGAGGATAGCGACGAAGCTGGGGACGTCAAGAATCCCGATGTGGCTATTAGTGTGAGCAGCATAGGGACGGACTGAAGTGATACCTCGATTGTTGATAGTCTGTAGAATGAGATTATACTAGAGTCACCGTGTGTGTACTATCTGCCCGCAGCTGTCTAGGATCGTTGTCCTGATGACGTACGGCGACTGGCCTTTGGGAGACGTAATGGTCAAGCTCGCCGCAGTGAACAATCGGCTATGGTTCTCTCACGTCACAATCGCATACCTTCCGAGATACATGTTCGAGCAGCAGTATCAGGGCGGATACGACGGCTACTTCGACTCGGTGGAATACGTCGATCTGGAAGACATACCGCCGATGAAGACTCCGTGGCCTCTTCAGCCCGAGCTTTCTGATTTACCTCCGGTGTACTGGCCCTCAATGGAACATTGGCCGCGCCGATGACCGAACCCAGGTGGCAACGAGAGCCTCGTCGAGACTTGAAAGACGGGGAGACGGCAGTGCTTCGTATCACGACTCGGAGTTGGCCTCCAGGCTGCCATATGTATACCATCGCTGACGCGGATGAGTACTGCGCACAGTACTTACATGATAAGTGGTAGGATACACCAAGGTCACGTCACACTATACCGCTGGTACTAATTTAGTACGCAGTGTCGCAAACTGGCCGCACTGTCTCGCAGCGGATCACGCATGTACATATATATGTCCCGCTTTGTACGTACTTGAACGTATCATCCGCATGTTCATTTACTGCCCCGCAACGTTAGCGTGGATAGTGCTGTGATGTACCACGTCAACGTTCGTGGCAATGCGCAACGACCCGACTGACATGCCGAACAGACGCCTAACCCTCAAGAGTAACGGCACCAACCAATGGCTGATTCCACGGAATTAGTGTCACCCAGAGGCATATAACAAGATAATGAGGTGAAATCGGAATCAACTCTTCTCGCATTCCTCGTACCCGTCATGGGCAAGTTTTACGAGTCCATTCCTCCCAACCTCATCAAATGGATTGAGGCGCAACAAATGTTCTGGGTGGCCACCGCACCGCTCAGCGGTGACGGGCACGTCAACGTCTCGCCAAAAGGCCTCCGAGGGTCCCTCCACGTCGTAGACGAGAACCAGGTGTGGTACGAAGACATGACAGGAAGCGGTATGGATCGAGTCGGTCTCACCGATACACCTTTGACTGAGAGGTGCCTCAGGTAGCGAGGCTGCGGCCCACCTGCGGGAGCCCGGGAACGGGCGTATCACCCTCATGTTCAGTGCATTCGATAGTACGCCGAGGATCCTGAGGCTCTTCGGCCAGGGTACGTATGCCACTGTCGACAGTCCCCTGTATATATCAACCATGACCTAGGCACCGTGCATGAATTCGGTACACCAGAATACGAAGAACGCCTCCCTCAAGGCGTCCGCAGGCCAGGATCGCGGTCAGCCATCGTCGTAGACATCCACAAAGTCGGCACGGTACGTTGCAGGCTGCTGTGATAAAGCTCAACTGCTGATCCGCGCCGTCTTCACAGTCCTGCGGCTTTGGCGTACCACTGTACAACTTCATCGCGCACCGTCCGATGCTCCTCGATTTCGCTGCGATGTTGGAGAGCCGCGATCGTGAAGTTGAGACCGCCAGTGGCGACACAAGCGCGGACGCTGGTTCACCTCCACCAACATCCGACAAGGGCCTGAAGGCGTACTGGAGAAAGGAGAACATGAAGAGCATAGACGGTCTACCAGCACTCACCTCCGCTCCTGTGTCCAGCGTGACCCCCATTCACGCGCCGCCCGACGGTTCGTGGGGCAAGAAGGATAAGGACAAGTCGATGGCTGCGTCCACGTCTGTAAAGCAAGAACAAGTCGCGGTGAAGAGTGCCGGCATCGCAGGAAGCGGTTTGAATAACCAGGAGGTGATGCGCCTCGTCTTAGCGTTCTCCATGGGTCTCGCAGTAGCGGCTGTGTATGTGCAGCTCGCTGGTGTCGTCTGCTAGATCTTGGGATTCGTCCGTTACTGGGTTCTTCTGTATTTTACGGTTGCTCGTCACATATTTACTACCCCACTCACTTAGGCTTTGTCACGTATGATCACGATTCCCGAGCAGCATGAGCGTGTGCTCTATGTATGACACACAGCGACAGGAAGAAGGCAGAAGCATGATGATTTTTCACGTCGACCCAACGCGGATTGTGGTTCGCAGCGACGTATGCTGAGCTATGCTCCTCGATTGCTCGTCAATTATCTGGAATGTGGGACTTCCTGCTGGACACTGCATATGAGGAGTGGACGTCCCTCCACAGACAAGGTACTGCGCGGGCCCGGATACTTCACACAACGAATGAGATCATACACACAATTCTGTGATCTTCGTCACACGTACTCACAAGTAGCTCGCTGCGCCACGATGGACGTCTGCTCCAGGGGCTGAGCGAGTTCGAGTCTCATTTTAAGCTTCATAGGCAACCGCGGCAGAACTTCAGCCAATTGTCGGACTACATGTTTTCCCCTTGCTGCAATGCAACATTGCCTCGAGAGCAATGAGCGGATGGAAAACATCCTGACTGGATGGGATGACGGTGGTCGAGTGCAAGAAGGACATGACTGCCAGATCTGGCTGAGGCTCGGCGCGCCGGTGGCAAGCTCGTTGTGGCTGTCACTTGCCTCGCCACACCGAACTGCTTTAACTTACACCAGAGGCTCAGCATGTCCGCCCCGCGTAAACCAGCGGCGCGTCTTCCTCGCCCTGCTGCTCGGTACTGGAAAGGCAAAGCACCCAAAGGCGCTGGCGAAGTCTCAGATGATTCCGACTACGACGAGGCCGCTGAGGCCCAGGAGCCCGAGGAAGAGGGCGATGTGCTCATACAGGACATCACTGGGGAGGATGAAGAAGACGAAGCCCGCCTGGACGTGAGGGAGGCACGACAGAAGCCCAGACCAACGAAGGGGCTCAACGTCGCGCTTCGAGATGTCAACATCTCTAAAGAGGGGAACGTGATTGTTGCTGGGAAAGTGGAATCGGGCAGGACACAGGCTGAACTGGACGAAGGTGAGTCCTGGCTGCAGCCTATGTAAGGGTACTACATTAACTTGCTGTATAGAAGAGGAGGAGCAGGAAGAAGAAGAAGAGGGCGTAAAGGCGGAGGAAGAGGTATGTTCTGTCATGACGTATATCTTCCAACTAAATGTCCTCATCTAGTCTAGCGAGTACGAAACAGAATCCGGAGAAGAATCTGAGGAGGAAAAGCCGAAGATGCAGTTCCGGCCAGTCTTCGTGCCCAAGTAAGTTTCAGATTCACTACAGCTTCCCCGTGTTCTGACAGCAAACAGGCGGGCTCGTGTTACCGTAGCAGAGAAAGAGGCTATGGCGGAAGACACAGAAGAGGCTATCCGGAAGAAGGAGGCAGAAGCTGAGGAGCGCAGGAAAGAAAGCCACAACCTGGTTGCAGAGAGCATCCGACGGGAGCTCCTTGAGAGTGCGTCCTATCCTCATTCCTATCCTTACATGCCTTAAACCCGAGTATTGCAGAGGAGAAAGAAGAAGAGGTTCCTGATGTCGACGACACCGACGGGCTTGACTCAGCTGGCGAGTTCGAAGCCTGGCGCCTGCGTGAGCTCGCACGCATCAAGCGGGACAAGGAAGCGGCACTCGCGCGCGAACTCGAACGTGAGGAGGTCGAGCGGCGGAGAGCACTCCCGGAGGAGCAGAGGATGAAGGAGGACATGGAGCGGGCGGAACAGAGCAGGAAGGAGAAACCGAAGGGACAGCAGAAATTCCTGCAGAAGTACTGGCACAAGGGTGCATTCCACCAGGTGCGTCATGTCCGTCTAATACGAACACCCAAACCCCATCTTACCCCCAACCGCAGGACGAGGAGGTCCTCCAGAGGCATGACTACACAGAGGCCACCGAGTCGACCATGGACGTCTCGCTCCTCCCAAAGGTCATGCAAGTGAAGAACTTCGGCAAGCGCAGCCGCACCAAGTACACACACCTACTCGACCAGGACACCACCGCCAGCTCGGGCGGCTTCGGCGGCAGCGCGCCCGTCAAGGCGGGCGGGATGGGTGTCGGCCCTGGCGCGGGCGGAGGCTGCTTCCTCTGCGGCGGGCCCCACCTCAAGAAGGACTGCCCACAGAACAAGGAGCTCCCGCCAAATCGCATAGGGACGGGCGCGAACGCGAGTATCGGCGGCACTGCGGGTGGACGACAGTGGGGTGTGAAGGGCGATAGGGACGGGGACAGGGAGAAAGGCTCGTGGAGGGAACGCGATCGTGATGTCGCTGGGAATGGCCAGGATAAGCGGAGAAGTCGCGAGAGGAGTGGTGAGCGGCGAGGAGGATATGAGCGAGATAGGCATGGCGGGCAGGATAGGAATGGCCGGCGGGATGACAGGGATAGGGATCGCTATGACGGGCGAGGTAGGGATAGCGACCGTCGACGGCGCTCATACTCGAGGTCCCGGTCCCCTCCACGCAAAGAGCGATGGCGAGACGAACCGAGGCAGGATCGGAGGCGGCGTTCGCGATCGGTGGACGGAGAGCACGATGCGAAGCGGAGAAGGATAGATTGAGCCATGCGAGTGTACATTTTATTTGCTGTATCGTATCGTAGGTATAATGACATCGACGTGGAACAGGTACGTTCGTCGAACGGTGTACGAAAGCAAGACAGCAAGCGAGAGCAACATGACTGACATACTCATTACACCACAACTCAATAGATATTAGCACTGTCAATGTCCATTTGCGAATCGCGTAGTGGTTTCACTAGTTCATCTTGACCATGAGGAGGTAGCGCACACGGATCTGCGACGTGTCGTACACAATATACTGTAGTCATAGACGGTCGGTCAGACAAGGTCTGTCGTTCGGGAGATGGAGCTTACCTCGTTGTACTGCAGGTATCCTTGGATGCCCTGGACATCCTGTCCAGGACCCTTGGGCATGTGGCAACCGCTGAGGGCATCGTTCTCCAACGCGGCGCCCGCGTCTTGCCAGTCAGCAGGCTGCGTTCGTCCAAGACCCTTCGTGCACCTACCGACGTAGTCAGTCTCATACTCGTGACACGATGTTGAACAGCGGCAACGCACCTCGCCCTGGCTGCCTTACAGTCTTGGTCTGCGTTGTAATTCGCGGCATGCTGTTCGTAGAATGGCTTCGCAGCGACTTCGCACAGGAGGAGTATACCCGTGTTGTCACTCAAGCTGGAGGATGTGAGTTACGTTGAGGCACGAGCGGTGCAATCGGTATGTACTCACTATGCATGGCAATAGTTGGCGGACTGGATGAATGTGAGTCGCCGGAGTTTGCTCAAACGTTTTGTTTGCTCACCTTGGACATCATCTGCAGCACCCCAGTCAGATCATGCATGCTGATCCTAGCACAGGGTACTCACGTCGGCGAAATATACTCCTTTCCCAAACATGTAGCCTTGAGGTGCCATCAGTATGATCTCAGAACAATGGTCGCACTTGCTGCAACGCACCAGTGACGGGAGCTGTGCAAACGCTATCATCAGAAGCGAATTGACATGCATGACAGAGATCGGCTCACCTTCTGGAGGGGCAATCCGCAGACCTTGGCTGAGGATACCTGGGGGAAAATGGGAGTTCAAGACTGAGGTCTACTACGGCAAGAAATGACATGCCTGCAAAGTTGGTCGAACGGGAGCCATGCCAGAGCAAGAGACGCTCTCCGTCTGCAAGCTTGTCATTTCCGGCCCTCATCCACGCGTCGGTCTCGTCTTGTCTATCGCGCTCATCAGCACTCCGCGCGAAGCAGACATCGCCTCAGCAGAAGACGCACCTCTCGACGCGGAACGCATTGAGGACTTGCACCTGGTAATGTCGGTGCGTCGCACCGTGGGTTTCGCGCGTGTACGTCTCCAGCGCGCCGAACTCCTTGCTGGCCCGCGCGATCGGGTCCATGCTAGAGAGGCGCAGCGAGAGGAAGTTCTGGTCGAGCGGGTTGAGCGGCTTGCCGTTCGCGTCTTTCGGGACCGTGGACGTGATGAGCTTCGAGGCTACTTCCTGCTCGGGCGAGGTCAGCAGGCTCCTCCACTCGCAAATCGGGGAACTGAGCACGAACCATGTCTCCTAGAGCATCGACGAGTTCGAGTTCCTGAGCATGAATATTCATTATAAATTAGCCTCCAGAGCGGAATGATATCACTGACCTTCTTCAGCAGAGGCAATGAATCGATAGTCGTCGGGCGGTTTCGTCCGAACACATGCGGGATGATACTGTACAATATCATCAGCTGCTCTATGTCTGGAGGATGGATCATACTCACGAATAATAGCGGCCAGTCAATTCTTCGACGGCAGAACGGTAACCACCGTGCTGTCTAGATGTGTCACCGTCTGGTTGCGAGATGACTTCTGACAGTGTCTGCGAGAACATTGTTATTGAGTTATGGCTCAAGGACCGAGATGACGCTACGAACCTTCAGAGCAGCAAACCCATTCAGGATGGTCGATTTGGCGAGTTTCCCTGCAATCATGGTCAGAAAGGGCTTCCCCGCTAGCCAAAAATTACCTTACCGAGAGGTAGCTTGTTCGCGTCGTAGTTCATCGAGGACAGAGTAGCATCGATGAGCCTTGAAAGAACCTCGGTCAAAATGGAAATACTCGTGAAGTCAGTACACTCACTTCGCAGAGAACATGAGTCTGCATAGTGCCTGAGGGGAAATTAGTTACAACTACGTGCTCATGTATCGCCATTTCTCTGGATTACCTGTATCTCTTGCGGAAGGGTCGAATCAGGGATCTTCTCCGGCTCAACATCCTTTTTGCTCGAGCCTGAGCCGCTTGGCCCCGCATTGTCCTCAGGCTTTTCATCTTCAAAGACACGCTCTGAAAGAACATTGAAGGTTAAAATCCTCTTCCCTTTCATGCAACCGGGAGAATCTTGACCTATCCACTGATATTTTCCTATGATTGTCACACGATTAAATGATCAATTCCCAGCAAGTACGAGGGGCCACATACCCTTCTTCGCCACCATACCGTGTCGTTGTTCCCAGTTTACCGCGGCCTTGGCCTTGAACTGTGCCTTGAATGCACTGACGGCAGCAGACGAGGACATTCCACCCTGGCACCAACGTAGCAGTCGTCATTCACATATGCTGGCAGGCTAACTAGTACTAGTAGTAGGTGCGCTCGTACCTTCTTCTGCTGCTGGCCGTTTTCGCCCACTCGTCCCCAGCGCGTGAACAACGTGCAGTCTAAATCGTTGCCTACGGGATGCAGTACCTGAATCGCATAAAACCTGCGCGCCGACGTGAGCTAACTAGGCATGGTGACCGAACACAAAGGGCACCCACTTGTTAGCATTCTTGCTTATGTCTGTCTGGTTTAGGGTCGCGTCCCAGATGCCTTCCGGGGTTGACAAGACTTGGTGCGTATCTGCAGCCACGCCAAGTGAGCGAACATAGATGTTAACAGCTGAACACTGTACTCGCCTACCCAACCAGAGCAAGGGTCGACAGGCGCAGCTCCACGTTTGACCACAGTCACCTTAGGAGCGCGCCCGGAGAGTCAGCCACACACCAACCTCACGCGCGCGGGCCACACGCCACGCACCATCTTAGCAGGAGGGTCCGCCTTCTGCGACGCGCCGCCGCTCTTGTCATCGCTCGCACCGTTCTGACCAGTCTTCGCTTTCTTCGCATCCGGCTCCTCTTCCTCATCCTCCTCATCAGACGCGGCCCTCTCGCGCTTTGCCTTCGTTTTCGCTTTCGAGGCCGGCGCCGGTACGACCGCGGCAGCAGCAGACGTCGAAGCCTTGGACGAGGGAGCCTTCGCCCGCGTACTCGAGCGCGTCGCCCGCGTCGACGCCGGTTTCGCCGCGTCGGACGCGTCTGTCGCGGTGGCTTTCTTCCTGGGGGGCATGCTAACGGCGGTGGTGAGAGTGAAAGGGGAGCGAGAAACGCGTGGCCACACCGGGGTTCCTGGGTTATATAGCGCGACTCCACGCGTCTCCTGAACGTCGGCGTTTCACAAGCCGCGCGCCGTCGGGCCCGCCGTGACTCGGTCTGCCTAAATATGGAAATGGGCGGGTGTCACCTGATAAGGGCGCATCACCCCATCAGTCGATAGCCCGCCGCCGGTGGCCGGTACGTCGATGTGTATCGTTGTTCGCGGCGCGCCGCGTGGCTCTCTCATTCCGTGATTAGCAGTCGTCTTACTCATTTGCCGTCAACTCAGCTCACACAACAACCTCAAGGCTAGTAGAACACCGACTCGGACATAGTATCTTGCTGACTCTTAGTTTCTGCCACACTGGTACTCCCTGTGATTACCTCAAGCCGACACAGCTAAGCCTTGGGCAAGTCCGATACTCGCAGGTGCACTGCGGCCACGGTCGTCAATCGATAAGTATTCAATCAGTACTGCTTACTCGGAGTACGTCCTGAATCGTTGCTGATGATGATTCTCAGTGTGAGCGACTTGAACATGTAGGGACTCTACCAATGACAGTGACATTGCGTTCAGGAATACAGTGCTAGTAGAAGAGTATGATACAGAATGTCTGTTCGATCCATTACTACAATTGATTTCGTATGTTCATGCGGGTCATGTACCCGGCTGCGTCATCCATGCGATTCGTTACTATCCTTTCCAGCTCAAAGGGGACCTCATTCTCAGGCGATGACGACGAAGGCACCAACGATGAGAGCGACGGCAGTGAACCCAAGACCGACAATCTGGCTCGCGCTGAGGCCACCAACAGCGAGGGCGGCGGAGCTGCTTGACGAGGAGCCTGATGCGCTCGATCCCGACGCACCCCCCGAGGCGAGCGACGCCGTCTGCGAGTACCCGATGGGACGCGTCTCCGTCGTGCTCTGCGCGGCCATGGACGTAGCCGATGCAGCCCTGAACAGATCTTCATCAGTAATCATCTTCAGCGCGTAGAAGAGACGAGCACATACGCGGAGCTAGCAGCGCTGGTGTCCTCTTCGGTGTTGAGCAGGACCTGGTCGATGATGTGCGCGACACCGTTGCTCAGGAGCACGTCCGGTTGAATAATGCGCGCGGTCACGGAGCCCATCTTGACGTACTGGCCCGTCGAGTTGATCGAGAACGAGAATTGCTCTCCCGCAGCGGAGGTGTAGTCCTGACCGACGAGCTCCGGGGAGTATACAGAAGTACCGTTGATGATCTGCACGTCATGTCAGCAACAATCCTTATATATGCGGGTCAAACGACAGCGAACAGGCACGTACGTGGTTGGCGAGGATGATCTGCAAGAGCGTCGCGTTTTGCTCGTACTGCGTGATGCCTCCACCGAGGGCCTCAATGGCGGACGTATTCGGGGCGAAGAGCGTAAAGCCCTTGAAGCCACCGTCGATGATGCGCGCGACAGTCTCGTTGCTCGTGGAACCATCCGTGCCGTTGTAGAAGCTTTGCGTCACGTTCGAGATGGTCGCACCGAGCCCGTCGAGGTACGGCGTGTCCGCAGAGAGGGCCCCGCTGAAGTTGTCGGGCCACTCGAGCACGGAGGACACGACGTAAATCGTGACGTTGCCGTAGGACGTGACGTTCGTTACCATACTGGAAGAGTCACTCCTGCGGATCGAGTTTGAAGGATGAGGGTCGGCATGTGTGAACGAGTTGAGCAGAGTGACTGACCTCTGGTTCAGAACGTGAACATTGCCGTCGGACCGAGTTGCCCACGCGACAACCTGGCTCTTATTGCCCTCAAGACTGACATATGTCGTGTCGTTGAGGAAGGTGCGGCCGACGGTCGTGTTGGGATAGGTCGTCGACTGGCCACTGAAGTTGCCATGCACGACGTGGTACGAGAGCAGGTCGGCCGGGTTGCTTGTCAGGTTGGACGGTGCATTCGACACTACAACCCACGCATCAGGTAACGTCACCCTGCCCGCAAATTCCTAGAGGACTCACCAGCTGTGTCGTTGGGCGCAAACAGCACGTAAGGATCGCCGTTCGAGATTGTCTTCAGGAGGTATTGGCCCTGGCTAGTGCTGTTGAGGGAAGACGCGAGCTGGGTCAACGACGTGCATCCCGCGTGTTCGAGGGTGCTCATGAGCCCATCCAAGAACGTCGAGTTCTGCGCGACGACCGAATTGGCCGCGGCGAGGAGCGCGAGCGATAGGAGCTTCATCGTCGTCTGAGCCGTGCTAGTCGTGTTCAGAGAGGCAGACGTGGGGGTTCGTGGGGAGCGGGCGACTGACCGCTGGGTGCAGGTGGGCGTCGTTCTTATACGGCGGCGGCGGGGCCGGCGCGTGCGCAGGCCGAGCCACCGCTGTTGCATCCAGAAGAGGAAAAGGTGACCGCGTTTTAGCTTCGTAGCTGTCAGTGGCCCCGCCCCCTTACCTTCTTCTGACGTCAGTTCATTACTACGCACTTGGCCCGCCACGGGTTCGTCATGTCCGTTCATATGGCAATTGCGCGCGCGGTGCATCCGCGTGTAGACTTGTTCTCGATTGCTGAACCAGGTGTGTGCTCGATGCTAGGTGCAGCAGACTCTACACATTATGTCCTTCAACACCTCGTCAGCTTGAGCCCGAGCATGCGGCGGCGCGACTCGGTGGGCAATGATGTAGATCACTCACCATAGAACTCTGACACACCATACGCTCCGAGGTCACGCACCTCTACTGCAATCGCAACCTCCTTGGAGCGTCACTAGGAACTGCCATACACAATTCACCAAGGGAGACACACCTTGTCGTCGTCCCTGTGAAGAGTGCCGCCCCTCGGAGCACTCGTCATGCCACGTGCACGTGAACAGTTGTACACTTGGCCTGCGTGTATCCCCCACAGCCCAGACCCCCGCGCATAGAGACAGCGGGTCCGAGAGACTTCAAGGACAGATGCTGGGAGCGTCGTTTGGGATTGCTATGCAGAGTGGTGAGCTACGAGGCACGGTAGCTGAGGATAACCCGGAGTCGAATCTTCAATCAGCACACCTTCCATTCCGGGATGTGACACCACAACTTTGGCTACTGCCGGCCACTGATGCCACGAGGCCCATATTTCCGTAATCCCTACACCTAAGCATCAACGTTCAACGTTCAACGTTAGGCTTTGTGCATGTTCTTGTCATGTTCCCCGCGGATCAGCGTGCGAAGAAATACAACATGTCGACATACGTACGAACAACTCGTAACGAGAACCTCGAGGCGACATGCGATCCTAGGCCTGCCGTAGGCAGTGCACAAGCAGTGCATCCACTTCAATTGTCTTCAAGTTCATTGTGGTTTTGACAGGAAGCGACGCGACTTGTACATGCGCTGCAGGCAGCATCGTCGTGGCTGCAGTGCCAGGGCTATCACTGATCAATATCGCGAATGGAAGGGTTACTGCTGCATACGGACTACTTGGACACGGCCTTTCTCCCGGTATTCGATGTCAGAAATTCCCGTTCTTCACCACCGCTGATAGTATTTATTACCAGTAAGTACTTCCTGGAGGCGACTCTTCTGTATCTGTGAGATGCGGCTGCGGACGTAGCACGTTGCAATTTGAAGGCAAGTAGCGACTTGGTATGCCAACGCGGGAGTAACTGCAGAACCAGTGCACCACGCGACGGCGGCGCTCGTATAAACAGTTCCTCGCTACAAGCGAGCGCGATCGCCCGGGCCCCGATGCTCTTTCCCTTCTCGTGCGACTCCGATATCTGCGGAGTACACTGGTAAACAAGCATCTTGGGTCATCTAGATGAATTTGCCGTCCGCATAGCGGCATACTACGCGGTCTCATTTGGGCTTGTCGCCTTCCTGATTTGCGCTGCCAAACACCGACGAGTTTAAGTTCACTCAGCTGCGTGTCAAACCGCCGGTGGCACCGCGATAATTGTCTTGAACAGGAGCTGGACGCCTTGCACGGCGCGACGAAGAACGACGCGGAGGCTTATTTGAAGCGGCAGAACCCAAGCTATCATGGCGCCAGAATCGCGTCTGGCGGGACGCGCTGCAATTGTTCTGCAGGGACGGGCGCGTGGACGCGGCGGGCCAGGGCGGGCCGTTGGCGGCGAGGGCCATTCTGGGAGACGCGGGACGCCGGGTGGGACGCGGTGGGTGTGCGTAGCGACGGCGGGGGCAACTGCCGAGGCGGCCTCATTGATCGCGACGGGCGGCGGACCCGCTCTCGCCTGCCGCCACCTGGCAGCCACTCAGCACTGCTCCCGCGGCTGCGCCGTCGCTGGGGTGTGCTGCCCGATTCGTCCAACGCCGCGAGAGTAAACTCTATCATGGCCTGGACCAATCCCGTTGCCCCCCTGGTCTTCCCTGGGACCCTAATGGCGCGGGCGCGATCGCCCCCCACCAATCTCGCTTCTGGCGCAGACGATCGCGCCCTGGACGCAACGGGCTCATGCGTGCGCATAAGAGGCTGGTGGCCTGCCCAGCGCCGGTCTCATTGCCCCGGAAGGCAGACAGTTGTCTCACCTCAGTTTCACCTCCTCCGCGCCGTAAGTCACATAGCCCCTCCTGGATAGAAGCTCTCCTTGTGAAGACTTGCGTCATGGCCTGCAGGGTGCCACTGTCAAAGCCTCTCCTCTCGATCGGTTTGGCCCGGATAGTACTGATATAGCCATTTCACAGATGCTTTAAGGCCCCTGTGACATGACGGTCTGAACGCGCACTCCCCGTTGTGCTCCCCACCTTGCATGGACGTCGTCAGCATTACCTCACAAACCATGGCTGCGCTCGTGCATTTGATAGACACCCTCGCGAGGGTGAACGACAACCCCTCAACCTTAAGGTTCGCACTCGCTCCTCGCTCTTGCCTGCATTCATGACTGTGCTAACGGACATTCTGTATAGTTTGCCTACGGTGTGTAGCTGCGGCCTGCGTACCGTAACGGAAGTCGATAACGACTCACACAGCTCTTTCAGCTCGATTCCTTGCGCGGCCTCCTGCGACGCGCAGAGAAGGAGGTCAATGCATCCAACAACTCCTATCTCCCCGCGGTCCGACTGCCTCCGGAGATCCTTCAGTACATCTTCCGCCTGGCTTCCTTCCAAGTCAAGAATGATCTGCAGTCGAAGCTCGGGAATACGGGTTTGTCGGGCGACATATGGAGTGTTGTCGAGCCCGTCCCCGCCAAGGTCGCCACAATTTCTGGTGTATGCCGCCGTTGGCGCTCCGTAGCCATCGCAGATTCCGCGCTTTGGAGCATGATCACTGACCGTCGGGACCGCCGACCCCTTGCGATCTCGCGCCAGTCCGGCAGCGCGCCCCTCGAGCTCCGGCTGCTCGCCTCGCCCTCTGACGCACTGCGCTCCCTCTTCCAGTCTGACGGCCACCGCATCAAATCCATCGAATGGGACAAGGCGAACGCACGCACGCACGACCTCAACATCCTCGCCTCGTCCGCATGCCGCCTCGAGAAACTCATCCTCGGCATGAACCGCCACCTGGCCTGCATCGACTCCGCGGAGCTCACCGCGTGCTTCGCGACGCAGGCCCCGTCCCTCCGGCAGCTCACCCTGCGCGACTGCGCGTTGCTGCCCGAGAACGAGTTCCCCCGCCTGACGAGCCTGCACCTCGACGGGTGCCCCGGCCCGGACGCGTGCCACGGCGTCATGGGCATGCTCGCGCGCGCGCCGCACCTCACTGACCTCGTCCTCAGCCGCCTTCGCATGTCCGGCGCGCCCCCGCCCGTCGCGCTCCCCTGCCTCCGCCGCCTCGTCTGCGCGGACATCCCCGGCGGCGACCTCGCGCGCTTCCTCGCGCATGTGGACCTCCCTGAGGACGCATCCCTCCGCTTGCACGGCACCGACCCGGACCCCGCGCTGTTCGCCGCGCTCGCCTGCACGCCCGCGATGCGCGACGCCACGGAGCTGTGCGTGTCGGCGGAGGGCGAGGTCGTGGTGGCGGGCCCTGCCGCTGCCGTGTGCTTCGTCCAGCCGAAGGGCCGCCGCGCCGCGCCCGCGTGGGACGCACACGCCGTCCTCCGGAACGTCCTCTCTGCGACGCGCATCCGGAAGCTGTGGCTTCTCGGCGAGCGCATCGGCGACCCGAGGCGTGGTCTGGGCCTGCCCGTGCTCCCCGCGTCCGTCGACACCGTTGTTGTGCAGGATGTCGCGCTGGCGGTCGCCCTGGGTGTGCTTCCAGGCGGGTCGAGCGCCGTTACTGTGCACGTCCTGATGACGCGCTTCATGTCTGCGAGTGTCGTCCTCGCGAAGCTCGCACAGCATCCGGGTGCGAAGCGCACGAATGTCGTGGTCGGGTATTTGCCTTCGTATAAAGGGGACCGGGCGCGCCCGTCAGGGTCCGAGGGCGCGTTTGCCTCGTTGAGGTTCGAGGAGTACGCGGAGGAGCCGAGAGTGGCCCTCCCGGAGGCGTGCTTGGAGCGCGCGCATTGTCTCTGGCCCGCGTGGGTCGAGTGAACGAGTGAGGTGAGTGTTGCAACGGCACATGCGGTGCTCGGTGAGACTGGACTTGTGGACGATTCTCCTTCCGGTGGTGAATTACATAGATACTGATGGTTTTACGGTATGATTTCGCTCGTTGTGCGTTCTTGTGGTACTGTAGGTCCGGGTTTTCGCTCGCTTGTAAGTATGATGGAGGCGCCCCTAGTACATAGCTGATGTTAGACTGTCAGCACTCATTCTTTTGTCCTGTTCATAGGCTACATAGATCTCGCTTGTTATGGTCGCGAGTTGCTCATAATCGTTGTCGTGGCCTTCGGCCCTACATTCATCTTGTTCTCAGACTTCATAGTGTATGCGCTACATTTGTCAATGAACCAGACTGGAAACAGAACCGTAACGAGGAGCCGCCTGAAGGAACAAAAAACGATGACGACAACGAGCCCCGACGACATTATAGTGTAAGTTATATTATGTATCGTGCTCGTCCAAGGCATCGGGTAGTGCGTTGCGACTCAGAGCTCTCGGAGGACGCGTCGCGCACTGCACAGTATGCACTCATGGAAACATAGGTGCAGGTGTAGCGCTGTGCCACGTCCGTCATGCGCCATACACTATGTGATGTCGCTGGAATGACCTTGGGGCCGCCCAAGAGGTAGGAAGCAGTACTGTTGTCACGGCCAACAGCATGAACTGATAATTATACGTTCAAGCCGTCGGTGACCGGTGACTGGTACTAGTAGGCTGCGTGGCGATCAAGTACGTGGCACCGCATCATGTGACCGCGACTGGATTCATTTCCAGCGTTCACTATACAACTTTGACAAGGAACCAGCCTTGACAGCACTCTTCGGCCTGCTCAAATATACAGTCCCTGAAGAAGAAAGTACTCCGTGTATATCTCGCCCGCCCCGATGCTTGACCACACTACGCTGGCGTCACCGATTGACGATATACCCCTTCTGCAACTCGCAGAGTGGCTGCAAGCGAGGCTCGCTAGAGAGGTGGGCACGATGAGGTACGTCCTGAGTATTTCTCTCAGAATCTGCTCAAGGACACTGACACTGCTGGCAGTCGGTCTGTAGTAAGTCGGATACGGTCGCTGAAAATTGTGCATTTGACTTTAGTCTGAACCAGCTGGAGCAAGTTGCGTCGTCGTACAAAGCAGTCTACCTGGAAGCGCAGTACGCGCTGGACGCGACCTATCGCTTGTCTCCTGAGGTCCTTGGACTCATATTCCGATACGTCCCTGGGACGCCGCTCAACGATCTCACAGACCAGTCGATCGGAGGTCGTCCTCTCTGTTTCAAAGATCATGATCTCGTTCGGTCGAGAGACGTGGTCCCCCTCACGCACGTATGCCGGCGCTGGAGAGCGATCACAATAGGTTTGCCAGAGCTGTGGACTACTATCGACGGGACGAAGCAGATACCGTACGATGTCCAAGCGATGCGTTCTAGGACGCGGCCGCTGAAGGTGTTCATTCACTCATACCTTCGTTCGGAATTCCGGAGGTGGCTACGCACGCACGCAAGCGACGTACAGGAGTTCCACTACATATATGCCGCCAACGCAGATCGCTATGCCGTTTTGATGACAGATTATCCCAACGTTCGCGCGGCTACCCTCGTGGACAACAACATCCGTATACGCGATACGCAATGCGAACTATTCGGGGGCTCAACGTCATTACGGTCGCTCTGTATGCAGGGGATCAGCTGGCTACCCACAAATCACTTCCCCCATCTCACTCGGCTCTATCTAGGGAATCAGCCTGAGCATGGGACTGGCAGCATGGCCGAATTCGCGGCTTTCCTGGCAAGATGTCCAAACCTCGTCGACTTGATCCTGCTCCATTGGCATTTTGGACAGGTTACTTTGACCCCTGAAATTGGTAGCGCGCAATTACCGCAGCTTCGACGCTTGACGTTGCAAGGTTTCCACCAAGGCGAAATCATGATATTCTTGTCTCACATCTATGTGCCCGCTGACGCTGCGCTATGTGTGCGGATGATGCATAACCCAGTGGACCTTCTCGACGTGGTTGCCGTATCTTCATTCCCCGCTCTCGAATCATGCAATAGGGTCCAGATTATCAAGTCGGCGAGTGTCTTCTCTATGACAGCGTTGGGCCACACATCTGGAGTATATATCCAGAAGTTCGACATCAAGGACGAACTGCCGCCCAGAGGTGGGAAACTGGCAAAAATAATCCCTCTGCCTCATCTTGAAGAGCTATGGCTTGTGGAGAGGCAGAGTTGCGAGCCGATGCCCTCTGAGGTGCTGCGGGACCTTCTTCGCCCAATCCGCGCGTTACGGAAGTTGGTCATCACGAGCGAAGGCCTCCCTGAACTGAACCATGTTCTCCGATTCACCAACATCGATGCCACCGCTCGCCATCCCCCCATACATGAAATCCACATCCTGGTGAACTCACCGCCAAAGAATAGCCGCATCGTAGTCAAGTGCATGAAGGACTTCAAAGCGGCCAAAATAGCAAAAGTCGTGATTGTAATCCCCAAGGACTATCCTGCCGTATATGAGCCTGCCCTGGCCGTCGCGGGTTTCGATTTTGTCGAACTCCGGAGAACTCGAGCTATGCCGTGTATAGAATTGCCGTCGGTGTGCGCGACGCGGTCAGAGCTGTGGCCTTCGTGGGACAATTTCCTGACTCTGGCATGATCCTAACAGCGCGGTGCGTGCCTACCGTTCGACTGTGCGTCTTGAAAGGCTGACAGTCTGCGCTAGGAGCTGGGGAGACGGGAGTTACGGATGACGATGTGCGCTAGAGAATAGACTTGTGATCGGCAGGCGTTCGTCAGAAGCGGAGAAGATCCGTCAAAGAGGTAAAATGCATTGTACAGTGGGCGGCGGATATACGTCTACATGTGCAGCTTCTTCTCCATTTCTGCATGAACATCCATCGGTTGTGCCAGTTCCGACGCTGTGCAGGACCAGACGGTTAGCGCGACACGGACGATTGACGAGACGGGCGTACCTGGCATCATGAAGTCGGAACAGTCGAGCGTCTCATCCCGTCCCATGAGGATATCGAGGTGTGGGTTGGACTGAGCAAGTGCGGGCATATGAGGGTTCTATGAGTCACAAGACATGTTTCATAAGATGAGCATTGTCACATTCCATGCCCGGAGTACCACTCACGCGAGAGACGATCTTGCGTTCCATCAGCGTACGCATCGGCATGTGAAGGCCGAAGACGTTGCGCTGCATGGTCAGCTTCAGGTTGTCTTGAGTAGCATCCCACTGGACGGTTCAGAGGCCCGCGGCGAATCAACCAACAAGATTACGCGAAATGTTCAGCGACGCAGTTCATCACAACTACAAGAGACACGTACGCTCTCCAGTCGTTCCCTGAGCCCTCCCCTTGTCTTGTTCTCCGCTGCCAGACTACGAGGTCCATATCGAAGGGCATCGTGCAACCCGAGGCTGTTGGCGGTGTCCTGGATCGAGGCCGACTTGGGCGCGTTAGCGGGTACAATGCGATGCGATGGATCCTGGTCGAGCGCAGAAGTGTCGGTGAGTCAGCCTTTCAGAGCGTGCTATTTCAGTACATACCATGTTTCTGAGCGTAGAGGCTGTGAAGATGGATGTCTGGAGGTAGTGTGGCGACAGAGTGCAAGACGCGTGAAGAACGAGCTGACGCGTCTGTGCAACGCGTCTGCAGTTGCCATTCCTGGCAGTGGCGGACGATGAGATCCCCATCTGCGATCCCATCTAGGCACTGCCAAATCGGGTATCGCTCAATTCTTAAGTCCTCGACCGCCGGCCTGGACTTCTGCCTCGCTCCTGTGCCTTTAATTCAGGTCGTTCAACATCTCCTGCTCTCCGATGCGCAAGCAACACATCTTCCTCGAGGTTTTGCGTGGTATCCAGCTATGTTTTGATTGTCAATATATCTCGAGCAAAAAACGATGATCTACACTACTAGGTCAAGGTACAAAGGAGTGCGCGGAATGGCCCCTTTGTCATACTCCAGGACTTGGCAGCAAAAATGCGGTTCAGACGTGGGGTCCCAGTGCCGCCCTGTCCGAACCTGTCCGTCGATGCCGGATAGCGGCTTCGTTCTGGGTATTGTCTCCGACAGCAGCGATCCTCCCCTGAGATCCGGCTTCCGGTATATATGAATCCTTCTGCCTTTCTGACGCGTTTTCGGGCTACTACTCCTTGTACTCTACGACCCCTTCATTCTATCTTTTCCCCCTGGGCTTGCGAGGTTGTCTCTAGGTTCCGGATCTGTCTCTTCGGCATGCTACGTATATTATCGTCTTCACTCAAGGTAGACTCATTCGTCAAGAAAGACCGCGCCGTCCAGTCCAGACACTATCGTCTCTCGATGCGCAACACGCTCCCCGCCCTCCTTCTGGTGTCTATATCATTTCTCACTGCTTGTATCATATGGCGAGACGCTGCTGTACCTCCACTCCCTGTCGGTGCATCCAACGACACCCCGCTCGATCACGGTGACAGGCTAGATTTTCCCCCGTCGCCATACGTTCCGCCAATTCCTGCCTTGCCGAAGGTTCCCCCACATTTGAATCCGCTGGATTACGAGCATGGTCCTCTGCGCGGTCCTCCAACCGCGCATTTCAGAGGTCAGTCGATACATCAGATGCCCTACTAGCTATGATTCAAACAGAAGAAGACAGCCTTAGAGATGATACGAAGTATCTGACATCGTGGCTGGTGGCAGGTTTCAGTACGTGTAATCCTCCCCGTTCACCAGCGTCTACTGACATGCTGCTCCCTTCGCAGCAAATGACTATATGACTATCGTGCGTAGAAGCGGTGTTCTAGGACGTTCACTCGCGATAACGGATCCTGCAGGGCAACATGATTTACTTGGCCATGATCACATCGCGTGTGCCCGTCATTCCGCCTTTCACTTCGGAAATTGGCGGTGACCGCGTCCCCATTCCGTTCTCTGACATTTTTGACCTGCCCTATCTCCGCACAACGCTCGGTATCCCGATTCTGGAATGGCAAGATGTCAAAGACAATAGGCTCGCGGAAGAACTGGACGCTCCGCCAGACGAACTCGGGTGCTGGAACGTATGGCAAGCTCAGAACATCATCGCAGATGCGCCGAGGGGTAGCTTCAGCACGTCTACGTTAGGCTTGGGTATGTGAATACAACCGTCCCGTCCATGAAGATCATCGTTCCTGACTTCCATACGATAGACATCTCTTACACTCGTGCACCCGACTGGATCAAACTCATCCCTGGATTCCAGCACGACCTGCACTCTACTTTCTGGTCAGTCGCACGCCTCGCCTTCCCCGAGACGCGCAACGAGGTCTTGGCGCAACCGGCTGCCCATCCCACATTGCCTACCCAGTCGGGCAATCAACATCCGCCAGACGATCAGATGCTCTGCTATGACATCCTATACTACGTCGTTGGGGCAGTGGTGAGTTGCAGTCAATCCTGGTATTTATACGATGGCTGAGGCGAAGCGCGAAAGCCCTGGGAATTCGAGTTTGATCATAGCCCGATGTGGCGCTTCGTGGTTAAGCACTTCAAGTTCACGCAGCGTCTAGAAGAGCTCGCAGAGGGTTATTTACGCCGCACGCTGAATGTCCCTGACGGCCAAGAGATCCCTCCGGTGCGTCCTGCATTTATAGCGCACGCCGCTATTTACTGATGGTGACCTTGCAGTACATCACCATTCACGCTCGACGCGGTGACTTCGCTGATTGGTGCGGTGACGTCGCTCGCGACCAATGCTTCCCCCCTCTTTCGGCCTTCGCGCAACGTGTATTCGAGGTGCAAAACGAGCTGCGCAGCAAGCGGGGCATCGAGGTGACGAGAGTCATCATGACGGGGAACGAGAGGGACCCGAACTGGTGGAACTCCGTGTACGAACTCGGGTGGCTCCAGGTCGACCACGACAAGGAGCGGACTGTCGAACTCTACGGAAAATGGTGCGCATGCGGCGTTGTGTTGTCCGTCTCTTGGCGGACACGTTGTTAACGTTCGTGGCCTCGGTCCTCATAGGTATCCCGTTATCTTGGACGCAATCATTCAGTCCCGTGGCATCGGCTTTGTGGGCACGGACAGATCGACGTTCTCGTCTCTCGCGCGGCGTCGAGTGGCCGAGTGGAACAATGGTGCCGTGCGCACTGTCAAATGGGGCACGCTGGACTCGGATCGACACTAGACAATGAATATCGGACTCTGAAGTTGTACGATTACCGTGACTAGAGGTAGATGCCAGCTGGCTACGAGATTTACTCGGAGTATTGGGAGATCATCATTCATTAGTCGTCCCTGCACTGGGATCCCACTGAATGAATACGTTCTGGATGTGCTACTCGAATGTTCATGTCTGTTTTGTGTGCTGTACGGTACGCTCGAAATATCGGTTGGATGATGGATCTGGATTGTGCATCCGTCGGACGCTGGACCCTCAGTCACATGACATGGTCTCATACGGCACTCCCTGTCTGAACTTCAAGTGGACTCTCAGGCTGCCACTTACATAATTACAGCTACACTGGCACTAAGTATAGTACCTTCCGCGTCGCAGGTGTACTTGAATCAAAGCTGCTCGACATCCTCCAGGTCGGCCTATTCGCTCCTGTGTTCTGCGTTCGAGTGGCTTCGTCTCGTAGCACCTAACGTGATCACGAGAGTCGATTCAAGTGAGTATTACATAGTATATTAACTCGCACCCGCTGACTCCAATGACCAGTTGAAAGTGCAACTACAGCAGAAAAGGACGGCAAGCGAGAAATGGTAGTCTGGTGAGTGCGGTACCCTCTGCGTATATGTTTAACGAGTACAGGTCATGTAACATGATTTCCAATTTCACCGTGCACTCACTGCAAGTTCCTAGCATTGGCATATGTTTGGCATGACATCCGAGTCTTGATGTCAACTTGCACGCACCTTCAGGTTCGTCATGATGCTGCAGCAGACCACATTGTATGACATAGGCCATCGGTGCATCATTCCATGGATCCTTTCATGGCAGGCTCGGCCCACTAAGCCTTGGCAGGCCGGCAGCCTGAGACGAGTCACTGGCGGCTCAGCGCTCAGTCGTTGAAGGCATGCATCTCACGATCCCCTGTCTGCACTTTCACCGTGACATCGCCCCCAGAGCTGAGACTACATTCGTTCTGACGATGATCTATTGCATTAGGGACATGCGCATCCGACAGATAAGGATTGGCGTCTTGGAACCTCAGGCTTGATACGTCTGCCGACTCAGGTCGGAACCAGGTATCATCCACTCGAGTGCCGCGGCTCGGAGGCTAAAGGTTCGGACTATTCAAATGCATACCATTGAGTAATACAACAGTGCACGGACGTGCGCTGTGATAGGCAGGCCTTGTGCCGCTTTTCACGGAAATGGCACTGTCAATGTCCCCGTTCGTCATCACTCTTCGCCGAACAGGATTCAGATCTGTCATGTTGCAGGAGCTCTTTGGATATTCCCTGGACACATGTGGCGTTACCTACATGCCGACTGCTAGCTGCGCACCAATTAGAAATGAGGCATGCAGATGGTGTTGGTCAGTGACGCAGGCGTATGGGAAGCCCCAAGCGGATTGCACCACCCGGTACGGTTAAGCTTTTCAGTCTCGGACATGGCCCATCTAGGATCCTACCCAAGTACAAGTAGAGCATTCTACTTTTATAGCACCAGGTGGGCCACCTGGTGCTATGAACAAAGAAATCTGACATTCGCTGCGGTAAGTTACAGCGTCGTCGTCACATGAATAGGCCCCCTTCCTCGCACTCGTCGAGTCGTATTGCATTCGATTCTTCCAATTCGCAACCTAGGAATTCTGCACGCTTACCCCAAGGACGGAAGCCCTGTCATCCCCGAACGACATGATGTCAAGCGAGAAGGCTAACGCCGCCGCTGCGGCTGCCGCAGCCTCATGGGAAGACTATTGGAAGCTGACACGCATCTACTTTTGGCTGGCTGGTGCGGTCTTGTTCTGGTCGCCATGCTGACATCACATCATCAGTTCTTGCATTCCACTTCTCTGACTCCGCTTTCGCCGTACGGAAGCGTGGGGACAGTGGACTGACGATGAGTGCATACCGTCTCAACTTATCCCCGCAGGAGCCTATAGGCATCCAACCAGCCCTATATCTTGTTGCTTGCACTATTCGTCACAATGCGGCTTGTATCTGGAACGACGTTTGGGATCGTGACTTCGATCGTCAAGTTGGTGAGTACAAACTTCTTCGGACACGGGCGTCGGGGCGGTCCAATTTAAAGAGTTGATGCCATAACAGAGCGGACGAAAACGCGGCCGGTCGCCTCCGGCATGATCTCTGTATCCTCCGCTCTTCTGTTCCTCATGTTCTTGCTCGGCTATAATGCGTAAGTCACTGACTCAGTTGATACCTAGTCTCCGTTGCTGACCAAAAAGAGATGCTCTCGTTTGTTGATACCCGGATTTGAACATTATGATGATGACATATCAGGATGACGACCGCTCTATTGGGCTTCTTCACTCTGGAGCTCATCTATCCTTGTATGACGAAGACAGAAAGCATATGTACCGAACTTATGTAGTACGGGCCTGAACGTCGCGCCTGTACCGGCTGAGGCTTAAATGAATATGCTTGACTTTCCATTCCCATTCTGTATGTAACTGCTGGTTCTTCCTACGTTTCTGGACGCATCAACGCGCACAAAGAGCCCTCACTATGTAAGGGGTGTGTGTATGATGAGTAGGCCATCATCGACGAACACGAGAATGCATGGGGATATGCGGTTCAGACGAGGCTTGGAATCATCTTCTCGGTACAGGACGGTGTGATTGACCACTTTTCGAAGTTGAAGGGACAGCGGAGATTAGGATGCATTACGATCTGAACCTAGTTGGGACACCTTTGATCAGCTTCGAGGATCGGGAAGCTCACGTACAGCCCTCTTCGTCGGCTCGGCCGCCGTCGCAGTAGTCTGATCGATCTACGCATTGTATCAAGGAAGGTAATGAGCGGCTGGAGTCTATTGTTCTATGGCATATACTTAATGGTATATCTTGAGTGTGCTACGGAATACAAGACTGGAGGACCTGACCTCGGATAGCCACCTGTGTCTTAATCTACATGGTGTACGACTTCCGTTGTGAGCATGATGAATTTATCCTGAGCAGCGGACAGAGGCGTCGTAGGCTGTTCTTGATGCATATATCTGGGGGAACGACGATAGGCTCATGAGACTACAACGAACAAGTCAAGTCAAGAGCTTGCCTAGAATACATCCGCGTTGATCTCTGCGTCTGTACATCATCCAGCTGTATGTCGTTCGTATGTTCTCCTGATGAAGGAAAGAAGCCCATGCCCTGTCGATTCGGATTCCGGGCATTCAATCTGACGGCAGCGAGGTCAGTACATGTCAGAAGTTGTGAGACAGTGCGCATCTGGCATGACCATGACGTACACAGCAAGCGTGGAAACGATATACACTGTATACAGTTAGACAGCCCGCGATGTACGGCTCGGAAAACGACGTACCTCTTGTTCCTGGAAAGGCGAACAAAGACCAATAGAAGCCGTTTGAACGGTAGGAAGCGAACTGAGGCGTGCGTCAGTTCCATATATTTCATATGCCAATGATGCAAGCGGCCTCACCAGGATGGCTTGAAGGCTCTGCATGACTCTAGTAATTTCCAATGTCAACTAAACTCATAAAATCCTGCATGAGCCAGTGTTCCTTACGCAGTAAGGACACCCCGGTTGATGATGTAGATGGTCAACTTTCGGAGGAGCGAAGACGTGCTGCAGGCAATGCTCAACCTTCGCGGAGCTATTCTGAATCATGTCACTTACCGTCTGAACTCACTCCTCTCCCGCCGCAGGAGCAGTGACAACGCAACAGTAATGTAGATGTCGGCAATGGCAGCGAGTAGTGGCTGTACGAAAGACGCGATCTAGAAGTGCCTTCGCGTGAGTTTGCGTCAAGACGTAACAATGGTTGCGATGAACGTGTACCTTTGCTTTCGAGTTCATGAAGGCCCCGGGGAGCGCGGGATGGTCAACGCTATGAAATCGCAATGAGCATGCGCGACAAGTATTTGGCGAGCAACCACTCACATCAGATGAACTACCTCTACGAGCTGGGTCAGCGCCACAATGCTAGTGTAGAAGCCTGGGACTTACGAATGCCAAAGGCTGTAACAACGAGATCCCTATTAGGCTTCACGATAGCTTTAGATCCATGTATCACTTACCGTATGATAACAATGATAACAGAGTCTATGAAAGATATTATTCCCTGCACGTAGCGGCCATCGTCCCGACTAAGACCGTGACTTACCGCAACGACTGCAAGGGGCATCTTGAAGGACCGCTCCCCGCCCACTGTATTGCATTGAGTCAATACTAGCGACAGCTGGTAGATAGTCGCATCGACGTACACTTCCATATAGTATAAATGTAGTACCTAGAATTGTCATTGACAAAGTCTACACATCGTGCAAACAAGTCAAAGCGAGACGTACAGCTGCACGATGACAACAATGGTCGCCTAGAGCAATATTTAGAACACCTAGAAAAAAGAGAAACATGACGTATACCTACTGCAAGGAACCACTCGATCTACTGCCAGTCAGTAGTCTTGTCGAAAGCGTAGAAGGACAGCACTTACAGGTCCAGCACTATCAGCGAATAGGTATCAACTCCGACACATCAAGCCAGATCATGAATTTCTACGTACATTGGCATTACGGTAAGTGCTAGCGGATTTCCGTGTCCTCGAAGCAGGAAGTCCCATATTGTCTATCGTATATTTCAGTGGCAGTACTGTCAGGATCACAGATGAGCCAATCTAACCTCAACATGCGTAGCTGTAGTAGCAGTATCGAGTGCCCTATAGTTTTATATGAAGTCAGACAAGTGAGGTCATGGTCACTTAACGAGAGACATTACGACCATAGCAAACAAACCTGGGGATGTCAAGCAGTTATGCGAGGTCCTCAGATCGACTTGATGGCACTTACGAAGAGCCTCATATTGATCCGATCCTCCGGATATTGCGAAAGGTAATACAAGACCTGCGCACATGAACACCCGTACAACCTACAGGCTGTTAGCGCAAGCCATGAACGAGGTCGGAGCGCGCACACCACAGCAAGGACCAGACCGACGAAGAAACAGCCGATAGTGTTGTCCAGGTGGAGGTTGGGCCCCGTCATAGCGACACTGTGAGAGACGGGCCTCGAGTCCTTGCAACCGGGATTATATGCGGAAACGGGAGTCGCTCACGCATGGGGAAAGAATCTTGAGCACGGCTCGATGCCGGAGATCCGATCGCAGAGTGAAAGGGATTAATCTGACAGCGCGGATGGGAGCATTCCGCACCTCGCGCACGCCAAATCACGAAGGATGGACTGGTTCCCAACAACACCTTCGCCCCTTCTCCGAGTGGCGGCACCGAACAACTTCTGCGCCGTACAGCGTGGCGCCTCGGTGACAGTACATGTGAGGCAGTAGGGCGGTGGGATATCTCTCAAGAGACGACCGTGACCTTCGGACCAGAAGCGATGGCATACGTCAACGTCAGAGTTTTCAAGGGTCAAATTGTAAGTCGCTGTCACCCGGACCTTAGCTTGATCGAAGGCGTGCGGCATTTCATGTCTGCATTCAGTGGACCGGTCATTGGTTATTGTGAGTCGTCGAGCCGACAAGAAAGGGTGTCTGCTGGAATTGCATGTATTTAACATCAGCGCTGGTAGTCCTCCGCGCAGTTCATGAACTTACAGGACCCTTTTCGCGCTCGCAAAAATCGTGAGTTGCAGCTTCTCTTCTCTCGCCGCCACACTGGTTGGTGGCCTTGGCGCACAATCTTGGACTAGAAGCTGGGAGAGTGAGCGCTGGCAAACCTGGCCCGACAGTCTGTTCCGTATCGTCGCATCTATGAATGGCCCTGCGGCGTACAATCCGCAACATGAAGGTCTGACAGCCAGAGTAGCCTGTTCATGCTTTATGATGAGAGCTATCAGTTGGGCGCTGTCAAGTCCGTCAGCCGCCGTCGTGGTAGCGCACAGCTCCCTGTAGGTTGGTTTAGCTGCTGAGATGTAATTTGACCGGTACTCACTACCAGCACCAAAAACCACCACTCGAGGTTCGAGTTCGATTGCCATGTGGAACCGTGTGAGCCTGCACCTTGACGGCGACTGGATTGCAGAGTCGAGATCACCGCGGGAGCTCTACCACTTGCACTGGCATAGAGCGCCTGCGCCTGGCCCAATATCTTCAACTTCTTCACTTCGATTTCTCACGTCGGCTGGGGAGGTTCGGCCGCCTGTGCATGTACTTGTAAGATCTCATTAGCAGGAATTCCTATGAAACACTGGGATGAAACACTGGGAGAACGGTATCACAACTCACCGCACGTTCGCTTCTCATGCAACTCGTCCGGACAGTTGAACTGCGTTGTATATCAAAAGAACATCAACATGATCTTCTTGGATCGAGACCAGCTGGTATTAAGGCTCTCGGTCATCCGACGCATATCCGAGCAGATAGACGGTACCGCCGGCAGCTCGGACATAGCAGCTGATGCAGAAATGCAGACTCTGAAGAATCGTCAGCCACCCAATGGGGAGCAGTGAGAGGTATGGTTGTCCCGTATGCGAGCGTCTGTGCGTGCGCAAGGCGTGGCGGTGCACTTTCGGGTTCCGGTGTATCGTGGCAGTCTTGCAAGATAAATGAGGGGATAAGAATAGCGACGACGTAAGAGCGAACACACTGATCATCTTCTCATCGCCGAAGCCCTCCTCATCGCCGAAGCCCTCCTCATCGCCGAAGCCCTCCTCATCGCCGAAGCCCTCCTGCACGCGGAATGGAAGGTGAGACGCACACCTCAGCGCCAACAGCAACTGGTAAACCCGCGTACGACGGCCACCTGAGTTGAAGAACCTTTCACTGTCAGGACGCCTTTCCATGCACCGGGGCAGTATAACAAGACGTACTGTACCTAGGTGAGATGGTTTTGGTTTTGGTCAGACCGCAGCAAACGGCGGCCTATCCGGTATGCAGATCCCATTTCGACCGTGTGAATGCACTTTGGACTTCATATTGCTACCCTGGTGTGCTGCACTGCATACCAGCAATACTGTGAATGGCGTCAAGACCGTTGTGGCGCGCATCGGTGTCGCCGCTTTGAATCAGAGCTGTCATCTCTCATTGCACCAACATGCGACTTTGATTGCCCAGAGCGAAATGTAAAATCACTGTGGGCTACTGCCGTTATGCATCGCAGCGAAAGACAACTGCGTAGGACAGCCACGGCGATCATCTGCATCAGCACTGAGTGGCCGACAGGGCTCAACTGATCGACAGCATGTCAGCGGCGCCTATTCCTGGCTACTCAGGCTGCCACTTCTAGAGTCTACGGCGCCCGAGTCGGGACACCGCTGAGCCCACTCGAGGTCCCTGTGCGATACACGACATGTCGCCAAGACTGAATGGATGTGTGGTTGGATAGCATGTCCCCTATCAGAGACGCAGCGGCATCAACCAGAAGCTGCAGCTGACCAAAGAATCAACATACCGCAACCGTTTGCCATCATTGTCAACCAGTGGCCTCATCACCAGCATGGTTCTGCTCCCTGGGCTTCAGCGCCGACGCACGTATGCCAAGAACGATGAGTCGTTAGTGAGACGTCAACGCCTGTGTGGATTCTCATACCTCAGCGAACCCTGCTTCTCTTGCGCACCCTTGTATTGGCTGGAGTATCCGGGTGTGAAGCTGTAAACACACATCGCTGCACTAGTGAGAAGCAACTAGACGACAACTGACAGTTGCAGCAGGACATCAATCAAACTGCGGAAGATGCGAAGAAGCATGATTTGCTCCCTAAGAGCCAGGTTGAGCCCGCCACACGGTGACAATTGTCACAGAGTAGGGGTGACATATTCGGAGACTTTGCTCTTCTGCCGATCCTGGAGGACACGATCCCCACACCCATGTCAGTCCCCTGCGGATAAATTGCGCCTTCCTTGCTGCATATCTATTGGCATATAAGTCCCACCTGGCTGATAGATCACCCGCTACTGTGTACAGCCCCGTCGCCTCGCTCAGTACGTTGTCTCTGCCACATCGCGCAGAATCAGCGGGCGCACGACGCGGTCCCAGTTCTGCGCCCACGTTCCCCAGTAGTCCGCATCCTCCTCGCTTGCTGGGGAGCGCGGTGAGCGTGGGTAGGTGTGTCGCAGCGAGGATCGCAGCCTCTCGATGACATGAGAATGCGGATGGGACGAGAGTAGGTCCTGTGTGTATCCGTTAAGGCAGAGGGTTCAGGCTAAGGCGGGATGCGTACTTCTAGCTGCCCAGCGAGCTGTTCTGCATTGTGGAATACGAGCCCGTTGACACCGTCCTTCACGAGTTCATCCAGGCTGTGTGGGAGGTCATAAGTGATGAACGTCCATCTCGCTTCAGTATGCAGAGAAGGACGAACCATGCGAAGCCGAGTGCGCAGACAGGTAGCCCGCACCCAAACATATCGACCACCTTCATTGGCAAGTCGAGCGCAGAGGAGCTGGAATGCAGAGACACCCCGAGATCGGCGGAGCCTAAGAACCAAAACCAGATTAGCGTCAGCACGAGCGCGACACACGCCGGATTGTCGCACCAAGCAACAATGGATAGTCCTCTGCTTCGAGCCACAAGCTCACACAGCGAACGTAGCGCCAAGCGTCTTCACCGCCTTCTCCGCTCTGCAGCTTGCCGATCCTCTGCATGTATTCATCACGCAGAGGGCCTTTGCCCGTGACGATGACGAGTAGTTTCGGAAGGCTTGTTCGAAGTCCGTCCGACGAGGGTGCGTTGCTGAGTTCACGGGCCCGCTTTTCGTACAGGACCATGGCGTCGAGGAGGATACCAAAGTCTTCGTCCGGCGTCCATGATGTGCTGGAGACAAGCAGAGCAGGACGGTCGGAGCGCAAAGCAGGCATCGGTGCGGTGCCCCTCGCGAGCCGCTCTACGTCTTCTTCCTGGTCTGGCTCTGGGTCCAGACTGATGCTACTCCCAGTATCGTCAGAGGGGCGCCTGGGCTCCGAGGACAAGAGGCTGGAGCGCGGCATGGAGGTGAAAGGCGTGGAGTATGGCGGACTGATCGGGGGGAGGAACGACGTCAGTTCCGGAATCGCCAGAACACTACGCAGTTTGAGGAAGAGTTCATGCGCCTCGCTCGGAGACGCGCGATGGAAGCGAGCCGGTGGTCGGTCGTGTAGAACGACTTTGATACCTCTGAAGACGCACGTTCAGACACGTCAATGAACTGACAAGAGTACCTACTGCAGATCCCACTCCCTCACGAGGAAGTCTCGCATGGCTCGGGTAACGAACAGATGAGCGTATGCCACCCGCCCGAAGTACGACTCGAACCTAAGGGCAATCTTCAGTGAGTCTAACTGATCGGGAAGTGTAGTATGACACACTACCATTTCGCTATTCTGACGAATATGTGCTGATCTCCGAGCTTCAGAGCAAGAATGCTGTAGCCCAGGTTGTGCCAGTCGATAATGACTTTGCTGCCTCGGAGTCTGGCCACAAACCAGACGAGAGCGAGGGTTGGGATGCTAGGGGGATTCTGTCTTTTCCCGTGAATGATGGCCATACAGGCCTGCTGTCTACCCTGACTGTCGTAAATGCGTACCTGTACTATGATGAACTCTGGCGGATGCGGAATGCGCACGAGGAGCGTGTTCAATATGCTGAGCACTTGGTGCAACACTTTTCGAGGTGCAGCAACAATAAAAGGCCACGAGGAGATGTATCTGGGCGGCTCAGATAGGTACAAGAAGCGAACGTGGGGGATTGAGAGCAGTGAGGGAACAGGCTTTGTGCCTGCAGAGGACATTCATCCACTGAGCTATTTGTCACATTCGCTGCAAGTGCTCACCCGCGTAGCCTATCAAGTACGTTTCAAAGCCAATCGACGCAAAGCTCTCCGCGTGGTACATCATCCGTGGGCTCCTCCCAATGTCGCCTAGAACAAGAATGGCGACCGAACGGAGCGAGACTTCAGGTTGCCGCATGCGTACGATGCGCCATATTGCCCAGCACACTGCGCATATGATCAAAGAGTTCACCAGTACTTCTGGCGACATTGAGATTTTGTAGAGGGCCATCGAAGCACTTTCCAGTGAGACACGCCGTCGCAGTAAGAGATTGTGAGTCTCTCAGTCTGACCGTCACCGTACTCTGACGCGCTCGCCGCTCAATGTGGCGGATGATGATCACGTGCCTGCAGAGGAGCGACACCGCCCAGCCTTGGAAGCGTGCGCCAGTGAACTTGTCTTGTTCTTGCCTCATTCCCTCATGGCCTCCCCTACAGACGATGGCTTCACGCATCAACTGGCCATAAAGCTATCAAGGGCTTTGAATCTCGTCAACCCAAACGATCTACTTGCGCGACGCGTGCAAGACATAGCGAAGACTAATACGTTAGAGGGCTTCATTACTGGTATGTTTCACATCGTGCCGCAAGGACTCGGTGTTAACAGACCTTACAGCGGCCAAGTCATTCGGCAAGTTAAAGGACTCTTTCCTTGCAGAGATTCATTCAGAGGTTACCTCGCATGTGACGCAGGAAGAGTCTGGACACGTACCGCAGCCCGTACAGGGCATCGTCGTACATGACAGCGAGGTTCTTGCACCAGATCCTGTTAGGCAAGGAGGGCTGATGAGAAAGGAAGCTGTATGTTATCACCATTCTCTGAAGGTGGCATCATTCCTGACGTCGGTGACCGTAGGCCCACGCCTTCCGCCCGCCCGCAAAGCCGATACAGCCACCCACACCTCGCGCATCGGTCCTTGGCCTCGACAGACTTGCACAAGAGAAGCGCGCCGCCGCTGCAGCTGCCAATGGCGAAGGGAGCAGAAAGAGAGCCAAGTTGGACGATGGCCCGGAACCTGCGTTTAAAGGTGAGATCAGTTATCCCAGGAATCCTATCTGTCGGTGGGGAGGGTTCGTTCGGCACTCCGAGATTCTGGCATTCTTGTCCGGGGTAGGTTGTCTGGGATATGCCATCGATTTTGTCCGGATAAAATCAGGCCTCAGCGATCTCTAACTGGTGTTGTCCGGGCTGTGCATCAGGCTATGGGTTCAGTGTCCGCATGTGAGGGTCAACTATACAAGCCATGACGGATGGTGGGCGAATGGGCATCGATGATGTGCAGGCGGTGCTACTCGCCGCGTTTGTCCTATGATTCGTCAGAGGCGTACCTCCTCCAATGGCTAGATATTGCCCGGATCAGGCTCTCCCCAGTCAATGGAGGGTCCTATCGTGTCATATATAGGTTCGAGACACTGCTAACACTTCAAATAGTTCCCAGTCTTCCTGCTCGCTCAGCAAACATACGTCAGCGCGGTGAAGAGACACCCTCGCATCCCGGTGGCCTGTCCGAGACTGCACGGAACAGGTTGGATGAATTTAGACGGAGGAGAGAGCGAGGTGTGTGCAGTTTTACCCTAATGTCATTCGCCTAGCTTCAACTTCTTTTTAGAAGGTATCAAAGCACAGAACGAGCGCAGAGACGATGGGCCTAAGGGTCTGGGCGACTTCCAGAGGCGATTGAACCGTGACGACAATCGTCGCAGAAACGACAGGGACCGTGACCGTGGTGGCCGAGGATGGGATGCGACACCTCGCTCTGAGCGTGGCAGGCGCGGTGACGATGCGCCCAGCGTTCGTGTGCCGAATATTGGCTGGGATGCAACCCCTCGGCGGGCGTCTTCTGTATCGGGCACCCCTGTTCGCGATCGGCGGTGGGACGCGCCAACGCCACGCAGGGGATCGCCAACAGAGGATACGGAGGACGTGGCAGGTATGGGTCTAGATGCGCATGAGTGGGAGGAAGAGCAGGTCCGCCTAGACCGGGACTGGTACATGGGTGCAGAAGAGGGTAGTGCGCTCGACGAGGAGTTCAACCCGCTGGCGCAATACGAAGACTTGAACGCGGTCAGGGAGGCCGAGGCGGCGAAGAAACAGGTGAAGAGGATCTCGGCGAAGCAGGCGCAGTACAACGCGGACAACGACCTCTGGGAGGCGAACCGGATGCTGACCTCCGGCGTTGCGACGCGGAAGACGATTGACCTTGACTTCGAGGACGAGTCCGAGTCCTCCGTGCACGTCATAGTGCACGACTTGAAGCCGCCGTTCCTCGACGGGCGCACGGTCTTCACGCGCCAACTGGAGCCGATCAATCCGGTGCGCGACGCGACCAGCGACATGGCGGTCTTCTCGCGCAAGGGCTCCGCACTTGTCAAAGAGAAGCGCGAACAGGCAGAGCGCGCAAAGGCTGCAGCGAGGCTGGCGGCCCTTGGCGGAACGGCCCTCGGCAATATCATGGGCGTGCAGGACGAGGACGCGCAAGCTGAGGGTGAGTACACTTTCCCTGTCATTCTTGCACATATCGGAGTGGACATTCACGTAGTACCGGTTGTAATGCGTCTACAGCTGAGGCGGAGGCTAAGATCAAGGCTGGTGAGAAGGAGGACTATAAGGGCGACTCCAAGTTCGCCAGCCATCTCAAGACGCGCGCTGGGGTCAGTGCCTTCGCGAAGTCGCGCACCCTCAAAGAGCAGCGTGAATACCTGCCTGCGTTCGCGTGCCGCGAGGAATTGCTGAAGGTCATCCGTGATAACCAAGGTACGTTTGCTGTTGCGTTTTCCGCATTGGCTCGTCTGACAGATGATACAGTCATTGTCGTCGTCGGAGAGACTGGGTCAGGCAAGACCACCCAGTTGGCGCAGTTCATGTATGAGGACGGGTACTGTACATATGGTCTGATTGGGTGCACACAACCTCGGCGTGTCGCCGCTATGTCCGTGGCAAAGCGTGTCAGCGAGGAGATGGAAGTACGCCCACTTTTCGCCAGTCGAAAGACCATTATACTGACTACGCACAGTGCAAACTCGGTTCTACTGTAGGCTATGCGATTCGTTTCGAGGACTGTACGTCGCCAGAAACGAAGATCAAATGTATGTCCTGCCGCCCTTCGACGATCACGCTTACTGACCTTTCCTTAGACATGACGGATGGTGTCCTCCTTCGGGAGTCACTCAACGAAGGCGACCTTGATCGATATAGCGTCATCATCCTTGATGAAGCCCATGAGCGTTCGTTGAGCACCGATGTTCTCATGGGTTTGCTTCGGAAGAGTCAGTACCTTAATTCTGCTCGTTCACGAAGCTTCCTGACCTCCGTCTATAGTTTTGTCTCGCCGGCGAGATCTGAAGCTCATTGTCACATCCGCAACGATGAATGCCGAGAAGGTTTGTCCGAACCTGTTATGCCTAATCGCAGTCAACTCAATCTATCTGTATAGTTCTCCACCTTCTACGGCAACGCCCCATGTTTCACGATCCCAGGCCGAACCTTCCCGGTCGAGATCTTCCACTCCAAATCGCCTTGCGAGGACTACGTCGACAGTGCCGTCAAGCAAGTCCTCCAAATCCACCTGTCTCTTCCTCCAGGAGACATCCTCGTGTTCATGACGGGTCAAGAGGATATCGAGGTGACTTGCCAAGTGGTACAAGGTTCGTGTATGAGTGAGCTGCCAGTGCGCGCAATTGCTGATCTTCTCATAGAGCGCCTCTCGCAACTGGATGATCCTGCGCCACTGGCAGTACTCCCCATCTATTCGCAGATGCCCGCGGATCTCCAGGCGAAGATCTTCGAGCCGACCTCTGACGGAAGACGGAAGGTTATCGTTGCTACGAACATCGCCGAGACGTCTCTCACAGGTAGGCACTCACATTATGTGCATCATGCATCATTGCTGATAGGCATGCTGCAGTGGATGGTATCCTGTATGTCGTAGATTCGGGCTACTCGAAACTCAGGGTGTACAACCCGAAGGTCGGTATGGATGCTCTGCAGATCACGCCGATCAGCCAGGCCAATGCCAACCAACGGACTGGTCGTGCGGGTCGTACCGGCAGCGGGTTTGTAGCTCCTCCGTCACTGATTCGAACCTTACGACTTACGCCCTTTGTGTAGATTCTGCTATCGTCTGTACACGGAGATGGCCTACCGCAACGATATGTTCGCCAATACAATACCCGAGATCCAGAGGACGAATCTTGCGAACACCGTGCTTCTGCTTAAGTCGCTCGGCGTCAAGAACCTTCTAGAGTTTGACTTCATGGACCCTCCACCTCAGGTATGTTAACGCGGTATGTATTCGAGGATCTGAATGCTGACTGTCTTTCAGGCGAACATGCTGAACTCCATGTACCAACTCTGGGTGCTTGGTGCCCTCGACAACGTTAGCGACCTCACGCAAGCCGGCCGGAAGATGTCTGAGTTCCCAATGGAACCATCAATGGCCAAAATGCTCATCGTCTCCGTTGAGTACAAGTGCTCGGCCGAGATGCTCACCATTGTGTCGATGTTGTCTGTACCGAGTGTGTTCTACCGGCCAAAGGAGCGCATGGAGGAGGCTGATGCCGCTCGCGAAAAGTTCAACGTCCCCGAAAGTGATCATCTGACTCTGCTGAACGTGTTCGCGCAGTGGAAGAGCCATGGGTGAGTAGCCCGCTCTCATAGATGACGCTGCTATGATGTTCATATGTTTTGCCTAGGTTTCGCGATGATTGGTGCATCCGGCATTTCCTCCATCCGAAGTTGCTGCGCAAGGCTCGCGAAGTGCGCAGTCAGCTCGAGGATATCATGAAGTTCCAGAAGATGGAGATCATCTCTGCTGGCACTGACTTCGATGTCATTCGGTGTGTGGTCTCTGTGTGGGTAGAAAGCCGGGTTGGCTCATGGCCTCATCACAGGAAAGCGATCACTGCTGGTTACTTCCATCAAGCCGCGAGAGTGAAGGGTATCGGTGAATATGTGAACATCAGGACTGGCCTGCCTACGCACTTGCATCCTACAAGCGCACTGTACGGTCTCGGATGTAAGTCGCACGGCCTGCTCACCACAACTAATTGCTCACATCGATGGCTTAGTTACGCCTACCTACGTCATCTATCACGAACTTATCCTCACGTCCAAGGAGTACATGACTCAAGTGACAGCTGTAGATGCGTATTGGCTAGGTGAGTAGACATGCTGGCTGCGATATGCCCTGGACGTCTGACTGATATCACAACCCTACCTAGCGGAACTGGGTTCCGTCTTCTACTCCGTGAAGGAGAAGAACTTCGATGACAGAGGGAATCGCCGTGTTGCCGACCGCGAGTTCTCCAAGAAGGCGGAACTTGAGACGCAAATGGCCAAACAGCGTGAGGAGTAAGTCACGCTGTCAGCATCCGCATGATGTAACACTCACATTGGGCTTTCTCAGGACGGCGAAGAAGCAACGCGACGAAGCCCTCGCCAGCAAGCTGTCTAGCGGATCTGCCTCCAAAGTCATCGTTCCCGGCACCCCTAGGCACACTGGGGTTGGTGCTGGTGGTCGCGTCACACAGACCCCACGGCGGAGGGTGGGTATATGAAGAGCGAAGCACCTCGTCAATTCCTCGTATCGTATTCTTCTACATACAGTAGTTGTTGCTATTATGATCATGTTGTGCACTATATATTGCAAACCTTCGGCCGCGAATTAGACTTCTCGCCGTAGGCTTATGTATACCTTCTGCGTGACGTTCCATGTGTCAGGTTGTACATAGTAGTCTGTACGATTGTATCCTGAGGTCGTCGGTCATTCTACCACTACCGTGCGCAATAGACTTTGAGTTGCTTACCAGCCACCGCAGTGCCGCCGCGGGCTGCCTCAGCCTGCACCTCAGAATATACAGTTCTCGTATCAGTTACGAGACAAGGAATTAAAATCAGCTAGTACTCAGTGCGTTATTGTATATCGAATGCACGGAGAGGGTTTGATGGCCCAAAATGGTACCGCAGGGACTGGAGCAGTCACCTGGCCCCGCCGAGGTCACTTGCCTCTGTTCTCGTCTTCCTCTCTTTCCAACTCCCATCTCTCTCGACCTCAACGACCACGACGACCACGACGACTGACAGTACCACCTCCGTGTGTCCTGAGAGGCCTGAATCACGCAGCAACGGCTTCCTCACATCTTTGAGTCGAAGGCTGTGACGCCACCACCAACTACCAAACCCATTCACCTCCTGGGTCCTGGAAGGTTTGGTACGTGTCTTCAGGCTCGTTGACAGTATACTCGCTTGACTATTGCGGTATATGCGCAGACGAATCATCGGGCACCGTGTGTAGCGAGGTGACCCAGGAGTTCGAAGACCTGCCTGTGTACCATGTCCACCCGTCCGACTCGCTCCGCGAGTATCCCTATTCCCTCAAGCACACCCTCAGCGGCGCGTAACCTCGAGGATGTACTCTCCATACCCTTCGTCCGACAGCCATCAAGCGGTGCTGCCTCCCGACCCCGGCGTGCCAGTGGCGTCTCACACAGCCCAGACGAGCAAAGGCTCCGAGGCCCTAGCGTGAGTCCCGTGCGCAGTACTATTAGCACCTCGCCTTCGAGGCCGTTGGTGGGCAGCTACTCGTCAGCCCTTAGTCGCGCGACCGCACAGCGAGTGGGCACACCGACTAACGCCGACCTCTCCGCCCCGACCTTCCAGCCCCGCATCATCCGAGCAGCGAGCAACCCTACGCCGTCGCGTGACCCTATTGCTTGTCTTCCTGGGGCTGCACCAGCACCATCTACGTCTCCCGTACGTTCCCATCGCTTGGGGGATCGCCCGAGCACGACAACCGTTGCGCCGCGTCTCTCTGCCTCCCTCTCTGCGGGCTCTCGTGTGCACCCCTCCTTCACCCACTCTGCGTCTGCCAATACAGTCCCGACTACCGCGGTACAGGCCTTTCCTCGGCCGACCTACCTCGAATACTCTGCTCTGCGCGACTTCTTGCACACGGACACACCCGCGATCGTGCCTCCTGCACGTAATGCTACGATCGTACCGCATCCTTTGACTCCCGTCGTTGCTCCCCAACCATACCCATACTTGCGTCGATCCTTGACGCCGGCCGACAGCGACTCCGAAAACACCCCGAGTCCTAGTCCGCCTCCTCACGACACTGCAAGCACCGCCAACAACAGTCTTGGAGCTCTCTCTGCAAACCCGGTGCTGAGACTTCCAACCAGATGGAGCGAGCAGGACCGCAGCACTGTGCTCACGATTTCCCCAGACGGACAGGAGGTGACGTTCCACGGTGAGTTCAGGTTCGCGTTGCCGCATGGGGTCGGGGTCTTACGTTCGCAGGACCATCATGCACGGGGGAGAAGGACTCGGCTGCCGCCCGCGCGAATTTCGCGATCCCACCAGCGTGTGGGATCTACTATTACGAAGTTGAGATCATCCAGCGTGGACAGAAGGGGTGAGCCAGGTCGGGTTAAATGAAACCTGGATGCTGACGGGTCGTGGATAGACACATCAGTATTGGCTTCTCCGCGGGCAACGTCCGCCTCTCGCGACTCCCTGGCTGGGAGCACGGGTCGTGGGGATACCACGCAGACGACGGGTGGTGCTTCGCGGGCACGAAGGACGGCACGCCATACGGCCCTACATTCGACTGTGAGTGGGCGCACGCGCACGCTGCGAAGCCCAAACTGACTATTCGCAGCCGGGGACGTCATCGGGTGTGGGATCGACTTCAGCCAGCACCGCGCGTTCTACACGAAGAACGGCGCGTTCCTCGGTATGTGACGTCTCGCGCGTCCGCGGTGCGAACTCATGTGTGGCGTTCTAGGGATGCTGTTCGAGAACATCCCGACGGCGACCGTCCCGCTCTTCCCGTCCGTCGGCATGCGCCACACGACCGAGTCTGTGCGCGCCAACTTCGGCCAGGTCCCCTTCCGCTTTGCCATCGCGGACCATGTGCGCAACCAGCGCGATGCGGTGTGGGGAGAGATCATGCGCGTCCCGAGTCAGCTGCCAGATGCGGGCAAGGAGCATGAGAGCGACGCGGAGGCGAAGGAACTGAAGGCCCGCATGGAAAGCGCGGCTGAGGAAGAGACGCGGGCGACGCTCAGGAAGCTCGTCATGGACTACCTTGCGCATCATGGCTTCGCGCGCACGGCGACAGCGTTCCGCGACCAGTGTGCTAAGGATGAGGGTATGAGCACCTCGACCTCCGACGCATCGACGAGGGAGCTGGCTGAGTCGGCGATGGACACCGACGAGGGTCCACAAGCGGGCCCGTCTAGCATCGTGCATCGATATGGCTCTGAGTCCACACTGAGCGTAGAGGGCTCCGATGAGATTGATATCGCAGACGTAGAGACACGCGACCTGCAGACGCGCCTGTCGATCCTGCAAGCTGTTCGTGGTGGCGACATCGACCGCGCACTGGACGAGCTGAAGGCGTACTACCCGCAGGCGCTGAGCGCGCAGGACGGACTGCTGCTCTTCCGCCTGCGCTGCCGCAAGTTCGTGGAGCTCGTCCTGAAGGCGGGTGCCGCGCTACGCAAGGTGAAGGAGGTGGAGAAGGAGCTGGGCGAGAAGGATCCGGACGCGGATGGGTTACCCCCGCCGCCGCCGCCCGCGGTGGGAGGGATGCCGGACGACACCGCGTTGGATGGAGAGGGCGCGATGGAGGTGGACGACCCATCGCCCGAGGCCCTCTCCACGTCCACTGTCCGCGATCTGTCCACTGGCGCTCTGCTCTCCGCCCCCGCCGCCGCTCCCGTCGCCCCCATTACGCCGTCTGGCGCGCAGCTCCTCGCGGACGCGGCGCGGGACGCGCTGCACACCGCGCTGGCGTACGGTCAAGCCCTGGAGGCGGACTACAAGTCTGATACGCGGCCGGCGGTGCAGACGCACCGCCTGCGCACGTTTGGGCTGGTCGCGTACGAGGACCCCGAGAATGCTGGTGGCGAAGTGGCTGCGCTCGCGGGGCAGGACGCCCGGGTGCAGCTGGCTGGTGAGGTCAACCAAGCCATACTGCGTGTGTACCTCCTTTTGAGCCACGGGTTTGTTCTTACTGACAGTGTGCTCGTGCAGAATCCCAAGGGCGCCCGGTGCATCCTGCCCTCGAGACACTCGTCCGTCAAGCGGGGGCGTGTGTGGTTCAACTGGGCCTCCTCGGTGTGGGCCACGCCGCCTTCGCGGACGTGCGCCAGGAACTTCTGGAAGCTTGACCTCGCTGCTGCAGTTACTGTGTGGCGACTTGACGGTGTAGTTGTGCTGTTGTACGATGTATTTGACGGACGCCGGGAATGCTAAGAAATAAGGGGCAGCGTGTGTAGCGTAGAGTGTACTAATTCCAGCCCGTGTACTGTTAGTGCTCTGAAATATATCCAGGTCTTTGAAACATTGTTTTGCCTGTGTGGTCTCCTTGCTCAGGCAACGTTGTTCCTGAGGACCACGTCGCGGATCCAATTGCGATCGATCGAAGGCGGATCACCCCGAGTACGGCTCGCGCCCAGGGACAGCCAGGGACATGCTCTGACTGAGTGAATAATTCCTCCTCCAGTACCATACTGTATCGCAGCTGGTTCGAAGGTCATATGCTACCGCTCCGAGTCCGTTTTAAATTCATGCGTGGCGACACAACACCTTCGGAATCACTGGCAGTCTAATCAAATGGACAGTAAGTAGTACCTTCGGATCCGACGACATTGACATGGCCATCTGGTCACTTTTGGCACAACCTTCCGCGGAGTCCACTGCACGCTTCCCTGATGAGTCTGAACTGCGCAGGCACTAGGAACCGTAAATGAATTCAACGTGGCGGAGCGCCAGGGCCCGCTAGTTCGTCCCTCAGGCTTCCATTGGTCCCATCGACGTCGGGTGTGTTCATTGGCGTGTTCCTGTACCACTCCGGTCCCTGTTCACGGTCGACGCTTCACAGCTTCAATGGCCGCATCGAGCCCTTCAACTCGATCAGGTCTGTGCAATGGGTCACAGCCTTGGATCTGGTAACATATTCATATATAGTTCCGGCCTCTCATCCACGCCAATTCACGCCGGATCATCGAGGTCAAGCACCTCGAGTCGTCCGTTTGCGCAGATCTCCCAACCACACAAGCCAAGGGCCATCTCCAGACACATTCCCCTAAGCCTCGCCAGCCGATCCCAGCAGCATGAAGCGTATCATCGTCGCCTGCGACGGCACCAACCAGTCCGCGAGCCGCGGCGACATGACTGTGTCGACCAACGTGAACCGGTTCACGCACGCGATGCTGAACGACTCCAAGAAGGCCGGCGTCGAGCAGATCGTCTTCTACCAGTCCGGCATCGGCACGGCCGACCTGGGCGTGACGGTGCTCAATACGGGCAAGCTAGTGCAGGGCGCGATCGGCGAGGGCATCGAGCACAACATCGCGGATGGGTATAACTTCGTTATGAACAACTACCTCCCGGGTGACGAGGTGTGCTCTACTTACTTATGGTACATGGTCCGAGCGAGCTGACTTGCGGTCGGTGATCAGCTGTTTATCTTCGGCTTCTCGCGCGGCGCGTTCACAGCGCGCGTCCTCGCGAATCTCATCGCGCGCTTGGGCATCTTCAGCAAACCCTACTCGTGGGCCTTCAAACCCGCGTTCAAGGCGTACGTCGAGGGCCCGGAGAAGTTCGCGGAGTATCTGGAGCAGCTCGCCGTCAATGTCGAGCGCGACCAGAAGTGGTGGAAGCCCGAGAAGGGGGAGTACGTGCCTAGGGTGTACAAGGCCACGATCAAAGTCGTCGGATGCTGGGACACCGTAGCGAGTCTCGGAATACCATGGAGCCCGTTGTCGAACGCGGGCGGTACCTCTGGGGACTACAAGTACTACGACGGGAGTCTTGTCGGAGGTACGGCGCTGACTTATTTGCATCCGAGTCGTCTCTGGCCTGACATAGTTCTTCCAGGCATCGAACACGCCTTCCACGCGCTTGCTCTGGACGAGTGCAGGGGTCCGTTCACGCCGACGATGTGGTACCTCCCGGACAACGAAGAAGTCGCAAAAAGTACGTCCCACCTCCCACCCTCCCAATCTCACCCCACTAACCTAACCCTCCCCCAGCCATCGACCTGCGCCAATGCTGGTTCCCAGGCGTACACACCAACGTCGGGGGCGGCTACCCCGACCAGGCGCTCGCGAACCTCACGCTCGCGTGGATGGTCGACCTCTGCCGGCCGTTCCTCGACATCGACGGGCGGTACGTGGACATGTGCGTCAAGCTCGACCACATGCCGTGGCAGATCCGCAGCAAGCACCGCGAGGCGCATCCGGACGGGTTCGACCGCGCGTACCAGGGCTGGGCGCGCGGCCGCCAGTACGACTCGTACAAGAAGGGCCAGACGTGGACGTGGAAGTACCGCGCGCCGGGCGCGTACGGGAAGCCCGTCGGCCGTACGCGCGAGACGGTCCATGCGAGCGTGCGGGAGAGGTGGGAGACGAAGCCCGCGGGGAAGGAATGGCGGCCCCCGGCGCTGACGGGCTTCGAGCCCCGGCAGCGCGCGGACGGGCGGTGGGAGTGGGTGAAGGACGCGGGGGGCGGAAAGCAAACCGTAATTGAGGAAGAATCGTTTGAGACAAAGCCGGAGGGCAGCTTCGAGTGGCTGCTCCGCCATGCATCTGTGACTCCGGAACCGCAAAAAGCTGACGACAAGCCTGCCTCGGAATCGGGTAGCAGCTGTATCGTTATGTGAGCTACTGTGTATGGTTTTGTACTAGTACTGTAGTCTAGAGGTTGTATAATGGGGGATACGAGTAGCATTCATCGGCCTACTCTGAGCCGTCCGAGGGGGCGAGCAGGAGGCCTGAACGGTATGATGGCTGCGTCGGCGCTCAGATGAGGCAGACTCGGAGCGGGTGCTTTCGAGAATAAATGCGTACCAGCCTGTCCAGATGCCTCGGATGAAAGGGTGGAAGGATATGTCGGCAGTTTATCCAGGGTATAAATGCCGAATACATCTACATATCGTCGTGCAATACACAATACGATCCGAAAGGAGACTAAACAGAGAAACGTACAGTATAGCTACACAGTGAAGGTAGTACTAGTACAACACCAAACCTCGACACATACAATACAACAGGGTATTCGTGTATCCCCAACTTGACAAACCATAATGCTTTCACGACCTCGACTGGATCTAACTATCGTTCGTGGACCTGAACAACGACACGACCGTGATCAGTTGTAACACTTCTCAAAGTCCCCATCGCCATCTCGCCTAGCATACCCCTGGCTCTTCACGAATGCGTCCAGTCGACACATCCCCTCGCGCGTCTTGGCACCGCAGAACTCGAGGGGCTGCAGCGCGTCGTTCACGAAGATCCGCACGAACGTCTCCGTCTCCTTCTCCGCCGTCCCCGCGTCCCCCCGCACGACCACCCATCCGTCGTCCAGTTCCTCCTGCTCTTCCTCGGCGCGCACGCGCCCGCACTCCAGCCTCTCCACGATCATCCTAGCAGAGAAGGGCACCATACGGCTCGCCCGCCAGACACGGCGGTCCCAATGCTTCGGCATCTTCTTCGGGTTCGGCGCCTCCCCCTCCTCGACGTTGAAGAGGCCCACCGCAGCGTACACGGCGACCATCAGGTTCTCGTGCGTGAAGTCCGCGTATAGGCGTTTGCGCAGTGGGAACGGCAGCGAGTCGTTGTGCTGCGTGTGGTCTTCGACGGGCGAGTCAGTCAGGCGGGCGAGGAGCTCATTAACGTAGCCGATGCCTGATACGGGGCCGAGCGGGTTTCCAGGACTGTGCGATCATGAATGTCAGGAAAGTCGGTGAGCAGAAAAATTTGAATGTACCCAGTCTTGTAGTACTTCTCCACGTCTCCGTGGTACTCAAATGCCGGCCACTCGTCCTCCGCGAACAGGTCACAGAACTTGCTGTGCGTCTTCTTCAAATGCGGCTCGACCTTCGCGTGCGCGATGCTCTCGAAGGGGCACATAGACATCAAGCCAAAGACGTCCTCCTCGGATACGTTCGCGCCTGGCGCAGCCTTCGCCAGGCGCTTCGCGATCGGCGGCGCAAACTGGTGCACCCAGGTCGCCATCTCTTCGTCGGCTTCGGACGCGTTCGGGCAGTTGTTGTCGAGTGTGTCGTTCAGCTAGCACGGGTATCAGCCACATCGCAGTGGAATGCAGAGGTCGCGGCGCGTACCTTCTCCGACAGGAGTAGGTCGACCCTCGGTTTGACTTTTCCTCGACTGCCGTCAGCGAAGCCCCGCGTCCAGTTGCCCGCCGTGTCGACGACGCGTTCCTGGTCCGAGGCCCTCACGAAAAAGTCTTCCTCGCTCATCACCAGCCTCGCATACCGTTCGTATGCCTCTATTCCCGACTCCCAGCTCTGTTCCGCGCCGAGCGCGACTAAGTGGTCTTCTGGCAGCACATACTCGTAGTCTTTGAGGAACTCGAGCTCGGGTACTTTGTACTTGTCCGCTTGGAGGAGCTTCGCGACCGCCGACTTGTAGTCGGGAGCATTGGAGTGCGAGGGGTATCGCGCGCCATGGCGGTGTAGCTATGGAATGATCAATGAACGCGCGCATATAGTCAGGCTGCGACTACACGTACGATGTTGACCTATCATCTGGTGTTAGAAATGGTTGAACTTCATGGCGTAGTACCACTGACGACTTACCTGCGTGACATTGCAACCCGTCGGAACTGGCATATACTCTCCAGCAGGGTAGTACGGCGAGTACTGGCCCCAGAAGCGTTGTATGCGGACGGGCACGTCGACACCCACATCTGGCGTAAACCTCGTTCGCAATAGAGGACTGAAGTTGATCAGGACATTGTACCACACGAAGATCATGCAAATTCTGAGAATCCATGTCCACGCGAGGTCGCCGACCTCCCACCCGCGCTCCCTCGCAGTCTTCTCGCGCCGCCGCCCTCGCCCCGCCAACGACTTCTCTACATTCGGGTCGTACACGGGCAGGGTTGCCTCCGCCGCCAGGGGACGCTTTTCGTCCGTCTCCATCGCCTGCGAGAATCAGGAAAAGAGGGAGAAAGAGAGAGGAGAGCAAGTGCGAGCGCGCTGACTTTTGTACCCGCGCTGATTGGCACAGCTGGGCAGCATGTTGCGGGGGCAAGGCGGTCGAGTGATGTCACCGACGTCTTCTCGTGTATGTCACGTGTTCGCTCTTGCATCGCTCGGGCTCGTAAGCAGCCAATGCGTCGGCAATTGCTTACAGCACAACCACCATGTCTTCTGCGACCCTTGCATCGTCTTCAATGCGCTCATTATCGCAGGCATCGCGGTCAGTCCTCAGGCATCGCACCACAACACACTCAACACCGCGCCCGGCGTGGAGGCACTTCTCAGCATCGGCGACGTGCTCGGCCAGCCTGCACCATGGCTTGACATTGGCAACATATTCTACGACTCATCCTTCAAGACAGACACACAGCATGGAGCGTCCAATGCAATGTGAGCTCCCTTACGTCCTTTCACATCGCAGATACTCATATCTTGCAGACCGCTCAATGTTCATCCAGACCGAGACCACACCTAACGAGGACTCACTAAAGTTCATTCCTGGTGTGCCAGTCATGGATGACGGCACAGCCGAGTTTCTTGACACCAAGTCCGCGCTCACGTCTCCCCTGGCCATCCGCCTTATGGGCATTGAGGGTGTCAAGAGCGTCTTCTACGGCCCGGACTTTGTCACCGTAGGCAAGGACGCCGAGACCCAATGGTCTGTCGTCAAGCCCGAGATCTACTCCACTCTCATGGAGTTCTTCTCCTCGGGCCAGTCGCTGTTCCGCTCCGAGGAGGACAGGGAGGCAGCGGGCCCGCAGGACACGCGCATCCTCGACACGGACTCGGAGACGGTGGCGATGATCAAGGAGTTGTTGGAGACGAGGGTCCGGCCGGCGATCATGGAGGACGGCGGCGACATTGAGTACCGCGGGCTCACGGACGACGGGTACGTGCGGGTGAAGCTGAAGGGCAGCTGCAGAGGATGTGACTCGAGCACGGTGACGCTGAAGAGCGGTATCGAGCGGATGTTGATGCACTACATCCCCGAGGTGAAGGGCGTCGAGCAGGTGAGTTGCATGCGTGTATCGGACATGCGGCAGATGCTGAGGTTGGTCCAGGTTCTCGACCTAGAGGAGGAGATTGCCCTCGACGAGTTCCAGAAGCTGGAACAGCGCATCTCCCGTGAGCATGGGGACGATGCCAAAAAGGAGTCGCCGTAAGTCCTTGTCATTTTGATAGATGAGGCCATGATTGACCAGTAATACAGTATGGCACAGTACATGTCCGTATAGACGATGCGGGAGACCTGTCTAGCCATTGGATATACTTATAGCATACCTTCGATATAATTGTACACTGCATGCTCTGGATGCGCGCGTCACGATTCGGACATCTATTCTACGTTGCTTGAGCCCTCTCGAGCCTTGTCGTGAGTTCATCGCGCTGCGTTTCCGCTCGGACGAGGCTCGGACGGTGCGATCGGCGATCAGGCCGGCCATTTGAATTTCGACTTCATGGATCCCAGTCGATCATCTGAGTAAATTGCGGCCGTTCAGTATCGCACATGTAACAACGACTCAATACAATCCTTCAACCCAACCACCATGACCACACCCACCACCGCCGCCGCACCCAGCACCCCACGCAAGTTCACGCTCGCCTCGCGGGCCTCCGAGCTCGCCAAGGCCCAGACGAACCTCGCGCGCGACGCCCTCAGCGCCGCGCACTCCTCGTTGGCGGTCGAGACGGCGTTCATGGCGACAGGCGGGGACAAGAACCAGTCGCAGGCGCTGTACCTGCTCGGCGGGAAGGCGCTGTGGACGAAGGAGCTCGAGGTCGCGCTGCTCGCAGGCGAGGTGGACATGCTCGTGCACAGCTTCAAGGACGTGCCCACGGAGCTCCCGCCGGGCTGCGAGATCGCGGGCGTGATGCGGAGGGAGGACCCCGTGGATAGCTTGGTCGTGCAAAGGGGCAAGCCGTGGACGAGGCTGGAGGACTTGCCTGACGGGAGCGTCGTGGGCACGAGTAGCGTGCGGAGGGTCGCACAGCTCAAGCGGAAGTTCCCAAAACTCGTGTTCAAGGATGTCGTGAGTAGTCCATTCTATGCTCTGGCAGTTTGTCCATGACTACACGACGTATGCTACTCGGGTGCAGCGCGGTAACCTGTGAGTCCACACCTTTATCTCGCCCCACAATGGATTCTTACTACACCTCCCAGGAACACCCGCATGGCCAAGCTCGACGCGCCCGACAGTCCCTTCGACGCCATCATCCTCGCACGCGCGGGCATGGTGCGAATCGGCTTAGGCCCGCGCATCACCGCCAACCTCGGGCCGCCGACGCTCTTCCACGCCGTCTCCCAGGGCGCACTCGCGATCGAGATCCGCGCGGACGACGACGCTGCGCGTGCACTCTGCGCGTCGATCACGCACTGGCCGACGGAGTGGTCGTGTCGCGCGGAGCGCGCGTGCCTGCGGGTGCTCGAGGGTGGGTGCAGCGTCCCGGTTGGAGTCCATACGGAGTTGAGGGAGAAGGAGGGGCAGAAGGAGGGTGTGCTTGTGCTCACGGGGTGTGTCACTTCGCTGGACGGCGCGAAGCACGTCGAACACACTATCGAGCGGGAGGTGAAGTCGGTAGAAGAGGCAGAAGAGGTTGGAAAGAATTTGGCGAAGGTGCTTATTGAGACTGGGGCGCGGGAGATCCTCGACGACATCAAGGAAGACCGGGAGAACAAGATCAAACTGAGCGAGGCCGCAGAACGTGCTGGTGCTCCCGCCGCTGCGTAACTTATTCGTTCCTATCACACAAGATGAACAAAAATTTGTATGGCATGTAGAGCTGTAGATGTAGAACAAAATGTACGAGAGCTTGATAACGAGGAGGGTACCTAGCGTGCAGGGCAATGGAAGTGCACGCCAACCAACAACAGTGCCACAAGGTAACGAACTTTTTGCGTCCCCTGCCTACATTTCCCGTACGGCCGATACTTCTTGGGAATTCCTGATCAAAGGAGTAGCAACTTGCAATGCGCATGCATATGCCAACAGTAGGTGCAAAACACTGCAAATATAGCGCTAGGTCAGTAGGTACCAGGTCGTCAGATGCTCACCTCTGTGAATGATGAGCCGACGGGTCGAATGGCTATGAGCAACGATGGTCTGCTGGAGTGACGAGTCGCACAATTTGCTTGCAATCTCGTACGATTTGACAGTCCTGCGACGCTGCAATGTTCCAGAGTTGAATTGCCATTCAGGTATGCGACATAGACATCGGTACTGTAACAGACGTAGGAAAAAGTATCAAAAAAGCTTGTTCCTCGCAGCCTATGTCGCAAGGTGGTCGAGCGTCGCACCAACCAACAATGAGAACCGGGAGGGGGTCGTTCTGCGTCCCCGCGAGCGCCTGCATATCTCCTGGGTCCTAAGACAAGCGAGAAGCAAGTGACTCTAAGGCGGGGACGGCAAATGACATTGTTGAAGAGAGTGGACAGCGCGCGTGCGACCTTTTAAGAGGTCTACACGTTGTTTGGCTCTGTGTGCGTTGTGGCGAGACTGCGACGGTCCGTATCTCGGCGCTTCCGAAGCCATATCGGAGCTGTCCCCGGCGGCGAGCACTTCATACCCGCCCTTCATCCTACCCCGCATATCCAGTGAGGCCTTCATTCATATCCTAGCCAGTAAACTGCTGAATTGAAGATCTCATCTAGCTAGATCAACGAATGGCTGTTTCTACGCGTCGTTTGCAGAAGGAATTGGCAGATCTCAAGAAACAAGGAACGCCAGTAGGTACGGTCTCGCGCGCAGCTCACATACAGGCTTAGGCGGGCTCACGGAATACTAGGCATTGATCTGTTGAGCGCTGACAATTTCGAGGAATGGTTCTTGTCTCTGGAGGTGCTTGGTGAAACCGTCTTTGTGGTGAGTCCCTTGAACTCGCCACCGCAACGCCGCACTCAAGGACACATCGCAGGGCGAGGTTTTCTGCCTCCGGTTCCGATTCGACAGCTCGTACCCGATATCGTCCCCCGCTGTCCAGTTTGTGGTAGATGACAAGTGGCAGGCTCCAATGCATCCCGTAAGTCGCTAGTGTCCTGGACGCCCCGCGTTGTGTACTGATGTCCATCGACTGAATGAAGCATGTCTATACCAATGGTCATGTACGTCCACTCCCTCAGTAATCATTCCCCTAGTTGTCTCAGATTCACTCTTGACTGCTAGATATGCGCATCTATACTGGGGAATGAATGGTCACCGGTACTCAGTGTCGTGTCAGTCTGCGTGACTCTCCAGAGTATGCTGGCGTCCTGCAAGGTTAGTACTGTACTCCGTCAACGCCGCATAGTAAGTGAAAGGCATCTTTTTGCACAGGAGAAAAAGATGTGAGCGTCGCATCTCCAATCATACTCTGTGCTGCATCGAGTCTCACTCTATTTCTAGACCTCCCGGTAACGATCGATACGTCAGACACGCCCCTGATAATCCGAAGGAGGTTCGTACAAAACATTGTCAATCGATAGTGAAACTCACTTATGCTTTTACAGACTCGCTTCGCGTACGATGGTATGCATTATCCTACGTTACCATGGCAGCGCCCGTCCAACTAACAGGCTGGCCCGTCTTGCACAGATGACACGTAAGTGATTGATCCCTCTGATCTTTGCACGGAGCTGACTGCCATTGCCAGTGTATAACTTTTCGTTATGGGCTCTGGGAATCCGATGTGAAATTGTACAACATATATTCACTGACTTTCTGTACTGCAGCTGCCGGACATAGACCCGCCTTCGCGACTCGCAAACTCGCACATGTATATCGATCACATGCCTTTCTGTTCTGCTATACTAGTATTATATTCCCTGCATGGAGGTGTCCATTCTGACAATGAGTGACAGTCCTCTCGAGTGCCGGTTCTGTCTAGATCACATCGAACCCAAGTCTACTTCAATCTCGGGTTGTGCATAACATGTCCCCTCGCATCTACTCTCGTCACAGACCCGGTCTCGCCAGCCATGAAGTCCCTTCCACTCAGAGCGTCAAACGCGACCCTCGCATTGCTCGCCGACGGGCGAAATCCGCCCGGATGTCCTTGCAACGTCTGTGCCCTCTGCACAAGTGCGTCCATCTTCATCTTGTAGGTCGTACACCGGCTCTTCGCTTGCGCCACGGAGCGGGCGTCGGGTGCCGGGTGCTTGCCCTTTGTCTCGTCTGAGGTTGGGGTAGCGCAAAGCTGCGACAACTCTGTGGCTGACAGGGGGAGTAGGCCTGCCATGGTGGAGGAAGGGGTTGGGAGGAGGCGGTGGAGGACGGGCGTGAGTTTGGACCAGTTGCGCTTGATGTAGTCCTGCAGGCCTCTAGTGAGCATGTACATTACGATGAGTGCGCTCAGCCACTCACAGTTGTCTGCTCGTGGTCCCACTCTGTGATGGGTCCAGGATCGTCCGCGTGACGCCCTTCAGCTCGCCATGTTGAACCAGGTCGCCGAGCTACGCAAGGGCATACGTTAGCTGCTTTCCGCGATATAGCCCGACTCAGGCTTACCTGAAATACGGCGACGTAGCGTAGCGTGCCCAGCGTATCATCAACGTCCAGCGGACTGGGACTGACGCAGGCCAAGATCAACAGCTTGTTGGCCTGCCCCGACGACTTGCGCGACCGGTCGAAGATGTTCTTTAGGGCCATCGTCAGCCTGCTGAGTCCCCGGACAGGACGGCGCGGACGCAGTCCTTCAGGACTGATAGGGACTTGTTTGCTGCGAGGAGTCATTTTGGTTGGTGGCTCGTGACAGTGGTTTGTGACATACTCTCGATGGACTCTTTCATGGTAGCCATGTCGTTCTGGACGAGGATGCTTGACCGCTCGGACCCTAGATCGTAGGTGAGACGGCGACGCAGGTGCGTGCGCGCGAAACAAGGTACGAACCTGCGAGGTCGACAATGGTGATCTGCGACTTCCTCATGGTTTCCTCCCGAGAACAGATATGGAGACGTATGATGGAATGCGACCTGTGCAGAGGTTAGCCTCCCAATCATGCAGAGCGCGCCGCACTGGAAACCTTACCTGCTACTAGTACTGTTCTTTACCGTACTCCTCGTCAAACGCAATTCCTTCGCCCTACCAATGGAACGACACAGTGCCTCAAGCGACGGCGCCTCGTGTCTGGTCAAGCCGCTGTACTGGACTTCGCTAGCCCCAGTAACAAGCACCTTCACGGGATCAAGTGGCGGGTCAGCCTAGAGCAAGTCAAATGCCAAGTTGCCTCTATTCTCGAAGGCTTCGATGAAGATCGAGTATTGTTCGCTCTGGTCTACTTCCTTCCAGACCCGCTGAACCACTTTATCTGTAGCACGGATGGTCAGACGGAGCCTCGATGTCAGAAGGATAACGGGAAGACCTAACTTCTAGCGCAGTCGTACTGTATGTCTTGCCAGTGCTGGTCTGTCCGTATGCGAGGATAGATAGCTCGCGCGCGTCGAAGTTGAGGCATTGCTCGACGGCTTGTGACACTCTCATGCCTTTGTACACGGCATCATTGTCGAGGTCGCTGCCAAATACCGCGCTGGCTCTAAAGCTCTTCGTCGAGAACCGGCCGCTTGTGTGCATACTTAAGCATGGGCCGCTTTTAGAGTCTCTTCCGAAGACACTTACCCAACCGCACGCACCAAAGGCTGCGTGAAATGAAGCGTCCGAGGCTCTTGCACGTCAATGAGCGAGAAGGCGCCGCACGCATGGTCCTTCTCGAGCAGAGGCCGGACTCTGATGAAGGTCTCGACGAGACTACCGCCCTCTGAGTCTGACGCAGATGTGGCTTGCTCCGATTGCTATGTCGAGCGATGTTTGGCCATGTGCTGTTGTATCAGCGCCTTATTCTGCGGGACGTCAGTGAACATAGAGTCGACTAGGCGTAGTTACATAAAAGCATCGGCTTACATGCAGCACATACTTGACGCCATCGGTCAGCCCGGGCGGGTCTATTGTGATGTCCTGTAGAACCGTCGCAGAACGGTACACTGCACAGCCAACATACCTACGAGTGCCATATATAGCTGAGAGTGGATACTCAGTGCGACGGATCAGACCCGAAGAGCGCGTGTACATCGTCCGCGCATTATAATCGTATCGGTGCGCATCATCGTCCAAGACAGGTCTGAAATATAGTAGCTCGTCTGACCTCTCACACAGGTCAGTGAGCCCGTTCAAGCGTGATGTCGCACGACGAGTCAGAATGACCTACCGACTCATGGCTAGGGCAGCTATAGCACAATCACAACCAAGTTCCCGGTGCAAAGTCGAACAAACGGGCATCCAGTGACTGCAAGTGACAGAGTATACAAGCACAACATCGTCGACAGAGCTAGAACAGTGCACAGGGAGACGCTAGTAATACACACGGCTCTCCGAGAGCTAGAGATCTTGTCATGTGCCCAAGGAAATAGAGAAGACGGTCGTCGCTGAGCAAACCGATAATACAGCTACGCAAGCATTCAGTCGCCGATAGATACGATGAACACAGAAACGAAGCGCACGTGAGGAGGAGTCGCAAGCATCGCTGTTGACCGTGTCAGCAGCACCCAGCACAGCCATCACCGCACCCACACCGCCCAGCAGGGCAGCCACACCCTCCAGCACACCCGCACTCCAGGGGAGGGATCGAGACGAGGCCAAACGCCGCTCTTCGCTCCTCGCGCTCCCTCACGCCCCCACTGAACAGCGTCGAAGGGTATACTGTCACGTTCATCGCGTCCAGGCCCGCCATACGCGTCGCAGGCGGGAGCGGGAGCGACGCCGCGCGCGCGAAGAACGCGTCGATGAAGTTCGGTTGCGTACCGGGACCTAGCTTGGCGCTTGATGAAGATGAGCCCGCGCCCGGGGATGGTAGCCCGACCCCGCTCTCGTTGTCCACGCATGTCCCACACCCGTCCTCGCAGTCAGGAAAGTCCTCAGATGCGTGCACAGGACCGCGATGCTGGACGCACCCCGGACACGTGCACTCGACGCCGCAGCAGCATCCGGACCCGGCTAACGAAGCTATCTCGCTGAGAGGCGGGATAGGCGGAAAGACGGGGAGAGATGTAGATTCGCTGTGGGACATGCCAGGATAGCGGATGGGAGGCAGCTGCAGGTCTCGTTCGTCGAACGTATGTAGGTGCGCCGATCTTGTTGACGCAGCCTCGGCACACCCGGATCTGCGCCTTTTACGCTGTGGTGGGTAATGTTCGGGTGAGGGACGATGGGGGAGGTAATTTGGCGGTTGGTCAGAAGCGAAAGTGCCGCAGTGCTCTGGTTGTCCATGTCTAGGAGCATTATCACTAGAAATCGCCGTCATTTGAGCAGAGCCGGTTTCGTTGTTGACGACCGGGTGTTCGTGGGTCCAGCAGATGGCGGCGGCGGCGGCTAGAGCGGTCAGTCCGTTCGCGGAACGCTGGCCTAGGTGAGGCGATGTGTCAGCGCCAGACGGATGCATAGCCGCCTGAAGGCAGCGACAGCCCGGGGCACCGCAACCACACGAGCTCGAAGTGCTTGCTGGTGGAGGAGAGGAGGTCAGTCGTATACAACGCTAAAGCAAGACCGACAAACCATTGAAGCTGGATCCGGCAATCGACGCACTCTGTGATAGCTCAGATGGTAGGCTCTTGAGACCGTTGGGTAGTGCAGGAGCGATGGGCTTGAATCGACGCGCTGTAAGTTGAGAGACAGTCAACGAAAAAGTGGAGTGGAGGCGCCATAGGCACGCACACTTGCTCGATGAAGAGGCAGCAACCTGGGGAATTTGAGCGGGGGTTTCCGCCAGTGACCCAGAGGCGCAGTTGCATTTGTTGTGCATTCGCTTCGTCTTCCGTAGCTCCCGACATTTCCCACATTGGGAGACTGGTCGGCCCTTCTTCTTGATCTCGAAGAGAGGTCGGTCGGTATGCTGGCACGACGAGGAGCGATGGCCCTTGATGCACGATTCACTTGGAGGTCGTCGGCGATTAGAACAAGGTTATAGGCGATTACAATTTGGGTTTACCATGCAAACTTCTGGTCGTTCACGAACTGCAGTTTCACATGAGGTTGTGAGTATGCTACACAAGACATTATGTACTGACCATTCTCTGGTTGCGCTCTCCCGGCACAAGTGGACGGACGAGACGAGCCTGGGGAGGACTAACTTCAATAAGTAGCTGAGCGGCACGCTGGGAGGCATGATCAAAGCGGTCTCCCGGGTCCTCTCGGGACTGAAGAGGTACGCGATCACGCGTCACCAGCGCTGCGCATCGGGCAAGATTGCGTGACAAGTGTGACGCACCTGTGATGATTGTCACCCGGCGGGGAATGCTGTGGCCAATCGTGCAGTAAGGGTTGGTGAAAGCCGCTGAGGACCCGCAAGGTGCTGACAGCAGTACGCGTTCATATTGGATGGAGCTGAAGACGTCCTCATGGGGATATTCGCGAGCAAGTGATGGTGTTGTGCACCGGTGAGCAATTCGACATGCCTCTGAGATATGCCGTCAAGTGGCTTACTGTAAAGTGCGAGGAATGACGGCACAACGAGTGTTGGAAACTACCTCATGAAGTTTGCTTTCGGTGGGTGGCGAACACCGACAGAGCGCGAACCTGGACACTAAGTATATGGTGCCATCAAGTCATTCAAACGGTCACCACCTAGGCAGGCCTGAGGCCTGAGGCCTCTGGATAGTGACTGCGGCAAGTCTAGACATCAAAGAACCACACCGCGAGTCAAAAACACAACCACAAGTGACGCACCATTGACGCTGCTGCAGACGAACGTTCGCCACACCTTACACATCGATCCTCGCTGTACGAGGCAATTGTGCGTCGGGTGATCCCTGAGCATGCGATCAACTGTGTACCCGTCCAGACGCGAATTTGACTCTCGGACTTTATCGTCAAGTACCCTACGGGTGAGGCCTTTGCGGTGGTACGCTGCTGGGCAGATGCAAGTAGCAGAGCATCGTGCAAAGTGCGCTCACAGCCACGCCCACGCCGACCTGCGCACAAATGCCTCAATCAAGACTACGATTGCCTAACTCGGTAAGAAGGCCAACCACGATCGGGATTGGCTCACGTGCGACGACGACGTTTCCGCCACACGTCCTGCGTGACGCACTCACTGGCAGCTCACCCAGTGTGGGCAGCGGCGCGGTCGCTGCGTTTGTCAGTCACATTGTAAGGTCTCCAATACCCAACTCTAGTCATACGCGCGCAGCATCACAAACAAACAAAGCAGTACGTGTTTCTTTATTCCGTACGTACGCGATCTCAGTCTCCTGCTGAACGCCACAATGTACACAGTGCGAGGTAGACGCAAAGCCCAGAACCGTCGGTCAGGAACGTTCGACCCAGAAGATGCGAAAAAGGTCAAACATACACGCATTGGCGTGTGGGACTTCTACGAAGAGAAACGACCAATACTAGGATGGAATATTCCCGGGACATCGATGGTCGAACACTACCTGGATATGACCCGGAGTTTGCCATATGTATGGCGCATGATGAAGGACATCTCACAAATCAGAAATTGCTGGCTTCTTGTAGTATTATACGTCTTCATCGAACTCGCACACTCATTGATCCCAGCTGCATCACTATGGTATCGTGTGTCATTATTACTTCAATAGCATCGCTGACCTTCTTCGCAGGTATTCTGGTCAGCTACTATCAATTGTATGCACCACGACGCGCATTCATTCCGTGCGTAACTCATGGGATTCATAGGTACAAATCGCGATAGACACGCGTACCGTTGACAAGGACTTCCTTGTACGCATCTCTGTCGGCCGCATGGGCTGCGCCGTGCTCGGCCGTCTGCTCGGTCATGCCAAGAGCACAATATCCTACCCGCTAGCAAACCGTCTCAAACAATACTACACCGTCCACCTGTTCCATGCCCGCGCTCGCTTGGACCTGCCGACTTTCGAGGACCCCGCCGTTCAACGCCAGCTCGAGGAGGCGAGCCAGGCGTCCCAAGGGGGCGTCGCATGGGATACCTTCTCGATGACGACGTCTGCTGTGTCTACAGCGCTGCATATCACGTCTGAGGTGTCGATGCTCGCGACGATCCTGAAGGATCAGCCAGATGGCAAGTTGCTGGCAACGATCAGCCTATCACAGAGTCTCCTCGATTGGTTCTCAAAGAGCAACTCGATCGACAGAGGGCACGGCGGTATTACCCGTTCATGAAGTTTCTTTGACCGGATATTGATATTCTACCATTGTAGTCTGGGCTGCGACGACACGCAACCAAGACTTCGTCAAGATGCAGGGGCTCAAACGCGTCGTCTCGTACCCTGAGCACCGCAAGGAGTTTGTCGCCGGGAACCTAGCAGAGTACTGCACGACAGGTATGTCTGTCAGATGTCTTTGCCGTATCGTTTCGGACCAATGCTGTATATAGTGTTCAAGGAAGCCGCTCAGCGTGTCGGCGACCAGGCCGGTGACTTCTGGGAAGTCAGACGCCAATGGAAGAGCCGTAAACGGCTATCCCTTGCGTCCCTCCTCAAAGAGCCCTGGAAGGAGCTCCCGCAGGTAAGACAACATGTGTCTTGTCGCCAAAGCCAACGTCACAGACCGCGCGTAGATCGTTTTCACCCTCCGCGCAGTGCAATATCCAGCATCCATTCCTGTCTCCCTTGCCTCTCTGAATCTCATCCAACACACCGCCTCCAGCTTTGGCTGGACGGTGTACCGGTTCATTGACCAATTTGGGTCGATCGCGGACCAGCTGGCTACTGTGCGCAAATTGTACGATATTGTCAACATCCCAAACCGCATATCGGATGGCACTCTACCGTTCCCCGAGGACACGCAGAAGGCCAAGGCGGGCATCACCGTGGAATTCAGGTATCTCTCTGTTGGCGATGGTTTGGGGCCATGCTGATGCTGGCTTTAGGAAGGTATCGTTCCGCTATCCGGATTCAGAGGATTGGGCACTGCGGCATGTCTCTTTCAAGCTTCTTCCCGGTCAACTCTGCGTATGTCTGTGTCGACATTGCTATCGGTCTTGTGTTCACATCTGTTAGGTCATCGTCGGTGCTAATGGGTCCGGCAAAAGTACCGTCTTGAAGTTGATCATGCGCCTCTATGATGTCGAGGAGGGCGAGATCCTCATTGACGGCAGGGACATCCGCACACTGAAACTGGGAGATCTTCGACAAGCGGTCTCAGTGCTCTTCCAGGACTATACGCACTTCCCATTGTCGGTACGCATGCGCGTGCACCCACACCCACCATTATCCTAACGACAGCACGCAGATCCGCGACAACATCGCCCTCGGCAATCCAGGCCACGCGACGAACGACGACCAGGTCCGGCTCGCAGCCAAGCTCGGCGGGGCGGAAGAGTTCATCGAGCGCCTCCCAGAGGGGTTCGACACGTATCTCGATCGGCCAGTGACAGACTACTATTCCGGTGTCCCAGAGGGAACGAAGACCCTGTTTGGACGGCCGGTGGAGTATGCGGGCCTCCGCGGGATAACAGCGATGCAGTCGAACACGGGGCATAGCCTGAGTGGAGGACAGATGCAGAGGCTGGCAGTGTACGTTATTGAAGCCTGGTCCGTGAGGTTGATCGTTGACTATCCCACAGGGCCCGAACCTTCATGCGCTCAATAGTGGCCGAAGACAGTACTGTGGGGCTGCTTTTATTTGATGAGCCTAGTGCATCGCTAGACCCTACAGCTGAACATGGTACGCCCCTACGGAGTCAAACCGCTCTGTCCTCCCCACGCTCACATGCACTTCCTGACAACAGACCTCTTCACTCGGCTGCGACAGCTGCGGGGCGACAAGACTATGCTCTTCTCATCACATCGTTTCGGGAACCTGACGAGACACGCAGACCTGATCCTGTACGCTGTGGAGCGCACCTCTTCATATCACCGTACCTAACGTTTCGCATACAGATACATGGACGACTCTGCTATCGAAGAGGCGGGGACGCACGCAGAGCTCCTAGCTCGGGATGGTGGCTATGCAAGGATATGGAAGCTTCAGGCGCAAGCGTTCATATAGCCCAGGACCGGTTCCTTGGACTTTGGTGCTTCATATTGGGCGCTTTGTGTAAGTATCGCGTGCAGGCACTGTTAATTAGACAATCCAGTCTCTTCGGATGTAACGATTGCAACATGAAGCGGACATCTGTCGCCGACTTCACAGTCTACGAGCCATGGCAGTGTCATACACGAAGATGTGACAATCTCGAAGCATTGAGTCGCTAGTAAGTGGAGGTACTGAGTTGTACTACGTGTTCTGTTGTCTAGGGATCTATCAACAAAGCCGTGCACCGAAAACTGAAGGAAGGGTGCACGGGAGGCCGTACGACGCATTAAGCGCAGCACACTGGTCTATCATTCATACAATGGTTTGCTACCCCATAGATTGCACGGGTAAGAGAAGTCTATTTACTTGCCGATTCTTCGGTTATGCTGGCACTCTTGACCTCCTCGCCCTCTTCCTGCGCCAGTTTCGCCTCGCGGTTGACCTTCCTATCTCCCAGCCCATATCCGATCTGTCGGACGACCAGCCAACCGGGGTACAGCGAGATGGCCCACAGGCCAAAGTTCAAATACACTCCGCCGACCTGGGCGAAGATGGGCATGCTGTTCAATCCGTACTGCGAATCATCCTGGTAAGTGAGATGTCTCTATACGGCGTGTGGGTGCAAGACTTACGCTAACAGCCTGTGAAGCCGACTCGACGCCTCGCAGCAGCCCGGCAATGCGCACAACCTCCTCCTCGCTGTTTGCTATGTTCCCGACTGCGAAATACCTGCATCCTTATCAGTATCATCCTACTACCCGATGCCGCGAGGTGTACACTCACAGGTATAGGTACTGGATCTGGAAACCGATGATCTGGAAGAGGAACAGGGCGAAGCCTTTGCCGAAGCCCGGGTCGACCCAGTCGTACGTCGGCTGTGTTCTGCGGAACTCAGTCACGAGGACCGTTGCCCAGAGCCACCACATGCCCTGCAAGCCGAAGACGACGAAGAACGCCCAACGTGCGCGGGTGTATAACTTGAGCTTTTTGTAGTCGAGGAAGGCGCCGAGCAGGTTGCCCGCGATCATGGCTACGATGCCGGAGAGGAATGAGCCGAGTGCGCGCACGCGCACGGTGAACCAGAGCGACTGGTACGTGTATACGACGGCCTCAGAATAGACCGCTTGCACGATGAGGGGGGCTATGAGCAGGAAGTTCTTGGTACAGAAGAGCCTCGCTGTCTCCCGCAGCTCCGCGATGTTGCCGTTCGTGATCTGCAGGCGAACTGGGACGCCGTCCTTTCGCTCGACTTGATCGGGCCTGTTCAGCAAGAGGCCTGCGAACGGCCCGAGTATCTGCAGCGCGATGAAGACGAGGTACACTGTGTATGAGACACTGCCGGCCTCGCTCCTGTTAGCATTGATGCCCAGATTGATCGCGCCTCCGAGGCATTGTCCGGCGACTCGGAAGGTGAGCCAAAGCCCCAAGAAGCGACCCTGGTTATATGGCTCGGGGTATGAGAGAGCGATCGCCGCTTCGGACATCCAGAAGACACCAGCCGACAAGCCGCACAGTGCGGCGCCGAAGAGGACAAACCACTCGGTGCCGAACCTGTTGTTGGTGTAGATCCCGGCGGTATATGGGACATATCCCATGGTGCCAATGATGAGCGTCCACTGGATCCCGATCGCTCTGACCACGACACTTGACAGGATGCAGGTGAGGACCATGAGAGAGTATAATAACGCGTTGCTTGCGTTAACTAGGGATGGGTTCTGCCCCCCTCCCGCTCCGAGGGAGTTCACAGCAGTCCAGAGGCCCGGTGCTAGAAGGTTGCACACTCCCAAAATGACCGCGTTGTAGATCGTCGAGCGGTACCATTTCGCTGCGATTAATCACTTATTAAAAACGATATGAAGTCTGACGACGAGATGAATAGGCTCACTCTTCTGCCGCACCACCTTCTGTTCTGAGTTTTCGAGCTCAACGTCCGCGGCGGTATACTGGTGTTTGCCATCCGCCATTGTTGGCTCCATGAAGACGAGTTTATCTCGGTCAACACATGCTCCCGCAGACGGGTCAGGTTTATAGGGTATCGAGCACACCACCTGCAGGCGCCGTAGGGGGCCGGGGAAGCACACATCGTATCGCGTGGGATCGCTTCTGTGTGTCCTTCGTGGCTGTCAAACAAGTCTATGGTCATCGGAACAACTGGGGTAAGATCTCTCAGGCAGACACGCCGCGAATCGCGGGTGTCCATGCTTATCCTAGCCTTTAACCTGCTGTGTAGGCCTGCCAGAGCCAGATGTGCTCTTGCAGCGTCATGATCATGGTCATTGGGGCTTGAACCTGAGAACAACGTCTGCGCAGCAGTACGTTTTAATGCAATGTCGCACTCCAACGACGAGGAAGTGGGCTTTACTAGGGTAGCTAACAGTCAGCAGGCGCGATATCGAAGAACTCGCTGGATAGCCGTCATCGAACCTCGGAGTTGTGTCAATGTATCGCTCCGCAAACCTTGATAGGTAGAAAGAACCTGAACAGGGCCGCAGGAGGGCCGTTCGGGACTCCGATGCGGAGAGGGGGGGGGTTGTCAGTCTACTAGTAGCACTGTCGGGTCTTGCAACTCACCGATATATCCATGCAGATTGAGAGGGGATCAAGGAGCGTCCAACGGGTCGCAGTGTCACCATTATCAGGGACCTGGCCGGAGGAGAGAGCCTTTGTGAATCCCCGACTGATGAGAGTCGAGACCGCGGCCGCGAGCGACAAGAGACTCTTTGATTTTGAATGACTATGTGGTTATGGTTGCCCTGTTCAGATAGCATGATTAGAGAGGGGCTGAGTCTGCACTGCCTAGCTGTTTGTGTACAGTACTCACGTACTAAATGCGTATCAAGGTTGGTAGTACTACCGCGCCCGGCGGCCTCACTGGCAGCTGCAAGGAGGCTTGGCTGAGGCGCTCAACGCGGATTGCGGGCGCCTAAAACATCGTAGTAGTACATACAAGCGGCCGTGACGGTGACCAGGTCCACGATACTTGGTTCGCCATCGCTACACGGCAGCCGACGCAGTCGCTGTGGATTTACCACCATATCCTGTGCAGGCTCGTTCTCTAGTAAGTGCAGCATGCAGGGACTCAGATCGCCTAGACTCTCCAATTTCCTCGGACTCGAGTCGCCTACGGCATGAAGGGGAGCGAGTCTGTCGCCGTTTTCAAAGGCCACGAGTCATGTCAGTATCAGACACGACTCCTCTCGACGGTATGGCACTGGCAGTCGCCAAGCACTGGGTGGCTGATTGCTGATGTTGAGATACACTACACGTTGGGTTGCCTAGTAAGGATCGGTCAAGAAACCTGTGCACCGATAAGTGAAGGAAAGGTGTGCAGGAAGGAGCTAGCACGATGCATACAGGACCATGACTGATTGCTCTTCGTCTATCGTTATAGAAAGGTTTGCTACCCGATGTATCGCGTGGGTAAGAGAAGTCTATTTAACTTGCTGATTCTTCGGTTACGCTGGGACTCTTCCCGTCCTCCCCCTCTTCTTGCACCAATTTCGCCTCGCGATGGACCTTCTTATCTCCCAGGCCATATCCAATCTGGCGGACGACGAGCCAGCCTGGGTATAACGAGATGGCCCACAGGCCAAAGTTCAAGTACACTCCGCCGACCTGGGCGAAGATAGGTATGCTGTTCAATCCGTACTGCGAACCATCCGGGTAAGTAAAATGTCTCGATGGGGGCGGGCGGGTACATGACTTACACTAACGGCCTGTGAAGCCGACTCCACGCCCCGGAGTAGCCCCGCGATGCGCACAACCTCCGCCTCGCTGTCTGCTAGGTTTCCGACTGCGAAATACCTGCACCCGTGTCAGTATCATCCTACTAACCGATGACGCGAAGTGTGCACTCACAAGTACAGGTACTGGATTTGGAACCCAATGACCAGGAAGAGGAAGAGCGCGAAGCCTCTGCCGAAGCCCGGGTCGACCCAGTCGTATGTTGGCTGTGTCTTGCGGAACTCGGTCACGAGGACCGTCGCCCAGAGCCACCACATGCCCTGCAAGCCGAAGACCACGAAGAATGCCCAGCGTGCGCGGGTGTACAACCTGAGCTTTGTGTAGTCGAGGAAGGCGCCGAGCAGGTTGCCCGAGATCATCGCTACGATGCCGGAGAGGAACGAGCCGAGCGCGCGTACGCGCACGGTGAACCAGAGCGATTGATACGTGAAGACCACGGCTTCGGAATACACCGCTTGCACGATGAGGGGGACTATGAGGAGGAAGTTCTTGGTGAAGAAAAGCCTCGCCGTCTCCCGAAGCTCCGCGACGTTGCCATTCGAAATCTGCAGGCGAACTTTGACGCCGTCCTTCCGCTCGACCTGTTCGGGCCTGTTCAGCAGGAGGCCTGCGAATGGCGCAAGCGCCTGCAGCACGATGAAGACGATGTACACTATGTACGAGACACTGCCAGCCTCGTTGCGCTTCGCATTGATACCGAGGTTTATCGCGCCTCCCAGGATCTGTCCCCCGACCCGGAAGGTGAGCCAAAGCCCCAAGAAGCGACCCTGGTTGTATGGCTCGGGGTATGAGAGAGCGATCGCGGCTTCGGACATCCAGAAGATACCAGCCGACAAGCCGCACAGTGCAGCGCCGAAGAGGACAAGCCACTCGGTACCGAACCTGTTGTTGGTGTAGAGCCCGGCGGCGTATGGGCAATATCCCATGGTACCAATAATGAGCGTCCACTTGATCCCAATCGCTCTGACCACGACACTTGACAGGATGCAGGTGACGACCATGAGACAGAACGTCAATGCGTTGCCTGCGTTAACCAGGTATGGTTTCTGTGCCCCTCCGGCGCCGAGGGAATTCATAGCACCCCAGATGCCTGGTGCAAGGAGGTTGCACACTCCAAGAATAAGCGCATTGTAAATCGTCGACCGGTACCACTTCGCTGCGAAACAACATTCATAAGTTCCGATGCCAGGTACGCCGACGAGGTGAATAGGCTCACTCTTCCGCTTTACCACCTTCTGGTCCGGGTTTTCGAGCTCAATGTCCGTGGCGGCCAAGTCTCCCTTTGAACCCGCCATCGTCGGCTCGTTGAACGCGAATATGGCTCGGTCAACGCAGGGCCCTGCAGACCGGTTAGGCTTATAGGAATCGTGCACACCGTGTGCAGGCGCCGTAGGGTGCTCAGAAGCGCTCGTCTCATATCGCGTCAGATTGCTTCTCTATGTCCTTCGCGGCTGTCCCGATAGCCATGTATGGTTATGGCGCCGCATGAGCTCATCTGGCAGTGGCACTAGCAGGCCTACTAGTACTACGCAGTATGTTGCATGATACCTAGTAGTGGGAGCATGGTCAGCCGTGATTCGCGGCGTGTTTGTTGAGAGCGCTCTTGTTCCGAGTCAGTTGTTCAAATGGCCATGGACTTGACTTGTTTGACTCGAAGCACCGTCTGCAAAGCAGTAACTTCAAATGCAATTTCACAGCACAACGACGTCGAAGTGAGGGTTACTGGACCCGTAGGGAAGCTGACCATCAGCGGGCGCGATGTCGAAAAGATTGCGGGGCGAAGCCAGTGTTGCCGTAACCGAGACTCGGGATTGTGTCACTGCGTTGTCTCGCTCCACGAACCTTGATAGGCAGAACAAAAAGGGAATCTCAGCCGCCGTCCGGGGCTCCCTCAGAGCATGCGGGGGGCTAATGTGAGTCTGGAGAATGGTACTGTGGGGTCATCTCAACTCACCGTTATATCCACCCAGTTTGAGAGGGCATCAGACAGCGTTCGACAGGTCGCTTTATCGCCAGTATGATGAAAATGAGAGGACTCGGAGAGAGCCTTCGCGAGCCTCAGCCAGACTCAACGCATGTTGAACAAACCGCCAGATGGAGTCATGTCCACAGCCTGCCACTAGGCCGGGCGATCCGACGTTCTGAGTCCTTTGAATACATAGTCATTGTTACCCCTATGCAGAATATGAATCAGACTGAATCCACAGGATAGAGAGTGGTATTCTGCACCCGGTTAGTTGCGTACAGTCACGTAGCACGTACCAAGGGAGCGCTCGAGGAGCAGTTACAGTACTGGCAGGGCTCAGGCGCCCAGATTGGAAGGGGACACACCAAATAAAGCATGCCCGAGTGTAACGCCGACGTGACTGTCTTCCCAATCACAGTAACAGGCTGGGGCTTTGGTCTGGGTGTGACACTGACACTCATGGTATCGACAGCGACAGGCCGCGAACTTGAGCATACGTGCTACTACTAGTAGTGTGCCCCTGCACGGCGTAAGTCCAATCCGCAACTCTTCACCGGAACTAGCTGAACAAAACACGACATGTGGGCTGCATGCTGAGTAGAGCCGCTCAGGTTCGAAGTTACTAGTCACTGGTACGCGCGGTGGCACGGTTACGTTCAACTGCTGCTACTAGTACTAGGTCCAAACAAGTTCGTAGTCGTGGGTGACTGCTCACTGCTGAATGCTAAAGAGTGCTTTCTGTAGCTCTCTCACTCCATTGAGGTCCACCCAGAGGGACGAAGGGCATCATGGCTGGTGCTAGTACTGGGATGGCCAGCTCCCACTGGGATGAAGTAGTGCAGCTGAGCAAAACAATATCCGCTAAGATTCAGAGCAACCTTAGCGGTATGAGGTCTGTACCAAACAGAGCTATATGGGCAGCAGCCACCATTATTGATGTTGCGTTTCCAGTATCCCCGATGTTCGTACCAAGCCCGTTCATTTCTATAGCCGCTCTCCAAACTGACACATCTCACTGCTCCTTTGCAGATACGCGTCGCGGAAGGAGAGCTCACCTCGGCGGTGGTTGTGCTCAGGTCCGCGCTGAACACCGCTGTCCCCTTCCACCGCTTGCCTCCCGAACTCATGAAGGCGATATTTTGGCTCGTGCCCACAATGCAATACCAAATTAAGAGTCGCAAAAGCCAATCTCACGTCGTGGACATCTGGGAGCGCCGCCACTACGCGCGTATCGGCGATCTGTTCACGCTCATGCTTGTGTGTCGCCGGTGGAGAGATATCATGGTATCGACCCCGTCGTTCTGGAACACTATAGATCAGGCGTATCCCCTGAGCCAGACGACGTTCCTCGAGCGGTCGCAATACGGCCCTTTGAGGGTCATCCTCCGTACCACGCCATCGGCATTCATGTCCACGCTCTGCGACAGGGAAATCGAGCGGATTGTCGCGATCTACCACTGCGGAGTAACAGCTGCCACTGCGGAAGAGTACCTCGGCTTTCCTGCACCCGAATTGGAGGTGTTGGATTTGACGAACAGCTGGTTCTTCGGACGCCGGATCCTCAGCGAGTCCGTGCAGACGGTACAGCTTTTTCGCGAACACACTCCTCGTCTGCGCCAGCTCAACCTCCACCATATACACTGGTTTCCCAAGGTGCAGTTGTCGGCGCTCACTCATCTGTCGGTGGACATGTGTCGCTGGGACGACTACCTGACCAAAATCGCGGGCATTCTGGCGTCCGCGCCTGAGCTCGTCGATCTGGTGCTTAGCGCAGTCTCGAGCACCACCCCGGACGTCGAGAGCCTCGATATCTCGTATGCCAACAACTCTATACCCCTATTGCACCTCAAAAGGTTCCATTTTCGCTACGTTCATAGCGAAGAAGCCGTCATAGCCCTCCTTTCGAAGCTTATACTGCCCGCAACAACCTCCCTCGACATCGTCAAAGCCCTTGACGCGCACTACTTCTCCGAAAACATCCTGCCCGTCCTCGCTGGGATCCCCGTTATGAAGACGGCCATCCGCGCATCCCTCGTCCTAGCCCCCGTTACCCAGGAACCGCGCATGGTCATGGCGCAGCTCACGGCCGTGAGCGACGTAGCCGGCGTGCTCTGCACCCCATTGGGCCTCCGCAACGACCTAATCCCAATCGCCTCCATACTTCCCGCACCGCAGATCCGCGAGCTCTGGCTGACGCTAGTGGCGAGGCACGAGGATATCCTGCACATGCTCGATCACAACCAAGAGCCCCACCCCGCTTTCGTGCTGGACCCCGACGCGCTGCGAGAGACGTTGAGGCCCATGGTAGCCCTCGAGACGCTCGTGGTGTGGAGCCCGGTCCTCGCCAGCGTCGTCGAGGCGTTGGTGGACCACGGCACGAGGGCATCGAAGCTGCTCTGCCCCAAGCTGACATGCATTCGCGTTATGCTGTCTAAGAACACGCCCTCCGTGGACGAAGCCGTCGCGCTGCTCGATGCGCAGCAAGACATCCTGCGCCTGGCTCGTGTGCAGATCAACTATCTACCGAAGTACACGGTGGAGAAGCCAGCGGAGACGGAGTACGACCACCACTTCCCGTCAATCGAGTACGTTGCGCCGGACCACGTGCCAGTCATGGAGATGCCGCCTGTGTGTATGCAGGAAGCTCACGCGCGGTGGACGCCCTGGAGGGCGGACGAGGACGGAGTGCAGATCCAAGAAGACGGCGAACTGCGTGAGGATATGTCATGAGACAGGTGCGTGCCCCACGACTTCCCTTACCAGTCACTTAATCAGGACTAGAGACTAGCACATGCGAGAGGAGAATTGTATTTGTACACGAACACATCCTATGTTTGTCTGGACGAGAACATCTGCTGAGCCTATCCAAGAATTTACAGTGCAGAAACCTTTCTTATGTGTTAATCAGTCGTTGTCATCTCCCGAAATATAGCACTTGCACCGCACGAGAAACGATTAGTACAGGACGTACCGCACAACCACCTCCAGATCCCGTCAATCTCAACATGCCGGCCAGTCCGTACGAAGCATACGCCATTCGTGCCCCATGCGTGATTTCGGCGTCGAGGTTACTGATTCAAAGTTGACCTGAATATCGCGCGAGAACCACGGTCTAGTGCACGGCACCCCCTGACATCCTGGGCAGTATTCCGCGACCAGACGGCGAATGCCCAGATTCGTCTGTCTAGTCGCGAAAGACTGTATCAGGGCCGTGCTCGACCCGGACCCACGGCAGGGCATTTGGACATGCAGCACGAGGTCCGGGCAGGCAAGCTTCGGTGTCTTGCCTCTGCCACAGCATTCAAGTGCGTCCAGGAGGCTGATGAGCCCCTCGGTGTCGACGTATATCCGTTCCAGGGCGGGTGCCTGGTGTAAGAAGTCGAACATCGCCGTTGGCGTACTGGCAAAGAGTGCGGGGCTATCCCGTAGAGTTACATGGAGTTCGCGGAGCTTATCCATTGGTAGGATCCTAGGCAACGCGGTGCCCCAGTCTTCGTTCTCCGCGACGAAGTGGTCGATGAGGATGCCCGTCGAGGGTCCCTCCCCGACGACGGTGCGCCGCGTCCCTGACCCTTTGATAAAGAGCTTGGTGATGCCCTCTTTCAACTCCAGTCTAGAGAGCTGTTCCAATAGATGGCGACTGAGCGGCCGCACGTCGACCAGCCGCACGGACGTCTCTGGTTTTAGGCGCACACGTGTGAGGAACAGCGTGACACCCGCACTCGACATATTCTTGAACACCAGTCTCTCCAGATGGCGGGGGTGCACTGGCGTCGCTAGCTGCAGTCCTTCGGAATGCAGGACATCGCCGCGGTCCACCAAGACGAGGTCGGTCAAGTTCTGACTCACGGACAGCAACGACAGTATCCTCTGCAGGAGAGTTCGGCCGTAGCAGTCTGTGATGCAGAGATGTGTGAGCGACGACATCTGGAGTGTGGGGAGCCAGTTCAGGGACTCGAGAGCGAGGCGGTGCAAATTGGGTGTGTATCCTCGGAATATCTGTACGGGGTAGCCTCCACTGGGCCTGCGGGCGTGCCCAGGCGCCGTCCTCCCCGGCGTCCCGGTCAGACTGAGGTTCTCGAGGAAAGGAGCCTGCCGTTGCAGATGCTTCTGCGACAAGCTAACGCTGATACCATCGTAACGTATCTCGCGGACTGGCTTAGAGCCTTCGAGCAGCGCACGCATAGGAGGCGTAGGCTCTCCCTTGATCGAAATCGCGAGCGGCATCATCCGTGCTCTCTCCACCGGGACGGACACAAACATCAGATGTCGCCTCGGGTCGTCAATCCTGTTCCACAGCGCGGGATCGTCGACGATGATCGTCCGCCAGTAGCGGCAGACGTGCGACGCGCGGATGAGCCAGTCGAGCCGGACGACGACCGGGTCCCAGATGCTCGTCCCGGGCGTGCCCCGCTTGCATGGCTGCAGGCGGACGTGGTCGAAGATGACCCTGAGGAGCTCTGGCGGGAGCTTGCGATTGATGGGGACTCGCGTATTTGGGCCGTCTATGAGCAGCATGAGAGTCGACATGAGGTCCTTTCGCACCAGCGCGTCCTATCGGTCCGTGATAGTCAATGGCGTTCCACGTCGAGCCTCTCCAGAGAACTTACCACCTCTGGACTGTGGTACGGGTTTGAGCTGGTCAATTGCGGGTGCTATGAGTCACGTACATGATTGTTGCTTTGTAGTGCCCAAGCACCAACTTCGTCCGTAGGACATCCACTAGCTGAAGAGTCGTCTTGCAGCTGAGATCCCGCTCGTAATCTCTTAGAGTATATATTGTGCTTGCTATTGGTAGCATGAGCATAGTACAGGCCCGCACGAGTAGGGCGGATAACTTACCTCGTTGCGAATGAGACATTGGTTGGCAGCAGCAGCAGCAAGCGAGCGATTAGGACAAGTGTATCTCGCACATCGCCCTCCTGAGGTATGTATATGAAGGGCGAGCGCTGCACCTCCTTCTGACACGAGGTGGCCCTCCTTAGAATGGGTCCGCCGATTGCCCACGACGCAGGCATGTGTCCACAGAACGCCCAGAATCTGGGAGATCCAAGAACACGCACTGGAAACGACATACCACACACGGCCGCACTCTGACTGCCTGCCCAATTCATTCGCAAATCGCATTACCCTGTCCCGGCTAACACCTACACGCACTACAAGCTTCTCGACCTGGTCGTTATATGATATATCCAAGGTTACCTTGCGCAATTGCTTATCACTGGACGTAATTCCCTGTATGAACAAGCGCCATGAGGTCTCCGTACGAGGACACAGGGCGTCTACACTCACCAGGGAACACGCCTTGCCGGTCCCCAATACGACCCGTCCACCAGTCTTCTGCACTGTCCGTCCGCTGGACTACTTCTATCCTGTCCCCGGCGCGGAACTCAAGATCACCCTCGGCCTGGGGTGTGAAGTCGAACAGCGCCTCGACATACGACACGGCAGGCTTGGGCTTGGGCTTGACGGGCGGTGGGGGTGGCGGCGCTTTCTTGGCGATGCCGGGGATTGCTGCGGACGGACCTGGCGAGTACGGAGGCGGCGGTGCGGAAAAGTTTGAGCCTGGAGGCGGCGGAGGAGCTTTCTTGGAGAAGGTGGAAGTAACGGAGGACGTGGCAGAAGTAGAGCGTCCGAGATAGGAGGGAGGACCCTGGCCTGACGCGGCTCGATGTGCGTGTACCATCTTCGCTGCAATCCCAACGCGTGTTTAAGGGGTGAGACACGGATGTTACGGTGACTAGGCTCACTCGTAGAAAGGAATCGTTGCGTGATGTTCATTTCTTCGATCGTTTGCCATGCGTCAGTACGCTTGGCTTCGTAGTCTGTCGCAATGTCATTTCCGCTGATGGAAACGTCATATTTGCCTTCAGCGAATCCACTCAGTTTCTCAAGCATCATGTAGAAGATGTTGAGTCTGCACGCGTGGTTGTCAGTACAGGTACGTTCACTTCTATAGCGCCAACAGAGGCGGTTGCTGAATTCAGAACGTACTGCATGTAGAAGAATGAATGGAAAAGAGGATCGACGAATTGAGTGCATTGCATCAGGAAGCGAGGCATCTCTTGCTTCAGCGTGGTGTTGATATAATCGTACTCGTTGGATGCGACCTCGAAGTCTTGCTCGAGCTAATAGGAGTGTGCGTACCACAGGGGATGGCGTCTCGCGTATGAGCAAGGAGTGTAAAGTATGGTGGATCTACGACGTACCTTGAAGAGATTCTTCTCGTCATTCAGTGACTTCTCCTTCTTGTCACGCAACTTGGTCAAGGAGTTGTTGTACCGGTCGTAGTCTACGAGCTGGCGGAATGTTAGAAATGTCGACCCGACAGAGTACAGCGCGTCAGTATGTGGTACAGACCTTGTGCTCTCGCTTGGTGATCGTCTTCCTGATCGTCTTGAGCACACCCTGCAGCTCCTTCACAGGTCCGATAATCCTGCTCTCGATAAGCTCCAGCTCCGGCGCGATAGAAGATTTGAGCTCCTCCATCGCGAGTTCATACGCGTCGACGTTCGCGATAGTGTGCGCGGCCTCGGGATGCTTGGAAGATAGATTATACTCGCCGGGATTTGGATGGAAGACCTCCGCGAAGTGATGAGCGAAGCCAACACCATGGGTGAACAGATTGTTGACGGCGTCGATGTATGCCTTTGTATCCTTCAATAACTTCTCGGTCGCAGTCTCTATTGAGGCGAAGCGGCGGGCGTAGTCTTCAAACTCAGGGTCGAGGGACTCTGGGCAGGAGTGTCAGGGTCACCCAGCCAGCGTACCACCACTAGCCCGCATACTCTTTGACATGCCAACCTTTGTGGTCAGCATATGTGGGGTCCTGAGAAGCCATACATTCGTCAGACGTCTGTTCAGCAGGTAATGATGAGTGTACTGCTCACCGCGCGAATGCCTTCGAGATTCCCTTCATCTTCGCTGCGCGACGTTGGCCTCTTCTCAACCAATAATTGCGTTTGAAATGAGGATCCTGATAGATAGACGAACAAGTGAATAGGGAGTCGAAAGAGGCGAGGCCAGAGAGGGGCGAAAGCGAAGCAGGACACTGCGGCACTGCGGCGACCTGTGTACGCTCCTCTCAAGCCAATTAGGCAGTGTGATTACGTCATCACAACCACTGCAGGTTGACTGCATTTGCGGCTCCGAGTCCGAGTCCGACTTGCATATCTACTTGCCTCGCCTCCGACCCCATCCAACGTAACGCATCATTTTTTTCTAAAGACCCGAAATGCCTCTGAACCAGCCTTCAAACCAGATCAAGTGCGATCTCCGTTCGCCCGTTCTAGTCGCTGAACGACTCAACGGACTACTCATCGCAGACTTACAAATGTTTCGGTCGTCCGGCTGAAGAAAGGAGGGAAGCGATTTGAGGTATGTTGCTAAGTGACATGTCAGGTATCGAGGCTGATGATGTCCACAACCATCTACAGGTCGCGTGCTACAAGAACAAGGTGCAAGAATGGCGTAGCGGAGTGGAGACGAACCTCGACGACGTACTTCAGATCGCCAATGTGTACCTCAACGTCTCGAAGGGCGAGCTCGCCAAGAGTCAGGATCTGCAGAAGGCGTTTGGGACCACAGCCTTAGACACCATCGTGAAAGAAGTGAGTAGGCCGTTAGGTCGAGCGATGTATGTGGCTGACCATGATCGCCTCAGATCCTGAAGAAGGGCGAATTGCAAGTGGGCGAAAAGGAGAGAGAACACGACCTGACCTCTATTCGCCGCGAAATTGCAACATTGGTAGCGGAGAAGTGCGTCGACCCCGCAACACAACGACGCTACCCGATCGGTGTCATCGAGAAAGCTATGGTGGAGGCTGGGTTCAGCGTTCGCCCAGGGAAGAATGCGAAGAGCCAGGTACGCGACTTCCCCTCCCTGTACTCCAGACATGGAATCTCTGACCCGCCTACGCGTCATAGGTCTCAGAATGTATCAAACTTCTCCAGTCCGAGTCCAACCTACCGATACAGCGCGCACGCATGCGTGTCAAGGTGACCATGCCAAAGGCGGAAGCGGAGCGACTTCGCTCCCGCATTCTCGAGGGCGCAGAGACCGTGGAACGGGACGACCAGAGTGGAGAACAATGGGAAACCGTGCGTGTCAATGCTGGACGCGTCGTGACTGCTCACTCAGCCCTTGACAGGTCCTACTCATCGATCCTGGTCAGTTCCGCGTGCTCAACGAGCTCTTACACAAGGAATGTGCTGGCCGAGGTCAGCTAGAGACGTTGACGTTTGCGGCGACCGCTGGCAGCACAGAAACGGCAGTGTAAGGTCCAGCCACGAAGTCTGAGGATCAGAAGCCAGAATCGATTGTTGTACAGCATTTGTATAGTATATAGTAAATCTGCGAAGATGAGTGCTTGCGTTCTGTCGGCAGTCAGGCTAATCTTATCAAGAAGTCATTCCAGCGTATCGAGAGTTGCATATGTAGTGCGCGACGAGGGTACCGTAGGCGATTCAACAAGAAGCTCAATATCGTACATGCTCACAGCGGTCCATCACTGGCAACCAAGGCCAGGCCGTCACTCACCATCCGACCACTCGTCATCGTCGTAGTCCATCATATCATCGTCGGCCATGTTGAGCTCAGGCTTGGGCTTCTTCGCGGGGCGCGGCCTCGGCTTGAGGATGCCATCGACCGCGGTCTTCAGGTAGAAGTCCCACTCGGTGGTCACCCTCGGCGGCAGACTCTCCGCGAATCGCTCGACCTCGCGCACACGCGCTTTGAGCTCCTCCATGTCCCGCCTCTCGTGCATGCCTGCGCCGGGCTGGAGGGCCTTGATCAGGCGGATGGCTTCGTCGAATTGCTCTCTGAGCAGCAAGATAACGTCAGTGTCGACGCACGCGTAGCGGGAAGACGGAGGATCGCTACTTACATGCACTGCGTCATCTCCGTGCCAACTTTCTCGAGCTCTAGATGGTTGACGGTCCTGTGACGCTTCTTCAGGCGGCTCTTTGTCTCGTGCAGATGGTTGCGGGCAAGCTCGAGGAAGGCCATGCCGTGCGGTAGGTCAACCAGCACCCGCACATGATAACACTTCTGCGACCTCTCCATCGTCTCGTCCCAGTGGCACGCCGCGCGGTATGCATTGGCGAAGCGAAGGTGGATTGTGACTGCCGGTGACGTGGATGCAGTACTCTTCTTGCGGCGCGCTCGGAGATAGGCGTCAGCGAGCACTCGGGCTGCGTCGAGCTTCTCTTGGGCCAGCTGTACGGCCGCGGGGTCTTGTCCGTCAAAAGCGAGCGTGTCGTCATTGTCATCAACAGCCGCATCCGCAGTCTCGGCGTCCTCTTCTTCGTCCACCTCTTCCTGCTTGTCATCACGCCCATCGTCAGGTTCGAGGGCCGCGGCAGGAGAGTCTTCCGCCTGAGCAGGTGTGTGCACTTGTATGGGTATGAACGGGGTGGCGTCGCTGCGCAAGTTGAGAGTCTTCGGCACCGCGGCTGCGCCAGAGGTCAAGAGGCCAGCGATCTCGCGCACGTCTCTGTAGACAACACGCCGCATGTTCCAAGGCGGCGGGGCGCGAGGTTGGCCCGTCGACGCGTGATACAGCTGGACCATCTCGTCGAAATTGGAGCCTGAAGTGGAATGCGCACAGAGTTCCCTGGCGAGGCTGTTCCAGTTCGGTGCAGTGACATAGCTTATGTAGATAAATCGCAATGAGCATCCCGTAGGAGAAAATACAGGTAGTACTTACTATTGGTAAACACGATTGAAGTCTCGGCCAGGGCGCTGAAGCGACGTGATTGTCCGATGGATATCAATCCTCAGCCAAGGGAAGCGCGAATTGTAACCGACTGTACACAACATTTCACATCAGCAGCTTTGTCGTCAAACTGAAGTAAATGATGACAACGCGTCCAATGACTTACGGACACAGAGATTCCTGCAACTTTGAACGATGTCAGAGTACGTACGAACCGTCAACGCCCTTTCATACTCACAGTCTCGACAAGAAGACATTCTTCACGTGCCATCCGAGCGATGAGAGATCGCCACCCCCGTAAAGTAGATGTCCTGGGACCATGATTAATTTGGGGCCCCAGTTCTGGCAAAGTAACGCACCAGCGTCGGAGGTGTATATCTGCTCCAGCAAGCCGGCCATGGGTGCCATGTACATCTCAAGAAATCCACGACTAAGGAATTTATCCTTCATCTGGTGGATGTCTAGTAGAGCTCGCTGCAACCAACTCCGAGGCATTGTAATGTCATGAAGCGTGTCGCTGGTCTGCAAGCGAGATGCCACTACGATCAAAGCACAGAGGTTGTCCAGGAGTTCACAGAGGACAGTGACGTCGATGAACAGCCGGTTCATCAAGACGTGACTGAACCAAGACGGTCAGTATCGGACGATGCAACGGACGTCTATGCTTACTTGATGAAGTTGATCCCACTTGCAAGCGAAGACGGCTGTGCATTGTAGACGTATCGTGTGAGGTCATGTACGATGTAGACCTGTGTGTCTGCCTTGCTGCGCAGCAGCTTATTGGGTCCAGAACCAGCAGCGACAGAGGGGACCTGAATCAGGTGATGCTGTAGCGCGCTGGAGTTGAACGTGAGGCCAAGCGAAATGGTCCTCATGAGTGCGGTGAGGAAGGTCGATATGAGATCACCGCGGTTACCGAATGATCGAAGATCGTAAAGCCAGTCGAGAATCCATTTCTTGACGATATGAATGGCACTGTTGTACTCGGGGATCATCAGTGGGCGCAAGCTGTACACCGTCCCCATCTTGAAAAGGGGAGGGTTCAGGGCTTCGTGAAGCTGACGTAGCCAAGCCCTGAGCAAATGTTCAGCGAATACACACTGTTATCGGTGGCATGACTAACCTATGTTGCTTCGCCTGCTCGGAGCGACTTTCGACAGCATGTGCAGAGTTGTAGATCAGGATTTGCTGGAGATGTACTCGGATGCGTAGATTGTACGATTCTACATCGTAACCCTCAGCGGCCACATGGTCTTTATGACATTCAGCTCGGAGGCACCGGCCAGTAGTGAAGTATGGGAGGCAGACTTGTAACGCACGCGTCATGTGGCACTCTTCGTTCTCCTCGCGGATCTTCGTGTAAAGCCGTTCTTGAAGTGCATGCCGAAGAAGTCTGTCTAGCTCGGTTCTTAGTACCAGGGCGCCCTCATCACTCTGTCGGGAGCCTTGCGACAAACGATGAGCACATCGAGCGAACAGGAAGGTATCGTTGGGAATGAGGAAGAAGTCGTCGGTGGCCATCTTGAAAGCGAACAACCTCTGGATGCCTTCGTCCTCGCAGAGGTCTGCAGCGGACGCGTAGCGATGTAGCAGAGCCACATATACGTTGAAATGACGTAGGGTTTCAGCAATCTCGCGCAGGCTCGCGACTCGAAGCTTCGGAATGGCCATGAATGCGTGATCAAGGCATCTCAAGGACGACGCGATATCCTTGTGCCACATGTGGAAATGCTCGCCTAGCTTCAAAAGTTCTGACGCATCATTTGCGACGATTGCTCGGAACATGAGCAGCTGGTGAGATTCTTGTCAGCGAAAGGGATGATCAACTAGCATCGCACAATGTACCTCGTCACGGGTTCTGTCGTCGAGTTTGGCTATTTCCAACTCCGGAGAATTGAGGATTCCACAGAGGTCTTGAAGTATAGCATCAGCCTTCGAGGCGTCCGAAGCAGGGCTAACTCCGAAGGATAGCCTGCGCCCTAATCCGTCCAACAAACAGCGAGAAGCTCTTGCAGCAGCGTCCGTACTACCGAGGTCCTTGAGGAGCAATGAAATGGCCTTCGCAGTCCGGCCTTCCTCCAGATGTACCTGTGCAGCGTCGGACAGGCGCCCAAGTTGCTCCAGGAGCATTGCTCGAGCGATGTCGAGTCCGCGATTCGACATGTATTCAAGAGCAGCGGCGTCCGATGGGAACAATGATCTCGCCTGTCTGTTTATCCATGAGAATGTTTGGAACAACAGTGAGAAAGGTGTAAGCTTACTTGATGTTGCGATTTCTCAGATACACAAGACATGACACATCTGTGATACTCGTTACAACGCGTTGGTCCATGGAATCGCGGTAACGTTCAATGATGTCGAGTGCATCGTCAAACGAACCGTCTTGACGATATAGACTTGCAGACTTGTCATATTCTTCGGCATCCTTGTAAGCTTGCGCTGCGCGGAAGAGATCATTACTCCTCTGGAAGCACTCCGCAGATATCCGGAAGTACGCTCGTTTTTCTCTTGCTGAGTCTGCTTCAGATCCTGACTTCCGGAATGCTTCGGCGGCCTTCCTGAAAGCAACAATCCGGGCAGCATCGTCTCCGTGCGAGTCTGTTTGAGTGGTGCGAGCCTGCTCTCGGAGATAGTATGCTTCAGATACGGCATGATCTCGGAAGAGCTTGGCGCGTCCATAGCAATGCATTGCTTGGAGGTACTGCCTGTTATTGAAGAGCGTGCGAGCAGTCTCGGCCCATTCTTCTGGTGTCGACGAGGTTGCCAATTGCGGGACGCTGGAGGCTGGCGTACAGACTTGTATGAGCCCCTTTGCACCCAAGAAGTGCTACGAACTGCTCAGCTACAGAACGACAAGGCATTGGAAGATCGGCTTACCCGCATCGGTTCGCATTTTTCGGAGGTGTCCGCTATCCATAGATTCTTCCGAGCCCTCGTGATCGCGACGTAGAGGAACTTGAGCTTCAGAAAGATTAGCCTTAATACAATAGGATGGCACATAGACAGGACCCACGTCGCGACACACTCCGTTGTAGCGGCTATCGTCAAACCTTGGGGCTCTCAGCGCTGCGGTCTCGTCAACGGCAAGCGCGTTCAGGATAACTCGCCATTGCGAGAGCTCGACAGTGGAGTCCGCGAAAAAGTTATACAGCAACACCTGGTCACAAAGGGTCAGCCTCTGTACTGCCGAACTCCCGGGAGCGACCTACGTCATTGTACTCGAGCCCTTTGCATTCGTATATTGTCCTGAAGACTGTGTTCAGTACAAAGCAAGAATTGCATCTCGAAATACTGACAAAATGAGGCCTATATCTCCCACTTGTGCACGAAGTCTCTGTCGAGCGGCATCATCCCGGACAAGGATGCCTTTGCAGAAATTTTTAGTAAAGCTATCTCAATACTCTCTGCCAGTGGAAACTCACATTGTTGTGCTCCAAACTCTAGGTGTCCCGAGCTGCGACATAGCATAAGCACATTTCACATGCATAGGCTATGATAGACGCACGAGTCACCGAAGAGGAATTGTTCGTACCGCACAGCGTCTTCATCCCATCCGCTGAGAAAGACCGGCTTCCCTCCTTCAATTACACCGCGCTCAGGGGCTAGATGGTCGATAGAGTAGGGCCAGAACATAGTAATCAATTCGATGATCGAATGTGCGCAGTTGACAATCCCGGCGTGAGATCGATAGTTGATAGCCAGTTGGAATGTACGAGGCTGGCTACCAGAGTTCGCGCACGAATCATTGCTTAGCTGTGTCCAAGTCAGAACTGTGTGCCTCGGTCGAGAAAGGTCGCGACGTACCTCGATGCGGTATAGGAACGCCTTCAGATCGTTGAAGCGGAAAGCACTGCCTATTGAGATGGTCTGGGCAGTGTCTCCAGCCCAGAATAGACCGGTGTCTGCATTTCTGCACATCGAGCGTAGCACTGATGTATCAATGAACACGCAATTCAAAACGTATGTACTGACACCTTCAGACTTACCGAGAGCATCAATCAGGAGATTGTCTTGAGCTTCATCTACATACCTGCAAAGGATCGTCAGCTCCTATGGGTACCACGAAGCGAAACTCCAAAGCCGCACAAAAAGTCGAGCTGTTTCCCCGGAACTCGACGCGTCCGGATCATCTTCACAATGTGATGCGTCCTGATAACAGGGACTCAGTGCCCCATCATGCAAGAGGATTGTGTACATAGGTACATACCGATCTGCAGCATCCCATTCGCCTCGGATACGCTTCTGCTTCAAATATGCTAGGAAGAGGTCATAGACCACATCGCGTTGATTTGCGAAGGTAGCCTGTGTTCGATAACTGAGATTGAGGTATGAGTCTCTGTCGAGGAAGCCGTGTTCACTAGTCAAACTTTGCTCTGAGCCCTTGATAACACCTATGAGATCTTGGGTAAGACTAACGCCATCGAGTGACTAGTAAGAGGGGTTACCCATGATCTCGGCGAACACCAGTGCGGGATCTGCCATTGAGTTACGCGTAAGCATTCGACCTTGAAATAGCTCAATACTGGTCATACCTATATTTTTGGCCAGGGCCTGTGGGAAGTGTGTCCAATACAATTTGAGGAAGACTTTATATGTAACAAACGAATCGCGTCGTTGCTGCATGTAGTCATTTGAGAGAACATCGTTCACGACGTCCGCTGATGTGTCAGTAAGAGCAAGGCCTAGAAGCTTCTGAGACGCCGAGGATGACTCGGAAGGTGGGAAATCGGCCTCCAGTAAACGACATAGCTGAGAATTCGATGGTCAATGGCGGCCCGTGGTGTCACAAAATATTTGACAGAGTATACCTGATCATAGGTAACAAACATCGGAAAATGTTCATCCGTGAGTTCACTGAAGCAACGAGGCAGATCTCCTCGAAATTGGACTTCCTCATCTTGGTCAACAAGAGCTTGAAGCAGATCCCGCTTTACCTCTCTTTGGGCTTTCAGAGATTTGAGCTCCTGAGGCGACTTGTCGGCAACCAAGAGTGACTCGTGAAGCTTCGCGAAGTACTCTTGCACCTTTTCGGCGAGCACTCTTGACTGAGTGACAAAGATCTGGCGGGGCTTCGCCAGCACACCTTCGCATGCTTGCCACGAACGTTCGATCCCGAGCATCTTGAATAACATCGTCGTCGTCTTACTGCATAATTGTTCAAGACTTGGACGAGCGATAGCACCAAAAGGCTTACCCAGTTCCGCTTCTACCGAGAACATAGCAGGAGCGAGGATATTCGATGATGTCCTTCTCTTGAATTCTACACCATCACGTCCTACGTGAGTAGCCAGACTTGCTGAGTACGAGGAACTCACGACACGTCGAAGACATGCTGCACGTCTTCGTCAGCCAAGAGACCTAAGTAGTATCTCATCGGACCACAACTCTATATCTTGGTCTAGTGTGCGTACTATTCAGGAGTGCCTGTACATTAAGTTCAGTTGGTGGGACATCGGTCAAAGTATGAGTGAATCTTACTTGTGAAAAGGTGACGTATTTCTCAAGCCTGTCAAGTCCAGCTGTTGTTCAGTGTGAACATCTAGCAGTAGATACCAAACGCGTACACAAGCATATCGTGCATCTTCCAGCATGAAAATACGTGTCAGTGCACTCAACGACGATCAAAGAACACTTGACGCCACCTTGTCTAGGTCATCCTTGCGTAAGTCAGGAAGCGACAACGCCTCGGATGAAGTAGTTGAGTCCTCGGATGAAGCAGTTGGGTCAGCTTCTGCTTGCGCTGGCCATGATTGGGGGAGGGCGACACCGGCTTGCCCGCCAACCAGTGCAGGAACGCATCTGTGGTGATCGACAGTTCATTACGTCGAATACGACACTCGGGGTCATGGGTGATCTACTTACCTTGATCGGTACTGCCTACCTTTGCGGCCGAGTTGATTGCTGATGCTGTCCCAGGGTTGCCTGTTCAGCTGTGCGTGCGTGTAGATACCGAAGACTCGTATGACTACAGCGGGCCGTAGAGTGAGATGTCACACTTAAGCATTGCGAGACAGACGGCACGGACCTTGTCGTTCAACCTAAGTACGGTTCGTCAAGTGTGAAGCGTGCGTGCGGTTCGACCTCTGAGACTCACGTTGGTTTCGAATTCCGGTACACAGTCGATCTGATACTGTGTTGAGAAGTGTGAGTTGAATGATGAGTCGCTCAATAACCCGCTTTGTACTCACGACCAAACGCGAGTCGCCGGTCATTTTCGCCTCATAGATTGGAATTGCTCCATTCTCGGTCAGTGCCTTCTGGTTGTCGGGCGAGAAGTGCCCCAATGACAGCTCCCTGATGCGTAGATCCGATTCAGTGAACATGCTACTATTAAGATGCTTGAATACAGATCAGTACATACTTGATCTTCTTCAACGTGATCTTGAATAACGCGCTTGACTTCTTGCGCATCTTCCGAAGATCAGTATTGGCAGCCGTTGAGATGAGGATCCTCCAGTCGCCGAACCCTTCTGCGCTATCGAAGTAAAGAGCAGCCTTGATTGGCTGGACGAAAGGATATGCCTGAGCCGTCTCTTCAGTTGTGGCATCCACTCGGGCAGACCGATCGGCCTGCGATAGATCGGTCTGGGACGCCGACGCATCAGAAAGTGAGGCATCCGAGACCTTCGACTTGACCACGTAGGTCTGCGTTATGGCTTCTCTAAGCTGCGGATAACGCAAGACTCGGAGATAGTGCTGCACTCGGCTAGACGTCAGTCATCATAAGTCTATGCAAAGCGCAAAACTTCACCTCTAACAGACGTTTCTGCTGATCAATCATGCTCGCCCCCACGGCGAGAGCTTCATTCTGGTCTGAAGGGATCGCGATCCCCAGATCGTCGAACACCTTCGAATCGATGGCGGGTCTAGGCGGAGACGGTGGTTGTCGCTGCTTGGCTTTCTTTTTCTTCGACGACGAGCCTTTGACCGCGCTCTCTGTCTTCTCGAACGAGTGTTGCGCAAGGATATGCAGTCCCCGTTTGGCGCGCTGGATGGAACGATGTTCTTCGTCGATGTCAGCGGGCTTGTCGAAAGACGAGGGGTACGAAAAGAATGCCAAGAAGAGGCAGAGTCGCTGAAGGACGCGACAGCCTAGTGACGTCGAGAATAGCTTCATCTCGGTAGGAAGGGCGTCGAGGATACCACGGGTCAGGTAGCGAGCGGCGGTATCACTGACGTCTAAACAGAGGAGTGAGCACTCGGATAGAGCCATAATCATTGTACTCACTAGCTAATGCGAATTCCAACAAGCAAGGGTCTGCCATGAGATCCTCGATGATACCATCGACACTGGTCGTCTTAGCGAGGTTGCTTTCGAGATCGCCAATGGCAATCTCAACTGCGACCTCGTCCCTCAGCAGGGATGCATCATAGAGGCTCAAGTTGAGCCGTACAGGTATTTGAGTTGGAGTTGAAACCGAATGAACACGTCGTTCTCTCATGGTGACTAGGAGGTTGGTCGAGCAGAGAGAATAGTTCACGACTGACCACAGCGTACTTAAGCTCCATCCCACCTCGTGTGTACGGCGTCTCGGTACCTCGCAACGAGGCAGAGAAGGCACGAAGCTTGGATGGATATATCTGATCCCACTAGGCCAGAACCCGTCCACAGTGAACCGCGAGGCTTAATACAGCTGCGCCGCAATGTCCTCGTTGCCTGCAAGCACCACCGTGACGGAGCATGCTCGCTTCGGGAGAACTGGAAGCAAGAAACGGCAGAAGGACGGGAGCGAAATGTGACAGAAGAGAAGGGTTGGAAGCCACTATGCGCGATCCGCCCCATGTCTAGAAAAACGATATGGCAGTTTACCTTCCGGTCACCACTGGCAGCGGATCCACATCCTGCGCATACATCGACATCTGACGCTAGGCGCGCAACGCGGCGTATTCTACTCATGTGCCTTGCATTACTGTCCTAATGGCGAGCTCAGTTATTGAAGAGCATGTGTGAAGACAGCGAGCTGTTGCCACTTACTGTCATGTACTGTGACCGAGGCCGTCGTTTCATCCGCTGTCGACGCGGACGCAGTTGGAGCCCTAGGCCTCCGGAATGAAATACGAGGAGGCAGTCAGGCGGGATCGTCGCAAGCCTCGGTATAGAACGCAGATGGCAAGAGCCAAGTTTTGGGGGACACTCATTCCCGCGCAATGGAGGTCCGCCATGCAGTACGCAGCGTCTGCCGTACCTCCCCAGTAGACACTAGTAGTAGACACTAGAGAAACGTGTTCATCGGCCACAACAGGCTGTGCTGGCACTGGCGTGAGGGACTGCTGCGGAGTATGCGTGAAGCCAAGCTCCTATGCTCCCAGCGGATACGCCACCCGATGGTCGGTCATCGAGCTCCTGACGCCTCCCCGGGCACTGGCAGCGCGTCCGTGTCAATCGGTTAATCAAATACTTACTCGCGCGTTGGACGAGGGAGGCAGGTGCCGGTGAGCAAGCACGTCCTGGTACCTCATGTTTTGAGACTGTCACGTATCACATGCGAATCGAGACGGAATCGAAACTCAAGTGCTCACCATTCATTTATCTCTCGAGCGCTGCGGCGCCACTGGTAGCTGGCTCCGTAGAACTCGAAGCGCAGGATGCATGCTCTCTATCGGCAACCACGCAGTTCGGCCCTACTATCACTGCTATTGAGCGATACAATGGCGTGAAATGGCGAGCAATACGGCGTACCATGCCTCACAGGCGAGGCATTCGGCCGTAGATCCAATACTCGAGTCTGAGGTAGTTACCGGCCGGACTGCTGAATTCCCGAGTTCGTTGCGCAAGAGCTATCAATTCTGAAAGCCTGAAAGGAGAGAGCATCAAGTATATAAAGCTTGTAGGTATTGGGCGAGGTGTGGGACCACGGCAGAGGGAGCTGGCCAGGAGTTGCCAAGTACTGGTGACGGTGACTGCCAGTGGCAGCAGTGGCACGATGATGATGATGCGCATCGCACACCTTTTCCGAAGGCTCGGTGGCAACGGGCGTCTGCTTGAGCGTCGAACCACCTCAAAGTTCTCTCTTGCTAACTTACTATGTTACTGTAGTTGCTAGAGCTCTGATACTCCAGTCATACAATTGGACAGCCCGTCGAAACACGGCATTGTAGTCACGCCCCTATTTTTAAACTTGCGCTGCAGTCTCAACGCTCGTATGAGTGCCGACCCAACGGACAAAGTCGAGAATGATCTGTCAGCCTTCAACGTTCAACGTTTCAACAAGGTGTTCGTATCATCGAGCGCCGACTCAAGATAGTATTGAGCTCAATTAAGTCGCATTCTAAAACCAGTGAGATGTGTACTAGGTGCAGATTCCTTCAAGATAGATTCTCTTTGAGCCGTAGTTGAGTCATGTACCGCTCAGACCTGGGAGGTGTTTCACGTCGAATGTCGCTGCCAGCAGCAGTCAGCATGCGTGCGCCCATGCATCAGGTCACTCACCACGGGGAATCATACTAGCTCATCGGCAGAATACGCGATGTCGTCATAACATACCAAGTCATCGTCGTCGTCCATGTTCAGGATAGGCTTGGGCTTGCTCGCAAGAGGGGCCGAAGGTCGACTCGGCGTGACGATGGCCTTCACTGCCAACTCGAGATCATGTTCCCATTCGGTTGCGGCGCCCTTGGGCAACTTCTCTGCTAGGGCCTGGACTTCGCGAATCCGTACTTTCAGTTCTTCTAGGTCGCGCCTCTTGTGCAGCTCAGCATCCGGCTTGAGCGCATTGATCAGTCGAGTGACTTCCTTGATCTGTTGCCTGCAGCGGTATACAATCATCAGCACCCGACGACGGCCTAGATACCGTTCATACATACGAGCATGTCGTCAGCTTCCCGTCGACCTCCTCAAGCTCTAGATGGATGGCATCCACCAGACGTCTTTTCGCCTGACGCTTGGTCTCGTGCATATGGTGCCTTGCGCGCTCCAGACAGAAGAAGGCGTGAGGTATCGGCCCCAAGAACAGCATTCGGTAGTATCTGTACGGCCATTCCATGCTCATAGCGGCTGTGCGGTACGAGTTAGTGATTCGAACCCGAATGCCCTCCAGAGGCTTTGGCTGTGTTGCCGCGCGTTGCTTGGCCCGAGAACGGTGCTGTAGGTAGGCTTTACGGATGACATCCGCTGCCTGTATCTCGTCTTCGGTCGGCTGACTTGACAATACGTTGTCATCGCGAATTGCGAGGGCTATCTCTTCTTCGTCGACCTCGTCATGGATAGCATCGTGGGCATCCGTGCTGTCGTGATAACCCTCGCTATTTGCCTGCGTCAAGAAACTCTGCGATGGGACGAACGGCGCAGCGTCGACTCGTAGGGTAGATTTGGGTAGAGAGGTTGCGCCCGAGGCCAGCAGTATGGGGATATCCGCGAGTTCGTTGTAGATGATACGTCGCATGCCGGGGAAAGGTTGAGAATGATTTGTTAACTTGGCTTCGTGTATTTGGATCATCTCGTCCATTGTGGAGCCAGCTACACACTGGCGAACGTCCCTCGCGAGTGTATCCCAGTACGGAGCAGTCACGTAGCTGCCAAAATATGCTTGTCAGCGGTGTGAACTGCGATAAACCGAGGGTACCAACCATTCGTAAATGCTATCGAATCTGCCGTCGTACCTCCGCAACGACGTAACGATTCTGTGCACATCTGTCTTCAGAGATAGATGGGGTGAATTGTAAGCCACTTATATGGCGTCAAGTCAGATGGGTACAGTGCAGAAGTGGTAGGATCTGGCGTACGTAAGCAGAGATTTTGGCAGCTAGTATGGGAAGACATCAGGCGTTGTACCAGTAAGAGCCATCAGGAGACATACATCCGTGCTATGTAGATGCTCTTGTACTGCCATCCGATCTTTGACATATTGCGGTTCTCATACAGAAGATGGTCTGTGTGATCGTCAGCGTTCCGCAAATGGGGTATTGAGTTCTTGTAACGCTGCACAAACCTGCATCAACCCCCGTGTACAGCTGCCTCAGCAGAGCAGTCATTGGACCTGTGTACAGGTAGAACGCCATGATTTTCCTCTCGTACAGAGAAGGCAAATCTTCGGCGATTCGCTGGAGCCAAGTACGCGGTAGGGTGATGTCATGGAGGGTGCCACGTCTCTGGAGACCGGTGGCCACTGTGAGCAACGTGCAAAGATGATCCATGAAGTTGCAGAGGACACCGATATCGACTGCCAGACGATTCTCCAAGATGTGACTAGAGCGACGTGAATCGTTAATTGCGACTCGGAACAAGGCGGTAAGCCATCAACTTACTTCAGGAACAAAATACCGCTGGTCAAAGACGCCCGATGGTCGTTCATCATCAACCTACACATGTCGTGAACTACATAGGAGGTATTATCACCTCTTCCTCGCATGAGTCGGATGGGCCTGTACGCTCTGTAGGCGAAGGCGCGTGGGAGGTGATTACCTAGAACGCTGTGATCGAATGCAACACCTAAGGACACAATGTGAAGCATAGACGTAAGGAACGTCAGCGGGGATTCTCTTGTGCGTAGATGCACCGAATAGAGCCAGTCAATGGTCCAGTTGCGTACGACTTGTATGGCGGCTTCGAACTCTGGTAGAGAGGCCGCTTGAAGATTCGGCAATGAACCCATCTTGTAGTACGACGGCTCCAGGGCTTCGTGCAGAAGACGCAGCCAAAACCTGTTGTGACGATGAACTCATTCATATGCTAAGATTCTGAGACCTAACGTACCGCCTGTGGCGCGCTTGCTCGTAGAACGATTCCACGGCATATACAGTATTGTATATCAGAATCTGTTGGAGACAGATCCTGACCCGCAGGTTGTAGAGGTCGGTGTCGAACATCTCCGCAGCAACGTGGACTTGAGGACAGTGATCCATGCGGGGACAGCGACCGAACGCAGCATACGCAAGGCATACACGAAACACCCGTGCATTACGACACAGCTCATTCTCCCCCACGACTCTCTTGCGTAGACGGTCTTGTAGGATTCCACGCAGCACGCGATCCAGATCCGAGCGAAGCACCGCAATGCCTTCTTCACGAGATCGGATGGAAGGGGCTACGCGCTCCGAGTCGCTGCAGAAGGTATATAGGAGGGTATCCTTCTGCACAACAAAGAAGTCTTCGGAGTCCGTCTCAGGCACGAAACCGAAGAGGCGGCGGATCTCCGGTGTATTGGAAGGCTGCGCATGAGATGCGAGGCTCCAGAGCAATTGCGCGTACAATTGGAAGTACTTCAGAACAGTCGCCATATCGAGCAGAGTAGCGTGTTCAAAATTCAATGGGCCAGAGAAAGCATGATCGAGGCACAGAAGTGCTGCGGCATCATTCTTGTGCCAACGATGGAAGCGTTCGCCGAGTGAAAGAAGTTGCTGCCGGCTAGTCGTCGCAATAGCTCGAAACATCAGAACCTGAGAGGTTATGGTCAGCGTGTATCAATATGCACCACCAGCAACGCACCTCATCCCGCATGCCATCATCAAGGTGGTCAATGTCGAGAGCCTCCAGTCGACGGAGTAGTTCTTGTAGAGTAGCATTCGATTTGACCGACTCCGAGTTTGTGGCCACGCCGAAGGATAGTAGTTGACAGACTCCGTCGAGGATGCATTGAGATGCACGCTTTGCCGAATCAGGGTTGCCGTTGTCTTTGAGAAATGCTGTGATCGCCTCCAGCACGTGGCCCTGGGTAAGATGCAACTTTGCCAACTGTCGAAACTGACCAAGCTCCTCGAGGAGGTCCACTTGCGATACGTAGAGTCCACGGTCGTCGAGGAACTCCAGTATCTCTTCGTCAGACTCAAAGAGTTCCCTTGCCTGTCTGAGTTGAGATGAATGTCAGGTCTCAATATGTGACATGGCTTCAGGCTTACTTCAGTCTCCCCCCTCTTGCGTACTCGAGACGGGAGACGTTGATGATGCTGTCAGCAACGGCAGGAACGACCTCATGGTTCTTGACGATGAAGACCGCATTGTCGAACTGGCCGGCTCTACGATAACACTGCGCAGACAATGTGTATTCGGCGGCATTGCGATATGCACGGGCAGCGTTGACTTCGTCGCGGCTCTCCAGATAACACTCCGCGGATATGCGGAAGTAGGTGATCTTCTCCTTGACGGCGGCTTCCGCTGATTTCCAGAATGCCTCTGCTGCTCGCCTGAATGCGACGACACGATCGGTGTCGTCTCCGCGCGCATCCAGCGGGGTACCACGGCCCTTCTCCCTCAAATAGTAAGCCTCAGCAACGGCCCGCTCCCTTGGAAGCATCGCCCGCTCGTAACAGTGCATCGCTTGAGTATAGCGCCTGTTGTCGAACAACGTACGGGCGGTACGAGCCCATTCTTCTGGCGTCGACGACATGGCGAGTCGAGGCACGTCGGAGCCCGGGGTGCAGTTCTGAATCTGCTGTTTCGCAGTCCAAAGGATCTGCAAACGATTGAGATACAGTCATAGTCATGAGGCCTGACTCTTACCCTCATAGGTTCACCTTTATCTGAGCTATCGGCGACCCAGAGGTTCTGACGGGCTCGGGTGATGGCAACGTACAAAGTCTTGAGCTGCGCAAAAATCTGTAAGTCTACGTGGCTGAGTAAATAGACTCATTCGTACCTCACGACAAACTCCGTTGTGGCGACTGTCCTCAAATCGCGGAGCCCTGAGAGCTTCACTGGATCCCCCAGGCAAAGCATTGAGAACAACTCGCCATTGCGACAGATCGACAGTGGAGTCGGCGAAGAAGTTGTACAGCAAGACCTATACGTAATATAAGCCGAGCATTGATAGGAACACAAGTGGTCCGACTCACATCGTTGAACTCCAAGCCCTTGCTTTCATACGGCGTCCTAGGAAGCATAGCACTCAGTCATCCGTCAAAAAGTTACCAATGGCAACTGTACTAACATGATAAGTCCGATGTTGCCAATCTGCGCTTGGAGTTTCTCTCTGGCGGCCTCATCGCGCACCATGATACCTTCAAAGCCATGAGCTAGTCACACAAACGGTCTAAGAATATGGCAAACATTGCTGGGCACCAAACTCTATCTGCGACCCACTGTAGCAAAGCTGTGAGCAATACCTACGCTTAGAACGCCACTGGTGCACTTACGAATCCCCAAACAAGAACTGCTCGTAACGAACATTGTCGTCATCCCAGCCACTGAAGAACACGGGCTTCAGACCGTCAATGATTCCGCGCTCTTCACCAAGATTGTCGATGGCATGGGGCCAAAACCTCGTAAGCAACTCGACCACTGAGCGGGCACAGTTCACAATTCCAGCATGAGAACGATAATTGAAGGCGAGCTGGAAAGCCCGTGGCTGTGGGCGGATTGTTGGTGATGACGATCCGGCATTCTGTGGGAAGCAAGTGGTAATGAGCTTGGACATTATCAATCGATAATGGTGTAGTCAGATACCTCGATGCGATAGAGGAACGACTTGAGGTCGTCGAACCGGAACGAGCTACCGACTGCAATTGTCTGCGCTGTGTCACCGGCCCAGAACAGACCAGAATCGGGATTGCTGCACAACGAACGAATGACTGTGATAGGTTAGCTCATACTCAGTCGCGTACGCGCAATATATTCACCTAAAGCGTCGATGAGTAGGTTGTCCTGGGCTTCATCGATATATCTTGACAGCGAACGTCAGAACTACAGTTCAAAAAAGAGCCCTAGGTGCGTACAGAAAGTCCATTTGCTTGCCAGGCAAGCCGTACTGACGCAATGCATTGAGTAAGACGTGCGTCCTGCAGAGTTTGATCAGTACATGTTCTATACATCAGAAGAAGGCGAGGAAGTTCATACCGATCAGCAGCATCGTACTCTCGGCGCTCTCGTTTTCGCTTCATGTATGCAACGAAGAGCTTGTAGATTGTCTCTCTCTGACTAGCAAACGTTCCTTGCGTACGATGACTCAGATTGAAGTACGCATCTTTGTCCAAGAAGCCTTTCGCGCTACTCAGGGCTTGCTCGGAACCCTTGATGACGCCTGGTAGGACTCTGTTAGCATTGATTGTGACCGCGCGTGCAGAGACTACACACCAATGATCTCCCCGAATACCAACGCAGGGTCTGCAACATGACATCAACTCGATGTGCATCGAAGGACGCGTAGGAACGCACCTAATCCTTTGGTCAGTGGCTGTGGGAAATGCCGCCAGAAAGAGATCATGAAGACGTCGTAAGAGACGAAGGCGGGACCATGACGTCGCTGTTGCACGTATTCAGTCGACATATTCTGCCCATCTACAGCCCCGGATATGCTCGCGATAGTTTGCAATAGTGCCTGCTGCGAGTCCTTCATCGAATTCGCGTAATCCGCTTCGAGTAGACGGCATAGCTACGGACGATCGTAAGCATCGAGGTCACCCGGAGCTCGGTAGCCTTACCTGATGGAACGTTATGAACAGCGGGAAATGCTCATCCTCGAGCTCGCTATAGCGCTTTGGGAGGTTCTCGCGCCGCTCGATTTCTTCGTCGCGATCGACCAGTCCTTGATCCTGCTCTGCCGCCCTAGTGAGGGCCTCCCTGAGCTCTTCGGGCGCCTTGTCCGCGGACGACAGCGATTCCTGTAGCCGCGTGTAGTACTCTTGCACTTTGTCCGCCAGAACTCGCGACTGCGTGACAAAGACTTGACGCGGCTTGGCTGACGTGTCCCTGTGCGCATTCCACGACCGCTCGATGCCGAGAATCTTGAACAGCATGGTGGTTGTTTTCCTGGGTATCTAGTCAGACCCAGCACAATGACTCGCGGACAATCGTACCCAGTACCACTCCTTCCTAGGACATAGCAGGAACCAGCGTGTTCTATGATCTGCTTCTCTTGAGGTCTACTCGGATGTGAGTACAGTTCGCTGCTGTAGAGTGAAACGACTACGCACGAAACATCGAATACGTGGACTACATCCTGGTCTGCGAGGATGCCTATAGCGGACGGTCAGACAGATGAACGGCGGTATGAAACGTCGGCTGGCATACTGTTGAGGAATGCCTGAATGCACCTCGAAGTGTTAGTATCATGACAGTCCGTTCTCGACGTATGAGCGCACCTGGGAGAGTGTGACGTATTTCTCCAAGCTGCGAAACACGCGATGAGTTACTGCACAACATGACGAACGCACTAAACGCATACATCAAAACCTCGTGCATCTGTAGATGGTGTCAATATCAGAAAAACGACATAGTGGTGAGGCATACCCTCTGAAGATCGTCCTTATGCAAGTCAGGAAGCGCCGAAGAGGGCGACAAAATCGGGGCTTCCAGAGGTGCCGGGAAGGTTGCAGGAAGAATAACATGGGCGTGCTCGCCCATCTTGGTCGGTCGGCTGCGGTATTTGCATCTGATTGACGTCTTGGGGTTAGTGTCCATCAAAAGACAACTAAGCAATTGCTGCTCACCTGTCCCTGTACTGTTTGCCTCTGCGAGAGAGCTGATGACCGACTCCGTCCCAGAACCGACGGTTGATCTGCGCATGCGTATAGATCCCGAAGACTTTGATGACTTGTACAGGTAATGGTTAGCAAACGACCAGAATCGCGACGTTACTCAAACCTTGTCGTTCAACCTAGTACGCAAGGATCAATCAGTTGTAGGCTGTGATACTTCAGATTGGCAACCTACGTCGCACTCGTACTCAGATATACAGTCGATTTGGTACTGAGTGGGTCGAGTTCTATCAGTGTGTTCGCCATAGTGATGGATCATAGGGAACGTACAACGAGCCGGGAGTCACCAGTCATCTTTGCCTCGTAGATTGGAATCTGCGCGGCATCAGTCAACTGCTTCTGATTATCATGGGAGAAGTGCCCAGTCGAGAGGGCCCTTGTTATACGTCAGTGACTGCGTTCTCTCATCGTCACTGCAGAAAATCGACGCACTTGATTTTGTTCAAGGTAATCTCGAATAGTGCGGGGTTCTTTTTGCGCAGCTGGCGTAGATCGGCGTCGGCCCGGGTCGAAATCAGGATGCGCCATTCCCCAAAACCGTCAGCGTTGTCGAAGTAAAGTGCTGCCTTCATGGGCTGAACCATGGGATACGCCGCAGGAGCATCCTCAGTGACAATGCTCTCTGACGTAGAAGCTTCCGCAGATGCCTCCGGCGACTCCGGCCCATCCTTCTCGGTTTCCTCAAGAGGTATGTACGCCCGCTTGAGGGTTTCCTTCAGCTCAGGCAAGCTGAAGATCTCCAGGTACCACTGTAGAAAATACACAATGTCTAACGAATATATCTGAAGCAGAGCGTGATATCGTACCTTCATACTCTCTTTCAGCTCGTTGATGAGACTGGCCCCGACAGCCTCGGCCTCCTCCCGGCTCGCCGGAACTTGGATGCCAAGGTCTGTGAATGGCCTCACATCTGTTATCGCCTTCAATTGAGGTTGCTTGGATCGTCTTTTCTTCTTCTGCTTGGAGCTTGCAACTTTGATGAAGACCCCCTCATCGACTTCCACGTCATCCTCGGCTGTGTCGTTGCGAGAGAAGTCATGTAAAGTCAAAGACTCCAAGACCGCAGTAACGCGTTGAACGTATTGATGATTCTCTCGTATGACCGCGGGGTCGGCCCGCAGAGTCGAGGGGAAGGTCAAGAAGAGAAGACCTAGCGAAAAGCGTCCCAATGCTCGTCGTGCTGTCGATGTCATGTAGCCAGGGGCGTTGTCGGGCATGCTCAGAAGCCAATATCTCATCCTCTTCGCATTAAAGTCGTTCACGGCTGATCATATCGGTAAGCGGGGAGACTACGACATTAACACTCACTCATAGAACACTTACCTGAGAGAACAAATTCTAGAAGATGCTGAGTCTCACACAATTCCTTCACAATGTCTCCGACGCTGACGACTGAAGACTCGAGATCGTTCTCGAGGTCGCGAATCACGTCCTGAAGGACGGCCTCGTCCCTCAGCGCGGTCGCATCGTATAGGCCCGTGCCGTACTTGACCCGGGCTTGGGTGGGGCTCTCGTAAAGCTCTCCCATTGCAGGTGGTAGGGTAGAGTGCAGGAGTGGGCAGGTACGACGCACTCTGCACGAGAAACGTCTGCCTTTACAAGGTTGTGATTAACCTCGTGGGATAAGCTTCCCCTGTCCTTGTTCGGACAACGGGGCGGCAATGGGCTCAGGGCACTTGTCTGAACAAGTGCGCTGGGATTGGCTACCACAAATAGTGGTGATACACTAGCTGACGCTAGGAAATCGCGGGTACTAATATGGCTGGCGCAGCCTTTCCCTCGCGTGGTGAGGAGCGGACTGCAGTGAATCCGCTGTGTGGACCGGCAGAGGCTATGGAAGAAAAGGAATAAATGGTGGGGTGTATTGTGTTGATTCGTTCACCTAGTTCTGTCGCTGGCGTTGGAAGTTTGACAACGACCCGTCGAAGAGGGCGAGTGAGCGGCGGAAAACAACGGTTTGTCGCCCTGTCCAAGTGCGGCGCACAGAGCTCTGGTGACCGCGTCACGGCGTGACCCGCGTCGCAGCCCGTCGCGGTGCCTCGGCACGTGTGGGGATTCTCCACCGTGCCATAGCGTCGTCCACGCTGCCCCAGCCTGCCCCATCCTGTACTCTCCGGTGAGCAGCAAGTCCTTCTCTGGCGCCCCGCTCGTTGGCTCACGACCGCCCACTGCTTTCAGACCATGCCGCCTCCTCACTATGACTTCCTAATCAAGGTCAGTCGCCCCAGACATCCATACGGACTCGCGCTCATGCCGTTTCCAGCTGCTACTCATCGGCGACTCAGGTATGCACACTGCGATCTCGTCAGACGGTGGTCTCACATTCTGTCTGGAATAGGTGTCGGGAAGTCATGTCTCTTGCTACGATTCTGTGACGACGCATGGACGCCCTCCTTCATCACAACCATTGGCATTGACTTCAAGATTCGCACAATCGAACTCGACGGCAAGCGCATCAAGCTCCAGATTGTGAGTATCTCCGTATGTCCATGGATGGCGTTCAAGGGCTCATCATACATTGCAGTGGGACACGGCTGGTCAGGAGCGATTCCGGACCATCACTACCGCGTACTATCGCGGGGCAATGGGTATCCTGTTGGTGTATGATGTAACAGACGAGCGATCATTCAACAGTGCGTCCACAGCCTCGCACTTTTCACCATTCCGGTCTAACATCTGCGACTTAAGACATCCGCACATGGCACGCAAACATCGAGCAGCACGCCTCCGAGGGCGTGAACAAGATCCTCATCGGGAACAAGTCGGACTGGACGGACAAGCGTGCCGTTACAGAGGAGCAGGGGCGCGAGCTCGCAGATGAGCTCGGCATCAAGTTCATGGAGACCTCCGCGAAGGTCAACGATGGCGTCGAGGAGGCGTTCTTCACTCTGGCGAGGTATGTAGCTTTCTAGTCGCCCACCCGCGCAGGCACACCGCCTCCGACATTGTCCTCGATGGTGGCTAACATTGTATTGTAGGGACATCAAGGCACGGCTCATCGACTCACAACCGGAAGCTGCGGGCGCTGCGAGCGGCGCCCCTGGCTCGGACGGCGCAGTCAAGGTCAACCAACCCGCAAACCAAACCGCCGGAGGCTGCTGCTAGGCGCCTCCACCCATTAGACGTTGCATACCTGTACCTCTCACCAGTGTTGTCATGGATGTCCCCTCAGATGGTCTCGCCGTCGTTATTTATATCCGTGTAATGTGGTCGCGCTCCTGACCTGTTTCTCTACCATTGCTGACAGCAATCCACTTCATATATGCCCTCTTCCTCCCGTCGGACGCCCGAGGCCCGTGCTACTTAGCTACTTCGAGATGGGTGTGGCATAGTTCCAGTTGCCTCCCCACCACCGCTTGATGCGCTCGCCGCCCCATTCCTCGTACTGCTCCTTGGTCACGCTGACCTTCTGCAGGTCGTCTGTCTTCGCAAAGTCGGCCATGCCCTTCCATGCGTCGATCATCGGGTCCGCCGCGCGCACAATGCCCAGCGGCATTTCTGGCGGTAGGATAGGTCTCAGCGCGGCTTGCAGTCTCTCAGTCAGTCCGGGCAACTGAGATGGCCCTCCCGTGACAAACACGTTCTGCACATCGGTCAGTCAGGGGTCCCGCCATGTCATGAAGGGATTCGTACCTTGGCCAGACGACCCTTCTCGCTATCCGGGAACCGCGATAGGACACTCTGCAAGACCTCACCCAGGCCTGCTGAATCGACGCCTGCCATGCTCGGCGAGAACCACGCCTCGCACACGCGCCACCTCTCGATATTGAGATGAACGCGCGTCTTGCCTAGAATCATCGCACCCATCAGAGCCGCACCAGCATAAGATACCAGCATGGTACCGCACCCTCGACGTCACCGTCGTCATACTGCGGCTTGAACGCGGCAAGCAGCGCCGAGCGCTGCGCGGCGAGCGACGCGTGTGTGTGTTCGTGCGTGAAGGACGGGTCGTGTTGCAGCAGCTTCTGCTCCACGGCCTGCAGGTTCGCCATGTCCTCTTCCTCGTCGGACGAGGGTGCGTTGGTGTTCTGCTGCGTGGGTCAGCGCAGGCTGGATGCGGCGTTGGGACTAGCTTACAATCTTGCGGTATATTGCCCAGTCGGCGTCGTCCGCTCCGAACATGTCCTCTGTATGCAATATGAGACTGGTTGGGAATCGCGTTGGGGAACTTGAACACTAACCACCGCCGGTCTTCCTGCGCTTCTTCGGGACGCGGTCATCTGCAGCGAGGTTGGCGATGCTCTTCATACGCGCTTGGGATGCAGCACTCTTCCGGTCGGTCAGCGCGAGCTTTCTCCGGTTGCGCTCCTTGATCTTGTTCATGATCGTCTATCTCACAGCGCATGAGATAACCCGAGCAAATAACGAGCGTGCGACGGACCTCTTGCTCTTTCCGGAGCTTGCTAGACCAGCCAACCAAGTCGCCTTCGCGCTCCTCCTGTTCCCGCCGCTCCTCGGCCAACTTCTCTTCCCGCTCGCGCTCCTTCTCTTTCTTCGCCCGTTCGCGCGCTTCATACCCGGCCTTCATGAGCCGTTGCTGGCGCTTCTGCTTCAAGCCATCCTCATCGAGCTGGACAATGGGGACCTCAGTACAGCGATAGTGAGCAATCAGTGATCACAAGACCTCGTCATCGGGAGTATCGAGCAGGTCGAACTGTGGTGGGCCCTGGTCCTGGGGCTTGTCAGCTTCAGGTATACAGGGGTAGGTCGGCAGCTCACTTCTAGCTCCTCCCCGTCTGCCTCGGTCTTCCTGGCTTTGCGCAACTCGGTTTCCAGCTTCTTGATGGCTTTCTCGAGTGCTTGATCGTCATCGAAGCCTTCCTCCTCCAAGATGTCCTGCACAATAATGAAGTTACTTCTGCGACAAGTACGGTTGCCTCACTTACGGCCCAATCCTCCTTACTCTCTTCCGCGCGTCGCTCCCTGAGGCTTAGCATATGCTGAAGACCGTCCTCCTTCTGTCCCAGCTGTGCACCATCTGTGAATAGGCCAATACCTCACGGTGAGATGTCGGGAAAGCCACACCTTCTCTAAGCGGGCCTTCGCCGCGATCATCTGCAACCGTCGTCCTTGCTCCCTTTTACGCTCAGCGATCTCGGCAAGCTCCTCTTCTGTCTTCTCTTCCACCACTGGGAGAATGTACGGGTACTGTATAATGCGATCCGATGCACGCAGGTTAAGAGGGTCCTTCATCTGGCGCAATAGCGCAGGATAGTCCGTGGCGAATCCGCAGAAATTCCGTAGCATCCACTGGATAGAATGCCGGTTAGTCGCTTCCGTCTCTGTGAGTCTCTGCACTCACGTTGGTGTGTACAGGCAGGATACGTGACGGGAAAGTAGGGTACTTGAGCTGTATGAGCTTGTAGAGGTAGTCGGTCGCCTGATTTGCGCCCCATGGTATCCGTTTCGCATGGCTCATCAAACTCGTCCCTTTTATCACCGGAATGACTGAGGTCGACGCGGAGTTGAACGAGACGACTAGTCCATCAGAGGTGAATGGGACAGGTGGAGACGGGAGGTTGTTGTGGTAGAACGACATCACTGAGTCGACACAATAGGCCAATGAAGGAACTGCATACTGCTCGAACATGAGTTCAGACGTCAGAGAGCGCGAGTGCAACGGCGAGCATAGTCGCTCGCTCATAAGAATGGGGTGCTCCACAGTCGACGCGTCGATGCCCAAGTGGACGAAAGCATAGTCTAGGGCGTTCTCCTACACCTCCGGACCAACCGTTCATGAGTTCGCAAGCGATGAAACGCGAAAAGAAACTCACAAGCGCGTCGAAGTTCAGTAGCACATCGCCCTCCCATGGTGTCTTCGCTTGTGACTTCGCCCCGCTCTCCGTGTCTATCCCGTCTCCGAATAAGAGGAGTGGCTTGTTCGTCTTGCGCTCCTTATACTTCGCTACAGCATTGGGCTGGCATCGCGGCGTGGACGACGTGCAGAAGCCAAACCTAAGCGTGGTCGACCCATTGTCGATTACGAGCGGTGTTTGCTTGCCTCTGTGCTCGTCGTATGACGCCGGTGGCGAGAGAGTCGGGAATGTAGGCGGTGGTATCAGCGTTATATCAAGCGTGTCCGTCATGACAAGCGTATTAGGTATAGCAAGCACTGGGTGACGCCGTAGATTCGCTTGAGGAAGCTTCAGCGAGGATTGTGGGAGCACTGGACGGAGAAGAAGGCGGCGCCATGTTCGAGCAGCAGCCTGAGCGTCCTGTCAAGGCCTGTTCTGCGTCGATTGCCTTTCTCAGCGCAGTGCGTCCGCCCACGTGGCTCCTACATAGAATTTGGCGTCTGCAACCCACTCACGTCCTCCATGTCTCGTACTATGCATCCTTACTGCGTCCGGAACAAACACGACATCCATATCAGTGGGACTATCAGCACCAATTGTGCAGGCTGAGGCCCACTTTGGCTGGATACCTCCCTTGTCTCCGAGCTCAGTGACACCTCTAAGATTCACCATGTGGCTGGCCATCTTGCTTTCCGCCTGAATGAAGACTCTCCTACTCAAGCACATTATTGTAAGGCGTAATTGTAACCAGACATCAGAAATGTGGGCTATGCTTAAGCAATTCATACCTGCAGCATAACCGGCGCACGGTCAGTCCGCAGAGATGGACTCAACACACACACTTCTGTAGCAACGATAGCGGAGGAACACCAATCTGTTTGAACGAGCATAATATTATCAGATGAGGTCTACACAAATCTCCGTTCTCGTTATCGCCGTCTTGATTGCCTAGAAAAGCTTATCGTCATCTCCGTGAAGTCTTCCGCAGGCCTGTGGTCCCCACTAATTCCTCTCACCTACGAAGCTAGTACTCAAAACATAATGGCCACACAGCGAGCCGAACGATACGACCCAAACTCACCCCTCGAGCAGGAGGTCAAGCTCCCTTCTGCTCCGCGCGTCGCGCTCGCCACAAACGCAACACTCCAGCCGCCGCTCACGCGTCGCGGCACCGGTCCGGGCCTCATCCAGTTCCTCCCTGCGCGAGCGAAGTACGCGAGTAGCACGACGCTCGAGGGCGAGCATGCAGTAGAGACGTCGCTCGATCCGGAGCCTGTGCAGAAGTGGGCTGAGGAAGGCTACGCGGTCGTCGCCGTCGAGGATGCAGGAGCATCGGGCGCGGCTTGGGGCGTCACCGTTACACTCACGGAGGGCCTGAAGGCTCTCAAGGCGTTGACTGAACTTGACGTCCGTGATAGATTCGGTGTCATAGGTGTGTAGGATTGCGTGTATGGTTCTTGCTGCAATGCACTGAATACTGGCGCAGTGTATGACCCAGACTTGATAGATGCAGTACACGACGCGGCAGCGCAACACCCTGAGATCGTCGCGATCGTCGCGTTCACGGACACGGTGGAGCACGTGAAGCTGCCGAAGCCAACACAGTACCACCTGCCTGGGAGGACGGCTATCCCTGACACAGGCACCGCAGAGGTAGTCACACACGAGCATGCCACGTCGCCGTTCTTCGTCTTCGTACAAAGCGGCGCGTACGAGCCGAGCGCAGCTACGGCCGCACACAGTAAGTCGCTCGTGTTCCTGCGCAAGCACATCGGCGGGCCGCATTTTGATATCGAGGCAATCTGGGAGGAGCATACGTACTTCGAGTTTGAGGTGCGCTCGGTCGCCAAGACGATGGGTACGATGGTGGTACGTGCATATGTGTACGAGGGCAACGTACGCGGTGTCACTGACACTACCTCAGCAAGAACCGTACGTGAACCATGTCCCGACAATGACAGGCGGCGTTGGGCGTGAGGCTCTCACGACTTTCTACCGCGACCACTTCATCTTCAGGTGCGTCTAGGGCTTGTATACCACTCAAGTGCTATCTGACCATGACGCTTCCTTCAGTAACCCTCCGGACGCTGCTCTGAAGACCGTCTCGCGCACAGTAGGCGCGGATCGCGTCGTTGGTGTGCATCGCTCTGCACTAAACCAGGTCTAGAGCTATTGGCTGACCTCTACCCAGATGAATTCATCTTCCACGTAACGCACACAACCATGATCGACTGGTTGCTCCCTGGTGTACCACCCACAGGCAAGAAGCTGGAGATTCCCATGCTCGGGGTCATTAACGTTCGCGGTGACCGTCTCTATCACGGTACGCCGCCTTCCACTGTGTCCAGGATTCTTGCTGATATTTGCGCGCAGAGCATATCTGGTGGGACCAAGGCACCGTGCTCAAGCAGGCAGGCCTTCTCCCTGACGTCGTCACCGTGCCGACCTCGACAGGCCCACGCAAGCTGAAGCTGCCCGTCGCTGGAGTCGAAGCCGCGCGCATGCTCGTCAACGAGTCTGATGGCAAATCGAACGAGATGTTCGGCTGGGGGTATCAGGACTGAGTGCACTTTCGACGGTGCTAAGACTGGGGAGAAGCAGCCTCACTGGGGGTACGTCCAACATGATACTGTTGCGCCGTGATCTACACTGTTCATAGCTACGCCGCAGGGGCGATAGGGAACCATTTGTGGAATACCTGATCGGGATCATACTTCTTCTTTACCTGCTGCAACCGTGCGTAGTGCTTGCCAAACACAATCCTCGCCTTGTCCGCGGCGACCTTCGACACTGCTTCGTCATCGTAGTTGCCGTACCCTGCTTGCTCCGCCACGGTGAGTTGCAAGTTCGCGCTCTTGATAAGCCCGATGAGGTCGTAAACCATTTCGCGACCGCGCCTCAGGTTCTCCTGCGTATCATCAACCCAGATTGCGTTGACGAGGATAGATGGGACGGGGTCGCGGCGGAATGGCGTCTCCTCGCTATCCTTGGCAGTAATCTTGTGCAGCGGGAAGTACTCGAAAAGGATTGCCGGGTTTGGTCCTGCAGCTGGTGCGGCTGTAAGCTCAGCGACGCGGTCAAATACCTTAAGCACGGTCTCGTACTCGGGCTTGCGGTGCGCTACGCCCTTCTGGTACACTCCCTGACCATGATACGAGACATGGTTCTGGGGGCTAAGTCAGCGGAGTGCATGTGCAACAGAGGAGAGGGTGGGAGGAACCGCACCTGTAACGCGTTTACGAGTTCGTACGGGATCTCCTTTACTTGATCATCGATGGGGCCGATGTCGAAGAACTTCTTGTAGAACATCCGACCCTCTGCTTCGGAGCCGTTGTAGAAGAAAGCGACGACCATGACAGGCTTGCCGTCTGGTCCCACAGCGGCGGTCTGGATCTGTGAGGACTTGTCGCCGGGGTTGTCCCACCACTCCGCAGTGACCTTGGTCAGTGCCTCCAGCTGGCTGCGGTCGTAGACCGCCATGCCGGAGAAGACGGTGCGCCGCTGGTCATAGAGCTGGAAGACGAACTCCGAAACGACACCGAAGTTGGACCCGCCGCCCCGGATGCCCCAGAATAGGTCGGGGTTCTCCGTCTTGCTCGCATTCACGACTGTGCCATCGGCGAGAACGACGGTCGCCTATGTAGGTGTGAGGACGTCTCTTCATCCTCAAATATAGCGGGCCATTGAGACTCACCTCCAGAACGTTGTCGAGAGCAAGACCATACGACGAGGACAGGTATCCATACCCGCCGCCCAGGGTCAGGCCACCGACACCGGTCTAGTAGGTCACAGGGTAGCAGCCGCTCATGCAGTAGACTGAAATGCACGTACGTGATTCACAGTACCACCGACTGTTGCAAGGCCGTACTCGATTGCGGCCTTGTCTACGGTCTCCCAGATCGCACCTCCGCCAACATAGGCGATCTTCTTCTCGGGGTCAACACGGGCATAGTCAAAGTAACGGTGAAGGTCAATGACGAGACCTTCGGTAGAGGATGCGCCCGCTGGGTTGTGTCCGCCGCCCTTGATTGCGATCTCCATGTCATGAGAGCGAGCGTACTGAATTGCGAGTGACATGTCTTGTACGTCCTCGACGAACGCGACTATCTTCGCATAGCGCTTGGCGTCCATAGCCCAGCGGGCGATCGCTTTCGTGTATTCGGGATGCTCGGGCGTAACGAGGTCGCCCTTGAACTCGCTGGGGAAGTCAGAGAGATTGGAAGGCATGGCAGTTTCGCGTCTATCTGTGAGAGTCGTCGGTAGAGCGATACTGCCAGGGTAACGGTCATAGGTCCTTTATAAAGTTCAGTACATGGTCACGATAGCCTGGCTCGATCCGAAGTGTCAGGACGGACCACCGCGACACCGTCCTACTTGCGCAGGTACTAAGAAGCCTTTGTGAGAATTCATTCACGCGCAGCCAACGTGTCAAGACCTGGAAGCGATAAGAGCTTGTCCAGCAAGGTTTCACTCTCAAGAGCTGCATGACCACAGGGAACAAGGTGTTGGAGTCTACCCAGACCTGCTTCGAACTCGAAAATTTATATGTGCCCTCCCTGTGCCCCACCATACTGTATGTTGATATACAGAACTGAACGCACCAACGAATTTCAATGATGATTGGCTGACGGCGCTCACTCACTGCAGGCCCGTAGTTGGTCAGACTCAGAGTCCAAACTTGAGGAGTCCAGCGAACAAGCGGCCCGGTGCAGTCTGACAGTGCCGCAACAGTGCAATTGCTCTTCGCTTCTTCGGTTCTATGGACCAAGTATTATACATGATATGCGTCGTACAGCGTCAGAAACCTACTATCCGACTGGCGTGAAAAGGGTTTGCGGGGGAAACATCATTGATGTGGGATGATCATTGAAGTTGCTGGCTCGTCGAGACGCAGCAACCACAGTGACTGTATAGGACAAGGTTCGAAGCTTGTGCAATTGCACGTTTGAGGCCCGGCGGCGCCCCTCACAACCCTAACCACCAGGCAGGGTTTTGAGATAGGTCATGCATATGTGAATGCGGTTCGATGTAGGGGGCACCCCCGCTCCGATGCAACATGAGGATCCTTATAACACAAAAGTCACGGCGGCGAGAACAATTGAAGTATGCACTGGCAGGACGCCGCGGGTCCCTCTTAACTCCCGCTGAGTTTGTAGCCAGGGTAATCGATCACTGGTACATGTACTAGTAACTACGCACCGGGAGTGATAGGGAACCACTTGTGGAACACATTCTCGGGATCATACCTCTTCTTCACCTCCTGCAACCGCGCATAATGCTTGCCGAACACAAGCCTCGCCTTCTCCGCCGCGCCCTTCGACACCGCATCGTCGTCGTAATTGCTATACCCCGCCTTCTCCTCCTCGGACAGCTGCGGGTTCGCGTCCTTGAGGAGCCCGATGAGCTCGTAGACCATCTCGCGGCCGCGCGTCGAGTTCTCCTGCGTATCCTCGCCCCACAGCGCGACAACCAGGGCGGAGGGGATGCAGTCGCGGCGGAAGGGTGTCTCCCCGCTGTCGTGCGAGGTGATCCGCTGCAGAGGGTAGTACTCGAAGATGACTCTGGGGTTCGGGCCCGGTCCGGCGTTCAGCGCAGCGGCGCGATCGAATGCCCTGAGCACGGTCTCGTAGTCGGGTCTCCGGTGTGCAGCCCCCTTGAAGTACACCCCTTGGCCGTGGTACAGACTCGCGTTCTATGAACCAGATCAGAGAACAAGTCCTCAGAGGGCGGAGGACCCGGTGGCAGCGTGCTCACCTGCAGCGAATTGACATCCTCGTACGGGATCTCCTTTACCTGGTCCAGTACGGGTCCGATATCGAAGAACCTGTGATAGAACGCCCGACCCTCCGCCTCCGAGCCGTTGTAGAACATGATCACGGCCATCGCAGGCTGCCCATCCGGGCCGACTGTCGCGGCCTGGATCTGGGCAGACCTGTCGCCGGGGCTGTCCCACCACTCCGCTGTGGCTGAAATCAGCGCCTCCAGCTGGCGGCGGTGGTAGAGGGCGCGGCCGGCGAAGACGGTGCGGCGCTGGGGGTGCAGGCGGAAGACGAACTCGGCGACGACGCCGAAGTTGGACCCGCCGCCTCGGATGCCCCAGAAGAGATCGGGATTTTCGGTTTCGTTCGCGGTGACGATCGAGCCGTTTGCGAGGACGACTGTTGCCTGTGGAGGCAAGAACAAACAGTGCGTCTGCGCAAGAAGCTGAGGGAGACTCACCCCGAGAACGTTGTCGAGGGCGAGACCGTGAGTCGGGGAGAGGAAGCCATAGCCCCCACCAAGCGTCAGGCCAGCAACACCCGTCTGTTTCGAGCATCAGCGACTGTACGCAGCAGGCACGAAATCACACTTACGTGGTTTACAGTACCACCGACGGTCGCAAGGCCATGTTCGATCGCGGCCTTGTCTACGGTTTCCCATACCGCACCGCCGCCGACATAGCCAATCCTCTTCGCTGGGTCTACGCGGGAATAATTGAGGTAGCGATGGAGGTCGATGACGAGACCTCCCTCGGTCGAAGACGCGCCTGCCGGGTTATGTCCGCCGCCCTTGATCGCGATCTCTAGGCCGTGCGCGCACGCGTACTTGATAGCGAGGGAGATGTCCTCTGTGTCCTTGACGAACGCGACCATCGCTGCGTTGCGCTTCGCGTTCAGTGCCCAGCGGGAGATCGCCTTCGGGTAGTCGGGGTGGTCGGGTGTGATGAGGTCGCCCTTGAACTCGGCGGGAAAGTCGTGGATGGGGGACATGCTCGCTGCTGGTGCTAGGATGTTGCTACTCCGAGACTGATGAGTTTTGCGAATGCTGAACAGGGACAGCTACGCTAGACTGAATGCGTGAGCAGAATGGTCAAGGAGCCCGAGTGGGGCGACGGCGGGTGGCGATTGTAGAGTCATGTCCAAGACTCTCGTCCTTATGCACTGAGCGACACCTCGACAAGCAATCATCAATCATTCATCACCTCTGCACAGCGTGTATGCGGAACCGGAATCTACATGGGCAGCGGCGGGCCTATGATCCCAAGGCCAAAAGGGGAAAGAGGACCTGGACATGGTTTGAGTGTTTCTCATAGTTGGCGTGACGATCTGGACGCTCGTACCGCCACCCCGACGAATGCTATGGCCAATGAAGGGTACTTGCGAAGACGTCTTCTGGCCATTTGTCGCCAGTAGTTTCGCCTGAAGTGCGGAAGTGCTAGCTCCCTGTGCGTGGGTGCACTTGGACCGTAGCCATGCACTAGCAGAGTCGTATCGGAGGTGATCAGTGCAGACCAGGTGATGCATCAACAACAGAGATCATAAAACATGATGATCATGAGTGTTGAACAAGACTGCTGTTCCGGCTCGGAGCTCGGGGGCTCAAGTAGATGACTGCTGACGAGCAGGGAAGAGAACGCGATGGGAGAACGGCATAGTTCGCTACTATGATAATTCAGTAGTAGTACTCAACCAGTGGCCGTTGTGACTTCCGACCTGATGTACATAGGTCTTGTGTCACGTAGGGTTTCGCAACCCTGCTAGTCCATATTGCGTCTGAAGTCGGGATCGTCTGGAATCTGAGCGCTCATGGCCAGGTACTTAGCATAAGCTTGATATAAGCTCTGAGATCTGAGTTGCCGTAGCCAAGCGACGGCGTACACTCCATTTGCAATCGATGCCGCATGCGGCAGTCCCGTAAGTAAAGCACAACACCGAGAGGGACCCATGATGGGCAGTTTGTGGGCAGTGGACCGTCTATCGTCGGGACGGAACTGTCAGTTACTGTCACGATTTATGCGTCGCTGGGATACATACATAGAGCGATAGAGGCCGGATCAACGCTGACTTCCTTCAATGCAGCTTGCACTTCGGCGCCCTCCGTGCATTGCTGCAGGAAGAGCTGCTGAAGGTCGCCGGGGACGTGTGTTATTCTCCTTGAACATTGTCGAACTTGCCTTGTTCGTGACACCGACGCGCACTCGTCACTCAGGGGAAGGGCTGACGGACGATGACAATCGTGCTTTCTGGTACTTACCCACGACAACCCGAGTCAGGCACCGAAGTAGCGCCGCACGGTGAGCAGCGTCGTTGTGACCACCGGCGCATTCCCTGGCTCTCGCATGATGTGTGGTGATAAGTAGTCATCACTGATCATGCAGCGCACGCCTGTGCAAAGCGCCACATGAATGTGCGCAACGCTCAGTTCTGTATGTGCGCGCAGTAGTTCAAGCTGTCCGACCCCCTCGGAGGACGGAAGCTCGGAGGAGATAAGCTCGGGGGGTATAAGAAGGTCGCGTCGATGAAGTGGGCAATGAAGGGGTGCATGGGTTGGATAATTCATTGTCGTTGCAGACAACAATCCGTGCCGCTGGTGCTGCGACGGCACCGGGGCTGCGGCATGTGTCGAGCCGCATTGCGCATGTGCAAGGGCTGGATATGAGAATAACTCACGAACGCAGGTCATCCCACGAATGGGCAGCGTCAGGCTGCGGTCCAATGGTGCGTGGTTGTTTGCGAGCATCCACGGGTGAGCTGGACTTCGGGAATGTGCCAGCAGGCGAAGCGTAATTGGCCTAGAGCGTCGGTGGGCAGTCACACGGGCAATAGAGATTGGTGATACGTGGGCCTTGTCCAGGCGTGCTGTAGTGCTGAGGATACGCCGGACGCCCGCGGACGGAAGCACGCGAACGACTGAGGATCCTCTGTGCGGAGATGGCCAGTGGGCACTGGGGCAACGAAGCAGCGATCCACGCGGCCGAGGAGCGATGGCATTCAGCGAAGAGCGGGGTGTGGCGACGGGCAGGCGACGAGCAAGGCGCAACTTGGCGGCGGCTGGACAGCGCTGGTGCGGCTGAGGCCGCTGAGCCTGTGCGGCTGGAGCACGGCGGGGGATGGAAGGGCCGGCGCAACCTGGGCGCGACGGGCGTGCGAACAGCGGAGCGGGCGATGACGTCGGGGCCCAGACCACGGCGGCAGGCCACGTTTTGTGCCCGATCTTGGCAATCGACTCCACGGCTCACTGTTTCGGACGTCTTCTGTGCTCGCCTGCTCACCACATCCCTCCCCCCACCACCTCCCCGGCCAGCAACACCCATCCTCCCACCACGGCGCCCAACACGTCGTTCCCCGCCCCCCGTGCCCCCGCCCCCGGCGCCGACGCCCCCCCGGCCGGCGCTGTCGACTCCTTCGCCGCCGCCGTCGACGCCCGCTATGCGTCCCACCACCCCCACCTCGCCCACCTCACCCCCCACGCCGCCCCCGCCCCGTCGCCCTTCGTCCCCCGCGCAACCCCGCGCGCCCCGTCGCTCTCCCTCCCGCCCCCGTCCATCTCTCTGACCATGCCCCAGCCGTTGTCTGCAGGCTCGTCTTCGCTGTCGTCTGCGTCCTCTCCCCCTCTCGCATCACCGGAGACCGCATCTGCGTTCCCAGCACTCGGCCCCGCCGACCTCCTCGAGGCCCTCGCAGACCCCACCGCCCTCATCGTCGACATCCGCCCGTTCAATGCATATGCGACAGCCCGCATACGCGGGTCGCTTTCCCTCTCCGTGCCGTCGACGCTGCTCAAGCGGCCCACCTACGCGCTCGCGCGGCTCGCGCCCATGATTTCGTCCACGTCCGCCCGCGCTCGCTTCGCGACCTGGCGGGATTCGTCGCGCATCATCGTCCACGACGCCGACGCAGGCGGTCTCCTCGAGCGGCCGGCCCTGCTCGGGCTCCTGCGCAAGTTCCGCGCGGAGGGCTTTGACGAGCGCCGGCAGGTCGCATGGATCAAGGGCGGGTTCAACTCTGTATGGCGGGAGCGGCCAGATCTGCTTGATCACTCGCCGCTGCCCGAGGAGGCGGAGGAGGAGGACGACGTTGCAGAGCTCGCCCCGCCCTCGATGGCCATCACTGATAATGCTTCCGTCCACGCGCTGCCGGAGATGGCAAAGAGCTCAAGTGCACCCGCGACAACAGCGACGTTCAAGGCACTACGCACCAAGGCACTGCCGATGAGCGCGTTCACGAGTGCATCGACGCTCGCGGCGCCGCGCGCGCTCCACGCTCCAATGCCTGCGACGTCGGCTGAGGGGGTAAGTATGCCGTCGCTCAGCAAAGTGACGACTGACCTCGCACGCGTTTCCATCTCGCAGGCTGCAACTGCTCCCACTTCTGCGGCAGGGCTGGAACCGTCAGCGTCACGCGGAGCAGGACCATCGCTGCTCGCGGCACGCGCATCCAAGTCGCACAATCCGATGGATCCGCAGGCCACACCGTCCGCGTTCAACCTCCGTCTGCCCGCATTTTCGAGTGCGCCTGGCACGGTGCGCGCACAAACCGCGCAGACCACACACCCATTCCCCCCAGTCGCAGGCACAAGTATCATGCCTACGCTCAGTGCGAGCTCTGCAAGCCCGGTTGCCTTCTCGACGACAGTGGGTGGGATGCGGCCACATCGGCATTCCGTACCGCACGGCAGACCGGTGAGTGTTCAGTCCACGTTGTTGCGTATCATAGGGGTGTGGCCGAGTATGAATGACATTGATCGGAGCGATGAGGCAGACAAGCCTTTTTACCTCTGTTGGCTGCTAGCTGGCTGCTACTTGGATGAGGCGCTCGCACAAGAGTGGAGAGAAGGAGGAGAGGAGAGGTCGTTCCGGAGGTTGCCGTTAGACTTTAAAGGCACAGGGGAACGAAGCTGGGGCGTGCTCGCCCAGTGTCACGTAACCCTAGCCTTCTCCGTACCGATCTCCCCGGTGCGCCAGCAGTAGTGGTATTGCGCCCATGCCCATGCCCAGCGCCGGTAACGTACTGCCGATGCGGGCTGCCCCCGTTCCTCACGGACTGCTAGTTCCGGGTGCACGTAAGCCTGGCATGGGCAATGATCTCGGACGCTGTCCCGGTTTGACTCGCCTGCGCCATGCTCCGGGGTTGGGCGTCATGCCAGGCTGTTACGCGGACATCGCTCAGTACATATGACCAGCCGCTGACACGAGCCTCTTTCTAGGTCGCGTTTAACGCGTTCTTTGACGCGATCCGGCAGAACCTCGAGCTCGCGCACAGGACGGAACCAGCCGGCGAGGGAGGGCGCGGAGCAGGCATTGCGCTGCGCCTCCCACGACGCGTGAGGAGGCGCGTTGGGGATCTGCCGTTTGACTGGCTCCGGGAGATCGCGCGCCGCAGTGGGCGTGCGAGCGAGAGTAGTAGTGAAAGCGAGAGTGAGGAGGAGGAGGAGGGATCTCAGCAGGACGGCGTGGTGATCAGGGAGGCGCCCGTTGCGTCGGCGCTCAAGCGACATCATACGTCAAGGCATCCGCCACCGTCAAATTCGTCGAAACACATGAATGTCGGGCCGCGCTCGACGACTCCTCCGCTGTCCCCGCCCTCCTCGCCTGTGCGCTCGCCCCCGCAGCACGCCCACCAGCGGCAGCATGCCCGACCACATGCACAGACCTTCCCCGCGCCCAGAGAGACGAGACCTGGTCCGCCGGCGGCGCCCACCAAGCGCAAGCCCACACCGCTCGCAGACGACGCGGCGGATTCAGCCGATGAGGACGCGATGTCCGTGTCGAGCCAGAGCCCGCCGAGCGCAGAGGACCTGGCGCGCGAGCTGGAGCTGCAGTTCTACAGGATCGAGCTTGGCGAGCAGCGCAGGCTGATGGGGGTCATGGAGCACCACAGCTTGGAGAGCCAGCCGGGCACGGGCGACGTGGGCGCGGGCGCCGCGGGCGTCGTGCCTGTCGTCTCGGGAGACCCAGGAGAGAAGGCGATGGAGGAGGAAGACTTCCCGTTCAGTATCACTGCGGGGTTGGAGAAGGGGAACAAGAATCGGTGAGTTGGCTTGCCAGTCTCGGTATATGTCGGTCGGCGTGTGTTCTGGTCTGCGCCCGTGAAGCGTGGGGTGCCAGTCTGGCGGGCGCAATAGGTGCGCCGGATCGCTGGTCTGGATCGGGTCCTTTCGGGGCGATAGGCTCGCCATCACCTTGGTTCGGCCTGCCGAGGCTCGGTCTGCGGGCCCGTCTCGCGCTGCAGGGCGGGTTCCACGTCTGGTTTAGCCAGTGGATGTTGCTGAGCTCGAATGCTTACCAATGTGCTGAACAGATATCGGAATATATGGCCGTTCGAACATGCGCGTGTCCGCCTGCGCAAAGCGCGTCCCGATGACGACGACTATATGAACGCGAGTTATGTGCAGCCTTTGGGCACGAAGAAGCGCTATATCGCGACGCAGGGCCCGTTGGCCGCGACGTACAACGACTTCTGGACGTAAGTGTTGGATATGTTTGCTTGCCTGCGGGTGCTGAGAAGGTGCTTGGCAGGCTTTGTTGGGAACAGAACGTTCACGTGATTGTCATGCTTACCCGCGAGATCGAGGGAAACACTGTTAAGTGTGGCAAGTATTGGACGGAAGGCGAATACGGCCCGCTTCGACTCCAGCTGCTCGCGACGGACGATACCCCCGAGCGCGAGCGCCGGCGCCGCGAGAAGGAGACGAACGGCGGGTTCTTCTCCGCACACGTGCCGCCGCCGCCGAAGTCCACGCGCAAGTCGAGGCGGCAGCAGAAAGCAGGCAGCGACTCAGACAGCGAGCGTGATATCGTGCGTAGGGTGTTCAAGCTCACGCATACGGGCTACCCGCAAGCGAAGCCGCGCGTTGTCACGCAGCTGCAGTACCTCGCCTGGCCGGACTTCAACGTCCCGGAGGACCCCCGCGGGCTGCTCGGCTTGATTCGTGAAGTGGAGGAGGCGGCGGCGCGGTCTCACAAGGCGGGCGATAAGACATGGGGCGAGGGCCCGATGCATCCTGGACCCTGGCCTTCGCGAATGTCAATCCCGACACCGTCGCCACCGAAGGAGCACGCCCAGCCGGCTGTGCCCAGTACGATCGTGGAGGACGTGCCCCTGGACGACAATGACGTCGACCCGTTGACAGGAGTCTCGCGACGCGTTGTCGACAACCCGCCTGTCCTGCTCCACTGCTCTGCTGGTGTCGGACGCACCGGCGGGTACATCGCCGTGGACGCTGTCCTTGACGGGATACGGAGAGAGCTTCGCACGCAGAAGGAGCAGGTGCGCGCGTCGCCCGATCGGATGGACGTCGACACCAGCCCAAGTCTGTCTGCGTCTGGCGAAGGCGCTGAGAGCCCGTCTGCGTCTGGCGAAGGCGCTGGGAGTCCGTCCCCGTCTGGTGAAAGCACAGAGAGTCGGTCGCGCGCTTCGCCGCCTGTGCCGGAGCTGACGGTCCCTGTTGCCGTCGGGACGGACCAGGTGCACGTTCGCGTTGCGGGATTCACGGAATCGATGGACGTCGACGGCGAACGTAAGCGGGAGCCGGGCGCGTCGAGTGGGAAGGGCAAGCCTGCGCGCAAGGAGGTGCCCCGCACGGTGGTGCCCGCGTCGTCCGAGCTCGTGAACGAAGTGCGGCGCGCTACCATGCTGAGGTGGCCGTCGGTGTCGACGAGCACGAGCGGCGATACTGCGCCGGTAGCCGGGAAGGACTGGGAATCGAGCAGCTCGGAATCTTCGCAGATCCCGTCCAGACCAACCACACTCTCAGCGACTCTGTCAGGGGAATCATCGGCGCCCTCGAGGTCCTGTCATTCGAGCGCAAGTCCACCCTCCAGTCATACGGGCAGCTCGACGAGCCTGTCGGCAGCGATGGCGAAGCAGACTGCGCACATGTCCTTGTCGCAGAAAGAGAAGGCTGAGCGTGAAGGATCAACGCTTCCCAGGGACGTGGACCACCAGTTGCGACCCACCGAGCACGCTCGACACTCTCAGCGGCAGTCGGACGTGGAGACGCACGCTAGTCGCTTGGACACGTGGAGGTCAGAAGTGCGCCCGTCGGACTCACCTCCCAGTGCTGCCGTATCCCGCTCGTCCAAGAGCCCGGACACGACTGTAGCCACGGGAGGGCAGGCGGATGCGGAGGGTACTGGCCAGGGCGAGAGCTCGCAATACCAGCGCGGGCGCGCCTTTGACTTCGCTCACCCTCGTCGCCTGCACACGGATTTGTCGCCGCCTCTGGTCTCCACGTATGACGAGCCCATCCGCCGAGTGATCGAAGACATGCGCGAGCAACGCATGAGTCTCTGCCAGAGCTTGCGCCAATACGTCTTCGTGTATCGCGCCGTGATCGAGGGGACGTTGATGATTATAGATCAGGAGAGGGAGAAGGAGGAACTGGCTCGCTCGTCGCTGGAGGCAGCACAGGAGGCCAAGCCTAGTCGAGGACGCGTACCGGACCGCCAAGACGTCGATATGGAGGGACTGATGTACTCACCAGAGACTGTTCCCTCCGCGAGCGCGGGTGCGTTGAGGGAGCGCGGCATGGCGCGGACCCGCAAAATCTCCGATTACATGCGCGAGGACGCCGCGATCGATGGACATCACCTCGCCATGTCGCCCGGCGGGATGAAGCGCGGTGCGAGCCCGACGGAGTTGCCAAAGGAAGACGTGCAAGGCGAGGCGATGCTCACGAAGCGGCCAAGCATCAAGCGTACGGCGAGAATGGACATCGTCTGAGTCTGAGGATGACGAGGACTTGGAGGGTGTTTATGTGCCTCGTGTCGACGCCTTCGGTACTTGTACGTACCCCGTGTGCTTCCTCTCGGACCTTCGCCTTCAGGATTCGACTGCGTCATTGCTGTCGCTGGAAGTTGGGCCACCTGCCCCTCCTCTTACGTTCCCCTCATGGTCGCTCGGGCACTCGACGTCACACACTGGTGTCGCTGCCAGATGTGTGCCGCACTTTGTCTGAGTCTAACATTTTCCTTACGGTTTTTGGGAGCTTGTTCGGTTTGTACGGACGGATTTGGTTTCATGTGCTGTCCCTAAGATTTCCGTTGCTATCGCTGGTTCACGTCTCTTGTGTCTTTGGCCCTGTATTCTGCGCGCATGATACACACCACTCACTTACACACGACACGGCAGGCTGCACACAACGCTGTCTCATTAACATTGCGCACATATGTACTACTGTATCATGTAGAACGTGTAGTCTAATTATAGTATCCACATACATTTGCATCATCCTCTACGCTCGTGATGGTCGACGTCGGGGAGCTTGTGAATCTGGCGCACAGAGACTTCTAGTGATGTCATTCCTTATGAGGCGCCGTGCTTCACGACCTCCGAGCCTTGTCCTTCTCCAAGCTTAAGATTCTGTCTGCGAAGAAGCTGACGTCGGCAATATGTACTGTAATTTAAACTCGGCCGACAGCAGAGAGGAGTCAAGGACGACAAACGGCTCGCCGCTGATTGGCTTCCCGGGTCTCTAATTACGTAAGATGCCGCATTAGGGGATGGTCCTGACGATGACAAAAGTTGTGGGACGTGCTTACATCGTTAACCCGCCACCGCCGTCCTCCGCATCCACCCCCAGCCTCTCGACGCTCTCTCTCTCGGACGTCGCAGCCATGGCGTCCTCAGTCGCCCGTCTGCACCGCATGCAATGTTCCCTCGCATCCTCCTTCGCGTCGTCTTCGTCGAGCCGCGCCATGATCTACCTCCCCAGCCACCGCCATGCCATGATGTCCGCGCTCTCTCGTGACGGCCAACCGACAACAACATCCCTATCCTCCAAGCCGTTGGGCCAGACACCACCCGTGGTCATTCCCTCGCAGAAGGCGGGAGAGCCCTCAGCAAAGGCGCTCTCGCCCGACGCTGCGTCGCCGCAAATAGCAGCGCGACCTCCGCCGGCTCCGAAGGCTGAGCGGCGCAAGCCCACCATCAAGGCAACAAAGGCTGCTATCACACTTGTGCGTCGTGCAGTACTGCTCCGTTTCTCATTCGCTAACTTACCGATGGCGTGATCAAGACACCGGGTGCGGTACAGCGACTCCGTGCACTGCTCAAGGGACCCACCCCTCAGCTTATACGCATTGGCGTGCGGAACAAGGGCTGTGCAGGACTGTCGTACCACCTCGAGTACGTCGACAAGCCGGAAAAGTTCGACGAGGTCGTGGAGCAGGACGGGGTCAGGGTCCTCATCGACAGCAAGGCACTCTTCTCCATCATTGGCAGCGAGATGGACTGGCACGAGGACGCGCTGAGGTGTGTCTCCTTCCCCATCGTGCTCATCCTCTTGCTCACGCTTGTGTTCACAGCGCAAAGTTCGCATTCATGAACCCGAACATCAAGGACGCATGTGGGTGCGGAGAGTCATTCAGCGTCGGGTCATGAGCACGCGCCGCGAGTTGTACGCATACACGTCCTCTACATATCCCCGGATGCTTGTACACATGAGCTAATATCCCCCGCCTCACCCTACATCTGTATCCATATATCACACTCCGGTAATATACTAGATGGTGTTCGGACTGACATGCACCGTCTTGTCATGAAGCATGGCTCAGCACATGAATGCGAGCAACAAATCGTTCAACTGGCTCCTACGAGAATGACTCTTCTCGTCTCTGCGTCTGAATATTCAGCCATTTCAAGTTTGCAATCCATTCGTGTATCGTCACTGACTCAACGATAACAATGTGCCAGCTCTACGGTATGTAGCATTCGAAGAACCTCGGACCAGCTATGATATTGCGGCTGGTGCGCCCCAATACGCATCATTATACTGGTGCTTAAACTCGCTGTTGAATTACTAGTGCGGACATTGAGCGGACGGAGATTTAGACCGAAGGATGTGCAGCGATGGACGGGTTATGTACAGTGTTCCGAGCGCGTCACGCAGCCAGCCACGGGCTGTGACCTCCGACATTGTCTGGCTTCCCAGTATCGCGGATCATGTATGCGAGATGGTAGTGTACCCGCACTGATGTAACAGCAACAAATCGTGGTTGGAATAACAACTATATTTACGAGAATGTCGCGTGAACGGTGCTACATCTCTACATCTAGGGCATCGCCGCTCGTCCAGTCCGAGTCCTTTCATGAGTCTGTCTCTCGGCGTCGGAACACAGTGCGCAAAATGCGCCGCGTACGACGAGGCTACAGAAATCAGGTGAACAGCAGTATGTATGGCAGCTTGTGTGCACTCACAGGACTCGACCCACTGATACCGGCGAATGTACAAGATCAGGACAGTCAGCCTGACGAGTCCGGCGCATGCTCAGCGTCGTCCTCTCGCTGCACCTCTACTCCAGTCTTGGACTCCTGGTTTTGTCTCGCTTCATGGAATTCATCCATGTTGCTCCTCCACTTAGTTTCCTCTTCGAAACTGTATACGGTACTAAGAAAGGTACACAGCTTGTCTTTGTCATTGCAGCGGACCAATTGTACCACGTACGTCAATATGCCCCGGACATTGCAGCGTGGCATCTTCCGTCTAATGAGCTCGTCCCACCGGTTGTGCCGCTCGCGAAATGATGATTCTGTACCAAATAGTTCTTCAGGCGAGGTCCAGTCGTTGTCAGCATCGTCGAAGCCTAGACATATACCACCCGGTGCGATATCGGCGAAGTATTCTGCTTGCAATGTGTCGTCCAATTGCACCAAGATACCGTCTTCCTCCATCATCGTCAACGCACCATCCAAGTCATCGGCTGCATGAGCTGCACGGATGAAAAAAATCACAGACATGGATGCGAGATACTTTGAAGGGATCCGAGAGACAATATGAGGAATCCAGGACCACGCAACGAAGGGATGGCGCAGGTAAATCTGCAATCGCCACAAGCTTGCATGGCTTGACAGGTTGAGGTGTTGTTCTACTAACAGCTATGGTGAATCAGATAACCCGAGAGCGAACATATACAACTTGCCTACAGTGGAATCAACAGTGTCACTATCCATGGAAGAATCAGGATCAATATAGAGCGTGAAGACTTCCATCGAGCCCGCACTTGCATCCAACAGCGCTTGACTTCTGCTGCCTCTCGACGATGGATGCAAGTCACCGACAACCGCGAGAACGAGCTTGCGTAGCCGAGAAACCTGGCTGATTCGCACAAGGAGGTCTTGAATTGCGGGCGCAACCCACCGCACGTCGAGCTGCTCCAGATGTGCCGAGTTCACCGGGAGAGAGACAGGAGAGACTGGGTGTTTCTGCGAGCACTCAACACCGTCGCACCATAGTGTCCCCAGGCCAGGGAGTGCCGAGATGAGACGGGCTAGTTGGGCGATGCTCGGCACGGTGACATTGGTGATGGCTAAGGTGTGGACAAGGCGAAATGCGGTGAGGCATTCAAAGCATTGCATCCTCATCGAGCCAACGGTCCATTCCGCGTCCGTAATGCTGATCATTAAGAGCTCCGGGAGCTTCCCGGAAAGCATGGCGGCAAACGTTCCGAGATGTTGAATCACTGAACGCTCGTCAGATGCACTATGACCCGAGATGACGACCTGTTGGACGACACCGCGGAGGCGCGGTCTCTCGCGGAGTGTCCTGGAAAGTGAAAGGACGTCGTTTCGGCCGCGAAGGTGAATGCGCTGACGGAGATGGTACCAGGTGTGAAAGTACCAGTCCCTGCATACCAGTGCGCACGATCGAAGCGCCAGCAGATTTGGATTGCCAGTCACAGATATGTGGCCAAGAAACAATTCCGCGGCCAGTTGGTCAATGATGCGTCCGCAGATCTCGGTGGGCAACCGCGGAGCTGGATCATCCCGAGACGACGCTCCGGAGGCAGTCGTCCTACTAGTCCATGTCCCGTATCAGCGGCACGTCTCGCATTCCACTTGAACTCGTACTCACGTCAGTGCACCTTCTTCCATGTCTGTACAATGGTTTGCGAACAGACTGTAGTACTAGTAGTGCGAATTTGTACGAGAGTCTGCAAGGATGGCGAGCCGCGAATTAGGAGCCCACGGTCACCGTACGCGAGTGGCGCCGGCGGTGCCGGCTGCGTACCTGGATATCCTGAGGCACGAAGGTTGAAGGAATTGTCTACGTCTGCCTAGGGAGACTAGCGTACCTTGCGACTTATGAATATATGAATGGTTGTGGTAGGGCGCCGCAACGGCGCGGTCCTGCCCAGTACCAACTCGTCGACGTTGCCAGCTGCAAGACAGAAGACCGGTGCTGCTGCGCGCCCGGTGCATTCGACGGATATCTGGCATCCACTATACGCTGCTCGCAGACTCCTGGCGCTCGATGGCTCGCATCCAGGATTGTTTCCTGCTGTTGTCACTGCCGTCCTACGCCTCCCTGCCTTCCAGAAGCTCGTCCTGGTCCCGCACTGGGTCGAAACATGCTCAAGCGTCCTGTAGGCTGAATAGCTTGTGTTATAGCCTCACACGCTGCAATCGAGGTCTACGCCGCCTACCGGCTTCGCCTGCCAGTGGGCCTTGGCCGCGGGCGACTTTTGACATGAGTACGCCAGATGTGTGCTCCATTGATGCCCATCGTGTTCTGCATAGGCCTCAACGTTCTCAACGTGACTTCGCCCCGATCAATGCTGGCGACCTGCCATGGTACAACATCCCGTTCCGAAGAGGGCCCACACGTCCGCTGTGCGTGTACTATGTGCATGTATTTCACGCCACTTGAAGTCAGCTCAAACACATCGCCGCGAGGCTTCTCGTCCGCTCGCGTCACCCGTCTTGGACCAGACGTGCGTGCGAGCCAAAGAGCTGAGGACCGATGAGATGCCTCCATACATCTCTGGACAAGCTCTGGTTGTACGGACAAAGGTGCGCCTCTCATTGCTGCTGAAAATGTCTCAACTTACCTGCCGTTGTCTGCAAGACTGTAATCGCGGCGTCCTGCTCCTCCACACCTCAAGCTCGATGAAGTAAGGTTGCCGTCCACGCCTACGACAGCCTGACCACTTTGCGGTCAAGTGCACCGGCTACGAGGAGGCACCAGTCGCGAGCGCAATCCAGTTGCGACACCTCGGTCAATCACATGTCGGTTCTGTGCGCGTCCCATCGTGATGCCCTTACTTGCTAGGATCTTGCGCGCATCGACGGGCCAGCTATGCTATGAACGGTCCCGGGAATTCCTCCAGCACGTCGATGTGATCGATCTCATGTTCGCCAATACGCTTCGGTCTAGGACACCACCCGCCGCTGGGAGATCACGCCATATGCGGCGTATCGCTCGGGAACAAGGCTGGCTATAGCGCATCTCACGCCCCACGTCGATCGACGGGTGCTCTGCATTTTGTGTATATGGGATGACCCGCTGTCAATCAACATTCTCGGGCTCACTCTGAAGTTTCCCAAATCCACCGCGGCAACATTGACATTGCCTAACCTCTGGGGCACGAACGTTCGTCGAAGTAAACGTCCCGACCATCGGACGCATGACCTGCCGCATAATGTGCAAGATCGAGCAGCACGATATCGCGCTGGTGTGGAGGAGGAGGAGGGGGGAGGGGGGGTCCGACAGCCCTATTCGCCCACCGTTTCCTTGTATTAGACGCTTTTGTCCTGACTACACCCACCAAGCGCCGCTCGCGACAAACCTGGGAGGATCGACAGTCGCCGAGCGTCGAGACAGGCAACATTGCCGACCTGCGGATGGCGCATTGGCTCACGACTCACGCGGCGGGTGCTGAGGACGGTGGAGGTGTGGTCAATGCCGCTCGTTCACTTCCGCCGGTCGCGGTCGTCCACTACGTCCATGACCCGATTGTTCTTGTCCGTTGTCCGTAGCCGTACCCGTATACCAATGGTGCGTAACACCTTTCAAGTCGGTACAGGTGCTGTAGTAGTACTGGCGTAATGATGTCGAGGGGGGGGGTGTTCTCCGACATTGTCTGCCTTCCCGTACAGTGTATACAGTAGCCCGGATCGTGTATGCGAGATGGTAGTGTACCCGCACTGATGTAATGGTGACAACAAATCGTGGTTCATAATATACATATACGAGGATGTCCCGCGAACGGTATGACGTCTCTGTACAAAGCATCGCCGCTCGTCCAGTCCTTTCATGAGTCTCTCTCTTGGCGTCAGAACAAAATGCGCAAAATGCGCCGCTACAGAGACCAGGTGAACAACAGTATGTATGGCAGCTTGTGCCATGCACTCACAGGACTCAATACACTAATCCAGGCGAGTGTACAAGATCAGGACAGTCAGCCTGACGTGTCCGGCATATGCTCCGCGTCGTCCTCTCGCTGCACCTCTATTCCGGCTTTGGCCTCCTGTTGTTGTCTCGCTTCTTAAATTCATCCATGTTGCTCCTCCATTTCTTTCCCTCTTCGAAACCGTATACGGTACTAAGAGAGGTACACCGCTTGTCTTTATCATTCAAGCGGACCAATTGTACCACGTACGTCAATATGCCCCGTCCATTGCAGCGCGGCATCTTCTGTCTAATGAGCTTGTCGCACCGGTTGCGCCGCTCTCCGAATGATGATTCTGTACCAAATAGCTCTTCAGGCAGGGTCCAGTCATTGTCAGCATCGTCGAAGCCTAGACATATACCACCCGGTGCGATATTGGCGAAGCACTCTGCTTGCAATATGCCGTCCAATCGCACCAAGATACCGTCTTCCTCCATCATTGTCATCGGCCCATCCAAGTCATTGACTGCATGGTCTGCACGAAAGTAAAACAAAACAGAAATGGCCATGAGATTCTTTGAAGGGATTCGAGAGATGATGTGAGGAATCCAGGACCACGCAACGAAGGTGTGTTACAGGTAAAGCTGCAATCGCCACAAGCTTTCATGATGTGACAGGTTCAGGTGTCGCTCTACTTGCAGTCATGGTCAATCAGATAACACAAGAGCAAGCATGGACAACTTGCCTACAGTGGAGTCAACAGCGTCACTATCCATGAAAGAGTCAGGCTGCAGATAGAGTGTGAGGACTTCCACCGAGGCCGCACTTGCATTCAACAAAGTTTGACTTCTGCTGCCTACGGAGAACAATGTGAAGTCTTCGTTCACTCCGAGACGGAGAGTGCGTAGCCGGGAAGCCTGGCTGATTCGCCCAAGGAGGTATTGAATTGCGGGTGCAATCCATTGCACGTCGAGCTGCTCCAGATGTGCAAAATTCAGCGCGGGAGAGAAACAGGAGAGACTGGGTGTTTCTGTGCGTAGTTGACATTCAAGCAATATAGACATCCCAGGCCAGGAAGTGCTGAGATGAGCTGGGCCAGTTGGGCGATGCTCCACACGGTGACGTTGACGATGGTTAGTGTATGGATGAGGTGAAATGTGGCGAGATATCGAATGTCTTTCATCCTCATGAAGCCAAAGGTCCATTGCGCGTCCTTAATGATGATCATCGACAGCTCTGGGAGCTTCCCGGCAAGCATAGCGGCAAACATTCCGAGATGTTGAATCACTGCCAAATGCTGGCGAGATGGATGACCCGAGATGATGACCTGTTGGACGAAACCACGGAGGCGTGGTCTCTCGCGGAGTGTCCTGGAAAGTGAAAGGACGTCGTTTCGGTGACGAAGGTGAACACGCCGGCGGAGATGGTACCAGGTGTGAAAGTACCAGTCCCTGCACACTAGTGCGCACGATCGAAGTGCTAGGAGATCTGGATTCCGAGCCAGTTTTCTGTGGCCAAGATCCAGTCCCGCCGCTACATGGACAATGATCCGTGCGCAGACCTCGGTGGGCAACCGCGGAGCTGGATCATCCTGAGGTGACGCTCCGGAGGCGGTCATCCTACCAGTACATGTGCCGTATCAGCACGTCTCGCACGCCACTTGAATCTGTACTCACTTCGATGTACCTTCTTCCATGTCGGTACAATAGAGTATACACAGACTGTAGATGAGCGAATTCGTCCGGAGATTCTGCAAGGATGACGAATTAGGAGCCCAAGGAATTGTCTTCAGCAGAGGAGCCCTACCAGCAGTTGATCCTGAGACTACGTCCGTTGGTGTGATGAAGATAACACGAGACGGCTTGTGGCTCGCGTGCACCGCCAGGAGACCGTGACCACTGTTGTATATCGAGGCTGCTACTTAGTACGTTCTGCAAGGTAAATCACATCAGCACGACTCACACAGCCAATTGAACTCGCATCTGTGACGACTTTAATGACCTTTTGTTGCTGCTATGCGAAGGAGTCGCAGCCGGCGAATGAAGGGAAATGGGCGGAGCTAGTGGCAGAGGCCAACTGGTGTGATATATCGCAGTAAACAGTGCTCACCGGTACTTGCAGAAGCGCCATGAAGACACACAAACTCAATTGCAGTGTTGTGTTCTGAGTGGTCGCCGCCCTTGGAAGCACAGGTGAGCCAACTCCTGGATGGCCCACGACTGAGGGCAGCCTGAGGAGAGTCCCATTAATACAAAGTGATGGTTGGACCGTCTGATTAGTGACGCATGACTAGCAGCGACCGTGCCGCTAAGACTGTGAGCGAGCGTATACGGAGGACCAGTGTCCTTGCATGCAGTGCGAGCTGTCCTGGAGAACGTGTGGAGACATACTGAATTGAACGTCGAACCTTGAGTCTATTCGACATATGCTCGTCGATAATCAAACAGGACCGCTTGAATGGGCACTTCAGATTCCATGCTCTCTGTACCAGCAGACCGTTCGAGTATCAGATCGTGCGGTCGAAGTAGACGGAGACCACCCGTATGTCAATGCCACATCTACTTGGGGCAAGAGACAGTACTTTACGTCGGATCTCCCATATGTAGAGCCTCCATTCGCCCGCCTGTCAAGAAAGTCAGTGCCAGTCAGCTATACCCGGCCACGGATGCAAAACAACATTTACCTACAGACGCCTGGCGTGACTTTGTACACGGATCCATTGCTAGCCCTCGACCTGCCTGACCATGAGGTGGAACACAGTTGATATAAGAGTCCTGACGTAGTAATCCGTTACTCTGCACGCGAGTGAACGTCGCGGGAATGGCCAGAGCCCAGACAAGCGAAGTAAATAGCCATCGCGCACGCAATCCTGTAACAAAAGGCGCATTGACGTACCGACGAAGTACATGCAGTACGTACTATGCGAAGACCCTCGAGGTTGCGTATTGTGTACATGTTGATTCGAGACACTTAGGCTCTACGCCCGACGGTCCGTTACAAGGCTCGCAGCAGCGAGCACATCGTCAGGCCTCGGATTGCTTGAGATTCTCTCGAAATTCGGCGCCGACGAGGCGACTGAACGGGTGGATAAGCAGCGGGGCGTGCTTGAGGGGTTCGAGCGCAAGTTGAGGAACCGAGGGCGTCGCACCCAGTTTCTGAAGCAGTGGCAGAGTGTCGTGGATGTAGTCGCGTACATCATATACAGCCCGGTAAACATAATGAGGTCTTGCCTGCGGAGGCGGCGGCTGCGAGTCGCGCAGGACCAGGTCGTCGACGGTGGACGCAGAGTCAAGACGCGCGCCGCAGTCGGCCCGCCAGCCCGCCCATCCGATGATTATCCGGCGTCGGTCTCGCTGGGCCTCCACCTCCATCTTCCACTCGTTCGAATTCATGATTTGTGGGCACGCCTTCAGATCTTCTATCGGGACACCACCGCGCACCAGTCCTTCTCGCGGGTACCCTTCTGGCATCCATCTCCTGCCGCGACGCGCACTCTGCTAAGAATCCCAGTGCGAACGTACCCTGTCTCTGGCACCCCCTGCAGCGATTCTGGGAGCATAAATGCAATCCTCCGATGCGCCTGCTCCTCCTCCTACGGCTTTCGCCTGACGATTCTGCTATGGTCCTCACGCTGGGACATCCTTCCAAGCAACGGACAAACCGAACAAAACGTGCAACAAGTCTCTACCAAGCAAAAAACGATAAATACGACAAACCGCCCTCACTCCTCAATGTTATACATCCGATTCGGCTCAATACGCGGAGGCTGGCCCGACCCCGACGCGCCCTCGCCCTGGACCGACAGCGGGCGCACATACTCGCCCTTCGACATCCTGACCGGGCCGCCCGAGGCGACGGTCGACCCGCCCGCCTCGCTCGCCTCATACGACGGCGGCGCGACGTCGTCCTCGCGGAGCAGCGGCGCGTCCACGCCGGGCGAGCCCGTGCGGCCCGCGGGCGCGGCGCCGAGCGTGTACGGCTGGATCGTGTTCGCGACCTTGTGCTCCTCGACCATCGCGACGGTGTCTTGGAGCATCGCGCGGTCCTGGCGGCTGCGGATGTAGAAGAACACGGCGATCCCGGTGAGGAGCACCCCGACGACGCCGCCGACGGTCCCACCGACGATCGCGCCGACGTTGCTCGACTTCTTGGCGGCGATCTTCGGTGCGAAGCCGACGGCGTCGGTGCCGTTCCGTCCGACGTTGAAGACCCTGTGGTGGATGGAATTAGGTTTGTTCGCGTGTGGGGATGGAGGTGGGGCTTACAGGTAGACTTGGCTGACGAAGAGCGCGCCGAAGATGTATTCGTCGACAGAGCCATCCATCCAGCCCTCCACGCCGCTGAAGCAGGTCCCACTGCTCGTCTGCCTCACAAGCACCGACTCGTCAAGGGTGAACGTTTGGTCGTTGATGTTGATTGCCAGCGAGACCTTGGAGTCACACGGGACCTCCCACGCCTGCGACTGTGAGCCCAGCGTCGACAAGCCAGACTGGACGGACGAGCCAGAGATGACCGCATCTACACATCCAACCCGTCAGTCCCACCTCCCAGCACAATCCGCTGATCAACGTACTGAACAGCTGCGCCTCCTTTGCCGGGAAGTAGATATCCGTGTAGTACGGGTCCACACTGACCATCATCTGGTCCCCACTGCTGAAGCTATCCCCTCCGCTGCTGACCTTCCAGCCATCCAGGGGGACCGACCAATCCGGCTGGCTCCCCGCCGAATACACCAACGATGCGTTGTTCTGCACGTTCTTATACGTCAGCCCGCCCTGGTTGTACTTGGACTGGTCCGGCGCGAGCCAGTGGAGCGTGCCCGCGCCGGTGCTCGTCGGCGACGCGGCCGCGAGCCCGTTCGTGCTTGTCGGCGTCACGACGGGCGGGGCGATGTCCATCCCGAACTGGAAGCTGTCCTGGTCCGCGTTGTTCTGCAGCCATTGCGAGAAGATGCTGTCGCTGAAGCTGGACGAGTAGCCTGTGGACGCGGACGAGGAGCTGCTCGATGAGAGGCGGTTCGTGCCGAGCCCGAGCACACCGGAGGCGCCGTTCCCGAAGACGGTGCCGTTCTGCTGGGCCTGGGCGACGACGACTGGAAGAGAATCAGCATTTGGCGTAAGCCTCATCGTTCACTAGTCACTCACTGGTCTGGTTTTTGTAGAGCCATTCAGAACCGGTGGTCGCCATGGAACAATCTTCCTTGATAACAGACCCACTGTAAGACCCGCCAACCAAAGATACGCTGTCATTGTCGTTCAGAGATTTGGCGGTGCTCGACGCGCTCTGGTTGTACCTTCGATCCAGTCACGACTGAGCCAGATTCACAACAAGAACAGAAAACACGACATACAGACTGATATCACTGCAAGAGCTGCAGCCCAGCCCCGCGACAGACGTGAGACCTGTGCTGGTCGCGAGCGTGAAGTTGAAGTTCTGTTGGTTCGCCCCGGGGGACTGTCACAACTCCGCGTCAGCTTCAACGTGCTATCGCAGCACACACGCACATACCATGCCCACTGGGATGACATATCTACCGCTGGGATCGAAATGGAGTGGAATGTCGATGGTGGTGGGGGCTGATGCCTGCGACGTTGCACGTCTGGTAATGCCCAGACCAGGGAGAGCGGAAGCGAGATGGGCGAGGCAGAGCGCGATGCACGCGGCTTTCTTCGAGGAGGACATGGATGACATCTCAAGAGATACTAAACGGACGAGGAATTATGCTTGACGACGCGTGTTTCAGCACTATATTGCAATTCAACACATGGCGTCGCGACGCACCAAGACAGGAATACTCTAGCAGCAATTGAAGGTAAGGTTCGGCGAAGAGCGAAAAGGAGGGAGGCCGTGAAGAAGGACGTCGAAAGAGAAAGCTCCCTCACCGGCGACCAGGAGGACTCGGAGAGGAGAGGACAGCGCAGGGCTCCTGTTTCACTCGCCTTACATGTCTCCCGAGTCTGTCTTGGCCTACACGGGTGGCGGCGCCTCCTCGACGCGTGCGCGATGGCGCCCAATCAAATGCCGTGATTGGGCGCACAGCCCTCCTGCCCGTGATCGCGTTTCCCTCTTCTCAGTGGCCGGGCCCTCCCCACGTCCGCTTCGGACCATCATCGACGCGTACACAGGTGTACGCGTTCTCTGCGAGTGTACGACTTCTCCCTCAAACGCTCCTCCAGGATGTTCGCCACGCTGCAGGACGAACAGGGGTGCACGTCGAACCCTAGCTGGACAAGTACCGACAGGAGCCACTACGAACAAGCCCAAAATCGGGTGCCTAATCGCCGGTGCTGGAGCCGTGTCTCACACTCAGCCCTGCACCAGCCTGGGAGCAAGGCCGCACCGCCCGCCGGGAAGAGTTCACGCGGGGTGTTGTCATATTCGTGCGCGCGCGATCAGGCGAGCTTTCGAGGCCCGATCCACGCTGTGCTGACGCGTTCGCTGCTGTACAGTTTTCCTCCTACCCTCATCTCCTGGTGAATGGGCCTCGAGTCTCGACGTCAGCCATGACTGCCCTTGTCAAGAAACTGCAGCTTCGTCATGCTGGATTCCTCAACACGGCCTCGAACCGCTCCATCTACTTAGGCTCTTGACTCCGCAGGGGAACCCGAGCGCCTCGCCCACTGTAACCTCAAGCTACCGAGTGAATTGCTCGTGGGTCACAGCAACCCGCGTATTGACGGTGGCGAGCTTTGAGCTCATCAAGAAAGTCACAATCATTCGTAAATGAAATCGCTCGGGGAGGTCTCCGCCACTCTATGCTGAAGAAGTGAGGACGATCCTCGCCGACGAGAGGATGCTGACGTGGCGGAAGTACAGGAAGAAGGGAGTAGCTGGGGCAGGGCCAATGGTTCTCGGGCCCGCTACTGCATCGTCTCACGTATATGTTGTCCACATCGCGACAATGTTGACATGAACTGGCAATGTCAAGCGCATCAATATGTCACTGCTTGATCTGCGCCGTACCATGTCAGGCCCTAGAACGCGCCCGGTGTCCAAGCTCTGGAACTGTTGCCCTCGGCGTTCTCGAGTTTCGCCAGATTGATGTCCTATACTGTATGTGTTCCGCGCTCTGCCTCCCCGAACTACGCCCGAGTCCCATGGACGACATTGGAGAGCCTGAACAACCTCGAACGTCCTGAGTTGACGTTGAGCGCAGAGCCCACAAACCTTCCGCGACCAGCGCTCGTTGATGCTCCCATCCAGTACCCAACCTACTGGCCATCGATAGCAAGACGAACCCAACAAAGTGAGCCCGCCCATCCCCCTGACTATCCATCCCATCTCATATATATCATCCGAATCACCAACCTTCCTTGACACCAGCCCTCATTCGCCACCAACCCTCGAGCTCGAGCTAAGCATCAGCACAGCCCGCCCTCGACGCCTCACGCGCAGAACCACGTTGCGTACCTTAGCCTAGCACCGCCCAACGCCCAACGCACGTCGCCTCCAAGTCCAAGTTCATCGACGCACAGGCCCGTGATATCGCCGGCGCGCTTTCGCCCAGCCCTGATCATCTCCCCTCCTCGTGCACACACGTCCCAAGACTGGTCGATCCCGGTCCGCCCTCCGATATCCGGCTGTGCGACCGGGGAGAGGATGCGTTCGCCGCTGCGCACGTTGCCCCATCGACCTGTGTGAGAGCCATACTGTCAACTGAATATCATCGACGTTCGAGTCGCTCGTCCATGTGCTCATCCTGAGAGACGGGACACAGGAACGCGCGCTCACCTTATTCCGCGTCTTCGAAGGAGCTAGTGCGAGCGTGCTTCTAGGTGTATCAGTGGGCAGATGGGCGCGCGGATGCCTGCGTTAAATGAAGCTACTCGCGGTATGGAAGGGCGCGTCTAATACTTCCCTGGCTGCGTCCCGTGTTGCAGAAGCTACTGAGCCCCTCGTCAGTTTCGCACACCGAACCCCTGCAAGGCAATGTCAACCAATACATTCCCAGTACGTCCGTATTATTCGTATCGTACACGAGTTCGCCGCTCATTCGCGGACAGCCTCACCAAGGCCACAGACCACATCGGGTATAACGTACACAAAGGGGGGAAAGCGAAGCGGGCAAACGGGACGTCGTCATAGCCAGCCGCCTTCGGACAGCAATCTCCGTACCTCTGGGTTATCAGGCTTGATGTCGCCGTTGAGGGGCGCGAAGTACTTTCTCGAGTTATGTCGGAACGCGACGGGGAAGAAGAGGCCCTCCTTCTGCTCGACGCACGCATGGTCACACAATCCATAAGCAGCAGGAGGGAGGTCAACGAACAGGGCGACGACGTACCTGCCGAGTGGCCCCCTTGCGCGTATTCGCGCCCGCGATCGCGCCCTGCAACCACTCGCCGTCCTCAGTCTTGATCCACACCGGATCTCCGTTCTGCCGTGCGCGTATATGCGCGCCGTGCCTCAGCGACCGCGTAGCAGGACGAGCACAACTGCCTGAGGGAAGACGCGCAGCGCACCTTGAAGGTCCATGATATAGGCTCGTCGAGCTCCTCCGGCTGGTACTCGATCGACGTCGAGGGCGACGCGCGCTCGAACTCGTCGTCGTCATCGCTGCTGCTGCGCGCCGCGAGCTCGGTCGAGTCGGCGCTGCTCGAGGTGCCCTCGCTACTTGTGCGCTTCGGTGGGGACCCGCGCTGGGCGTGCCGTGCGTTCCGTTTAGACTTCGAGGATATAGGCGAGGGCGGCATGGTGATGGTGTAATTCGTCGACGTCGACGACGGCGAGACAGGGGCGGGGCGCAGTCTGGGCGGGGGACGGCGGCGGTGACGGCGGTCAGATGGTATGAACGCGGACAGGCAGCGGGCTTATATTAGAACTTGGGACGGCCAAGGCCACACGTGCGCAGGGTCACTAGGCGGAGTGTGACCACCGCCCGAGCGGCCAGATGGTAATACAAAGACTAGATCGGTCCTCAAAGCCGCGCCCCATGGCCAGATGGCCCGTAGATCCCTCTCTATATCCCTAGCCCCTCCAAGCACTCGCCAGACAAAGGCGCCGCCGCGAGGTGGCCAGAGTGCGGTGTCTCGAGTTCAGCGACGGAAGACGTTGCTTTGTGTGGCCGTGGGTGACTACGTGCCCCCGGTAGTTGCTGATTGGGACCGAGCCACAATAGACGTGCAGGAGTCGACGCGGCTATAGCGCACTTGGACAAAAGGCAGTACTGCGGGCCGTTGGTAGCCTCGTGCGGGGCCACAGCCACTAGCGGCTATATTTGGATGTGGGACTACCATATTTGGCTCGCGTATTGTCGAACCGTCGCGAGGCACAATTATGGTCTTACGAGTACGACTGCACAAGGCTATGTAATGCTACCGTAATGGACTGACATGTAGAGAAGAGGCTCCGTTCTTTGCGAACAAAGAATCCGAACGGGCACAATATCACCGCGCGCCGACGGTAACCTCCACACGTAGTAAGTATGCAGCACTTCGACATGTACCGTGTCGTGAGGCCAGTCAGACCCCAAATATATAAATATCTTCTCACTCCAACGCGTTAGAGGAGCTGTCGTAGCTGGGGGACAGTGCACAGAGCCTCGAGCAGGCAATCATTCTACACAAGTATTCCGTGGGCCGAGTCCTGCATGACCGAGATCTCGAACTTTGCCTTCTCTTCATGTATCGTTTGCACCCTTGCTACACTGTCTATAAGTAGCGCCTTGATATGGGTACCTGCTCGGGCTGTGCAAGACTCATCATGAAACGGTTCTCGACTCGGAATCGACTGCGATTGAGCGATCTAATGTGATGTCCACGAGTCTGCGCGATCATACACGGACGATTTGGTACTCTGTTGACCCTCAGCATACTAACGTGAGATGTCAGGCGAGATAGCAACCTTCAACTTCCTATCTAAAGGCTGCATAGGACACCTGCAGGGCCACGATGGTCACGTCGCGCCGTATTTGACTCAGGCTCGGAGTTCCGAGATCCCATCCAAGGAGCTCCAAGTGCAATGGCATTGCGATGGCTCGACGCCGTCGAGTACGCTAGGAATACTAGCACCCTCTCACGACAGCTAACGGCACCCACCTATTACGCTGCTGCACTCATAGTCACATACGAAGCGATGGGTCGAGCTGTGCGAGTCGGTGTTTTGGCAGTTCGGTCGACCGGCCACGTCGGAGACTTGGAGCGTACGAGGATCGCAGCAGCACTACTAGTAGTACCCTGTCGGCCTCGGTTGGGCATGTGCTCCCGTTCCGCGATTCGGAGGCGTTCCGAGTCTCCGGCGAGACGTTGCCAGTGCTCCTCTCGTAGGGCAGTGCCATGTTGAGGTACCCTGGAGTTAAACGTTAAACATTGTTAAACACCAGCAACGCAAGAACTGCAGTGCCGACTTCCATCAAGTAGCCTCGACCCAAACTAGACGTCACACCAACACACACGTCCACGTTCTGCATACAGCATATTCACATTCACTACCAGCGGCTCATACTGTACACACTACTGCGAATATACGACAAGTACGTACAGCGAAAGCGGCTTTGCTACACAGCGAGACACGAACGGGGCGAGACAGAGATGCACAGAAGGAGAGTAGTAAGAGGGGGTCATGGCATGTCATAAGTCATACAAGCAGGCACCAGTAACCAGCGTCATGAAGATGCGACGAAGCCGAGCGGAGACGGACTGAGAGAGAGAGAGGGGACATGAGATGCGCTAAGGATGTTCTAGAGGCCAGAATGCGTGACGAGTAGACAATGGATGCAACGACAGAGACGGACGACAGACGGGGTATCTCTCACCACAACACGCCGCTTTTATGCAGATAGCGGGGCCGACCGGCCATTGCTCGAGCTCGGCGACGGCGTGCCTTTCGCAGTAGGCCCCACGCCCGGCGGCGTCCCGCCCGCTTGGTGCAACACGATCTCGCGCTTTTGCCTGACAGGACTCGCGCTCCTCGCGTGGTGCGGCCGGTCCTCGTCCATCGGCACCGTCGGCGGGCCTGACCCGCCAGGGCTTGCGTGCGCGTGGTTCATCGGAGGGAGACTCATGCCGATCGGGCGCGGGTGCGGCGGGAGCATCGTCGGCAGCGCGGGCGCGGGCGACGGCGGGTAGCTTCGCGCTTCAGCCTGACGCGCCTCGGGCGAGTGCGACGTCGGTTGCTGACGGAAGGGAATAGGCGAGAGGCGGGAAGGGACAGGGGAAGGTCGACCACCAGAGCCGGACTGGGGAGAGACGCGCCTGCCGTTGCCGTTGCCGGCGCTGCTGATGCTGCCGACACGGCTGCGTTTCATCTCGACGTCGCGGTCGTCGGGGCCGGGGCTGAGCGGACGCTTCTGACCAGTTGTCGGAGGCGACGCGCGAGACGACATCGACGGACGGCGGTCGTGGTGCAGCATCGTCGGCGAAAGACCTGGTCCCGAGCGAGGAACTCCTGGTCCGCTTGTAAGACCAAAGCTGCGCGGGTCGGGTCCACCACGGTAGGGGGCATTTGAACCAGACGCCGCAAGACCCATCAGAGCCTCTGCGACGCCCTCATCGTAGTCTTCGTCGACAACCCGTGACGGCGGTGGAGGCGCGCTACCAGTCGGCGACGGCTGTACCGAGCGGCTCGCGCTCCCCGAGCCTGTCGAGCTGGGGTGCGGACTGCCCTTGATTTGCCTGTTGGTGTACTCGCCTGGGCCTCCGTAACTCGGAGTCTGCTGCCTGCTCGGCTCCTCCTTCACGCGCTTCGCCGGTGCACGCCGCTTGCGCTCCTTCTTCGAGGCGTCACCAGCAGAGGCGACGCTCCCGTTCGAGCTCTCCGAGTCCTTCTCCTTCGTGTTGCGACGGCGGCGGTCCTTCGGCTCGGGCATGCTAGGAATCGGCTGCTGCGGGATGCGCGGGCTCTCCGACGTGCGCCCGTAGCCAGCTGGCACCGACGACGGCGGCATGCCGCGCACAGTGCGCGCCGACTCTGGCGACGGGAAGCGGCTGCCCGCGCGCATCTCTCTCGGGTCGACCATCTCGCGTTCGGGCTCCCGTCCGCGTTCGTACTCTCTCGGCGGCGGTTCGCGACCATCGAACCGCGGGTCGTACCTCCTGGCAGGCTCATCGCGGTGTGGCATCGGGGGGGACTGTCCTGGGCCTCCACCCATGACAGCGGGGCCAGCGGGCATGCCAGGGCGCGAGTCCCAGTACTGGCGCGGGTAGCCGGCGGGCGACATGGGCGGTGAGCGTGGCGGTACGCGGGGACTCGGCGCAAGCTGTGACATGGGCGGTGAGTGCGCACGCGAGTACATTTGCTGCTGGTGAGACAGGTACTCAGAGCCGGGGCGGCCGCGCCTCTGCTCGCGCTCCCACTCGACGTGCTCGGGAGGCATGCGGCGATCCCAGCCGGTCTCGCGCTCGGGCATGGGAGGCTCGCGTGAGTACGGGTGGGGCGGGGGAGGAGATCGTCTTGCGGAGACGGGAGTCTGGCCTGGGCCAATGGGAACGCGACCATCGTACGACGGGCGCCCGTTTGCGACGGAAGTGTGAGGACGAAGGGCGTGAGGCGAGGGAGACGTCGACGGCGATATGCGGTAGTGACCCGGAGCAGGTTCGTGTGGATGACCCGGAGGTCCCCGTAGCGCGTCGGGAGGGCCTTGTTGCTGTGGCATAGGGTGGTGGAGAAGTAGTCCCTGGGCAGCGGGCCCACGACCGTTCTCGCGCGGAGGGTACGGACCCGTCGACTCACGCGGGTGTATGGGCGGCCGATCGACGTCCATGGGCGCCAGCGGCGTGTGCGAAGGGACGTGTCGATCATCGAGCACCACCGGCGGCGGCGGTCCTCCCCTGTACGGCCCGGGCGACGAGCGACCATTGCCAACGGCCTGAGGTGGCATGGGCAGTGCCAAGTCACCAGGTCCTCGCGAATCCGTACGGAAGATTGGCGTCGGACGCGAGTTCGTGCCAGGCTGGAGGAGCATCGGCGGTCCTGACAAGCCAGGCGGCGGCATCATGGGGTTGGCGTACGCAGTAGGGTGAACGTCCTGCGGACCAGGCGCAGCGGGCAGTGCGCTGCCAGTCGCCTGCGCTTGCTTCAGCAGACTCAACCGCTGGGTGATGGCAGTGTTACTGGGGTCAAGCTCCGCCGCACGCGCATACGCGTCGATAGCGTCCGAGATCTGGTTGTTGCAGCTCTCATAGAGGCTGCCGAGATCAAACCAGACCTCGGAGATGTAAGGGTTGATGCGGATGGCGCGGGAGTACGCGTCGAGCGCATCGCGGTACTGGTTGATTTGGAAGTACAGCACACCTATGGAGCACCAGAACGTTGGGTTCCGGCCATCGCGGTACACGGCTTGCTGATAAGCCTCGTAAGCCTTGTTGTACTTCTGGCCTGCCATGTATGCGCGTCCCAGCAGGTACCAGCTCTGCGCATCAGCGGGGTCTGGCCCACAGTCAGCTGAGGGATTCCCGTGGGAACGAGTGAGTCCGGTGAACTTACCGGCTTCCAGACTCTTGGTGAGATACTGGATGGCGACTTCCTGGTTCTGGAACGAGGAGCCATCCTGGTGGTACAGCCATCCCAGCTGCTGAAGAACCTTTGCGTGCCCGGGGTTGTCCTTGACGACACGTTGGTAAGCGTCGCGCGCCAGGGCATGCTGTCCAAGTCGAGATCAATCTCTGATGTACAGGGCCAATGACAGGGCATATACTCACATTGCGCTGTTGTTCGAAGACATGTCCTATTTGGAACCAGATGTCAGCGTGGGCGAGCGGGTTTGGCGGGTTGCGGAGAATGCGGTCGAAGCATTCTAGTGACTCGTCGTATTTGCCTTGCTGCTTGTAGATAATGCCAAGGCGGAAGAGGATCTCGTTCGCCTTGTCAAAGTCTGGAAGGAGATGAATCAGTGGATGGTGGCAACACGGGCGTGATGATACGTACCTTTGTCCATCTTGAGGACAGATGCAAACGCCTCTTCGGCGTGATCCAAGGAGCCATATCGGTCGTAGAGGATACCAATGCCGTACCACAACTTCGGATCCTCCTAAGTTCCGAGAACAACGTAAGGAACGCGACTCTGTCACGAGGTGCTAACGACGGTTACCTTGGGGTTCGGCAGGAGATAGAGAGCCTGCTGGTACGCGGTGTAGGCCTTCTGCAGGTCATCCTGCATGAGGTAGCAGTGCCCTGCGTCACGTGTGAGTGGATGGCCGTCGTAGGAACAAAGTGCTGGCGCTTACCCAGGGCGCTCCACACCTCGCCGTTGTCCTGCTGCATGCTGACGACCCGTTGGAAGTAGTCGACGGCCTGGAACACGGGTTGCCAAAAGCGGATATTAGTCACAGATCTGCATGACCAAAGCGATGACGCGGCGAGAACACGCCATAAATGGGGTGGCATCTCAGAGCTTATCTGAGAGAAGCGTGCCGAGGACCGCGGGGAGACGCGTGCGGAGCAGCCGATGGATCTGAGACGCACCTTCGGATAATTCTCCTTGATCCGAGCGATGCCAGCGACCTGGGTTAGGCCGGATAGGGATATCGGGTTGTGTCGCAGCGCGTTCTCGTATGCCGATAGGGCGTGTTCCAAGTTGCCCATCTGCTCGGCGACTCGACCTGCACCATTGATCCGGCGCAGCAAAAACACCCGTCAGCGTGATTGGCACCCGGGGCAAGCGCGGGTAAAGGTAATCGTACCTATCAATAACCACGTCTGTTCATTCGCTTGTGCCAGCTTCTGGATGCTTGAAGGCGGCGCGATTCCGTTGGCGACCGCGCTCGACATCACTGGGGGCGAGACGAGTTGCGGCTGCGCGTGGTTAGACGGACCTGTCATCGGGCCCGGGGTGGATGGGACGCCGTTTCCGTTGATGTGCGGTCCGTGGGCGAGTGCGTGCGGGGGTGGTGGGGGCAGCGAGTGGGAGTGGTGGGCGTGGGGGTCGTGGAGGCGGATGTCACGCTCGGCCTGCCGGGGGGTGTGTCGGAGAGACATGGCGGGTCGGGGGGCAGCGGTCGCTGCTCTGGCGATGAAGGGCGGGGCGGACGGGGGGGACGATGTGGCGGACGCGGACGGTGAGGCAGCAGGGGCGCGGCGGGCGCGGGGAGGGGTGGTATATAAGCGGGGAGGAGAGACAAGATCAGGGCCAATAAGAAGGCGATCAGAGATCGAAGGCTACGCGTCTGCGATGGATCTGAGGATGGGCGGACGCTTGCCCGCGTTTCCAGCGCGCCTCGTGCCTGCATTGCCGCTTCCGGACAGACGCGCATCCGACGCGCTAGGCCCCGCTCGGCGACTTTCGCAGTTCGTATCGAGATCCAGATCTTCCTCATTTACGCTCCCCGTTCCGCCACGCCCGTGCCATCCCTTCTCAGCCTAATTTGGTCGCTCCTCGCCTCTACAGCCGCCGCGAGGCCATCGATCCTCTCCTTCTCCATTCCACCTTCCCTGCCCTGCCCACCCAACCGACAGCAGCCGACAGCCGCCGTCCCTCTTCACGCCGCACGTGGAACCCACCCAGGCCAGCGATCGTCCTCGACGGATTCCTTGAACACACTCTCCTGGTCTGTCTCTCCGCGCAAGGCGGTACAGCACACACATACCACAGGTGTTGTGTTTGCCCTCGGGGCGCCCAGATACACGAACCTAATTGCGACCACACGCATGCGATTGCCGCCTGTACGCTGCCCTGTTGTTGACTCAGTGACAGCGGCGGACGCTTCGTTGACGCATGCCCGCGGGGAACGCCGCTCGCGGTGTCCCAGCGTATCCGGAGCTCTCGTCGCGATAGTTTGATCTTATGTTTGATACAGATCAGAGTTACATAGGATCAGAGCTTCGACCCATGCTGGAATCGGTCACCGCGGGCCGCCACAGCAGAACGCCCTGCTTGTGCGAGTTGCCATTGCCGCTCACGATCGCATCTTCGATCGGACCCATATGGCGGACGGGGTAAATGATTCGACCCTGGAAACGCTGAGGTCATCTGGCCATCAGCGTCCTGCCCAGCCAGGCCGACAGAGCCGACCCGCCGGCCGGGGGAGGGGCGACTGGGGCGGCGACGCGCCGGGACCGCAGGCGGGTCACGCAAAATGAGACGGAACCAACAGAGAACCCGCTCGGTGCACTACGCTGTGCCTGATATGATCGTCCTCATCCCCCGCGGGCCTGTTCGAAACGTGCGCGACAGGGCCTGACAAACCCGCTGCCGCAGTGTGAGATGCGCGCACGAGCTGCGGCGTACGTGGGATGGGAGTGCTGCGGGGGTGTGAGCCAGCAGCACCGGACACGCATGTCCCTCGACGTCGAAGGGGAGAGGCTGCGAACAGCATGAGGGTTCTCCCTTGGTTTTGCCGTGACTCGGACGGGCTCGCGTTGCCAGCGTCGTCAAGAAAGGAGGCTTACATACAGCATACCGCCGCGACAGGGAGCATCGCCGGGCAGAGCCCTTTTCCGTCCGTCTTTCACGGCCAGTGTGTACTGCCCGGATCTCAGATCCACTGATCGGAAGCCGCCACTTGGCGTGACAGTGCGCCGCGGCTGCTTAGTCAGCTCGCTCGGCGCCTGTCCGCGTCAGGCATATGACATTGACACGACACTCGGCCAATTTGACATCGCACCTGCGAGGCACGACCACCAAGAGGCCAGAACGCATGCCGGCGCGACGAATTGCCAAATCAACTGTCAGACCTGGGGTCAATGTTGTATGACATCTCCATGGCACGCCAGGGCAATAGCACCCATGCCCCTTCGCCCGCTCCAGTAACTTATGGGATGCTTCCGCCAGGGCACGGCGTCTGAGCCTGCAGTATCCATTGCACCGCTATCACCGCCAGCAAATACTTACGACACGAGGAAACCAGATATGAGACGGAAGTCCTTCGCACCCACCTACTTCGCGCGGGCGCGTCGCACTGCAGTGCTCATCTGGACGCTATCACCCACCAGACCCGCTTATGAAGCTCCGTACAGGCTGCGGTGATCAGGGATGCCGCACAGGCCCTTCGCCATGACGGACGGAGGCAGTTACTGCATACCTGGCTTCTAGCTCGCATTCCGGAACCCACCTCGCACGCGCCAGAGGGAAGTGTCTGCCGAGGACGAAGCGCGAGAGATGTGGACGCAGCTCCGCATCTCTCCGCATCCATGCCCGCTGCCAGTGGCAGAAGGACTTTGGACGGAGGAGTCGCGAGAAGCGCCTGAACCGCGGAGGTTTAGCGCAGCGGGGCCTGAGGAGCACCACGGCACACCTGACCTGGGTATCGAACGACGAGCGATGATCAGACACTCGTCACCGAACGAACGTGAGCATGGGCTGAGCGTGGGTGGCGCGAACGTCGAGAACCGGAAGGCGAGAAGGAAGATGCGGCTGCGAGATAAGGCCTCTCTCCTGATTCGACATCCCGAGCTACCGTGCCGCTGCGTCGTAGCCACGGTGTATACCATACAGGCTGGCAACAAGACAGATTGCGATCGTCTCGAACGTACGTCCTATTCCGGAGGTAGTACCGCAGGCCGGCTAGCCGCTATGAGGTACCACGTACCACGTACCACGCATCCGGCTACAGGTAGACAGCCACATCCGATCGCGCGATACCAGATACCACGATGTCGATAGGTATAGCCCGGCATGTTGCCACAAGCGCTGAGAAGCACGAACGCAAGAACGGATGAGCGTTCGCGATTCACTTCATGAAATAGCCTTTGACTTACCAAGTCGCCCAGGCCCTGTAGTAGGCGCGCGGCGGGGCGTCAGGAGAGCCCTGTTAGGAGCCTATCAGCGGTAGCACATATCAAGGTTCATTGCATCCCGTTCCGTAACCCCTTCCCAGGGGAGAGGTATATTAGCACCTTGGCAGGAATAGCTCGCACCCTCGGAAGCCATGTCGGGTTCATATCGTGCGCCTGGAGTCCTATAACTTAGCATGCTTCCTAGGGCTCATCCGAGATGAAGTAAGACTGCATAACGTACTTGGCCGCACATGCACGCGTTACATACTTATATGAAAGGGCCCGCGCATGCGATCACCCGCCGTGCGTGTGTACAATTTGAACTTGAAGCTGCAGATCATGATCTGTCATGTCAACCTATGGTGAACGGCCAAGTATACAGGTCCGAGTCCAGCCCCGCACCTCCGGCCTAACCACTTGGAGATACTGCCCGCGTCCTGCCGTCGGACTCGGGAGGTGTTTTGTCGATCAAGAAAGAACTCGGCTGCTTCGTCTCGCAACGCCCGCCGCGTGCTGTGGCGGCCGTTGCAAATGATCGCACGTCGCCCCGGGTATATATGTCCCTTCCGAGCCACCATTCCAGGGTAAGGCTTGAGGCAAGCGCAGCGCCGCTGCCCCGAAGAGTCCGAGACACCCACAATTTGCAACGAGCGAAAACAAAAAAGCAGGAAAAACCCGCATCTGAGCTTGATCTGAGCCAAACTTTGGACCCGCGCACTGGCACACCGCCATGCATGATGGCATGACGCAGCGCAGGGATCACGCCCAGGACAGCAGCGACAGTCCGACTGCCCGGATCGCGTGTCGGTTCTCGAGATCAAAATTGCGGTTGATCTCATGAATCCGTTGGGCCAATCACGACGGCCCCGGTGAGACGTCCGAGCGCGCGCTCTGTGCGCCTGCGGCTGCGCCCACTTGCCTGAAAAGGCAACTTTCCATGACCTTCGGACCGCTTCGCCCACAGTGTTCTGTTTGATTCCGCGCACACCGCCACAGCTCATTGCCACGTCGGCACGCACAACATCCTCCCTCATCGGTCCCGCGCAGGCCTCTCTTCAGCTCGAGCATCACCATCGTCCACAGTCTTACCCACACTTATCTGATCTTTTGTGTGTATCCCCTCGTTCGAGTACTACCGCACCGCCGACGCTATGACTCGTGAGTGGCACGCGCTTTCTGCGACCCGACACGCCTCGATTCACTGAGAAGATCCTCCCCGATCGGTTTCCCCATTCACCCCGTAACACGGCCGCGTATGTCTCGGTGACCCCATCTGCTACATATGCGTTGTGTCGGCACGGACATGTAGGAGGCAACCAGCGCGAGCTCGCGCGCGAGAAGGCCGCGAAGAAGACAGCAGGAAAGTCTAAGCCGAAGGAGAGCGGGACGTCGTTGCAGGCACGCAAAGAGCGGTGCGTCGACTACGTCGTAGCTCCGAAGAGCATACACTGACACATCCGTATAGAGATGCTGAGGCCCTCAGGCAGAAGCAGAAGGTGCGTCCATTCGCTTCTGCGGATGCTGACATTGGCTGACACCGTCTTAGCTCAAGGAAGAGCAGAAAACGGGCCAAGACAGCGGAGGGGCGAATAAGTAACACTCCCGCCTGCGCTTCACGCGTGGGCAGTGTGCCCTTTGTCTGGTTGAACCCGCCGCTGTTCAATCGGCGGCGAAGGGTGTGAAATACGGAGCTTAGAGCAACAATGAACCTAGGGGAAATGGACGGGTCGCCCCGTGGGTGGTCCAAGTTATGTTGCCGTTCTGCTACTCAGCTGTGTGTCTGTTGTGTGTATGTCTGGTTTGTCGTATTTATACAGTTCATTGTTCGCCTGCTCTCATTCGCTTCCGGGCCCTTGGGTCGTTGGAACACTGTCTGAGTACGTTGTCGTGATCGTATTCTTGAATGACTCATGCCGCCTCTTCTGACAGTATCCAATTATCCGATCGTTCGGTTCAGTCACTGCGAGACACCCGTCCGAACGCGTCGACAGCACGTCCGACTCGTCACATCCGTTGCGCCACTTACCGACCAAACCGAGCTCCGTCCCACTGCAATCCACAGCGCGTTCGCGTTCCGGCGGCAACTCGGGACGCCGTATACTTACTACCCAGTAGCGCACATCGAGTTACTCGGCCCCGGTCCAATTGCATTGCTGAAGTCGGTTCGCGCGCGCGTCCTACAGTACTGGCAGCGCAGGTTCTTCCGTAACTCAAACTTACGTGACCCCTGGCCAGCTGCTATCAAACATACATTGAATAGAGTAACGTATACTGCCCGCGCGCGCGCCGCAACAGCTTCGGGTGCCACCGAAGCCCAACGGAAGCTCTACCAATGCCAGTCACGGCGAAGCATCCCGTAAGTATGAGTATGTAAGGCGCGTTCGTCCGTTTGGTCGTTCGATGCATTGCATCGCTTCGAGGGGCCCTGACCATACCCGATCGAGCGACGCATCCAGGCGTTTGTTCGTTTGTGCATCGACGAGCGTGACTGCGATGATCGCTAGAGGGTCTATTCCCCGCTGACGTCCGCGATCTGATTGGTGCGCGTCGGACGCGGGAATAGCGATGCGGCAGAGGGTGTCACTGGCAGCGCGGACGTAACGATGCGCGGAGCTTGCGTTGAAGCTAACAGCGTACCTCCGCCGGCGATTCAGGTGCACCTACTAGGCTGGATCCCGGATTGGCCTGCCGGTTGACGTGCACAGCACGATCCCAGATCGTAGCCTGTGGAATGGGCTGGTGATGGCTTGACGAGAACAAGGACGTGTTCCTTCCGCAGAAGGGCCGCGTCGTTGTGTGCCAGTGCCACCATCTCATAATACTGTAATCTGTTTCGTCACTCGGTAACGTTACGGCTGCGGTGCTATCCCACCTTTATCTGTTCAAACTTCCAGGGGCACTTATAACGTACTGCGAAGATGATCAGCTCATACGGCATCTGACCGATATTGCATGCTTCCAATGGGCTACCATAGCCTCTTTAGCCGCGGTCAATGAAGCTTCGCATTGAGTTCGCGTTCCTCTTGCGTAGTAAGCCGCAAGCCTGCGAACGAGACGAGAAGGCGGAAATGGCATGGAAGCCCCCCAGGCCGGTTGCCCAGCCCACCCTGTGCGGAAATGGCGAAGATGCCCCGGTCAGCAGGTGCGCTTCGCTGACTTCACCGCGCGGTGGGCCCGCCGGGCATAATGCGCGCCAGAGGACCCAGGGCGGAAGCAAATGCTCGTGAGCGGGCCGATGAGGGAAGTTTTTAGAGCATGGGATGCGTGCACGCGGCAGAGGGAACAAAGAAGGATAGAGCGTCTGCATGCTCCGAGCTGCCATCGGGGCAGCCCTATGGAGGAAGCGTTTGGCCTAGCTGCCGGGACGTCCGCGGACGCGTAGTGGCGCACGGACGATCCGCTCGAACTACTGAGCGTGCAGGCGATCATGCGCGGGTGCAGACAAGACTGGCGCGGCGATGGCGCGTCGTGCGTGCGTGGTACGATAGCAGCCTGGCCATGCCGCCATGGACGCGGACAATTGAAACGGCCTTTCCCGATATGGGCGCGTTGCAGGGGAACTGAGTTGTGCGTCGACGAACAAACGCGGACACGTGTCCCGCGAAGACCTGGGGAGGCTGGCAGCTTCTGAACTGTCTCCGCGCGAAGTGGATCAGCGATGGTCAGCCACCGTAATGCGCGCGGAAACGGCAGCCAGGACCCGAGCGCAGTGGCTGCCCGGCGACGTATCAGTCCCGGCCTTTCAACTTCAGATCGCACAGCTGTCCGAGTGCCTGTCCAGTCCGTCCTCTGATGGGCAAGATCACAACATGGCCCACGCCCTGATAGACACTGGACATTCGGATCACGACGTGACGGCTGGCAGCCTGCGCTGGCAGCTGGGCATCCGCTGCGGACACGACAGCCTGCGTGCCAGCCCGCGAAGGGAAGCGAGCGGACGGGCGAGCAAGGTGCTGTGATACATAAGCCCGTCCAGAGTCCAGTGTGATGGGCCGTGGCTCTTTGAAGCCGGTATGTCCGCGCGGTCGGAGAGCTACTTTGGCGGATCGCAGTCTTCGCTCGCTTTGTAAGGGAGCACGCCTGGAAGCCCCGCGCGCAGACGAGTCGCGCACCGAATGGCGTCAGGATGGGTACTATCCCTGCGCCACAAAGCCATCCCAGAGAAGATCATCTAGTACTTACCTCGAATTCAGGGCCAGCCACGGCAGCCGAGTATTGTCCTTGCGGAAGTCCCGGACCAATGGAGGCACAGCAACGTGGCCAGCCTACTTCAGCAAGACCCTGACTGTATACGGGGCCCATTGGCGTCGTACAATTCAGTATGGACGTGCCGATTTGATTTTGACGACGCGCCAGGGGATCCCGATTGCGCGTCTCCGTGTGTGGGTATGACAGACACAGCCGCTACTAACTTTGAGCTTGAGAGCAGCACGGGGCGCCACCGACGCACCTATCGAGATTGCGCGAACCATATCAGGAGGAGGACCTGGGCGTGCCAGTCGGCTGGGAATTGCCATTGGGCTCCGGACGAGCGGACTGCGCGTATTTCATTTCGGAAGCAGGAGTGACGACTGGGGCTGCCGTATCAGCTCCGTGCCCAATAAGCTGTAGCTTCGGTGATCGGGGCGGACGCGTCCAGCGGTTGTCGATCTTCCTCGTTCAACAACTGAGCCCGGCTGACCAATGCCCGCCGTGGCTGGCGCATTCCCCCTGGATCGCAATTCATTAGCGCGAGAGGACGCCAACTCAGCGAAGGTGCGCGTGGGCGTCGCCGGCGTTTTGGGAAGGTCGTCTCCGCGATTGATGCCGTGGGCTGATCACATCGATGTCCCAGTCCAGCGTCCAGTGTACAAAGCAGCTACACGCCGCCGCCAGCCGTGCAATGGCCACCATGTGCATGACGGAGGCCACCTACGCGACGGCTGCGGGACGTCTCCATTCCTATTTCCCGCGTCCGAGCACCGCCCGGTTGCGGGCAGTCGAGTTCAGCAGGCTGGTTGCCTCCCCGGCGCACGCTCCCTTGCCGTCACCGCGTCCCCATCCCGATCTCGCCAGACTTGCGTGAGCGTGCGCGTGGAACCTTCGTCCGCCTCGAGCTGAGCATCCGACGTCGCGCGGGTCCCACACCGGGTGCTATGCCACATAGCGGCTAGGCTGTCCCCGCACTAACGTAGCAGACGCTTCGTGACGGGGCCTTTCCAAGTCTGCCTTCGTTTCATAAGACAGCGTTCATATCCAAGAGAAGGCGCTAGGCCGCAACCCGAGCGCCTTCCGCCACTGACCATCTGCCGCTCCGAGGCAGGCCATGCCGGTCTCGTCCTGGTGCTCGCCGATCCGCTGGTCAGATAGTGGTGTGCCAGTGACGACCCATCCAGGGCCAGAGCACAGCAGCCCGCCATTGACTGATGTCACCGAGGGGCACTGAATGCCAGGAAGCTCCCTATACATATGCGATCCTCGTGCGCCGAGGCTTCGCGCTCGAAGCGTAGCCTGACAAGCTCTCCCAGATCCCGGGCGTGCTGGGTGCGAGAAGCACTCCTGGTGCGAGCTGCTATAGCCATAGGAGGAAGCTTCCCGAACCAGCGCACGGATGCCGGGAGATCGGTGGGAGTACGATCTGTATGCTGCGGGTCAGTGAGAACCCAGTTGTGCTTCGAATCCCTGGACGTTGTGCGTTCCGCCATCCCGGCTGCTTTCGCGTCGAGGAAGCGTCGATTCGGCCGTGTCCCTTGCAGGGTACTGGATGATGGGCTTACTTGACTTCAGGCGAGCTATCTGAATCTGATAGACGCGATTCTTCCGGCATTACACGATATAAGGCCTTCGGGAACAATCGAACCTGGATGGACAATCAAGTAAGTTAGGTTCCAACCAAGGGGCGGCAGGTATAAAATTTTGGTACACAATGCCAGGTAATTCCGGATTTCCGTCATCCAGACCCCACCACCCCCCCACCCCCGGTAATTTTTATTTGACAAAGTCACCGAAAGCGCGAGACCACCCCCCCTACCCCCATTTCACAGAAAAAAGTGCATATATTCGTTGAAAAACCAGCAGCCGCACATATCTGAGCTCGCCGCGAGCATGACTACGCTACTACCCCTTCCTCGCCTTCTTCTTCGGCCTCACATCTGCCGGCTCTGCAGCTCGTTTCTTCACGCCCTTTCCTTTCCCCTTTCCACCGGACTGCCCCGCCGCCGGCGCGTTGTCCTTCGCCTCCGAATCGCCCTCAGGCTTCTCTTTCGCGTCGGGCTTGCCTTTCTCCAGTCCACAATAGATGCGTTCGTTACGTGACACGGAGTCGACGTCGTCTTTGGTAGCGATCGGAGCGTCCGGGTGCTTGGCCGCTATGTGATCCTTCATGTTGTATGACCAGAATACGATGTCATCGTCAATGTGATTGCCCCGCGGTGGCGGCCGATTTGCTTCACATATCTTGCAGATTACGGGGCGATTCGTGCATGGTCCCGTCTTAGTTGGAACCGCTGCCGAGGCAATATTGAATTGATTGAAGAGGCGACAGTCTGACTCAGCTCGAAGAGCATTCCTCGTCTTTCGGAGACCTATCTTGCAGGTTCCTGTCCGGCCACAGAAGCCGCATGGCGATTTGCCGACCTGTACATAGCCGCATATTGAGCAAGACTTGAGTACTTGAGATGGTGATGGATGCTTACCTGTACCTTGAGCTTCTTAGGATCCGGTAGCGAGAGCAACTTGGCGAGTATGTGCGTGCCAATGTGGTCACGCATCTTCTTCAGACTGACCTCTTCGTTACAGTAGAAGCAATTGGCACAACCTTGTTCTGGCCCTCTCTCTAGAGCTGCTGTCCCTTCTTCGCTTGTGAAGATGTACCCACTGCCGCCTGGCTTGCGCAATGGGAAAGTTGGTGTAGGTGTTCGTGCTGGTATCAAGTGTTGATGCTCCTTGACATGAGTCCACATCAAGTCTGTGAGCGAGGAAAGCGAGCCAGACTTGAATTTCCAGACAAAAGAGTTCGGATCAGATGTCTGCGGTGCTAAGGTGCCCTTCACCACCTGAGCGACCTGAGCAGATAGCTCGATAAGGGCCGACTTTCTTGACGCCGACGCGTTTGCGGCATCACCACCATCGACGGCATTGAAAGACTCGAACTCGCCCGTCCAGATCCATGTACTCGCGTCCTCCTGAGTCAAGGTGAGTACTTGTCCTACAAAGCGAATGTTCGTCGTCGGGCTGCTGATCTCGCGCATTGCTACAGACTCCACTGATATGCCAGTAGCCAGCTTCAGATCGCTGACACGAAGGATCGCCAACGCAGCTGTGTTCCGGATACGGATGAAGGTAGCTATGAACTCGCCCATGACAAAACGATCACCGACAATGGAGTCGGAGTCGTCTTTGGGAGACGGTGGTGCACGCGAGAATGTACGTATCTTCTTGACGCCTTGCACTCGAGCCAGTCGGTCTGACGATTTCCGCCCGTCGATGGTGGCTAGAAAATAGCGGACGGCTGCGGACTTGTGAACATCAACGCCATCGACGGTGAGCCACTGCTTGTCATTTTTGCGAGCGTTGTCTAGGTCGCGGTCACCAACCTCCAGGAGCAAGTCATCAAGCTCGACACGACAGGTATCCTCATCCGCATGCGGGAGGTCGCGTGGCTCGGGTCCCAACTCGGACGGTTGGCCACTAGGTTGTTCCAGGTTTCCAGCATGGAGAGCTGGAGCATCCAAGTCGAAATCGTCGTTGAGTCCAACGTAGTCCTTTCCAAACGGCCGGAGTAGGTCGATATCATCCGGCAGCTGTCCTAGGTCGATCTTCAGTTGGTTCAGCAACTTCGTAACCTCCCGCAACCCGGCGTTCCAGACAGTTTGCAGGCTAACCGGCTCTACTCGTACATCACCCTTCCACGACTTCGGATTGGTATGGTCCACGCCCTCTGCACCTTCAAGACGTAGGCGGCGATGTCCACGGTTCCAGGATGGGTGCTGGGCGAAGATCTGGCAGATGTCGGCTGCAGTTGCGGCACGCTGTGAGAGCTGGAGGATGTCGACATTGTGTGAGCTGTACATGTCGCGGTACGTCCCAAAGTTCCCTTCGAGACGATCTGTCCCGTCCTGAGTGATGTAGTAGCTATCCCCAGGGCAAAGTGTCTTCATCTTCGCTGTCGTCCAGAATATGTTCTTGATGAAGGTTTGGACATCATAATACCACTGCCCGGGACAGAACGAAGTCCGGTTGCGCCGGTAGAGCAGGCAGAGTAAGTGTGCGGCTGCCGAGAGCATTGTCAACTGTTCTGACAACGACAAGGTGGGCGTTATGAACGGCTCGACAAGGTAGCCCGCGAACGTCCCAAGCAGAACAAGTGGACGATTCTCAACTTCTTGGGCGAAGTTGTCCGCTTTTGCAAGGCTCTTGAGCGATTGGAGCAATGCAACCGCGACGGGGACATTCTGGTGATCTTTGTGGTCGAAGAGGGAGGTAAGCTTCGAGTCCTTGTATCCCAGGACAGCCGTTAATTTCTGTCTGAGTAGCACAGGTGTTACATGATAGTCTGCAACGAGGACACCTGCAGTGCCGCGGAGAAGGGTTGCAAAGTCTAGCATGGTGACGGTCAGTCCAGCTGTAACCGAGTGAGATAGGAAGCACTCACTCTTGAACTTGTGTTTGTAGTCTATGGTCATTGTACGACCTTTACTCCCGCATTGCATGTTCATGCGGTGAAGAGATGAGAGGAGCCGGTACAGCGCGCCCATAGTGTTTGGAGACAGTCTCTCCGCCATCAAGACGCGATGAAGAGCCCTACGGCGTGTTGCATCCCCGTCAGAACCTACACACCAGAGTTCGCCATAGCGCTCCTCATACGTCTGCTCCGATTCCGCAGGCTTCCCGCTTTCCCAAGCATCAATGGCAAGGTGAATCCATTCGGCTTGCTTGACGTCACGCTCAGTCTTGTTCGTGCCAGATATCATGATCGGGAACGCGGTGTAGTCGTCGTAGCCAAATGCGGCAAGGCCCATCATAGTCGCTTCCTTTGCGACAGCCAGAGACCCGTCCTCGAGCGCATCAGCCGCAGCTTCTAGGTTCTCCAAGGTGAGAACACCGAGATCCACTTCATGTGCCGTCTCGCGAGCCATTCCAAGGACCGCATCACGCCGACCGTCATAACGCGGTCGCTCTTCAAGGGCAAGCTCGTCGACCATTATTTGGAACCCACGTCGCCGTTGACGAGACACGGTTTGCGACTCGCTGGAACGACTTTCCCACAAGACGCCTGCACTGTCAAGAGCACCAAGATTATGCAAAAACTCCGCAAGGATGGGGAAGCCAATGCATGCCTCAATGAGCAGAACTAGTGAGTGTGTACGTGTAGTCGAGATTGCTGGGAGCTGCAGGGCATCGGCCACTGCAAACTGCAGCTTGGGTCCACCGAGAGCGCCGGTCAGACGCATGAGGTCGTAATGCTTCCGCGTGAAGCTCTTGACGTTGTACAGTCCAAGTGTTGCACGAACCATGCGGTTGCAAATCTCGGAGACGCTGCGATGGTTGTTGATGGCAACACGGACAACACGGTCTGCGCCCTCAACGTCCCCGCTGGCAATCAGACCCTTGAAACGTTCGTAGTCGGACAAGCGGTCCGTTGTTCTGTCGTACTGACGCACAAGGTTCAGATTCTAATGAAGACGAGAGACGTCAGACGTCGTTGAAGCTAAGTATCATCAAGTCACATACCTGTAGCTTCATCTCGTTCTGTTGGTCGTTCTTCCGGTCCATTGCATCGGCCAGCTGATCGAAGTTATAGTACCGCCAGTTCAGTTTCGTTGGAATGGCCTGACTTGCGCGCTCGCGCATGTTTACAACAGTTGAACTTTCGTTCAAGCTTGCACACTGCGTGCATGGCTGTCCAGACGTGTTTGGGACGCAATGGCAAGATCGACTGCGGACATAGATTGTCCCGTTCTGGTGATCCCAGTATTCCAGCATGTATGGCAGGTGATTGAAGGCATGTAAGTGAAAGGGATAGGTCCTCTCGATAGGTGACGGCCACTGAAGACGACTCCCTGGACAGATGGTACGCTCCCTGAACATCGCTGCAATCTCGCACTCCAAGTCGTCAGGGCTTGCTTGAGCTGCATGACTCAAATCGCCGGATGCAGATGCTCTCGGGCTCGGGTTCGGTCCTGGCGTAGTACGGAGAAGAGTCGGTGCGGCGCTGGAGCCGGTAGGAGCACCTTCATTCGTCTGCGTCGGACGTTTGAACATGTCCAGAAGACTCCGCTGCGTTCGTTGCTTCTCCTGCTTTGCAACAGCAGCAAGGCAGGATGCACTGCTAAGATGCGCATTGTAAGCGTGAAGGGTCTTGCCATGACCTAGGTTGACTGCGGTCTTGCAGAGTGTACACCGTTTGTAGCGGATCCACGTGTTCGACTTTCCGGGTACGGGAGGCTCCCAGTACACCCCATCAGGACCGGTTTCCGCTTCTCCGGGTAGCTGTGATACGTCGGAAACTGGTGTCGTCGCTTGTAAAGTCTCCATGCTTGGGATCGAGCTAGGATCAACGAGCACCGATGGCTCGGCGCTGGCACGAGCCGGCGTGTTCGCCTCGCTCCGTTGGAACAGCACGTCTGTGTCTTCAGATCCTTGAGGAGACTCGGATGGAGAATGTGTGATGACAGGTTCGTGATCCTGTGACGTGTTCGCCATGGTAGTACGTGCCCTTTTGCCATCGCTGGCGGCTCCAGCCACCGTCACTGAGGCGCTCTCAGTGTCATCACTGACAGCTCTACTGGCCGCTGTCAACGGGAAGTGTGCGCCTACGTCGTCTCCCTGAAGGGACACCAAATGGTCGGAGCCATTGCCAAGAGGAGACTCTCGCACAGAGGAGGATTGTTGCGCCATCACCGTGACACTGCTCACTTCCTCTGTGTCTTGGTTACGACGGCGAGTATTCTGGTGCTCCAGAATGCTAACAAGATAATGTGAGCGAAGTAGTCAGTCTCATAGTAGGAGCAATAACATACGGCATTTGCATGAGGTTCTCAAGAGCCCTCTGCTTCGAGATAGGTAGGAGTTCCTGCCCTTGTTGGTATGATGAGTCTTGATGAACAAAGTCGTGCAGAGCCAACAGAACGAAGACACCGCAAGACCATCCGTCCGACTGCTGGTGCTGCGCCAGCGGGGAAATGACGTGCAAGCTCCAACTGTCATCGATCGACAAGAATGTCGCGCGGTTGATGTACTCAAGGATTCTATTCACGACACCGAATAGTAGCTGCAGGTGTGTCGGTCATTAGCGGTGCACGAGCGAGGCGTTACTACTCACCGGTTTGGCCCATGAGACTGACTTCGACTCTGGCATACTATCATAGATAGCAGCAGACCGCCGACCAAAGTCTACGGAACCAAGCACCCAGTGTGAGGGCACTCCGCCGCACATTGGTATAGCCCATCGCCCTCTTGCACGTATAGTTTCCTTGCCTCCCTGTATTGCTTTCAGTTACAGATGTTTGTACAGACATGGAAGACGTACCGCGGCTTGCATATGGCCTACAAACGTACCCGCCGAAGGCCCTTCGCACTGTGATCCCTCGACGATTGCAGGTACCCATGAAGAGAAAACACAGAAATCGTGGCTTTCAGAGATTGCACAGTCCTGCAGGAAGGCGCCATATACGTTGATAGTCGTTCCCGGGACTTTCTGTTGTGCGGTTGGCAACAGAGGCCTGAGATCTTGTGATGTAAATTGAATAGCTCGAACAACACGGATATGCGAGTCCAATGACGAGTCGGACTCGAGTGAATCCGCCATAGTAGTAGCCTAGCTCGACGGTTGATGTAGAGTAGAGAGACGTGGCGCCGGGACCGCGCTACAGCGTAGCAATACCGCTGAGCGCTGCGGTTCGTGGCTCGTGGTCCGCTACGCTACCCATTATAGACTAGTGCTGTGGGGCCGGCGTGGCTATGTTTCAGCCATGGGCGCGGTCGCACCTGTAGTGCCAGTCCGACTCTGAACGGTTGGATGTAATTGATTGCGGTCATATCAAACGAGTACAAATATGAACAGTAAACTGCGAGACGTGCGCTTACCCGCAATTCTCCATGTCGGAGGGATGTAGCGGGCTCGAGCACGGGTGGGATTGCCACAAGCGTTGTCGTGCGATGCGATCTGAACCCTCGGCAGACCTCGGTCCGGTTCGGCGCTTGACCTCACCTGCCTTATAGGGGAGGGTTGCCGCTTATTCGTAGCTATTGGCAGGTTTTTTCGTCGGACGCAGACCAAGGGCTGACCACCCCCCCTCCCCCGGGGGCATTGTGTACCCGATCTGCCGATCTGCCGCCCCTTGGTTCCAACTGATGTAGATGTATTGAGTACCAATTCAGCCGACCTTGCGGCTCTGTGACTCAACCGGGCTAACAATGGGATCATATCATGAGCCCATCCATCCAGATCCCACAACGGTTACACGAGCATGATCGTGATACTGCACTCACCTCACACTTCCAGAAAAGGGCAAGTAGAACTACCATCCGACCGGCACCAACCCGTCGGACTCGGATACGCAGTCACGCTCGTGCGCCTCCCCAGTGGTCCTCCCAACCCTCCGCAGATCCTGTTCCGCCGTCGAACTAGGGATGAACTTACTGGTCCCTGCGCAAGCCGACAACGCGTTCGCGGCATGCTCGATGTAGTGATGAGTCCCCCTGCAGAGCTAGACCATATACAGCAGTTAGGGCACACCAGAACGTCGTGCGACTGATCCGCTCGCGATCGTGCACCACGACGCTACCGCGCGTCCGCGTCCAAGTGAGTGCGAAGACGCCCATCTGTTATGTAACTTACACATCTGCGCGCTGCGGGGTTGGATGCAAGTTCGTGGCGTGACGGGAATGGAAGCGGGTCGAGGTGCGTCACTGGCAGTGGGAGATCCGGGACGCAGATGGGGATGGCGCGCGTGTCTGCACTGGGTGCGAAGTGCACGGTGAGTAAGTAAGGGACGGAGAAGAGAAGATAGCAGGGACGAACGGTCGGCGTGAGACGGTTTGGACGCAACCGGCATCCGGGGCCACGCATCTTCTCGACGTCGAGCTGAGTCTGCCGACTGAATGGAGGGCGGACGGATGAATACACGGACATTGGGACCATCCCAGTCTGAGCAAAGTCTATCATCGCCACATGTCAAGGGTGTATTGAGTACGGAGTACTCGTGAACAGAGCTTGATCACAGGCCTAGGTGCATACAGATAAGACCTGGACTCAGAGAAGTGAGCGCATATAGCCAGAACGACCCGGGAGATTCACTCACAACGAATCCGATATCAAGCACTCACCATTGCGGTCATTCACATGCGAAGGAAGGTAGGTGCACGTTTGAGGGACCGGCCGGGCCCTCACCAACAGTCTTAGGCTGAGTCTGTCGAGTGAAGATCGATGCGGTCCGATGCAAACCGAGTATGAATAGGTCAATGAGCTCGATATCAGAGCCTAGAGCCCCGCAGGCTTCATTTCCGACCTTCGCCGTCGCGGCCGCTTTCATCTCGGACTCGGAGTTGGCCTCGGAGCTCGGAGAGTGAGGGTCCTACATAAACGCGGTGTGCGGATGAACGTCGCTCTGGCCCCGCCAACATGCTGATACTATCGGGAGTGCATTATAATGCATAACCACGATTCTTCCCCCCTTCTGCGGCTAAGGCCACTTAGCCCACTTCGGTGCATGAGCAAACCTTTGCTGGGGGTGTCTGCGAACAGGGCAACTGCCCAAGCAGGGCTACCTTAGGATCATCATCATGATAATCTCGCGTCTCGCTGGGCGTAGTTTACCCGTTTCCGAGCCAAGTGTCCAACATGAACGCAAAGTGGCAGCTGTGGACCGTGCCGCAGGCTGACCGGTGGTCTGACGGTGAACTCACAATGCGAGCGATAGGGCTGCATCAGGGGCCGTGAGTGCTCACACGAGGCTCTCCACTCATATGTAGGCGAACACATGTCAGCTCTTCGATATATGTAAGGGGAGATTGAGCGGGATCCTCACCAGTTCAAAGAATGCGAAGGTGATTCACAGCACCCGCGGCGAAACATATATAGCGAGGGAAGTAGCCTGTTCAACGGCGCAAAACTCCGGTGCGAGAAGTGAAACAATTCGTGCGTTCTCGACTTCAGCCGCGCGTATTTCAGCGTGGGTACGGGAACGTTAGTCTCATCGTCATAGCCACGATGCGAAGTCAGTACGGGTACAGATTGTGGAGTATCTATATCGCGGTGTCCAGCTTCGGCCGCTTTTCGAGCACCTTGTCCACGATCCCAAACTCGAACGCTTCCTGTGCTGCGCTCGATGGTCAGCAAGATGTACTTAGGATGCCGAGCACCAATCACCCACCTGTCATGAAGTAATCCCTCTCTAATGCAAGCTCTGAGGTTGGTGGGAACGGCAATTCAGTCTATACTTCACTGTGAAAAGGTTATGAATGGCACGTACCGAAGCGCTTGACGCCTTCGTCGACACTCTCGCCCTCCTTGTTGCAGTGCCTCTGATAGATGCGCGTGAGCTGCTCTCGCACGCGGAGAATCTCCTTGGCGTGGATGGCGATGTCGGAAGCCTGACCAGAAGCCCCACCCGAAGGTTCTATGCACAGTGTGTCAGAGAACGTACCCAGTGACCGTCATGCCACCGTGAGTACGTACGGTGAATCATGATGGTAGAGTTCGGGAGGGCATGTCGCTTGCCCCTCTCTCCCGCGGCCAGAAGGAGGGAACCCATCGAACACGCTTGACCAACGCAGTACGTGTGGATGGGCGAGGAAACGTACTGCAGTCACGCGCACATTCAATCACAGTTTCACGGACTTCTGTGAGGAGGGGAACTACTGCACCTGCATCTACATCTGCATGGATTAGCGATACGTATGACTGCGTAATGTACTATGCTTACTGTGTCATAGATAGCGAGTCCGGCGGTGACGCTCCCACCTGGGGAGTTGATGTACAAGTGAATTGGCTTCGACGTTTCTTCTGCCTCGAGGAAGAGCAATTGCGCGACGGTCAGCGCAGAGTCGTTGTCCCGTATCTGTTTGCACCCGTTAATAGTGATCCCCAAACAGTAGACGAGACAGCTCACTGGACCGTACAACATGATAACACGTTCTCTGAGCAATCTCGAGAAAATGTCATAGCTCCGCTCTCCTCTGCCCTTCAACGCGGATCCTCAGCTATTAGCTTCAGCCGCCTCTTTTATCATTTGCTTACCGTCTGTTCAATCACTATCGGCACCAGGTTCGATAAGATAGCAGGCGGTGAAGACCAGTCTGCAGCGAGCGGTCGGTGGACGTGCCGTCTTGCCATGTCCAACCGCGGGCTTGTGCGCATGGCGCACAGCAGGGACGATGCACTGTTTAGAATTCGAGTTGTCGCCATTTTGTTTGGCCCGGCTGCGAGTGCAACACAGCGTAATCAAAGCCCTGGCAGTGGAGGTCGTCCAAGAGGTCGTCCGCGCTCGGCAACGCGCTGTGGCGGCCTGTGGCGGCCACGTCCGCGTCCACGTGATTGACGCGTTTCGTCGGGCTCGCCGTCTTTCTGACGAGTTCATCCTGTCTAGCCAGTCCGTCGACGGCAGCGACGCCCGCGACACGATATTCTGCTACGACGACTCTTCCTGGGAGACACGGCCACGACGTTCACGAACTTGCCACCGCTGCGTAACGCTCCTCGAGATGGCGTCGCGCTATCGAACCACAGCCAGGTCGACTGAGACTCCGATGGACTTTGAGTTCACCTCTCGACCAAGCAGCTTCACGAAGCCCGCATGGGCATCAGAAAACGAAGATCCAAGCACACCTCGGAAACGTGAGTAATCGCTTGCTATTATTGAGGCTCAAGAGAGCCTACGCAAAGATCGCAACCTGTCTGTATTGCCAGCTTGACCGACGCTCTGCCCGGTTCTCTCGTCGCCAGAGACGTTTGTCGTGCGATGAAGTGTGCTTGTCTTCTCTTTACGTCTCAAACTTATGCTTGTATCACTGCAGGACCGTTCACAGATGATAACCCGCCTGCCCCAGCCTTCCCCACACCATCGCATGTCGACTCTTTCCCATCCTTCGGGCACAACACAAACGTACCGTTCTTGTTCAATGAGCCTATTCCTCAGACACCACATACTCCGGCGTGGACACCACCTCCGAACTTCTCCCCCACCAAGGCCTTCCCTCAGCCGGAGATCAAGGATGTGGATATGGCCGACTCCAGCCCCATCAGGCTCGGGGAACAATTACTTCAGAAGGGGGACGAGAAGGAAGGCGAGGGAGAGCGAGCTGTAGCATTGGGTGCCGTTCGGCGCGTGTATCGGTCGCGACAAAGGGCACGGGAGCGCAGTAGAGCCCGGCGAGGCAAGAGTCGGGGCTTGGATCAGGAAGGGAGCGACGTTACCGACGAAAGTGACGACGACGAGCGAGGGGTCGTTACACAAAGCACCTCAAACCATTACACGCTCAATATGCCCGGCCCTGCTCCCCCGCAATCCGACCTGCCCTACGTGCTGCTTGGCTATTTACAGTTCTTCTTCAACCTCTCCCTCATCCTAGTGTTCCTCTATCTCCTCGTCCAATTCATACTCACAGTACAACGGGACGTGGAGCAGAGAATATCAGAGTACTCCATGGGTGAGTCAATCAGTGGCTTCCCGCTCTGCCTCGTGTCGACCTCTGTCCAGAGATCGTACAAGAAATCGCGCAATGCGCGTTGCAGCATAAGGCGAATCTCTGCGCCTCAAGGCCCATCCCTGCAATGTCGCATCAATGTTCAGTATGGGAAACATGCATGAATCGCGATCCATCCAAGGTCGGCAGGGCGCGCGTCGGTGCAGAGCTCATAGCTGAGGTCGTTAATGGCTTTGTCGAGCCTATAAGCTGGAAGACCCTCGTGCGTAATTTCAGTAGTCTTCCGAGCCACAGCGGACTGACCTCGTATGTATCAGATATTCACTCTCACTTCGCTCGCGTTCCTCACCGTGTTCATCAACGCGCTTCTGTCACTCTACCGCGCGCGTATCAACCCTGCGACACATCCGCCACCCGCGCACCCACCGATGCCCACCTTCCCAATCGCGCCCCCTGTGGCGTACCCGCAACCACATCACTATCTGTCGCCTCCGCCGGAATGGAGCAAGTCATGGTCTGCCGCTCAAGACGACGTGCCTCAAACGCCGAGTAGGAGACGCCGCCTGGAAGGTGGTCTAGCGGAGAAAATCCGTTAGGAGGCTCAGAGGCAATGGCGTTTTAGCATTATTAGTTGGCACAGGATGGGTTTCCCGATGACACAGGCTTCTTGTTTTCCGTCTTCATTAACATCTTCATTTATGAGGCAGGATATTATATCACAACCATGTGAGTATCGCTGCGGCCTCGTTCCTTACGGCGTGGTGACTAATCTCGTTCGCAGGTTTCCATAGCCATGCCTATGCAATATACAAATACAGCAGTACCGGCGATGTCCGGTAGCTTGGCTGACAGCGTCCTACGCGGTAATCAATCTGGTGTCGTCTGGCAAGCCTGCTTATTCCCTTATTCCCTTGGTCGACTAGGGTCCTACTGCGCAAATGACGTTCAGCGCTCACCGGTAAGCTTCACATAGGTGTCAACGATGTGTGGCCCTGGAGTTCTGTCCACCCAAGCCACGCTATGACAGCCTGGGATCGGCAATTGGACTTCACGGAGCTAAGGGTGGAGTCTCATATTCTGCTCGCCTAATCGCTTGCTAATGGGTGTCTTGTTCCTCGAGTGACGATTGGAGAACCATGCCACGCACCAATGATTGTCCAAAGGGCTTGCTAATTCAAGACGTGATAATGGTAAGCCTTCAGGCGGTACGGCCATTAGGAACAAGGGTACGTGTGAGAGATGTTCGTGACGAGCTAATACCGTCGAGCAGCGTGGACCTCGCTCATCGGATCTGAGTACGTGGGTGAACTTAACGTCTGTTGCGGCAAACGTTGGTCAAACGTTGCGAACGGCGTATGGGCCACTCAGAATTGGACTAGTGCACATGAATGAGAGCATGGTTGACCCGAGGTTGGTCCTCCGAAGCCTTTGTAGATATTGATTACGCTCAATGTCTCCACAGTGCGGGATCCAGATCAGAGCAAAGAACACAAAACAGAAGGTAACTTACCGCGGACCTTGCCTATCCAGTGCGGCAGACGGTCAGAGGTTCGTGGTCGAATTGAAAAATCACAACAATTTGACCATCGCATTCAAGGTCCGATTCCTGGCAAAGACAGATCTAGAGCACTGCAGTGAATAGCTTCATGGCAAACGTCATTGCGAATGGGGTCTAGCCTCCTTCCGTGCGGTGACACGGTGGTCGAGGCGTGCTGCCTCCATGCCAATGTTGAGGTATTTCACAATAGTTAACACGGCTTTTCAGAGATCTCACGCAAGAATAGGCTAGGGCCTACAGTATCCGAACGATGGTTGATAGCCGTACGTGGTGCCTCCTATCCCTTATTACAGTTCTTCTTGCTTCACACGTGTCGTAAGTGTCTATCCATCAGAGCATTTGGGGAAACTCATGTTCATCGCCTTCTGGTCACGTTGTCAGAACTACCCATCTCGTCAGTCCGTCATGGAAGATCTTGGCAAAAGAGCCGGTGAGATTTGTAATGTACATCGCTCTTCGCGAAGCTCATTGGTATCGTAGATGCAGTTCCCCTCCGGGCCCGGGACGCCCAGCGAAGCTCATTCGCGCACGGCCGCCAGGAGCAGCATTTCCCCAGGTGGTAATCAACTCTCAATGACTCCGGCCCTTTGAGCATACCCACATGTTTTATGAATCCAGGCTACAGGAACCGTGCCAACGTGGGGACAGATAAGATCTCACATTCAAAACCAATCCCGCGGCTTCCATGTTCAAGCAGATGGTTCTGTCGGTTTTCAGTGTCACCGCTGCTTCTCTGTTTAGACCCATGCTGCTGTGCCATTCAGTGCATACCGCATTGACTGATGTGCGTCTGCCTCAATGACAGGTGCTCCTAAGGCACCAAAGGTTGACACTTGTCGACGGACCTGTCCGAATGTGACCGGATGACCTCCCGGCAAATGTCAAGGCTATGGTCCCTCCAAGTGTAGAAGGTCTGTTCCTATATTTCCCATTCAAATTTGCAGCATTCAGCCTATCAAATGATGCTCACAGAACTCAGAAGGCACCGCGGTTGCTCGCGCGAGGAGCCGTAACATGCCGTAACATGCTGTAAGCTTCGAATCGCCGTAGGTTATCTGGCAACCCCCGGGTCTTTGGACACCACGCGTGCATGACAAGGTGACCAAGAGCCACTCGTAGGAGTCGCTTAGACTAGCACAGAGTGTGGTGCCTCTTCGTTCAGCGATCCACCGCGTCTTCTGAACCGAAGGGCATTCAAGTACAAGTTAAGCCTGAGGATGTGTGCAGTGATGCGCTACAGGCTTCGGAGGTCACTGGGTTCGCTGACCCTTACTTCGCGTCGTCATGAGCAGTCCCGGTCTGCTGCTATGACGAACCTAACTTCTCGGGACAGACAGTGTTGTGACCTACCCACATCCGTACAGCAACCAAGATGCTTCTGCGTTGCTCCTTCTAGTGAGTGTCCGGCTCATTGCTCAAACTGCCCACTCTTCCTTACCTCCATTTGACAGAGCGCTCCGGTGTATGTCAACACTGCCCCCTGCACAACGGCCTCTCGGGTCCCCCAGAATGCGGCCAGATCGGTATGTCTGATTCAAAGCCCGCGAACAGTTCTGACCGCGCCCGTCGAGTATGATTTAGAATGTCTATAGCTCGTCATATCGGCGTAATGGTGGCTACCGGCGGCCTGCCCTCCGGCGCCGTCACCGTATCTCGATTGTCGATGTTCCCCGTCACGGTCTGGAGCCTCGGGGCATCGAGTGTTTTGGTCGTCCGTGATGCGTTGATACATGATTAGCGCGAACATTGAACAGTCTGCAAACGTCCATCTCGAGGGGCAGCTCCGCGGACAGGTGACAGAAGTGGCTTTCAATGGTGATGGGCTCATATCGCGATCCTAAACCTGTCGTTCAGTCAACATTACCCCGGGCCCCTCGTTGGCTGTGCGTACAAGCATGGTACAATTGATCCAGGCCAGTCATTGAACATTTCGACAACAAGCTGCAGCGCTCCACTACGCCGACTTCATCGAGTGATTAGAGGTATGGCCCGGACGAAATAAGGCTGTTTTCTGCCTGCCTGCTTGATTGCGAAGTCACTATGGCTACAACCCGTCCAGTGCGCCTCGAATTTATGCCACCCGTAAGTTACATCCACTATCGGTACGTTGTCAACTGAGATCATAGCTTGACTATAGGTCCGTAGCCACTGCTTATGCTAGACAGCGATGCTAGCCAGTTCCGCGCGCGTCAGTTACATCAAGCTGATGTTCCTACGAATCCCAAAGTAGGTGTCTGCCTATGCCGGAGATGGCAGTACACGTATGACAACCACCTACTGTCAGGAGGTGTTCGGATTGATGGAATCTCATTGCAGACCTTACTAACGTCTGGCTGTTCGCAGCTGGAAGACGTGCTGTCTCGTTTGCGTTCGCCCTGACAGTTTGTCCCGAGGTGCTTAGGCAGAGGCAGTAGCTCAGCAAGTAATTTGTATATTAGACACAGGGTGAGCTCCTTGTGGTATGGACGGTCTTGCATGCAACCAATTCTCAACGACCGCCATTGTGTCCTTCAAGCTTCAAGCTTCAAGGATGAACCTGTATTGATGCCCACCCATAGAGAACGCTCACGAGCCATAGTCGATATGTTACGAGAACAGGCAAGTAGCTCTACCCTCAAATGTTGGCAGCGGTGGTAGGCGATTTCTTTGGAAAATCCGAAATTGTATCGTGGTTCAACGCCACAGCCTCACCGCAGCTGCCGAACGCAGGCGTCGATGCATTTAGAGTGGCCTTGCCGGAAACTTATCGGGCTCTTTCAACGTTGGACTGAGTCTACGTCGACGATCTCGGTATGAGATGAACTCAATGGCTGGTAAACCTGCTAGGCTGACAGGTCCTTTGTAGGGGAATTGGCGTCTTCAATCACAGCATACGTTTGAGACATCCTGTGCTCACAGGAACATACATGGGCCACAGCGTATACATGACATGCAGGGGGAAGAACATGACGACGAACTACATTGTCTCGACGCAGTTATCCGGGAGTCAATCTCCTCAGACATTCATGCAGCCTTGCCCTTCGGTTTCTGACCGTAGTAATATCTGGTCCTCCCGATACCCATGAACCAGGCGAGTCTACGAGCGTCGTATTAGTGATGAACAGGAAACGATACAGTAGCCTTACCGCCCACTAAGGAGTACAATCACGAACGAGATGTTCCCGTGCGTCGTCGCGTTCCAAGCCAACGGGTTGTACTTCAGATCATCGGGAAGCCCAATCCAAGACCAGATCATACTGGGAGTAGCGTTTTAGCATGGCAGCGGATACAGGCAATTGTGCCTTACTGGGTGACCTTGAAACACAACGGAGTTAGTTCAAACGCGATGGGCATAGCGTCTTGCCGTTGAACTCACATCTGCAAGAGCCAATGCAGTGAAACTTGCGCCAAGAATGCGCTCCTGGGCAATCGCGTTGTTAGGCAAAGCGTCTCTGACGGCTCGGAACACGAAGCTAGAGATTAGGCCGAGCAAGAGGTAGCCTAGTCGCTCCGCGACATCTCAGCGTTCACTATCGTGCGTGAGGTAGAGATGTGCTTACAGTTTCCGAGTTGCCAGATCGCCATCCTTGTCCGGGCGTCCAGAAACCCAGTAGGAGGCGGAGGATCCGCTGAGGGTATGAGCCCGTGGTGGAACCACTCCGCTCCCGGGAAGAACCAGGCAAGCACAGACGGCAGGATTGTCGAGGCTGTAGCATACCTACTATGAGTACCGTCAAGATGACAAACATGGGTCCTATAAGACGCATACTTGGCTCGATATACAAGTACATGAGCTTGTAGAAGCCCGGCAAGGCAGGGAAGTCAGACATTGTGTTTGAGTTGGTGAATAACTTGCGACCTTGCTTGCCCGTCGCGGGCGTCGTCCACTAGTCGTATGTACGCCCTTCAGTCGCCTGGAGACGGATCTGCACACTTGCAAGGCAGTGTGTGAATGTCCGTTGCTGCATGAGAAGCTATGAGAAGATCGTGTCGCGGTCACGCAAGCGCTCCGCCTCCTCCTGGTCCTCCTCCTCCTTTTGCTCTTCTTTCTGACCAATATGTCCTGCTTCTCGCTATCGCCTGGTCCCTACCATTCTGGCGCAGACAGTCCTGGGTCGTCCGTGTTCGACCTTCCTACGCAGTCAGGCCGTAACGAGCGGCCTACACCGACCAGCGGCACTGCGCCCGAAGACTCGTTTTGCGACAATTCGAGCCAGAGGGTAGCAACACCCTCGTTTCTGGTGATATCAGGAGGAACAGGATGCAACTCGATATGTTCTGCCTTCGGAAACGCGTGCTATGCGTTGCCCGTCTCAGACGACGGAGGTTCGTCCAGTGAAATCATACGCGTCTTGGGGGGTCCATCTATCGGTACGCCCATTTCTACGTCACATCCGCGATAGTTGTTGAGAGGAAGGTTCAGGCGATATACGATCGCGTCTTGTACGCTTGATACCTCCTGCACCGAAGACATCATCATTGGACCGTATCCGTAACCTTCTCGAATACAGGTTATCCGCAGAACGCTCTGAGCGTGAAGCCCGCGACGAATGGAGGGACATTGTCGAGGGTCGAAGCCCCCTGTGGTCTGGCATACCCAACGACAGGAAGGAAATGATCAGAGGTGGGCTATACTATCAGTGTGCCCAACCACGTGAATCCAGATACTGGTTGTCAGGCTTCCTGGTACACTTCGAGAGTGAGGTGCTGAAGCGAGCACATAAGAACTTCTCTTTCGTCAACGGGAGGTATTGCGCATCTCACGTAGCCAGAACAAGTAGGCTAAGCAGACCTAATAGCATCGGCAATTACTTCCTGTCCGCCGCCCAGATCTTCTTCCGCTCGCTTCCCTCAGCCATCTTCCTGTTCTCTTCCATAACGAATAGCCAGGTGGGTCTGAGAGCCACGACATGCGCCTCGTTTGAATCTCATTTCTAGCGCAGGCGAACATCATTCCCGTCATCGTCACGAACCATACCGTGACGATCGCCGCAGAACTAGTCAGACTCCCCTCTTCTGTAGTGCCGCCTCACTGACATGACACTCCTTTCTCCTCTTTTCTAACCGTCGATTCCCAAAGGAGAACGGCGGCAGACTCGTTGGGCAGTGCGAGATCTCCCACCCTGTGGTGCGTCCCCCGAGCATCAGCGTCCTCGGCGCGGAAGAGCACGACGCGGACCCACTGTCTCCCGTGGACGGCCTGGACGGCGTCGCTTCCCCCAGGGGCAATGTGATGTTCCAGGCGCAGGACAAGGGGGAGTATCAGCCCCTTGCTGCACGAATAACCAGTGAGGTCTTCTTCATACGGGCGACGAAGCGAGCGACTGATGGGTTGAGTGCAGAGCTATACTACATCAACGCGTACGGTAGCGAGATTCACCCAACGCCCAACCCTGAGTACATAACGAACATGTCGTTGAACGATGTGTTGGTGTACTCATGTGGATCATTATGGACGAGGTGCGTTCCGTTGAACTATGGCAATGGGCACTGACGGATCCCATGAATGCCCAGTATCATCCCGTGCTTAGCCCTGAAAGGAGTTGCGAGTGCCATCGCACGGTCAAGATCTCTGCGTGCCAAGGTCCTCCTGTGTCAGTTGTTTTCATGTGCGCTGTCAGCGTCCCCCCTAACATGAATCGCCAAGTGAACTCGAAGAACGACCGAGAAACAGATGGCTACACAGCCGTCGACTACATCAAGTGAGTTCATCAACGCCTCGTCCGCTGATCGCTCAGACCTTTCGTCTTGCCGCAGGACAATCGCACGGACACTGAACCAGTCCCATCACTCCCCGACATACGGCGGCTTGGGTAGGGTAGACACCACCTACCCAGTCTCCGCGTTCATCACACACCTCGTCTACCTCCAGGGCACGACCGTCGAAGTGAACGAGGCACTAATCACCGTACGTGTTGGACTCGTGTATTTGTTATTTTTGATACGACATTACATGCACAGGCATTGGGAGTCGAGTGTGTTCAGGCCAAGGGCACACTGGACGAAAAGTCCGGCGTCCCACAGTTCGACGCGGATTGCGTTCGTGACGCCATGCGTCGTATCATAGCGGAGACGGAGGTTCGTGAATGAACGCGTCTCACTGTAATCGGACTATTCCCTCGAACTACCTCGAATTACCTTCATTCATGGACTGAATACACCTATGTAAGCCTAGACCATGTAGAAGATACAATTGTGGAAAACAAGAAACATTACAGAGACACTCGAGGTCAGAGCGCAATCTCGACATCCAACCGCGCGAGATACGAATACACGTCGGGGGACAGCCGATACTTCAGCGTGCCCGCAAATATCATCAGCGACCTCGACTTCTTCCGTAGCGCTGCATAGGTCTACAGAGCGGGTGAGCTCTAAGCAACGCTGGTAAGGCGAGTGATGCTTACCACCTGGCGAGTCGCCTCGGCCATGAGCGACGCCTTGACCTTTTGGTGGACGCTGGCTAGTGTATCCATGGTGAGCGTAAGGAAGGTCTGCAGGTTCCGTTGGAGTGCCTCTGGGAGGTCGCGGAACTCTTCTGCGCGCCGCTGGATCTTCGCGACGTCCCCGTCCATAGGTATGAGGTCCGTCGACTCCATCATCTGTAATATCCACGTCAGTGTGCGATCGCGTGCGTCTGAATCTAGGACCCACCTCGAGCGCAAGCTCGACTCTCCCGCTCTCCTTCGCCTCCATCGCCTCCCTCACCCTCAGCAACCGGATAACCGCATCCCTCTCCTTGCCCACCGCCCTGTTCGTGCGCTCATAATGCCTCAGGATATCAGCCGCGGTCCGTTCGATCGTGCGCGCCTTCTCGTCGCCGCTCGGCTGGGCGATGGTGTTGCCCAGGGCCTGCGCGAGGCACGCGATGACGGTCGTGTAGTCGCCCGCGAGGTTGTAGAGCTTGATCGCCTCGGGCGCGCGGTCGTTCTCCTCCGAGTGCTGGGCGGCGCGCAGGAGGATCTGATCGTTGTAATCTTGGCTATTATCGAGCTTGAGGAGGGATGCACCTTGCTCAATGAGCCCGCTCTGCGTCGGGCTTTAGCAAAGACAGGGTATGACCATTGTAGAGGATACATACGAAACGTGTGCCGTCAGGCCGGAACCCTCCGACGAGCTCTTCCCAAGCAGCACCGGTGTTCGCGAGGACAATGATACGGCGGACGAGCTCCCATGCAGCTTCGAGTTGCTCCTTGCCAACTCCACCGCCCTGGTCCGCACTGAGGGTGGCGCAGTAGACGTACTGCAGCGCTTCCCTTGCGTCCATCTTGACGAAGGTACGGACATAGCGCCAGATGAGAGTTGACAAGCTCAAGGCCGGCGGTGACGTTGGGGAGAGTGATACTGTGGTTGACCGTCAGCCGTGTGTTCGTACAGGGCGAATGTGGAAAACAAGCTCACGAGGAGTCATATCAGACGTCTCAGCCCGAGAAGGAACGCGCAAAAGCCCGTGGTACGCCAGAGCAATAGCGAGGTGGACAGCTTCCACTTCAGTCTCTTGATGATCCCATAATGCAGCGACAGCCTGTCGATAGTTAGCTCGTTTTGCTCCGGAAGGAAGCGTCTGAGGCACATACCCTCTCGAACTGACCGCACATGAGCAACACGCCAGCCCACACTCCTCGCCTGGCACCTTTCTGGCCAGGGACACCGTCAAAATGACGTTCGCCATAGCTCAGGAGTACCTCCGCGAGACCGCGCAGCCCGCCATGTTCCTCTTCGTCGACCTATATGCATTGGCACGCATACAGTCAGTATATCACCAGGACTGAGGTGTATACACCCACCATGCAGAGCTGGAACCAGAGCCAGTCCTCCGTCGTGACGGTGACGTTCTGCACGCTTCGTCGCGCAGGGTCAATCTTGCCCATCAGCTTGTAGAGCGCGAGCTTGAACGGGTCCGCTGTGGACGAATGCAGCATGTGCGCGTTGAAGGCCGCATGTACCTGGTCTCGGTGAGGCTTCGGCAGCCTGCGAATCGAGAGAGCGTGAGTTGAAGCACATGAAGTTGACTGCAAGAGCACGTACTTTCGCTCGGGCGAATCAAGCCATGCCCTGAAGTGGCTGATGAAGCCCGCTTCACGGTGCTCGATCGCTTGTTGGTACCGCAGAGCTTCTACCAGGGCATCTTGTGGGTTTCCGGTACGCACGAGATAGAACAGTTTCGCCCACAATGGCTGGCCTGCGATTAACTGTGTAGGCTGCAGTTAGCCTTAATTCCCCATGGAAAACATTACTATAGTCATACCTCGACGCGGTCTTCCCATTCGCCGTTCCTGTAATGCCGGACAAGCACGAACGCCCGAACCTTATTCGAGAGGCTTGGATCACCACCCAGCCTCGCCTCAATAGGCCGAGCCTGCAGCGTCCTGTCCAAGACATCCCAATACTGCTCCTCGAGCGCCTCCCTTGCGCCTCGCGCAATCTGCTTGCGCAATTCAACAGCTTCACGGGATTCGGGGTCACCGACGTATACCCGCGCATACTTGCGTTCGAAGAGGGGAGCGTTGAGTATATGCGCGCCGGCGTGCTCGAGAGGCGGGAGTGCGGGGGGCTCCGCGGTAATTTTGGTGAGTACGTGGAAGTTTTGGGTGAGCTGGAAGGAGCGGGGCTGAACTGCAGATGAGGCGGTGGATACGGCACACCAGGGTAGAAGGACCTACGTCGTTGTTTACAGCGTTGGAGGCTGCACAGAGAGCGTGTACGATGGGATAGGACGTTCCGCGTAACCTCGCGTTATTGAGCTCAGATACAGCGCGGTCATAGGCCATCATCTTGTTCTGCATCTGCAAACTTGGGGCGGGGCCGACGCTCGCCTGGCAGGAAGTCAAGCGGAGGAAGACATCCGACACATATGCACTCACCGACAGCAAACTCTTCCCGTGCATGCTCTTCTTCAGTTCCGCCACTGCCATGTTCTCCCCGCCAACACGGCCACCCAGCTGCTCGAACACCCGCTTCTTCCGCACTTCCCAGTCGCGCTGCTGCCGCTCCTCCAGTACACGGTAGAACTCTTCCTGCGTCTCCTTCCGTCCCTCCTCAATCGTAGAGATCAGGTTCTGCTCGTGCGCGTGGCGGAGGTAGCCGGCCACATCCGTGTCTTGAAGAGCCTGAAGCGGGGTGAAGGTTGTTGTCGTATTGAGGTGTGCTATAGAGCTGGCAAGGCCGGGTGCATCGACGCGTGCCTGAGCAAGGAGATAGTTCCTGCAGGCGACCGTCAATGTCTCGTAGTATACCGATCAGGCAAGCAGTACTTACGCGCGGTCATTATCTGTTGATGTCCCGGGCTGACGAGACACAAGACGACGTGACTGTGCCTCAATCTGATCCAAAGAAAGGTGCACAGACGGGAGGTCTGGCCGCGCGAGATGCGAAGTGAGAGCCTTCGACGCGGTCAAAAGGGCAGACAAGTCGGACATCGTGCGCTCGTTCAGCGTCGTTCAGAGTCGTGTCAAATTATCAGGTCCAGAAGCCGTTCAAAATGGCATGAAGAGGTGGGGATGCTGGAGAACTCTTGGACCGAGCTTGCGAGGGACTGTGGTATGTAGTACAAGGGCAGCCGCTCGCGTCTGTTCGACGCGTCGTAGTGCACGTGCCTTTTGTGAGTGCCACTCGCGCGACTTGCGCAGGGCAGTCCTCAACTCCTTGAACTCGAACAGCCTCAGGCTGGGATTTGCTACGGCTTCGACTCTCGAGCAATCTACCTACGCAATGCCCGCACCCCCCTTTTTATCTGTGATAGCGGACAATTCGTCTACAGGGCATCAGGACCAGTTGCGATGATGCTACTACGCTTCTCGACGCTGCTCCGAACTGGCATTTGCGGGTAAGTTCCGCCGGCGGCGTCGGATTCGGCGAGTACTCAATGTTCAGTCGACAACGACATCCTAATTGACAGAGTTGGCATTCATGACCGGCGGGCACCCGTGCCTTCAAATTTGATTTTTTGAAGCCGCATGTGTACGTTGTTCTATATGCCAGTGTGTGTCCTCTTGTTCCTTCCTGCGTCCTTTGCGGTCAATATACAATCCTAACTAACCAGACGAATGTTACAGTGACGTCCTTGAATCCAGATACGCGAGGCTTTTAAGGCTGACTTCGTCGTGAAGTGATTCGGAAAAGCCCGCTTGAACACTCCATGACACTTTGACAACAGGGGCCACAGAGGCATACAGGCAGGCAGACTAAGTTCGCACCTCAGACTGCCTCTCAAAGTGAGATAACCACGTCGACATCCCCTTTGACCAATGTCGTGACTCATGCGACATCAATATCGTGCACGCCTTCCCGCTGCTCTCTTGTGGTGATGGGCGGCATGATACAGTTGTGGTCCCGCGGGCGGATATGGGAAAGAAGGTGTCGTTGTCTCGCATGGACGAGTGTACCGCATACGCAACTCATTAAAGTCATATGTGTAGGGGCACCAATGCATGCAGCAGAAATGCTTAGATTCATTCATTGTGGAAACACGCTGGTCTACTGGGTTGCACATATCGTGCGATCTTCGGGTCTGTGCGCATACAATGGACAGCATGAGACCGCTCAACACGTCATTCTCTTGTGCGTTGGACACATTCCCAGGAAGGGTCGACAACCTGCCACCCACTTCATGCGACCAAGCTCATGTCATGACCACTGAACTGTGCAACAAGTTACAAATCGTTCGTCTTCAGGCCGCTCGATCCCCGCTCATCTGTCAGTGCTGTACGCTACTCATCGCCATGCCATGCCAGCAAGTCCACTTATGTCAACGGATGGTCCCGGTCAACTCGCGATGAACGCGGCGGCGGCAGCCGAGGTTACCACGTAAGTTGTATCATGGTGTATCCCATCGAATCATGTCCCCCTAGAAGTTCCACTGACAGTCTTCGACGAGACCACAGATATGTCATGATCTCGATCAACCCCGCCCGGCGCGATAGAAGATTACCGGTGAATGTTGTGCGTTCTTAGAAGTACAAATGATCAATGTTGAGTGGTCCGGTGCTCATGTCAGTGGCTGTGTTCTTACGGTGCTTGACCTATTGCTCTTGTACTTTTGGAGATAACTGTACGGCCTATTGACATGACTTTGACATCATAGCTTGACGACTACGTTTGCGCGGGGCCGCAGCATCCGAGTCGTATATCTGTCGCTGCAGTTCAGAGACTCGGAGCGAAATGGACAATGCGGGGTATTTAGGCCGATTAAAGTATGAGGGTGAGTTCTTTCTACTCTTGAGCCCCTCTTATCTTTTGTGGCTCTCCGACTAGGTTTAAACCCCACCTGTGGACTGAAACGCGATATTGCTACTAGCAGGTGGCCTAGTCTAGCCATTGAAGTTCACCGCAGTCGCTCTGACCGGGTGGTCGTGAGCAGGTAGACTATGCCGCATCCGGATTGACGGAGGACACATAGCAACTCATGCACGAAGCTAGTCTCCACATCCGACAAGAGGCCTACAACGGACTTGTAATAGATCGCTGTGTATTGGCGGATGTTGCGTGATGTGTTCAATCCTTTGTCATATCGGATTCGGGAATTAACTGTATTTTGAATTCCGGTGTCTCCAGGTGTCTCTTCTCTATGGCCCCCGGAACACCTCGAGACAAGGGGCGGCTTCGGATAAAGAGTTGAATGGTGAACACATTAACCCGCGTCCCCCATTGTCTCACGCCGATAGCTCTAGTCATGTCAACAGACGAACTCACTGAGACGATCGCGGTCGTCAACGTGACGTGAGTTGCGCAATGCTTCTTGTGAGTATACGCTGACTGAACAGGACTAAATAGGTTTATAATCAACTGCTGTGACATAGCAGCTTGCGGTACGGTCAAATCAGACACTGTACGCCATATCCTGACTGGCACATATAGCGATATATACTTATGACCGCATCCTCACATTTTGGCGGGAGGTAGACTTGATATGGCAACGCCGTAGCATGTCGGTCGCGACTGGTTCGTATATGCTAATGCACATATCTATTGCAGCGTGTCTGTACGGAATTGTGACAGTCCAAATGCTCAAAGATTGTAGAGTAAATCCCAGCTCCCTCCGTGTGCGGTATTATACTGACTCGACGTAGATGTGGGATGATCCCCCAATCCTATCGCATTTTGACCTTACTTACTTACTGAGAGCATATCATACAGCGGCTATGTTGTGGACGTAGTTCAAACGTGCGCTGCTGTAGTATTCCATATCGCCGTTGGTGGTGCGTACCGCAACACCTCCATGCCCATGCGAACAATGGCTCATCTTCGCATTCCACAGTCTTCCAGGCGTTGCGTGCTTTCGCCATCAGCAACCGATCGGTGCCACTTGCATTTGCAATCTTCCTGTTGTCTGTGGTGATCTCTGCGATGGATGTGGTACGTTGTTCCGTCGTTGTTTGTCTACACAACTCTTCAGATAATGTGAATTCCAAGTATGAGATCTTCACAGTAGTTCCAGTTCCTCTGCCAGATCCTGTTGGTTGTATGCTCTTCGTGAGTGGCTCGAGCTACAGGTATGCCCCTCGTGCTGTTTGTTGGGCCCGATAACAGCCCTCAAAGAAAGACCTCTCTCACAGACAACGTATGAGGGTGTATTATCTAGTGGTTGGACAACGGGCTAACCAGTACGCTTCGTCTGGCCACAGTGCTTATCGCCAGCCAAACCTCTGCCATTGTCGCCGAAGTATTACTGGTGGTAGCAACCTGGCGTCAAGTATACAGAGCCAAGTTCGCTGAAGACCCGCATTTCAAGACCCCGGTTACAACCGTATTCCTTAGATATGGTCAGTACAAGTCTAGCTCGTCGGGTTATACGGCTCACTGAATCTACTGTTACAGGAATTGTTTATTTCATGTGAGTATAGAAGATACCTGTATCGGAGGATCTGTTTCAACGCCGTGTGCACCTAGCACTCTTCTCGTCCTCCTGGTAGTCAACATGGCGCTAAGCGAGACAATTGTGAGTGCTATCGTCTACGCCACTACACCGTATTGACATTGCGACTGTCACTCTAGATCAGCAATGGTATTGTGTCACCTATCCTTACGGCGTACGTTCACTTCCATCCAAGATGCGATGACGCTCATGGTTGATGCAAGCAGTTTGCAAATGTCCCTTCTCTCGCACTTCTACCTCAGCTTACATGAAGCAATTTTGGTCGAGATACCTTCTGGTGCATCAGAGATATCCGATCTCATTTTCACGCGTATGGTGGGGAGCCTAGCCGGATCTCTTCTTTACGGCACACGCAGTCGATTAGACCACGGCGTGGACGTAGAGGATGTTATATCAAGCTCGAAGAAAGAAGCGGAGGATGGGAGGGCCATGGATATTGAGCAGTCGGCAGTACTCGCGACCGGGGGCGACGGCGCCGCACTCAACTCAGAAGTCTTCATTGATGAAGTACCGAGAATTGCATCGGTTGCCGTTTGACGTCCAGTCAAAATATCTCTCCGATTTGTCTTCTCGTACGTTAACCCGACTACTCTACTATTGTACTCATTCTTGTACATGTATTTGGCGGTTTGGGTCGTCGTACTTGTCTGCTTGCTCAAGACCGTCCGTAGGATGCCATCTGCCAGCCATGCAGGTCCGAGCTCCATGTAGTACTTGTTCACACGAACAATCAACGCGGAGCGGCCGGGACACAAACGGGGCGGTCGTCACCTCCAACGCGGCTCTGGGAGTGTGTTTAATTCGAATTCGTGAATCGCGTGCCAATACTTACTTGTGGACCCGCGCTGAACTTGAACATCAGAAGGCTGCCTCGCATCTGGTTCTGCGGTGTTGAACTCATGTTATGCGATGACCGTGGAAGGCTACCAAGACGTTGACGCGTTGACGACTTGCAGTACCGGTACCGAATTGTGTTGACATGGAGTAACAAGCCCCAGATGCACTGATTTACAAACTTGAATGTTTGTACGAGATACCAGCTGCCCCTATGCCAGACAAACACAGTGATATATGTCGGTTCCAAGAAAGCCCTTGCCCCCACGGACACAGGAGGTTTTATACATTAGAGTACACTACTTCGCATCGACTAGACTACGCAACGATAACGACAATAAAGATAACAATACAACACTGCGAGTGTGAGCAGAAAGCAATTCGATGCTAGGTGAGTAGAGAGCAAAACACGTCGTACAAAAACATTGAACAATGAGCATGCGAGTAGGAACCATCCGGCGTCTAGAATCCATGTTGGATAGCAGATGCAGTCCAGTGATGAGACGGCAGTCCAGCGAGTGAGACGAGTCCAGCCTAGCGAGTGTCATCGTCGCAGACGAGAGCTCCGCATGGGCTTAGTCCGCGTACCAGTGGTACTCTCAAACTGCTGCTTGATGCTGGCATAGCACTTGCGGTCTACGCGGTGCAGGTAATAGTCGCCACCCTGGCCGTGCCAGGACACATGGCCGGGATAATAGTTTTTCTTCGTTACCTGGAAGATGGCGCTAATGTCGTCCAGCTGTACGGTAGCCGTCAGCCATTTACCATAACTTGAAGTACGCTGTTACTCACATTGCGCTCCGTCACGCCGGATAGCGGGGCGAATTCCTGAAGGGAGACAACGATGGCGCCCTCCTTCAAGTCTAGGAACTTCGGGCGTATCGCCTCGTTGACTAACAGGATCCGAGTGAGTCTCACGAAGACGGTCAGTGGGCAGGCACGTACGCGAAGGACCAAACACCCTATTATTCACAAGGACGACATCCGCCTTGGGTATCAACTCATCCACGCGCTTGCTCTTCAGCATATCCCCCTCCTCTAACTCGACCTCGCCCATCCTGAAGCCCCACATCCGGCACCGTGTACGAAATTGCTCGAGCTGACTCCTCGCCAATTTTGCTGGTTGGGCCATGTACTCGATCCCATAGCTCGTGCACCCCGTCTGGAGGCTCGCCTGTAGAACGACGTTGCCGACGCCTGAGCCGAGGTCGAGGAAGAGCGAGCCCTCGTGTAGACCCGTGTCTCGAATGATCCGCGAGACCAAAGTGGGCATGAGCTCGCCGTAGGCCTCCGAGGAGAAAGCCTGGTAGCGTCGCAGTTGAGCGACGTTCGGCCCGACTGCGCGCTGGTACACTTCCTCGACGACGCGTTCAATGACGCCTTGGGGAATGGAGCCCCAGGTCTTCACGGCTTCTCGGAATTCGTTCGGAGGGAGAGCTTCGAAGGGGTCCGCGGGCAGCGGTGGGTATTTGAGTAGACGGAGGAGCGCGTTAATCGCGTTCATGGCCTTCAGGAAGAGAGGCCCATCGTGCTTGTTGATAGCCCGCTGGAGGAGACGAAGGTAGTCGACCGTGGGCGGTCCCGAAGCACACGGTGTAGCGTGGTTGGATAAGTCCGTGAAAGAAGACATCGAGCAAATAGATGAAAGCGAGGAGATAGATGAGACTGCCGAGACTGAAGAAAATAGCGAGGATGAGGACGTCGCGGAGGACGCGTCCGACACAGAAGGTGCAGGTGATGATGCTGAGGATAGCGGCGGAGAGGGCGAGGAGACTTCGGTTTCAACTACAACCCTGGGCGGCGCAGATGAAGTGTATACATGTGCCTCATCGTCAGCGAAACATTCATCAGGCAATGTGCCGAACATTGCACGTTGCTGTGGTGTAAGATAGTCTATGCAGAGGTGAGAGATGCAAACATAGACGGAACCCTGACTCACCTTTCAATATTGTGTGCAGGGTACTCTCTAAGCACATTATGGGATTATAGTGGTCCGGATCCTTGGGTGCCAATAAGACAAACCTGAAGCGAGATGAGCCCAGAGCGCCGGAAAGCAGCATATATATACGTTACTTTTCTGATGCTCCAGTATTCGGGTATTCAAGCTCGACAGCAGGGTAGTTTTCTGGGTCAGGCTCAAAGGATTTATCGTTTGGGTCGTTCGGATTATTGAAGCCTGTGCGAGTTCAGCGGGTGATAGACAACACGAGGGGATCGCTTACATGACTTGTACGTCTTCATTAGATCCCGCACGACAGCCTCCGAGGTCAAGCAGGACGGCCCCGGCGTTCCGTCTTCGTCGGTCCAGCATTCCCGCGGTAGCGGCGTGTCCGTGCGAAGGACTGAGGGTGAACGCGACCTCGAGGTGGCCCTAGAAGAAGAGGGCATCGGCGAGCGCGACGCAGATTGCTGGCGACTGGAGGAGGCGCGATGAGAAGACGGCGTCGCGCTGCATGAACGCGATGGTCCAGCGGCCAGGTTTTGCGCCCCTGCATCTGCAAGTGCAGGCGTGGCGATACGCTGTTTCTTCGCAGGGCGAGGAGGCATATCGCGCTCGGCACTCTTGCGCTTGCCTTTAGGATCAACAGATGGCGATAATGAGGAAGAAGGCGTTGCAGATCGAGCCTTGACTTGAAGGGCGCCTGCTTCGGCATTACGCACAGGGGCCTTCTGGACGACGACCACGCGCGTCCCTGAGCCCGAAGACGCGTTCGACGCGCCTGCTCTCGCGTGTTTGGACTTTGAGAAGAAGGCGAGGTCGGACGAGGAGGGGCGGGGCGCAGCCATGGCGGGAGGAGACAAGGGGCAGCCGACGACTATGCAGGGCAGAGCACTTTGCGAAATGGCTGTGGCACCCGCGTCACTCTGCAACTTTCCCGCGTGAACGCGCGTGGATCCCCGCATATAGCAGGCACGTGCTCGGCGTCTGTCAAAATTCAGCGGGCAGAACAGCGCAGCGGCAAAGCAGCTTGGGACCGCGACCGACGTCCACCGCACCATGACCGCCGAAATCATGTCCAGCAGCGCTGCAGAACCCAGCTCGTCCAAGAAAGCGAAAAAGTCCAAGAAGTCGCGCCGAGAGGGCGACCAGGACAACACAGAAAGCCATATCTCGGAAGGAGCGGGTGGTGTGTATGTTCTGTTGCCCGGTGCACAACCCTTCGGCGAACTCACCTTTCTCCATCAGCTGAGGATGAAAAGGCCGAGAGGAAAAAGAGGAAGAAGGAGAAGAAGCTGAAAGCGGCCGCGAGCGTTGGGGAGGAAGACCACACCATGGCCGTGGACGATCCGAGTGAGTGGTTTTGCATCATACCCAAACAATTGGATATGGACGTCGCTTGCACTAGACAGCGCATCCGCGCAACCCGAAAAGAAGAAAAAGCGCAAACGGGACGAGGACGACGCACGCTCGGATCCCAGCACCTCCAAGAAGGACAAGAAGAAACGACGGAAGGAGGGAGATCTCGCAGAGGCCACGCAGTCGCCCGAGTCAGGTGGCGGAGCTGATGACCTCCACACTGGACCTAGCTCCTCTAAGAAAGATAAGAAACGCAAACGGAAACACGACGCTGACGGCGCAGACCAGCCCGAGGCCGACGCAGACCAAGGTACCTCGAAGAAGGACAAGAAGAAACGGCACAAGGATACAGCTTTGGACGCGAGCGAATCAAAGACGTCGCCAAAAGTTACCAAAATCTCTGGCAACGCGCCATCTTCTGCGGACATCGAAGCTTTCCTGTCGAAACATGCCGTGACCATCCATGTTCCCGAAGGCTCAGATCCCGTCACTCCTGTGCTCTCCTTTGATCAGTTTGATATCCCCTCCGACCTCCAGTCAGCCTTCACAGGCTTCAAGGAGCCGACGCCCATCCAAGCATGCTCGTGGCCTCCTGCCCTGCAGGGCAAAGATGTCGTAGGTATTGCGGAAACGGGCAGGTAAGATACTCAGCATCGTATATGAACCATCCCTCATCAGTGAATTCATAGTGGAAAAACTCTCGCCTTTGGCCTTCCCGCCCTCGCCCGCCTAATATCTTCCCCGACACCCTCATCCAAGAAAGACAAAGGCACGACAGTGTCCGTCCTCGTCATGGCGCCGACGCGCGAACTCGCCATCCAGACACACGACACCCTCGCAGAGCTCGGAGAGTCTTTCGGTATCGCGAGCGTTGCGGTCTTTGGAGGCGTGGACAAGGGCCCACAGATCAAAGCCCTCAAGAACGCGAACAAGGACGGCAAGACGACGCGGATCATCGTCGGTACGCCTGGTCGGATATTGGACTTGGTCAACGATGGCATCTGTGACCTCAGCCGGTACGTTTGTACCTTGACGGATTCGAAAACATATTACTGATACTCATCGCATCGTAGGGTGTCATATCTAGTCCTCGACGAGGCAGACCGCATGCTGGACAAAGGGTTCGAGAATGACATACGCTCCATCATCGGGCACGCCAAGCAAGGAGCCGAACGTCAAACCCTCATGTGTGAGTCGCATCGCCCTATTGTCGCCCTTCGAAACGCTCATAGATACCCAATGTGTTTAGTCAGTGCAACATGGCCTGACGCTGTCCGAAGATTGGCCTCAACGTTCCAACGAGACCCTGTCCGCGTCACGGTCGGCAGTGACGACCTCACAGCAAACAGCCGCGTAGAGCAGGTTGTCGAAGTCTTCGACGACTCACGGTCCAAGGAGTGAGCCACCCTAAATCCCGTCCACGTTGTCTCCCTGACTCACACTCCCGCAGCCAACGCCTCCTCAATCAACTCCGCAGCGCCTCGCACAAAAAGTCCGGCTCCCCCGAAGACGCGCGCATTCTCGTCTTCGCGCTCTATAAAAAGGAGGCCACGCGCGTCGAGGGCATGCTCCGGAGCAATGGCTACTCCGTCACTGGCCTGCACGGCGATATGTCGCAGGCGGCACGCATGGAAGCCCTCCAGAACTTCAAGAGTGGCCGGACGGGCCTGCTCGTCGCGACGGACGTCGCCGCGCGCGGACTCGACATCCCGAACGTCGGGGTGGTCATTAACTACACGTTCCCCCTCACTATCGAGGACTACATCCACCGAATTGGGCGGACGGGCCGTGGAGGCAAGTCGGGCAAGTCGATCACGTTCTTCACGGGTGATAACCACGAGCGCGCGTTGGCGGGCGAGCTGGCGAGGGTGCTCAGAGAGAGCGGGTTTGAGTGCGAGGGGCTGAGAAAGTTTCCGATGACGATCAAGAAGAAGACGCATAGCGTATACGGCGCGTTCTTCAAGGATGACATCCCCGTACCCACTGGTCCTACCAAGATCACCTTCGACTAGATCCCAGGATATCGGCTCTGAATGTTGCGTTAGACATCATATGTTAGGGTTGTGCATGTGCTTTGATACATCCAAAATATCTACTTCTCACTAAAAGCGCGTCCGGCTTTTGCACAAGGATGCGGATGAGATGTGGTTCCTCATAGCTATAGTCAAGATAGCGATACACAGCGGTAACAGACATGCATATACTAATAATAGGGGTGCCAACGGCCTCACTCCTCGTCATCATCGCTATCCTCAGCCTCGTCGAGCCACTGGAAATCCTCATCAGTCAAGATATCGCGGCACACAGACTTGGACACATACCTTGAGGAACGGCTCGCTGGCCTTGCGAACCTTCTTACTGGTGTCGCGGTCGACGTACTTCTTGCTCACATGCGTACCCCACTGCTTGATGACTTCCTCCTCAAGGATGTCGGTCTGGTAGAACGCCATGAGAATCTTGGGGATGACGGCTGCGAGGTCGGGATAGATAACGCCGACAAGTCGCTCGAGACCTCCCAGAAGGGACTTCTGGTGCTTTTCGGACGTGACCATCTGCAACGCACAATCAGCGGGTACTCACGCAGAGTCGATATGGATGACGCACCTTTGCAAACAGAGGTGCGAATCTCGGAATCTCCGCAACAACCTCGGCGGTAAAGAGCGTCTGCGCAAGGACCTGCACGGCCTTGTGCTTCTTTGCAATGCCCAAATCCTCCGCCTTCTTGTAAACCTCCACCGGACCGGACTCGCGGTTTTCCTCTGCCCAGCGACCAAGCTGGGAATACGGGCTGTCCGCATCCTCGTCGCTGTCATCGTCCCCACCAAGAGCGACAGCACCCATTGCAGCCTCCACAGCCTTGACACGAGCCTTCACAGCCTCCTCAGAGGTATCCACGGACCAGTCCTCCTTCGTGATGGCGCTGGCCTCAGGGCTGAGCACGGCGGCATCGGCCTTAATGCGCCTCGTGAGCTCGTCGTCGCTCTCACCACCACCGTCTGCAGCCGTATACCCGTTGCCGTTCTCGGAAGGGCTGGGACTACCGTCACCAGTGTTCTTCTTCTTGGACTTCTTGGGGTTCTTCGGCGGGTTCTTGATAATGTAGGTGGTAAGCTTGTGACGCATGTCGACGCCGGTGCGCTCGCCACAAGCCTTGCAGTCCCGGATGATCACGTCGCCCTTGGTGATGATCAGGTCGGTCTCGGGGTTCTTGCACGACTTGCAGAGAACGAATTTGTCAATGAAGCCATCGAGGAGCTCGCGCAGCTTAGTCGCGTCATGAGCGCCATTGACGATGTAACGGTCGTTCTTCTCGTCTCCGGTGACCTGGGCACCGAGCTCGCAACCGAAGAACTTGGTGGGGTACATGGGCGGACGGCTGAGAGCCCGGGCGACGTCGGCCATGTTAGGGATGACAGTCTTGATGCCGTTACCCTTTCCCTCAATTTTAGTCAACAGGAGGGGCATGCTGTGAATAAGAGTCAGTCAATTCATTTGTGGCGATGTGGGAAGAATACGCACCGGTAGCGGTAGAATTTGTCGTCGACATCACGACGAATGTTTACAACACCAGCAGCCATGTTGAATGAGTCTACCGCTGCAGACAAGGACGTCAGTGTCTGTCACCTACCATCGCGTCGCCGAAGGAATACTCACAGAACTACGCAAATTGGGACGTAACAGTCGTTTATGTCTGGATATAGCGAGTGGAGGTCGAAGCATGTATCCTCTGGCAGCACAGAGAATATCGAGTGGTGGGCGGGTGTTGGACAGAATTGTGGGCTACGACGACGAGCAACGGACACACAAATTTCTCGAGCAAGGTGGACGAGAGCAAGCCGGAGCTGCCCCGCTCCCAAGGTCATTCGCCCTCGGCGTCTGCCGGCTGCTTCGGCATCGGCCGCACTGCTTGCTGACTGAGCCTGACTGAGCTCTGCGTCACGCTTGCTGCACAAGTTGGCTCCGGTTGTTCCGAGGACCAAGGCGTTCTGTGAACTCTACTAGTAAGTTAGCTACTGTACTTTCTGACCAATACGGTTTTTCATATTTGCGAGCGAAGGGAAGCATAGCCAAGTGACTTAATGAGGGCCCTAGTACGAGTACGGCCTGTAGGAGGCCCTTCGGTATTTCAATATTTCAATGTGAACCCGCGAGCCTGCGTTGTACATGGGTCGCGCCTAGCGACTTGGAGAGCACCCGTTCGTCAAAATGGACGCGTAGACCCGTCATCGAACGTTGGTGGCAAGCCGTATACCGTACCTGCTTGAACGGCCAATGACGCCGTGCTCGGCTCGGAAATGTGACCGTCTACAATATGAAAATGACACCTAACATAGCGCTCCGGCTGGTATGCACCGCGGTCGGATTTTGTCGAGCCCCTGTCCACGAGATAATTCGAGCACATCACTGGAACAGATAGTTTATAAGCTGCATCACTACTCGTACATTGACGCTATTGCCGATGAGACGGTACTGTGCCTTCACAGATAGGTCTTCAGGCCAAAGGAAACCAAGTTGATCTTCGTGTACTCCGCCGGCCGTGGGCACGAAGCAGAAGATACGCAACAACTCCGTGGGAGAGAAGTAGCGCAGTCGCAGAGGGTCCAGAATCCTGACCGCATTCTCCTGACCCAGAGCCTGCGCTGCAAGGAAGCGGTCAAAGATGCTCGTCGTCTACGTAGTGACCGCATATCCACGTTGCGTGAGTGGCATTCGGGCACGAGTAGCGGCGCATCCACTCACATCAAGTTCTTCATTCATCTGCAAGACAGAGCCGGAGCGCTCAGCCATTTTTGAATAGCCTGCGCGAGTTTACATTCTCATGAGTCGCTCGCACGGCAAGTATGTTGCCTGAAGCTTACCTCGAGTAAAGCAACAGCTTCGCCGCGCGGACGGCAGGATGATGTCGAAGAGGCGACCCCATTTCTCCAAAACGCGATCAGGCACGGCGCATGGGTGTAGTTGCCCGTCTTCGAGCGGAGGGTCTAGATATTGTCGTATCTCTGCAACTGAATCAGCTGCTCGACCGTCCACGACCACTTCGCGCGGTCCACTTTGCATGCGAGTGTCGACCCAGTCGGGAGCCAGTCCAGGGATGTGCCGCCACACAGCTTGCGCGGCATCTTCACCTACATTCGCAAACTGGAGAGGTTTCGCCTTCACTAGAAGGTAGTACCGCAGGCGTGAGTTCGGTATGCCGAATTGCAGCGGGGTGAGGAGCAGTTCCAGCACATTGTATCCCAGGCCCGAGAGCGTGTCCAGAAGTCTCTGCCGCGTGCTAGATGTCTTGCTGACGGTCATTTTAAGATCAGCCACAAGCCGGACGCAGTTGGCGAAGCACCTCGAAGCCCGCGACGTTCTCGATCAACATGTAACGGGGATGCGTATTACTTGATACCATTCGCGGGAGGACATCTTCGATGATGTGGATGAACGACTTGGCGCGAGGATCTTCCGCCCCCTTCGCAAGCGGGTTCAAAACGGTATAAGGTTGGCACGAAGGAGACATGAGCCACAAGTCAGCTTGATGGGCAGCTAGCGCGTCCGCATCCAAGGTAGAGATATCGACCTATTTTCGAATGATACATCTATGAGAGGGCGCAAGGACAAATAGACTGACCCGCTGCATGATGTCCTTGCCATAGTTCGCGGCGTATACTCTACATGAGGATTGGTCCCAATCGAAGGCTCGGACGACTTGTCCATCCACACGACTTTCTGTCAGCGCGCGATGGAGCCCACCTAACACAGGCAAGAAGAAGTACTTTTAGTGCTCTCCCATGCTGCTCCGTCGCGATCTGCGGCACTGTTGGGTACGTACCAATACCAGAATAGAACTCTAGTGCACGAGTAGGCATTCAGGCGGTACAACGTGCGCCCTCGAGTACAGATAAGCAATGGTTTTCTTGGCGATGTAGCCGCGAAAACAAGTTATAGGGGTCACACAGGACGACGGAGTACTGCAGCAGGCGGTCGCGCCAACATCAGGGAATCCCCTTCAGAACGATAAGCGATTTCAGCGTTTATAGGTGATTTCAGTGTTTGTAGACTGTCGAAATATTACGCCACTTTACAAGCGCTCGATAAAGCGCTTGCAGCCGCCTCACCAGATTTCACTTCAGCGCCGCCTTGCGAGCACTCTATAAGCATCATCCAACGCGTATACATCCCAGCTGTCAGATTCTGCCGTACATATCTTTCCGCTGCAATTGCCACTAGGGTCACTGTCTGCCCTAAACCTGTTCAACACGTCACGCAGTTGGATCGCCGCACCTAAGTTCCAGTTGCCCACTTGCACTTCAGCTGTGACTCGAGGCTAGGTGTGTTCTCTGACCCTGTTCTTCCCCGTACGCAACAAACACAGGCAAGCACCGCCCGCGCGATGTGCGCCAGTGGGGAGCAGGTGCAACCAGCGGTCGCAGGCACAAGCGCAACGACCAAGACGACGCGGGCACGACCATAATGCGAACAAGACACACACGAGTACGAACGTGACGCACGCGGGCGCGTGCACGTATATGGCGTGTTTGAGTGCGAACAGAACGTACGCACACGAGCCGCAGTATTGGCAACGAGCGCGGACACAACGACGAGGCGAGCGCGCATAGTGCCATGTAGGGAGTGGGCATGGTGAATAGGGGAGCAGACAGGTACGAGCATGACAAAGTGTCTGGCGCGAATAAGTAGCTGATGAGAATTCGTCAAAGGGCCTGGCCGGCAGAGTGCAGACGGGCGGATGATGTCTCTTCAAGGGGTTTGGATCCACTGCCGACACTTGCAATGAGTCCGAGTGGGGTACAGGTAGCATCCCTTGCACACGGCACTGTATGCTGCGTGTGTCCGTGGTACTACCTGTTCCCCACGAGACGAAGTGCGCCATCCGCACGGGCTACTGACTGCTCTACCGCTGGAACCCGTCTAAGAGGGTGACGCCGCGTGCACACTCGGCAGCGACATGATCAAGAACGGGCTCCGCGCGTTCCTCGACAGGCAGAACCACCTTCGCAACTCGTCACCGCCTAGCTGCAGCTCTCCCCTGAGCTCGTCGGCTCCCTCGGCGAGCAGCTGCGTTCCGCACGCAAGGCATGCGCGCAGAAAGCATACGCCAAGCTTGTCACCGCGATCGACGCGTCACCGCTCGCCGTACCGTACACCAGTGACGGCGGCAGGGCGGAGATGGTCGCGAAGTGGCTCGCCGCGCGCGCGAAGATCCCCGGCATCGTCGCGAGCGTCACGGCGATGGACGTCGTCCCCCTCGGGGACCATGCACGCCCGCGGTGTACGCCGATACATACATAAATTGCATGTCATGTCGAGGATGTTCCGCCGTTATACACCGTTAGGCGGGGCTTTTGCAAGTGCTGTTGGTCTGTCCCGGGGCCTCATGTCCTTATGTACTGTGTTCTCTGTTGCTTCTTCAGCACAACATGTTATACTGTACTCGAATTGTATTGGTTTGCACGAGAACAAATGGGATTACCGCGGGCGCAGAATAAAGACTTGCGTGAGACGTGGAAGCTTGCCACGCTCTACAATCGACTTGCATACAGATTGTAGTGAGTACGTTATGAGCTTGTATCGAACTTGTATTGAGCTTGTGTAATTCGCTAGCGCTATAGTGCTTTTTACTGTTTATAACGATTTCGGTGTTTATATTCACTTACAAGCGGAGATAATGGCTATATCTACTCAGTGCGAATTCCGTGATGAAGGTCGCGCCGACGTCAATGAGACCGAATCTGAGCGATCTTGCCATAAAATCGGGAAAAACAAAATTCAGAGCCCGCGGCATCCCGCTAGTTGAACGCACACATGACCTCCCTCCGTTTCAACCTCTCCCCCCACTGCGACACCCTGTGGCCTCTGCCTATACACACAAACTCCTCCATTTCCATTGAAACTACACCTTAATACCGCGCGGCTTTGCCCAGAACCCCTGCTTGACCACTCCCACACTCACTCGACAACGAAAGACTGGCATTTAGACCTAGGACATCCTCAGCTTGACATCAGACATGTCTTCTCTACACGACGGATCTCATGTGCCCAACGCTGCGCCTCCTATGGCTGCTTTACCACCGCCGCAATTGACTCCAGCTATGTTGCCTGGTGCGCTGCCTACGATCGACGAGATGACGCCGATGCAGGTGGACAGGAGCTGGACGAACAATGCTAGCGGTTTCGGAGTGGGAGGGCAAGGTACTCCGGGACAGAGGTGCGCAGTATCGCCTGTCGTGTCGTTCAATCTTAACAACATTAGTAGTGCTGCTCCCGGTTTGCTCCCAGCTTTTGGCATGCACGAGGCAGCGCATCTGCCCACACCGCAAAGGCAAGTCTCTTTGTCCTGTCGTCAAATCACTGCCCCCAATTCTAACTGGTTGACAGCAGCCCCAGCAACGCTGCCTTTTCCATCCCTGTGATGCAATTCCCGTTAGGATCGCCCATGCCCCAGCGGTATGTCCAGGCTAGGCTGTGAGCCAATATAGCATTCACTGACTAGCTCACCAGGACGATGTCCCAGCCACAGCAGCAGTTTTCCGTCATCGCAGATCCTGCCACGTTACAAAATCGTATCCTGTCAGTCTTATCTCGTTTGGGAGCGTCGCGCATTCTCACGAGCCCAGATTACAAAGCAGCATGACAGACTCACAGGCGTTCATGACCCCGGAATCGAGGTATGTATGTTCCCGGAGGCTAGAGACATTACCTTGACGCAGCCTGTCCAGCCCCGTTTACCCTCGGAGACCAGCTCGATTGCAAGCCGAATCTTCCCATCCTGGGTACGTACATCGCTCAGGGTCCACCTGCACAAACTCACCTCGTGTACGTGTGGTTCAGTAGCAACACCGCATCTCTCCTCTCCTCTCCGTTCGCTCCTCGTCTGATCAGCCAGATGAGTGAATCTCAAGCACGTTCCAGTCAGCCCAGAACTGCCAAAGAATTGCCCATGAGCGCCCTCAGCGACCCCCTTACCCTCTCGCCGCCCCTATCGCGCGGTATCACGCCCTCCTCGAACCTCGGCTCGCCGTTCGGCGGTCATCGTCCCTCCCTCACTGATCGGTCACAGTCGAAGGCACACACACCGGCACGTTCCCACGCGCCCACGCCTGTGCCTCACGCACTCGCGCAGTTCAGCGAAGGCGCCTCCCCGGCGACGCGTTCGCACACGCCACCACCGCTCTCTGCTCCTATTCCACAGCGTCCTTTGGGGGGCGAGATCGAGCGCATCAAGGCGCAGATGGCCGCCGAGCAGGCGACGCGATTGACCGAGACGGAGGCGCGCCGGCCTGACTATCTCATCAGGACGCAGCGTCCCAGCTCAGGACAGATCATCGAGCCCCTTGAGCTGGAGGAGCCTGAAGGTCATTCTGCCCTCGGCGTCACAGTCACTCCGATGAGAGGTCGACGTATCCAGCTGTTCCAGGAGACATCCGAGGAGAGCTTCGAGCAGAGCCTCCTAGCGGGTGGGTATCCCGGATATGGCTCTACACCAACGGACCCCCAGACACCAGGGACCACGAAGCCGAACAACGGCCTCTCGCAACGTGCACTGCAGTGGCTCCAGCAGGCGACCCCTGGTCAGCCTGGCCCGTCAAACGCACCCGTGGAGGCTGAGGACTGGATCCCAAGCGAGAAAGAGATCCGCAAGCGCAAGCGACTCGCTGCCTTCGAAGACGACAATGACCCGAACGCACACGCCTCCAAACTCCACCCTGTAGAGGTCGAGGGCAAAGGTCGTGTGCTCATCAACGTAGCGCCCGAGGAGTTACCTCCAGACGTCCAATCACAGTTGCAGACCCCAACCAAGAAGCGTGCTACCCCACGCCGCAGGAGACGAGGACATCGACGTGGGCGCGGCGGTTCTCCTGGTTACGACGACGAGCTCGACGCTCCGAACTGGATCGACACGAATTTCCCCTGGTGCACACGGCTCCAGGAGCGCAAAGAGTTGCAGCGTATGGCCAAGGAAGAGCGGCTCAAGTGGGTCGAGAGTTACCTTGACCGTGACAGCGGGAGCGACAGTGAAGACGAGGGTGGTCACGATGACCAGACTCTGCAGCCGGCTTTGGACCCTCATGACGATGATGAGGTCTACCCAATCAGACGAGGCCGAGGCAAGATGGTCCCGCTGAAGGCGAACCCAGACGCACGAGTCATGGATGCTCGCGCGCGCAAGAACGTCCTCATACCGAGTGATCCTGCCGATGCGAGGGCTGCGCTCCTGTCTAAGCGGTCGGTGCGGGCGCTTGCTGAGCGCAGGCGGAAGAGGGAAGAGGATGAGGAGAGTTCCGACGAGGTCAACTGTCCTTGCGGCCGGGGTGAAAATGGAAGGCCCTGTGTCCAGTGTGACGACTGCAAGTGCTGGTTTCACCTGAAGTGCATGGGTATTAGGTCGGAAGCTGAGCTAGGTGGTGATGATGATCCGTGGTACTGCCCAGATTGCCTTGGGGTCATCCCGTCCGACCCATCCTCGGAGCCCACCTTCGTACCCACCGACAGTGAGTTGTCAAGAGATGGTATCCACGACCCACTCCTGTACCAGGGTTCGCCGAGGACGCCATATACTGCCCATCGCGATCCCAAGACGCCAACGCAGACACGCGAGCGCGGCGAGGTGTACGAGTCGCGGTCGTCGTGGAACTCCAGCGGCTCCGGCCCCGTAACACCCCTTTCGACCGAGCGTGATGTTGGGGTGTACAGGACCCCTACGTTCGACTCGCCGTTCAACCCGTCGAACACTCCATCGCGCGGCGGCAAATTCAGCGGGCCTTTCAACACGCCCTGGCTGGACGCGGAGGACATGCGCTGGCATATGACCCCGCGCCAACGATCTATCTTCAAGACGGGAGGGGTCCACGAGCTGGTTGGAGATGCGCATCGCGAAGTCACGCTTTCGGCCTACAATTCGGCTCGGAGCCTCGAACCTCTCGATGATACGCCCGTCCTGCGCAATATGTCCAGGGAAGATATGACCATGGTGAGCAGAAGACTCTGGGGCTCACCTATTTCTGGTTCCCCGCGAGGCTCCCTTCGCCGCACGTCACTGCAAGATGGTTCTGCTCTTCGAGATTCCAAAGGTGAGTACTATTCGTCTTCAATGGTGAGCTGATGGCTGATATCACCGCGCCTTAGCCTCTTGAGCATTGGGAGATGTCCGACGCGTCCTCGCCCGCCCTGTATGTATCATGAACCTAGTTTACCTGCAGTTGTAGTAGCGTGATGAAATGATGCCTCTGAAGTATGCTTAGTGTATAGCCTATTATGACATCAGATATATGGTACGTACGCGTAGTATGCCCTTGTTACTCCGGACCCGGACTTCCTGTACGCATCCTGCTGCAAAGAATTGTGCTTATTAGTTCAGCGAAAGCGAGTCTCTGTAAAGCAGACCTTCATGGAAAGGGTGAGTGACGATGAACGTACACATTGGCGAGCATCCTGTGAGCCGCGCACATGCGAGAGCGTCCTCAGTCGACTCACCACGCGTCTTAATGCACTGCTGGCACATCAGACCTCTCCATCCCCATTATTCAACGCGCCATCACGTCGACGACCATTCTAACCGCCCTCCCGCGCCGTCAATCCCAGCTATTCTCTTCCTGTCTGACGCGCGTCCACTGATCCTCGACTCCACCTAGGTCTAGAGAGAAATCCCCTCAGCACAAAAAGGTTTCAGAAAAAGACGCGGCTACGCATTGAGCGACTCGTGGCCGTTGTTCAGAGGGGGGACAACACGTCAACTCGGTGAGGGAAAAGGAAAAGAAGGGACGCGTATTAGCGCTGGCCGACTAGCGAGCTTCCTAACCTTGCCTGGCAGACGGCACGTCACGTTCTCGCGTCTTAGCACCCAAGCTGATACTATGCGCATCGGTCTGGGGCAATCGACATCTTGTAGAAGTCTGCCGTTACGATGATGTGTTTTTTGTGTTGGGCAGTCTGACGCGTGGAGGACGATCGACTCGAGGTCGCTGGTGCCTACGGTAAGACATGTCGCTTCGCGCATCGACACGCGTGCAAGCAGTTTTAAACCTCAATGTGCATCATCGATGTCTGTATCAACAATGAATATTAATGAATGGGCACTAGTCGTCATGTAGGCGTCGACGATCGCCGCGTCCTCTCGCGCGAAAACACGGTGTGACAAGGTGTGACAGAACGCGTTTTTGGTAACCGTGACTACGCATGCACGACGCGCCTGTGGCGTTGTAGGTTCGTGCAATCACTGCACGCTAGCATCTAGCTAACCTACGCCAGGCGACTAGGCCTGATTTTATGTCGAAAAAGGGTCATCTTACAAGTATGTCTGCCGCAGAAAGAATCCAGGCCAAGGACGCCGCTCACAGTCTTCGGATCGCAATTGTATGTGTTCGTTCAAACCGACTCCTGTGATTGCTCACGACCAAGTTTAACGTAGGCTGTCGCTGCCTTGCGGCATAAGCCTACGGACCAATCGTACGAAGGTATAGCTACCGTTTGTTGTATGAGTATTGCCCACGCTGACGACGTCTATGCCTCAGCATATATGCTCGATCTGCAAGACAAGTTCCCGCGGAATTGCGTGCTGCCACCAGACGTGTGGCGAGAACGCGCACTTGCACTCGAGAAAAAATTACAGGATGTGCAAACAAAATATGACAGCGAACATATTGGTGTGTCTTGTTTCAGGCGGCTCCGTCTCGCGATACATCATTCACACCGCAGACGGGCTGTGTCTACGTCTGCACCAGAACTCGAGGCACTGCGCCAGTCCAGCGAACAACCTCCTGTTGGTTCCGAAGCCCAACCCGAAACAAAGACGATCGGAAAGAAAAAGAAACAACCGAAGAAAGTGGCACGCTCGGCCGAACTTGCTGCCTCAGCTGAGATCCATCCGACCTTGCGGACCATCCTAGACCCATCGCAAATTGGTGCGTACTATTCCGAGGCTGACTCTACATTTTTGGCTCGCGACCGCATGCACGAAACTCAACTCCCATGTCCTCCACAACAAACCGCACTCCATCGCGCACCCTGTGGTTGACCGGCGCTGACTATATGCGCTCATCTCCACGCCGCAGATGCGACTCTACCCGCCCTACCGTCAACTGCGCACGTCCTGCGCGCCTTCGAGACCCTCGACCGGCTTCTCTTCATCTACCCTGGCACCAAGTCCTCGGGCGACATGTCTTCTACACAACCGCTTCTTGCGGCGGCCAAGCGCGCCATAGACGCACTGGGCGACAACCTCGCGCGGCTGCTCTCGCCGAGTCCGGATGCTGTGGCTCAGTCTTCGATGTCTGCTTCCGACGCTCTGGGTGCACTGGGTACCCTCGCGGAACGCTTGCTTATCGCCGTATTGCCACTGTTCAACAACGGAGGCCGCAAGCATGGGCAGAATTCGAGGAAGATCACTGTTACTGCTGAATGGAACGACGCTGCGCTAGACGAAATTCTCGGACGGATGACTACGATGCTCTTGCTACCCCTTGTCCGATCTTTTGCGCCCCTGTCTACAAATTTCCTCTACGCATTGCTACTCGCCCGGAACAGCAAGAACAACGCCAAGAACAAAGCCACACCGACGGGAACTCGTGCACGCGGAGGCTCACAGGAACCAACCGACATCCGTCCGGATGCATTCACGATGTTTGACAGGATCCTGTCGACCCTCGAGTCTCTATCCGCGTCCGCGCTCGCCGGGGCAGCCCGCGTCGTGCAAAGGATCAAACACGTTCTGACCATGGAGGCCGCTCGGGAGCTCGCCGAGCTATACTCGGACAGCCGCGCGCCGAGCTTGGGCACAAACACCCACGCCGCAGGACGCTCCGTCGCGGAGGCGCGCGCACGTACAGCGAAGGCGAAGTGCAAGTCGTCTGTGGATCGCGTGAGTAGGCTCGCGAGGAAGGACGCGCTCTGGTACCTGTGCAACACCCTGCAGCGCGTGCTGCCCCTGGGCGTACAACCGAGGACGGCAGCCGGGGACGAACAAGACGAGCTCCTCGAGGAGACCCTCTACGGGATGTTGTCACGCCTGTTACGAGCATCACCGCCCTCGCACCTCCCCACCCACGCACCCGCCGACGAAAGGGGTGCAAACGCAGATGGGCAGGATCCCGCTGCTGCCGCAGGCACTTTGACGGTGCCCGAGCGCGTCGATGAGCCTCCTCCCGGGCGCCCGCGTTCCGGCAGCGAGGGGGCGCTCGCACCGGGGATGGGCGAGGTGGAGCGCGGGATGGTGCTCGCGGTGGTCGAGCGCGTCTGGCTAGGAGTCGGAGGCTGAGGCGGCCGAGGTGCGCGCATTGGGGATGGTACGGGGACGCGCGGGCGACTGCGTACGAACGTACATTCTAGGGCGCGGATTGGCTGGGAGACACCTCGGCCGCTCCTCTCGGGGGCGTCGTCCAATGGGACGCGCGGGATGTGGCAATTGGCTGGCGCTGTGCCGTACATCGCTGTTGGCTGCGCTGCCAGCTCTCTCAGGGCGAACAGCGCACGGGCCAATGGTAGGAGGGGGATCTTTCTTACTGCTTCGAGCTAGCCCTTGATTGACTTGCAGTTGATGGCCGTACGCGTCTGCATCTGTCTCGTAAGCATCTGTAGCGTGATATTTGATGGTCGAGCTGTCGATTCGACGTCGGCCGGCCGTCCAAGCTCAGTGGACGGATCCGAATCGAACTTGAACTTCTGCGAGTGTCAGCGTGGCGTGCGGTGAGTATTACAGTACCAGGACGCTCGGGGTGCCAGCGCATTGCCAGTCTGTCCATCTTCGAAGAAACACCCGACGGTCGCGGCCGATGCGTGTTGGGGACGTCGGCCCGCCGCGAATGCCTCGATTGCTCGAGATCGCAGATGGGTGCGTGTGTCCCTGTCGTCGCGCTGACACGGCTGGCGTGTCACTGTTGGCGCCCCGCAGATGTTTACCGGGCGATCGACGAAAGAGGCATGGCCGCGCGCGGTGCCGAGTGGATGTTCGCGGACGTGTAATTGCCGAGTCTCATCGTGTGGTCCGTCTGCAGCCCGTCGCTCCTGGGTCTGCATGTGAGGGTAACCAGAAGTCATTTCGGACGCATGACCATGTTCGCACCGTGAGCAGCGCGAAGAGTGTGTCAACGACAGTATTAGGAGTGCGTTTGCGTACGTATACAGGCGGGTCCTGTGGCGATCGAGATGCGTAAGGAGGTCAGGGTTGCAGTGATGTGTTTTCGTCCGTAACCGAACCCGCGGCGCCAGGCAGGAAATAGGATAGACAGAACATGGTGGCGCCGCGTTCGTCGCTGCTCCATGGCGCTCAGCAGACGTCGACGGTGTTCGCGAGGGAATTCCAAGCTCCATGGGTGCAGCGGGTATGGCAAGGGGCGCGCTGGAGTGGACGGCGTACCTGGCTTGTGGGCGACGTCGGTGCCGCTGGAAGACACGCGTAGAGATCTACGTGTCCGCGGAGGGCATCTCCAGGGCATCCGGGAGGCAGTGTGCATGTGTACGCGCGACGCAAGCAGGGCGGAGGATACTGGATATGGGCTAGGCATGATGGTCACGACGCGACGACGGGCGTTACTGGCGTTACCTCACGCCGTCGGTGACGTGGGATTCACTGGGAAGCGACATGCGGCGAACGCCAGCTCGCTCGGAGATTTGAAACTGGATTTACGACACACAACCAGCGGGACTCGGAGAAAGGAATCAGACCCTGGTAATTGTAAGCCCCGGCAAAGGGAAATGTGATATTTGGATTTGATTTGGATACGTAGCCGACGGGCCGCCCTGTCCTCGTCCATATGCCCGGTGGTGCGCAGGGCGCGCACAGGGGCTGGTGGCCCCGCAGCGGCGGGCAGTGGTGAACAGTAGGCCCGCCAGGCAGCGAGCGGGGGCCTCAAGGGCGCGGGGGCAGGGAGGGCGGTGCGGATATAGCGGCTACGGCAGTGGCGGAAGATATTGCCTGCAGTGGGATCGGTCGGTCAGCAGAGGGCGAGGCAGGGGCCGGCGCGGGAGGATCTCGGCAACGTGCGCGAGGCGGGGCAGGCGCCGGCAGGGAAAGCTTAATTGGGATCAAATCACAGCGCGGCCACACGCGTTGCCTCCGGACGGAGGCATAAGTACTTGAGCCCCGCCGCCCTCCTCCGTCCCCGCCTGGCGACTCGCCGTCTCCCCCCGAACTCCCCCCGCCCCCCTCTGAGGATGAACTACGCCGCCGCGCTCGCGTCCCGCCTCGGTTCCCGCCCCCCGTCCCTCCACACCGCAGACAAGGACGACCGGGCTAGCATCGCGTCCTCTCAGGGTGCGCGATCCGTCGCTGTCACGCGTCGTTCGCGTCGTATTGACGTCTCTTCGCTTCCAGGGACGAGCCCCTCCTCCGCGTCCGAGAGCTCTTCACTGAGTAGTCTCGAGACCCCCGCAACCTCCTTCTCCGACCCGTCTGCTGGTCCGTCCGTCACACGCCGGAACGAGCACCTCGCGGTCCTTCTCCCTAAGCGCCAGTGGAAGGTTAGTGTTTGCCTGCCATATACGCACACCTCCCAGCATCTACCGTGGTGCCAACATGTGATTGACCCATCTGTCACATAGCCCGACCACCAGGCGCCCCACTGCAGCATCTTCCTCTGCCGCAAGCAGTTCTCCATCCTCGAGCGCAAACACGTGAGTTCATCACCATCTCATCATCCTCCGTCCTCACCGCTCATCTGTCCGGCACCACAGCATTGCAGAAAGTGCGGCGATATCATCTGCGGTACCTGTTCAACACGCTCGACACTGCTCCTCGACTCTTCAAACCTTGACTTCGTCTACCCTCCCCGCGACACCCCCATCTCCGTCTACGCTTCTCCCGCATCTCCGGTGTCGCAAGAACGCGTCTGCGATCACTGCTGGGATCAGATTCATGGCGTTGTAACGCCACGCTCACCCCTCTCCCAGAGCGCCTCGCCACAAGCCCTCTTTGATTCGCCCAGGGACGCCTACTCCCCGGCGTCCTCTGTGTCCTCATCGAGTGGCATTCACACTCCGCCCGACATCCTCTCTCCAACCGCACGTCCTGTTCTGCGCCGTTCTTTCACTGCCTCTACTGCAGGCGCTGGTACTAGCTCGCCTCGCCCCCCGTCATCGCCCCTCCGGTCGCCTGTGCAGTCATCGCAGACGTTGTCTGCTATGGCTAACGTACACGTTGCAGACCACGAGCTTGCATTGACGGACAAGCCTGTGGAGGATCTCGGCGAGCTGGAGGCGTATCCTCTCCGGCGCGCTAGCCAGATATGTAAGGCTACGGGCGGCGGGCGCTGGGCCCCGAAGCAGTGTATCAACCTGATCGGGGACCACCTGCCCGGCCAGAAGCCGCAGTACCTCATCGAGCTGGAGCGCGAGGAGGCAGAGCGGAAGCGGCGGAAGGCGAACCCAGTTTACGAGCACGGAGGTACGTGATTTGTTCGAGCAATGACAGCGTGAGCGGAAAGCTTACTCTTGTTTATTATCTCCGTTAGACTTCAAGCTCCGGGCTCCTCATGAGGTTGGACCGCGGTCGCCCGGTGGTCCCGTCAACTTCTCTACCTACTGAGGTGGTTTATCCCCTCTGCCCCGCCGTCGTCACCCTCCGTGCACTGTTATCGTATAGGCCCGCCTATCCCCGGCCGGCCTCTCCTACCCGTATGTTATATGTTAATATCCTCCTAACCTATCAGCTCGTCCACTCCTCGTCTCCTCCCTCGTGCCCGTGGCCGTCTCCGTCCGCCCCTCGCTCTGGAGTGACTTTATGCTTGCTTGCCTGTCGATACCTTCTACCTCGTTACTGCCGTCCACCGCTCGCCGGATCTGGACGCGTGCTGCCCGCTGCAGGGCCCCTTATCCTTCACCCTGTTTATAGGTCTTTATTGCGCGTCCGCTTCTTGTTGTACATATATATTGCGGCTTGCCCGCTGCTCGGACCGGCCCCGGACTCGGGCCTCCGCACATGCACTCTTGTCCCTCTCCTCCCGTCCCCCTATCCTCGTATACGGTAGTGTACGTGCGCTCCTGTAGTGTTAATAGTGTGCTCGCTCGTCGTGTATCGTCCGCCTCTGCGCTCCGTTCGCTCGCTCGTTCCGGTTCTCGTTCTGGTCCCCCGTTTCGTGTATAATTGTGGTGTGGTGTAGATAGTTTAGGTGCTTGCTGTTGTGGGCTGCCTCCGTAGTGGTCGAGGAATGATAGAGTTTCGGCCTGCTCACCTATGGGTGGGGGGCTTGTTCTGGTTTTTGGTTTGGTGTGATGTGTTTGTGTAGTTGGCTTTTGAGGTAAGGAGACGGGAGTGTGCATGTATGTGGCCCTACGCCGTTTGAGACAAGACACCAAGACACCATGATCAATTCGTAGACGCACAGAACCGTGCTAGTGTCTACTCTACGTCGACGATAAGGATGGTGCATGATGAACAAACACGCTCATCTCCGACACTAGCATTGTGACACGTCTCGGGATACTTATGTTTGGATTGAGGGTCCTTCTGTCAGTGCACTGCTTCAAGTCTGCTTCAGACTAGCACTGAGCTAGTGCTTGCTCTCAGACTATGTTTCACAGATCTCGGCCCCGAATGCAGGAAATCTGAACCTCCGTTTGATTTGGATCATCGATGTCAGTCTGTCAGTGTACGTGTACTACCATCTGATTGTGAGCAGGTTGCAACTTGCTAAGTACTTAGTACGTGAGTGAGACCAGGTGAGACCTGGCGGTGCATGTGCTTGTGTGTGTGTGTGGCTGGACGTCTCAGCTGAGGTTGTTGTGGGCGACCTACTAGAGGCGTTTCGGGGCCGTCACTGGCATGTATGAGACAAACGCGACGCGCTGCTGAAACGCCCTCCGCATGTAGATCTAATGGTTGTGACCGGTTTGGATCTGTGTAGTAGGTCAGGTTCAGGCCGCCCTGTCTGACAGTGAAGATCGTGTGGACCAAGAGTCCAAGACTATGGACATATCGGTCCGCGCCAGTGCGATCTTGCTTGCCCCGCCTCGGATCCGTAGATGCGCACAGCGGGCCGACGCAGAATAGGCCGACCGCAGCTGACACCCCGCCGAGCCCGACGACCTGCCGGAAGCGTCGAGCCCGGGGTGATTAATGATTCTCGAGGCGATCGCGAACCGAGACACATGCGGAACGAAAAGGTAGTGCGTCGCTCGGACGATGGGACCATCACAAGGGTAGCTTTCAGTCGTGTGGAAGCGGAACGCGGGGGTCGTGGGCAGGCCGGGCTCAGTGGCAGCATATGTGACTGCCATTGACAGGTGTGGGAGCGCGGTCGCTCGGACGTCGGTCCCGCTACTGTGTAGGATGTGCTTCGAAGTTCGTGCCCTGTAAGCGCGAGTGCTTTCTTATTGCTTGCTGGGTGGGAGCTGGTTACCTTCCAAAATTTGAGCCCCGGGTGCCCCCTGGGTGGGAGCGCGGTGGTTCGCGGGTGTCTTTGGGAATGTGCCAAGTCGGGTACCGCATGTAGATCGATCTGCGTAGGCCTTTTCTGAGAAACCTCTGAGAGATTCGTGAATTCAGTTTCGGAAATTTGAGAACTCACATAGAACTGATCTGTTGAATCCAGGGAGCAGCAATGTAACAGAAAAATCGACGAGATCTTGTCCAATCCTAGTCTCGGGAGCATGGGCCGGGTCGAACGAGGGGGACTGTACAAGAGGTAAATGGAGGTATCTCCTAGCCAATAGTAACCGTCCTCGCGGAGGGGCCAACCAAGTGTTACATTGAAAGCGACCACTCCTAGGGTCAGCTCAGACATACGTACGTCGACGCCTCGGTCGCAGAGCATTGGCCCGAAGTCGATCATACATGGACTTGTGGTGGCTATGGCGAGTTGTGAGACATCAAATGCCTGGCGATCACAGCGGTTGAGAGCGCATAGACGGTACAGTACATCTCACCCAGATGGACTACTCCGTGGTTGTCGTGTGGTCCGAGTCTGGTGGAAGAAAGAGGAAAGACGTGATTTGAATTGGAACTTACAGAGGACGCACCTTGAGTCGCTCGCATTGTGAGTCTGAAGAGGGCTTCCGCAGGCCTTAGGCGGGTGTGCTAGCGTGCACAACACAGACGAATGAAGAAAGGATGACAAGCCTTTCAGGGCACGCTCCCAATCTCAAATTTACCGTCTGAAGGCTAGACCAGACAGCGATCCTGTGCAGACTATACTGGGTTGCGTTACTGCGCAGCTAGACACTTTCTTAGTGTTGTGTCCGTGATGAGCGTCATGGTGTCTCGCCAACAGATGGTGTGGATGTCCATTATCGCGTGCTATGGGTTCAGTCTGTTCATGCATGGCATCCAGGACCAGCGCAGTCGTGCAAGGTGCCGTCCAATTTGACCATCGAAAGAAACCATATTCGATTTCCCAAATTGGTCCTAGGAGACAGACAGGAATGACACGAGGCAAAGAGGGAAATACCTCCATAAGTTTGCGACATGGTTCAGAGCGAAACCATCGCAGCCGTATCCACTCGCAGCAACGGCACTTCGATGCTAGACTCTGCAGCTTATATCGGAACCTATCCTCCAAGGGAGCTGGGCTCAACCTCAAACCAGGGTGAGAACTTCATTGAAACTTTTCGAACGACCGACTTACCCATAGCATCCGAACCGGACGTACCTCTCAAGAGCCTCTGCCGTTGGTCCGGCGGGACGGAAGACACCATTTGCGCGTCGGGCTAGCGGGCGAGTCGGCAGGTCCGATCACAGCCATGCATGGGATCACTACTGCGGTGTAGACTGAGCGTTCCCGTTGTCGCAGCAGAGGCCTGCGTATGCAGCTGCTGCGTCGCTGCGCGGTAGTGACCCGAGTAGGATTGGGGACACTCGCGGCGTTCATAGCCGCGCCTGACCGCGCAGACAGGCCCACTGGAGGACGGCGAAGAGGAGCGGTGCAAAGTGCGCGGGGGCGGAAGAGGCAAGCGCTACGGGTACGTAGGAGCACAAACGCGTCACGGTGCCGCGCCGCGGCGTGGCTGTAGAGGGACGTCCTGCCCGCCGCCCCTCTTCCTCTCCCAACATCTCCCTCTCTGCTCGCCGTCGTCCCCGTCGAGCTCACTGTGTCTGCTGTGTCACGGCCGCCGTCTGATTCGCTGATCGTGCTGTGATCCGCATCGCCTCGAGCGCACTGCAGCACCCGACATTACGCCCGCACGCGACGCCTGCACCTGAGGCTGCCTGCCACACCGCTCTACTTAACCCCTTGCCGAACGCCACGCCCCGCACGCCAGCCTCGCTGCAACCATGATGGGACTCTTCAACCAGGCCACGCAGAAGGCGCACAGACCACGCGGGTCCTCCGACGACAAGGGTAGTCCTGAAGCTGATGCTACCGATTCCGATGATGTCTCTGTACTGTCCGTCTCTTCCTCCCACCTTGCCCGCCATGTTCTACTGCTCCCAACATCGCGATGCTGATGATGACGTCTACTCTAGGGATGAGGAGGAGGGCTCTATCATTAAGAGCATGATCTCACAGCTGAGGTGCGTTCTATCTTGGGCAACGCGCTGTGTGCCGTGAAGGTGGCGGTGTCGTCGCGCATACACTATTTCAGGCAGAGGATATCTTGCCGAGGAACTCTCATCTTTCTGTGAACTCTGCGTGGGGGGCTGGCAGAGTGCTCGCCCACGCACTTGAGGCATCGACCACGAGCCTCGCGCTCGACCGTCACTGGACGACTGTGCTTCATCAGTGCATCGTCATGTCTTGAACCCATGTTGAATGGCATACGTGCACATTTCGTGACCAGAGAACACCCAGTATGCGCGAATACCGGCATCGCCACCGCGCCAAGGCACAGCACTGTCCCAAACGATGCTGACTGCCTGGTACAGAGTAGGAATGGATTTGTCGAAAGTCACCTTCCCAACATTCGTCCTCGAACCGCGGAGCATGCTTGAGCGTATCACAGACTTTATGTCGCATCCAGATCTTGTCTTCGGGTGCGCTTTGCCTTCCATTCGTGCGCATAAGTACTGATCCTGGGCTCTTGTACATGTATTCCTGTGGCATGCGACTGCGATTTCTACTCTCCCCAAAACCCTGCTTCTGTGTACACGCCTGTGAACCCGGTGGTCCCACCCTCTGCTAAACCTCCACAGCGCTGAGCAAGAAGACAACCCCGAGGAGCGTTTCATCCGCGTCCTCCAATACTACCTCGCCGGCTGGCACATCAAGCCGAAGGGCGTAAAGAAACCGTGCGTAACACCGTCATCTCCGTCGCGCGCGGCCGCAATGATCGTCGCCTCCCCATAGGTACAACCCCGTGCTGGGCGAGTTCTTCCGTTGTCGGTACGACTACCCCGACGGCTCGCAGGGGTTCTACATCGCCGAACAAGGTACGCCGCGTCGGACTCCCACCCACCCTCTTCCCGTTCATCTCCGCGTGCGCCGTCTATTTCTGCAAGCTGACTGCGAGCCTCTCTTCTCTTTCGTGCTTCCCGCACTTCGCGGCGTGCGGTGCGCCTGCAGTCTCGCACCACCCGCCCGTGTCCGCGTTCTACTATGTCACGCCCGCGAACAAGGTCGCCATCGTCGGCGAGCTGCGGCCCAAGAGCAAGTTCCTCGGGAACAGCGTCTCGACGCAGATGGACGGCGAGAACCGCGTCTACCTCATGGGCCGGCCGGACGACGGGCGTAAGTCCCCTCTACCCCTCCCATACCGAACCACACCACGCTCACCCTGCCGGGCACGCAGCATACGTGATCTCGATGCCGAACATGTACGCGCGCGGGATCCTGTGGGGCAAGATGGTGCTCGAGCTCGGCGACACGTGCACGGCGCGCAACGACCGCAACGGGTACACGGCCGAGATCCAGTTCAAGACGAAGGGCTACTTCTCCGGCACGTACAACGCCATCCAGGGCCGGATACGCGCGGGCGGCCAGGAGACGGGCGAGGTCACGGGCAAGTGGAGCGAGGTCATGGAGTACCAGAGCAAGAAGGTGCGTGGGGGGCTGCTGGGAGGGACGAGCGCTAACGAGCGGCAGATCGCTCAGAAACGCGTCCTGTTTGATGTCCAGAAGGATGGCGACAAGGTCGCGCCGAAGTGGGTCGCGCCCGAGGACGAGCAGGAGCCCAATGAATCTCGGCGGTGCGTCGCGCACACGCGAACCTGCTCCCACTGATATTTATGCGTGTCTGCCGGTAGCCTATGGCGAGACCTGACCGAGGCGATCCTCGCCAAGGACATGAACGCTGCGACCGAGGCCAAGACGGCGGTAGAGGAGTCCCAGCGGGAGCTACGCCGGAGACGGGAAGAGAGCGGCCAGCAGTTCGTCCCGCGGTTCTTTACGCAAGATAAAGATGGGCGGTGGGTGCCCAAGCTCAAGTACGTTCCTTGTCGTTCTGCCACCTGCATCAAACTCAGATCTCTTCCGTCAGCCTGCCTGAGGACCCGCAAGAAGCTGTAGAAGCGGTCAAGGCGTGGATCTGGGCCGCGCCTCCTGGCTCACAGTAAACACATAGACATCTCTTGTAGGGGCAGCAGGAGAAACGTAGGCACCGCACGACTCCCGATATCCTCCCTCCTCTCATCTCCATTCCAAGGTTCCCGTACCGTCCCACGTCTGAACGTTCTACGCATGCACGAATAGCAAACTACTGTAATGCCAGTTTATTCAATGAAAGTAACTTAACAGCAGATGTGTACAACAGGCGGAGCGTGGTCGGTGTGGTGGTATCGTAGTGACTGCAAGTGTGTGGTGCGGACGGGGGCCGACTGCGGTGAGCTGAGGGGACAACGGGAGTGGTATTTATGGGCGGCTGCCCGGGGGTAGGTAGCGACAAGTGTATGTGGGTAACATAATGCATATATGATGAGACGAGAACAGACGAGATGCGCAAGACGTGGCCAGATGTAGCAAGGAGACAGAGGATATCAGAGTGAGAAGATCAGAGCCCGAGACGAAAGTAAGCAAATAGATAAACGACAGCAATCCGATCCAACGTAGTACCCTCCAACTACATCAAAAATATCCAAAACTTCATCTTCTCACCGCTCTATGACCACCAGCCATCGTCGCCCAGGGTCGGTGCGGCCGACACGTTGCTCGGTGTTGGCGACGGAATCTGGGGACGGTAGTATCCACGAGGCTTCTTCGCCTGTGGTGTGGCAGGTGCCATCGTTGTACCGCGCCGAGGAGCATGGATGGAGTCCCACACCGACTGTTGCGGAGTAACAGGGCGCAGAGGCTCGCTCTTGATATACTGTGCGGTAGGCGTAACTGACCGGTCCTTCTCGGTGTAGGCCGTGCTAGCACGGGAGTCTGGACGTGCGGCAGGACGACCGTTGCCATTCCCGTTCTGGTAGCGTGCCTTGGGCTGGACGACCTTAGCAGCTGCGGCGGCCTTGTTAGCCTGATCAGTCTCAGCCTGGAGACGCGCAACCTGTGCTTCGAGGGCAGCGATCTGGTCGCGCAGCTTGTTCTGGCGATCCTATACAGCCGTCAGCACAGGGAAGCGACATCGCGTACACATCGACGACTCACCTTGTCTAGCCGCTCCTCAGCGTCGCGCTCCTCCAATTGCAACTTTGCGAGCGAGTAATCCGCGTCAAGCTGTGCACGAGCCTCCTCAGCGCTGTCTAGCTTTTGCTGCGTCGTTTCCAGCTCGTTCGTGGCGTCCTTCGCGCGCCTCTCCCACTCGACAGCACGCTGCTGTGCTTGTACAAGACTTTGCTTGGATGCCTGAGCGACCTTCTCGCTTGCAGACAGCTTGATCTCATACTCTTTGACGCGGCGCTGAAGAGCTGCGTGCTCGCTCTCGATGGTCTTGCTGCGATCACGAATACGACGCAACTCCTTGAGCTCCTCGGTATCTGCCTGGCCGACAAGGTTGGTAAGTGCTTGGATCTGCTCCGCCGCTGTACGGAGGTCCTCCCAGTTGTTCTGCTGCGCAATCAGATCCGAATATTGCCTGTGTTGCGTCGCCAACTCATCGGCTACGATATCCTTCTCGCGCGTGACAAAGGTAACGCGCAAGTCAAGCGAGTCAACCTGCAGGCATGTGTCACCCAAGAAGTGTACTATCAACATGAATCAAACATACCTGTGCCTTGAGCTGCTGTTTCTCGTTGGTGAGTTCCTTATTAGACGCCTCGAACTGAGCGATGCGCCGGGAGTCTGTCTGCGCCTGCACGTCGGCAGTCTTCAGGCGTTCAAGAGCACGAGCCAGGGCCTCCTCAAGCTCGAGATTCTTGGCCTCCGCGGCCGTAAGCTCGAACGTCCTGGCGGTAACACTCCCCTGCAAGTCATCCACTTTCGCGGACAGTTGGTCGCGTTCGGCATCAGCAGCCTTCAGACGCTCGGCCAGCATGTCCTTCTCCACGCGGACCTGCCCGTGCTGGCCACGAGCTTTGGCGAGCTGCACTTGCAGTTCAGCACTGGTCGTCATGAGTCGGCGGATCTCCTCTGCGTCTTTCTGTGACGTGTCGCGGGAAGTGAAGTCGGCGTGAGCATTGTGCAAGATCCTCGTGGCCTCGAGCATGGCCTCCGGCAAAGTGTTGATGTGCTTGACGATATCCTGGCAGAAGTCCGAGAATTCTTGCGTCTGAGAAATGAGGCGCTGCTGCTCGCGGGCGACGTCGCGCACAGAAGACTCTATATGCGATAGATTCTTGCCGTACGGCATGTCCTGCTCAGCTTTGCCTGTCCGAGTCTTGAATTCCGCTTGAGCGCTGCCAAGCGCCTCCGTCGCGGCGTTCAGTTGCTGGGGAAGGTCGGAGAGAATACCCAGTATATCTTGACGCACAGACGACAGATCCACCTGAGGCATGGGCCCAACTTGAGGGGTCGTGCGTCCAAGCGTATTGACCACTGCTTGGAGCTCGCGGATGGGTGTCAGGACCTCGGCGATGCTTTGGGTGACTTTGTCTGTCAGCGCGTCGATATTGAATGCACGGTCCCGAACAGCAAGCCGAGAATCGAGACGTTCCACCACCAGATCGGAGACCTGCTCCTTGATCTCGTGCGCATCGAGGGGTGCGACGATCTTCCGGACTTCGGTGGTAAGGCGTCCGACAATAGATTCCTCGTCGATCGCTGGTGTGGGGGAAGCAAGGGATGGCAGGAGCGGTCGGAGCTTGTCTACGATGAGGCCAGCCGTTTCACGCTTGTCCGAGGCGAGGTCGATGAGTTGTGAAATGTGAGGTTTGACAGCCTGCGTGAGCTGCCCGGTGAGGCTTTCATAGTCGATCGGTTCAGGGCGGAGCGAGGCGATCTGCGGCATCAACACGCGCATGAGCTCGTGTGCGATCGTCTGGCTGTCCGACGGTGGTCGATTGGCCTCCATGGCCTGCAGCTGCATGCTAAGCTGCGAGGTAGCCCCGGCGACAGCGTTTACGGTCCTGTTGCTCAACTCTTCCACAAACTGCATAAATACGGGATCTCGGCCCCGGGCAGCAAGCAGTTGCGCGAGATCTTGCTGCATGAGGGCACGCGACTCGGCATGTTTCTGGTCAATAATACCCTTCATCATCTCGAAATCGAGCTCGCCCCGAGCATCCATCTGGCTGTCCTCAAGACCCCTTGCCGCAGACGCCTGCAGTTGAGCGCGGAACAACGACACCACCTCAGAGATCATGGCCTCTGTCGACGGACTCAACGTCTGGCCACCAGCCTCCTTCACTTCCGAAAGGGTACGCCTGACGATGTCGAACTTCTCTTCCAGCAGGTACTCGAGGCGCTGTTCGTACTGCTGCATTTCGATGCGTCGTGAGAGGTTGACAGGAGGCAGGGAGACGTCGGATCCGGAGTCAAACTCGTCATCGCTGCCATGGTGATGTCTCGTTGGCGCAGACGAACGACGCACAATTCTCTCGGGCGTGAAGATATCGTGTGGCGGAGTTGGCTCGCGCAAGCCAGGGTCCGTGAACAGTCGGTTGCGAGATATTCTGTGGGAAATTGGAGGTACGTTGAGGTCGTCCAGCGAGGGTCGGGGACTATGCTCGAAGATATCTCTCGAGCTGAGTCTGGAACGGACTGTGCGACGGGTTCGGTCATCCTGCTCGGTGTTGACTAGTGCTTTGAACAAACCTGCCGGTACCGTGTTCGTCGAAACGGGGTGCTTGAAGTCGAGAGGAATTGGAGCGCGCTTCGGCTTCATCGTCGGCGGGAACGGCAGGTCGTGCGCAGCCTCTGGCTCGCTGCTCGGACCAGCCTGAGGAGGCATATTCTCATCGCCCTCGGTAAAGGCCCTCGGCTGGTGGGCCAAACCAAGGGTGCCGGAGTAGCCAGACACGGTGAAGGGCTTCGCGGCAACATTGAGGCCACCATCCCTGAGACCCAAGGAACTAGCAGGAGGGCTAGTAGGCGCAGAGACTGCTTTGGTGATGTCCGGAGGGAACTTGAAAGACGACATATTATGGACGCCATCCTCGTCCTCTCCGTCGAGCGTAACGCTCGACCCGCGGCGCTGCCTCTTTTCTCTGCCCTGCGCATCCCGATTAGTCGCGACCTTGCTCGGAGTCGCAGTAACTACATCGGGCGGTGTCGGCAGAGGCCGTGGTGCTTGCGGAGACGAGAACGTGAGTTGCGGTACACCAGGGGGCGGGCGGAACGTGAAGCTCGGTCTGAACTCCGGGGCGGCAGCACTGAGAGGCTTGCCGAACGACGGCGCGCGAGCGTGGCCCATAGTGGCCATATTCGACGTCACGATTGCCGGTGGCTGGAACGAAGTTGAAGACCAAGAAGAGCCAGACTGTCGGTTGGTACCGAAGACGAAGGGCTTCGCCAAGGGGTTCAGTGATTCCGTGCGGAGTACAGAAGCAGAAGAAGGTGCAGGCAGTGCAGGAGGAGGGTGCAAGCCTCCAGGCTGCGGGTACTGCTCGGATGCTTCTCTCGAATGCGCCAAAGCAGGGTCGTGATACGAGTACGGTGCCGATCCAGGGCGTGCTTCCGGGAGAGGAGGCAAGGGTCGCCCATGGCCACTAGACGAAGGCCTTGGGAAATGGCTCCGAGCGCCAAAGCTGAACGGACCGCGCGCATTCTCGTCTTCGCTGGGGTTCGACACAATGTCATCTTGGTCAACAAATGTAGGCGCGATATCGGGTGGTCTCGGGAAGTTGGGTAATCTCCTCGGTGTATGCGTCTCAAGCTCATGCTGTGAGTGCCGTCTCTGACGACGAAGTGTGCGGCGTTGCACGCGGTCTTGACGCGCCCGCTCTTCGTCGGATGGGTTCGACCATTCCCCAATACTCTGCAAGTGGGACATTTCGGTTGGCAAAGCGATGAAATGCGATGAGAAGATAACTAACCTCGTCTTCCGAGGTCTCTGCACCAGTGCGCAAGTCCTCCGATCCAGTCCACTCACCGACCGCCTCCTGATCGTGATCCATATACTCATCCACATCCTCTACCATAGGACTGCCATCCGGGCTGCGAGCGGGTACCGGGTCGTGCTTGGCCTCCATGAAGGTAGACGACCCATCATCGATGATCCCGCCCACCGAGCGCAATGACAATGCCGCCGAAAGCTTCGATACATGCCGCGAATGGATTCGACTCTGGGCCACAGTGCTGACATCGTCTTGATCTTCCTCATCATTGCCGGCGTCTTCTACCTCCGTCTCGACACCGTCTTCGCGAATCTCTACGGGCGGCGGACGTTCCTCTTCCGGTTCCTCTTCTTCCGGGATGTTCACCCCAAAACCACGCATAAAGTCCGGTCGAGTTTCTGGCCTGGAGAGCACCGGAGGAGGCGCGAGCGTCGCCAAGTTCGCTGGAACGCGTCCCTGTGGAGCCTGTATGTCCAACTTCGCAGGACCTGGAGACACGCGTTGGATCTGATCGGAACCCAAGATCGCACCTGGCCCAAACGGGTTGAACGCTGCTGCAGGATTGTATACGGGCGAATGTGTTTGGAATGACGGTGGCTGTGCAAGGGACATACTATGCCCATGCCTGCCTCCCTGGAAGCGCGGCGGCAACTGGCCCGGAGACGTCGATGAAAAAGCTGCTGGGGGCTGCGGCGAGGTTGCCAACGACGCTGACGCAGACGCATTCTGCGATTGCTGCAGCTTGTTTAATTTGAACATGAGCAGCGCAGGATCGGCGGGCGAGGAGATCTGCAGATGCATGTTAATCGCAAAGACCAACGTGTAGAACACGAGTTACGCACTGACGCAGCCCGAGCATGCGGGGCATGAATCTGAGGCACAGAGCCACCTGCGCCTCGCTCAACGCCGAGTCTCTCCAGCTTCTCCTCGATGATCTTCTGCTTAATCTCTGTCCAACCAGCCTGCAGGCGCGTAGTGTAGCGGACAGTTAGCGTACCCCCTTGTAGGACGACGAGATGGTACTAACCTTCCCAGGAAGGAAGACATCAACTGTGCTTGGTAGATGGTATCTCCAGTTGTCTGGCGGGTACGGCTCCGCCGTCTGTAGATCAGGGTATGCCAGCTCGCCTACCTGAGGGACCTCTGACGGTAGGAGAGGTTTCCTGGCCCATGTTTGACGCTTCGGTGGCGCATGGCCCTCGCCCGGCACCGTCTCCTTCGGGAGGTTCACGATATGCTTCTTCACCTTCGTTGTCGTCGTCGGCGCAGGCGACGCTGCGATGGGGCCGCCCGGGTTCGGGCTGACCTTGCGCAACGGCCCTCCGAGCACGGCTTTTGGAGGCCCTCCTGCACTGACACTCGGCGCGCGCTTGCTGCGAGGAACGAAGGGCTGTGGGAACGGTGGCACTCCCAGCAATGGTGTTGGGAAGCCCGCTGGACCCAACGGCGTCATTGGCATAGGTGGAGGGAACATGCCTGCAGCTACGAAGTGTGCAGCACTCGATTGACTTCGGTGCATTGACGGCCGGCCGGGTGCAGGCGGTGGTTGAGGGAAGAAGTTGGCCTGCATCGGGGTTTGCAGCGCGTTCGCCGTGTTCAGATAGGGCGGCGGGTGCATTCCGTGTTGAAGAGAAGTCGGGAGAGCAGGGGAGAAGAGAGGCCCATGGTTGTCGAAGTTGATAGGCTGCTGTGCGGTGAGGCTGGGCGGGATGTGCAACCTGGGGAGGTACTGCTGGCGGGGTTGGCCAGTCATGATGGGAGACCCGGACGCGACACCGGTTCTACGCTCTACGAGCTGCAGCGCGAGGGCTCACGGGAGCCTACGACGCAACGCCGGGTATATGGAGGGAGGGAGGGACAGCTCGTCGGGGCCACTGCGACGACGAAGGAGAACAAGTCGTCCGTGAAACTCCAATATTTCGTGGCCGTTCCCAAGCCACGTGGTCCAGGCATGGTATCACCCGCTCTCGAGCCTATTCGGGAAACCCCCGACACGCTTGTCGAGTCTCGACCTCCTCCAGTGGCACCACTGCTCGCGTTTCGCACCGTTTCAGGCGTATCCAGCTCGCATTTAGGCTTGGAATTCGTTCAGATTCCCCTGAACGATCTGCATATCTACGAATCCATGGCCATGAGACCAGTTGTTTCTTACGACGACATCACGACACCGGGACCCCCTTCGACTGCTCAGGCGAACGTTCGGCCGCCCGCAGCTCAGGGACCACCGCCGAAGAAACGCAAGGTCAATGGCGGTCCAAGAAACTCAAACCCGCGAGGCGGCCAATACCCGCAGCATTGGGATGAACCCGAAACGAGCGCGCCACAGATGACTTACGATGATGGCGAAGGTGAGGCCCCAGCCGATACGCACATGCAAGATGCGCTGGAAGAAGGGGAAGAGGAAGAAGAAGAAGAGAGCAGAGAGCTCACGCATGAAGATATTTGGGACGATTCTGCTTTGGTGGATGCGTGGGACTCTGCGATGGCAGAGTATGAGGTATGCTAGGCTTCACGTACGCGTGCGGTGTATGTATTGACTCTTTGCGAGGCATACCACGGTAAAGGCGGTAAGTGGAAGGAGGGGCCCGTAAAGAAGTCTCCGTTGTGAGTGCTGATTCTCATATGCTGTATTATCCCTGTTTCACGATTTCTTTACAGATGGTACAACGTACCACCCGCAACGTCGGGTAAAACGTCAAAGGGCAAGGCCAAAGCAGAGGGTGGGATCTCCACTGCTGCTCCCGTCTTCGGAAATGGCGACGCGCACGCAGACAAGGCCGTGAACGAAGACTCCATGCCGCACAACTTCGACACATTCGTCCCTACGCACGACCCCTCCCTCGCCGTAGGAAATGGTGCGCCTGGATCAGATTACGCAACGTATGCGCTGCCCGAATCCGGGGCCATGGTCAGTCAGGACGAAGCATTCTCGCGCGCAGTCAACGCAATGTATTGGAGCGGGTACTGGACCGCCGTGTACCATGTGAGTACTTCTGTCCTCTTCGGGTGTGAAAATCGTTGCTTACCCGAGGGCAGTACCATCGTGCAGGTGAGCAGAGGACCGATGTAGAGGAAGAGGTTGCCGAAGGTGAGGACACGGGTGAAGGCGACCAAGAAGAGGGTTTGCTTTCAACGCAACGGTAAAAGTGATCTCGATTGTGATGATGAGCCGCCTCAATATTGGAGTCTGTACGCATCTATGCAATTGTTTCGTTTCGGTGTTCTGCGTCGCTATCCGATTTGGAGCCCACCGTTGTTTTGTGGTGAATCGTGAACAGAGCGCACAAGTTGCGGAAGCACTCTCACTCGGAGATGAAACGTTGGTTTGTGCCCATTCATTAGACTCGTTCGTCATAACGTGTGTTCTTTATTCACTCGTGCGTCTCCTAGACATACAGAAGAGCAGCTGTTGGGGCCCTGTGCTGCGGCACTGATGTAAGGCTACGTAGTCAAGGGCTCACTTCAAAGACAAACGCTGATGTTATAGGTACATCGTCACCGTCTACTCAAGTATGCCGTCATGGGCTTCGAACGAGCCTGATCTCCCGCCAAAAGGGACCGTCAGATGGACGTAGGATGACCGCACGAACTCCGTCTCCCCGCTTTGGTCCCGGTCATACGTTGTCAGGTACGAACGATACCGTCAAATAGCAAAGCACATCGTATATGAAGTAAAGCCGGGGCTGCCGGATCCCGCGACGAAGGTGTGATTCTTGACTTGTGCACATGCGTTTGTTGTTGCTGTTGCCAAGAATCGTTACTTGAAATGGATGCTCGCAGGTTCTGGCGCTGTCGTCCTTCATACTCATGATTGTGTACTGGCCGTTGACCCTGTCTTCCACGCCAGTTTCAAACCCCGCAAATGCGGGAATCCGCTCCACATTCTTCCTGGCCATCTCGCGTTACATACCGCAGCCGCTGATCATGATTCAGAGAGACATGCGACCGCCAGACCGCATTCCGTTCGCTTCGATTCAAGTCTCGCCTCCGATGGGCTGGCGATGCAACTGATTCATCATGGACAGAACCCAGCAGCCACAAGTTCACGGAATATCATTCTGAGGGTCACAGCGGATAATGATGCAAAGTACTACGGCATGTGGGAACCCGTGTTATTTTATACTTCACAGTGCACGGCAATAGAAACGAGATCGATGCAATAGACCGCTGCGCAGATGCCCGAGAGATACGAGTACAGTCATTAATGCCATTTGACTCACTTCCCCATGGGTATATCAACGCAGGACGCGGTCAACGCGCGAGAAACAGACACCGCACCTAACTACGCGAATTCAATGGTTCTGAGTGCTGCATGGGTCGACGGTGCTCTACGCGTAGACGCGTCTCCATATGCAATCCATATGCATCCTCTTCCCCACGGACCGATCGATCGTCTGAACTTCGATCATCTACAAATACCAAATGAGGCAGGTCGCCTGCCCGAATAGGCAGACGACCTCACTGAACCGCTTACAGATCCGGCTCAGAGTTGGTACCTCGTACCTTCGCCAGTAACCAAGCTCAGATATCTGAGTAATATATACTCTTTCAATTGTGGTGCAGGAACGAAGTACGCGCGGGTGCAGGTCACCCGAAAGCGTCACATTTGAAGGCAGAGAGCAGTCCACAAATGCGCGACATCTGATTGGTCGAGCGAAAGTTCGGGTAGCACGCTGCGCTCAGTGCGCTGCAAGTGCGCTGCCTCGTATACTTATACAGACAGGTGTACTTCGCGGCCGTGGGCACTTCTCAGCGTCTTACCCAGGTGAACATGCATGCGCACTGCCTGCGTCTCCGATGTTTGCTCACCGACATTCCAGACGTAGACCCGTCTCTGATGTAGTCTCTCCTATGCAGACCCTAATAGAAGACCTCTTTGACAGAGGGGAGGGCTGTCTTCTAAGGCCCCGGTGCAATCAGGCATTGTGCACTCGATTGCACGCTCGCCGAGGGCATGCGCTTGTAGAGGGAAGGTGACTGACTGTTTGACGTTATGCGTAGCGAAACACTGAAGTGTGTAATAGCCCCCCAGTCGAGTGACTGGAATAGTACAGCATGCCGATGATGGATCCATGGACCACACCAATGCATGGGTCCGACGTGAAAGGTAGAACGAGATCGCACGACAGCCGACCGTCGACGCGAGCCAAATATTCATAGGGACGAGAGTCAATACAGGGACGGGCAAGGAGAGCATCCCTGGACGATAGGAGCGTACACAGTGGATGATAAGTCACAGGAAACCCGACCAAGAGCTTCGCGTATTCTGGGCCTCACGAAAGCCGACGGCCGCAGCGACACCGGGTAAGGACGATCGCGGACCTGCGGAGGGCTGCGAGCCAATCTGCGCGCGAGTTGGATCGGTCTTCGTGCCCGAGAGGATTGTCCTCGCCTCCAGGGCCTGTCAGACGGCACGGCGAGTGGGAATACGCGTGCGGACTTATGGGCGAGGCCGGGTGCGGCGCGTTCACATTACTCATGGACGCCAGCTGGATGGAGGAAGACTGTCGGCGAGTGGCCCCGGCTGGAGAAAGGTGGCCAAAGAACGCGGGGCACGACGAGGAGAACGCGATCATCGACGAGGAGCGAGGGTCCGGGGCGGCCGGGCGTTCAGGCAAAACGTTGACACGTGCACACACTCGGCGAAAGAGCGGGAGCCGGCCGTTGTCGGAGCGTTCGTCCGAAGGCCCAATCACGGGCAATAAATTCGTCAAGAGGCGCGGCCTTTGCCGGCAGACGTCTTTACCTCCCTCTCCTCGCTGTCGCTCGTCGTCTCCTACGACGATGCTCAACCTCTCCTCCCGCACCGCGCATGCGTGGCGGTCAGTCCAGCGACTGGCCGCCGGCATGGCCACCGTCGCCGAGGGCAAGATTGGCGACCGGAAGGTCGCCATGTCTCTGCTCGAGCCCAATGCGTACATCAACTACCAGCGCATTGAGGACAACCTCGCTATCGTTCGCGACAGGTGAGCAAACACGCTTTTTGTGTTCTGCGCACGCGTATCTGACCCCTCGTAGGCTCAAGCGGCCGCTGACGATGTCCGAAAAGATTGTGTACGGTCATCTCGACGACCCGCACAACCAGGACATCGACCGTGGGACGAGCTACCTGAAGCTGCGCCCTGACGTATGTGCCTGACCTCACAGTTACGTGTTGCCCGCTAATCCTCTCCACAGCGAGTTGCGTGCCAGGATGCGACCGCTCAGGTGAGTCTTCCCGCTAGACGAGGTTCTCGGAGTAGTATTGACGTCATGCGTCCCCGTACAGATGGCTATTCTGCAGTTCATGTCAGCAGGCATGGACACTGCCGCCGTTCCGACCACCGTCCACTGTGACCACTTGATTGAGGCCCAGGTCGGTGGCCCCAAGGATCTGGCGCGCGCGGTTAACACGAACAAGGAGGTCTACGACTTCTTGGCTACGGCTACGGCGAAGGTGCGCATAGTCGTTAGCGCCTCCGAGGGGCGCTATGCTTACACTTCATCCAGTACGGTCTCGGTTTCTGGAAGCCTGGCTCTGGTATCATTCACCAGATCATCCTCGAGAACTATGCCTTCCCCGGCGGTCTCATGATCGGTACGGATTCGCACACTCCCAACGCCGGTGGTCTCGGTATGGTTGCATGTGGTGTCGGCGGTGCCGATGCTGTCGACGTCATGGCGGGTATCCCCTGGGAGCTGAAGTGCCCCAAGGTCATTGGTGTTAACTTGACGGGCAAGATCAGCGGCTGGACTACTCCCAAGGGTATGTCTGATTTTTCCTTGTTTCTATCATCTTTCATAATCCGGTCGCAGATGTTATCCTCAAGGTCGCGGGTATCCTCACGGTCAAGGGCGGTACTGGTGCCATTGTCGAGTACAAGGGTCCTGGTGTCGAGTCGCTCTCGTGCACGGGTATGGCTACGATCTGCAACATGGGTGCTGAAATCGGCGCGACGACCTCGATCTTCCCCTTCAACCACCGGATGGTCGACTACCTCAAGGCAACGAAGCGCAGTGACATCGCCGACTACGCGAAGACCTTCTCGCACAACTTGCAGGCGGATAAGGGTGCCGAGTATGACGAGCACATTGAGATTGTGAGTACATGGCCGCTCGTCTTTCAGCAATGATGCTGACGTTCTTCTTAGAACCTGTCTGAGCTCGAGCCTCACATCAACGGTCCCTTCACCCCTGACTTGGCTACCCCGATCTCGAAGTTCAAGGAGGCTGTGGACAAGAACGGCTGGCCTGCTGACCTCCGCGTTGCACTTATCGGCTCTTGCACCAACTCTTCGTACGAGGACATGTCCCGCGCTGTTTCGATCGTCAAGCAGGCTGCCGACCACGGTCTCAAGACGAAGAGCCAATTCACGGTTACCCCAGGCTCTGAGCAGGTTCGCGCGACCATTGACCGTGATGGACACATCGCTGCGTTCGAAGGTGCCGGTGGTATCGTGCTCGCCAACGCTTGCGGCCCTTGCATTGGTCAGTGGGACAGGCGCGACGTCAAGAAGGGCGAGGTCAACTCGATCATCACCTCGTACAACCGTAACTTCACCGGCCGTAACGACGCTAACCCTGCCACTCACGCTTTCGTCGCTTCCCCCGACATCGTCACTGCCTTCGCGTTCGCCGGCGACCTCCGCTTCAACCCGCTCACGGATACCCTCACTGGCGCTGATGGCAAGCCCTTCAAGTTCGTCGACCCCACCGGCGCTGAGCTCCCGCCCAAGGGCTACGACCCCGGTCAGAACACCTTCCAGGCTCCCCCGAAGGACCGCACTACCGTCCAGGTTGCCGTCGACCCCAAGTCTGATCGTCTCCAGCTCCTGACGCCTTTCGCTCCATGGGATGGCAAGACCCCCACCGATCTCCCGATTCTCATCAAGGTTAAGGGCAAGTGCAGTAAGTACCGATATTGTCTTAGGGTAGTCAGAATTTACTCATGTCTCGTGTCCACAGCGACGGACCACATCTCTGCTGGTGGCCCCTGGCTCAAGTACCGTGGACACCTCGAGAACATCTCTCGTGAGTGTCACACTGTCTTGCTTCGTTACGGTCGTTTTAACCTGCTCCGTAGAAAACTGCCTGATCGGCGCTATCAACTCTGAGAACGGCGAGGCTAACAAGGTCAAGAACCAGATCACCGGCGAGTACGGCGCTGTCCCCCAGACCGGTGCCTACTACCGCGACCACGGCATCAAGTGGGTCGTCATCGGCGACCACAACTATGGTGAGGGCTCCTCGCGTGAGCACGCCGCTCTCGAGCCCCGTTTCCTCGGCGGTCTCGCTGTCATCACCCGTTCGTTCGCGCGTATCCACGAGACGAACTTGAAGAAGCAGGGTATGCTCGCGCTCACGTTCGCCGACCCTGAGGACTACGAGAAGGTCCGCCCCGACGACCGTGTCGACATCGTCGGCCTCGAGTCGTTCGCACCTGGCAAGAACGTCACGCTCGTGCTCAAGCACAGCGATGGCTCCAAGGAGGAGGTATCGCTCGCGCACAGCTTCAACCAGGGCCAGATTGAGTGGTTCAAGGCTGGTTCGGCGCTGAACCTGGTGAGTCCCCCCTTGAGTCTCCTGTAGGTGCCATGGCGCTCACTCGTGCGTGTGCAGATGGCGGCGAAGGCGAAGCAGCAGTAGAAGTGTGCGGACACTAGGGCGTAGCCATTCACGTTAACGATGATGATGCAGTCTGTCCTCTCATGCATGTCTTCTCGCATAGCTTACGATTGTATTCTTTTCTTTATTCGTTACCATTCTTCCTCTCCTTCTCGAGACGTGTAGTAGCTAGAACGATCGAATCGAAATTCCATGACTGGCTAAAACGCATGACGTTGAACGAGCGAGTTCGCGGATAGTAAATTTTGCGTTATCTCCTCTGTCCGCTGGAGCCTGCGTGCATCGACTGCGTCCATAACCGAGTGCAGTAATCCCCCGGAGAAATCCAGGTACGAGGTCGCTGTATAGGAATGTAGCATCCCTGCAAGCACAGCACCCTCACATGAAAATTGACCTTGCGCGCGGCTTGACAAGCGTGCCTTTGTAATCAGCAAACGGAAACCTAGGATCTGGCGCTTGTAGAGAGTCAAGTGAGCACGGTGGCTGCGATGGTTGTTCGCCAGAGACGTTCGGGATCCTGCAAGCAAGCAAGCTGGATGCCAGACATCCGAAACAATGATCGCAGCAGAGAGTAAGCCAAGGGCGTCAAAGGCAGGTGGTTGCGTTCGTCGTTACCGACGACGAGCTCGCTGTTGACGGCTATTTACACCAGCGCCTTACCTTGGCTTAGACCAGTGAAAGCACCTCGAAATATGCATAACCTATCTTCGATTCTGCAACCACAATCCCTGCTGATGAGCCCGCCGAAATCTCCCCATTGACTTTCGCTGTCTTCTTCTGCGCTCGACGCCGTGCGCGACATGGGCAATGATGCGACAGAAGCCGCCCTGGGCCTCCTGGGACTCACCGCCGCCACCTTCGACACCGTCCCGACTGTGCCCCTCAAGCGCAAACAAAGTCCTTCGTCCTCGTCGCGGCACCAGCAGGCTACATCGACATCGGCAGGCTCAGACACTATTAGCTGCATCTGCGGCTTCACCTACGACGACGGGTTCTCGATTGGCTGTGATTCTTGCTCGCGCTGGTGCCATGCCGCTTGCTTCGGGATCGTCGAGTCGGAGGTGCCGGAGGAGTGGCAGTGTTGGGTATGTAGTCCTCGGCCGGTCGACAAGGAGCGGGCCATCCGCGTGCAGAAGGCTCGCCAGAGGAGTGCACTCTCGCATGAAGCAGAGAAGCAGCGCCGGCGGATGAGCCCGGGGGTCGACAGGAAGGGGAGAAAGACGAGTGGGCCGACAGCGGACGGCGGGGGCCACACGAAGCGCAAGCGCAGGGTTTCGACGACGACGGCGCCGTCGCATGAAGACGAGCATGTCGACATCGACGAGCCGTGGGCGCTGAGCTACGTGCATATCAACCAGGATACCATCCCTCACGACGAGACGCGCGACAGGCTACGCCGCGTAGCGACTCGATGGCGGGGGGTCACCGCTCTCAAGCCCAGCACCAGCGAGCCCACCACCCCTGCGATCCTCGACCCTGGCGACTTCCAGCCCTCGCCCCTGATAAATCTGCGCCCTCTGTCGTCTTCCTCTTACTTGCCGTCGATATCAGCAAACCTCGATCCCTCTGTCCGCCCGCCGTCTTATGCAGCTCACACCGTGCGCGCTGTCCCCTCGTCAGGTATGATCACCCCCTATACCTCTACTATCACGCCTTCGACGGCCTACCTTGCCGACCCACTCAACGCCTATGCACATCTCAGTATGCCGAAGCCGTTCGTGCACTTGATCGGGCCACCCCTCGATGTGGCTCTCGACTCCCGCACCTCAGGTAATCTGGGTCGCTTCGTCCGTAGCGGATGCCGTCCAAACGCTGTTCTCCGGCCTGTTCTCTGTCCGCGCGGCAAGTCGCGCGCCACGGCACCCAACGACACAGACGACGATCGCGAGACACTGACCTTCGGCGTCTTCGCGCTGCGCGATCTCAAGGCGCACGAGGAGGTGGTTTTGGGCTGGGAGTGGGATGATGGGAGTGTTGTACATCAGCTACCGGCACTCATTGACAGCCCACATATATTCCCGTGTGTACTCACTCACATTCAATGCATCTCTTCACAATTGACGTGCTTCTGGATCACCAGCCCTCACGAACTGCAGCACCTCCGCCACCAGCTCATCAACATGCTCCACGCCCTCTCCTCGACCTTCACAACGTGCGCATGCGGCTCGAAGACCCGAGATTGCGCGCTCGCCCGGATCGCCGAGTTCGTCGATAGCCAGATCCCACCTACTCCGTCACCTTCGCCTCCCACACCTTTTACGCCCGAAGGCGAGCTATGGGGCGCCGCCGGGGAGCGATCGCGTGTGCACAGCGGTGGTTCCGAAGGAGCCCATAAGAAACGCGCAAACCTAGGTCCGTTGATCGGGGTCGAGCGTGGCTTCCGCACGAGAGAACGTGTCCCGTGGTCTGGAGGCCTGGGCGGAGTGGAGATGGTTTCGTCCTCACCAACTTTGCACAATGACAAGTCTCCGCATGATATATTTGCGGATCAGGTTCTCAACGCAGCCCTGGATCGTAAAGGAAAGTCCAAGGCGACCGACGCGGATTACGCGCAGTGGGAGGCCAAGACGATGTCGGCCCCTGATGTGGATGAAGACTCCCCGCCCACGCCCCCGGAGGCAAACCTACCTCCCAAATTGCGGAAACGGTGGATCCGCAAGACCTCCGACTCATTACGGGCTTCGCATCCGTCTAGCGACCATGAACCACATATCGGCGTGATCAGCGAAGCAACGGCAAAGACTGGTCAGGTCCAGAGTGACAGTAAGCCAGACGAGCTCATGCAAGTCGATGAACCAGCACCTGGTATGTACTGTGCATAACGCATCTTATCGCCACAACGAGCCACTGACGATCCTATGTTTAGATCCTGCCGCAGCCGCCATGCCGCCTCCTCCCCTTCCACCACGCCTTGCTGCCCTCAGTCCCCGAACCCTATCCTCCATCGCCTTACCGAACGCCTCCGTTTTCCCAGGGCCGAACGACACTTTGTCGCCTTCGAGCCATTTCGCTAACTTATCGCTGTTGTCGCCTGTAACTTATGGACCCTCACCTTACTTCGCCGTTAATGCTGCTCGCCGAAACTCGACTTCACCCACACCTACTCCACCTCCACCCCCACCTCCTGTACAGCTTGCTCACAGTCCTGACAGACCACCGGAGCAGAACCATGCCATACACCGAGAACGGGAAGAGAATTCGCCTCCTATCCTGTCCAGGCGGAGACCCCGATCGACAGAGCCAGCCGCTCCGAGCACTGTAGAGGTGGAGGTACACTCAACCCTTCGCGAGTCTCCATCGCTCGACTCTGGCTCTGTGCCCACACCAGAACAACCGCTGTCGCTCTCGGTATCTGCGGAGCCAGATGTGACCGACCCCGTCTCGCCATCTCACCCTGCTCCTGAACTTACTGAAGAACCTGTACCAATGGACGTCTCAGCCGACCACCTGGCGAACGCAGATGTCCATGATTCACACGATGTCGCCATGTCGTCGCCCTCCGTTACCTCGACGCGTCTTCCAGAAGAGCACCCCGCGCCTCCTCCCGAGACCATCTCCGTGGAGGAGCCGCCTCCAGCGAAGCGTACGCCTTCGCCGCCGCCAAGACCACCCTCCCCGCCGAAGGTCAAGATGTCTTTGAAGGACTTCGCTCTACGCAAGAAGAAGAAGCGGGAACAAGAGGCGAACAAGGTGGTCACGGAGCGTTCGAGCGTCGCACCGTCGGACGCGTCGTCTTTGCCGAACACGCCTGCTGGGCAGCCAGCTACGCTTGTCGAATCTCCTGCGGCGATGAGCATGCCGTTGGCTCAAGCGAGCGAATCCCCGAGTGCGAACACTGTCGCTGCGCCATCACATCATGAGGCTGCCTTCAACGTTGTTGCCCCGACCACGGACGACAAGCAGCGGATGACCTCGGAACAAATTCCGGCGGAGAGCGCGAAGGAGCCGGTGGACAATGCACAGGCTCAAGACATACGTGCGAGGGAGTCCCATGGGCTTAAGTTGGAGATGATGGAGTCATCTGTCCCACCAGAGCCGCGCATGAGCAATGGACATCCCCGTTCACCGTCACCCAAGCCCCACGAAGCTAGTGTCTACGCAACAGAGACGGAGGCTGAACCAGCGGCCAAGCCCCGCTCTCTCCTCAGACGGGAGAGTCTGCGCTCACCTTCCCGTGACCGTAGCCCTAGGGAGAGCATCTACCGTACTCCAAAGGCCAGCACCCCTCGACCCGAACAAGCCCCCTCGAGCGACGGCGCCCACGAAGACGGCGAGATCGTGAGCCCGCTGCCGAAGTCCCTTCCCCTCCCGCCGCGCTCGAGCTCGCCGCCGACGCACCCGCGCTCGTTCTACCCGCCGCGTGCGCCCGCAGGGTTCGCGCCCCGCCGTCCGTTCCGCCACCAGACACTACAGAATACACTACCGCCCGACCGCCACCTCCCCAGCGGCCCCCGTGCCCTTCGCGGCCTGCACGACACGCCGTATTCATCGCAGTCCTCGAGGCCGACGGGCGGTGCGGGACAATCATTGCCGAGGGGCCCGTCGGCGGACCGGGACAGGATGGAGTGGGAGAGGGAGAGGGAGAGGGTGTGGGTGCCGTCGACGAGGGGACGGGGGAGAGGCAGTAGTTGGAATCGGTGAAGAATGTTGTGTTACTTATCGTTATTGTATTTTGTAATTCCTCCTGTGGTTTATTCTTTCTGTTTCTTGTTCAAGTTGAATGGCTGTGTGCAATACATACAAGCCCCGCTTGCATTGTACGTACGTGCGAAGTAAAGAGGACATGCGTTAATGCGTGGTCCAGGGCGATGCGTAGCGTCTATATGAATCCAGAACGTGGTCCTGGTCATGGAGTCGCTCTTCAGCGGTTCTGGCAGTTTGAGCTCATCAAGTGATTGTCTGTGCACTGACGTTGGACTTCATCTAAGACAGGATCCGGAGCGACGTGCCTTCGTCAGGTTCCATTGCCCTTTCACCGGCACCCGCTCGCCTCTCTGCAGTACATCCTCCGCGAGACCTCGCCATGGTCCTCCGTATTCGACTGCCTGTGATCCGTGTCCGGCGCTACTACTTAGCTAACTGCCACTGACCAAAGAGTCCAGCCACAGCAGGAATGTCCTGCTGTCGGTTGTCGGTCACTCAGGACCTGAATATTGAATCATCGGTCGACGGTGATTGCACTGGGGGGGCAACCACTCGGGACAAGACGCTACTTCTGAGTTCGCGTGTCAGCGCTATTTACTCTGATATATACTTACTAGGCATCGCTCCCGCTACTAAGTACTAACCTCTGCTTACTCCGCCCGATTCCCTCCATGATCCGCAGGCTCCATCTCCTCTGCAGGAGAACAACGTCTTAAAGTTGCGATCGCCAAAGGTGCGACTTCGATTCGCTCGGTGGCTAATGTTCTAGTTGTGCTGAGATGAATCACCTCGCGCAACGTGTTGGCAGCCTCGCTAGATATCAAACGGTCACGATCAACATTGCCTCACAGCGTTGACGAGCTCCAAGACGTCTCTTGTCACCCGGTCAAACCAACGAATTTACAGTCGATTAGGTATGTTCGTACCCCTTGCATTCTGACGGACGTGGTCTTGGCACGATCAGCTACTGGTAGGGCTCCTGGCGGCCTCTGCTGAAGACGATTACCGTGGGCATCTAATTCGCCATCCTTGCAGACTCTCGTACAAATTCGCAGTCCTACAGTCTGTGTACAATCTATTGTACCAATGGAAGTTGCATCGACGTGAGTACAAGTTCAAGTGGTGTGCGAGACGTGCTGATACGGGACACGGATTAGCAGGACGACCGCCTCCGGGGTGCCATCCCAGGATGATTCGGCTCCGCGGTTGCCCACCGAGATCTGCGGACGGATCATTGACCATCTGGCCGCGGGACTGGTTCTCTACTACAGAGATCTGGCTGGGGATCCAAATCTCCTAGCACTTCGATCGTGCGCACTAGTGTGCAGGGACTGGTACTTTCACACCTGGTACCATCTCCGCCGGCGTGTTCACCTTCGTGACCGAAACGACGTCCTTTCACTTTCCAGGACACTCCGCGAGAGACCACGCCTCCGCGGTGTCGTCCGACAGGTCGTCATCTCGGGTCATACATCTGGCCAGCGTTCAGTGATCCAACATCTCGGAACGTTTACCGCTATGCTTGCCGGGAAGCTCCCGGAGCTGTGGAGGATTACCATTGAGGACGCGGAATTGACCATTGGCTCGATGAGGATGGAAGATTTTGGATATCTCGCTGCATTTCACCTCATCCACACATTGAACATTGTCAACGTCAACGTGCCAAGCATCGCCCGGCTGGCCGGCCTCATTTCAGCACTCCCTGGCCTAACAAATCTATGGTGTATCAATGTCGACTGCTTGCAGAAACTCTCTGTCTCTCCTGTCTCTCTCCCGCTGAACTCTGCAAGTCTGGAGCTTCTCGACGTGATATGGGTTGCGCCCGCAATTCAAGACCTCCTTGGGCGAATCAGCCAGGCTTCCCGGCTACGCATTCTCCGTCTCGGAGTGGACGAAGACTTGACATTATCCTCCGCAGGCAGCAGAAGTCAAACTTTGTTGAATGCAAGTGCCGCCTCGGTGGAAGTCCTGATTCTTGAGTTTGATCCCGACTCCTTCGTGGACCGTGGCAGTGACAGTCTTGGTTCCGCTGTAGGCAAGTTGTACACGTTCGCTCTCGGGTTATCTGATTGACAATGACTGCAAGTAGAACGACACCTCAACCTGTCACGCCATGAAAGCTTGTGGCGATTGCGCATTGTCTTGTACCACCCCTTTGTTGCGTGGTCCTGGATTCCTCATATCATCTCTCGAATCCCTTCAAAGCATCTCATGGCCATTTCTGTTTTGTTTTTCATTGGTACAGATCATGCAGCCGATGACTTGGATGGGGCGGTGACGATGATGGTGGAAGACGGTATCTTGGTGCGTTTGGACGACATATTGCAAACAGAGTGCTTCGCCGATACCGCACCGGGTGGTATATGCCTAGGCTTCCGCAACGCTGGCAACGACTGGACCTCGCCTGAAGAACTGATTGGTACAGAATCATCATCGCGAGAGCGGCGCAACCGGTGGGACGAGCTCATTAGACGGAAGATGCCGCGCTGCAATGGACGGGGCATATTGACGTACGTAGTACAATTGGTCCGTTCAACGCGTTGCAATGATAAAGGCAAGCTGAGTACCCTTCTTAGTGTGCTATTCTCTTTCGAAGAGGACAAGAACTGGATTCACAACATGGAGGAAATCCATCGAGCGACACAACGCCAGAATGCCAAAACTGGAGTAGAGGTGCAGCGAGAGGACGACACTGAGCATGCGCCGGACACGTCAGGTTGACTGTCCCGAATCCTGACCTTGTACACTCGCCGGTGTCAGTGTGTCGAGTCCTGTGAGTGCACACAAGCTGCCATACATACTGTTGTTCACCTGATTCCTGTAGCCTCGTCGTACGCGGCGCGTTTTTCACACTTTGTTCTGACGCCGAGACAGACTCATGAAAGGACTCGGACTGGACGAGCGGCGATGCCCTATGTAGAGATGTAGCACCGTTCACGCGACATTCCCGTAAATGCAGATTCAAATGAACCACGATTTGTTGCTGTCACATCAGTGCGGGTACACTACCATCTCGCATACATGATCCGGGGCTACCGGGAAGCCAGACAATGTCGGAGGTCATTTCCTCCTCGACATGTACACCAGTACTACTAGAACACCTGCACTGACGTAAAAGATGTTGAACTATCGGTACACGGGTCCAGCTACGGACAACGGACAAGAACACTTCGTCGTCGTCGTCGGGCGCGAGCCCTGCTACAGCCAGCCGTATACCCAGATTGACACGCAGCACCATTGGTAACGTATTGACGGTGAGCGACATTCTGGTGCTGTCACGGCGGGAAACGAATGTATGAGCATGAGATCACCAGTGTGCATCGCATCGACGTGCCAGAGGGGTTCCCGGGATCGTCCAACGAACGGCTGGCCCGGATACGCACGTCAGATCCCGGGGAGCGAGTACACGAAGATGAAGGGCACGGGGGACGAGACATACAAGCGGCGTACGTGATTGCCGCAGATGTCGCAGAGCGTGATTATTCGTTCCTACAGCCTTGCACTGGCTACTGATTGGCGATCCTTGTAGCCGACTATGAAGTTGAGTGTGGTTGACAACCTTGCTGGTAATCGAGGAGGCGAGGAGTAGGACTCGGCTGTGTAGGCTTGAAGTGTGCAACGACAGGTGAGTCGGGAAATGCTCAGCAGCAGCGAGATACGCACCATTGTCCGTTCAACTCCTATCCCGAAACACTGAAAGAAGGCATGTTGGCGATCTCCCTCATGTCTGACTAGGGTCTGTGGGGATACAAGCGGGAAAGCACATAGTGCCTGCATGGCAATGTAAGTACGATAGCTATATCCACAAATGACTGCGGCGTAACACCAGCTGTTAACCCTGTGGCGCGTTGTCGAGCAGGCTCGCTAACATCCCCGCAACACGCGCCGTCATTCCATTCGTAGGGCATAGATGACAAGGTTAGCGGTCGACAGCAACGGTGCAAATGAGATGTCACTTACAGAGCCGATGTCAATCACAACTCGCGAGCACGGCGGGTAGCACCAAGGAGGCAAGCCAGACGAGAAGAGTGGCTTCGCATGCCTCTAGCATTCATGTACTACCTGGTTACGATGAGTGCGGGTGCAAACGTATGATCGGCCGTGGAAATGCCGGGTCGAGGACTGCGAGAAGGACGTCTCAGTGTGACTCATGAGGACCATCGCAGACTCGCTCAGGCAAAAGCCGCGGTGGTTGTCGCAGATGCATCGAGGGGTTGCATAAATACTCCCAAATTTGCCGCATGTCCGACACAACTAAGGCAGCGCGAACGAGACGTCGATTGATAGCGTGGCTTGGATCGCCGGTGTTCGGGCTCGCTAGTCGTATTAAAAATATCCATCGGAGTGAGGCCTGTGCGGCTGGAATTAGCATCAGGTGACACGTCTGAAGCACGACAATAACAGAGCTGAGAGGGAACATCAAGCATCCCTGACATAGCAGTGCGTGTCAACGGCAAACCGTCCGGGAGACGACTTGGGAGCAAGTATGCCCAGAATGGAGAAGTAATTGAGACGAAAGTTTCAACTAAGCACTCACCTGGTAGCTATCCCAATCGTATGACAACCCAGTGGGAACGGGGCGGGGTCAAGGTGGTGGAGGGAGGACGTCGGACTACGCGGTCGCGGCCAGGTGCTATGCTCGACCATCGTCGGAGTGTGTGCTGGTTGGACTAGCGGAAGAAAGGCGGGTTCACTTGGGTATTGATGGAATACGATATGGTCATGTATAGCGATGATTATGGAGTCGACGGTTGCCAGAGAGAGGCTACGTTCGCAGGATCCTAAGAGAGTACCTGTGCGGCGTGTGAGGGTACAACACAAGCTGGGCAGCCTACAGTACGCTTGAGCATGCTTCGGCCCAGTGCGGCACCAGGACGAGCTTCCGGAAGACGGACAGGACAGCAGGAAACAACAGGTGCAAGCCATCGGCCGCCAGGAGAGTCTGCGCGCAGTGCGCGGTGGACGCTAGACATCCGTCCGATGCGCCGGACGGGCAGCGTCGTCTTCCGTTTTGATAGCAGCGTCGACGAGCTGTGAGGCGATGGATTGGCACTGGGGAGGACCGCCTCGTTGGGTTGGCGGTAAGCGACCCACAACAGGAGGCGCTGAGCACGAACCCTACGCTAGGGTTTCAGCCTGTCGTGCGCGCGACCGGTCGTCGCCCTCTCTGTGCCGTCTGCGGCGCGAGCCAACGCGCGGCAGGGGGAAAGGCGCAGTCTGACAGCGGTGCAGCATCTGCGCGGTTCTCCAGGCAACCTTGGGCAGGTTCCAAGATACCGTCGGACGCGCGTGCCGTAGCAAGCCCCGCGCATAGACGATCCCGCGGTCCTGGTCGAGTTTGCATATTGTTTACCTTTGGGTTACAGCGCAAGGTACGTGTGCGACGGCGCGATCACTCAGCCGTCTTCGCTGCGACGGCAGCATGCCTCGTCCGTCCCCGCATCGTTCGAGGTTCGCCTTGGACCTTCCCCACTTCGACGGTGTTTCGCGGTTTACTCGTTGCATCGCGCTGGCTGATTCCGGCGTGTGTTGACCAAGCTGTGACAAGTGTGATCCTGCTGACTTTGCCAGTACAAGGGATGCGCTTTGCTTTATGTCAAGGAGAAACGCGTTAGCCGGCGATCAACTATCACTTGCGCGAATGCACTCACGTTGGTCTGTCAGCGAGTCCCGATGGTGCAACGACGGGCCTATCGTAGTCAATTCGTCTACAACATAGTCGTCAGAGATTGGAACACTATAGCACCGTCGGTCGTGTCGTCTGGCGTAGAGACAAGCACTGGGAAGCTGCTTCATGTGTGTCGAGGGCGCGGGCCTATCATGCGTCCTGCGGCAGAAGGCACAGCGAGGGCAACCGAGCGCGATGCTCTGCAATACATGCATGCGGAGCAACTTGATCGGTGATGTATGGATTGGCGGCGACCAGAAAGCCACCGCGCAGAGCGGCGCGCACGATCTTCCGGGGTCGACCATACCAGCATGGCCGGCTGGGACGATGGCGCTGACTGGGCTGCTAAACCGGCGCTCAGCCGGGCAGACTGTTAGGCACTGGAGGCTGTTCGACGAGGCACGACTGCGTGGGATGAGTAGGATGAACATAGCCTTCACTGGCCCTTCAGGATCTCGCCTTCATCCCACCGTCTTTATCGCGACCCAAGTGCAGGTACCGGAGCCAGAGAGCATGGGCCGGTCCGCAGCCAGCGGACTGGCATATGCATTCAGCCTTAGCGTGTATAGTTGGTTAGTGGCACAACGCACGCGAATGACGCCGGAAATGGCACTACTGACGAGACCGCTACCGTGCACGACCCGCGCACCAAAGTCGATACAACCAGCGGTGGAGTTGGCCCTCTACAGCGACCACACGACCGCAAATGAGCAAGCGAGACAGATATAAACGAGCTAGGAGGAGACTGACTGCGTCCCCGAGCCCCCGAATGTGCTCTTCTGCATTGCCTGTACTCAACGGAGGCGAGTACACCTGCAGTCGGGGTTAGTCCTGGTCTGCATGTACCGCGCCGAGCGGGAGGTACACGGGCTTCTCTATGGGCTGCCGCGGCGCATATGACTGAGAGAGCGACGGGGCGTACGCGAGCAAAGCAGTGAGCGTGGGTAGAGGGAAGTGCGAAGGTGCGGAGGTGCGGCGCTGTCGAGCTTCTCGACGTGGTTGCAGGAGAAGAGGGCCGCAATAGGCCACCAGGAAGGCGTTCGTCTCGTCGACGATGACGGTGTCCTTAGTGGATGAGAAGGGCTGGCCGTTCGGTTCCTGGGTGCGTGGTGGGTTGTGTAAGACACGAAGACATTCCGGTGGAATGGGCACGAGATGACGAGCAGTTGTTTACCAAGCCGTCCTCGTTGTAACAGAGCTTATTGCGGTTTTGGGAAGTCATGTCGCGCGGCGCCACACGTGCGTTTTTTGCACGCGGCGACCTCTACCTTCGGACGGCCATTGCTCCTCAACGCCTGCGAGTTTCTGCTTGATTCCTATATATTCTGGTTCTACTCGTCGAGCCCGAGGGCATGGTGCAACTCAATTTCGATTTCAACCAAGTCTCAAAATCGCGGTTTCCGAGCACCACGGCGACTTCGGACTGCAATTGCGAGCGAACGCAACATAGGGTGGGGTCCGCGATGGTACGGAAGGGTGCAGGGGGATGCTACGGAGGGCACAGGGCAGAAAAACTAGAAAGTTACCGTGAGTTCTCGTTGTAGCTCGCGCCGCCGCTGTGCGGCTGCGTGCTTGACAGGTCGCCGACGCAGGTCGGCCACCGCAGCGCAAAGGCGTGAGGCGTACCCGCATGAACGCCCCCATGGGGTGTATAGAAGGCCTACGGAGCGCATACACGCCGTTTCGGGGTACTTGTCCCGCTCCCCGTCGTTGTAGTGCACTCCGCGCTGGTGGTGCCTCCGTCTCGGCCCCTGTACATCCATTCTCGATCCACCGGCATATAGCATGTATCTACTTGCAAATTCTCCTGAAGAGTAATATATTCCTTTCATACTACTGTTCCGCGACCTTCAGGCCAGCATCGCCGTCAACATACATCACCATCACTGTACATCGCCGGCTAGGCGCCTTGTCGAGTTTATCCCAAACCACCATGCCCCGCACGGTCCCTCTGTCAGAGGATCTCCTCTGGCGTGTTGTGTTTCAACATTATGAGAGGGGGAAATCCCCACAGGAGATCTCAGACAACCTCCACATCAGTTTACGAACCGTCCAGCGCTGCCTTGCGCGGCATCGTGCAACGGGCGATGTTGCATACCATCTCGGTGGGCAAACAGGCAGACCCAGGTTAATCACAGAGGAATATGCACAGCAGTATCAATTGATTTTGCTGTAGCTACGCGGTGTACTACTGTACATTGAGGATGTATGTACAGGGGCCGAGACGGAGGCACCACCAGCGCGGAGTGCACTACAACGACGGGGAGCGGGACAAGTACCCCGAAACGGCGTGTATGCGCTCCGTAGGCCTTCTATACACCCCATGGGGGCGTTCATGCGGGTACGCCTCACGCCCTTGCGCTGCGGTGGCCGACCTGCGTCGGCGACCTGTCAAGCACGCAGCCGCACAGCGACGGCGCGAGCTACAACGAGAACTCACGGTAACTTTCTAATTTTTCTGCCCTGTGCCCTCCGTAGCATCCCCCTGCACCCTTCCGTACCATCGCGGACCCCACCCAATGTTGCGTTCGCTCGCAATTGCAGTCCGAAGTCGCCGTGGTGCTCGGAAACCGCGATTTTGAGACTTGGTTGAAATCGAAATTGAATTGCACCATGCCCTCGGGCTCGACGAGTAGAACCAGAATATATAGGAATCAAGCAGAAACTCGCAGGCGTTGAGGAGCAATGGCCGTCCGAAGGTAGGGGTCGCCGCGTGCAAAAAACGCACGTGTGGCGCCGCGCGACATGACTTCCCAAAACCGCAATAGGCACGCCGAACCAGGGTGGGGTGAGGCGGGGAAGGAGGAGCTCCGCGGCGACCGGGTGCGCTGACGGAGAGGTTGTTCGTCCTTTCAGAAGAGATGCGTTGGTTGTGTTCGCAGAAGGCAGACAGTTGCGCGAAGTCAGCATCTACGGACGATGTGAAGAAGCAGGCGATTAGTGAGTCGGTCCTGAGGGGTATACGTATATAGTGGTTGTGGCACTCTGCAGGGAGACAGTGACCGTGTGGTGTCGACCGGCGCGCGTCTTGACTCTGCGTCCACCGTCGACGACCTGGTCCTGCGCGACTCGCCGCCGCCTCCATGCGCAGGTCCTCATCGTCGCGTTGACCGGACTGTGTGCTGTACGCGACTCCATCCACGGCTCTTCATCACTGCTTCAGACACTGGGTGCGATGCCCTCAACTGCTCAACTTGCGCTCAAACCCTCAAGCACGCCCCATCCGTTCCGTCGCCGCTCCCTCGTCTGCTCGAGAATCTCAAACACACCGAGGCCTGACGATGTGCTCACTGCTGCGAGCCTTGTCACGGCCCGTCGGGCATAGAGCCCATGTGTCTCGAGTCAACATGTACAAGATATGCAAGCTCTCGTAGGGTCTTCGCATAGTACGTACTGTATGTACGTCGTTAGTATGTCATTACGCCTTCTGTTACAGAATGTGCGTACACGAGGGATTATGTGCGCTTCTATCGTCTGCGCTCTCGCCATTCCCGCGATGTTCATTTGCGTGCGGAGGAAGATTACCTCGTTCTTCCACAGGACGCTCATATTAACTGAGAGCAGTAGCGCTCCGGGTACGACAGGTCGAGGGGTGTCAATGAACTCGTGTACTAGGACAGGCCAGGCCGCAGGGCATCTTGCAGGTAAGTGTCGTTAAACGCGTGGCTGGGCATAGCTGACTGGCGCTGGCTTCCTTTACAGGCGGGCGAATGGAGGCTCTACATTTGGGAGACGCGACGTAAAATACCGTATCTTGCCCCCAAATAGATGCGATATCGACATACGGGTGGTCTGCGTCCACTCCGACCGCACGATCTGATACTCAAACGGTCTCCTGGTACAGAGAGCATGTAATCTGAAGTGCCCATTCAAGCCGCGGTCCTGTTTGATTATCGACGAGCATATGTCAAATAGACTCAAGGTTCGACGTTCAGTTCAGTATGTCTCCACACGTTCTCCAGGGCAGTTCGCACTGCATCCAAGGACACTGGTCCTCCGTATCCCATTGCTCATAGTCCTAGTGGCACGGTTCGCTGCTAGTCATGCATCACTAATCGGACGGTTCAACTATAGCTTTGTATTACTGGGACTCTCCTACCTTCATTTGTGGGTCACCCAGGAAGCGGCTCATCGGTGCTTCCACGGGCGGCGACCACTCGGAACACAACGCTGCAACTGAGTTTGTGTGTCTTCATAGCGCTTCTACATATTCCGGTGAGCGCTATTTACTCCGATATATACTATCATTGCATCGATTAGCCTCTTGTACTACCTCCGCCCAGTCCCCTCCATTCGCCGGCTGCGACTCCTTCGCATAGCAGCAACGAAAAGTCATTTGTAGTCGTCACAAATGTGAGTACAATCGGCTGTATGGGTAGTGTTCGAGTCGTGCTGATGTAATATACCTTGCAGAACGTACTGGCAGCCTTGCTATACATCAGAGGCCACGATCTCCTCGCGGTGCTGACGAGCCTCAAGACGTCTCGCGTTGTCTCCATCACACCAACAGACGTAGTGTCAAGATCAAATATTGGCAGGGTCCCTCTGCTGCAGACGATTCCCGTGGGCTCTCAATTCGCCATCCTTGCAGAATTTCCGGACGAATTCGCACTTCTACAGTCTGTGTACAAACCACTGTACCGACATGCAAAAAGGTGCATCGACGTGAGTACAAGGTTCAGTGGTGCGCGAGACGTACTGAGATGGGACATGGAATGTAGGACGACCACCTCTGCAGCATCATCTCAGGATGGTCCAGCTCCGCGGTTGCCCACCGAGGTCTGCGGACGGATCATTGACCATTTATCCGCGGGATTGGATCTCAACTACTTGACTCTGGCTGGGAATCCAGATCTCCTAGCGCTTCCATCGTGCGCACTAGTATGCAGGGATTGGTACTTTCACACCTGGTACCATCTCCGTCGGCGCGTTCACCTCCGTGACCGGAACGACGTCCTTTCACTTTCCAGGACACTCCGCGAGAGACCACGCCTCCGGGGTGTCGTCCAACATGTCGTCATCTCCGGTCAGACATCTGCCGAGCGTTCAGTGATTCAACATCTCGCCATGTTTGCTGTTATGCTTGCTGGGAGGCTCCCGAAGCTGTCGGTGATCACCATTAGGGACGCGGAATGGACCGTTGGCTCAATGAGGATGGAAGACGTCGGATATCTCGCCACATTTGACCTCGTACACGCATTAAACTTCTTCAATGTCAACGTGCCGAGCATCGCCCATCTGGCCCGCCTCATCTCAGCACTCCCTGGCCTGAGAGATATGAATTGCTACGATGTCGAGTGCTCACAGAAACAACCCGTCTCTCCTGTCTCTCCCCCGCTGAACTCTGCACATCTGGAGACGCTAGTTGTGCTAGGGGTTGCGCCCGCAATTCAAGACCTCTTTGTGCGCATCAGCCAGGCTTCCCGGCTACGCGCACTCGAACTCGGAGTGGACGACTCGGAAGGCTTGACATTACCCTCTGGAGGCAGCCGAAGTCAAACTCTGTTGGATGCAAGTGCAGCGTCGGTGGAAGTCCTCACGCTCTCGATGTTTCTTGGCTCCTCCGTGGACAGTGACAAAGTTGACTCCACTGTAGGCAAGTTGTACACGTTCGCTCTCGGAATATCTAATTGACCATGAAGATAAGTAGAACGACACCTCAGTCTGTCACGCCATGAAAGCTTGCGGCGATTGGTGATCATTTTGTACTACCCCTTCAATGCGTGGTCCTGGATTCCTCATATTGTCTCTCGCATTCCTTCAAAGCATCTCATCGCCATTTCTGTTCTGTTTTGGTTTCGTGCAGATCATGCAGCCGATGACTTGGATGGGTTGGTGACGATGATGGAGGAAGACGGTATCTTGGTGCGATTGGATGACATATTGCAAGCAGAGTGCTTTGCCGATATCGCACCAGGTGGTATATGCCTAGGCTTTGACAATGGTAAGGACTGGACCCCGCCTGAGAAACTATTTGGTACAGAATCATCATTCCGAGAGCGGTGCAACCGGTGGGACGAGCTCATTAGACGGAAGATGCCGCGCTGCAATGGACGGGGCATATTGATGTATGTGATACAATTGATCCACTGCAATGATGAAGACAAGCTGACACTCTTTAGTACCGTATATGGTTTCGAGGAGCGCGACAACTGGAACCGCAACATGGGAGAAATCCATGAAGCGAGAAAACAGCAGCAGGCCAAAACCGGAGTAGAGGTGCAGCAAGAGGACGACACGGAGCATGCGCCGGACACGTCAGGCTGACTGTCCTTATCTTGTACAATCGCCGGTGTCAGGGTATTGAGTCCTGTGAGTGCACACAAGCTGCGATACATACTGCTGTTCACCCGATTTCTGTAGCCTCGTCGTACGCGGCGCGTTTTGCGCACTTTGTTCTGACGCCGAGAGACAGACTCGTGAAAGGACTGGACAAGCGGCGATGCCCCGCGTCACGGTAGAGACGTAACACCGTTCGCGGGATATTCCGTAATTGTAGATTCAAATGAACCACGATTTGTTGCTACTACATCAGTGCGGGTACACTGCCATATCGCACACATGATTCGGGACTACCGGGAAGCCAGACAATGTCGGAGGTCATCTCCTCCTCGACATGTACACTAGTACTACTAGGACACCTGCACCGACGTAAAGGACGTTAAGCGCTATTGGGGGGTAGACAGGTCCGGCTACGGACGCCGCACGAGAACAATCCGGTCATGGACGCACTGAACGACCACGACCAGTGAAGGAGCGACATTGACCACTCCTCCACCATCCTCACGAACTGATGGTATTGGCAGCACCCGCCGCGTGAGCGGTGAGCGAATGCGCCATCCGCAGTCGGAATTGTCGTCTGTCTCGACGCTCGGCGACTGTCGATTCTCCCAGATTTGTCGCGAGCGGCGCTTGATGGGTGTAATCAGGACAAGAGCGCCTGATACAAGGAGACGGTGGGTGAATAGGGCTTCTCGTCGAAAGCGCATGTTCAACGCTCGATCTTGCACAATGTCATGCGTCCGGTGGTCGGGACGTTTACGTCGACGAACGTTCGTGCCCTAGAGGTGAGGCAGTGTCAATGTTGCCGCTGTGGATTTGGGAAATCAGAGCGAGCCCGAGAGAAGTTGTTATCAGTGGGGCATCCCATACACAGAATGCAGAGCATACCTCTCGCCGTTGGGCGTGACATGCGCTACAGCCAGCTTTGTTCCTGAATTACACGCCGCATACTTCGTGATTTCCTAGTGGTGGGCGAATTCCTACACCGAAGCGTATTGGCGAACATGAGATCGATCGCATCGACGTGCCGGAGGAGTTCCCGGGAACGTTCATAGCATAGCTGGCCCGCCGACGCACGTGAGATCTCAGCGAGTAAGAGCATCGCAACGGGACGCGCACAGAACGAGGGAAAGAAGCGACGTATGCGACTGACCCAGGTGTTCCAACTGACAGGATTGCGCTCGCGACCAGTGCATCCTCGTAGCCGGTGCACTTGAGCGCAAAGTGGTCAAGGCCGTCGTAGGCGTGTTTGGCAACCCTACTTCAATGAGCTCGATGTGTGTAGGAGCAGGAAACGGCGGCTATAGCCTTGCAGACAACAGCAGGTGAGTTGAGACATGCTCAGCAGCAATGAGAGGCGCACCTTGTCGGTACCAGAGCTTATCCAAAGATGGATGGAGGCATCTCGTCGATCCTCGCCTTTTGATTGGCACGCACGTCTGGTCAAAGGCGGGCCTCTACCCTGCAATGCGGCACCAGGACGAACTTCTGGAAGACGGTACGACGGTAGGGACAACGGCGAGGAAATGACAGACGCAAGCCATCGAGCGCCAGGAACACCTGCGAGCAGCGTGCGATGGACATCGTCGTCGGACGCACCGGGCGCGCAACAGTACCTGTTTTCTGTCTTACAGGCCTAGCACCGTAGACGAGCTGTGAGGGGGTTGGTACTGGGCAGGACCGCGCCGCCGGGTTGGCGATAAAGTAAGTGGGGCACAGCGGGAGGCGCATAACACGAACCCTACTAGTACTCGGCTAGGGTTCCAGCCTGCGTACTTGACTCCCAGCCTGCCCCGCCCTCTCTGTGCCGTCTGCGGCGCGAGCCAAGGCACGTCAAAGACAAAAGTGAAGGCTCACAACGGTGCAACATCTGCGCAGCTTCCCAGACAACCTACGGCAGGCTGCATCGGATGCGCGAGTCGTGGCGAGCATCGCATATAGATGATTCCGCGGCCTGGGTCATTGACACTGCCAGAGTCCCATGTCGTATGCCTTTCGAACATAGCTCAGCATACGACAGCGCGACCGTCCATCCCCGCATCGATGAGGTGCGCTGGTTGTGTTCGCAGAAGGCAGACAGTACCAGGTTCTGAGGGTTTTTGCCGGTGCCTGGCAGTGGTTGCGATGGACAGAGTAGAGTTCATGACTGCACGATAAGGAAGCGTGGTTGTGACCATCTGCAGGGTGTACACAGAGGCGGCCAACAACGAAGTGCAAGTGCTCGCCGGATAATCATCGGATGGGCCAATTCAGACTACTGACGTGCGTGTCTTGACTCTTGCGTCCGCCGTCGAGGATCGCGACCTGTGCGACTCGTCGCCGCCTCCATGGTCAGGCCTTCAGGACGCCGTCACCGTCGTATGCTGTACGCGACACAATCCCCGGCTCTCTACTGCTGCTTCAAAGATTGTCGCTTGCGCTCTCGCAAAATTCTGCGACGCTCACCCATCGACTGAGGGCGAGAGTATGTCGTTGCTCAAAAGGACGCTTATATTATCTCAGAGTAGTCGCGTTCCGGAAGGGGTAGCAGGACCAGGTTGTACTAGTAGGGCAACGTGTGGGTAAGCGTTGTTTTCGACGTGTGGCTGGGCATAGCTGACTGGCGCTGGCCTCGCCTCCTCGGCGCCGACAGGCGGGCGAACGTATCGACGGATGGAGGCTCTACATATGGAACATGCGACGTAATGTACTGTCTCTTTCCCCAATTAGATCTCACGTTGACAATGGACATCCTTGTTCTCCGTCTACTCCGACCGCACAATCTGAAACTCGAACGGTCTGCTGGTACAGAGAACATGGCCGCATCGGAATCGCGCGTTCAAGCGGTCCTGTTTGATTATCGACGAGCATATGTCGAACAGACTCGGTGTCCAACGTCAACGTCCCGGCCTCATGTCTCCGCGTTCTCTCCAGGACAGGTCGCACTGCACCCAAGGACACTGGTCGTCCGTATCCGACCGCCTGCGGTCCTAGCATGTTCGCTACTAGCGAACCGTTACCTCACCAGAGAGGTCAACCACAACCTCGCGATATCGGAGGTATCCTACTGCCGGTCGTGGGCCACCCAGGAACCGGGGCAGCCACAACTCGGAACAAAGTGCCGCTCTGAAGTTTGTGTGTATGCATGCGATGCTGCTACACGTTCGGGTGATCGCTACTCATCCCATATATTTATTATCGTCACATCCGCTAGTTCCATTCATTCACCTCCATCCGCTGGCCGTCCCTTCTGGCAGCGCAGCAAGGAATCAGAGTTAATCATAATCATCAAAGGTGCGAGCTGCGTTCGCCGTTCGGTCACTGTTCGAGCCTCGCCGGTATGACCTACTGTACTAAACCTATCAGCAGCATTGCGTCGCATCATACGAATGCTTTTGCCTCGGGGCCCCGACGAGAGGGATGAGCTGCAAGACGTCCCGCGTCAAGAGCGCGAACATCAGCGCAATTACGGCGGACCAGGTACGTTGCAACTATATCTTGCCGAACTCTCAAAAACGGCGGTCTAAGCTCTATCGCTGATGAGGCTGTGTTATCATAGACGAGGCCCTCTTGCGCAAGGCCGCCGTCCTCGTAAAGTCGATCAAGAAGAATGCGCAATTACCTAGCCGGCGCGCAATCAATTGCAACGAGATGGACGAACACACCTCGACGTGAGTCAAAGTTCAAGTGGTGGCGAGACCTGCTGATACGGGGCATGGGCTATTAGGACGACCGCCTCCGGAGCGTCATCTCAGGATGTTCCGACTCCGCGGTTGCCCACCGAGGTCTGCGGACGGATCATTGACCATGTAGCGGCGGGTTTGGATCTCGACTACATATTTCTGGCTGGGAATCCAGAACTCCTAGCGCTTCGATCATGCGCACTAGTATGCAGGGACTGGTACTTTCACACCTGGTACCATCTCCGTGGGCGTCTTTACCTCCGTGACCGGAACGACGTCCGTTCACTTTCCAGGACGCTCCGCGAGAGACCACGCCTCCGTGGTGTCGTCCAACAGGTCGTCATCTCGGGTCATACATCTGGCCAGCGTTCAGTAATTCAACACCTCGGAACGTTTACCGCCATGCTTGCCGGGAAGCTCCCGGAGCTCTCGACGATCACCATCGAGGACGTGGATTGGACCGTAGGCTCGATGAGGATGGACGACTTTGGGTATATCGCCACATATCACCTTGTCCATACATTGATCATCTTCAAAGTCACCGTGTCGAGCATCGCCCAGCTGGCCCGCCTCATCTCATCACTCCCTGGCCTGAGAGATCTATATTGCCTCAATGTTGACTGCTCGCAGAAACACCCAGTCTCTCATGTCTCTCTCCCGCTGAACTCTGCAAGTCTGAAGCTCCTCCGAGTCGATGTGCGATGGGTTGCACCTGCGGTTGAAGACCTCCTTGGGCGAATCAGCCAGGCTTCCCGGCTATGCCATCTCCGTCTCGGAGTGGACGAAGACTTCACAATACCCTCCGCACGCAGCAGAAGCCAAACTTTGTTGAATGCAAGTGCCGCCTCCGTGGAAGTCCTTACGCTCCATATTGTTCCTGACTCTCCCATGGATAGTGATACTGTTGACTCCACCGTAGGCGATTTGTACATGTATGCTCTCGGGTCATCTGATTGAACCATGACTGCAAGTAGAACGACACCTCAACCTGTCGCGCCATGAAAGCTTGCGGCAATTGCGGATTTACCTGTCCCACCCCTTTGTTGCGTGGTCATGGATTCCTCATATCGTCTCTCGAATCCCTTCAAAACATCTCGTGGCCATTTCTGTTTGGTTCTACTTTCGTGCGGATCATGCAGCCATCGACTTGGTTGAGGCGGTGACGATGATGGAGGATGACGGTATCCTGGTACAGTTGGACCACATATTGCAGACGGAGTGCTTCGCCAATATCGCACCGGGTGGTATATGTCTAGGCTTCGATCATAATGGCGATGCCCGGCTGCCGCTTGCCAAGTTCTTTGGTCAAGAATTATCATTCCGAAAGCACCGCGGCCGGTGGGACAGGCTCGTTAGACGGAAGATGCCGGGGTGCGATAGACGGGGCATATTGACGTACGTGATACATTCAATGGGTCCGATACAATGGCAGACACGCGGAGTCCCTTCTTCTTAGCACCACGCATAGTTTCGAAGAGCTAGTACACTGGAGGCACGATATGGACACTATTCAGGAAGCAAGACAACGCCGGAAGGCCGAGAACGGAGGAGAGATGCTGCGAGAGGCTCACGCTGAACATACACCGGACGCCTCGGGCTGACTGTCCCAGTCGCGTACTCTCGCCGGTATCGTTATATTGCGCCCTGTGAGTGCAGAGTGACTTACATGAATCCTGCTGTTCACTCGATTGCCGCAGCCTCGTCGTACTCAGCGCACGTCGCGCATATATAGCCCAGTGATCAAGATGTAGGGAGATACATCAAACTAAACTAGACATACAACGTACATACGAACGAAAGGACTGCATGTATATATATGAGACATGATACGATCAGTGGGACGCTTCTGCCTCGATGTGTCCGCAACTATCGAGCCCGGGAGAAGTGACGCAAAAGGTGGTTGCGAACACTGAGCGAGTCGACACAAATCGAAGTCCGTGAGGGGCAAGGATCCAGATGCTGTGGTACCGATGATGATGAAGCAGCCGGAGCCACACTGCGTTAACATAGATAGGATGTTAAGCCAGCGGATGTCGTTAGACGAAGCCGAACGCGTTATGAACCGGCACTGCATTATCATAGCACATGAGAGCAACAACATAACAGATACACAATCACTTTTGACGCACTGCAGATTCTATACTTTTCGCCTGTCGAGCAGAGCCAGCATTCCCTTTGCTTGATTACCGTCCCATGTATATCATGGTACACTTCCTTCAGTGGGCTTGCTCTCTGATGGCTCGTTGCCCGACTTCTCCTCACCCTCTTCTCCATTCACCACATTTTCGCCCTGCGCTCCAGCCCCCTGCGCGTCCTCCTCCTTCTCCCACGGATCATAAATGATCGACTCTATATGCTCGAGCGCCGCCTGTCATCGCCCATGGGCCATACGCAGCGTAGCCACGAAATCAAACGCGACCGGAGAGGGCACCAGAAAAAAAGGAGAAAGGTTGTCTAGTACGGTGCATAACGGTTGTTATTGATGAAATCGCTGCGCACCCGGCCGACTTCGCTGAGTTCCTCATTCTCGTCCCCGTTGAACGTCTCGAACGCGCCGGCGTCGATGAAGGCGTCGTCGCCGTCTTCGTCCATGTCGGCGGAGGCAGGGTCGGGATGGAGGGATGCACAGAGGGAGAGGGCTTCGAATATCGGTTCGACTAAGGACAGGATGCGCATTGAATCACTGTTCATGAATAGCCTGGCGAAGAGAAGGAATACACTCACGCGCTGCGGCGTCCTGAGGGGCGATGATGAGCTCCTTCAACTCTGTGTCGGCCTCTTCGTCCACCGTTGTGTCACCGTTAGCAAGCGCAGCAGCCTCGTCCAGCTGGCAGTATATTGACGGGCCCGATTCTGCGCGCGAGATCGCGTGGAGAGTGATCGAGGGGTATTCGACCGACCATCCGCGCCCGCTTTTGGACAAAAAAACGAGTGCGCTGCAGCCGATGTCCGTCAGCAGGGAGAAATTACGAAAGGCGTACTCGACACACTTCTCAATAATGTAGAGCGTTCCATGTGCAAGATCCTGGGCGGGAAAGCCCTCGAGGGGCGGATCGATCGTGACAGAGACATTTTCCTCCTTATGGCGCAAAACCGGGGGAATAGAGGCGAAGGACGCGGGCGTAGATGCGACGATATTTCTGTGCTCCTCAGGGCTGATGTGCGCAGGGAGTTCAGCGATGAGCGTGAACGGTGCCATGGCGGAGAAGGCTTTTGAGCAGAGCAGACACGGGTGGACAGAAAGCAAGACGCGCTGGTGGCTGAAGAGGCTCGGGCTGTCGCCGAAGGTGACCATCATGTCACCCCGTCACGTCCCGCGGCCCGACAGGAGCAGTGCAGTCGCCGAGCAGCCAAGTCGCTCACCTGTGCCTCGTCCACCACCACCAACCCACCTCTTGCCCATCTTCGCTCATTCTCCTCCTTTCTCCGCAAATATCAACTGAATTTTCTGGACCCCACCCTGAACATGGCCCCCGACCAAGCGTACCTCGCGCACATCCTCGCGCAGACCCGCGCAAACATAGACTTCCTCGCAGCGCACAACCACATTTCCCCTACAGATGCTGACCTCATGCGCAACCGGCTGCCTTCTGCGAACGCAGCCAGCGCACTTCCTATCGAGGAGATGAACAACCTCTCTGTCGCCGCACCTGGTCGCCGCGCAGTCCCACCTCCCCCGCCTCGCTCCGCCCCGGCCCAGCGTGCCCGCGCTGTCTGGGCGTACAACGAGGACGGTTCGGTAAGCGATAATCCACCATTCCGTCCATATTATATTCTGTAATGTCCTCGTCCCCTATCCGTGGCTCACGACATACCCAGGAACCGAACGACCTCTCCTTCTCGTCCGGCGAGATCGTCGAAATCACCGACGAAACCAATGGCGACTGGTGGACCGGTCGGTGCCGCGGCCGCCAGGGCCTCTTCCCCTCCAACCACGTCGAAAAAATCGACAGCGCCGCCCCCTCGCACGTTCCCCCGCGCATGCCCACCGCTTCGCCCGTGTACCAGCCCGCTTACCAGCCCGCGTATGCCCCGCCGCCTCCTCAGTCATATGCGCCTCCGCAGCCGTACGCCGCGGGCCCGCCGCCCGCAGAGAAGCCCGTGTACCGCCCGTTCGGCGCGGTCTACGCAGGCCAGGACCAGCCTCCGCCCGTGGCTGCGCCCGCCCCGGCGAACTCGGTTGGGCTGCAGCAGGATCCGGGACAGGCGAAGAAGAAGAGCAAGTTCGGGGGGCTCGGGAACACGGTCAGTTCGCTCGCTGTTCGTTCCCATCCGTCTCGTTTGCTCATCTATGGTCGGATGGTCGTTGTAGATGGCGAACTCCGCAGCCGGTGGCGTCGGCTTTGGTGCGGGCGCTGCGATCGGCGGTGGTCTCGTCAACGCCATCTTCTGAGCTGTCCACCATGCCGGGTCGACGATGCCCGAGGATCCTCTTCGTCTCCTGGTTTCGCTCAATCTACTACCTCTGCTTCTCAACGCATTTATATCTGTGTAATGGTGACTGACGGACGGACTCTCGTGGTTTACGGTAATGATGACCTGCACAAGTAAGCTAGACAATGGAATCAATGATGCGCAGGCTAGCAGGCATGAGACGATGTAAGACGAAGGTCATCCCAACGCGCGTCGTCGCGTGTTATGAACATTCCCGGGAACTCCTCTGGTACGTGGCCCGTACGTCAATCTGCACATACCGGCGTTTGTATGTTCGGATCCCGCAATGACCGCGTCAGAAAACTCGCCGTTTGGCACCAGAACACTACGGGCTCTGCTGCATGTCAATCTGGGCCATAAGGCTGGACCTAGCGCATCTCGCGCCCGACGATCGACGTATGCTCTGCATTATACATTCGGGCATGTACCACTGACAGTCGGTTCTCTCAGACTCATTGTGCTTGTGAAGTCCAGTGCAGCAATATCGACCTCTCGGCGAGCGGACGCGTACGTTCTTTCGACTTCAACGTTCAGACTATCGGACGCATTACCTGCCATATCTACGTCGTGCAAGACCGGCGGTTGAACGTAACGTCTAGTCTTCACGTAACTGAGCGGCACGATATTACGCTGATGCGGGATGGTCCGTTTCACGGTTTGCTTATAATATGCGGTGCGATCTACTGTATTGCTTTCGTACACTCATGGCCGTTCACTGCCTTCGTGTCTTCTTCGCTGTCCGTAGTCGGACTCATCTATCCTCAAGTGGTACTATGATCTCCTTCAAGTCGGTGCTGGTGTGCTAGGAGTACAAGTGCACGCCACGAGGAGAAGCTGAACTGCGACATTGTCTTGCTTCGCGTATGTATGCAGTCGTCCCAGATCATGTATGCGAGATATTAGTGTGCCTGCACTGTTTCAACGGCGACAACGGCGACACCGAATCGCGTAGTACGTATAGACGGAGGTGTCCCACCAACGGTGGTACATCTCGTACATAGGGCAACGTCGCTCGTCCAGTCCCTTCATATTTCTGTCTCTCGCCGTCAGAACGCCATGCGCAAAATGCGCCGCGTACGACAAGGCTACAGACATCAGTTGAACAGCGGTATGTATGGCAGCCTGTGGGCACTCACAGGACTCGATACACTGCTACCGGCGAGTGTACAGGATGAGGACAGTCAGCCTGACGTGTCCGGTGCATGCTCAGCGTCGTCCTCTCGCTGCACCTCTACTCCAATTATGGCCTTCTGGTGTTGTGTCGCTTCATGGATTTCATCCATGTTGCACCTCCACTTATCCAGCTCTGCGAAGCCATGCGTGGTTCTAAGAAGGGAACTACTCAGCGTGTCTCTGCCATTGCGGCGGACCAATTGTACCACGTACGTCAATATGCCCCGTCCATTGCAGCGCGGCATCTTCCGTCTAATGAGCTCGTCCCACCGGTTGCGCCGCTCTCGCGATGATGATTCTGTACCAATCAGTTCTTCAGGGAGGGTCCACTCATTGTCAGGGTTGTCGAAGCCTAGGCATATACCACCCGGTGTGATATCAGTGAAGCATTCTGCTTGCAACATGTCGTCCAATTGCAGCAAGGTACCGTCTTCCTCCACCATCGTCACCGCCCCATCCAAGTCGTTCGCTGCATGATTTTGACGAACGATAAGCACAACGGACATGGTAGTGAGATGCTTTGCAGGGATTCGAGAGACGATATGAGGAATCCAGGACCACGCAACAAAGGGGTGGTACAGGTAAATCCGCAATGTCCGCAAGCTTTCATGGTGTGACAGGTTGAGGTGTCGTTCTACTTGCATTCATAGTCAATCAGATAACCCGAGAGCGAACGGCGTGTACAACTTGCCTACAGTAGAATCAGCAGTGTCACTACCCATGGAAGAGTCAGGAATAATATAGAGCCCGAGGACTTCCACCGAGGCGGCACTTGCATACAACAAAGCTTGACTTCTGCTTAGTGCGGAGGATGATTTCAAGTCGCCGTCCACTCCGAGCTCGAGATGGTGCACTCGGGAAGCCTGGCTGATCTGCACCAAGGAGGTCTTCGACCGGGGGCGCAGCCCATCGCACGTCGAGAACCTCCAGATTTGCAGAGTTCAACGGGAGAGAGATAGGAGAGACTGAGTATTTCTGTGAGCAGTCGACATTGACGCACCATAGATTTCTTAGGCCAGGGAGTGCTGAGAGGAGACGCGCCAGTTGGGCGATGCTTGGCACGGTGACATTGGTGATGTCCAAGGTGTGGACAAGACGAAATGCGGAGAGATATCCAAAACATTCCATCCTCATAGAGTCAACGGTCCATTCCGCGTCCTCAATGTTGATCCTCGACAGCTCCGGGAGCTTCCCGGAAAGCATGGCTGCAAACGTTCCGAGATGTTGAATCGGTGAACGCTGGCCAGATCCATGACCCGTGATGGCGACCTGTTGGACGACACCGCGAACGCGTGGTCTCTCGCGGAGTGTCCTGGAAAGTGAAAGGACGTCGTTTCGGTCATGGAGGTTAACATGCCGACGGAGAGGGTACCAGGCGTGAAAGTACCAGTCCCTGCATACTAGTGCGCACGATTGAAGCGCTTGGAGATCTGGATACCCAGCCTCAAATGTGTAGTTGAGATCCACTCCCACCGCTAGATGGTCAATGATGCGTCCACAGATCTCGGTGGGCAACCGCGGAGTCGGAGGATCCTGTGATGACCCTCCGAGCATTGTCGACCCACTAATACATGTCCCGAATTAGCATGTCTCGCGCACCACCTGAATTTGACACCCACGTCGAGGCACCTTCTTCCATCTTTAGGCAATTAGTTAATTGACTTTCCAAGCGATTCGACTTCGTCCGAATCCTTTGCAAAGACAATTAGTTCGCCGCACAAGGAGGAGCCCTACCAGCAGCCGATCCTGATACCATGCCCATTAACATTGGTTCAAACGTACCTAATCGACGGTAAGCCCGTCGTTGAAATCAATGACACGAGAGGTCTTGCAGCTCGTCAGCACCTCGAGGCGATCACAACCTCTGAGTCTGATGTCTAGCGAGGCTGACAGTACTTTTTGCGAAGTAGATCACCTCAGCACGACCCAGACATCAAGGAGACAGGAAAACTCGCACTTATGATATCACCGATGACTCCTCAAAAACCTGGAAATGAGTCACGATCAGGGGGTGGACGGCGAAACTAGCTAGTGTGTAGCAGAGGCTAGATCTGGGCTAGACGAGGAGGAGGAGGAGGAGGAGGAGGAGGAGGAGGAGGAAGGAGACTGATCCTCGAGCTGGATCGGCAAGAGTCAAGACGCGCGCTACATTGACAGTCCGCCCGCCCGCCGCGCCCGCCCATTCGATATTTGTCCCGCGCCGTTGCGGACGCTGCTCGCGGCTCCAGTCTCCTCCAGACGATCCTTCGGCCCAACTTCGAACAGGGCACTGGCACCACAGCCTGCAGCGGGTCACAATCATGCTTGACTCGTACGTCGTGCCGTCGTGACCTTTACTCCGACCATCGCGACCTAGACTAGTACGTACGGCACTGGCAAGACAGCTCGCAACCTACTCACACTTCCTCGCGGCGCGTAACCACATCTCATCCGCAGATGCTGACTTCTGTCATGCGCAATGCGTTTGCTTCTGCACATGCAACCAGCGCACCTTCTCTGGGGAGGATCCGATGAACGAACTCGCCGTCAGCGCGCCTGTCCCTCCTTCCCTAGCCCGGCGTGCCTGCGCTCTCTGGGCGTACAACGCAGACGATTCGGTAAGCAATTACTCATCAATCCGTGACCATTCCACCACAACGTCTTCGTGTTTTACACGACGTACCGCACACCCAGGAACCACACGACCTATCCTTCTCGTCCTGTAAGGACATCGTCATCATCGACGAGACGAATGCCTACTGGTGACCAGCCGCTGCCGCGTTAGCCATGTCCTTTCCCCCTGCAGCCACGTCGAGAAGCTCGACAGCATCGCACCTGCGCAAGTCCCCCGCCCGTGCCCACTCAGGCTGCTGCACCGCATACCTGCTCGCGTACGCCCCGCCGCGCCTCAGCCATAATATGTGCGCCTCCACAGCCCGCGGGAAGCTCGTGTATCGCCCGCCGGCGCAGTCTAGATAGGTGAGGGCAAATCCCTGCCTAGGGCTATGCTCGCATTGGTCGGCTCCGTTGGGTACAAGGGAAGAAGAGCAAGTTCGGGGGCTCGGGAACACCGTCAGTTCCTTCGCGGTTCGTACCAACCGTCTCGTCTGCTGATTACCGACGGCATGGTCACCCTAGATGCGACGGACTTCGCCGCTGGCGGTGTCGCCTTTGGTGCCGGCGCCGCGATCGGGAGCGGTCTCGTCCACGACATCATCGGCTTCGTTTCTGTGGGCTGCGCCACCTACCAGGCATATTGGCTGCATGTGTATGGCCAGCCCGCTAATTGTGGACTAGCTGGTAATCTCTTTGCTTTACTCCGGTACTACGCTTGGGACGCGAGTAACGTGCTGCGGAGGCGTGGCCTTTCGCGGAGGGTCTTGGCTAGTGAAAGAACGTCGGTCCTGTCGCGTAGACGTACGCGCTGACGCAGATGGTACCACGTCAGAAAGTACCAGTCTCTACATACCGGTGCGCACGACTGAAGAGCCAGCATGTTTGGCTCGCCAGTCGAATTTGAATAAGCGAGATTCAATCCCATTGCTACGTGGTCGACGATTCGTCCACAAACTTCGTTGGGAAGCCGCGGAGCTGGGCCATCTAGAGGTGACACTGACGATCCTCCAAAAACGGTCGTGCTACTAGGATACGTCCAGTATCACCACGACTCATGCAACACCTAAACTTGGTACTCACGTCGCGGCACATCCTTCCATCTCGTGGTGATCAATGACCCACCGACTGCGACTGCGCTTTCGTCCGGAAAGAATTTGCAACTTGAAGAATGGCGAATTGGCGGGCCCAGGAGCCCACGAGGATCACCCTGAGCGGAGGAATCCCAGCAGAATATCATGTTAAACTACGGCCGTCGAAATGCAAGTGGTTCAAACGTACCTGACCGATCGTAAGCGCGTTGAATTGCACGCTTTTACCACGAGACTCTTGTAGTTCGTCCGCAGCGTAAGGCGATCGTGAACGTGTGATGTCGAGCGAGACTCCCAGCACGTTCTGGGAGGTAGGTCATCTCAGCACGACGAGGACATTGGCCACATGGCGGATCGAACTCGCACCATGAACAATCGCAATGAATCTTCGTTGCGCTGCAAGAAGGAAACTGGCGGAGCTGACAGAGGGTAGCAGGTGCAATGATGGCAAACATCGTAGTGAGTAGCGCTCACCGAACATGTAGAAGCACCCAAGAAGCACCGCATGTAGACATACGGACTCGAGAAGTCCCGTCCGAGTGATAGCCGCAGATCAAGCAGGCATCGGTGTGCTACTACCCGAGCGGCCTGCAACCAACGGTAAGATCGCCCCAATAGCACACTCCCATCGTCGAACTGTCTGGTCGGTAACATTTGGCCATCGGAGAGGACAGCTTATCGCATATATTCGACAGGTGGTACCGTACGGCGTACGCCGCTAGTACTCGATAGCGTATGCTTTCAAGCTTCATCGGGACCGGTGCATCCGCCCGCTTGTCGAGGAAGCCAGTGCCAGTGCGCTACCACAGCCATGAGTCCAGAACAGCGCTCACCTGCACGATGCACAGCACCGTGTCTCGCTACTCCATCAACTTCGGTGCAGAATTTCGTTCCCGTAAACATCGATCACTGGAATCCGTCCCTCTGCCTGTGCGAGGGTGCGCACACGCTTCGTATGTCAAGTTTCAACGCGGACGTGTGTGGACATTATCCATGGGAGAGGAAGCGTTGGTCTGGAAGATTGTGAGGAAAAGATGTTACTCGGAAAGCCCAAAGGAACTCACTGTAACAAGATCTCTTTGAGGTAGATTGCCATACTGATCTACTCAGAGAGGGGCTCAATTCGCGCGGAATCGCTTGACACGATACAATATACACGGCAGTGACGGCGCGACCATAACTCGAGGCGTGCGGCAATGAACAGTCTGCTACGGCTGTTTGAGATAGCGACCATGGGCAACTTCAAGGAAGCGAGTTCAGGTCTTCGACATGTTCAGGAGGAGTAAACGTATACGGACGCCGGTAGAATGGTTGGACAGAGCAGTCCGACAACTGGATGTCGGCAGAACGAGCGGGAATCCACTACTGACCTCTGAAGCAACGGCCAGTGTGAGGATCGTACGTTCGAGATAGCGACTAAGAACGAGGTCGACGTCGGGTGCAGGGACGAAGGAGCCTGAGACTCTCAGTGTCTCACTGAGAGGGCAGCAGCGACGTCGGATAAATATGTCGGAGGGGCCGTGCGCGGACCGCGCGGTGGCTGTGGCGACCTTCATCCTCCTCCTCCTCCTCCTCCTCCTTCTGAGCCTCATAAGCTCAAATTGGTACAACAAAGAACACAAAATGTAACACATAGCTTGCTCAGCTCACGCGGTTTCCTCTAAAGGCCAATGGCTCCAGATACACAACATCCCAATGAGCAGGGGCACGTTGGAAGGTGCGAGTCCGGGAAGGCGTGCAGCAGATCTGGCGAGCGCAGCGAGAAGCGATCGAGAATATCGACGCCAGCTCCGTCTCCTCCCACCTCGCGATTACACTGTAACATCTGCCGTGAATCATCAATCATCTCTCCCCTTAGCATGGAGATCAACAGAAGTCTTGGATAGCACTCCGAATGAGAATGACTCGAACGATCACTGGGTTATCGCTGTTCGGACTGGTCGAAACGGTATGACGTTCACTAATGCAGCAAAGGCCCACTTGACATTCACGGCAGAGGGCGCACCCAAAGCCCTCCCTAGCGTAACACAGATCCATGAGCCAAAAGGAGAAAATGGATAGAACAAGACGCGGAACTCACCTTCACGAACGCGGTGAATGCAGTGCTCGGCCAGACCTGCTCAACCCGCTGGCGACCCTTACCCTCTTGCCACTGTGGTGGTGGACAGGCGCCCCCTGGGATCGCCTCGGGGACTAGCTCAAAGCCCGAGAAGCGCTGGAGGAGGCGAACCAGCATGAACGACGCTTCGTTCAACGCGAAATTCTGACCAGGGCACTACAAATCATCCAGGAAAGGTCAGTACTCATCCTTGGTTTCAGTCATTGAGGAGGCTCACCGAGCGCGGACCGGAGAGAAACGGAACATACATGGACGGCCGGTCTTCAACACGCGCAAGCCGCTTGGGGTCGATCCACCGATCGGGATCGAACTCGTCCACGTCCTCTCCCCAGAGGTCGCTGCGCCGGTGGAGGTTCAGCATTGCCCAAGTGACGCGAGCCTTTCCAGGGAGGTATAGCGGCGGCTTGCCATCCGCACTCGGCAGGAGAACCTCGTGAATGGCATTGCGGATCCCAAATGGCGCAACCGGGAACAGGCGGAGTGTCTCATTCAAAACAGCCTTCACTATTAAGAGAAGCACAGGATGTGAGTAGCAAAAGAGGTGAGCACGGTGAGGGCGTACTGTAGGGCATTTTTCGAATGAGATCGTACGACGGGTTGCCCTTCGCTCCACACAGCTCGAAGATTTCATCGCGTAGACGTTCTGTGACCGCTGGGTACATAGTAAGTAGGTACAGTGCAAATGTCAGGAGACCGGCCGTCTATGGACGGATTAGTTAAACCATATGATTTGAGCGTAAGACCAGGACAATCTCACCGTGTCACGACCTGCCATCAGAACATTGAGCAAGCCAAACCGGACTCGCCCCCCGTCTGCCAGCAGCAAGAGACGAATTAGATGAGACGAAGAAGTCATATAGATAAAAGAGCGAACCATGGGTATTCTCAACTAGATTCTCCAACATCGTCCGTTCGGCTCTCTGACGCTGGATACCCTGTGCACTCTCCTGTCTCTTCCGCTCCAAGGCCTCCTCAACAATAGGTTTGATCCATCTTGTGATGACATCTACATGCGGCGATGTACGGTCGCCCATGATTTCGTAAAGCGGGAAGAATGTTTGCAGCCTCCACCGAAGCGCGATGACCATCTGGATTTCCTCAAATGAGTATAGAAACGTGCCGAGCTGGCCTTCTGTCACTGCGCCCTTTGAGCCAATATTAGCCTTGTATGGGACAGGACGCGGGCCGTCTAGTGCTCCGGGGGACGCGCCCAGGAGAAAGGAAGACGCGGCGTCGAGTGTGAAGCGGCCGAAGAGGTCCTGAATGTCGATGGGCTCGTGGGCGCATGCAGAGGAGGAGAGGATGGAAAGTACACGGTCTGCGTGTTCCTGAAAGATATCGAAGTCAGAGATGCGTTCCTTGTTGAGGAATGGCCGGATGAGGGCGCGTTCCTACAGCACCGCACACGGCCACTGATCAGCATTTGAAGCGCTGGATTGTTCTCAAGAACACATACTGTTCTCCATTCAGCACGGTCCCTGGATAGTGTAGGAGTCAGCCCCCAGAAATGCTAGTCGGTATTGTAGCACCCACATTACGAAGACACCTCGGCCCAAAAACGAGCCCCTAGAAAACACTGAGTCACGATCATGTGGGACCGAATGCAGGAATGACTTCACGTACATCTTCTCGAGGGTCTCAAACCCACGCTTGAAGGACTCAAATTGTGTCTGATGCACAGTACGCATATGTAGGTCATCCCGCGTGATGATCTATGTAGCACACAGTCAGATATTACTGCAGGGGAAAGTGTAAAGACTCACGTTGTCATGCCAAAAGATACGAGTGTTGAGTGTATCGACACCGTACTCGTCGAGTATTTCACCCATTGCCTGCGAAATATAGCCTTCTCGCAAGTCTTTGGCGAACCGCATCATGATGTCAATATTCCCGGGCAATTTTCCCTTAGCCCTTGGTATCGGCAATGCCCCGAGGTGTCTGGCACGTCTATCGTCTATCCAGATCGAATAATGAGAAGTCAAGAATATCCACAACGGGATGGACAACGCGTAAGCGAGAGTTGTAACACCCCCAGACATTGGACGATGAATGAAGTAGTTGAGCACGAGGTAAGTCAGGATGAACGGCGGCGACAGCGACTTTGCAGCACCGATGAGGAAGCGTGCGCGGTACCACGTCGGGGGCAACTGGGGCTTCATGGTTGTCTCTGTAGCGACTTCAGAGGTGTTGGGAAGTGGGAAAGGACAGTGTGCCCACCTAAAGAAGCACAACCATCGATGCCAACTGTCACTGGTTTAAGTTCATCTTGGTGCCCACGAGCAACAGGGCAGCTGCACAGATGCAGTATCGAGCGTGTCCGTTTCAGGATTACGGATGTCCGGGGCGCTCGCAGTGCTCCCAGAAGACCGATGAGCGACGTCTATCGCCGTCTTTTGACTTGTTTGGTACTTACCATAGGCGTTGACGTCTTCTGCTATTCAGTCTCAACGATGAGAGTCGCCGTTCGTGCGAGAGATAGCCGGAGGGCTGTGTTTCGACTCCAACCCTACGCGTGAACGTGAGAGGCGCCGCGTGGAGGTCTTGAATTGTGACTAAGTAGATCTATTAGCTTTAGAGTCCGTATGCTCAGATGAACACAATACCGATATACGAAGGAGCACTGAATCCTACGTACTGATAGCAGCTCGTCAAGTCGTCTCTCATAGACTTCGGTCTTCCATTGCAGAAGCACATGGCCCACTGTTGTCACGTTCTTGCTGTTATCTGACAAGCGAACTCAACCTGCGATGAGAAGTTAATACCGTGCAGAACAGCGCTGGTAAAGAAGTTGTCCACATACTGAGACTTATAGTACCCGGTGCACTCGCGTGATTGTGAAAGTAATGTGTTCGCGGCCCCGTTTCCTCATTCCGTTGGAGCGACATACTAGAAGCTGTGCGCGATTGAGGTACGAATTGAGCTTGTGAGATCCGACCTGATTGCGGCATACTGGTAGACGAATACAACGAATGTCAGGCAAACGGTGCACTGGACGCGTGGTTGTGCGGCGATGCCACCCAAGCGTTGTCGGATGGGGGACTGACAAACCTTGTTGTGCGAGCACTGAGTAGTACTGAGCACTGATCGAAATCTCAAGGCCGATCAAACCGACCTATCGACAACGTCAGAGAAGCAACGCCTTGGCTGATACGTTCGCTGGACAAGTACACTCACCAGCAACTATATCGCGCAACTCGCAACGGATTGAGTCGACAAATGCACGGTATGCAAGGTTTGCACGTTACTGCTATGTCCGAACCCTTGAGCTCGATAGATGCAGTCTCCAACGACCAGCAACACGAATCTTATGTTATACACATGTACACTTACAGCAGGGCGACATAAGCCGAGTAGGCAAAGATGTAGGGTGGCAGGGCGCATATGGGGCTGATGTCACAACAGACAGACATGCGCGGTACCACACTATACGATGAGGCGCAGCCCCAACCAGACTCGCTGATCGCAGGAATCGACCTCTCAGGAAATAGTCTGAACCGAGAAAGCGAACACCATCAGCATCCATTTGACCCCCCTGACCGCGCAACCACTCACCGTCCACCGCCCTTCACACCAGATACCCACCCGCCGCGTCCTTCCTTGCCTCCTTGTCCTCCTCGTCCGAAGCGACGAAGCGACCCGAGCCGACAACCGTACCACTGAACATCGACGCGGTCGAGTCCTCGGTGTAGTTGCTGAACGCGCTGTGCGCCGGGCGCCCAGGCGCGAACGACAGCGACGCTCGGAACGCGCTGCTCCCCGTCGTCGTCCCGCCCGTCGCGACGTTTGTGATTACGCGCTGGCGCAGCTTCTCGCGCGCGTTGAGCCTGTGTGAAGGGGGTGTGAGGGTGGGTTGGTGCGCGTGGGAGGGTTGGGTGAGGTGGGGTGGACGTACGTTGCGAGCGTGGAGTTGACGTAGCATTTGCTGACGACGAAGTAGAACATCGTGTCCCAGTAAGTGCTCGGGAGCGTTTCTGACTACAGGGCGGCATCCTTCAGTCCTGACCATACACAGAACGACAAGGCACACACCAGGATGATAGTACAGATTGCCGACAGGCTGACCAAGCAGGCTGCATGAGCACAGTACATCTACCTGTCGCTGACCGGAATGATCACTCACGTCGTCAACAAACCCGTGTTCACCGTATACTTGATGAGCACATGGATCATCCTGTCCGAGCTGCACCTCAAACGTCAGAACTCCCAACGTTTGATACCGACCCGTGGACTCTCACCTAGCGATGCCCGAACGGCCGAGATACAAGTAATAGCACATGGAGAGCGTGATGAGCACGTCCCCCGCGATGCTGCACGCGAGCGCGGCAGTCGATGCCCACTGGAATGATACGAATCGTCGTCAGCGCGAGCTGAAAGGCGTGAAGTGAACGAAGACGCACAATGATCGTCTCGATTGTCGCGGCGAGCTGCGTGTGCTGCCTAAGCGCAGATTGACGAGTGAGCTTATGGAGAACACATCTATGATCACGCTCGGAGCTCACCCTGCTGCGGTATAGTCTATGTAGGGAGAACATGAAGTTGAGTATGTCACATGGGTGTATCAAGGAACGGATGATACGTACACACTCCAATCACTGTTGGTGCAGACTCACACAGTCAGCGCGTATACATGGGGTCGACCCAGAGATCGCGTACCAAACTGAGACAAGGCACATAGCATCTATGATGACCATGTCAGTGAAGCCTCTCTAAGTGAATCGAACGGGGCGACGTACAATAAGTCCAGTCATCCAACCGTTACCTCGACTAACTGCGAAGAGTCATGTACTCATCAGACATGCTCAGGATAGAGAGATATGAGGGCGCGTACGTATGTATACACGCATGGCGAAGAATCTACGCAATCCGCGTCAGCGTCCAGCACAGTGCCTGTGCATATAGCAATGTAACGCACGTTTGTACAAGGAAACCAATTGAGGACTGTCCGAGGGTGAGATTGCCAGCAAATGGATGCATATGTTGTTGTACTCACAGTCAATCCTGTCTCCAACTGAAGCACGCGTCAGCCCAAGTCGATTCGAGGGCGGACGAACTTACACCAAGACTCCAAGGGATGTATTGGAGCGCCATCGGGTTGGCGTAGTTGCCGATGAGATACCACCAATTTGCATGGACAACAGTGACAAGCTGAAGGGCGTCTAGAATGCTATTGAAACTTCACAATGGTGTTGTCCCACAAGACGACTGGGACGCACGTTATGACAGCAACCTTGACACCGGCCTTCAGTATGTCGTCGAGAGCATTGAAGAGAGGACTCACGAAGAGTTTAAGCCACCAGGCATCGGACCAGTAGCGATCATAGTACTGATACGTTTGCAATAGTGTGATCCCGAAGAAACTGTAGAAATCTCATGTTAAGATATGTTCTCGCCGGAGAACGAGAACACGTACGTAGAGCTGAAGAACATGCCGATTATAATGGCACCCATGGTCGATCTCACAATGGGCCCTAGCGCAGCTATCTCGGCAGCGGTCGCCGACATCTTCGTACGAATTCAAGGGATCCGGAAAGTCAATGCACAGAAAGAGCGAAAGGGATGGGGACCAGACCGGGAGGCGGCGTCGGAGGATAGAGCGGGGACGAGGGAGGCATGTAATATAAGTATGGCGAGTGGTGCATTGGGTGATCCGGGCGTTGCGCGTGATGGTCTCGAGAAGCAGGCATGATGGCAGCACGCAGCCACTAGCCAGCAGCCGAGAGACGTCGCGACGATAAAGCCACCCGCCACCGCCGCGGACCCGCTTGTGACCTCTCTTCACCCGCCCACACGCCGGCGCCGGCGCTCCCTCAGGGTCCTTCTGTCCCCTCTCGTCGGGCGGCGTGTCGGAATACTTGCTGTTGACATTGACCCAACATTGACCACTCTCCTTGCCATGCACACCTGGTGAGACCGAGTGATCAGTCTATCAAATACTAGCCCACTAGCTATTTCCCAGAACCTGATCGTCTGATGTTGAGCTGTTCCGTCGCGAGCTGCTCTGAGCTGCTCCTGGTCTGTGACGGTTTGACTTTCAATCTGTAGACTCACAGATCCGGAAGTTCACTCGACCACATACAGTAGAGTAAGTAGCCGCCTCGGCCCGATGAGGACGGGACTCGGAGTGACGCATCTCGATCTCCCGCCTCCGTCACAATCCCGCCGGGGGCAAGTTCGTCTCGTCCCCTCTCCCTCTCTTTTTCCCTCACTCGGTTGTCGTACACGAGTGAGACACTGACTCATCTGGTCTCTCCGGGGAGATACGAGCTGATACGAGGCAACATTTGGGGAGGACTTAGAGAGAGGATCCATTCAGCCGCCGATCCATGTCGGAGAATCGGCGTCTTGACAGTGACCCGTTCCTCGGGCGCTTGAGCGATGTTCGATGGTGCCGGCACTTGGCGGCCGGCCGGCGCTAGCAAGGTACCGGTGTTGGTTACGACTCCGAGGCTCGAACTTCGAAGGAAGGTCGCATATGTAGGACATATATATTGAGACAGCAGAGTTCCTGCACGTCGAGGCCGTGTCCTTGCGTGCACGTCAACGCCACTGGTCCGCCAGAGTTGCTGCGTCGAAATATTCAAGCCACCGATCGAGAATTCGAGGTTCGCACGATACCTCGAAGGGAAAGGGGATCCGCAGACTGGCACTATATGTGTGCAGCGACGCAGTCAAAAGCGGAGCTGATCCACCAGCGTCATGCATCATGTATTCGAAAGCACAGAAAACGCAAGCAAGCTTCTGTGCATGCAATAACTGACTTCTTACGAAGTTACCGTCTTCGGTCGTCCAACGATATAACGCCGAGTCGACAGGCTATGGGGTTTGGTGGTGTCATGAGAGTACACGGGTGGGTGAATCTATGCATCTCATCGCCATCATGAGGGAGGCGGATAAGCGTTCTGTAATATGGAAACAAGTTCACGTAGTCTTGCAGCGGGAACGAGCATCATCCGCCCACCCATATCCAAACCGAACCCATTCTCCTCACGCGGCTTAGTATTTGTGAAGTTGTAATCGAGTGAGTGCAAAGCAATCTAAACCGCGGTATGAGAAAAGACGCTACGAGGCAGAGAAAAGTGCCACGCGCCTTTTGTATCTGTTCATCCTCTGGATGGAAAGGGTACACCCCACCGGATGAGGGTTGTTGGGCAATCTGCTTTTGTCGCTTGGAGCGCGGGGCCGGACCCTGCAACTCAGCCTCTTCTTCCGGCGAGAGGCGGTATATTCGCGACATCACGAGCAGGTGCGTGAAGTTGTACGGCTCGTTCTGCAAGTGTGCCGACGAGATTAAGAACACAGCGGCATACATCGACTGTGCAAACTTACATCATCCAGTGCCCATTGTATCTCGTCTGTAAGCATGCGGTACATGTGCGGCATGACTTGTACGGGCATGTTGATCAGCCTCTCGGAGAAGACAAATCCAACATGAGATGAGGACGCAGGATCGAGCAGATTCTGCAAAGCGCCATGGAATGCAGGGTCGGCCGAGGATTTGGCCAACGCATATTCCGTCAATGCTTTGATCGAGGGGTGATTCTGCGGGCCGGGCAGGTATACTCAGTGCCGTCTGAACGTTAAGTTTTGGATGAATACACATACTTGGTGTACTTGCATGTTGAGGACAGTCAGAACGGCGTATGGGTCGCTCTCCCGGCCGTCACATTTGACGGTAGTGCCGACAAGCGGTTGGGACAGAATGAGGTCCGCAAGATCATTGACATGGAGGAGTTCTGCGTCGCCCTGGAAGAGCTGTGTTGCGAGCCGCTTGAGGGCGAGGTAGTCGACGTCCGGGTGCGGATCGAAAAAGTCGAAATCGACGTCCACGAGGCTCTACTGGCCCGCCGTGAGCTTATCGCGCCGGCAGATACACGGAGGAGACGCGGCGAGAGGAGACCTACGCGTTCGCTGGCGTCCTCGCCGTCCGAGTCGAGCTCCGGGTCAGCTGCGAGCGACTTGCGTTTCGCCATGGCGGAGACGGAGGAAGGCAGGCGAAAACTGGGCAGCGGCGCGCGCGGAGGAGGCAGGCGTGACCATCGCGCGCGCCGAGCTCCGTGCCCTGTCCGTGCCTGCCTCCGCGTCCGCTTCCTTAGGATTCTCGCCGTCTGCGCTGTCTATTACATACCGCGGGCCTCGCCCCCTATCGCGAGCGATATAAAAGGCGGCATCCTCGAGTCATGCTCTGATAGCTTCTACTCGTTCCGTCCCCTCTGCGGGCATGGCTCCCATGATGTCGCTCAGACTGGCGTGCAGGCGACTCGGACACCCTCGGACGACCTGGCCGCATGCATCCACGCCTGCACGGACCCTTGTGACACTACCTCGCCCTGTTGTATCATCACCGCGATTGTTCCGAGCTGGCCTGGTCGCTGCAGGTGTGCTAACGACCTCGCTCGTTCTTGGGAGTGTCTGGCCTCTCCATGCAGATGCGCCCGTCGCAGAGGCCGAAAAGGCATCCGAGAGGCCTCAGAAGCCTCTGTCGTCTCTGGTTCGGTCGTATGTCGTGTATTCTATGTGCTCCGTCCCTGCGCTCGTAGACTGGGCACCCGCTATACTCAAAACTCTGACTGCTATCCCTGGGTTCAAGCAAATCACGGAGGCGATCGTGCGGGCCACTTTCTTTAATCACGTACGATGCCTATTCTCTGAGCAGCGAATCGACTATGAACCTGACGATCTTCCAGTTCGTTGGAGGAGATACTGCAGAGGACTGTATCCCTCTTCTCGAGCAGCTGCGCGCCGAGGGGAAGGGCTGCCTGTTCGCGTATAGCGTCGAGGTCGACGAGGCGGAAGCGGCTGGTAGCTCTAAGGAGCGTGCCACGGCAGCGAAGGAGACCGTCAGGCAGATCTTTGAGGAGACACTGCATTGCATAGACGTCGCTGCTAACTTCGAGGACATACATGCAAGTAGCGCGGACAGCGTGAAGGGGCGAAAAACGTGGGTCGCGATCAAGCTGGTGCGTCCTCCGATGTCCTCTGGATAGTCGCTCGCGCTGCTGTCTTACAATGACATCGCCACGCTTCATCAAATCGTCATAGACCGCAATGGTACCCTGCCCAGAGACCCTGCACAACTTCTCGAAGTATTTGGTTGCGACGCGTCCCACGTCTTCACCGGCGATTCTCTTCCCTGGACAACCCCATCCGAGTGACCTCGACGTTCTCACCCTGTCTAGAGCTTCCAAGGAGGCGCTATCGCAGGAGGATGTCGCGGATTTGGCGCAATTATGCGATGACTTACGTGCAATCTGCACGAAAGCGAAGGAGCGCGGCGTCAAGATCATCATGGATGCCGAGTACAGGTTTGTTGACCGCTTTGACTGCGTGTGCTCTCGCTCATAGTTTTTTGTTGTAACCTGTTAGCTGGTACCAAGTATGTGCTCATCTGTTGAGTCACACCGGTACTTTCTGAACGTGGGACATCTAGCCTGCAGTAGATGCCTTTTTGCTTTCCCTCCAGCGAGAGTTCAATGCACTCCCTCGTCGCTCATCCTGGTTCGGCAAACCTCCCACCCAAGTGACAATACAACCGGTCATCTACCAGACTTACCAGGCGTATCTGAGGAGGTAAGGCTGTTCGGCTCTCGAGGTATATCCAGTCAAATGAGTCCCTCGCTCAGGACACCGGAATATCTGAAGCAAAGCATCGCGGTTGCCCGCGCGGAGGGCTACGCGCTCGGCGCGAAGCTTGTCCGCGGCGCATACCACCCACACGAACTCGCCGCCCACGCCTCTTCTGCAGCTTCCTCACTCGAAGGCTTCGGCGACGCCAGTGGCCTAGGCATCTCGCCAGATCCCGAGCCACCCGTATGGATCACGAAGGCAGAGACGGACGTGTGCTATGACGCGTGTGCGGCACTACTGCTGGACGAGGTGCGGAAGGACGTCAAGCGCGAGGTCCCCAGCGTCGCCGTCCTGTTTGGCACGCATAATTGGAAGAGTGTAGATGGTATTCTGGAAGGAATGGCGAGGAGGGGCCTCGCGAGGCGGGAGGGCGGCGTGCTGGAGGTGACAGAGGAGGTCGCTGAGAGGGTTGCGATGGGGCAGCTGTACGGTGCGTGGTCGATGTCTGTGCTCTGAGAAAGCATCGGCTGATGGATCGCTGCGTGTAGGTATGTCGGATGCGCTGTCAGACTCGATCGTCGAGCGGACGCACTGCAGCTCGCCCTTCCTGCTGAAGTACATCCCGTACGGTGCGCTCTCGGAGGTGGGTCTCTTTGATCTAGTCTGTGTGTACATCTCATGAATATCGCCGGCTAGGTCATGCCATATCTGAGCAGGCGGGCAATAGAGAACAAGTCGGTGCTAGGGAACGGTGCGGCTGCCGAGGAACGGAAACGCGCCGGAGAGCTTATATGGAAGAGGCTGTCCGGCTGAAGGTCCGGGATACGTCTGAGTATTGGAATCTGACTAACAGCACAGGGCTTTCAAGTAGAACTAGAAGATCCATCCATCCAATTGCAGGGTGTCGGTAACAAGGACGTGATTCCGGCACGGTTCTCTTGATGAGTCTCGGATATTGAATGGGTTGCACGCCAGGATGACGGAGCGGAGGGCTGATAGCAGTGATTTGTCGTTCAAAGATTCAGCAGCCGCGCTTGGTCTATGTGGTCCCGATCCTATTAGCTTGTAAGCAGCTTGTATGATGTGCAGTTCATGATATGTAGTCATGGTACCTCCAACTTGAATGCGCCACCTGTTCAAGTTTGAGCGTTGACGGCCATTGAGCGCAATCCTATGTTGGCATACCAAATGAACGCACTCTATGACACAGTTTGGAATATTTATGCGTAAATGAGTAGTAAGACACGATGCCCAAGATGAACGTCACGAAAAGCTGGGACCCAAGATGAATAGTAGGGTCCGCATAGCTCACTTCCGACTTCAAGGTATGTCCATACGTTCATGCATGGTTGGAGAGTATGAAATGGTACCAGTGTAAGTGAACGTACGATCCCCCGTTTCAAGACCCCAGTACATAGTAGTAAGCGATGCATGCAGAGGCATCGATTCAGTGTGTCGTCGCGCAGCACACCTCGGCTTTACTGCAGCTAAAACGGACGTCGAAGACGTGAACCAACCAATGAAAAGGCTGCCATGCGTATCGATCGCGTGCGAGTAAGGTCAGAGATGTGCTTTGAACATTTGAATGCTTTAAGCCAAGCTTTGTTTGTATATGTGAATTCCTAATCCTACATCGTACACGGAGCACAGCGCATGCTCAAGTTGTTCCACAACTAATGGCCGCTACTCTTATGTCTCCTCCTCCCCGGCGTCCGCCCATCCACCCCTATCGCGCATGCCGGCGCCAGCACCGACATTAAACTTGCTCTTGGCCTTGCGGCCCTTGAGCTCCTTGTACATCTCGCGCATCTCGTTCTTCGACGGCCGGGACTCGCCCTCCGCATCCATGCGCCACTTGTCTTCGCGCACCTCACGCGGTGTCTGCGCGCCGGAGCCCCCTGGAGTGGACCGGCCGGAATACGAGTGGAATATGGGGCCGAGGGTGTCGTTGTCGCGAGAAGCGAGAGTCTGGAGGTGGGTTGTCCGCTGCATGGCCGATTAGCATAGATCGGAGGTCTGCGTAAACGCAATCACATACCCAGTTCTGCTTCGACTCGCGCTTGGTCCACTTGCCGGGCGGGAGACTATCGTCATGGAAGTTCTCCTTCCGGTAGTGTTGGAACCAGACTGGATACATCCGTCAATACCTGACTATAGCAACTGTTGATGTGACAACTAGACGTACCATAGTTCAATGTCTGACTCCTATTCCACTTCTTGGATACCCGCGAGCACCGCGCAAGCTCCTTGACTGAGAGCTGCGAGAAGACGCGCTGCGAGACATCCGTGGGGAACGCTCTGAGTGGATCACTCGGCAATCCCGTGGAAGACGAGGCGATGTGGAATGGCCGACGAGCAGCGCTGCGAGGTGCAGGTGACGATGGACGCGAGGGCGCTCGTGACGCAGGGCGGGTTCCAGGTGCAGAGACCTACGAATGATCAGCACAGATAGAGGTAAGGCAACAACCATCGTACGCACCACGCCGACTATCTCCTCGTCGCTCTCAGGATCTGCGCGCTGTGTCTGCAGACGTTCCGTGATCGAGACCGTGTTCCCAGTCTGATCGATCGTCTGGGTGCGGAGGACGTCTTGCAAGAGACTCATACTGGGCGATAAGTTCTTAGAGATTTGTACGGTGAAGTGTACGGTGAAGTGTAGACTTTGAGTGCAGAGATGATGATGGTGATGAGGGAAAGCCGGGCTCGTTGGTGGGCCTTATATGCTGTTCGGGGAGGAGAGCGGATGGCTCAGTCGGCGCACCGCTTCGTAATTACGTCACACCTCAGATCACCCGAACAGGCAAGTTACTTTGCTCCGCCTCCTCTTCCGCGCACTCTGAATCCGTCGCCGTTGTCCAGAGCAACCTCGAGCAGCCTCGAGCGTCGTATAACCAACCCTTGCGAGTGCTTCAAGCCGCATCCGCTACCGCTTTAATTTCAGTCTGAACCGACCATTCCGGACTCTCCACTTCCCATTCACCCATCCGCTGAGTGGAGTCAGCGCCCACACCGGGTCGTCTGAATCTATGTCGGAGGCTTTACTTATGACTGTGCTCGTCTGCGTCGAGAACCGAGTCTGGGCCTCGCACATCCGAAGCCGACGGGCCCGTGCAGAGTTCTTGCCCACTTTCTAAATTTTTGACGGTGTCAATTATACAACATCCGATTCAGCCTCATGCTACATGTCCAGTCATACAGTGGTCATAGTGTAGAGTCCGTGTTGTCGATTCAAGGTTGGGAATGCAAAGAACGACTATTGAAAGGTTATCGAGGTCCACAGGCGGGATGCGCATTCCAGTCCCGTGTGGCGCCACAGAAGCACGAAGGCGGAACAAAAGCGGTCTTCAGAGAGTATGCACGGATATTCACTGCGGAAGGCATTTCGCGGCCCGCAGCATTTGTCGGATCCGTGGTGTATCAGGCTTGATCGTCCCATCCGAGGGCGCGAAGTCTTTCTGTATCCTCACATATCGGCGGAAAAGCACCCTGAATTGCACAACCTGCCATACAGGAGTCAGACATCGTCAGCGCTGATACCTAAGTCCGATCAGCTCACCTTTGGTCTGTCGGGTGACTCGACGCGTCGCATGACGCTGCCGCAATACCAACCATCGTATGCGTACACCCAGACTGACTCTCCTTTCTGTGAGAGATCGATAGGTCAGTCGCGTCGAGCACTTGAACGTCAACTTGAATGGGGGTCGCCTACCTCAAAATCGTACCCCAGTAGTGGCGCATTGAGATAATCGTGAGCGGATTGCTCGTCGTCGGACTCGTCGGACTCGGATTCTTCTGTGGCAGAGGGCTCGACGATCTCCTCGTCGTCCGATAGCTCTGTGAGATCCGACAACGACTCATGATCAGACACGCCGCCACTTGTGCTGGCGCTGCTTTCCCGCTCGTGTTCCGTTCTGTGGTGCACGCCAGCGAGGGTACCCTCCTTGTATCCGAGCCCCGTACTGTAGCGCGTTGTGAAGCCCATCATCGACATATCTCTGAGGGATTCGCTGGATGGTGTGATGTGTGACTGTGGGGGCCGATGAGCTTGCGATAGTATTCGAACAGATGTGTAAGGGCGCTTTGCGAGTCTCAACAGAGATAATAACCAGTGGCGTAAGCGATGGCGATGCGCCGGATCACGTCCAGGAGTGGGGTGGCAGGATGGAGTGAGACGAGGACAAGAGCACGGAAGGAACCTTCCTTTATATCTGTAACCCAGCAACGTGTGGCCGCACCGTCCTTTGTTGTTCTGTGGCGAAGCGCGCTAAGCCACAATGCGATACAATCTGCAGGTGCCCGATATGGCAAGCCTTTGTTAGGGTCACAACAAAGCAGACTGAATTCGTACGCCTCGAGGTGGACGCGAGGTTCGCGTGCCGCTTGAAACCACTTGCTCAGCTGACGGAGAGGATGAAGAAGATGCGCACCGGACAGAGCAGGAAGTTGTTGCTTGGAGCGGAGGACAAAGACGAAGGGCGTCGAGTGTTTCTCATGCGTTCTGAGTGGATTGGCAGTGAGTGCTGTGTCTGACTGAGTTGCTCTTTGGCTAGCCACGAAGAGAGTCAAGCGCCATACCCGAGGAAGCTTGAGAGACCATACAAGGTTCGGATAGCCTCATGCAGGGCAGCGGAATGAAAACCTAGCCTGAGAACACCCAGAATTAAGACATACAGTAAAAGTGGTGCGCATCCGTCATTCTGCGGGCAAACAGCATCAATATATGGGAGGTACCGCTATAGCATACGTACAGCCGAATAGATACGCTGTGCCACTGAAAAGCGGTGTGAAAGCGGTGTGAAGGATGGTGGATGGTGACTCGAGTGAGGGTAAAATACGGCATGGCCTGCAGCCACATGCAGCATCTAGGCGAAGGTGCTCAATTCTCCAGTGATTTGACCTTCCATTGTGTTGTGGTGTACCGATAGGTGATGAGCAGGCAGTGAGAGTCGAGATCTGAGCTCGAGACGAAAGCGTCGTGCCCGCTCCCGCCGAACGCCTCCGACGCTTGCGAACGCGCCGGTGGCTGAAATGCTCCAGAATACATCACGTGCGCTAGGCGAGGGCGCGCCCAAGCCTCGAAGCTCGCGGTCGAGCGGAACTCAAGTCCCTTCCACCACATCCTCACCCTCTTTGTTTCTTTCAGTTCGCTCCCGTCATGACGAAGACATACATTATGAACGGGCTCATCGAGAAGGTAGTCTTTTGTAGTCCCCGATCTGCATCGACTGACGCGTGTGCTGCCACTCAGATGCAGTCCTCCGACCAAGACTTCCGGTAGGGTGCCTGAGGTGACGCGTCCATACATTGCTCATGGTGCTGGGTTTAGGTACATGGGTCTCAATGACCTCCTGGTTGCGATCAAGGAAGATCCGAATACGTTCCTCGGCGATGAGCCAACGGAGACCAAGGTCTTGCGCCAGGTCCTGGCACTTGTGGAGGATAAGATCTCTGAGGTGAAGAACCAGGCCGTGAAGTGGTGCGCAAACACCCTGTATGGCTGCTGAGATGGGCACTTACGATCGCTCAGCCTGGGTCAGCTCATCAAGATCATCCGGGAATCTCAGATGGAGTATGTGGTGGATAGGCTCATCGACTTTTCGTCAGGCAAGGACGATGAGTTGCGAGATATATCGAGTTTGGGTAAGTGCTTTCCTCTATCTCTGCGCTCGTTTCTGACTTCATGATCAGCGCTGAAGACAATCACGTCCGAGCTACCACCAGAAGGCAAGATTGCGTCTAAGGCATGTGAGAAGCTCGCGCCCAAGCTGCTATCGCAATTGGCCAAGGTACGTCTGTGCGAGCACGACTATCGTAGATACGGAATATAACTGACATGCTATGTGCAGCCCGACACGCCACCAGACACACTCCTTGAGACGCTTTCCATCCTGTCTATCCTGATCACTCGCTTCCCCGGTTACCTCGGAAATCCCGACCTGCAGCCGCAGCCATTGACCGTGCTCACGCCAATGCTATCGCATTCGAGGATAGCCGTCCGCAAGCGCGCAATCACAACTCTTGCCCAGTTCCTACCGAGTACGCGTGTCGAGCTCTTCCAAGAACTGTTGTCTGGAAAGGTGCTGCCTGGTCTCACGCCATCTGCGAAGGTGGAGGAGCAGCGCACGACCGTTCAGCTCGTGGCCGCGATCGCGCGTCATACGCCACATCAAATAGAGCCCGTACTGGGCGAAATCGTTCCTGCCATCAACAAGGCTCTTCAGCGGGATGACGAGGAGCTACAAGAGAGTGCATTGCAGGTATGTACTCGTATCACAGAAGTGAAGGGAGGTAGTTAGTGACGTCCCGCAGGCACTGGAAGTGCTAGTTCTACGGTGCCCTACAGCGGTCACACCGTTTTTGTCCTCCATCATCCAAGTCGGAAACCAGTTCATCAAGTATGATCCTGTACGCGTATTCTTAGCATATCTGTGCATTGTCTCATGTTTCGCAGAATTATGCAGGCGGGGACGATGATGAAGACGAAGAAATGGCAGACGAAGACGACGACGAGGCTGAATTAGACGACCAGTGCGTTCGACTGACCGTTTTGACTCGCGCGTTCTCATTCAACTCACTCCATAGATACTCCGACGACGAGGACATGTCGTACAAGGTCCGCAGATCCGCAACAAAACTACTAGCTGCTATCATCGCGACGCGCCCAGAGCTGCTCACCACGCTCTACAAAGAGGTTTCTCCGGTTCTGATCTCCCGTTTCGGTGATCGTGAGGAGACTGTTCGCGTCGAAGTTTGGTCAACATACGGTGTCCTTCTCCAGCAAACGCGAGTGTATGGGACCAGCACGCAGCAGAACGATGTGGCTACCATCGGCGGCAAGCGAAAACGGGCAGAAGGCATGGAGGTGGAAGAGACGCCGTACACTTTGCTACGCTCGCAAGTATCGTCGTTCGCCAAAGCACTGCTGAACCAGCTCAAGTCGCCCAAGACGCCACCCGCTACCCTTCAAGCTGGCTTTTCGCTGGTCCACACTCTGCTAACGGTCGTTCCGAACTCCCTGTCTTCGTACTCGTCGCAGATCATCACGACGAGCAAGGCTGTCCTGCAGCAGTCGAGTAAGGCCAATGCTGCGCCGCTGCAGATCACGTGTATGTCCTTCGTCGGACTGTTCTTCTCGACCCACACGCCGGGTACGTTCACGGCCTCGCTGGACAGCATCCTGCCGGTGCTCCTCAAGTCGCTCGGCGAGAAGCACCCACGGATTGCGTCCGAGGCGTTCCGCGTCTTCTCGTCGTTGTTGAACACCATGCGTCCGGTGAAGGGAGGCGCCTGGGTTGATGCTGTCTATAACGAGGCCGTGGCAAGACTCGGGAATCATGATACGGATGCGGAGGTAAGAGCGTGCACGGAGAACTGCATTGGCGACTTGTGGGTGTGTGCTACGGATGTCATGAAGACGAAGCCAAGGAAAGAGTGGGACGCGATGTGCAGGACCACAGGTCGTACGGAGGGCGCCGTACTCGTGGTCACGCGAGTGGCGAAGGAGGTTGAGATTGACGACAACTGGGTTAATGGATGTGTCAACTGGCTGTTGACGTTGCTGAAGAAGAGTGGACGTGTCGGCAAGAGTGATATGTTCAATTGTTTGGATGCGCTGTTGAGGAGGTGAGTGCATTCGCGGAGAGCGTTCTTCGACCTAAGCGCATTGAATTTGTTTCGTCGACAGGTACAACGCTGTCCCACCAGATCTCCCGACGACTACTATCCCCACTCTGAAGGCTTACATCTCCATCTCGGATATTTCTCTTATGTCACAAGCCGTTTCGATCGTTGCCCTTCTCCTGGAGCTTACACCCGCCAACACATACCCGGAGGTCGAGCGTGAATTACTTACAGACATCTACAATATTGCACACTCTCCGCTCGTTGCCGGCGCGGCCTTCGAATCCGTACTGGCGTTCTTTGCGGCCCTAGTGCAGGCCGATATGGAGGTCGCCACACACCTCGTACCCAACCTTGTCATCTCTGTCGAGAAGGCGCCGAAGTCGGACGCCTCACTTGCGAACGTGGCTCGCTGCATCGGCCAGATTGCAATCTCCCAGCAGACAATCGCGGCGGGTACGATTGCCGAATTTGCTAAACACCTCAAGGTACGTGCATCGAAAGTGTGACGGTAAGATTGACCAGGATTGACCATGCCTTAGCCCAGTTCGAAGGCGAAGGCATCACAAATTGTACTGAGTCTGCTTGTAGTGGGAGAAATCGGGCGCTTCATGTGAGTGATCCGTCGTATGCGAGTGGAATAAAGTTCATGCTATTTCAGCGACATGTCGTTGCAAGAGAGCGTCTTCTCCAATGTGATCGAGCGATTCGCCGCTGAGCAGGAGGAGATTCGCACAGCTGCTTCATTTGCCGCCGGTATGTCTGCACTGTTGGAAATCATGATGTAGTACGCTCACGACATTCAAAGGTAACATCGCTGTGGGGAACCTCCACCACTTCCTCCCTGTCATCGTGAAGATGGTCGAGAACGATCCTAGCAAACGACTGCTTTCCCTACACGCTCTCAAGGAGGTCGTGACGCACTGTTCACACGGCCAGCTCGAGACGGTCGCCGATCTGCTCTGGGTACCGCTGTTCGAGAATTCGGACAACTCTGAAGAGACAACGAGGAACGTCGCTGCGGCGTGCCTTGGCAAGCTGACCACCACGCACCCTTCGCTATACTTGCCACAGTTGCATGTGAGTCATTGACCGCAGAGGCATCGCTCGATGCAGAAGGGCTGACGCATTGAGTAGGAGCGCATCAGTGATGCGAACCCCGCGTCCAGAGCAACGGTCATCTCGGCCATCCGCTACACGTTCGCGGAGACGTCCAGCTCGTACGATGAGCTGCTCAGCAATGTGCTCATGGACTTCCTCGCGCTGATCGCCGATACCGACCTGGTACGACCTTTGGAAAGGTTTGCATGCGACACCTTCACTGATCATTGTCCCTGCAGACCGTCCGGAGGCTGGCGTTGTCTGCACTCAACTCTGCTGCGCGCCTGAAGCCGCATCTGATCCGGGACAGACTACAATTCATCCTCCCGAACCTGTACAAGGAGACCGTCATCAACCCGGAGCTCATCCGCACCGTGCAGATGGGGCCGTGGACACACAAGGTCGACGACGGCCTGGAGGCGCGCAAGACCGCGTACGAGACGCTCTACACTCTAGTACGTCGACTGCTCTCCTCCCAGATCTCACCGCTGACTCGATCGCTACAGCTCGACACCTGCCTGGCGAAGCTCGACCTGCACGAGTTCCTCGGGCGCGTGCTCGCAGGGCTCGCGGACGACTCGGACGAGGTGAAGGTGATCTGCCACATGATGCTCTTCCGGCTGTCGCAGCTCGCGCCGACGGCGGTCGCGCAGCGGCTCGACGAGATCACCGGTCCGCTCGAGAAGAGCATGAAGGGCGCGACGGTCACGAAGGACACGGTCAAGCAGGATTTGGAGCGCGCGGCGGAGCTCCAGCGCAGCACCCTCCGCGCGGTCGCGGCGCTCAGCAAGATCAGCACGCCCGGTGCGAGCACGAGGTTCGATGTGTTCGTGGAGAGCATGAAGAAGAGCCCGGAGTGGGGCACAGAGTTCCGGGAGCTTGTCGGGGCGTGAGTGTGCGAAGCGCGGTGGGGACGACAGAATGGGCCCTGGGGAGGCGCGTTAAAATGAGACAGAAGGGAAAGATATACGATTATGTGCGGAGGTGATGTTGTACTCAGCAAAGATGTATCTCTACTCAGTATAGGCGTAATAGCATGTTTGACAGTGGTTCCGTGTGACTCAGTGTACATATCTCCTTGGTCGGCAACGGAGACTCGGGGATTCTGGATGTCCGTCAGGTGGTGCCGACATACAGACTTATTCAGTGATTTGAGGAGTCTAAGTACCATGCGTGCCGCCAATCGGCCGCAGTCCATTGCGGATTTGCTGACTTCATCTCGGGTGCCACTGGTACCGCCACGAACGCTCAATCACGCTCTGACTACGTGCGACCAGAGGAAGAGATCCACCCAAAACATCGTTCGAATAGTCCGAGTATACGATGAAGCACACAACAGATATACCGAAAATACAACAGTGGTCCTCAGCTCTGCGTCACAAATGTTCTACAGTCCTTCCCACCCGCGCGCGTCATGCAAGCCTGGGCCGACCGCCCGTAGCTCAGACGTACTTCACCGTGACAGAGCTCGAGTCGACGGACACATCCGTATAGGTGGTGCCGCTCTGCTGGATGTCGATGATGGTCGCGTTGCCCGGGCCGACGGAGCCAGAGCTCGTGGTGGCCGCGGCGCCGCTGAAGGTGACGGTGCCGAAGTTGGCGAAGGGCACGAGCCCGCCGTTCTCCTCGTAGTCCTCGACGATCCACTCCGCGTTCTCCTCGCAGAGCGCGGACGAGGACGTGATGTCCTGCGAGACGCGCTGCCCCGTGGTCGTGTTCTCGATCACCGCCGTCCCGCTCGTCGTGCTCGCCGCGGTGACGGTGACGGTGACGACGTCGCCCGCGCTGAAGGAGATGCCGGAGAAATCGTAGGCGTAATCGGGGTACCACTCGTACCAGGCTGCGGGGCCAGGACGGGCGGAGCGTGAGTGGGACTGGCGCACGGAGAGGGGGCGGGACGAATATACGCACCATCGTACGAAACGGAGCCGCCGGAGGTGGTGAAGTCGACGCCGGTCTGGAGGATCGCGGTGCTGCAGGTGTCGCCGTCAATGCCGACCCAGGCGGACGCGGAGTAGGAGTCGTTGCTGCCCGAGCCCGCGGAGGGCGTCGGGACGGTGAACGTCCCGGTGACAGCGGTGAACGAGCCCTGTGTGCGGGAACATGAGGTGAGTGTCCGTGCAATGGGGCTGAGGGGGAGGAACATACCGAGGGGTAAGAGTCGTACACGGCGCCGGCCCAGTTGGAGCTGTACTGGGGGTGCGAGGAGTTGCTCGTGAAGGAGGAGTCGACTACCTGGAGGGGGCGCGTCAGGTGGGTGCCAGAGCGGCGGGCGGCGACGCGCTGAGCGAGGCGGGAGGGCGCGGCCACGGCCGTAGAGGCGAGGAGCACGGAGGTCAGGAGGGCGATGGCGTACATGGCGGCTCGGAGACGAGGGCGTGCGGTAGGCTCGAGTGGGCTGTGGGACCGAAAGGAACCTGGGGATTAGCCGAGCTGGGGTGGACTTTATAAGTAGGTGTGCGGGATCGCTGCATGGTAGGCGGCGTTGACGGGGGGGCGACTAGGGGCGACCCCATTATTCTGGGGCGGTTCGTCGTGGTAGAAGGCCACATGCGCGGTGGGATGGAGAAGGCTTGATTGAGCCCGACAACGTGCTACGGAACGCATTTCTGGCGGCAGCCGCTGTGTAGCCGGGTCAGCAACGCGGTCGTTATGGCGGCATGGCCCGGATACGACGCGCAATGATGGACGAGAAGGGCGAGCAGGGGCCAGGAATGGGAGGCAGCACGAGGAGGAGCACTGGATGGGCATGCGCTTGTGCGGGATTACGGTCGAGTATGGGCAGTGCGGCAGGATCCCGAATGCAGTTGCTGGGAGAGGACTGTGGTCAGATGGCGGACATGAGAATGGATGGCGGTCTTCGCGAGCGCCACCGCTGCCTTCGTGGTATCGCACATCGCTAGTGCATGTGCGGGTGGGGCCCAGCGCCACTCCTAACCACAGCCCAGTCGCGTCGGTGGCGCGCCCCACCGCGTTATTTGCCTCTGTTTGCACCCAGCAACACCATCGCCATGGCAATCACGCCGAGCACATCCCGACCGTCTACCTTTCCTCAAATGGCAGGGCACTTGCCTCATTCGCACCTCTTCCCCTCGCGGCAGACTCCGTCGTGTTCTGCGTGACGTCCATCGCGTCGGGATCGTGTGGGCCTTCGATCGAAAGTCGGATGAAGCACTGGCCCATCATTCGCTTCAAACATTCCTCCGTCCATCGGGGCCCAGATGAGCGCGATCCTGCGAGATCATGAGCGCACTTAGCTTAGTCTCAGCCTCAGCGCTTTCCAGTTATTATCAAGGTCTCCACCTGCTCTCCTCGTTCTGCTCTCTCTTCCGAGTCTTCGAGTCTCTCGACGGTGCGTATCGTCCGTAGCACGGTGCGGCCCGCCGCTGCACGCTGACAAACGGCACTTCTCTCCACCTGGCCCAATCGCAGTTCACTATCAGCCCGTATGGCTCTGTTCCTGGAACTCCTTCTGCTCGCCTTCGTGTTAGCTGCTGGCCTATGGTTTCTTAGTTCCCGCAGAGATGCACGGCTACCACCTGGCCCAAAGGGCAGGCCTGTCCTGGGTTACTACGGCAAGATCCCCAGCGCGAGCCCGTGGCACTTCTTCCGCGAGTTGGGCAGTCAATATGGTCAGTCCATCTGTAGTAACGCGTCCTTCGCGTCCCCGAATGGCTGATCTCTCTCTATGTGCATACATGGCGACTGTGCTACGCAGGCGAGATATCGAGCATACGCGTACTGGGCCACCCCGTGATTATATTCAACGCGTTCGACCCCGCCGACGCGCTCTTCAACAAGCGCTCGACCCGCTATGCCTTCAAGCCGCGCCGGAGAATGGGCGAGCTGTGCGTGTCATCTCCCTGTCAGTCTCGTAGAAAGACCATTCCACTGGGATATACGTCCCGGGGACGCTCTGCAGGGCTACCGTAGCCAAAGTGGTCAGTTTGCCACGCCTCGTTCTCGCGCAGTGGCAGAACTGCTCGAGAACTCACCACTCACCGCTTGATCCTTCGCGCAACCGTGCTGCTGGAGATGGACGCCCGTGCGGAGTTGATCCTCTGTTCGGGGCAGCCGCGAGGCCTCGCCGCCGCCGGACCGCTACGAGTGATCTCCCGTCCCGCGGAATCTTCATGTGTTAACGCGATAGCTATAGCATGTTGTGTTTCTACTGTTGCGCGGGCCGTGAGAGCGAGGTAGCCTCAGACCAACGACTTTGTCGAGGGAAACGCGGGAGGCAATGCGGTGGCGGCAACATCATTCACTGTGTGCTGCGACCGACTGTGCTGTCCCGCGTCTCCGGGACGCATGTGCCTATGGATCCGATCTTCTGCAGTACAGGAGGCTTCTGCTAACTTCGGGTCGTGTGGTAATGACAATAGCTCGGGCCTGGTCGCGACGCTGCCGTTCATGGACCCAGGCCCGACATTCACTCATGCGCGCAAGATGTTCCGTCAAGAGCTAAACACACGCAGTCTCAACCCGTACCACGCCGACGTCGAGCACGCTGCCCTCAAGCTCGCCAGTGCTCTAGCCACGAATGTCGACGCGCGGAGTTTCGAGCAAACCATCGACAGGTACGTCGCCGCGTCGCCCTTGTGAAGCAGTGCTCTCAGCGGTGTATGCCCTGCATGCAGGAATCTTGGTTCACTTTTCATGAAGGTGTCATGCGGGCACGTTGTAGAAGGCGACGATGATACGGTTCTGCGGCCGATCAAGCATCTCGCAGAATTCGCGGCGAACATCCTCGGCGGGTCGTATGTCATCATTGACCGATTGCCATTCCGTGCGTACAGTCGACTGACCCGTCCGCGCCCGCCCTCGTCCTGACATCCGAAAGTGTGTTATTTACCCAGCTGGGCGCCCGGAACGACCCTCCTCAGGCTCGCCGACTACTGGCGGGGCCGTCTCTGGCAGATCGCGGACAGCACTGCGGATCTCGTCCGAACAGACCTGGTACACACTACTCCCCGCACATCACTGACAAGCTGGTCGCTCACATCTAGGCGCAGACCTCGGGCTCACAGAGCACGTCGTGCATGGGCAACCTCTACGGAAACCCACGTAGCGGCTTGGACCTCGACGCGGCACAATTCAAGTTCATCGCCGTGACCATGTCCGCAGGTGCGCCCCTTCCTCCCATCCCCTCCACTCCCCCTGATCCTTTCGCCTCCTCCCGCCCCAGGCGGTATGCTGCCGCTCATCTCCTCTTCGCTCGGCTTCCTTCACGCGATGGCGCGCTTCCCCGAGGCACAGAAACGCGCACAGGCGGAGCTCGACCGCGTCCTCGGCGGCGCGCGCCTCCCCACGCTTGCGGACCGCCCCGCGCTGCCGTACATCTGCGCGCTCATCCTCGAGCTGTATCGGTGGGCGCCCATCGCACCGCTCAGTACGTCCCCTCGCCTGTCACGCGTGTTGGAGAGTGGTTGATTGAGAGCGGGTCGGTAGTCGCGAGGCGGACACTGGAAGACGACGAGCTCGCTGGGTATAGGATTCCGAAGGGGGCGACGATCGTCGCGAACAATTGGTGCGTAGGCCAGTCTTCGTCTCACTCTGCGTGTTTATACTGTGATGTAGGGCGATCTCGCGCGACCCTGTGCGGTACGAAGATCCGCAGGTCTTCCGCCCGGAACGCTTCCTTCCGCTTTTTGACTCGGAGAACAATGACGGGGCCGATGCTGCGAAGAGGAAGCAAGACATCCTGGATCCGCGCTCGTACACATTCGGTTACGGTCGGAGGTGCGCCCTTCCCGTCACGAACGCATGAATGAGTGCGAACTGATGGACGGCAGAATATGCCCCGGGCTCGACTTCGCCGAAGTGATCCTCTTCGCGAACATCGCACACATCCTCACCGTGTTCGACGTTGTACCCACAGGCGACCCGCCGAGGCTCACCTCCGACGGAGACGTAGAGCTGACAACCGTTGGGGCTGCTGCGTACGTATCTTTTGCGGTGACTGTTGGTTTACTGGCTCACGCTCTGCGGTATGGAATACATAGACGGGTTGCGAGCTTGCCGTGCAAGCTGCGTCCCCGCTCCGCAGACTCGCTCGCGCTGCTTGTGGACACTGCTAACGCGTAATGTCCATGTCGGGATGTCATTCACCATGATGGAAGCTGTCTGCATGAAGCGGTGACGAGAATTTGGAACTCACGCTTGAAGCATCTGCATGGCCTTTGCTCGTCGTTCTTTGTGGTCCTCGCCCCCTACTAAACTCATATATGATGTGATGGCTTCATAAGATGACTGGCACTCCTTTCCGCCCGCTAATAAGCATGTCCATCCGCCCGTAGTCCGTAGTGGAACTCTACGCCCAAGCGTACATTTACTTCAACTCGTCAGCCTTTGAGGAGGCTTGATTTCCTTTCTGGGACTGTCTTGGCAGAGGCCCCAGAATATAAGGTGGGCACACTGTCCTTTCCCACTTCTGACTTGCATGTAGGTTCTGTTCCATCATGTCCGATCACCGTTCTCTCGCGTCTTAGCTTCCAGATTTGATAAGCCTGTATGTGGCTTCCGATACTTATGATGCGCTGGCAATTCACGTCGTTTTGTTCTGTAGAGCGTATCAACCTGTTGTGAACAGTCGACGACTTCTTCGTTCCATTTTCTACCTATCTCAGCTCGATAGGCCGCGTGTTCGCTTTGTTTGGACCACTGGAAAGCATGCAGATGTGTCCAGCGGCATTCAGACACTCGGGCGCACCGTTACCTCTGCGAGGACAGCTTCTTTCCGCGTCCTCTCCCTCACCGACTACAATTCCCCGTGTGCACTTGAGCCACCAATCCGCCCACTCCCTTATCCTTGCCTATCGCCCGTATGGCTCTTCAACTCAAGGATCTGCCTTTCAGACGAGACGATGACCAAACCTTGCACTCTGATGTTCCGACAGTCGTCACCGATGAGCACCCCCAACTCTATAATAGCACCAGCGCAGCCGCACACCAGGTGAATCTGGAAGATGACCAGCCACAGCCTATCCGCAAGGGGACGACATTTTGGATGATCCTCTCCGCGCTGATTATCTCGTTCTTCATGGTCGTACTGGAAGGTGCCTCTGTAGGAAATGCTTCTCCCACCATCGCGGGCGACCTCAGCATCACCCAGTTTGCATGGATTGGCACGGCATACGGCTTGTCGTCCACTGCACTTTTACCTTTGAGTGGCGGGCTAGCACAGGTAGTTGTATTCCTCTGTTCTGCGCGTAGTCCTACTCACAGGCTCTCTCTGCAGATATTTGGCCGGCGTCCCGTCATGCTCGTCTCTCTTACCATTTTCGCCGTAGGCGGGGCCCTCTCAGGCGCGTCCAGAGGTACCGCGACCCTCTTTGCTGGCCGCACTATTCAAGGTCTGGGCGGTGGCGGCGTGCTTACATTAAGCTCGATCATACTTTCCGACCTCGTTGCGCTTCACGAGCGTGGGTTGTATAACGGCCTCTTCTCCCTGTGAGTGATATCAGCATTGAAGTTAGATGATGGCTGTCGCTTACGCTCATCGCAGGGCATGGACTGCCGCATCCGGTGTCGGGCCTGTCATTGGCGGGTCGTTCGCACAGTCCGGGCACTGGCGCTGGCTTTTCTGTGAGCGTAGCGCATGGACGCTATTTTCCCATAGTCTCATCATAAACAGATATGAACGTGCCTTTCGCGGGATGCGCCGCTGCGTTCGTTTTCTTTTTTGTGCGGCTCCCGACACCTCCTGGCAGCCTCCGCTCCAAGCTCAAACAGATCGATTGGATGTGAGCTGCATCTTGCTTTGCGCGCCCTAGCTATTGATGCCCCGTGGATTCTCGGCAGTGGAAATGCTCTCGTCATGGGGAGTACTGTAGCTCTCGTAATCGGACTGACATGGGGGGGCGTCGAGTACCCCTGGTTGTCTGCTCAAGTTCTGGTACCGCTCATCGTGGGTGGTATCGGTATGGCAATATTCATGCTGTACGAGACTTTATTAGCAACACATCCACTCGTGAGTGTACCGATGTTCGTGGCTTTGAAATTGATAGCAATGCAACACGCCACAGGTACCTGTACGACTCATTTACAATCGCACTAGTATAAGCGGGTCAGCTTTCGTGTTGTCAGCGCTTGGTACCACCACTGACCGCTCATTTCTAGACTTGTTCAGACCGGCCTTCTCTCCGTTCCTCTCACTGGGCTTATGTATTACCTGCCAGTGTACTACCAAGCGTGCACTCTCGCCTCACCGATCCGCGCAGGAACACTCGTCTTCGGTGTCGCGTTCACCGTCGCGCCTACCACGCTCGTCGCCGGCGCACTCATCACCGCCACGAAGCGCTACCGCCCGCCAATCTGGTTCGGATGGGTTCTGCTCCTCATCGGGCAAGGCCTCCTCACCACTCTTAAGGCGACGAGCGCGAAGGCCACGTCCATCGGCTTCCAGATCCTGATCGGCGTCGGCATCGGCGCCGTGTACAGCTCCACGTACTTCCCCGTTCTCGCCCCGCTGCCCGTCGAGCAGAATGCGCCGGCGCTCGCGCTTTACGTCTTTCTCCGCAGCTTCGCACAGATCTGGGGCGTCGCCATCGGCGCAACCGTCCTCCAGAATCAACTCTCGTCGCGGCTCCCCCAGGCGTTCCTCGAAACATTGCCCAGCGGCGCGAGCGTCGCGTACTCCGCGATCCCCGCGATCCCTGCGCTCGCGTCGCCGCTGAGGGAGGAGGTGCAGGTCGCGTTTGCGGAGAGCCTGGACGTGCTGTGGCGCGTGCTTTGTGCGCTCTCTGCGGTTGGCGCGTTTGCGAGCTTGTGGATGAAAGGTCTATCGCTTCACACGGACACAGACAGAAGGTGGGACGTGAACAAAGCGGAAGGGGAGGGGGAGAAGTAGTAGCTGAGCGAAGTGCCTTGCAACTAGACCGCAGGTGGGTAGACTATCACTCAATTATATGGACGTGTGCATGTGTAGTTGTGGTGAGTACGGCGTTCGCGACTCGGAGCCTACCACTAGTTCCTGTTACACGGATTGCGTACGGGACCTATGTAAGTCGTGACCGTCGGCATTCCTGCGTAGCATTCGACCCGGAGCCATCCGTGCGGTTGCTCACTTACGATGCGAATATGCCAGGTGGTTAATCCCCAGTACCCTCATCCTTGGACGCGAGAAATTGCAGTTCCGTCAAGTCCGGCTTACGTTCGCGTAGCGACGTCTTCACGAGATCGTCGTTCAACCGCACTTCATATGTATTACAGGGTCCGAGTTTCTCGCTGCCGCCCGTGAAGTAGCTCAGTTGTACAAATCGTGCTGGGACGTGCGGACGGCCCGTACAGTAGTGGGCGTATTATTTAACGCGCCATCTAGGTCGTCGTCCTACTCGGGACGCGTTGTAGGTAGTTCTGCTTTCCCCGTAGTTCCGAATTTTTTATGTAAGCTGGCTGATACATGTTCAGCGTCACAAGTGAGAGAGAAGTTTCTGGGTTGAGGAGTCACACAGGCGACGTTCTGAAAGAAGACAATGGGCATGGGGAAGTCTGCTGGCAGTGGGGGAGGAGCCCAACCGTGTTCAGGTCGATATCATCTCCCCCTTCTCCTCCTCAAACATTGATTCGACAGGCGCGTTGAGAATGTCCTATGCACCTTGCGCCCACGCTCAAAAGATTCGCTTGCGCTGCTCGAGGACACAAGATATTCATAATGTATTCCACCGACGGAGGGATGACGGAGTTCGTAGATGTAACATTGGGTGGAGGGGAAGCGCGGCAGAAACGACCCTGTTCGTCGTGATGTCCGTTCAATTCCGACTTTCACCTCCCAGCATCCCTTCGTAACTCAACCTGTCTTCTCTTTAGCTATACTCACAAATACAACCTGTATCTACAAAAATGATCGAGAAGACCTAATACTCGCCTGAGCTAATGATCTACGGTAAAGGGTGAACCCACAGCCCTCCCTGATGTCAAAACCATTTGTCATCTAGCCATCCATTAGTCGGAAGATAATGGCACTGACCTTCACGAACGCAGTGAACGCGGTGCTCGGCCAGACCTGCTCGATCTGCTGGCGGCCCTTTCCTTCCTTCCACTGAGGCGGAGGACGGGCGCCCTCCGGGATGGCGTCAGGGACGAGCTCGAAGCCCGAGAAGCGCTGGTACAGGCGGACGAGCATGAATGATGCCTCATTCAGCGCGAAGTTCTGTCCAGGACACTATGCATGATGACGAACAAGTAAGCACCCATGCCTCGTGTCAAGCACCGAGGGCGCTTACCGAACGCGGCCCTGACAGGAAAGGGATATACATGGACGGTCGCTCTTCGACGCGTGCGAGCCGTTTGGGGTCTATCCACCGGTTGGGGTCGAACTCGTCCGCATCATCACCCCATAGATCCTTGCGTCGGTGCAGATGTAGTGACAGCCAAGTGACGCGCGCCTTGCCGGGGAGGTAGAGCGGGGGTTCACCCTCTGCGGTAGGAAGGAGGACTTCGTGGATTGCGTTGCGGATACCCATGGGTGCGCCAGGGAAGAGGCGGAGGGTCTCGTTGAGGACGGCGTTCACTGGATGCAAAGGCGGGGATGGGAAAGTAAGAGGCGGAAGGGACGAGAGAGAAGCACGGGGACCTACTGTAGGGCATCTTGCGGATGAGGTCATGAGTCGGGTTGCCATTCGCCCCACAGACGTCGAATATCTCTTCGCGGAGACGCTTCGCGACTGCGGGGTACATAGCGAGTAGGTAGACTACAAAGGTCAGAAGACCAGCAGTCTGGTGATACGAATCAGCAGCAGACGTAGACAGAGAGATAGGTATGCGTACGGTGTCGCGGCCAGCCATCAATACATTTTGCAGGCCAAAGCGGACTCTTTCTTCATCGCGAGTTATCTCGACTAAATTCTCTAGCATGGTCCTCTCAGCCCGCTGACGCTCGATGCCCTGCTCCCTCTCTCGCTGCTTCCGAGCCAATGCCTCTTCGACAATGGGTTTGACCCACTTCGTGATGACGTCCACATGCGGGAGGGTATGGTCGCCCTTAATCTCATACAGCGGGAAGAACGTGTTCAGCCTCCAGCGGAGTGAGATGGTAACTTGGATCTCCTCGAACGAGTACAAGAAGGTGCCGAGTTGACCCTCAGTCGCCGCGCCCTTCGAGCCGATACTGGCCTTGTAAGGGACTGGACGCGGGCTGCCCAGCGCGTCAGGAGAGGTGCCCAGGAGAAAGGAGGACGCGGCGTCGAGTGTGAAGCGCGCGAAGAGGTCTTGGATGTCGATGGGCTCGTGCGCGGAGGCTGAGGACGAGAGGATGGAGAGCGTACGGTCAGCGTGCTCCTGAAAGATGTCGAAGTCGGAGATGCGCTCCTTGTTGAGGAATGGACGAATGAGGGCGCGTTCCTATGGGGAGGTCTGTCAGCTTAGCACCATTAGGATACGTTCCAGAGTGAATACCCTTCTCCATTCAGTCCGGTCGCTGAATAGTGCACTGCGTCAGTGGTTCCGAGAAATGGCAGCGATCGTCTGGGTACCCACGTTACGAAGACCCCTCGACCGAGGAATGTTCCCCTGGATGAAAGTCAACCACAGTTCTAGGAGATCGCGCATCGAGAAGTATATTCGATCACACGTACATCTTCTCAACTGCCTCGGCTCCGCGCTCAAAAGATTCAAATTGTGTCTGGTGCACGGCGCGCATATGGAGGTCGTTTCGGGTTATAATCTGCGGAGCAAGCGTTATCGGCTGAGTACTGCCTAGGAAACGAGTACGCACGTTGTCCTTCCAGAGAATACGAGTATTGAGGGTATCGACGCCATACTCATCAAGTACTTCTCCCATTGCCTGCAGAATATACCCTTCTCGCAAATCCTTCGCGAATCGCAGCATGATGTCGACGTTTCCTGGCCATCTACCCTTTGCGCGTGGAATAGCTTCTGCTCCGAGCTGCCTGGCACGCCTGTCATTCTTCCACACCGAATACCGCGAAGTCAAGGAGATCCAGAGTGGGATGGACGAGATGTAAGCAAGAGCTGCAACGAACCCAGTCCCAGATCGACCGAGGATTGTTGTGAGTAGGACATAGGTCAGGATAAACGGAGGCAGGAGCGTTTCCACCACGCCGATAAGGAAGCGCGTGCGGTACCAGGTCAGAGGCAATTCGAGATTCATGATGACCTCCTCACACCCTGTTGAGTTGCTTGAAAGGCTGCACAGCTGTTCAGGCGAGAGGACCAGCTACCATCGAGCTGTTCAGAGATTGCAACAGCGGTCTTGCGGCGTCCCTGGGCTCTATTCAAATTGTCAGCATCAGCGCCACCAACGGTCAGTAGGCCATCATCAAAAGGATATGATGCGGCCGCCCGGGGGCCGGAACACAATGATACATCGGAGGCCTGCGTTGCATGAAGATGATCAAGAGTTCTATCTGGGTCCTATTCCTGATGAGTTCTGGCACGATGTTCCGCCATCAAGAACCCATCAAGTCATCAAACTAGCGAAGGCGGCAGTGCATCTTCTTGGCGATTGCGCCTTGACTAGTGACGTCGCAACCTTGGTGGCACGATTGCAATGAAGTGACACTGACAGGTGCAGTTTCCAGCAGACGTAGAAGCGTTGGTAGGAGACAAAACAACCATGACACTTGAGCGCATCAACGTGTTTTGGCGGCGCCCGTTGAGCCACAAGCGCATACTGATATCATAAGCTAGTCACATCGCGGTGCGCGCGCCGGCTCGAAGCCGGCGCGTCAGTAATAACCACTTTTGGAATTCTCTGTACAGTACTCCTCCACCGCCTCGGTCTTCGGATATTGTGCAGACAGCGAGCGGTCGCAACTCGCTCTACTCGGCGATGTGACTAGTCACTGTAGCCACTATTTATCAGGACTTTATTTGCCGGCATGGTTCTTGGTCTACACCCAATTTACACCTGGCACACTGTAGGCACTAGTGTTGCTCACCGTGCCGCGCGCACTGCGGGGGACGGCCGGAGTGGAAGCCCGCACCACGTAAGTCGCGCTAATCATAAGTACAGGCGTTTGCAGAAGACAGTGGGCGGGGACAGGCGGGGACGAATCGCGCGTCGCGACGTCGGCAGCGTTGGGCGTCGTCCTCCGACTCCTCGCTCACATTCAATTACGGATTAGCCGGGAGTTCAACCATTGACATTCGTCGTTTCAGATAAGTCGAATTTTCGCGCCACGTTTTTGGGTGAGTAGATCGACCGTCTCTTGACCGTCTCCTCGACGTTATCTCCGTGACTACCGGTCATGCATTCATGACTGACTCATCAGCTCGCGCAAGGACGTGACGCGGCACTTGATCGACCGTTCCAAGGAGGCTCTCAACGGCCGACGTTAAGTACATGTGGCAAGCTAATAAAACAATAATACCGCATTTTACTTAGGGCCTCTGGCGGCATGGTGAGCGGAAGAAGATATGATAACACCCGTCGTCATGCCGCTTTTGGCACGGATCCTCCCGCTACTACCTCGGCCTCAGTACCTACACGCGTCCATGTACATTCCATCAGTACAATCTCGATACGCCGCGGGCATGGTAGATCAGCATGCAGCTTCTACTGGGCGCTCGGAGCCCTGGCTTCCTCCGAGGTCTCTCTTTAGTCGCGAGTCTGACGGACCCTTGCAATCTTCCTTTCAGTTTCGCTCCTCCGAGTCGGCGGTGCTCCGTTCACACTGCCTGTCCCCGGACCTCCCATTCTTTGAAACTGCTGGTGGTGTTGTCTAAAATTTCAGTCACCCACCGTTCCTCTCGTTTCTGAATCCCCGTCCTTCTTTGCCACACCTCCATAAAGATGTCGATGCATGCACCCACCCTTTGGGCGAGGCTCTTCAGCCAAACAGCCCGGAGTAACTGGATCTGGGTGCAGTTCGTGAACTACTGTACGTGACGTTCCGTTCGATCATCCTCCGTATAATCAGGATGCACTCAGCCAAGGCCGCCACGCCGTGTCAGCGGACTCAGTCTCCGATAATTGGACCAACAAGTTTCTACATACACTGATGCACCCTTTTATTTTGCAGCTCGGTCGCACGTTATGTCCGTATTGGAAGCTGGGATCGTGCGCGGTCAACTCTTAATCGAGGACCACGAAGGCAAACATGTCTACGGCGAGTCCGACTGTAAGCGCCCGGTCACGATGACCATCCGCTCCGACGACGTTTGGGCGCGGATTGTCCTGTCTCTGGACATGGGTCGTGAGTTTTATATTCTGTTGGGTCTATGCCGTTATTGATCGACTTCGTGTAGTATCGGAGGCGTACATGAGCGGAGACTTCGATGTCTCCAGCCTGAAAGACATGTTTGATGTAGGTCATGGCCCTTCCTTCGCCAGTTTCCGGCCATTCACGCATTGAATCGACGTCTTCAGCTGTGGATTGACAATCGACACACCTTGAGAGGCCTCACAACTCTCCTTAACACCATCACAGCCTACATGTCTGCCTTCGCTATTTTCGCCCTGGGGAAGCAGAAACCATCAATGGCACTGAAGAACGTGGTGAGTACTTCATTCTTGATACCTATACATCCACCCATTCACGTCCACATGCAGCAAGAGGCATACGACACTAGCAACGAGTTCTTCCAGTGCTTTCTCAGCTCCGAGATGATGTACTCCTGCGCCATGTGGAGCGACGCCGACGGCGGTATCCGGGGCGACCTGACCGCAAGGGGCTCGCAGCCAGACGATCTACACAACGCGCAGATACGCAAGATCCACCATATCCTCAACAACGCGCGCGTCAAGCCGGGTTACCGTCTCCTCGAGATCGGGACGGGCTGGGGCGCGATGTCGATCGAAGCCGCGAAGCTCGGCGCCACCGTCGACACGGTCACGCTCTCCATCCAGCAGAAGGTGATGACAGAGAAACGCGCCGCGGAGGCTGGCGTCGCGGACCGCGTGCGCGTGCACCTCCTGGACTACCGCCAGCTGCCGGAGGACTTCAAAGGCCAGTTTGACTCATTCGTGAGCTGCGAGATGGTGGAGGCCGTCGGGCTGCGCGACCACCCGACGTACTTCAAGGTGATCGACTGGGCGCTGAAGCCCGATCGTGGCGCTGCCTGCATCACTGCCACTGCCATGCCCGAGTTCCGCTACACAACGCTGCAGTGAGTATGATGTGTAGGTCAGCCGGGGAGTGATGGACTCACCAGTCTTGCAGGCCGGACGATTTTGCACGTCACTATCACTGGCCGAACACGTTCCTCCCGAATGCAACGTACTTCCCTCAGGCCGCTCAGCAGGCTGTTCCCGGCCGTCTGATTCTTCACAGCGTCGAAGACCATGCGATGCGTATGTTTCATTCGCTCCGATCTTGAATGTCGGCTAACGAATGCTCAGATTACCCTCGTACGCTCCGGGAGTGGGGGTACCGTTTGGAGAAGAACTTCGAGGGCGAGGTCGTCGAAAACCTTATCAAGGAACACCCGCAGCTGGCTGACCCGAAGAGCCTCGAGGCGTTCCGCCGCAAGTGGTTCTACATGTTTGACTATGCCGCTGCGGGATACGCGAAGGCGTATACTGCCTTGAATTGCTGGACTTTTGCGCGACCGGTGAGTAGACAGTCATGTCCTCGTAGCTGATGAAACTGACCACCGTTGCAGGAGTACCCAGTTGATTGCTGCGACTGAAAAGTCAGCGGTAACGCATAGCGGCTCTCTGCAGGCGCTGTGGGCAATGTCTTGACCTTTCAGGTACAATTGACATCCCCGCTCTGTAGCCGTGTCTCGCCGACACACCTTGGACATTTGGAGCTCGAGAAGCGATTTCATACCTTCCTTTCACAACCATCTAGCTCAGAACATTCACCTTTTCAACAGTCATTCGTTCTCGCCCGAAATATGTTTACTTGTAACCTTAACATGTGCGCCATTCTACCTTACTGTATCGTTGTCTTCGCACTCGTTGTTCTGCTTTGTCTTGAATATTGTACTGTGTTGTCTCCGAATCACATACCCTGTGTGCCAGTGGGATTGTGTGGACCTGTTATGCATGCAGCGATCTCATAGACACTGCGCAGATAGGCCTCCTGCAGAAAGACATGAAGGCATCCGGTGGTTGTCCGGTGGTGACGAGAGCCCGAGGGTCACCGCAAGGTCACCGGTGGCTGAAGCGCACGGCAGGTCGGTGCCCGAGCGAAGGCCGCCGAGCCATCTCGGTTCAGCGCAGATCTTGATGCCGATCGCGTCGCTGCGCTGCCGGCCTTTGCCTTTTTAGGCACAAATGTCATATGTAAGGACCGCCCGCTGTTGTCGCGCTTTGGTCGCGCTCGTCCCAAGCTCGTCCATCTTGATTTCGCAGTGATGGGCCGCTGCGTTTGCTCATCTCGCAGGAATTCACGTCTTCTCTTCTCTTTGACCTGATCCCGGCCCAACCATTGATGCTGCAACTGAGCAGGGTTCGGGGACTGTGTCTCTGCATCTGGTGATGTGATGCTAAGTCAATGAGGCCCTTGGTACGAATTTGCGACTAGCTCGCAACCACATCGTCTCCGACTCGGCCGGGTGTCACGGTCTGGCCGCTGACAGTTGACATGGACAGTGAGACGGCATGAGCGCCGTCGCGATATCCGCGATTCATGGATGCTCCTCGGGTTCTCGCGAAGTAGCCTCGGGCCCGTTCAAGGGTCCTCCTTTACGTCCGTTTCCCTCAAACACTTCCCCTTGTCCGCTCGAGCGCGACTCACTCGCGGTAGCGTCGACCTCCTTCCTAGCGATTACATTCGTCAAATGACGATGAGGCCTCAAGAATCACATCTCGAGCTGGTTGGTCACGATCCGTCGCACTCTGACATCTCCCTTGTACATCTAGGAAAGAGTCCAGGCTCGCGATCCGATTTCACCCTCACACCTGGCTCGCGTTCTGAATTCTCCTTTGCTACTCCTGGGTCTCAGTCAGAATTTCCTCTCGTGAAGCATGATGCGTCCCCCGAAGATGCTGGATTCCCCTCGGGGCGAAAAAGCTCAGGCCCGCCGCAGACATCCCGGAAAGGGAAGACCTTCTGGTTGATTCTCTTCGCTCTGGTGATCTCATTCTTCATGGTTGTACTCGAGGGTGCATCCGTGGGCAATGCGTCGCCCACAATCGCGAGTGACCTCAACATATCCGAGTTCGCATGGATTGGAACAGCTTACGGTCTATCATCTACCGCCCTCCTGCCTCTGAGTGGCGGACTCGCCCAGGTACGTCCATGTCCTCAGCGATAGATCTGCTTGCTCAAGTCGCCAACAGATCTTTGGTCGGCGACCAGTGATGCTTGTGTCCCTTGCTATCTTCGCTGTGGGAGGAGCACTGTCAGGCGCTTCCACAGGTTCAGCAACTCTCTTCGCCGGTCGCACTGTCCAAGGGTTGGGTGGCGGCGGCGTGCTGACATTGAGCTCCATTATCCTGTCGGATATCGTCGCGCTCCATGAACGCGGGTTGTATAACGGCATCCTCGGTCTGTCTGTGTCGCCTATTTGAATTTCTCTGAGCTACCAGACTGACTGCACCACAGTGCTTGGAGCGCTGCATCCGGTGTAGGACCGGTGATCGGCGGGTCGTTCGCGCAAAACGGACACTGGCGCTGGCTCTTCTGTGAGTACGACACGTAGGCCATGGTCTGTATCTCATGCGCATGACTCCCCAGACATGAACATACCCTTCGCGGGTCTCGCTGCTGTATTGGTTTTGTTTTTCGTTAAGCTCCCGACGCCACCGGGGACCATGCGGTCAAAACTTGAACGTATTGACTGGATGTGCGTGCCACGCACCTCTACGTTCTTGTCAGTGATGTATCAACCTTGCCTGACAGTGGAAATGCTCTCGTAATGGGGAGCACAACAGCTGTTGTGATAGGATTGACATGGGGCGGCGTTGATTACGCTTGGACCTCTGCCCAAGTACTAGTCCCGCTCATCGTAGGCGGCGTCGGATTCGTACTATTTATGCTGTACGAAGCCCTTTGGGCGAGGCATCCTCTCGTGAGTATTACTATCTAAGCGCGGTCACACGGCTTCCGTGCTAAGCGGATTGCAGATTCCAATATCTCTCATTCTCAACCGCACCAGTATAAGCGGGTACGTTGTATCGCAGCCATGCTCTGCAATTAATGAACTGCTTGCCCAGGTTCATTCAAACCGGTCTTCTATCTGTGCCTCTCACAGGGCTTATGTATTACCTCCCTGTGTACTACCAAGCGTGCACGCTCGCCTCACCGATACGCGCAGGAACGCTCGTCTTCGGTGTCGCGTTCACCGTCGCGCCTACCACCATCGTCGCCGGTGCACTCATCACTGCTACGAAACGCTACCGTCCGCCAATCTGGTTCGGCTGGGTCCTGCTCCTCGTCGGGCAAGGCCTCCTCACCACCCTCAAGGCAACGAGCACGAAGGCCACGTCCATCGGCTTTCAAATCCTGACCGGCATCGGCATCGGCGCCGTGTACAGCTCCACGTATTTCCCCGTCCTCGCCCCGCTGCCCGTCGAGCAGAACGCGCCGGCGCTCGCGCTCTACGTCTTCCTCAGGAGCTTCGCACAGATCTGGGGCGTCGCCATCGGCGCAACCGTCCTCCAGAATCAACTCTCGTCGCGGCTACCCCAGGCCTTCCTCGCAACACTGCCCAGCGGTGCGGGCGTCGCGTACTCCTCGATCCCCGCGATCCCCGCGCTCGCGTCGCCGCTGAGGGAGGAGGTGCAGGTCGCGTTTGCGGAGAGCCTGGACGTGCTGTGGCGCGTGCAGTGTGCGCTATCTGCAGTCGGCGCGTTTGCGAGCTTGTGGATGAAGGGTTTGCCGCTTCACACGGGCACGGACAGGAAGTGGGACGTGGACGGAGTGGAGGATGAGAGCGAGAAGTAGTGGCTGAGCGATAGTGCCTTGCAGCTGGACTGCAGGGTCTTCGTCATATTCAAGTATCATTACCTCGAAGTCGCTATTTGCTATCCTATTGTCACAATCACTCTTCCTAAACGAAGGTCAACAAGTGGTGCGTTTGTAATCGTGTAACAGACAGAGCAAGTACGATGCTACCCGGGCGGACAATCTCGTCCCGGCGGAGCAATCCCACATCGTCTATGTCCCCATGTCACAGTACATCTTACCAAGTCAGTCTCGCAACGACTGCTACCGTGCATGGACACTCTAAGCTTCAGACAGACACCTCCGGAAGAAATGGTGGCAGTCCGAAGGGCGTTTCGGTGGCAACAAGTCCAGGGATTTGGAACGCATCGCCACTGCCCGGGTAGTCCGAGTCAGCACTCCAGAGTTCCACGATTGGTCCCCATCCTCGGTGGTCCGGAGGCCCGACGTCAGATTTTTCGACTTGAAGCTTTCTAAGTGTCCGTCAAGCCCGGCATTGCCTCGGACGTGGTCAGCGCATGACTGGAAAGCATACGCTTCCTGTCAGCGGTCTACACACAGCTGGAGGGACCTGTCCACCCTGCATGCATGCAATGCCGCAGCTGGTCGATGACTTAGCCTTTCGCGTGACACAATATGTTTCCAACGTAATCTGAAAGCACGACGTCGCACCGTTGCTTGGGACTGTCAATGTAAACGCATTCCGATGTTCATTCGTCCGATGTCGCCGCGGACGCGCCTCTATAGTGCGCCTCCGCGCAGAGGCATTGTATCCGCGTCGCTCGGATTCTCTATACATACTAACCACCACTTGAGACGTAAGTAGCTTCCATTGGCTACAGTCGAAGGATGTCCATGACACATTCAATGCCCTAGTGCCTCCAATATTCTTTACTGTGAGTTTTGAGTCATTGACAATTGGGATGATCATATACACTTGGGATGGGTGAGGGTATGGTGCCGGCTGTTACTACCGTGGTGAGCACGGGGCGTCGTGAGCGCGTAATTATATTATACACATCGATAGCATGGTCATACCAGAACATCTGGCTTGGTATGTTCACGGAGCGGTACGAGTGATGCGTGTGCTGGACGCGGAGAAGTCAGCAATAACTTCTGACAGCACATATACACACACCAGAGAATTCCTCGTTTGTTCGACTTGACCATATTCCTGCGCACAAGCTCGTCCCATGCCGGCCATTTCTCTCCCTCCAGGTTGATGTGAAGCTTGTTGTCATCCGGTGCGCAGATGGACATGTCGATCGTCAGATAAACACTGAATGGTCGCAGTTTAGCGAACGGGCGCCTTGCCAGCATCTCGTCCATTCGAGCGAGAAAACCAAGTCTCTCCATGCTGATCAACATCGTGTTGAGCAGACGTAGTCGTGCCCCTACTATGAAGCAGACATCCACTCTTTGGATCCATTCTGATTCCACGGTAGCAAGCACCTTGGGAATCCATGAATGATCCGCACCCAGAAAGCTCCGTGAGTCGAGTATCAGATGTTCCAGCGTGACAAGGCGGGATAGATTGACATGTTGCGCTATATGAACCACGGTCAACCTTCGAAATGATATCGCGCACGAGCACAGACGATACTTACCTACGCAGTCGACGTCTTCAGGACCTAACCCGTAGGTATGGAATCCGAAACGTAACTTCTTGAGCGATCGGGCACTTGTATTTATCAGGGTCTGCCTTCCTCCACGATTTTGCAGTGCGTCATATTCGTCCACACATATTGCAAGGGTACACAACAGTGCCGCCTCGCTTAGGCAGGTGCAAAACTCTAGAATTGCTGGTGCAGTGTTCCACCACATGTCGATGTCTTTGAGCTCGCGGGCATTTAACGGAAGACGGGTCGGCATGTCTAGATGTACTTGCTTGCATAGAGTCCTATCGGTCTTCAATGAGCGGAGTGCAGGCAGTGCGGATACCAACTGCGCCAGTTGCGAGACGGTGGCGAAGGTCACGCCCCGGAGCTCCAATGTAGTGACGGAAGGAAACATCGCCAGGTAACGAATGGTGTCCGGTGAGATAGACCCGATGCGCCACTCTGCATTTTCGAGCCGCAGCGTATGTGTGTTGGGTAGCTTCCCGGCCAGCATAGGGACAAACGTTCCAAAATGGGGGATAGGGTGTGGGATGTTTTTCGTCGACCCTCCGGAGACAGCGACAAACCTGACGGCTCGGCCGAGACGGGGGTTGTCGCGGACTAGCTTAGATAGAGCCAAAACCTGGTTTCGATCGCGTAGTTCGACGAATTGTCGAAGATAGAACTGGGAATGGTGATACCATGCCCTGCATACGAGTGCACACGACAAGAGCGTGCGTCGCCATGGGTCGAGCTCAGGGAGCCAAACGGTCTCGTCGATTTGCGCAGCTACGCAATCGATGATCTCTTCGGAGATCTCAAGGGGAGCGCGTGGAGAACGAACGGCTACGGCAGCGTTCCTTCCAGCAACGATTGCAAAAGGATTCCACTTCGAGAGCGCCAGTGCAGAATGAGTTGTCGTTGTCGGGGCGGACTCCCTGCGGTGGAAGTGGTGCACTTGGTAGCGGCTGATCAAGGGCGTCACCAGTTCCGAGGCAAAGATAGCGCGTATCATTGTGGTTGGTTGTCTTTCGAGAATCGGCAAGATCTACGACGTCGCCCCGTGAGATGAAGGGAAGTGTACCTGTCGCCAGCTGTCTACTCACAAGGAAGTTCGGATGAAATGAGCCCGGGTATGACGCCAGCGCGACCAGCGCGGGCCTCCTGCCAACGAGTCAGGATCAAGGGACTGAAAGACGTTAGCGAGTGCGACATGAGATCAACCCAAACGAAGGCTGACTGACTTGGATGTCTAGTGGTTTGGGGTCGAGAACAAAACGTCGAGAAGGAGATGTGTTAGGCTCACTCGTAGAGGCAAGGATTCACGGAGGAGTCGCTCAAGCCACCCAGCGTGAGTCAACCATGGACTATGTTGAGACGAATATTGGCTGTCATGACGACGTTACTTGGACGTTACCCTATGGGTCGGGCAAACGGCCATCTCCGACCTTTCATGACCTAGTCAGTACTTATGTGTAATCCAACCTTCCAAGGACAATCTACGATAAGCACGGGAGTATATCAGTGATGCGACAATTTGAATCAGCAGGATCCTAGGGTGTTCATTGTAGCGCCGGGCTTACTACCAGTGCATGCACGCCGAAGCAGACTGAGTCTTACTGATCTGACTAAAGTCTGCCGCTGTGCCTCTGGGAGCACCTATTCGCGTTCATCGAGATGTACCTATCGACAGGGAGCTCTTGACCGCTACGAGAGAGACTGGATCTTTGTGAGCTTCCAGAGACAGATTATCATGGGATAGCAACGTACCTTTGATTACTGACGAAGGCGATGTGACAGTTGTAAAAATGCGCGACCGCCGCGCTCACCAGACATATTGGAAGCCGGGGTAACGTTGGCCGCAGTGGAACGGTAGTCGGACAGACCGGTGTAACCCTAGAGACGCGTCCTACGGGGAACATCAATTAGAAGGCAACGAAACCACCTGTGTCATGTACCAATACACTCGATGTTGAGCCGGTAACCATAGAGCAGGCGAGGGCGACCGTCGTTTCGTGACTCGCCAAAGCAACGACGACCTTGAGACCGTATATGACCCATCAATGCTCATGGAAATCAGGTAAAGAGCCGCGCGTTAATACAACGTACAACATGACTGATACAAATACCTAATGCTCAACAACACGCTTGAAAGCGTCCCTGACGTTCTTGACGAAGGTGTACACATCTCTTGTCTCGTTCAACTCGTCCAGTAGAATGGGTAGTGTTGGGAGGTACGGCGTTGTGGTCGGTACTGGGCTATACGTGAGTACGATCGCAATAAGTACGCCTGTGATCGTGCTGACCTTTATACGAGCGACTGGACACGTCGATGACCAAACTGCACTCTTGCTCGCGGCTGCTCGCATACAGATTGAAGAACCGAACAAGCAGCTTGTCCTTTTCAATGCCCTCGATAACACATTGTAACTTCGCTTCCGACTCTGAAAGCTCCGGTGCTGTTCGTGCCGCATGAGAGTTGAGCAGGTTCTGCTCCCTGCTCCTCTCTATGGGGGGTCTAATTAGAGTACAAACCAAGCGACGACAATGTGGCACACACCTCGTTGCAGGTTTGCTGCTATTGCCCGCTGCTGCTCGATTTCGGATTCGACAGAAGAGCATTTCTCGCGGAATACAGCCAATTGTCGTTTGAATGCGGTGACCGACGCTTCTAACTCCTTCTTTTCCTCCTGCTCCCTATCAAGGACTGCGACTCGTCCAGTCTATAAGACCACCATCGAGTCAAACGAGACCGACCTTTGATCAACTCTATCTCCCTGATTTTGCACTGATTTGTCTCCGCCTCGATCTGCTGTATCCTCTCCGAAAGCTTCTTCCTGTCCGAGAGGTGCGCATTCTTGCGGTTCGTGATCTCAGTGATAGCCCGTTGTGTGTAGTTCGACACAGCACGGAGAAAGCTCTGCGTAGAATTCTCGTATGATTCTAGACGAAGGTCGATCTGAGGGTTCTGAGATGCCAGGACGGCGGCGAGATCAAGTTTGGGGACGCGGAGGCCCTTGGCCATCGCGGCAAGTGAGCGGGCAAGTCCAAGTTCGACCGACGCGTCACCGCGAGAATGTGACTGGCACGTGATCGTGACCATTGGCGTTCAATCGTACTGTAGGGTCAGAACAAGCGTAGAGCCAAAAACTCTGACTCTACATGGCCGCACTTCGATAGTTGTTTTACCTGTGCTTCCTTCCCTAACAAGATGGCAGGACGGATGTATGCTGTGGCGGAACAACGCAAGCGCGTCAGTGATGTCAAAGTCGAATAACAGTGAGTCGCAGCGCGCACTGTGAGCCGTGAAGAACCTCAGGGACACCACCTTGTAATACGTGCGGAAGATACATCACCGGGCCTATGTTGCTCGCACAATGCAAGTGACAGAACGTGCGATCGCCGATCGAATGTACCGCTTATCATCCTGGAAGATTACTGCCTATAAGTACCCTAGTAATGAAGTACAATTTGTAGCGGTAAACCACTCGATTACGGTCATCGTCCGTGTCCTGTGTGCGGCAAACTTACAATATTGTTACATAGCTCTGCACTGCATGCTTTCATCTCAACGCGTAAAGATAGATGTGACCTGTGATAACCCCAAAGCCGGACTCTCGCTATGCGCCCTCGTTGCCTAAGCGTGGTATTGGTAAATCGGGAAAGACAATGCGGTAGCACTAGCACCCACCAGACTCCATGGTCCATTGATCATGCTTCCTGATATCGTCGGCCGTCACCGTTTGTCGGACGTTATCCAGCGACTTCAAGAAGTCTGCTATTTTCAGCGGCGGCTCTAGTAGCTCTTCGCTTTCGATATCGGACCACGACTTCTCTACTGCTTCAGGATCGCCCGGAGAGCACGGTGTCCATTTGATGACATCCGGGTCAGTCGGCGAAGGCGCTTGCTTGAAGTGAGTGGCAGAGAGGACTTTGCGGACAGGTTGCATGAGGGCGTCGCGAACGACGACGGATATATCGGAACCAGAGTACCTGAGCGACATCGTTATTAGCAGACGATATGAGAATTGTGATCAAGCTCACCCCTCGGTTTTCTCTGCGAGGAGTCGATAGTCCTTCGCCGAGAGCTCGCATGGAGTATCTCCCACATGTAGCTGGAACATTCGTCTCCTCGCCTCGACACCTGGCAGTGGGATGTAGATGCGCTTCTCGAACCTAGCGAAGGAGTAGGCACTTGTGATCACCAAGAGGAGCTGGGCGGACATACCGTCGCTTGATGGCGTTATCGAGTTGCCATGGGATATTGGTCGCACCAAGAACCAACACACCCGTATCGTCATGTCCGACACCGTTCATCTGCACCAGGAACTCCGTCTTGATCCGCCTTGAGCCCTCGGACTCCTGCTCATTTCGTGAACCCGCCAGCGAGTCGACCTCGTCTATGAAAATGATGGCAGGTTTGTTCTCCCGCGCCATCTCGAAGAGTTGCCGGACCAATCTAGAGGGAAGTCAAGTATAAACCAGTTAATGACCGGAAGCTGTGCTGACCGTTCGGAGTCACCTTGCCATTTACTGACAAGGTCACTCGAGCTGACACTGAAGAACGTGCCCTTCGCCTCCGTCGCCACTGCCTTCGCCAGGTATGACTTTCCCGTTCCAGGAGGTCCGTACAGAAGAATACCGCGCCATGGTGTCCGCTTCCCTGTGAACAAATGCGGGAACTTGATCGGCAGGATGACCGCCTCCTTCAGCGACTCCTTTGCAGCCTCCAGCCCGGCGACGTCGTCCCACTTGACGTTTGGTTTCTCCGTGATGATGGCGCCTGCCAGGCCCGCCCGTAGCTTCTTCACCTCCGGGTCGACATCATCGTCGTCATCCTTCCTGCGGCGGACAGCGTCATGACCTGACCGACGTCTGAGCACATGCAGCCACTCACTTCTTCCCGCCCGCGCCCGTACCCCCGCTCCCGCCATTCACGCCTATCGCCTTCTTCGCCCGCTTCTCTTGTGTCTGTGAGAGGTGCTCCTTCAGCACCTCTGCGCGCGCGAGATACTCGGCGACCTTCGACCGGATGAGCTGCTTCGACTTCTCGTTCCTCTCATCTAATGAACCATCAGCCCCGTCAGACACGCAGGCAAACATGACCGTACATTTCAGCGCGAGCATGAAGTAGTCCAGTGCATTCTGGTACTGCTTGTAGGCCTCCGTGTAGTTCTGCTTGGTATCCTCCTCGATCGCGCGCTGCACGATCTCAATGGCACGCTGTGAATTGCGTACAATCAGAGAACGTAGTGTTTGCCCGATGCACACAGCGACTCACGTCTAAATTCTGGGACATCCTTTCCGAACACGCAGCGTCGCCAGTGGCAGTAAATGAGGTCGTTGTAACCGGGCATCATTGTTGTTCACTATTAGAATCTAAGGCCCCAGCATAACAAGCACAAACAACGTTTATCATTGCATGTAATCAGTGGAAAGTATGGCTAGATTACAGTAATACATGGCTGAGGATAAGTTAGACAGTGCTATCGGCTACAGTCCACTGCCAGCGTCGCTGGTCAGCATGATAGTGCAGCGAGACAGGTATGTGAATCGCATATGACATTGCTAAAGGAGAGAGAGCACACCCACGCGCCTCCTCATCGTCGAGGAACCGCCAACTAAGGGGAATAGTACATCTACACCGGTCGTCAAGGAGAAGGAAAGAGCAGCGCAGCGGAAAGAAAATCCTACCGCCCGTCCAAAAGCGTAGACGATCAAGAACAGCGAGAGTAATGGTCCCAGGAGAACAGGAAGTATGAACAGAAGATCCAATCATCGAACTCTCCGAGACTCCTCCGCCTCGCGCGGCTATGGGACGATTTGTACCTGCGCCAGTGCCATCGCCTGCGCATTCACATGGACGTGTGACGGCTTGTGCGATGAATGGCACACCTCGATGCTCTGCACCCAAGAGTGTTCGACGAGCTCATCGATGAGGGCGCGCAGCTTGGGATTCGGCTCGAGCATCTTGCGGATCACAGGCCTGCAGGCGCGCGGGGATAGGTTGTTGATCGTCGGAGGACACGACGATTGCGTCTGGCAAGCAGAGGCGTATGCCGCGAACAGGTGGTCCGTGGGCTGAGCGACCGTCCAGGGCAGTTCCTGGAAGTGGAGACAATAATAGACAACACCGCATGCCCAGATGTCAACAAGACGAGCGTCATAGGCTAGCCCATCACAATTAGGTGCGATGCGCTACAAGGTCAAGTTCGTTTGCTTACGTTTGCCCAGAAACTGCTCCGGCGCGATGTACGGTTCGCTACCACACAGCCCAGTGGACATGTGGACTGTTGTCTCCCAAGGTAAGCGGTAGACAGTAGATGCACCGTAGTCACCGATCTATGAGGCAAGAGCGTTGGTCATGACACATCATGGCAGCTACATGACAACTCTGCGTACCTTCAGGTGGCCCTTGGTGTCGAAGAACAAATTCTCGGGTTTGATATCCCGATGGGCGACACCTTGGCTATGAAGATACTGAACGCCGGTCAAGATCTGTTTGAAGCAGCACTCGACTTCGCTCGGTGACATGCCACCTCGCTTGATAGCAGCGTAGAGGTCTCCGCCAGGACAGAACTCCATCACCTCGCACCAGTGCTGGCTTTCGTCCTGGACGAGGTCGACGGTCTCGACGATATTGACGTGATGGAGAGTGGACGATATGCAAAACTCGGCCGTGAGCTTCTTGACGTACTCCTTCTCAGTCTCGTTCTTTCTGCGTTTTCGGAACTCCTGCAACGACGTCAGCGCGATGCATTGAGCGATAGCCGCATAGAACACACCTTGACCGCATATAGCTTCTCCTCGCTGCGATCCCACTTGTGCGCGAGACGCACGACAGACGTCGCACCTTTGCCGATGGCCACCTTCTCGCAGACTCCGTACTTCTTCAGCAAGCTGACTGTGCTCTCTCCCGCGGTCGACTTGCGCTCGTGGTCCGAGTCCGACTTCTTGCTGCTAGCCGTCGAGCGGGCAGAGGACTTTCGAGCGAGTTTCGGCCCACCCAACAGCCTGTTCAGATCTTTGAGAGTGAACTTCTGCCCACTGTCAGACTGCTGCGAATGAACCGAGGCCGGTCTGGACGGTGGCTTAGAAGACGGCTTAGACGATGGAGTCGACTTCGACTGGGGCCGCGAGGTGCGCGCAGAGTCTGGCTCTGGAGTCCTCGCGGAGTGGATCTCTGGAGCGCCCGCTGACGAAGCGGGTGATATCCGCAAGGCAGTCGATGGCGGCTGCTCTCTCGACAGCGAGTGCTCCTTCTGCGAGGGCGTCTTCGTGAGAGGCTGTAATGGGCCCAGCTTGCCGCCGGAAACACCGGACGACATGCTAGGCGCTCTGCTGGGTGGCTGCGTCGAAGGCAGACTCCAGCTCTCACTCTCTGAAGCCGAGAGCGAGTCGCTGCTGGATGGCGTCATCGAGCCCGTTGTCGAGGATGAATCGCGCTTGATGGGGGGAGAGGAGAGGGCGAGCTTCTCGGACTGATACAGCTCTTCAAGGTCCTTCCTGGTGCGGCCAGGTGCTTTCTGATAGAGGTACGAGTCCGGAGGCGGGAGCGGGACATGGTGGCCATTGGTGCCGTTGGGTATGCCACCAGTGGCCTGTGGCGCCGCCTTCTTGGGGGGAGGACGCTGCGGCTTCGTGCCGTTGGCTCGTGGGGAGGCGGGGGAAGAGGGGATTCGCGTGGTTGTAAACGGGCGCGAGGCGCGTAGGTCGCCATGCGGCGGTTTATCTGAGCCGTCGGGGCCTTCGCCCTCGGCCTGGGCGGTCTCGGTTGCGTCGACCATGGTCATGAGGATGTTGTGAGTGTGAGAGGTTCGTAAGGGGGCAATGTGTGGAATGCGAGATGGGTGCTGGGAGAGGAAGTGATGGGTGCTGGAGCAGCGGGGTCGTGGGCTGGGGCGAGTTTATTGGGTATTCATGGCTGACGAACACGTTGGAAGGTTGGTCGAGCGGAGGAGCGAGAGGGCGCGAGCGGGAAGACCCCCTCGCTGGTGCCGTAGGAGACGGCTGAAGGGGAAGGATGCTGGGAGCGGAGGCGCGAGAGACTGAGCAGAGCTGAGCAGGATTTCAACCGGAGCAAGACGCCACTTTTATTCGCGCTTATGTCAGCCGGCGCCGGCCACTCGCCCGTCGCCAGCTTCATCTTCTCTCCGCTCCCGCTGCACGTTCATCTCCTCATCGCATCTCGGCGCTCACGCTGCCAGAAAAACAGACGAACAGTGTATTTCGGTAGATGAACTTCTCGCGACAACGACACGAGGCAAGGCAGGCCCTCGCTCTGATAGAAGCCCCTCTTCCTTACTCTACGTCTCGTGCACACGGATTCAGCGAAGCTCACCCGCGCACAATGCACAACTTTGCCCTGCGATAAGACCGCGGCGGGCACGACCTACACCTACCATCGCCAGCGCGCGACTCGGAACACGTTCTATCACCGACAGGCCTTACAGCGACACGACACCCGGAAGCTGATGTCATTGCCATTCGGGTTACGCGAGATATCTGGGCGATACACACGTCGCCAGGACAAGGGGTTTGAAAATCAGAGGCCATGTCGTAAGCGGCCTTGACGTACTCGAGAACGAACGCGGCGCAGCGAGACAAAAGAGGGAACATCGGACCCATCTGCCACAAAGTCAGACGCGCCGGAGCAGCAGCCCAACAGCAGCCTATGACAAAATAGCGCGTCGGACAATGTCGGACGGATTGCTCGCCTGCTGCCGTGTGGCGGCGCGAATGCGTCTCCAGTCCGCCTGAGAATCGCTGCGATAGCCATCATACGGGGCGCGGAGGCGAGCACAATCAGAGCCTGGACACTAGTGTGCACGGAAGGCAGCGGGTCGCGAGTAACTGCATGTCCCCTCCATTGAGAAGAATGCATGCGAGTGCTGTACGATGCCTTGAGACTTGCGTTAGACCAGGGCAGCGGGTGGGACTAGATGCTGCCTGCATCTTCGCGGCTCTTCGCCGTTCGGCGCGATGTGCACAGTGTGCTAGCAGGGTACAGGCCACAGAGCGACGGGCAGCACATCCGCAAACAGGCAAGTGCGCGGGAGCGAGGCGCCAGGTCCGAGCCGGGCAGCCGGGTGCTGGCTAGCACCACAATTAGAGTTTCGGCACTCGCCGGGAGGCTGAGCTCACGTAAGCGGCCCTGGCAGAGACACACCGCCGAGCAAGTCGTCGTTCTCATCGCCCCTCCTCAAGACCCAGGTGAGTGCTGCCGCTGCTCTCCGCCGCCGCCGTGCGCGTCGACCTGACCGCCGCCCCGCCGCAGCCATGGTGAACCTCCGATCCCAAAAGCGCCTCGCCTCCTCCGTCGCGGGATGCGGCAAGCGTAAAATCTGGCTCGACCCCAGCGAGCAGGCCGAGATCGGGAACGCCAACTCCCGCACCCACGTCAAGAAGCTCATTAAGGACGGCCGCATCATTATCAAGCCCACCACCGTCCACTCGCGCGCACGCACGCGCGACCTCCTCGCCGCAAAGCGCAAGGGCCGTCACACCGGCCCCGGTAAGAGGAAGGGTACCGCTGAGGCCCGGATGCCCAGCAAGGTTCAGTGGATGAGGAGACAGCGGGTTCTGCGCCGGCTGCTGAGGAAGTACAGGGAGGCGGGCAAGATCGACAAGCATCTGTGCGTCCCACATTGATCTCGTGCAGGACTGATCAACTGAAGATGCGCTATCCAGCTACCACTCGCTCTACCAGAAGTCGAAGGGTAATGTTTTCAAGAACAAGCGTGTACTCATGGAGTATATCCACAAGGCCAAGGCCGAGAAGACCCGTACGAAGGTGCTCACGGACCAGATGGAGGCTCGTCGTGTCAAGAACAAGGTCCGTACATTGTCGTTCTTGATTCACATGCGCCTGCTCACCGATCGCTCTAGGCGGCTCGCGAGCGTCGCGCCCAGCGTGTGGCGGAGAAGAGGCAGGCGATTCTCGCCGTGGAGCACGAGGACCCCGTCCAGGAGTAAACATGACCACCTTGCATCCCATATCACCGTCTACGCCCGTCACGTCGTCGTTTGTATCCTATGCCATGCAGCCCTCTATCCATACGCCAGGCCCATGCTCGCATGTTATCTTTTGTTGGACATGGTCCGATGAATCGCCATCGCAGAATGGAGGCGGATTCACGGAGACCGCAAGCTCCGGGCAGGTATGTATTGTGTTACGCTCAGGATCCGGGCGTGCCGTTTCATACAATAATACACGGTGTGTCCCCGTCCGAGAAGACGGATCTAACAGCGGCACTCATGTCTATCATAAGTTGCCACCTTCTTCAATGCTGCGTGGATATGAACCTCGGTGATGATTGGTACTCGAGTACTGGGTTAAGCTCTTATTGAACTCATCGTATAGAGTCAGATCAGAACGAGGTACAGTAGTGGTACATCGAGTACAACCATCAACAAGCGTGTCAATTGTACACGATAGGGTATAGCGTCCGCCTCCGCCTGTTACAGGAGCACATGGGCTAAACTCATGCACATCCTCTTGACGTTCCTCTGTTTGGCTACTGTCTCCACCATCTCTCTCGATACCGCGACAATCTCCTCGGCACCTGAGCCGTCCGCCTTCTGTCGCCGAATCAACAGACCGCATTCATTGAGCGCGAACGCCGCGTCTTCCACACGTAGATTGGTTGCGCGAGCGATGTCGGCCAGAGTACACCGAATGACGACATGCGCCGTGGCACTTCCGTCGGGGTTCGGTGTCGTCTCTACAGTCCGGAGGGATGTGAACATGGGATCTGCACCCAGGCAAGACGTCAGCGGCACATGTCGCGCTGCGCAAGCAACAGAGGCACGCACCAGAATCGTCGTATGGCTCCACAACTCGACTGCTCGCCGCGAGGTCCTCGCCGTCCCAGCCCTTCGTGCTTTTCCTGCGTTTCATCTTCGGCGCCGCCCTGTCCTCCGGCTCCGCCGATGGCGACATTAGGTGCGCGTCTGCGAGGTCCGGCACACCGCCCACGGTGATCATCTTCGACGCGTCCGGAGGCAGGACCGAGAGCAGGCGGCTGCAGGGTGGCCCATGTCGGATGCGGTCAGCTGCTTGCTACGACGCATACATGTGATGGAGGCACCTACCGGAAGAACCTGATCAGGGTGGACAACCAGTAGGTCAGGTAGCTCCGGAGACCAAGATCAGATAGGGGTCGCTCTGGTGTGCCGACGCGCCCGGAGCTGCGTGACAGCTCGTAGCCTGCATTCGATGGCGCAAGACGGCAGAATCAAGGAAACGTTAGTTGGCCGGCTAACAGGACTTGCGCATTACACGCACTGAACTCAATCATGAGCATTCCATAGCCTTTCTTCTGATAAGGCGGGAGTACCACGATGCACGCCAGGTTGTAGTCATCATATGATATCTTCTCCTGTGAGAGACGGTAGTCAGGGCCACTGACTTCGCGGCGGCCATTAAAGAGCCTTTTACCTTGGAAAAGAACCCGAGGACATGGTCCCTTTGCGAGTCGGCGTCCGTCAATATATAGAAGAGGACTGGACGGAGATGACGATCACTCTTCACAATCGCCAAGTGGAAGGACTTACAGTTGTCGCAGTCAAAGAAGAGCGTCTTGATATCGATGAACAACTTGCCGAAGAGCGAGAGATTCTGACAGTATAGCTAGGATAGTACAATCAGCGTGTAAACCACACATACACCAAGGCTCCTCCAGACGAACCTTCTCCTTCGCACCATCAACCTCCCAGATTATATGCGCGCCGCGCTGGTAAACTTTACGACCTGGTGGCGACTTCCTAGAGCATTTTCTCTAAGGAGCCTGGCTTTTGTCAGCGCTGCACCAACGAATAGACCCATGCGACGTACGACGTGTGACTCGTACGAAGGCCCCTCCGCCATGTACTTGAAGCACCTGTCGCAAACCCACAACATCGCTTTCTCCGGACCTGAGTGATTCCGACCTAGACCCCCCGCCAGCAGATCGGATGTCCTGCCATGCGAGCGAATAGTCGAACGACTGACACCAGGGATTCGAGGGGCCGAGGATGGCCCATGTGAGTGGGGAGTGGCGACCTGGTCTTCCGCCTCAGACTCAGTCAAAGGGTAGGGTGAGAAGTACCTTGCGTCTAGACTGAGCGACGCATCGAACACAGGCTAGCGACTGAGTGCACTCACCACGTCTTGATCTCCCATCGCCCAAAAACGACCTTGTCAAAGTTCCTTTTCGCGGTGATCTGCTTGTGGTGTTTGATGTCGTACTCCTCTTCCGTGATAGCCTGGGCTTCAGGGCCCACTGAACCTGCAAGAGCATCCGAGTGGCCAGGCGAGGCCCTGGCGTTAGGACTGACGGAATCCTCCTCGCTGACGGATCCCCTCTTCCTCTTGCGAGCGTTGCCATCGCTCGACATGGTGGCCTCGTGGGATCCTGAAGGTCGCACGGCGCTTTGTGAAAGCCATTCATCAAGTCTCTTGTCTGCATTTAGGTAATGCACGTAAACCTCGTCTACTCGGCGCTCGAGGATGCGGGCGTGTTCTGTCGCTCCGTCAGTGAACACCGGGTGAGAGGCAAAGATAGGACATACGTTCGAAACCATTCTTATTCACAATGTACACCTCCGTGTCCACACTCTGCTCCTCGATTGGATGGAACTTTGTGGGCATGAGTTCCCGGTCTTCTAATTTCCACACAGAACGGGCCACAATTCAACTCCGGTACGTCGGTAAATGGATAGATGGAGGATGGATGTAAGGGCCAGGCGTTCGCAGTCGCCCAGGAGTCGGCTAGAGATATGGTGGAAGCACGGTGACGTTGGTGGCGGGGGAAGAGTGAGGACGCAGTCGAGTGATTGCGTTCTGCCACATTGAAGTGCACTTGGGCCGCTGTGGCCATTGGCCAAATCAACCTCGCAGGCCCGCCACATGCACTCAACAGATACGACACGCCAGACTCCCGTACACATCATGCACGATAGAACAAAACACGCCTCGCGACAGGATATACAACCCACGACACTGAGTACATAAGACGAACGAGATCGGGGACATACGATGCAGGGACGAAAGAATGAATAGACTGTAAGTACGCGTGAGCGCCCATGATCAACCGGAGAGTATACGACAGCTTGATCAACGAATGCTACTTCTGTCCATTGAAGGGCTAGAGGTGCCAGCGGCTTGAGGAGAAGGTTACGACAGAACTTGAGAGAGCCAGAGTCGAGCCACGAGGGAACAGGGTACCGAAGCCTAGTAATTGTGCAAGTCACGAAGAGATGGAGACACAAGTCGCAGGGTACTGTCCGGGCTGAGCGTCGAGAGTTCCGCAGGAATGGTAGGCAGCCGTTCGTGAGTCGAGTCCAGAGCAGTCTCTCCGATACCCAAGCCCACGGTAGTCCTGACGAGGGCCAAGTACGCTCTCGGGTCCGCCCCACCAGTATGCGCGACATCGCTCGTTGACGAGCCCAGATTCCACGTAGGTCCATACACCTCTTGCATGACGGCGTCCATTTGGTCCTCGCTTTGATTGTCCTCGTTCATTCCAGAGACACGACCCTCCGGCCGGTCGTAGCGCTCGTTACTCTTGCTCCCGGTCTTTTTGCGGCCGTGCCGAGGTGAGATGCCGGAAAAGCATTCTCTGGAGAAGATGGCCTGGCAAGATCTCGGGGCCAAGGTGGGGAACGAGAGGTGCGAGTACACCGGATCTGCCCGACGCGTGTAGCCGATTCCATGACCAATCTGCTCGATGCCAGGAGGCAGATCAAGAATGGGAGGTTGTAATGACACCGACGATGGGGTGGTTTCCGGCCGAGCCTTCTTGCGCAATTTGTTGCGCATGGTACCAGGCGTGGACGTGAAAGGAGACGTGAACGTGGACGTAGACCTGGGCGGCTGACACGGAGATGGAGAGGCGCCCATAGGGTTCATGCGGCCAGAAGCAGGGACGTTATCCAGCGTATCCAGGTCAAAATTGAGGCTAGCGAACTTGCGGATGGTACCGTACTTTCTCGCATCACTCGCGGCAGGACGACAGACTCCGAACTCTGATGGGACGACAGTTCCATAGTCGAGGTCGACCGAGCTACAGCCATGAGTGCTTCTGTAACGAGCATCCAAGCAAGCGAGACCAGAGCAGCTTGCTTGCGAGTCACCTTGATCAGCGCGGTAGTCCATGTCCGAGCCAGTCCGGGGGTAGCCACAAGGTACGAACTCCCAAGTGAAGGAGAAATCGTCGACATCTGTGAGATCCTGCGAAGACGCGAGCAAAGTAATTGTTCCGCCAACTTCATCAGCATCGTCCGACGTGAACCTGGTGTTTGCAGAGTACGCAGGGTTCTCGTAGCCAATCGCCCCAAGAGGACATGCCGAACCTGCTTAAGTGGGTCAGTCCACACCGGAGAATGACCGAAAAACAAAGACCTAGAGGGGTATTCGTCGGAGAAAGCTCCCAATTCCTGTGCCACATAGCATCAACATGAGAGTATGCGGGCTGTGTCGGGCCGACGGACTCACATATCTGAGAAGAACGGGTGTGCCTTCACGCCCTCCCCGGATAGGCGGTGTGCTGGGTTGCGCTCGAGGCACTGACGCAGTAAATGGGTCAATGAAGAAGTCAATTAACTGCCAATACGGACCGCACCTTACGAAGCAAGTCCTCGAGGGCACCGTCATCCCCCTCAACCAGCCACTTCGGTAGTTTGCCATGCAGAATCTTGTTGATGACGATGGCAGGATGTGATGCTACCATCTCATGCAGGTCCAAGAACGGATGCTAGTGGTCAAGTTAGATGAGGCTTGCGACGTGAGCCAAACAAGTGCTCACCTTGGCCGTCAGCATGTAATAAAAGACCAATCCGAAGCCCCACCAATCTGAAACTGCATGCGGAGACCATTCAAGCAGAAGCTCCGGTGCTTGATACTGCTCGACCTCTCCCTTGCATGGGCCGTGGTTCGCTCTTCGAACGTGTTGTGCTAGGTCGCCCATGCCAATCTGGGCGTGTCCGAAGTCGGAAATAACGAGATAGCCATTCTCGATGAAAAGGCTGCTGGGGTTGATGTTGCAATGGACGATGCCGATCGCATGCAGAGCCATCAAGCCGTGCACCTGGGAAGCGATAAACTCAGATAGCAATCACTGTTGGACGAGCACAATACCTACCAATTGCGAAGCATATATGGCCGCATCTGATAGAGCCAGAACTCCATGACACTCCACAAACGTTCGCAGATCCGAAGCCACGTAGTTCTAATGAGATAAGAAGCCAGTCAATCAACATGACAATCTGCCTGCTCACCATGATAAGATATAACGCCTTCTCATCCTGGAAGCTCCAGCACAGGTGCATCGCGAATGGGATTGCACGTTCAGTTACAGAGCGCAAGGCGGCTTGCTCTGTGCGCGCGTAGGTGTACCCTCCCTGATCCGCACCGAGGGAAGTTTTTCGGAAAACTTTGATAGCGTAGAGTCTCGCGGTGTCGTTTTTGCGTCCGATGACTAGCTCGCCTTTCCAAGAAGCTGTCTGTCTGCGTTCAACCTGTCGAATTACTTCGAAGTCAGATGCGTTGATCCGCCGCGAGCCTGCATGATTCGCGTAGTCCTCAGTGAGTGACATGGTAGAGCCGCTTTCGCATGTGCTCCGGTTGTCTGCAAGGCCCGCAAGCGAGGGGCACTTCTTGATTACCATTCCTTCCTGTGGGTAGTCGAATGGTGTTAAAAGCAACTTTTCAGAGAGGGGCGCGCCTACGTACATCGATATCATTGTCCATCGCCGCCTTGAAGACGCACGCAGGCTGTGGGTTACACAATAGACCAGGAAGTTCATCCATAGTTATAAGTCCAGACCCGAGAAAGCGACTTACCTCCACCGCGAAGCTCACCGTACTGCCGCTCGTAAGCTGACCGCCAGTGATGTCCACCTTTGTGACGCTCGGGGAACAAAGGATGTACGGTGGATTGGAGCCATTTATAGACTCGCCCTGCAGGCAAATGGTTGCAACGTATCAATGCATGCCAGGATGTCGGACGGCGAACGTGTCCAACCTCCGCACGGATTGCTTCTAGGAAGTCTGTAACACAGCCATCGTGTCCACCGTGGCAGATCGACGGTGTCAACGGAAACTAAGCAGAGTGAACCCTCGGTCACACTCCGCCATGTCCGATAGGAAGAAAGCTCACCTCACTCGCGGAAACGCGTTCCCTGGACTGCGACTGCATCTCAATCAAATCCGCTTCGTTGGACACTCGTTGCGACTTCCGCCAGAGGAGGACTGTTCGTCAAGTGAGGGAAAGATCGCTGTTCTGAATTCACGACAGCGAGAGTATGCGTGGTGGAAGAGCGAAAGGAGGTATCGCGGCTTGACTTTGGTTGAACTCGCAGTTGAACTTGATGCCGATCCTACTCGTCCAAATCTGGCTGTGGCGGGCACGCTCGGGCACGTGCACTTCGTCTCAGCGTGCATTTCAATTTGCCTTTCAACTTCAATTCGCGACCCAACGCGTCCGCGATTGCAGCGCTGACTACACATTGTATACAGCAATACCGAATAATGATACAGTAAGCAGGTAAAGCGAGGGTATGCGGGTATCCTATAGCGCTACTACGAGGGAACGACATAATTCGTTCGGTCCTCAGACATCTTCAAGGACAGGGTGCATGGTCACTAAGTACAAACGTTCGTAAGACTAGCACGAGCTTGCCTATGGCAACGCTCGTGCCTCAAAACGCGAACAGTTCAGAAGCTAGAAGTCCAAGCAATGCGTGAGACTGCTACTGATATTTATCTTTGTAAATCCACGCCAGTCCGACGTCGCTAACACCCTGTGCAACCTGTACTATATCATCAGTCAAGCTCGATGAGGTTATTGGATTGGCACTTACCGCCGCTCTATACCACTTAGCCGCCTCTATCTTGTCCTTCTTGCAGCCCTTGCCGTTTGCGAGACAGAAGGCCAGATCTTGCTGAGCATCCGGGTCCCCTAGTCGCGCGGCAACGCGGAAGTAACTCTGCAATCAGGCGTCACCTCCGAACTCGCCACCCATACACCGAAGAAACCCACCACTGCCATCTTCTTGTCTTTCTCCACGCCCCACCCACGGAAGAAGCTCTGGCCGACCTCGTATATAGCGAGGACGAGCTCGCTCTTCACCGCTCCAGAATCCTGGCCGGCCCTAGCTCTCTCAAGGTCCTCCACCGCGACTTCTGCTGCGCGCCTCAGCCAGCGGAACCCTGCGCTCTCGCTTTGGGGGCAGCCCCATCCGTGGCGCTGCGCGAGTCCCCACATGAGCATGCCCACGCCGCATCCGCCGTCGATTGTCGCACTCTTCTCGAAGCACACCGCCGACTCGGTCAGTCGGTTCGCTTCGTGGTGGTTGATGCCCAGCTGCAGGAAGTCTTCCGCCGTCGTTGGGTTATCCAAGTTCGGCCGCTGGGCTGATGATGATGGAGCAGGCTCGGGAGCAGGTGTGGGTGGTGATTTACTGGATTGCGAGGGGACGTAGTCGGGGCTGAGATGGGTCGTGGAAGGCGCGTTGCTCGGAGCGTTTGGGGATGTAGGCGAAGGAATAGGGCTGTCGAGCGGATAGTACGAGTAATGCGAATACAGACTAACCGGCGACGCCGGCCGTTTTGGTTTCGCAGGCCCACTACTAGGCGACATCGATCTGGACGCGAGTGGAAGCGAGGGGGTTGACTGGCTGCCAGACATCTGCGACATCTGCATCTGCGATGCTGACAGACCTGCCTGCGGCTGTGCTTTGGGCGACGACGTGCTCCCGCTGCCTCCAGAGTCCATCCTCGCATGCGAGCTCAGGCTTGTCGATGGGCGGCTGCCGTCCACCGAAGTGTCGTATTGCGCGAGCGGCGAGCGACCCGCGGACCGCGTCGAGCCCGCCGTGCCAGGGCGTTGCTGATTTCGTTTGTAGACCTCCAGCTTCCGGTTCTCCGTCGCGTTATCTGTTACGAAGGCGACGCGGGGGTGCGAGAAGTTGACTGTACCCTGTACCCGGGACGGCGTCCTGCTTGCGGGGTGCATCTGGGTAACAGGATTCGCGGGCCAGTCATCACGTCTCCTTCGAGTATTGTCAGGCTCCGTAGAGACGACGACGGCCGGCAGACTACCCAGTGGTTGGTTGATCGACGAGGAGTCCGGACGCGCAGTTTCGCCCGTCCTCCAAGTGTCCCGGTATGAATCGCGGTACCGTCCTGTGATCTCATCCAGGTCGTAGCTCGCCTGGGAGTACATGCTGTCGACCATCATATTCCCGCGTGCGCCGGGCATCCAAGAAGACATCTGCCCGTCCTGCGGCGCCGAGTACGACGCACCATCCTGCTCCCTTTCCCTGCTCCGGTCCCGGTCCCGTCCGTTGAACGACTCGTCTTGCGCGCCCCACGAAGAGGTTGATTGCGCATCGCTGCGACTGTGGTCGTGGCCGCCGAACTCAGTCAATGCGGTAGCCGTGGAGGCCGTCCGGAAGCGCGTGTGAAGGATCGGCGAGTACTGTGCTTGCATAGCAGGATCGCTGGGCCTTGGAGGTGTCGTCGTGAGGGCAGGCAGCTCCGCTCGCCGCGTAGACGTCCTGCGTACAAGCGAGTCGAGCGGCGACGAGTGGTGGAAGGTAGACGGCGGGTGCTGCATCTCCGCGCTGCAAGTGAGGTCTATCTAAAGTTTCAGTATAGTGACCGAGCTTCTGAGCTTCGCCAGCGATCGCAGAATGAGAAGGGCGAGGTCGAGGGGCTTTCTGCCGCGTAGATCAAGTATCTGAAAAGAGGGACAGGGGTTGTATCATCGCACCGGCGTCGCAGATGCAGGCTGTGAGTTGTATCATGGCGAACTTGGCAGAGACTGGCCGCAGCACTTGCCGCCCGTCGCACTTGTTTGGCAGTCCACCTCACCGAAACACGTTCACTCGTAATTCGAACACTGTTTTGTACCGCTCTGAACACTGCATTGCGGCCTCGCAGTATCACTGTGTCAAATGAACAGCACTACTACGTAGACGAGCACAGCACAGCCAATAATAGCCCAGTAATACTCTATCAGATGTACTTTTTACCGCTCTTGGCCTCAGCGTACGGGTCCGCCATCGGGGGCCGTCCATACCGGGGCTCATCCGTTTCTGCAACGTATCGCTCAGGGCTGCGGACATGTGACTGTAAGTTATGAAACTCACTGAGGACATCCCGGTAAATCTTGGAGACAGTCTCGTCCCAGACTTCTCTCCACATGTGCGCGCCGCCGCCCTTGCTACCGTCGAACCCATGCTCCTCCGTGAAGGCACGGAGGTTGAATCCCAGCCGGGCCGCGTCAGAGAGCTTCGGCAACTTGATTGGCTCGGTGTGCGATGACTGGGGTAGCAGTAGTATCACGTAACGGTGATATGGCGTACCCCGTTGCGGGTGCGGCGGAATGTAGTGCGTATGCGGATGAGGGATTGAAATGGGCGACGGAGAGAACGCGGAGAGCGGTATGTTCGGGCTGCAAGAACATTAGCCAAGGACTCCTTGCAACCGCTGATTGTGGTACGCACTGCATCCAATGCAGGTATGCTTGGAATGTCTCGTTCGCCTCGTCGGGAACGTCTACGAGCAAATTGAGAACAAAATTCGAGGAAGAGATCGTTGGACGTACCCAGATCAATCATGAACAATGTGTAGAGCCGTGTGTCTGTATGCCACACTGACGTGTATAGCATAGGCGGTCTCCATGTCTACGGGAAAGCGTCATGAGGCCATGCATGTAGCTAGAGATATATTGCCATACCTGCTCCGGCAGCAAATACATACCGGGCTCCATCTTCTGGTAACGCCGCTTCACGCGGGCCCGGCGGTATATATCCTTGGGAGGCGGCTCGGGGAAGTTGAGACGGAGGTCGATGGTCGGGCGGAGGTCGGGAAGCAGGTCAGGAACAACATGCATTTGGTGAATACGTTCCATCTGCAGCAGAAGTTAGTTTTTTCTATTTGGAACCGAGTACATCCCCGCTACAATGCTGCAACTTCTCGAACTTTCGCGGATGCAGTAGACACGGAGGACATAATGGAAACAAAGACACTCCTTGAAAAACATTCGACTAGACAGACTTACAAGCAGGTCCAACCCTCCTTCTTCCCTCCACCTCTTCTCGGTCAAGTGCCGGTAGATGAGCTGATTCATGTCCGCTGAAGCACTGTGAACAAGCGTCCTCCTACAGGGTCATAAGGACTCACCCATGCCGTTCATAGCATTCCAACGCACGTCAGGCAGGTTGATTTCGCTCTGAATCTCCAGAATCTTCGCCTTCTCGGACAGCTCCTGCTGGCGCTGGACGTCGCCGGCGGCTTCAGCAGCCTGGAGAGCCTTGCGCACTTCGGTAAGCTGCTCTTTCAGCGCCTTCGAGTCCTCTTCGATGTACTGCAGTGCGAGGTCATAGATCGGAAGCACACCCTTTGCCAGAGGTCGGTTCCATTGCCGCGGGTTTTCCAGCGAGATGCGCGGCCTGTGCGTCGGCCAGTTCCTCCCATTTTGCCCAGCTGCGTCAACAGCGGCCTCCGCTTGACCTGTTGTCGTAGAGCTGGCCTTGGAAGGAGATGATGCCGGTGCTGGAGGTGTCGTCGGCGCAGCCGCTTTCGGTGCTGGGGGCGGCGGTGCTACCGGGTTGGCAGGAGCATCTGTCTGCTGCAGAGACGCATTTCCCCGAGACCCAGAGAATCTTGCGCATGCACGAGGAAGTCTGCGGACGGCCAGCATGCTGGCCGGTGTAGTACTTAGCAGGAGCGCGTCCGACGTCCGTGACACGCTCCTGAATTCATCGCGCAAACTATTAGCTTACATAAGCGCGGGCGCTCCCTGAGACGTCAGTACTTTGGCTTCAGGCTGTCGACGTCTTGGTTTCCTCGAGCTTTATCTACCGTCGTCACCAAGACAATCAACATCGTGGAGATCGACTTCGACATATAAGACCGGAACAGCTCAAGGTGTCTCGACCTCTTGTTGGACTGCACGGAGAACACCGATCACCTCGCACAAGTGGAAGAAATCCTGTCCCGAGACGTCTTCGGTCCACTAGACTGCACTGACAAGCTGGCCTCCTTTACAGACCTTGGAATACGACCTGGAACTTCTGGAGTCGACCTACTTGCGACCTGGTCCCATTGAGCCCCCTGAAGCGATCGACAGCTGTGCGCTGAGCGATCGCATGGATCTGCCACCGACGCACCAACACCATTGCATGGATGGAGAATGAATGTCATGTCTATGCGGTCGTAAGTCGTCAACGTACGTAACTGCAGGAGAACACTGCACAAATGATACAAATGAGATCAGCCTTTGAAGGGAGGCCCGGGGGTATGTCGAGACAGGAATCAGTAACACGCGATACAGTAAATAAAATAAGGATGATGACACATGGATCTCCGAGACGGGATGCGAAGCACTACAACGGACCGTATCAGGGAAGACAACTCTGGCCACTCAGACGATCCTCAATCGAAATCCTCGAACTCCGAAGCATCCTGACCAGCCTCATCCCCAGACGATGGAATCTCGATGTAGCTTTTGGGTACGCCTCTGGCGGCACGCCTAGGTGCCTCGGTACGAGTCGGCGGTTGAACCTCCGCCACGTCGTCATCGCTGTCGACCGTCTTCGACACTGCTTTCTTCTTCGGCGCGGCGGCCGGTTTACTCCCGGAAGCTTTGCGCGCCGTCTTAGAGGGCAGTGGTGGGGGCGGCATGTCGTCGTCCATCGAGAGATCGTCGTCAACCAGCTTCTTCGCAGTAGACGGTTTGCTGGTGGGCTTCCGTGTGGTCGCCTTCAGCGCTGGTGGCGCAATAAGCTCATCGTCCGAGGACGCCTCATCAGGCGCAATCCGAGCTTTCGCTGCTTGAGTTCCTGAAGAAGGCTTGCGAGCGGTTGGCTTCTTGGCCGGAGCCTTCTCGAAGAAGTCGGTCAGATTACCCTCGGCTTTCTTCTTCTTCTGAGGTACGGCTTGCACATCGTCATCAGAAGCCTCGTCGTCCGGGCTAGAGCTAGTACATTAGCTAGAGAGTTCGCATAGGGATACAGCAACTGACCTCTTCCGTTTCGAATTGGGAGCAGTGCGAGCTTTGCTCTTGCCCTTATCCTTGGTAGGGAGGACAACCTCGACGTCAGAATCTAAGTCCTCGATTGACGCAGCTTTCTTGGCCGCGGGGCCCCGTTTGTCAACGATCATCTCGAAGTCAGAGTCATCATCATCCTTGGGAGCCTTTCGAGCCGCTGCTTTCTTCAGTGGTGCAGCCTTGCCCTTGCCAACGTCCAAATCAGAATCCGATTCATCCTTCACGGCTTTCTTGATCGCCTTCTTGGGTGGGGGAGGCTTCACGTCGTCTAGATCGTCATCCTCGACCTTAAGTCTCGACCCGGAAGGTCCGGCTTGCTTTGCAACAGGGGGCTTCGATTCCGGTTTCTTCGCCTTCGCAGCAGCCTTCTTAGGCCTGAATTCATCCTCCGAGTCATCGGAGCCATGGGCCTTTTTCGTCAATTGCTTCAAGGTAGCCTGCTTGCGCTTGGCCTTCTTGGAGGCGCCATCCGCTGAGATAGTCTTAGCTTCCCACTGATCGCAATTCGCCTATATTATCCGAGTTTGTCAGTCAATGGCCCTTGACCTATAGCTCCACCTCACGTACCCTCCACTCGTCCAAGAATCGATCCAGATCCTTCTGCCACAGTATGATCGGAGTCAGTTCGAGGAACGCAAGCAGTTCTTGTTCCTTCTCCTTCGCTTGCGCAAGGAGCTTCGCAATCTACAAGGAATCCGTGTCAACATGTACCGTTGATGGGATGTAACTTGCACTTGCCTTCTCCTTCGTCAGGCTCCAGATAGCCATGCCGAGGAGGTAGTCGAAGTCCGTATCTCTGCCCTCCTCGTCATCCTCGCCTTCATCGTTGATCTCGACAAGCTCCTCTGTCTCTCCGGCCTTCTTGGCTTTAGAGACCTTCGCGAAGGGTCGGAACTCAAGCTTGCGCAATTCAATAACGATGTCTGCCTTCTTACGATTGTTGACAACGAGCTCCTTGTTGACGATCATCTGCACGAATCGAGCTTGATTGGTGAGCCTTGCGAGTTCCAACTCCAGCTCGGCTGCCATATAATCCTAGACATGGATCAGTCTGGTACCGTCTGTGCGATGTAGTACGATATTACCTTCCGCATCTGATAATACGCGAGGCGTTTAGGATAGAACTCTTCAATGATCTCCTCAGGGGTGTTGTACTTCCTGATGTGGCCGTCGAAGTCGAAACAGATCATGTTGCTCGTGTTAAGCTTGCCCGTGAGCTTGAAGAATTCGGTCAGGCCCTGAGCCTCCGCCTTCTCCATCTGCTTCGGTTCCAGGTTGATGATGAAGTGGACGTTCATGTTGTTGTGGTACTCCTTATAGTCCTGTGGCCCCAACAGTCTCAAAGCGATGTTCGTACCAACGACGCGCGACACCTACCTTGATAGGACCATCGCCCTTCTCACCGCACATAGCCTCCAGCTCAGCTTTGTAGTTCTGCGTCCACTTGCCGACAGGGAGCTCAGTAATCTCGATGGTCGTATCGTCAACCTTCGCGACACATCCTATCACGTCGTACTTGTTGTCGCCGACCTTCTTGATGGTCCCCCTGAACCCGCGCGACCAGGGTAACATGGGTACTTGCTCCTCGCCATCCATCAGGCGACGGATGTTGGCGACGATGTCCTCTGGGTTGAAGCTCGGAATGGAAGTACTCCAACCTGTCGGCGCGTCAGATGTAGTTTCGGTTAGCCATCTACGGGGCGACTCACCGGTTCCGATACCTTCCGCGCCGTTGACGAGAACCATTGGTAGGACCGGTACATAGAAGTCCGGCTCGACAAACTTGCCGTCATCACCGATTTGGAAGTTCATCAATGGGTCATCGTGGGCGTGGAACACCATGCGAGTGATGGGCGAGAGCTCCGTGTAGATATACCTGGCCGAGGCGTGGTCCTTGCCGCCCTGGTCGCGAGTACCGAACTGACCGTTCGGCATGAAAAGATTCATGTTGTTGCTTCCGACGTAGTCTTGAGCAAGGTTGACGATGGTAGACACCAGACTCTGCTCTCCGTGGTGGTACTGCGCGTGTTCTGACACGTAACCGACCAGTTGAGCGACCTATGCACCGGGATATGTCAATTCAAGAGGGATGAAGCATGTCCGCGCGTTCATACCTTGATTTCTCCTTTGAGCTTCCGTTTGAAACAGGACCAGACAACTTTCCGTTGACCCGGCTTCAACCCATCGACAACGGACGGGATGGAGCGAACGTTGTCGGCCATCGAGAAGAGGATGAGCTCCTTGTTGATGAAGTCCGAGAACTTGATTTCATCCTGATTGTGATCCAGGAACGTACCGGGCTGCGAAGATGGTCAATCTGGCGGGACGCACATGATGACAAGCGCATACAGACCCTGCACTGGCGCAACCATTCCTTCCGCTCGTCCGCCTTCTTCTTACTGAACGCGAGCTCAATGAGCTCGCGATCTCCCTGTTGTGTTGTGCAGAAGGGTATCATATGCTTGCGCATCTGCTTGAAATAGTCCCTTGCGTCCGCGTCCGTACTCGTACCCAGACCCTGTCGCATCCCGTGTCAATCCGATGAGACCTCTACGCACTCAACCTCTTACGAACCTTGAAGTACTTGTGCTTCCATTTGTCCTGGTTCGGAGTCTCTTCCTTCCACTGCTCGTACTCGGGCATGGTATAGAAGTTGATCTTCTGACCGCCCTTCGTGACCTGGATCATGTCTCGTCACTTCTGAGCAAGCAATCGCAGAACGCTCCTAACTCACCCGAACGATAGGAGTAATGAACTCCACGAGGAATTTCGGTACCTTCAGCAGCGAGGGATAGAAGTGGTCGAAGTAGTTGATGAGGAGTCCCTTGATGTGAGACCCATCGTGATCCTAACGAGGCACGTCAGAACGAAATCCCTGCACGACGACGACAGCATACCTGATCAGTCATTAACATGAGTCGGCCATAACGCAGACCGTTCGTGTCGTTGTAGTCCTTGTTGTGCTGTAGTCCAAGAATCTTCTTGATGTTCTGGATCTCCTCGTTCTTCATGATCTGCTCGTGTCTGGCATCGCGGACGTTAAGCGGCTTGCCACGCAGAGGGAACACGCCGAAGTTATCACGACCGACAACACTTAGACCCGCGACCGCCAGCGACTTGGCGGAGTCACCTTCAGTGAGGATCAGCGTGCAGTCGGCAGCCTTCCTCGTCCCGGCGTTGTTCGCGTCTGATAGCTTCGGTAGACCGGTGAGCCTGAGCGATATGGAGTGATGAGACTCTGCAAGAAGAATATTCCAGCGAACTCGACCTCACCTATTCCGACGACTGCCATCCGTCTTCTTCATCTGCTGATCAGCCTTAAACTTGGCCCAATTAAGGACATGATCAACGATCGCAGACTTCTGGACTAGATGACAAAAAGTATGTCAATTCATGTGGATGGTTGCTTACTGTCGCATCGTACCTTTCTTCATGAAATCCTCCGACAGAGTTGGCCTTGTGCCAAACTTGCTCGCGGGCAAGGTAAGCGTCTCCTTCGTCTGACTGTCGAATGTTGGGTTCTCGATGAGCGCATTGACGAAGATCCACATATGATTCTTGATCTGCGCGGGCTTGACGGTGGCCGCCTTGTTCTTCTTCTGAATGAACGCGAGCAGATTCTTTGCAATCTGTTCCGCAATGAGATTGACATGTGTGCCGCCCTTGATAGTGGATATGGAGTTCGCGAAGGAGACCTGCTGGAAGGTGCCGTCTGAGACTGCGAATGCGACCTCCCAGCGAGAACCAATCGCCTCGAAGGTCATTGTCGGCTTCGCCTGAGCTGCACCGCCTGATGACTCGGCGGCTTGCTCCGCCACGGAGCTGAGATAAAGGTCAACGTATTGCTTGAAGCCCTTCACTTTGATCCTCTCGTCGTTCAAGAAGACCTTGATGTCTTTCACCGTTCCCGCCATATCGTGCACGCGCTTCTTGAGTAGCGCGACCGTGTCCTCGTCGATCGAGTCCATTCCAAATCGCTTGAGGTCGGGCTTGAAGGTGACGCGAGTGTACTCCTCTCCACGTCCGTTCTTCGTGATCTTCGCTTTTCCCATCTTGCTCATATTCTCCGTCCACGTTTGGGCGTACTTCTGAGAGGTATTCTTGTCCGCGGTCTCGAGGGTGAAGTTGGTCGAGTAGATGTTGGCGAGCTTAGCACCGTAGCCGTTACGACCACCGGTGAGCTTCTTCTCATCGTCGTCATAGTTGGAGGAGGACAAGAGGTGTCCGAAGATGAGCTCTGGGATGTAGATCTTCTCTTTAGAATGCATCTCGATGGGGATACCTCGACCGTTGTTGTAGACTGAGATCAAGTTGTCCTCAGGGTCAATGGTGACCTTGATAGTGTCCATGCTAGAGTCGTTAATCTGAGGTAGTGCTTCATGAGAACAAGCATGCATAGCGATATCCGTATGGACTCACTTTGTTGTCGGCGGCATTGACCAAGATTTCGTCTATTATCTTGAAGAAACCGGGAACGTACTTGATCTCTCGGTGGGCCATACGCTTGTTGTCCGAGTCCCATACCCACATGGGCTGCGTGATAGTCTCGACGCTTCCGATGTACGAATCGGGTCTCTTCAGGATATGCTCGAGTTGTGACAGCTGGTCGAAGCTCAGGGCACTGCCTATAAGCGCATATAATCACAGCACACCTTCGTGTAAGTCTCAGAAGCTGTCTTCTTCTTCGCAGGCGCGGCCGGGGCCGCAGCTCGAGCACTCGGTCCAGCGCCGTCATCGTCGAGCATATCGACATCCGAGTCTGCGTTATCATCCTTGTCGACAAGGACCTTCTTCTTCGCCGCAGAAGCCTTTGGCTTCGCAGGGGCCTTTGCGGGTTTCGACGCGGCTTTAGGCTTCGCAGTGGCCTTGGTTGCTTTCTTGGGCGCAGGCGCATAGTTGTCCGACTCCGAGCCAGAGCCAGAAACGTCGAGGTCGAAGTTCTCCTCAGAGGAGCTCATCACGACAAGAGCACGATACGTGCGAATGAGATACTTGCGGGCAGCTAGAAGGTCGTCGTCGTTCGTGTCGAAGTTTAGTGTCGCGACGCGTTCCGTTCAACGCGTTTGCCACGTGACTGTGGCAAGCGCGCTCCATTTACTAATACTACTGCCAGATATATTTAGTTCTTAGTAGGCTGTTAGCTACGACTCTCTGCGCCCTCTAAGTACCATAGACTTGAACTTGTTGATGCAACAAATTCACCCGTCAGCATCATCTCTAATTTTTCCGCGGAAGCATCAGGGGGTATAGTAGTCACTCCCGAATCGTGGTTTCGCCCGGAATCGTGGTATGATGTTGCGGAAGTGCCAGATTTTCCGCGGCACATTCAACGTGCAGTCCCCATGAAAATATTACCGTAGCTCAGACCATGCTCTGGAATGGGTCAGATATTACAGACTATCTGAACGAGACCGCACCCCACTGGGTGTACATGGGTAAAGGAACCACCGTGGGTCATGGAACGGTAGTACACTGTAGTGATGCTCCGAGTCGATGGCCACTAGGTGTGCCCGGGTTGCGCCCAGCTTGACAAAACTGTCATGTCATCTATGAAAAAAAAATACATCGTTGCCCACGTTGATAACATCCGCGCTGCAAGGTGATCTTGTCACAAGCCAGAGAACACACCTACTATCAGATGGTCATGAGACAGTAACCCTACAGTCGGAAAGCGTTGTATCAATTTAACTCGAAGCATACAGTAAGCAACTGAGTGGCCCAGCGACTGGGGTCGAATCTTGTCTTACCGGGACAGATTTCGGCCCTCAGACTCCTGCCGGTGTATATGGTTTTGTGGTAAGTTAGGACCCTGGCTAACGTACGCGGATTGGTCGCGGTTCAATTGTGCGTTGCACGCGCGCTATCATCTCAGCGCTACGCTCTTCCCACGACTTAGGAGGGCCAAAGCGATTCGAATTGAACGCCACGGCCGTCTCGCAAGTTAGGTGGAGATAGTTAAGCACCTAGAAACGCAATGGAAGGTGTATGAATCTCTGTTTGCTCATGTCCGGCTGCATACTCGCACTGTGCGGAGTGATTCGATGAAGCCCTTTCGGAGGTCACGGGCGCTAAGAGTCTGCCACTGCGATGCGGTCTTCAAAGTGGTTGTCGATTGCTGCAAGTACTTAACATACTTTTTCGGTGAAAAGGGGCTCGCTAAAATCCGAGGGCGTATGTGAATGAGAAGACATAGTACCAAGTCAAAGCTTGTGCCCAGCCACCGGAGCGAGCTGTGGCCGTGACAAGCGTGACCGTGCACTGATCATGTTTGGTTTTGTTTGTTCTCCTCAGAAACAGTCCCCCTCGGCCATCGTAGGCCTTTCTTTTTGTCCTACCACGCATCTTCATAAAACTCTGAGTATATTATGAGATGTTTCAGCCATGCTCTTGGCCTACAGCCGTAGAGGGCTAGACAAAGGAGGTTTAAAACATGAACGCACCGGTGGCAGGGCGCGAGGTTGAGCGCCCTGATAGACGCGGGAAACGGTGCGTGTGGCGCAAATCAACCGCGACCAATCCGCGTAGTATACCTGGCAGAACAACTAATGTTTGACTAGTAATTGCTGCCTTCCGAGGAAGCACTCGCTGTGTCTTTAGGTTGGGATCCAGTATTACATTACCCCTCCGGAACCATGGATCGATTGTCAGTAACACCGCCGTGGTATGGTACCAAACCCATACTTTTGCTCTCCGCTCTCATGTGGAAACCTGCTCGGCGCAGCGATACTCAGCACTTCACAGCGTCCAGGCGCTGAGATACATAGGATGTAGCTGGAGTTGATGCACATCGATTAACAACGCGAGACGGACTACATGGCCGGTCTCAGAAAGGTGATAATTGAGCATGAACTTACGTTGGTGCTGAGAGGCCGAGAGCGAGATGTCCCTCCATCTGCTCATGGCAAGCACGGTTTGTTTGCTAGGTCAGTGGGCCCCGACACGAGTCCACCACTGTCTGTGGACTGGACGCGACATCGCATGTGGACTGCTATATTGCACATCGGTAGCAGTACACGTTGAGACAAACAGCTTGAAACTCTCAAGGTCGTGCCTTGATGTTGCTCACAATGAGGCTCTGCGAGGCATCGTCAATCAGGATACTACGTGGTGAGAAAGAACCGTACCTTATATGCCTGTACATCGCCCTTGAACTTGCTAACGGTTTCGTCCGCACATACCCACAGCTGTAGGATAACACGCTCAGTCAATGACTCCCAGGAACTCATGCGCGTAAGCTTACCTCCTTGGCGACAGTCGTAATGAACCGTTCATCGTGCGAGATGAGGATGACACCGCCGTTCCACGACGTCAACGCTTGCATCAGGGCGTCCAGACCCTAACGAGCGCGAGTCAGCACACAACGAAAGCGAGCACGCATCCGCGATATTGATATGCTCACCTCGATATCCAGGTGGTTAGTAGGCTCATCAAGGAGCAGGACATGCGGTCTTTGCAGCGACAAGAGCGCAAACGCCACTCTGCTTTTCTGACCTCCACTCAGCGTTCCGATCAACTGCAGCCTACGTCATCGCATCGAGGTAAGGATTCTCTCCCGTGTGACATGAACAAGAGGAACGCACCCCGTCATGCCGCTGATCTGGAAGTTACCCAGATGCGAGCGGTACTCTTGTTCCGTCTTACCCGGGAACTTGGACGCGAGGAACTGCACGGGACTCATGGTTGGCGTGAGGGTGTCAACATGGTGCTGCGCGAAGTAGCCTCTGCAGATAGGGCGCGTCAGCAACGTCCGCACGTAGATGAGGGCGTATACGCACATCCTGAGTCGACCATTCTGGCTAACATGTCCGGATAACGGCTTCAGCTCGCCCGTCAGCAACTTGATCCTACAAAATCGTTTCAGCCGTGTATTGTCAAATGCCAAGATGTGATATCTTACAGCGTCGACTTTCCAGCACCGTTGGGGCCTACGACTGCCATTCGAGAGTCGAGTCCAACATCGATGTTGATACCCTTTAACAAGATCCTGTCCGGCGTATACCCAAACGAGGCTTCGTTCAGCTGGAGCACCGGCGGAGAGATCTTCTCCGCGTCGAGGAACTTGAAGGTCTCCGTCTCTTCGACTTCTGGTGGATGTAGTTCTGGCAGCTACGGCAGAGGTCAGCCGATAGCTCGCTGAGGTTACGGTGGAGGGTTGCATGTACCTTCTCGAGAATCTTGATTTTCGACTGTGCTTGCGCCGCGCGGTTCGCGTTGTACCGCCACCGGTCGATGAAGGCCTGCAGGTGCTTGCGGTAATCCATCTGTGTCTCGTACTCCTTGCGGAGATTACGATCACGCTCAGACTTGGTAGAGTAGAACTGTGTGAAGTTGCTATAGAGAGACAGAGTGAGCGTAAGCGGTGAACGTGGAAGGTGCTCCACGCATACCCCTTGTAGTAGTCGAGCCGTCCCGAGTGCATGTGGACGATGTCGGTAGCAACAGCGTCGCTATATATGAAGTCAGCGAGGACCTGCCTGCGGGCTGCCATGAGGTTCGACTTACAGGAACGCACGATCGTGCGAGCTAGACGGGAAATAGGGAGTCAGAATATAGCCAGAGGATGCAATAGTAAGACATACACGACGAGCAAGGTGCCTGGCCATGTTTGGAGATAGTCTTCGAGCCATGCAAGGGCATTGAGATCGACTGCAGAGCAAGATGACTTCACGACCCGCCTCATACAGCCAGAAACATCCAGACTCACTGTGATTCGACGGCTCATCAAGCAGCAACAACGCCGGCTTCACAAACAGCGCTCTCGCCAACGCCAGCCGCATCCTCCACCCACCACTGAACGCCTTCGTCTGCCTGCTCTGGTCCGCCTCGCTAAAGCCCAAACCCGCCAGCAGCGCTGCCGCCCTCGCGGGCCCGCTCTCCGCGTCCATGTCTGCGAGCCGCGCATGCACCTCCGCGAGGCGGGTCTGCGCCTCGTCCCTGGCGTCCTCGAAGCGTTTGTCGTCGCCCTCGCCCTCGAGCTCCTGCAGCTTCTGGTTGAGCTCGCGTTCCTCGCGCAGGAGAATGTCCCGCCAGACGTCGGCCTTGAGCACGGAGTCGAGCGCGGTCGTCTCGTCGCCGACGATTTCTTGCTCGACGAAGAGGATGGTGATGTGCGCTGGGATCGGTACTTCTCGCATGGCGATGTGCCGGAGCAGTGTGGACTTGCCGACACCGTTCCGACCGATGAGACCGTATCGGCGGCCGTAGGCGAGTGTGAGCGATGCACCAGAGCTAAGGGTATCCACTTAGGTCAGTACCAAGGCAGACGAGGGAGCGCATGACTTACAGGATGCGGTTTGAGCCGAAGTTGACGTCGATGTTGGGGAGGTGGATGTCCTTGGACTTGTTCTTCGCGTTGGCCGCATCGAGAGGATTGATCTTCATGAACATCTCTTCGTATGTTTGCTGTAATGTCATTCAGTATGATGTTCCAGTCAATGAATGAGATCGTACGGCGTACCTGCTTCTTGTGTTGATCCAGCAGTTTTGAGCCCTCGTACAGCGTCCTCTTGGAGCGCTTGTCTATCTTGGCCTATTGAACGTAAGGAAACGTTCACATCCCTCGTCCGATTGATATACGTACTCTCAGCTTTGCTTCTTGCTTCTCCAACTTCTTGACATCCACACGCGACGCTCTGTAAATACTCAGCCTCAGCTCCAAGTGATCACGGCTACGCACTCACTTTCCCTTGTTTATACTCTCCAAATCCACGCCCTCCGTGAACGCCAGCGTATTGCTCATAACACCCGCCTTGCTCATATCCATCACCTTATCGAGCCGCACCAGGCGGGTGCCCTGGCCCGACTGCTTCTTCTCCTCGCGCTTGCTCAGCGGCTCCGCGAGCATGCGCCCGAGCGCGGACATGACCTTCGCGAGCTGTGTGTCCTGGCCCTTGCGCGAGGACGAGGGCGCAGCTGACGCAAGGATGCTGCGCGTCACCTGCAAGACGTCTTCGTCCTCCGCGGCGTCGTCGAGGTCGAGCAGGTAGCCAGAGACGTATTGCACGACGATTTCCTCCATCCCTGGGAGAGCGGCGCGGATTTCTTCGGCGATGTCTTCTGGTGAGACGTTCATTGTGCCGTCTCGGAGTGGGTTCAAAGTAGTTTGAGTGGTCTGTTGGAGTCTAGAGGTGGTCGACTCGCGTGCGTCGAGCTCGAAAGGCAGACCGAGTGCAGATGGTCCACGGAAAGTCAGGACTTAGCAAGCTGAGCAAGCGCCCACTGCAGAGCGAATGGCGATCGGAGATGCCGATTGCATTCCCCGATGGATCTGGTGGCTGCATTCTGATGCCTCAGCTCATCCGCCACTTCCGCGAGCCGCCACTTCTGAATCTCGGGGCGACCGCGACGGTGTTCATTACGGCCTACCCTCAACCCTAGTGCTTCGGGGTATTCTATAAACTATGCGACTGATCTGCGACCACTGCGACGACCTGTCATGACGGAAACCAAGGATACCAGTACGGTCGATGTCTACCACGACCGAGCCACCTTCTCCTGTGCCAAGTGCGCCGCAGTACTCGTATGTGCTCTTGCGAATGATCGTGACCGACCGTGCACTGAATTTAGGCCTAGGCTCTCCAGGATGAGCTGATCAGTAAATCATTCTCCGGGAGAGAGGGCAGAGGCTAGTGAGTTCCGAGGTAATGAGCGTAACTGCTCGCTGAAGACTGTCAGCTTGATGCATTCGGCGGTGAACGTCTCAATGGGAAAGAAGGAAGATAGACCACTCCTGTGAGTAGTATCTCAACTTCGAACGTCGCGTGATTGGACGGTGCCCCAGGACAGGAGTGCACACCGTCGCCGACGTCTTCTGCGTCGGCTGCAAAGAGCGCGTAGGATGGTACTACTACAAGGCCTCCGACCACTCCCAGAAGTACAAGGAAGGCAAGCGCGTTCATGTCCTCGAGACTGATGCAGCTGATCTTCCCTAGGCAAGTACTTGCTCGAGCGAGAGAGGCTTGTCAAGGACAATAAATGGAAGCTAGACTTATGACCTGACCGATAGGTGTCGATATATGGATGTACTGTATTTGTAACGATGTTCACCCTTGAGCAACGGTCTCGACCTTGAGTGGAAGGGATTTTTGCAATCCTTGGCAGAGGATACACGAAAGTACAGGATCCGATTGGACTCGCGCAGGAGCCTACATACCCAGTTGCTCGCATAGCGTGATCCGTCCCAGCGTGCTGCACATACTGAAAGGGGTGAGAGCACTGTCAATTGACACGGATTAGCACACTCACCACTAGCCCCTGCGACGAGTCCAGAGCGGACACACTCCACGGGGCGGCAGTAGAGGACGGTTACGGCAAGGTACCCCGTTCCAAACGGGGACGGGCGGGCGGTGGGCGGGTGTAATGACGATATGCGCGCCAGGATGAGCGTCCTTTTCAGCACCTCGAGCGATCCGCTGTGCGCATCCTTCGTATCGGCGTCAGGATCCGACCCTATGGGCACTCAGTGCAGTGTCCGCCCATATGTCGGCAAGCGCTACGCACTGCCAGCATGTCTTGACATTGCGTATGTGAGCGGGAAGCGAAATGAAAGAAGAGAATGGCTCACTCAAGTGGAAAGCGGCCAACCTGAAAGACTGCCTGTTCCTCATGCGTACAGAATATCGTCACTCTCCGGAGGGCTCCCGGCGACGACATCCTCTGCAGGCCGCTGCGCGCCGTCTCTCCCCGACGCCTCGACCTTGCGGACGAGCCTCCAGGGTATCATGACCTGTCCAACGAATCGCCCGTTGGGGTTTCCATCGACCGCGTCTGCACCGATACGGAATTCCTCTGTGCTGACGAGGAGAATGTTGAGCTGTTTGTCTGTCCCCACGAAGGTGCCGACGAATATACGGCCGTCGTCGATGGTCACACGGAGTGTTCGGCATAGCAGCGACCTGAGGCGTTTGACAGAGACAGGCGTTGCGGGCCTTGGTGGGGGCGTCGAGCTCCCCGACGAGCGAGAGGATGAGGTGTCCGACATGATGATCGCAGAGAGCGTTGAGAGCGAGCAGTGCCGGCCCGTGTGAGGAAAGCGCGATCTAATCTAATCTACTTGAGTCACCGACTGCTGCAGTTTGCTCTGGCCGCCACAATGAAGTCCTCCCCCGCCTCAACACCCTGCAGCACCCGGTCCACGTCGGCCACGGCAGCCCCTGGGAGACACAGACAGCGTGCTGATAGCAGAGCGCCCCCGCGCCCCGATCGGTGGGTTCTCAGGCGCGCATGTCTTCTGCAGCCATACTCACAGTCGCCCATCCTTTCCCAGATCCACCGGAGACCGGAGACAGCGACTTCCCCTCAGAGCGCACCGTCCGCGGCCCCCAGCCCCCTTCTATCAGACCCGCACGCACCACAGGGCACCGAGTAATACAAGTACGCCCGCACCCCTCCCGCACCCGCCTGTGAACTCACCTCGCCCCGCCTGCCGCCCGTACCCGTCGCATCCCATCCACCCACTCATAAGACAGCCCCCATCAGCCCTGCTAACTAGAGCCGCACCATGTCCACATTCGGCACCCTCTTCCGCGTCACAACCTATGGCGAGTCCCACTGCGCGTCCGTCGGTGCAATCATCGACGGCTGCCCGCCCGTACGTTTGCCCATCGTTCAGCTGTCTGCGATGGACACAGACGTACCGACCGCTTCTGTGACTGCAGGGTTTGCCGCTCGTCGCCCAGGATGTTCAGGTGCAGTTGAGCCGGCGAAGGCCTGGCCAGAGCAACCTCACCACTCCCGTGAGTGCGATGTGTTACAACGTCTCCGTCCGCTCATCCAGTCGTGGATCTTCAGCGCGATGAGAAGGACCAAGTCCACCTCCAGTCTGGTATCGAGCACGGCATTACCTTGGGCACGCCCATCGGCCTGCTCGTCCGCAACGAGGACCAGCGGCCTCACGACTACTCCGAGGTGAGCAGCAGTTCCTAAGCTGCCCTGGAGTCTACTCACGACATAGTCCAGACCGACCTCTACCCCCGACCCAGTCACGCCGACTGGACCTACCTCGAGAAATACGGCGTGAAGGCCAGCAGCGGTGGCGGCCGCAGCAGTGCGCGCGAGACCATCGGTACGCACCCTCCACCCCTCTCCCCGCCACTTCTAACACCCCATCCCAGGTCGAGTCGCAGCGGGCGCGATCGCCGAGAAGTACCTCAAGATGGTATACGGCATCGAGATCGTCGCCTTCGTGTCCTCCGTGGGTAAGATCCACCTGCCGTCCACGGTTGGCCCGCCCTCACAGGTGCCGAGCGACGACGACGACACCGTCGAGGACGTGCTCAGCCCCGAGTTCGTCACGCTCCTCAAAACGGTTTCACGCGAGCAGGTCGACGCCCACACGACGCGGTGCCCGCACCCCGAGACCGCCGAGCGGATGGTCCAGGTACGCGCTGCCCCCCACCGTCCCCCGCATACTGACAGTGACATGGTTGTCCTCTCACCGCACAGCGCATCCTCCGCGCGAAGGACGCGAGCGACTCCATCGGCGGGACGGTCACCTGCGTGATCCGCGGGGTGCCCTCCGGGCTGGGCGAGCCCGTCTTCGACAAGTTCGAGGCGAAGCTCGCGCACGCGATGCTCTCCATCCCCGCGACGAAGGCGTTCGAGATCGGCTCCGGCTTCCGCGGGACCGAGGTCCCCGGCAGCCGCCACAACGACGCGTTCATCGTCAAGCCCGACGGGAGCATGGGCACCAAGACGAACTGGAGCGGCGGCATCCAGGGCGGGATCACGAACGGCGAGGACATCTACTTCAGGTGGGTTCGGTCGGGTTGCTCGCGTGGAACCGTGGCTCATACAGTGCGTGCGTGGTAGGCTCGGCTTCAAGTCGCCCGCGACCATCTCGCAGGCGCAGGAGACCGTTCAGTACGACGGTACCCCGGGCACGCTCGCTGCTCGGGGTCGTCACGACCCCTGCGTCGTGCCGCGTGCGGTGCCCATTGTCGAGGCGATGGCCGCTATTGTGATCATGGACGAACTTCTCATCCAGAACGCACGCAAGGCCACCGCGTCACTCCTCCCGCCCATCACGACCCTTCCGCCGGCGATGGTGAAGCCCGGCGCACCGTCAGCGAAGGAGTAGGCGTACTGATGGTTGAAACGTTGGACGTCGAGTAGGAAGGCGTCATGCTCGCTTGGTTTAGAGTAGGGATTCAACAGCCCGCGATGTAGAGTACAGCAGCCCGTGTATGTATAGGCAGTGTAAGGACGCAGAAAATGCATGGCAGAATAGACTACTACAGGGGAGTGATGAGAGCTGGATACATACGAGGTAATAGTATGGGGTATAAGTCATTCGTCGTAATCAGAGTCTTCGGAACAGTATGTACAGCAGACTATAGGCTCGAGGTGCCACCACCACCACTGAGAAGAAAGCGCATGAGACAGCGGTGGGCAGCGATAGATAGCAAGCACTCACATGGAGATTCAGTAGCCTTCCTGGCCAAGGCCCGAACACCAGCTCCTTCTGCCGCCTCAGCTCAGCGGCCCCCAGCTCCTCCTCCAGATCGTCTTCGTCGCCCTCGCTCACACCCGCGTCGTACGGGTCCACATAGCCCCCGTTCCGCGCCGACCTCAACAACGCCGACCGCTCGTTCGGACTCGTGTGCGCCCCAGACTCCCCTCCGTTCACCCCTTCCCCGTACTGCGGCGGCGCCTGTACGTGCTTCCGCCGCCCCGCCGCGGCGAACGCACTCAGTCTCCTCCCGAGCGGGCCCCACGCCGCATTCTCGTCCGCCTGGTACCTCAGCGGCGCGGAGATGGACGATGACGGGGACGACCCCGAGGAGGGCGTGCCCGAGGAAAGGCGGCGCTGGCCCTGCGGGGCAGGTGTCCCGCTGTGACGGTGCTTGTGCACGCCGGAGGTGATGCGCACACGCGAGCGAAAGCGGACGCGGGGCTGGGGGCGCGCGCCGGGCGGGGGCTCCGACGAGCTTCTGTCGCCGCCGTCGCCCGCCTGGTCGGGCGTGCGGTCGTGGCTGCCGACGTGGATTTCCGTCCCGTCGGCGATGATGATGACGGACGAGGGCGTCTGCGAGCGCGGAGACGGGTCGTCGTCGATGAGGTGGAGGGCGTTGCCGGGGACGATGCACGGCTTGGGCGAGTGGTCCTCGACGGAGACCTTGTGGTCGTAGAGCACCTCGAAGGGCTCGTTCGGGGGCAGCTCGATGGTCATCTGGCGGCGCATCCTGGGGCTCGTTCTGCGCGGGGACCCGCCGTTCGCGTCCGGGTCGGGCTCGGGGCTGGGGGAGGTGTCTGGGCTGCGGGGCTGGCCGTCTGGCGGCAGCAGGGCGTCGTCAGACTGCTTGCCCTCATTATGTGTGCGTCGAGGCGTAAGAGCTGCAACGTGGGGAAGAGAAGGTCAGGACCCGTGCGTCGAGCGGCGTGCAACCGCTGAGGGCGGCTGGACATACCCAGCTTGGCATCTACCGCGCACGGCGTGTGTGGGGGGCTCGTGCGTGCCGTCTGCGTTATGGCCGTTGTCGTTCCTCCATCCATGGGTCGAGTGCGGTCATGAAAAGCCAGGGCAGGCGATGTTACATGCTGAGTGCAGCGACGGCGTCTGCCTAACGTAAGTCCGCTACCAGCTAGACTTCTGTCCACCCAGTCCTCTGGTCAGGTGCGCTCTAGGTCCCGCTACTCGCAGAGGCAAGGCAAAATCTCTACCTCTTCCGCAGAGATAAGCGTGTCCTGGTGGACATCGTATGGCATGTCATTCAGTGATGCATGAGCTCACTCAGATACGTTGTCTTCGAAATTGAACGCCAGTCTCCGAATTCCATGCCCATACTCCAGTCAACGGCGGCAACTAACCGATAGCACGACTAACATACGCTACACTAAGAATACAAACACGGACAGTACGCAGAGAATAAGTCAATCAACAAACCGCAAAGCACCTCCCGAGTCCTGACCGTGACCATCACTCATCGTCGCTTGGATTTGTGAGGTACTCGTCATCACTGAGGACCTGCTTCCTCGTGCTCTTCCCCTTGAGTGGTAATCGCTCATCCTCATCCATGGGAGTAAGAGCAGAGTCGTACGCACTCGATGATCCATTCGGCGCTGCGGGGGCACCCGGGAGTCCCGAGCCAACGATCAGCCGGTCGTGCTGTGCGTTGAAGACCTTCTCCATCTCTTCCGCGTCGACGTACACCCAAGAACCTTCCTGATTGTATGTTCGAGCGTTGTTGAACATGAGCGCCCAGTCTTCTCGGAAGTGGGCGACGTTCTTGTAATAGTTGCTCTGGAGACGTTTCCGAAGTGTCGACAGTGCGATCGGCTGTTTGATGAGCTGGAAATAGTCAGGATATTCCTGAAACGGAGCTTTCAGTACCGCATATATAGCATAGCAAGAGGGACGCGAACTCGTCTGTCGGGCACTTCTCGGAAGAGTTCGCAACGTCTCCGACCGTTCTCATCCTCGCAGTTAAGCACAGCTTTGTAGATCTCGTTAAACGCCTTCTTCATCTTGTCCCGCACAACCGGCGGAACTTCAGGCGCCTTTGTCTTTCGACGTTTCTGGTGCACACAACAGGTCAGGCTTCGCAACATCGTAGGAAGAGCGCAGATGCACTCACCGTATCACGCTCCTCCTCGTCGTCATCCTGAATCGACGGCGTGACGGACGCGGCCTTCGCTCCACGTTTCCGCTTGTTGTTGAGAGGCGTCGCGTCGGCCTCGGCCTTGCCTTTGCCTTTGCGGGCTTTCCGCACGCGCGGCGTGTCGTCAATCACAGGACTGTCCTCCAAATCTCTTGTGACCTTGGTCGCAGCACGGCTCGCTCTCCTCTCGCGTGTGCGGTCCGCAAGCTCCTGCAAGTCCTCACCATCTTCCAAAGCCTACAGGACGGCTCATCAGCACTTGTCCAGATGGACGCACAATAATTACATACCATCGCCCACTGGTCATCGCTGAGGCCATCCGTGTAGTTAACGATGTTTCTCCGCCGGTGTCCACGGCCCTCCAACTCGTCGAGGTCATCCTTGGTGTCGAATGGCTCGTCTAACCTGTAGCACTCCGGTAGCTCCTCCAGCTGGATGAGCGGCTGTGGCGGCTTGCCACGTTTGCCCGCGGCCCTCCAAGCCTCAAGGGCCTCGCGTTCGCGTTGAATGTCAAGCTCGCGGTAGTAACGCTCCTCCTCCTCGGAACGAGAAATGATCTCGTTGATCTCCTCGTCGTTCATGTCGCCGGCCTCCTCGTTCTCTTCCTCTTGGTCGGCTTCGAGGATAGAACGCTACGGCCAATGTGTCAGCGTGCGTAAGGCGCTCGTCATGCTAACTACGTACCAGGAACTCTTCCTGTTCCTCTTGGGTGGACTTGTTGTCGAAACGACCGGCTTGGATGACCTTGTCGTCGATGTCGAGCTTGTAACGGGCACGCGCGAACATCGCCTCTTCCACGCTCTTCTCCGTGATGAAACGGAGGATTCGGACGACCTTCGTTTGACCAATACGGTGAGCACGGTCCTGCGCCTGGAGATCCGCGTGTGGGTTCCAGTCACTGTCAAAGCTGCAGAGATGTAACGGGTCAATATGAGGCTCACGGCTCATCAAAACACCCTTACATGATGACGGTATCCGCCGTTTGCAGGTTGAGACCAAGCCCACCAGCTCGTGTCGACAAGATGAACACCTTGATTTCCGAATTTGGTGCGTTGAATTGTGCGACATGTCCAGCACGGTCCTCCGTCTTCGTCCCACCATCAAGACGAAGATACTTCCAGCCCATGTACTTGAGGAAGTCCTCCATGATGTCCATGACCTTCGTCATTTGGAAGAAGATGAGCACCTATGCGACGATAAAGTCAGCCGGTGCTGACAGTATCGACGCAGATCACCTACCCTGTGGTCGGTAGCGAAGAATTTCGGCAGGATACGCGAAAGGAGCTCGATTTTTCCCGACGAGCGAATCAAGGAGTCGTTGATGATACCGGAAGGATTGACCCTGTCCTCGACGCTCTCGAAGAGGAAGGGGTGCTGGCAAATCTTTCGCAGCTGCATCAGCTCGTTGCTCAGACCCTTGACGCCACCGGGTTTGCTGTACAAAAGTGAGTCACTGAATAATCGACGCGAAACCAAGGTTATGCTTACCCCTTCGAGTCCTTCCCGTCCGCGATCATCTTGTACTTCTTCATCTGCTTGTACAGCTGCGACTGCAAAGCACTCATTCGGACCTTGATCACCTTCTCGACCTTGTCAGGCAGCTCGCTCTCCACGTCCTTCTTGAGACGTCTGAGCAAAAAAGGCCGAAGCACCTTGTGAAGACGCCGAATGATGAGGAGCGCCTCTTCCTCGTTCAGCTCGATCTTGTCACCGGTACCAGAGTTGGCGAACGGCGTGTTGAACCACTCGTCGAAGGACTTGACCGAGTTGAAGATCTTCGGAAGAACGAAGTTGAGCAGGGCCCACAGCTCGGGCAGGTTGTTCTGGAGCGGAGTACCGGTAAGGATGAGGCGATAGCGGGAGTGATAGTACTGTGTGAGCGTCTGGGCGAGCTTGCTCTGAGTGTTCTTCATACGGTGACCCTCGTCGATGATCATGTGCACCCATTTCATGCGTGCCAGGTGCGCACGATCTTTAATGATATACTCGTATGTCGTCAGCAGGACCTGGAACGAATTGTACTTGAGCTCGTTCTGAAGGGTCTTCCGCTGAGCCGGATTTCCTTTGTACGAGATCATATTCACACTTGGTGCCCACTTCGCGAACTCGCCGGACCAGTTCGTCATGGTAGACAGCGGTACGATGACCAAGTAAGGTCCGCGCTGCTTCTTGACCTCAATCAAATAGGTGATCAGAGAGATGGTTTGGATCGTTTTACCGAGACCCTGGACGATGATGAGCTACACAATCCACGCAAGTGATGTAGAGAAACACACCATCTCATCCGCGAGGATACCGTTCAGCTTGTTGTTGTACAGGCTCACCATCCACTGGAGACCCTTCAACTGATAGTCCTTGAGCGTCCCACCGACCAGCATAGTTGGCTGTTGCGTAACCTTCTCCTTAATCCTGTGCGCGACAGCGTAGTAGTCATTTTTACTCCTGTCTTCGGGCCCAGTTTCGAACTGCTGCGCGCCGAAGGTGGCCTCAGTGGTCGGGTCATCTTCGTACGCCGTCGTTGGAATGATGACGTCCCCATCCTGCTGTTGCTCCATGACGGCCTGCGTAAGTGAGTCCAGGTAGGTATCCGTCTGGCGCAGGAGGTGGGTGATACGCGTATCCTTCGCCGTATCAATGAGCTTCATGTATGCCTCTTCATCGTCCGCCTTCAGCGCCTTCAGACGCTCCTTACTGATACGCTCGATACGCTTTTGCTCCTCCTTCTCGGTGTGAGTGTGCAGTGAGAGCACGGCCTTGGCAAGCCGCGTTATGCGGTCCTGCGCAGAGCGGTTCATCGCGATCACCTCCTTCCCGTGCGCACAGATGACCGACAACTGCTCGACGTGCTTCTGCTTCGCCCGCCGCTCCCGGTCGACGCGCTGTTTCCGCTCGAGCTGCTCCGTCATGCGCGCATCTCGGATCGTCGGTTTGCGCGTTCGCCGGAAGTCTGCCCGGTTCAGCGGCAGCATCGACCCGTGCGTGAGCCGCTCCGCGACCAGCGCCCGCATTTGCCGTTGCTTGTCGAGTACGCGGAGACCCTTCAGCTCAATCAGCGCGCGCAGCTTGCCTTGTGCGTTCGGGCTTGGGTGTGCAAGGTGCGCGAGGTCGTCGCCGCCCATGGTATTCTCCTTCTCGTCGCGGATCATGTCGTCGACAACACTGTCCATGCCTCCATCTCCCATCGTTGCGGGCAGCTCCTCCAACTCCCGTATCCGCTGCTCGATGCGCGCGTCCACGTACCGGTTGCGCTCAGCAATGATTTGGTGCGGGTCAAGTCCCGTCGGCATGAGAGTCGGGATCAAAAGCCGCTGTAGCCGGGTCGCCCATTGCGTGAGCGGAGCGTCACTGTCGAGCATGAGATGGTCAAACGGATGTGAGTACGCGTTGTACGGGTAGACCCCCGAGTCCACGTCGTCCTCGAGGAACGGACCCTTGGGCACGTCGACGCCGCTGAGGTCCATGTCCTCGGCCTTGATCTCCTCCACCATTGGCTCTGTCGACGTTGAGTCCATCACGCCAGGCGTGGCGCTCTTGTGGACCTTCACGGCGCTGTCGATGACTCGAGCATCGATGCCCCCGCTCTGGAGGAGCTTCTGCAGGTCTGGCACGACCTGGTTCGGCAGGCGCATTGCCTGCTGGATCGCTTCGGGGACGGGCTTGTTGCGCATAAGCATCTTGAATGCTTGGATCTGTGCGCGCAGAGCCTCGATTTGCTCCGGCGTGAAGGAGACGGGAGTGCTCGGGGCTTGAGGATAGGGCTGGGCAGGCGCGGCGCCATTCGTGAGTGTGTTGCCGTTGGGGATGGTGTTGCCGTTCGTGAGGCTGGAGGTCGACGCATGACCGTTTAGTCCAGGTTGGCTGTGGTCGGGAAGGGTTGTATCTGGAAGAAGCAATAGAGTCAGAGCGAGCGAACATGGGTGCACGGTGGGGTACTCACTCTGTAGTTGCGGCTGCTGTATTTGTTGGAGGAAGTGATATATCTTTGCATATTCTGGAGACGTCTCGACTGTGGCGCCCTGCTCTTTCAGAAGATGTGCGCGCTGCGGGGAGGACGAAGGTCAGTCGGAACACGCTGCCACAACGGAATATCACATACGCGAACAAGTCCCTGTATCTGCTCGCGAGTAAATTGGGGGCGAGAAGGTTGTCTGTTGCCGTTGAGGTAGGGCTGGGCGTTGGCGAGCTGGGGGTTGACGACGTTTGGCGCGGCCATGGCTTCGCGTGTTGTCGCGACTCGGTCGCGTCGCGCAGATCTCGTGAACCTAGCCCGAGTGCTGCTGAAGCCGGTTCGGCGTCAAGTGAAAGTCCAGGACAAAGGCAAGCGCTGACAAACACACCGCCACCCCTCCCTTCCCTTTCCGGCCACTCCGCTGTTGGCACACGTGACTCGACGCGTCCCCATTCAGCGCGTCGAGTCGCGTTCGCTTCCGGACTCCGCGCCACCGCCGTCTGCCTCGCGTCGCCGCACCCAACGCTTGCCTCCAGTCCTCCATCTTCCCGGCGGAAACCTACAGACATGCCTGCAGAGCGCGCTGGTGTAGGTCATAGTATTCATCTCACAATGGAGTCTGCTCATCTCACTTAACGAAGTACACGGTGACGATGTTCCTTATCGACGTCGCACCGACAATGGGCAAGCTCAGACAGGTCGAAATTCCTAGCACGAAACCTGGAGAGTCAACCATCGTAGAGATGACAAATCTGGAATGGTCTCTGCAGTTTGTTATGCTGAAGATTCAGGAGATGGTACGCACGGCAAAGTGTCCGCTTAGCTGAGGCTAGTGTTGTTGAGGGCCAGGCTCGGAAGCCCGAGCCTGGCCTAGCCCGGCCCAAGCCGGCCCTAGCAAGCCTGGCCCAAGCCCATCCTGAGCCCGCTCAAAGGGCAGGGCTTTGTAGATTATAGGCCCGAGCCCGGCCCAAAAGCCCAAGGCCTCAGTTACCAAATATGGGCTATGAGTCAGCGGTGGCTGTACCGCTGCGAGCGGCGAGCCTCGAGGATAAACCTTAAAAGTCAAACGCCTAAACCATCCCCCGCCCCAATCGTCTTCTGAGTACCCGACACTATCGCTACCGCCGTCGGCGCCGCCGCAGGGAAAGCCGCATGACGGGGTATGCCAAGATACCAGGTCAACGTCACCCAAGACCCTCCGCTCTCGAAATCTCTACCGTGACGAGGACGCGCGGCTTGGATGTGCGGATGGTTGGTACTGTTCGTCAGAGGCAGCTTCTATGGTACGCTCTGTGGTATTTTGCTCATACTGTGGTTTGTGTACACATCAGGTTGAATTGTGTTTTGTTCGAAACACTGATAATACTATTACGGCTGCTCCACAGCAACTAGTGCCTCTTGGCCGGTACCTGGGAGATTCGTTGGGACCTGATTAGACGGAGGGATATAGGATTGGAACGAGTCAGCAATGTGCTCGCTCTTCCGCACGTCGCCCGTCATGACAGACGATACACTTCCAGTGCCGCAACATCAGTGGCGACCTCTCCCGAAACAGGCAATAAGGGCGGTTTTGGGACCTAGTACAGCGAAGACAGTTGCCGCGCAGGGCTGGGTATGGTTCACATACTCTCTGGCTCTGTTCCTCGTGCCGTTGGCCATTGTTATCCCTGCCGCCAGTGTGTGTGTTACGTATGTAGGGCCAGCCGAAGAGCTGTTATGGCTCGCGTTGGTCCTGCCAATGGTATATTTATATGTGGTCTCGGCGATTATCATATATGGTATGTTCTAGCACGTTGAAAACATGTGTTCTCGCACTCATAATTGTGTTCTGTTGCAGCCGGTCTTTGCTTCCCAGCTACATTGCACTTCGAACGTGTATTACCTGCTGCCACACGCTTAATCCGCCGCCGTTCTCACGTCTCCAACATACGACCCGATCGCTTCAAGAAGCTCGTGCAGTCCAAGCCATACACGATCTTCGTTCATGGCACAGGTACTTCTGCCGAGCAAAAGACAAGGTCGACTGCGCTTCGTACGTGTCTCTTCGAGATATCAATGCATACACTGACGCCACCAATCACATCATCAGTTGTATACGGGCATTCCACGGTCACTGATATCTGGCATGCGCTCCAAACGCGCCGTCTCATCCCAGCGTCCGCAGACAGCACGTGTTTCTTAACATCCACGAAACAACTCCTGTCCGATCGATCAGCCGCCAGCGAAACCCTCCGAAGTATAGGTCTAGGGCCCCTTTCGCACCTTACACTCCGTGTGCGTGTTTGTGGGGGAAGCGAACTCGGAGGTATATGACCTCGCTGTTGTGATGTAAGCGTTTGCTGATCAATTTCATACACAGATGACGCAGTGCCTACGGAGACAGTACCAGGACCATCGAAGCGCGTGTCGAAGCCTTCGCGGAAGGTTGTTGACCCCGACAACATCGAGCGCGGAGCTCTGCCGAGTGGATCATCTCCGGCTACAAATAAGGATGGCGGGAAAGGACTGTCACGTTCGAAAAGTGAGTGCCATGCTTGTTATATGCTGTTAAACTCAAAACAAATACCTGCATGGGACGGCAGATAATCTGATTGTGATAGATGATGATTCAGAGTCAGAGTTGCAACTGTCCAGCTCGAAGGGCAAAAAACGGCAAGTAATTGAGAGCTCAGATGAAGGCGACGGAGATGACAGGTCAGAGAAGCCGCGGAAGAAAGGTATGGACATCAATTGAGTAATGTAGCGGACCCAAGAGCTGATTTTGGGTGCAGTGCGACAGGTTCGCAGACGGGACAGATCAGCCAACAACGAGTCAGACGATGACGAAGACGTCAACACAGAAGCGCAGAATGCAGACGGGACACTTCGCGACTTGGACCATATCAGGGCCCCTCCGCGTGTTGATGAAGATAAGCTGGGTAAGACCGCTGATGTGAATGAATTCTTCGACCAGCCATATGATCGCATCAGCGAGAAGAATACGCGCACTCAGCGCGTGCGCGATTGCAAGGGTTGTCGGTGAGCCAGGACGTCTCAGACAGTAACTGAACTAGGACCTTAAGGACTGACGCATACCTGTTACAGGCGTCGCAAAGTCAACAAGTATAGCTTCGTGGCCGACGTCTCAACTCTACGGCGTCATTTGGCTGCACATCATGACGTGAGTTACACTAGTCCCTGAACGTTTTTGCAGATGTTCAAGACATTGCCAATGACACGGTACTACTAGGGTGATTACCGGAACTGGTGTGCGAAGGCCGGCTTCACATCGCAGCTTCCGCAGGATGTTGCGGCACGCAAGCTTGAAGCCGAGAGGGCGTCAAAGGTCCAAAGTAGCCTGGACAACCATGTCCAGAAGGCCGCGCCAAAGGACGTTGTACCGCCGTACTCAGACGACTTATTCAAGTTGGCGGCGATTGAGTGGTTAGTAGAGACTGATCAGGTACGTTCTCCTGAATGTGTATAGTAAGTACGAGCATGACTTAGTAGGGAACAACTCTACATTAACAGCCCATCGGCGCGTTCGAGCACCCCAAGTTCATCAACATGATCAATGTTGCCTCGCGTGCCAAAAACGGTGTCACAATCCCATCACGCTGGTCTACCCGTCGCGAGATCATCAATCTCTTCCACCAGTACTTGCGAGACTTGAAGAAACGCCTCCATGTACGCTCTTCATACGTCTCAGGGCTCGCGTTCACATCAGACAAGCTTACGTTTTGCTCCAGAGTCCTGCCGTTCCAGGCTGTGTTAGTTTGACCTGTGACGCTTGGCAGGCCAGCAACGTTGACGGATACTTCGCCGTTACCGCGCATTGGATCGAGGAACAAACTCCTAAGAACTGGGTGCTTGAAGGAGCACTTATTGGGTTTGTACGCATGAACCAGTCGCACAACGGAAAGCGCCTGGGACAGGCGCTGTATAAGATAGCAGACCGCATTGGGGTTGCTGAGCGTGTATGTGCTGGTGTTGTTACGTCCCAATAAAGTGTTCTGACACTTACTTGCAGATTCTAATGGTGACGTGCGACAACGCGAGCTCAAACTTGACGATGATGCAAGAACTAGCTGCAATGTTACAGAAGAATCACCCCGGAATCCAGTTTGATGGTTTGCGCCGACGTATTGGTTGCCTCGCTCACATCATCAATCTCGCGACACAAGCCCTGATCGCCACGCAAAGTAAGGCACCTCATTACGATCCTCATAAACCTGAAGACCATGTACCCGACGTCTCCGCGTTTGTTCGTGACGAAGTCGGTCTTGTTCGTGCAATCTCTGTGAAGGTGAGCTTGCTACTTAGTGTCTTCAGTCACATGTACTTGAAGTGGCGCCATAGGAGCGATCATCGAGTCAACGCAAGGAGCATTTCCGCAAGATCCAAGAGACCGCAGATGTAGGACCTCAGCATCAACGCACGCTAGTGATCGACATGAAGGTTCGTTGGTCTTCAACCTACATGATGCTCAACCGAGCATACAGTCTACGGAAAGTAAGTGGATGTGTATTGCATCTTGACAGTCAGTATATCGAGTTGACATTGAAATCCAATCCTAGTACATTGAGCAGTTCATGACAGAACTGTCCCGCAAAGCGAAGCAATCAGCAAGATTCAAGCTATTGGCCCTCGTTCCTACGTCTGAGGAATGGCGCCGAGTGAAGCTCTTCCAGAAAATCTTACGTGTACGTTAGCTAGTCTTCTCACATTCGTGTGTACTGACACAGCCATCGGGTAGGTATCCGACCGATGTCAGCAGCGGTTTTCATCGGACACAAACCCAGCACTGCATCTTGCTCTGCCGGCCCTTGAAGAGGTACATTCTACATGGTCGAGCCTCCTGCAGGACGAAGAGTACGCGCATTTTGCGGGCGGTCTTCAGGCCGGTATCGATAAGATCGCAGAGTACTACGATAAGACTGGCAACAATGACGCTTACGTCTTCTCAATCAGTACGTGTTTCGCTTGTTGATCGCACAAAGGCAATTTGGCTGACATGCACATTGGCTACAGTCCTTGATCCTCGACAACGCTTTGAGTATTTTAAGAAGAACTGGTCAGACGAGCCTGACCAGATTGCAGCGGCTGAGCAGCTAGCGAAGACGATGGTGAGTGACATTGCCACGTCGACACGGGCTAGGACATCAGTTGTTCACTTACCTATGTGAATAGTTCCAGGAACGGTGGCACCGCAATCAAGACGAGAATGGCCGCGCGGTGCAGTCCGCTATGGGCGCGAAGTCAAAGAGGAAGGCACAGGACAAACCCGGACGGCGATATGGATCGATGTTCGCAGACCTGTCAAGTGATGAAGACAACAGCCTGTCGTCGTCTCTCCAAGCTGCTGCAACAGAGCAGATACCAAGCACTGCAGCGGGATCCAAACCGGGATGGGAGAAGGAATTCCGTCAATATATCGACCTGGATCTAGAGTCGGAGTTGACTGTGGGGGATGACATGTCAGTTGTAGAGTGGTGGGGTGTACGTCTTGCTGTCTACTCATGCATCACTTATACTAATCCGATATGTGCTCCGTTAGATGAATGCCCATCGCTTTCCAACATGGGCAACGCTCGCTCGTGACTATCTCACGGTCATGGCAACATCTGTCTCGAGCGAACGGGCCTTCTCCAGCGCCGGCATCACTATTACGAAGAGGCGCAACCGCCTGAAAGGTGACATTGTCGAGGCTCTACAAGCTCTCAAGTGCGCGTTCAAGAAGGCTTTATTCTTGTATGACACTGGTCCTTCATCGCAGACCGAGGAGGCTTTAGAGGCGGAAGAAGCAGAGCTCTCCGGTGACGCCTCGGAGGATCAGCCTCGCGCTGATGTGTCAATGGACATTCAGTTGGAATTGGATGATGATGCGGAGGAAGACGATGACGGTCTGTACAATGACGCTGCTGACTGGTTGAATGCGAGACTGCAGTAGTACTATTCTGTTCTGATGTGCTCTATATGTGCTGGCACTGCGCGTGACAAATACAGAGTATTTCTACAGTACAACGCCTTCTAACCTACGCCAATAGACTATAATAAGCCCGGGCTTGGGCCTAAGCCCAGCCCTAGCCTGGCCTGAGCCCTGGCAATGGGCTGGGCTTTTATATCAGGGAGCCCAAGCCCCCTAAAGCCCGGCCCGTACCCGGGCATTTGAGCCCAGCCCAGCCCTCAACAACACTAGCTGAGGCTCACCAAAGAAACGTTTAGATCTACAACGGTCGTAAGACTGACCAATGTGGCGTGATGATTTTTGGCTCCGAGGGTATGTCTGCATAGCTTTGAGTGCTCCACTCATACAAGTCCGCCAACAGAGACGGACAACATCATTAATGAAGAGAGTGGTGGCTATGAGCATGTCAAAGATTACATTACCATCGGCCAGCCAAACGCGGGGACACTAGCCAAGCTGCAAGAGCTACAGCCCTCAACTACATATGGGGACCGTGAGTAGCATGTCGTTAGCCAACCTATGTGTTTCACCTTACATCCACTCCCAAATTTGCGCATATCATGGACAGCCATCGACGCTATCATAGTCGGCGTCGAAACCCAACACAGATACCTAGCAACCAAAAGGACGTGGACACGAAAGGTGTATCTGCTGACAGACGGCGAGAATCCCATTGAACTCGAGGACTGGGAAGCTACCGCCAAGAAGATAAACGCCTTGGAAGTTGGCCTTTTCGTCATGTAGGTTAGTATCATTGACCCACATATCTGGCTGATCATCCTACAGCGGCGTCGACTTCGATCATGACGAAGATATTCCCTTCCGCGAGGAGAACAAATCTCACGTCAAGGCAAGTGCCTCTTGAACGTAGTCAGTTCATGCTGTGGCCTCATGGATGTTGTCTAGCGCACCAACGAAGAATTCTATCACAAACTCAGGAGCCATCTCCACCGAGGCGACGTTGGGAACTGCGACTTTGCAATGAAAGAGATCAGTCGACCTGACATCAAGGAGACCCGCTCAGTGTTGCAGGGTACGATCCTGCGCCTTGGCGACGTGGACGCTCGCCCTGAGGAGGCAGTCGAGATCCTTTGCAAGACAAGCAAAGCAACCGCTATGCAGCGACCCAAGAGTTGGAAGAGGTTCGCGCGCCGCGAGAAGAACACAGCAGAGCGAAATCGTGAAGACGCCATGGAAGTCGACGATGACGACAAGGCGGTCTTCGCGCAGCTACGCATGCGCACGGAGTACTACATCGGACTCAAGGGCGACGGTGAGGGATCCGATGCTGGAGGCAGCGACACCGACGACGAGGACGGTGACGACAAGAACAAACACGTCGAGAAGGTTGAGAAGGAGCAGCTCGTGCGCGGCTTTAAGTATGGCTCGTCGTATGCGCCGTGCCCCGATGGGCAGTTCCCGCGGCTCGCAACGCGCAAGGGCATCGACATCTGCGGGATCTTCAGTGCAAAGAACTTCCGCAGGGAGTATGCGATGAGCGAGGTGACATACGTCTGGGCGGACACGACGCAGCCCCTCCAGCAAGTCGCACTGAGCGCATTCGTGCAGGCGCTGTATGAGAAGGGCGCAATGGCGACTGCGAGGTGGGTCACGACGGATGGCTCGGAGCCGAAGATGGGTGTGCTGCATCCGGTCATGTTTGACCGGGTAGATTGTCTGATGTTCGTGAGGGTAAGGCCTACCGTTGCTTGACTGAAGTGACTGCAACAACTCATTATATAGATGCCCTTCGCGGAGGACGTTCGCAACTTTCCTTTTCCCTCGCTCGAGAACCTCATCTCGAAGAAAGGCGAACGTATTACCAGTCACCCGTACTTGCCCACGGATGAGCAAATGGAAGCAATGAAACACTTTGTCGATGCAATGAATCTGAAGGATGCAGGTGAAAAGGACGAAGATGGGTACGATCCAGATACACACATGCGCCGCATCTTGAGCTGATCCGCTGCTTATCCCAGCTGTGATACGCCCTGGTTTGACATCTGCCTGTCCTATAACCCCGCCATACATCGTGTAAAGCAAGCGCAATTCCATGCAGCCGTTGTACCCGACCTTAACACGCATCCCCTACCGCCTCCACATCCCGAACTCACAAAGTACTTCGATCCTCCGAAGCGTGTACTCAAACGAGCGCGAGATGCCATCGAGGAGTGCCAGGATCGTTTCAAGGTCAGGGAAGGTGAGGACCAACGATACCGCTCCGCCTTCATACGCTCACATCGCGAATGCGATAGTACCGAAGAAGGTCGCTCGAGCAAGGAAAGACGGGCACGTCCGCGCACACGACGAAGACGACGAAACTCTTCTCCTGGACAAGGCGGTTAAACGCACGAAGTCTTCTGCACAGCTCGGGGGGACAAGTCAGCATAGCCAGAGTCAGACCCTCCGCACACAGTCTTTCCGGCAAGCCAAGAAACAAGATGACTCGGAGACAGAAAGCGAGACAGAGGAAGAGGAAGAACTCTTGTTGGATAGAAAACCGACGAACAGAGCCCTGCCCACGCCCGCTCCCGAGGAGCCTGAGCGAGGACAAGCACCCGGGAGGATTATAGGCTCGACGTATCCGCTGGAAGACTTCAGGGCCAATATGGCGCGTGGTGACGTCGTGACGAAGGCAGTGGAGGACCTCGGCGCAGTTATCAAGGAGATTGTCCTGCGCCCGTTCGCGTCGAGACGGGAGGATGAAATGATCCAATGTTTGCGCGAGTTGAGACGGGTGTGCTTGGAGGAGGACGAAATCGATGCGTGGAATGCGTGCGTATCCGACGTGATCATATCGCTCTCGGCAATAGGGCTTACAAGGCTGCATAGGTTCCTGCGAAATCTCCGTGAGGCATGTCTGGACGGCAAGCCCGGCAACATCGAATTTTGGTCCCGTGTCAAGGACGAGAGCCGGATGATGAGCCTCATCAGCACGACCGAGGCCAATGAGCTAGGAGGCAAGTCGGACGTTTCTGAGCCAGAGGCAGCTGAGGTGCGTCTGCTCTCCGGATTTCATGCTGCAGCTTGTTCACGATGAGGATCTATTCTAGTTCATTCAGCGGTGATATGTACATAGGTGCTGACATTGACGATCTGAGTCTGTTCGATGAAATCTCTCCTGTGTTGTTTAGGATTATATTACGGTCGTTGTAGCATACCTGTCACCTTGCTACCTAATTTTGATGTTGCAGTGTATTGACGATCGCGACGCCTTGAATGAGCGAGTGAACCCTCTGAATCACGCGCACGATATGTATGCTTTTAGCCATCACAGTCATTTGAACTGCCAATACTTAGCACAAGCTGATGACAGCAACTTGTTGCATAACTTCATAAGTACCCAAAACAGTATAAATTTGGTTCACTTCCTGCCCCACCAGCCTCCGAGCAAACCACCCAGACCACCCTTCGAGGTCGTAGACGGCTCGGGAGTAGACGCTCTCTCGACCTCCTCCATAGCCCGTGCCGTCACCTTCTTCTCGATCACAGGAGCTGCGGCCGCCTGCGGTGCCTTCTCGACGACCTTGCCCGCACGCTCCTGCAGTCTGTCCATGTCGAGTTGTACGTAGTTCAACGCGATATCAAAGAACAACGGCTTCTTGTGCGTCTTCCGTGCCTCCTCGTCGACGGAACCGCCATTGTACGCGAACCAATCGCGCTTGTACTCTGTGCTGTCCTCCGCAACTTCTTGATCGAGCTTATCGACGTCCTCCTCCAGTAGTGGGTAGAATGTGATCGGGTCGCTGTCACTATCAGCCAAGATCGACAGCGTAGAGCGGGCAGACCGAAGGTGTATGCTCGCATGCTGGGTGAGCGTGAGCGCTTCGGCGTACTTCCTGAGGGGTGCGTAACACCGCGCGAGGTAGCGGCACCTTCGTGTCTTCGAGAATTCCTGTCGTGCCTCCACTGCCGACGCCAGATCCGGGCTTTCGTCGACTATTGTGAGCGTGCGCATTTGATCGAGACTCTGGATGATCGTGTCGAGAAGTTTGACAACAGCGGGGTAAAGTCGCGCGTCGACGCGCTCCTTGCGGGGCTTCGACGAAGTGCCAGTAGTCTTCGGGGCATGAGAGGCCTGAGACTGGTGCAGGAGCGTGGAGATGAGCAGGAGATCGCGCTGAATGCGGTAGGACAGTAGCTGGTAGACGATGAACGCGTGTACGAAGGCGATGTCGCGTGTTCCTGCGGGAGCAGCACCCGAGGTCGACCCAGTCAGCTGATGCGCCTCGACAAGCTTGCGCGCTACCTCCTCCGCATCGCTGAGGGTAGAGAGGATCGCATCGTACGCGGCGACGCCACGCTTAGAGCGGGTTCCCTTCCCTGCTCGTCCCTGCTTTTTCCCTCCTGCCGCCGCCTCCTGTTGGGCCTGTTGTGCCTCGAGCTTACCCGCTTCCTTCAATCGCTTCTCCGCCTCCTGTACGCGCAGCAGCACATCCACCAACTCAGGGTTCCGCACCGGCACGGGCTCGTCCTCCCACATCAGCGTTTCGAGCTTGTGCCTTCCATGGGCCGCGCTCTCCGCCTCCTTGCCCAAGCTTGCTAATAGCTTGTCACACCCCTCCACGAGCTGGTTCCGGTGTTTCGGCGCGACGTCCGCTACGATCGCGTCGACGTCGTAAGAGTTTGGCCGCCGCATCTCGTGGGCGCAGTGACGAATTTCCGGGCCAATTTCGTCTGCAAATGCTGTCGCGAGCGCTTGGTCGCGGCTCGTCGCCGCCTTGCTTGCCAACTCGTCCAACAAGCTGCGCGCGACACTCAGCTGCACAAGCGCATCATCAAACTCGTAGCGATGGCGCAGGAGTCGTCCGTTGATGATGAGAGTGTAGACGGTGGCCTGTACGAGGTCGTCTGCAGATAGGCGGCACGAAGAGTAGAGCGTCTGGCAGTGAGAGAGCAGCTGAGTAGACCAGTGAACAGCGCGCCGCAAGCGAGAAGTAGCGTGTCGCCGCAGAGCAGAAGCAGTTGTGTCGTGCCCTTTGGTAGCAGCGCCCTTGGGGTCCGTGGTGGCTTGATTCGCCTGGAGGTTAAGCTCTTGAGAGTAAGCCCATGCTCGCTCAGCCTCGAAGAATATTAGCTGCAGGCTGAGGCAGAACTCAGTATCCATCCAACGTTCCATTCAAAAAGACTCACTGCCCGTCCTTGACAGCATCGAGCTTGAGCGGAGGCAGCTTCTTGAATTCACGGCCTTTGCCATGGGTCGTCTTCAGAGACGACCGCAAGCGATGGGTCCGGTTCCCGCAATGGTTCCTAGCTCCGGTCAGTATCACAGCGAGACTCATGCTAAATCTCTACATACCTGTAGCGTTCATAGTCATTGTATCGCAGTCCATACGCATTGCGCTGCTCGTTCGCGAGCAAAAGCGCTGTCTCCTAAGTCAGAACATACCCCTCGCGCAGCGACGAATTCTCTCCGACCTTGAAAGCTCACTTTCGCGTCGCCGGATGTCTGAGCCATGCGGAATATCTGGGATCACGCTAGAAGGTCCTCGATGACAGGCGAAGGTTCGCGGAGATGGTCGTAGTCGCAAGCCAAAACGCGAGTGCGCGAGACGCGTCTAAGTCTGTCGATCGCGTACCGCCCACTCCTTCCCCATAACACACCTCTACAACCGACGACCGTCTCGCTTATATCTCTATACCTACCCTTTGCCAGCTGTGTTATAAGTCAGCAGAGATGGCGACTGAGATTTTGGACCCGACTCTGCAGAATATCTTGGACCAGAAGTCGCTCAAGTGGATCTTCTGCGGCACGTTCACTCTCTAGTGCTGCCGCGCACCTCTGCTCACAGTGTTCTGCAACCTACAGGTGGAAAGGGTGGCGTTGGTGCGTAAAGTGACTTCGGTATGTTGGTTATATAGCCTAATTTTCGGACAGGAAAGACCACGACGTCGTGTTCGCTCGCTATTCAGCTGGCAGCATGCCGTGAATCCGTCCTTCTCATCGTATGTCCCCCACATGCACATAGACGCGTAAGCTTCATTCACCATCCTACTGTAGTCCACGGATCCAGCGCACAACCTCTCGGATGCCTTCGGCCAGAAGTTCTCGAAAGAGGCGACGAAGGTGAACGGGGTCGACAACCTCTTCGCGATGGAGATCGACCCTACGAGTGCGATTCAAGAGATGGTCGAGCAGTGTGCGTGATGCTGCGTTAAGGCTATGTTCTTGCATTTACATCTTGCACTTTTGAAGCGGACTCGAATGGAATGATGGGCAGCATGATGCAGGATCTCGCGTTCGCCATTCCGGGTGTCGACGAAGCGATGAGCTTCGCCGAAATCATGAAGTACGCATGCCCACATATCCGCTGCCATTCGACATGCGCATATACTCACATACGCCGTTCCTCTGCACGTCAGGCACGTCAAGTCAATGGAATACTCCGTCATCGTATTCGACACGGCCCCGACAGGGCACACCCTCCGCTTCCTCTCCTTCCCCACCGTCCTGGAGAAGGCGCTCGGTAAACTGAGTGCGCTCAGTGGGCGGCTCGGGCCCATGATCAACCAGGTCTGCGTCCAGTTAACTGAGTACATGGGCTGTGTGATATTAAAATGGTCCACGCACTAGATGACGAGCCTTATGGGCGGCCAGGCGGACGCACCAGAAGACATGTTCGCCAAGCTGGAGAGCATGCGCGCGGTCATCACGGAAGTGAACACGCAGTTCAAGGATCCAGTATGCAGACGGCCTTCATTTCCTGATAGGAGCGGCTGTGCTAACTGCGGTGCGTGATGTAGGAAAAGACAACCTTCGTCTGCGTCTGCATTTCCGAGTTCCTCTCGCTCTACGAGACCGAGCGCCTGGTGCAAGAGCTCACCGCGTACGAGATTGACACCCACAACATTGTCGTCAACCAGCTTCTCTTCCCCAAGACGAGTGGGTCTCGTCTCTCTGTCCATATCACCTCCGCATTGATCTCATTTACCTCTCAGGCTCAAACTGCGAGCACTGTCGCGTGCGGCACAACATGCAGCAGAAGTACCTGAACGAGGCACACGAGCTCTACGACGAGTTCTTCCACATCATACAGCTACCATTGCTCACGGAGGAGGTACGCGGACCGCAAAAGCTCAGGGAGTTCAGCAAGATGCTGGTGGAGCCGTACGTACCCCCTGTAGACTAATGGGTGATGGTAATGTATGACAGTCTCCTGCTTTCACTTGACTATGCTGGGGATGCCTTTTGAATGTGGACTATCGATGGAATCGCATCTTCGGAAGGATGAATTCATTCCGTCGAGTCCGTCCTGCCATGCGTCCAGTCCTCTTGCCGTGGTTGTGGTGCGAAGACAGAAATGTAGTGCGTGCAGGTCAGCCATCAGTGAAATGCTCCCCGATGCACAGCTTACTGCAGCAGACATACTGCCTGTGACGTGAGAGACATGCATGGGACACATGGAAGTACAGGGTGGTGGGTAGAATTGAGCTTAATACTCGCATATGTTGCGTCTACAAGTGGAAGCAATCCTTGTTAGCGGCGCAGGGTGTTCACACCTTCGTGGGAGTGAACTGATGCATGTCAAGCTTATGGAGCAGATGCAACCAATTCCCAGCCAACAGGATGCTGTTACTTTGCGCAAGTATCACGACGGTACGCCGTAAGAAGCAACGAGGACACCAGGACGACGGGCTGTTGTTAATCTGTCCGATGACCATACACGAGTCACCCAAGGTTACGGCAGTTCCGAGAGCGTAGTGCACCCTAGAATGAGTAGAACGTGAGGCATCGACAGCAGAAAGACATGCAAAGGCTGTTTGCGGGATGGACGTCGGGTCGAAGGATTATTGCGTGTGAAAAGATCATCGCGAGCGTCCAGGCTCCGCGACACCCGCCCCGGAGGCCACCCGCTACGCCCCTTGTCCACGCCCGCAACCTCGGTGCTGGGCGACCCTCTCTCTCAGGTATAACTCTGCGCGTTCACCCTGGCTATCACTATCAGCTTCTTCGCCAGCTAGCGCATCTGTGCTCTCATCCCGGACCTCGTTAACGCGCGGGGATTACACTGCCCGAGATGCACATACCCCCGGAGACGGAGGTGATTGACCTTCGAGGTCCCTCGCCCACAGGTTCATCACACTCCCATGCCACTGAGCAAGACCCCGCAGCGGATGCCTCTAGTGACGGCAGAGATGAAGGCACGCCGCCAGAACACGCAGAGCCTCCCGTACCGGCCGTCTCCAGTTCGTCACTGACACTGGCAGGGCCCGACTCAGATGCCCTCCACAGTCTGAGCACGCACGAGTCCCCTTCCTCCTCGTCCGCTGTCCCCGACAAGCACGCTGCCCTCGCCGCCTCGCCGCTGTTCACCCTCACGCCCGCGAACTCCGACTTCGCCCTCAAGATGGCCATGATGGGCCTCAGCACGCCCGCCGCGCCCCTCCCGCCCTCGCCCCCGCTTACACCGCTCTCCCCTGGCGCTGCCGATGTCTGCGACACGGCGCGACATGCGCATGTGCGTTCCTCCTGGGCCGAGGACGACCTCGAGAGCGCCTCGGCATCTTCGCACGACGACGGTTCGACAGGCCCGAGCACGAAGGAGGCCGCGGTCCCTGCTGCAGATGACGCAGTACATGCGGCTTTTGGGAAGGAGGGTCCAAATGGGACGGGGAACGGTGGCTTGGACCATCCGCTGAGCCCAAGGATGGGCGGGCAGCAGTTGAGCCCGCCCGTATGGGAGCGCGTCGATCCGCCTTCGGGCAACGGCACAAACCCATATGGGTCGAGCCGTACGCGCATACATGACTTCTCGAGCACAAAGCCTTTGTACGTTCTCTCCCCCAAGTCTGTTTGTTACAGAACGCTGACGAGTGCTCGGCCCGTACAGACGGTCAAGACCGCTTGTGCCGTACTCGTCTTACTACTTCGGTCCGCCACCGCCGGATGCTGCATATGGCACCCCTCCAGTGGGTCAGATCGGCCTCCACCACCCGCGTGAAATCGTCAGGATAGAGCGCGACTACTCTGCAGGCGAACTACCTCAGTTCTCTCCGGTATACCCGTTGGAATTTGAGGGTCGGGTGCGTTGTCCGTTTCTTCCTCTTTGGGGTTTGTACTAACATCGAAATGCGACAAATGTAGTTAACACCGACACAATTCCTCGAGTCCATCAACGCCATGAACGAACTCCTGATCTCCGCACATAGCTTGAAGCAGTCGTTCATGGACAACGCATTGTCGTTCTTCACATTGCAGGCCTCGAGGCTGGTGTTCACGTCACATTACGAGAAGGTACGCCCTTTATTGTACCATTCCGTGCTGCGCCGCAGATGACAGGCTGTCTGCGTGGGTTATGAAGATGGGATCCCATGTTTCATAACTACTTCTTGACTGGCGTATTCCCATAGCCGAAGTGCGGGGACGTTGGTATCAGCTGGACATATCACTTGCGTGGTCAGCTGGCTGATCAAAGTACGGCTGGTATGCTTCGTTGCCTCCAGGCTGTAGAGGACCCTGGCGCATCCCTATCAAGTCGTCTGTCTGTTCTCGCACGCTCCACATATTTCTTGTGAAGATGTCCGAATGCGTTGCTAACACTTATGAAATAGGAGATGAGTCGACTACAGCAGCTCATCGAAGACTACAACGTGCGGACGTACAACCCTCGCGGTCTGAACATCCTTTGGCCACGCAAGGTCGCCTTCCTCTTCGTATGTGCCTCTCTTCGTTGCTTTGTTGTTCCGTGCTCACCTATAGGACCTCTGGTGTCGCAGCTCGAGATTGAGTACTACGTAAGTCACACGCCGCCCCGTTGCTTCCTGACATGACGAACTGAGCGGTCTCTACAGTGATTCCCATGCACGTATGTATTGTTATTACCCTCGCCTCGGTCCAGCGGCTGGATGCCGCTACCGCTCGTTCCCTCACTTCACTAGCCCTCACCTGCAAGCACCCGGACTCGTATCGCTTCTGCTCTGACGCCCCCACGTACATCGCATTCCCAGTTCACATACGATATCCCGGACCTGCTATTCCTACACACAGCTCGTCTAATGCCCCCGCCTCGTCGACTTTGGTGTCATATACACTGCTCTCTACGTCTCTGGCTTTCTCGTGTATTCTATGAGTGGTTTGACATCGACTCGGTGTGCTGCCTTGAGGTGTATGTCGTCGTGTGACGGTACGTATGTTATCTCTTGACGAGGCTTCTGGACCAGCTGAGACTTCTGCTCGAGGCTCAGGCGGGCATTGTCGGCCCCTGTAGCATTGCTACATAGAAGGTAGGCGTAATAGGGTGCCTGCGCGCGCTTGTGCTGTACACTTGCTGGATGTATGCGAAAGTGGCGGGCGAGGCGAGATGGTGGAAACCAAATGCGCGCCGCAAGTACGATACTTACTGATATTCTTCGCGCGGAGTCGTGAAGTTTTCCGCGTAGTCGACGCATATATTGACGTCGACGTGAGTAGATCATCCACTGCCAGGCCGTACCGGGAAGGTCAGGACACGCGCGGAGCAAACCATGTATGTATCATTGCTACGATCCGGATCTCAATCATCAAGCCCACAATTGAGATCGAGATCTCCGGCTTTGGCACGCTCAGGTGCGTATGCCGCCGGCTCACCCTCGACGGGCTCCACCCGAGCTCCTCGAGCTCCTTGACAGGGCAGAAACATATGCGAGGCTCGGGCACTCTGAGGTTCAGGCCCAGGGGTCTCTTCGCATTGTGTCGCACCATCCGTGACAGGAAAGTGCCTGCGGCTTTGGATGGTGGATAGTCTGAATTGTTCTCCGAATCCACCCCGAGCCGAATAGAGAACGTTCGTTCGGTGGTTTGCACAAGCCATACATGCCTCTGCATGATCTGGTCAGTCCACTGGACAACTGCAAGCTTCAGCTTGAGCACATACCAAAGTCAGCACCGATGATGGTATGCATCTCACAGGCAAGCAAGGCGCGATTGATTGACCGATCTTCAGAGTGAGGTGGATCGAGCCAGACACCGCACAGGGGAAACAGCAATGCCCGACTCGTTGTGACCTGCGCTTCACGTACGAAAACACGAGCAGCACAGATACTTACATGGCGCCCAGTGCCAGTGGGCGAGTGTCGCCTGCTACGTACCCAGGATCAGCAACGTCAATGACCAGAAAGAGACTCGACTGACGTTCGCCGCGGATAGTGATCAGTTCTCTGACAGTCTGCACACAGGATGAGCAGCAGCTGAGGCCCAGGGCCAGTTAACTCCAACAGGCACCAAACCTTGTCCTGCAGGGGACAAACCTGGCTAGACGGATGTGCGCACCATACGATGCGCGCATCTATTGCCGTTGAAGTGGAGCGAGGTGTCCAGCATCAAGCTTCTAAGCCTCCCCAGACACTCCTCATCCACACCACGTTCGACTTCGATGCGCAGATGCCGATCCTACCTTCCATACGAACCGTTGATCTCCCGGACCACACGCGCGCCGGCAAGTCTCGCCCCCAGAGGACGACAAGTCTGACAGCTGTACATAGCGTTGGGCTTAGGGTTTGTGCAAGTTAGTGCACGACGACTCGATAGGTTAGTCGACGGTCGGTACGTACAACGGCAACCCTAGGCCTACATCGATATACGTACGTACGTGCGTCAGGCTTGTCGAGCTCCCGGAATCCCCGCACCCACCGCCACTGCCAGCCCCACCGTCGTCCCCGCAAACCTACGCCCACCACGGTCCAACCAGATCGCACCCTCACCGTGACGCCTCGCGCGGGTCGTGGACCGCCCAACCACTCCGACAGGTCGGACATCGAGTTCTGTTTCGTAGGCCTTAAGGACGGTCTTCTGGCCGAGATAAGGCTGGGGAAAGCCTGATCTGGTTTATTTGGGGACGAACGTGGCGCGCTAGACTCGAAAGGTGGGATGTAAATATGACACGCCCGCTCCTATCAAGCACCGAGGGACTGGAAGAACAGCCTAGAGAACTGTAGAAGACGGTTAGGAGCTACGTTTGCAAAGATATTGATAATTGGTGGCAGAGCTGTGTATGTAGTGGCGTCCTGGGCGACCAGCCGACCGTGTCCGCAGTAAACCTTGTATAGACCCTAAGAATGAAAGTCCAGCGGTCCACGGATGCAAGGCCAGTCCAGTAGCGCTTCCCCGGGTTTCACTCGGCCGATATATGTCTGTACATTGTTGGGGCGTTGAGTGCGTTGCGTCACTGACTCGACCTGTTGTAGCCTGTTGTGTGACTCGCTGAGATGCCGCTCGAGCTCCGCGTGGGTCGGCCTTCGGGCGATCAGCAGTGCCAGAATCAGGCAAGGATTGCCGGGACGCATACGCGGCCTTGCCATGGCCTATCTCCTGGTTTCATCTGGATGGGGTGATGAACTGTCGTAAGATGCGTCGGGAACAATAAGGGTACACAGCGCAGTAAGTTGGTCGGAAGAGACACCGCACCGAGTCAAAGTTCGAGGTAATTCGCAAGTCCCGGTGCAGTAAGAGTTTTCACAACAATCTGCCAACAGACCAGAGAGCCCAAGACAATAGCGAAGGCCGCGTCTGGAGAGGGGATCGGCCAGGGCGGTCAAGTTGGACGAGAAAGAAGGTTGATCGGAAGCCTTGTGCTCCACTCTGGACATGGAACTCGAGGAAGCCCAGCACGGAGCGCGCAGAGGCTCCTGAGAGCTGCTGCAGATCCTACGGAAAGTGGGATGCGCGCGTAGCGGCCCCGCGTATGAACACGTAGAGACGGGGAGGGCAGAGGACGTACTATGTACGCCAGTACTTCACGGTCGAGCAGAGGCGTCGGGGATACGGCGAATTGACGGAAGGCCGTTGAATGGGCGGGCGTGCGAGATTCGCTGTTTCGATCCTACGCGCACGGTCGCCCCTCCGACGAGAGCAGAAGCGCACCAGGACGCCCAGGGCGCTGCGCGGGGCGTGCGGCGGGCAGATCATGCGGCCGCGCGCGGGGACAGAGCGTTCGGAGGTGGTCGGCGAGACGGGTGTGCGTGCGCTGGATATGGCAGGTCTGCGAGTTCTGGGTGGTCGTTCGCAGAGGCCGGAAGAATTCCCCAGCTGGACCCTCGCGCGGTGTGAACAGGCTGCCTGGGTCGTCCTCGCGCTGCCTGGGGGGCTGCTGCTGGGCCAGTGCCGGGGACGCTGGGGGCGGCGAGGTCGAGTCAGACGGCGGGCGGTGGCGGCAGCGACGGGCGGGTGGCTTGGTCAGCAGGCGTGGCGTGGCGGGAGAGGCGCCGATTGGACTCCGACGCGACGGCGGCTGGCTGGAGTGGCTGGCCGCCGGGCGCGGCCTCGCATCCGCGTCCCCGGCAACTTCCCGCCCCTCTCACCCTCCTCTCTCTCTCATCCAGCCTCCCGTCGCCCCCTCCTCGCCCTCCTCGTTCTCCTCGCCTGCTCGCCCCGTTTCCCCCACCCGCAGCACCGCGTGCACCGTTAGCTCTTCCGGCTCAGCGTAGATCCGCGCGGCGCTGACAAAGATTACGCATACCTCGCCTCGAGATCCTGATTCCTGACGCAACCAACCCACGAGAGCATCTTTACAGCAATGGACCCCTTCGGCGGCGTGCAGTCCTTCTGGGACCTCTCCTCCCAGCCCAGCACCTTCTCAGCCCTCCCCGACGACGACTTCCTCGCCTTCCTCGAGAAGCAATTCCCCTCCTCCGTAGGCAACAACGGCCTCACCACCTTCGATGGCATCACCGCCCCAGAGGTCGTCGACCCCCAGAGCCTCACCCGCTACCCAATATCGGGCGCCAGCCCGCCCTCCAGCGATAGCAGTCCCAGTCCACCCAGCGTGAATACCGAGCACAGCCCGTCTCGGCGCCAGTCAGGATCCTTCAACACTCCTGAGCAGGAGGAGCAGGGTCTCAAGCGCAAGGCCAGCAGCGAGAGTGTATCCGGTGAGCCCTCGCACAAGAACCAGCATACATCGAGCGGTACGTCATACCATCGCTTGGCGAACAGTTCACCCGAACCTAACACGCTTCCAGCCAACAAGAAGTCGTCGACCGCCGCACGGCGCAAATCGACTGGCAATGCGGGACAGGGCCGTGTAAGAGTATATCCCCATTGCTATTGAGTCCGTATCCTGATGCTGCCTGGACAGGACGATGCTCGGTTACTCAAGCGTAAGGAGCAAAATAGGGCAGCGCAAAGAGCATTCAGGGAGCGCAAGGAAAAGCATGTCAAGGATGTACGTACCGTTGCCGCTACTCGTCGTCATCATCTTGACCCCTGCTCTAGCTCGAAGACAAAGTTGCCGAACTGGAGGCCAAAAACCAGACGACCGAATCGGAGAACGAGAACCTCCGGGACCTTCTCTCGCGACTGCAGAATGAGAACATGATGCTCAAGCAGGCCGCCTTCACTTTCTCCGTGCCACGGGATAACGCACCCAACATGGCCAACGGTATCCCCGCATCGGGCTCAATGCCGCAGTCGTTCAACTTCGCATCACCTGGAGCGGGCTCGAGTCGCACACAGACAGCGCCAGCTATGAACTTCAACTCGCTCATCTCCTTCGACCCGAACGCTATGAACGACGAGCCGACGGCGACGGAGGGAGCGATGAACATGGACTTCGGATTCGGCCAGCCGCACTGCTCATACAAGACAATCGCGGCGAACCCGATGTTCATGTCGTTCGCGGAGCCGTCGCCGTACGACTCGCCGCCGTCGTCAAATGGCGGGCAGAGTGGCAATGGGTCGTATGGCAGCAGTAGTTTCAGCAGTCCTTTCGACCACTGGTCACCACCTGCGGGCGACTCCAATGGCCTCGACCAGCTCTTCGGTGGTAACTACCTCGGGACGACAAATGGCGTGGACTTCAACGCGCTGCTTAAGAGTCCGCCATCATCAATTAGCCCCGTCTCGCACTTCCGCTCACCATCATCATCTTCGCCAGGCTCATCGTCGTCTGCGGCGAGCCCAGGGTCAAATGGGCATAAGACCGAGCAGTGTCCGAAGACGAAAGAGGACATGGCGAAGCACATCGTAGAGCAGGGCAACTCGGCGTTCGCGCAGTGCGAGATGCCGATGGCGCCGTTCCTCAGAAAGGCGGTCGCGGACGAGACGGGCGGGCCGATGATCATGTGCAAGGGGAGCTCGTTCCCGCCGACAGAGAAGAGTGACAAGAATGTGGAGGTGCTCACCGCATGGCGGAGCATCACAAGCAATCCGCAGTTCAAGGTCAGTAACGTCCGTATGTGTTACTACGATCCTCGGGGCTTGGCTGACACCGTGCGCGCTGTAGGATCTGGACATCAACGAGCTCTGTTCGGAGTTCACAAGCAAGGCGCGGTGCGACGGGACGAAGGTCGTGCTCGAGCCGCAGGGCGTGCACCACATCATCGAGACGCTCGCGGCGAAGCGGCAAGCGAAGCAGTAGACGTGCGTGCGTGCGCCCGCCGAGCATGCACCAGCCAGGGCACGCCGCGTTGCTGTCGTCCCGCTCGTGCGTGTGTTCCCGCCTCCCCGCGGTGTTTTAAATGGTCTTTCGGGTCGAAGTCGGATTGCTGGGTCGGGTCGTGGTCGCGGGAGGGCGGGCTGGTCTGGTGTCGTAGTAGAAGGTGTGAGGACTCGACGCGTGGGCTGGCGCGGCGGATTAGGTCGGCCGCGCCGCTGCGTTCCGCGTTGAGCGTGTCGTCGTTGTCGTTGGTTGTTGGTGCGGCTGTCGGACGTCTTCCCGCCGGCCCCGCGCCAGGTCATGTCGTATCGTGTATAGTATTGATTCATGTCGTCTTATCTCTCATCGTATCATTGTCTCATCGTCTCACCGTCTCGTCCATCACCACCACCACTCTTCTACTCACCGTCCGTCGCATTGCGCCCCTTGCTCGGCGCTTGTATACCGTCCATGGTAATCTCTGTTCTTCCGTTCGTTTGGTCTAGCCCGTCTGTCATGCAGACGTGGATGGCCCGTATCACGGTTGTTGCAGTCCTTGTGTGTCTCCAAATTCGTTCTATCGTTCATGCTCGTTGTTCATGAATTATTCATACGTAGTAATGATATTCATCTCATCAGAGGGATCCGGTCCGCTGTGCAGCTGCTAGTGCACGTTCTGGTGTGCCTAGTTCACCTCAGTGTTGTCTAGAAATCTCCACCACGTACCTAAGCTACTAGCTGGGGCTGCCTTCACCCTCGACAGAATATCACCTCGGGACATTAGGAGGGTCAGTCTTGTTGGTGCCCTCCATGAGCATCGTTAAGGATGTACTTACATGCCTTCGATTGATTCATCTCAGGTGCTCATTGATCATGATTGGACTAGTCAACGTCGAGCATCGCCGGCAGGTGATGGACAAATTGTCTGAGGCTTGAAGTTGAATTTGACACACTAGTGACGATGCCAATATGACCATAGCGCTTTAGTTGATAGACTTCTAAAGTTCTACATGCTTGCTTCTCGACACGAGAAGCCTGTAGCGCAATGTACACCGAAGATCAGACAGGACCGGCCCACCGCCAGCGACTTCAGCTCTCGGAACTTCTGCGATGCACATTGGCAGAATTTGTGACTTGACGGATCCGATACTAGCCATACCGTCTCACGGGCCCCGCAGTGGAAGAGTCGTGAGGATCTGGCAACCGAGCTCATACCAGTGCTAATAGAGAGGTCAGAGTAGCGAAGTATTTGGCACAGGCTCCTTAGTCCAACGCATGTAAGCTCTGTGATTGTAGTCGTCGAGCCGAAGGCAACTGGTAGCACTGTCGTACTTCGAGTACCCGGATAGTACGTATAATATGTCCGCACAGTTAAGTTCCTGATGTCGGTACAGTGATCGGACTCCGATTCGTAGTACGTTCTACCTGAAGTACAGTGAGTACTGTACACAAGCTCGCTAGACACGGTGTTGAACGTACTGCTGTCAAGCGGCAAGCCCACATCACACCGCGGATGCTCTGATTCAATCGAACTCTGCATCCTCGATATCATCGCGCAGAACAAGCTGTGTAGGGGGCCTGTTTCCGTTGATGTTTTTGCGCCAGTTACGGTTGTATGTGCCGGATTCAAGTTTGCGGGTGTCTATCTCATCTGCGAAGAACCAAGGCTGTGTGAGCATAGATCAGCCGAAAGAAAAGTGATGAGGTACAGACCACAGTTAAGCCATGCCGACGCGAAGCCTTCGTGGTATCGCAAGGTGAGGAATGGGATGAATGTTAACCCGGTTTGGGTCCGTTCCGGTTCTTGCAGCAGGCCGTCACAATACTCAACTCCCTCGCCGCGATCGAGCCCCATGATGCGCTCAATCTCGGTGTAAGCGTCCAACATGCGAAACACTGCGCACTTGACGATTTGAAACTTATTCTTTGCCAATGACCCCGCGTTGGGAGTGTATACCGACTGTTCGACTACGAGGTGCGTGCGTGCCCGACCGGGGTCTTCGTGCAGTCGTAACGCACTGATGTAGGGCCAATGATCCACTGAATCGCGCCAGGCAACCCAGTCTTTCTCCCTCTGTGCGGCAGATGTATCCATTAGGGACAGCTTCTCGATTCGTTGGTTGACTGTCACAAAATCTCTGACAGAGGCCGAGAATCAGCATACCTCACCGGTCCGAATGCTGGGGTGCTCACCTACAGCTATCCCTATGCCCGAGTAGAAAGTCGTCAATAACGTGAACTGAGTTGCCAGTCACGTGAAGCACGTACTTGTGCAGCGGCCACTCCTTCTTCTGGCACTCTTTGGAGCTGTATTGCGTTCAGTTGCCTATTAGATGTCGATATCCACGAGCATACCAATAGTATATTTTCTTGCACTTGGAGCACACGAACAACTTCACCATTGGTTCTCGAGCAAAGCAGTACCTGCATTTCTTGATCAAACGATGATCCGTCTTGTCCGTATGCTCGCGTCCCGTTAGCCAGGATGGCCCGCCGAGGGCTTCCAGGATTGGACTTGTTGTTTCACCAGTTGGAATAAGAAGCTCCCAAAGGGTCTCATCAGATAGCATGTGCGGGTTCTTGCGGAACCATTTGACGAGCCACTTCTCCCTTCATGATCATGAGCTGTGCTTCACACGGAAGATAAGTGACTAGCTGACTGTTCCTTTGCCCTCCCTCCTTTCCCGCGTCGCCGCAGAACACGCGAAAAGTACACCTTTGCTGTGATAAGTTCGTCCAAACCAGAGGTATCTTGAGTGCGTGTGTCTGAGTCGGCGAGCCGCTCCAACAACGTCTCCGCGATCGCATCATCCTCGCCGCTCCGTGTCAAAGATTCCGCATAGATCATGAAGAGATCACTGTCATCGTACAAGACGATGAGTTTGTTCGTCAGTTTGTGTTCTCTCTCGATACATTATCAACCGGAATGATAACTGACTGCTGCGCTTTGAAGATGTCTCCGGCCGTAGGACCATGGCGAGAGCATATGTGTTCGACGACTTCCTGCAGGTATTTCGCAGCATCACCTGGGCGGTTGATTTCCGGCTTCCTGTTGCCCACATCAACAGAACGGGCTAGTGCTTGAGTGAAAGACAAATATGATGTAATCGAGAAGCCTCACAACAGGAACAACGTGGCCTTTGCCTTCGCCTGCAGACGCTAATATGGGTCAATTAGCAATCAGTATCTCTGTCGACACTACTCGATACTCTGCACAAACTCACTAGGATCAGTCTGCCATCACTCACTAGAGCACTAGTCTGTGGAATAACCCGCCCATGAACGTCAAGCGCGCTGTCCTCGGCTTTGAATATATGACCGAAGGCAAGTAACTGGTTGTCCGTGCATTCCGTGAAAACATCGATGAACATCTCTAATGCCCATATCACTGTCTCGAGGATGTCCAATGGAACTGTTTGAAGGATACCTCAATACAGGCATGACATCGTACGATTGAATAGTCAGGAGTGCGTACCGTCGCTGATGTGGATAAGGAAGCTGTACTTGAACAGGTCTGGCAGTCGGCTATTGTACCAAAGTGACCGCGGCGCAGGGTCGCGTTCTATTTCACCAGTACGTGGGTTCTGCAGTAAAATTCTGGAGTGCTCAGGCATCTGAGCCATTGTCTCCCGGATGGCGGGCACTAGGTTCGGGATCTAGATATCATGGCAGGCATGCGATCGTACTCCTGCAACGTACCTCGAGCGACACTCTGTCTCACCACTCCGAGGTCCGGCAACGTATCTCGCACGTCTTGTTGGCGTAGTAGATTCAAAACCAATTGAGTGCGTTGCTGAGGCGGACTGGATAGAGAGCTCATGTCGACGAGTGGAAGGAAGTTCTCGGAACTTGGGTCGTTGCTTGGGATGCGGCCGGCGTTCAATACAGTTGATTGTAGGTCTAGATCTGTCCAGCTGACAACGTCTTCTTGGTCAAATCGCAGTAACCGTGCGACACCGACGCATCCGGCGCTCGCACTTCCTAGCTTCACTGACAAGGTTCGTGTACCGTGACTGATACGAGAACCGCGAGGCCTGAGTTGGCCTTCGACAGGTCGCTCGAGAGGGTCATGATAACACCGACCCCCAGTCTTGTGGTCTTCTGAGTGAGTTTGCCGGTCGAGGAATGAGCTGCGAGCTACCAGCGTAGCATAGCGCATAGCCTCGTATACTGCGGCCTACTTCCTTGCGATTCTGATTCAGCCGCAAGACGTTATTCCAGGGGTCGTATGGCCGAGTCGCTCCCGCGCCTTAGCTACATGGAGACACGATGTTCTACTATGCTTGTGCTCCAGTCAGAACTTATCTTGTCTTGCACGAGTTCAATTCTGTTGATAGAGACGTACCAAGTGCATGCCACAGCTGGCACCGAATACTGAAATGCATGCGCGTCGCTGGGTCCAGTGGCGCCCCCGTGTCGAGGATCGGTGCTATTGACAACTTGGGGCTTACTATTTCTGATACTATAGCTTGCGTGAATATAGGTGCTCACTGAGAGTTGACGTCTGTGGTAAGATCATCCGTTGTATTCCACTGGATCGAAGAGCAACTTACGCTATACAATCCACCGCTTCTCGGTCGTGTCCGTCCCATAAGCTGCTTGGCTCGCCCCTTGTCATTGCCACGAGGCCAGCTACGCTTGCCATGGGTCCTAATACAGTACTACTGTCAGTAGGTCCATATGTGTTCGCGTCAGTGCACCAGACTGCTGCTCCAACTTTGATGTGAGCAATAATGATGATGTGAGCAGCGTTGGTCTCGTACCCATCCATATGGACCACCCCATCACCGCTGTTGGCGAGACCAGTAGAATGAGCAATTGAGCTCACCCTCAGCTCAGCATGAGTCGGAAGCCCGACAGCTACTCAGCGACGGCAACACTAGTACTTACATACTTACATAATGGCGCGAAGATCATGAAGGTTTGACTGACTCGGAACACCGTACGCGTATCGAGGCGGCGCTGTATCTTGGTAAGTAACAGCTACCCACCTGACTCTTCACACACATAGAATCTGCCGTGACTGGGCGTGCCTATGGCTCGTGCACTCTGGTTGATGGTGCAGGTAGTCCAGCTTGTAGTTCTGGCACATAATGAAGACGCACCACCCCAGTCCTACGTCGTCGGCACAGCACAAATTCAAACGTCAGCCTCTAGGGCGACATCGTAATCTTGAAGCGATATGCATGTCTCGACCATCGACCGCCACACGCGCGCCGAGGTCAGCCAAGCTTTACAAACCATTGTACAGCAGCAGAGTGACTGCCAGAGTCGGATGTGTAAGTGGGTAGAGGGTACGCACGTACTGTAGGGTAGATTGGTATGTGATGGAAGTGATAGTGGGTCAGAAGGTGTGCGGAGGTATCAAGCACTGTCCGAATGAAACAAGCGAATAATGATATTTACACAAGGTCAGGGTGGCGCGATTGAGGGCGGCGGGGCGGCGGGCGGGCGGGGTGGCGGGTCATACCTCCACCGAGCCGGTGGTGACCTACAACGCGGTATGAGTGATTCGACATCCTAGCGACGAGGAAAGATGCTACACGGACCTCCGACATGTCCGTCTTCAACGCCGCGGGGTTGGCCGCGAACGACATGTCCGTGCCGGTCGTGAGGTACTGCGTCACGGAACAGTCAGACTCGGAATGGACGAAGGCGACGGAAGGCGCACCACGGCCTTGGGGTCACCGGAGGATGTACCGCTCGAGCGGCCCACCACGTTGAGCGGGACTGTTCGGTCGGAGATGGCGTATTGTGTCGTCCCGCGCAGTTTCTCGCGCGCGTTGAGGCTGGGAGGAATGGGTGTGGGGGTCAGTAGGCGTGCAGTGGTGGACGAGTGGAGGACGTACGTTGCTAGTGTCGAGTTTACATAGCCTAGAAGGAGATGAGGCTGCGGCATTGCATGCACAGAAGAGAGGGGGACGTACATTTGCTGATGAGGAAGTAAAACATGGTGTCCCAGTATGTGTTCGAGACGACTTCAGACTGCGCAAGCGTCAACACGCTCCCTGTACGCACGCAGAAAAGTCTGGCTCACCAAGATAATAGTACAAACTGCACAGATGCTGTAAGGACAAAGATGAGCGATCTCAGAGTGTTGCTGTCCTCGAACAGTCGTGAACACGCACGTCGTAAGGAGACCGGTGTTAACACAGTACACAATCATAATATCAATGAGCTTGTCCGTCCTAGAGGGCCCGGGGATTGAGCTACAGCATGCGGACGTAGGCGGAGAAACGCACCGTCTGATACCAGACCGCGACAGGTGCAAGTAATAGCACATAGCGCCGGTGATGATGGCATCGCCGGCAATGCTACACGCTAGAGATGCCGTGGAGGCCCACTGCGGAGGGTGTCAGCGTCGCAACGACCAATTTCGCTGAGAGACGTACCGTAATCTGAGCGATGGTGGCGACAAGTTTGGTTTGCTGCCTAAAAGAAAATTGAGTGTCGATGAATGGGGCGGGACGGTCTCAGTGGAGCTTACCCTCTGCCGGCGTAGTCTGTTTCAGGGGAAGTCATCAGCCTGGTACACGGACGGATAGCCTAGAACGGGACTCACAAACGCCGAGGACTTGCAGGGGCAAACGAGGGTCAGCATAGAGCGTCACTGTACTCGATCTAGGTGGAGCATACGTACTGAATTGGGCCAGGGTGAGCGTGAGCTGGGAAACGGGGTCAGCGACTGCGCACGGACGTAATGCAGTTCCGAGGGACGTACGATCGATCCTGTTACAATGTGGTTTCCTCGACTGACTGACGGTGGTGTGGTGATAATGAGGGCTCAGGACGCTAACGACCAAAATGCAGTATACGCACGGATGTATACTCGCATGGCAAAGAATCTAATGAGAGGCTTAGTAGGTAGGTCGTTTAGACGAAAAAATACACGCACCCTTGCACCAGCAAACCAATGGACGTCGTGATGCCGACTTCGAGCTGGGGCAAAACGCGTGAGTGACATGGATAGTAAGGCATAAGTTCGAGACGTACTCCCAAGCTCCTGCAGAATGATGCCCATGAGCACTGACAGCCGTAATCATAATACGGTGACATACCATGGTACCATTGAGAGGGACTGCGGCATGGCGTAGTTCTGGATGAGATACCACCAATTGGAGTGTATGACTGTTATGATTTGTACGACGTCCAAAACGCTACGGCTCATCTGAGACGTGATTCTCCCTCAGAACATGGAAAGCCACGTACAATATTAATGCTACCTGCACGGCCCATGAGTACACGAAGCACGGACACAACGGACAGAGCAGACGCACGAAGAGCTTCAGCCACAAGGTGTCACTCCAGTAGCGATCATAGTATTGGTATGTCTGGAGGAGCGTCACTCCGAAGAATCTGACGGTGGACGCGTCGGTAAGTCATGCGCATCCTTCGGGCGGGGAACACCTGGGGACACTCACGTCGAGCTGAATACAAGGCCGAGGAGGATCGCGCCGAGGGTAGGCTTGACGAGGGCGAGGATCTCCTGCTGTTCCGCGGCCGACATTTTCGGAGAGTCTGTGAGCGCGGGCGGGGATAACGGAGACCGACCAGGGCGTTCGGCGGAGGGGAAAGACGGGTATTAAGTAGCGAGAAGGAGAGAGGGATGCTACTACTAGCGCCAGCGTTGTGGGGAGGAGTATACCCAAAGTATACCCATGGGCGGGCGGGTTATGCATCATGCATCATGTATCAAAGTACAGGGATCGATAAGTCGGGACGACGAGAGTGGCCGATGGATTGGCAATGGAGAGATGTTGATGGCGCTCGTTGCGCGGATGCTTCGTTGCTCTGATCCGGCCTCCTCGCTGGGCGCAACGCCCTCTCCGCTAAGCCTTTCCAGGCAGCTCGCTCCTCTGATCGCACCGGCGCGATACATCTCCACTCACCACCACCTCATACCATGACGAGCACCAGAGGCCACGTTCTCTCCGTGCCTGCGGCGAGAGCATATACGCACACCGAAACGCTCTCGGGCGCGCCGTCCTTAGAGTTATTGGGCCCGCGCAATGCGGACGGCGCGCGCTGGCGTCTCCGAGACGACATCCGGGCGGACATCGTGTTCGCTTCCACAACCGGCCCAGAAGCTCTGCGACACCCGGGCAACACCCGAACCTTGCCCGAACCAGTCTCAGTGTGTGAGCGTCGACCCAACGTCGACCCCCGGTGACCGGTGACGGTGTTTACGCCCATAGTTCCGTCGAACCAATATGCAGAAAGATAGCAGAACCCAAGGAGAACCAACTTAGAACCAACGTTGGCTGATCCCCTGCAGATCTGAGACAAGACGATCAAAAGACGATCAAAAGACGATGGGATTCCAGCACGACGCGGGTCTCGATTGCACGCGCCACCATCGGGCCACAATGTCGTCCGCGCCAGATCGGGCAGTCCGCATTCCATGCCTCCTATATTGCTGGAACAGCATCGAGTGATGATTTGAGCTCGCAAGCACATGCAGCGCAGGTAAATCCTACATCCGACTCTCGCTCAACAGAGGACGTGCAGCGATGATAGAGGCGATCAAAAACACGGCAGTACAGTAGACTCAGCCTGCAACCGGTGTACTCTTACAGCCTTGATCGCACACTGGCAAGGCCTTGCAAGGCATTCGCGATACACGCTGCCAAGCCATCCGGATTCTCTTGCAGGGCCTGATCACGAACGACAGAGAGCGAATCAACGTCAGAGAAGCTTGCACGGACGAAGACGCGTGAGTACGTACAAAGTGTCCGGCTTTCGGGACATGCTGGATAGACGCGATCTTGCGCAGCTCCAGAATGGAGTCGTGACAGTATTTCGGACTAAGTCATGCGAGAAAAGAAAAAGAATGATCATCAGCAAGAGGCAGCGCATCAGAGCGCATCGGCACGCACACTACGTCAGAGCGTTCACCGAGAATGCAGTGGACCTCCACCGCCGGGTCGAGCGTGACAATCCGCTCCGCCGCAGTGAAGTGCGGCTCGTTGTCCGCGTACGCCTTCTTCTCCTGTAGCGTCGAGCACGCCAACGTGACCTTGCTTACATCCTTGCCATTCTCCTGCGTGTGGACTTCCCTGAGACCATGCGTCTGTCAACCAATCATCAACATACATGTCGAGGGTTTGACATTCATGCAGTGAGACTGACCGCGAGCAATTCGAGGATCCGGGGATGCCAGAACTTCCAGGGCAGGCGCTTCCTGAAGTACGCTAGGGCCTCGTCGCGGGTACTCCACGTATGCCGGCGCGCCTCCATCGCCTTGTGCATCATCTCCAGCGCGGCCTTCCGCGTCGCGCCGTGCGCGTTGAACGCGGCGCGCGTGACGAGCGAGGGCTCCATGAAGACGATCGCGCGGTAGGGTACCTTGGCGGTTGGCAAAGACAGCGTTGAGAGCAGGCTGGTTGCGCTCGGTCAGTGCGACGGACGTGTCGGTGTAAGCCGGACGTACATGGCGGTCACCCCTGCGGAGTGCCCGATCGCGACAAGTTGGTGTCCCGAGAGGTGCTCCGAACAGACGAGGGCTTGGAGTCCGACGGCGTACTCTGTCACGGCTCGACGGTGATGTCAGGGAGGACGCCTAAAGCGAATACAGTGTTGGAATGATCAACGTACAAAGACCCTCGGTATCGTCCTTTAGGATACCCTCGTTCACCGTCGCAGCCTCACCATGGCTCTGCCAGTCCACAGACCATGCCTCGCGGACGACGGGAGTGTTGAAGGCGGCGTCTTTGAGCTGGAGCAGCTCGGCAATGACGACCTCCCAGGACTCCTTGTCTATTCGTGCGCAAGTAGAGACGCGTGAGCATGCTAGGACAACGGAGAGGCAGATACACGCACGCGACCCAGTGCAGTGGGTGAAGAGCAGCGTCAAGCCAGCAGGGGCGTCGGCACCCTTGGCGACGTAGCGGTTCGCAACGAGCTTCAGTCCGGGCCTGGATGCACCGGGGTACTCGAAGACGACGGTAGAGCTCTCGTACGAAACCATCTCGCAGGACGGCGTAGACTCGTATGGAGGGCGGGGTCGAGCAAAACTACCAGTACCTGGTTACACCAGGTTATAAGGGAACCGAGGAAGACAACGCAGCACGCTAGACGTCGCCGCCCCCCGCGCTGGGCCCGCACATGATTACGATCCCATCAGAACGGTCCCGGTGCCCGAACCACGGGCCCGACGGCTTGCCCTTGCGGGGATGGGGTGCGGGAGGCGTGTCGGGACGCGTGCAGGGAGGATAGACGAGGAGCAGAGGCGGCTGTCGCGCGCGCCGGCGAGATCGACGGCGAGGAGGCCAGGGACGGCGCCGCATGACGTGACAGCCCTGGGTGAGACATTGCCTTATTCGGAATTTATACCGGACGCCCGCCGCGCCACAAGCGCGTTGTCGTGACCATCACCATTGTCGGATCCAAGTCTCGGTTTCCCAACCTGTTACAGTCTACGCACGGAACTCTGCAACGAATACTGCAGCTGGCGTACGGGTGCGGTTCTACTCTGTGACCCCCTATTCTGCGCAATGAGCCGGCTCGCTCGCCTTCTCTTCCGCGGCTACGAACGCGTCGAGAACACAGGCTCTACCGCGCGCGACCACCTTGCCAACGAACGCACCTACCTCGCCTGGACACGCACGTCCCTCGGGCTCATCGCACTCGTCATCGGGGTAGAGCGCTTTGAGCGCTTCCGCGCGGACCTCAAGGCGCAGATGGGCCCCGCGTCCCAGTCCCAGTCCGCAGAGCTCGAACACGCACAGCAGGTCAAACACGGGCGCCATCTTGCGGGGACGCTACTGGCCACGGGCGTGGCGACGCTCGTCATGGGCACTTGGCGATATTATGCGACGCTGCAAGACTTGCAGAAGGGAGTGTTCAGGCCGAATGTGCAGGGCGTGGCGATGGTCGCGGTTGGGTGTGCGTGTGTTACGGCTGCGGTGGTTAGAAGTGAGCTGCGGTATGGCCAGGTCGGTGTCTGGGATATTATGGACTGTTTGGGTTGTTTGTGACCACTGGCTGAATCTTCTATGACTTGGACAGCCTCATTCGTCCGCGTAACTGCCGCTGCAATACGATGTCATACGGATACGGTGGACCGCATCTGGACAATGGCAGATTGACCGCCGTCACGCACCAAAACCTTTCGCCTCGATTCGAGGACGCGTGGACTCCTGCAGCGCCCTGCAGCGCAGGTCAGCCTTAGCTCATGCAGCTCCTTCAAATGACATACCGGTAAGCACGAGGCTATGAGCAGACATCGTCTCCAACTGACTATGCACGCCATGGTGTTAGGCACCGTTCAAGGCATTTTGACAAGAGGGGTGTGGTGCCTGCCTGTGCGATGTGTAGTACGTGCCAACGTAATCGCTGTCTGCGCACTCAGGCAGCCTGAGCTAGCAAATTGCCAGGTAGTAAATTTGTGCGACTGCATGTCTCGCTGCCATGATGCGGACCGGACGTGATAATCCACTCTTAGCATACTTCCTGAACATGTGATCCGGAAATAAAGCGTCCGCCGGACTATCCTGAAGAGCCGTGTGGCGCCAGTGTGTTTCCAGAGGCACAGACCAGACGGTGAGTTACAAACTTCTTGCCACTCCGTTGACAGTCTGCATGCGTGTTTGGGCTGCCAATCTCACCGCTGTCAGGTCGGGTCCGCATGGCGTGCCTTTACCGAATGGAAAGCCGGGCCTATAGGCCTGTTTGTATCGACAACGGCACCTGAAACTGGTTTGGTTGTGTGTGGGTCGGGCGCGATGCCGAAGGGAATGGCACAGGCTTCTGGCCTTTGGTACTGCCCTAGGCGCGTGGATCCTTTGCGAGGTATGATCCTGTGAATCACTGCTACATCCCTATTTCACCATGCATAGAAGCCCCAGAGCTGACGGTCAGTCTTGTCTTGCTGGCGAGACGACAGGTCGGAACGCCCGTGAACCCGCGGTTAAACCGACTGTGTCCCGGGTCGCTCAGCCAGTGATATTCCAAGTTGCTGAATCAACGGTACCCCGAATTACGGCAGGGTGTGCACAAGCCTACTAAGGCCAGTTGTGGGATAGCCCATGATAGTGCTGCGATTTCGTATCTTGTTGGCCTGCAACTGCAGACCACTGACATCACAGCGTGTCTGTGGTTCGTGTCACAGTACAAGGATCGCAACTGATAACGGCGAACGAGGCGTATCCCGGTCGGACAGCCACTAGACCAGTCCCGATTTATCCGTGTTCCCTTCCCCTGGCGAATCAACTATTTGACGATATGCCATCTATAGCTGAGCCTCCCTGATGAACAACGCTGCTTTGACAGGCTAGCGGCTGTGTGATCTCGCACATATATGCGCTTGAGGACGTGCACTGGTCTGCCGGTTCCTCACATTCTATAACAGCCTTCAAGTTCTCCCTCGCACTTGCCTGAACGGCATGGCCTTCGGTATTGCGGAAGCACAGCTGACAGCGCTCTTTATGCAGAGTATAGCATACGGCGTTCATGTCGTCACTTTCGCGATGTGCATGTACGCCTGGTTCTGGCGCCATCGTAGGTTACGAGCATCAAACGGTTGGCCCTGGATGGCGGTAGCCGTTGTGTTGTTCATCCTGGGCACCACTGACGTCTGCTTCAATTTCTACCACAACATCGTGGCTTTTGTGTTGTTCACGGGACCTGGCGGAGCAGAGAGTGTTTTTGAAGACATCTCAAACTGGGTCAATGTCATGCGGGTGAGTGATGGATTGTCTCTGTATTACCATTGCGATCTCAAGGATACGTTGCCAGAGTGTCTGGTGGTATATGCAAGCGCTGGTATCCGATGCGGCCTTGGTGAGATACCTCCGCCCTCGAGTTAATTGTCAATTTGATAGAGAGGATAAACATCGAAGATATACCGGTGTCGCATTTTCTACCCACGATACCAGGCGTTCTCGGCAGCGTTGCTTCTACCGGTCCTTCTCTGGGTTGCGACGGCTGTCTGCGCTGCCTTGGAACTCTATTATATGTTCGAGCTCAAGCAAGCCGCAACGATACCCTCCGCGCGGAAAATTCAACCTTACTTTCATGCGGTGTTCTCCATGTCGCTGGCGGTGAATGTCATCACTACTGGTGAGTAGTCCTGTGATTGTCCGTAGAGTGTTGACTGAATGATCACGGTTAAGCACTTATCGTTTATCGCATCTGGTCCATGCAAAAGCTCTCATCAGAGTTCTTCACGAAGAGCTGGAGAGGCACCGGCAGAGTCAATCTAGCCCACGTGAACAGAATTTTCGTCGAATCCGCTCTCTTATATACCCTTTCAGTCGCGGTTACGCTGATGACGGAGCTCGCAAATACGAATGGAAACTATGGTGTATCGGACGTCGTAAGCTGGATCTGTTGTTCGTCACCTATCGACTGTTGACTTACTGTGGCAGAGCCTGGAGCTAGCGGGCGTATCCTTTGACTTGATCATTATCCGAATCTGGAGCGGTGTTTCGATCGAGCCAACGGAGCAAGAAATTGGGAACATTTCGGGGCTGGCAGATTGCGAGGCTACGCCTGAGAAGGCAGATTTCAAAGATTTCCAGATCGGCTCGTTGGAGACAATCACGGGGGGTACAAATGGGTTGGACGTAGAACAAGAAATGGCAGTCTAGGCTAGTGGCCTCATGAGGTATGTTGTCCTCAATGTGTGGCACCCGCACTCCGAATTTGACGAAGCATGTGTGACCGCGCAGTTTGAATGAAAAATCTGCGATCGACAGCCGTGTGCTTTCCGACGTGTGGCGGGCTATGCATAATACCTGGTGGTTTGAAATAATGTTCATGATGATTGGAACCCCTTTCCCGCAAATAAGACGTACATAGTCATAATATCACTGAAGAGTTGAACGTACAACAAGTTGGTGATATGCCCACCCCGCACCACTGGCAAGACAGCACTATTATAAAGCCATTCAGAGTGTGAAATAGTTTCAAGTTTTCAATTATCTACCACGGATGGTCCGTAGCTGCGCTCCGCGACCAAAGATCAATCTATTCTGCGCGTGCGGCGGTCCGAGCTTCAAGATTAACCGCCGTGAGAAATGCGGCAATGCAGGCGCTGAGGCGTAGTGTAAGAATGCCGAATAAGGAAGTCAGAGTACGTAGCCAGGTCGTCGCCGCTGCGGTACCATCCAACTCACTTAGCCCATCTCGTCTGCCCTTCATTTCGCTGCTACGCGACAGGCGTAACATTCTTTCTCATAGTAGTATTTGTCCTTGGACACAATGGCTACCACGACCACGACCACGACAGCGACGGCGACGACGATGGTGCCGGAGGAGGGGAAGCTGCTCAGTGAATCACTGAGCACGGTCAAGATACAGACACAGCAGATGAAGCGACATTTGGTGCGCCGTGTTCAGCAACTGCTAAGCTGCTGGATAACACTAACATAGCTCTTATAGGAGCTTGACCAGCTCATGGACGCGCTCAAAAGCGCGAGTCTGATGCTGGCTGAGCTACGGACTTCATCACTGTCCCCGAAGCAATACTATGAATTGTGTTTGTGCGAGTTCAACGCTACAAACTGCATACGCTGAAGGCTTTGCAGATATGGCCGTGTTTGATGCTCTTCGTCACTTATCCAACTATCTATACGACGCCCACACCCAAGGCCGTCACCACCTGGCCGATCTCTACGAGCTCGTGCAATACGCTGGCAACATTGTTCCTCGACTCTACCTGATGATGACCGTCGGCTCCGTGTACATGTCAATTCCCGACGCGCCGGTGAAGGAGATCATGAAGGACATGATGGAGATGTCGCGGGGCGTGCTGCATCCTATCAGGGGGTTGTTCTTGCGGCACTATCTCAGCGGGCAGACGAGAGACCACCTCCCAGTTGGGACGGACCCAGGGTATGTGTCCTGCTTCAACGTCGTGACGGAAGCCTTACAATGTATTGTGCAGCCCCATAGGCAACCTCCAAGACTCTATCTCATTCGTGCTCACGAACTTCGTCGAGATGAATAAGCTATGGGTCCGTCTACAACATCAAGGGCATTCTCGGGACCGCGAGAAGCGCGAGATGGAGCGAAAGGAGCTGCGTATCCTTGTTGGGACCAACCTCGTTCGCCTTAGCCAGCTTGACGGGGTGGACCTCGATCTTTACCAGCAGATCATTCTTCCGAATATCCTACAGCAAGTCGTCAGCTGCAAGGATGTCATTGCGCAGGAGTACTTGATGGAAGTCGTCATCCAGGTATGCACCGCGCTCTTGTGCATACGCATAACTTAACGCCGCGCAGGTCTTCACCGACGAGTTCCACCTGCATACTTTGGGTCCGTTCTTGTCTGCCACAGCTCAGATGCACCCCAAGGTCAACATCAAGCAAATTGTTATTGCATTGATCGACCGCTTGGCTGCTTACGCTGCCCGTGAAGCTGAGAACGAAGACCCGGAGGAGACGAAGCGGCAAGAGGAAGCTGCCGCGCGCCGCCTAGCAGAGAAGGTTAAGATTCAGAAAGCGAAATTGCGGATGAACGGTCACACGAACGGCACTTCGAGCCCCACTTCCGAGTCTGTCGCCGCCGAGAGTGCCGCTTGGGGATCAACGCCTACCAGCCCTATCACTGACAAGGAGATGGAGTCTGATGCGGCCTCAAGCACGGCGCTTGGCACGGAGGAGACGGTGGTAGAGGGCGAGAAGCTTGATAAGGGCAAGGAAAAGGAGAAGGAGAAGGAGAAGGAGGGCCACGCGCGGAAGTTCAGAGGTGTGCCGGAGGACGTGAAGCTGTTTGAAGTATTCTGGCAGCAGGTCGTCGAACTGATCAAGGTGCGCTGCCCCATTCTTTGTGGCATGGTCATGTACTCACCGCATGACATAGGCGCGTCCAGACCTATCAATACAGGATATGACCGCCCTTCTGGTCTCCCTCACAAACCTCTCCCTGAGCTGCTACCCCGACCGGCTGGAGTACGTCGACCAGGTGCTTGGTTTCGCTCACGACAAGATCAAGGAATTCGCAGACAGGTAACGGATTCTCTTTCCGTCGCCAATGACCGTCAAAGTGCTGATGCCGCTTCTAGTCCTGATTTGCATTCACCGCAAACCGTAGCAAACCTTGCTTCTCTGCTCGCTGCGCCCATCAACTCTTATCAGTCCGTGCTTACTTTGCTTGCCCTCCAACAATATACCCCGCTTCTCGCCATCCAAACTTTCCAGACCCGCCGGTCGCTTGCTCATGCCCTCATCTCTTCTGTCCTCAAGAACGAGACCATAATCGAGACTCCGGAAGACGTCAATGGCATCTTGGAGCTCTGTCATGTCCTTATCCGTGACCAGACTGATGGCACGGGAATGCTTCTGGGGTCACAGGCGATACCAAAGGAGCAAAGGCGAGGTGTGTATCATCCTGACCGGGAGGAGATGGCAGAAGAGCAAGGTTGGATTGCACGAATGGTGCATCTATTCCGGGCAGAGTCGCTTGACGTGCAATTTGAGGTAAGTACCACTGGCCATCGTTTTACCGACGCTTAGTGAATGCGTGTCTGTTTAGCTTTTGCAAACTGCTCGGAGGCACTTCGAGACTGGCGGCGATCGGATGCGCTACACGTACCCTGCCCTTATTACTGCAGCCGTCAAGCTATGCAGACGGTATAAAAACAGGGAACACCTGGTAAGCCATCGTTGCGAGCGTGTTTCTCGCTGTTCTAATACTTCATCATTAGGAGGACGATTGGCGGAGCAAAACCTCTAACATTCTCAAATTTGCGCGCCAACTCATTGCTATCCTGGCGACGCAAGTCGAGGCCCCGTCAATTGCGCTCAGGTTGTTCCTTCTTGCTGCTCAGATCGCCGACGAGTGTGGATTCGAGGACCTCGCATACGACCTCTACGTGTCTGCGTTCTCCGTTTACGAGGACAGCATCTCGGAGAGCCGTGCTCAGCTGCAAGCGATCACACTCATCATTGGCACACTGCAAGGCGCGAGGGTGTTCAGTGAAGACAATTATGATACCCTCATCACCAAGGCGGCTCTGCACGGTGCTAGATTGCTGAAGAAGCCTCATCAGGCGACCGCGGTCAACCTCGCCAGCCACCTCTGGTGGCAGGAGCTACCTCCGGATGAGGAGGCTCCATCGAAGGAGTCGGAGCCTGCAGCATCGACGGAGGACGGAGCGGAAAGTGTCAAGAAAGCGGTAAGGACCCCGCGCGATGCATTATATGAGCACTAACCTCGGGTCCTAGTATCCTCATCAAGATAGCAAACGTGTTCTGGAATGCCTGCAGAAAGCGCTCCGGATCGCCAGCTCAGCGATCGAAGAGATCGTCACTGTGCAGCTGTATTGCGATACGCTCGATCAATACCTGTATTATCTCGATCGCGGCGCACCTGCTGTAAGTCCTCGTTGTCTCGTTGCGATGATGTCAACTCATGTGTCGCCTCGCCTGCAGGTGACGCCGAAGTTCGTGAACAGCCTCGTTGAACTCATCACTTCGTCGATCGACAATGTCTCCTCACCCGAGGTCCACCCATCCCAACGCGCGCCGCCTGGGCTGCTAGAGGGCGTGCAGACACCCGACATGATCAATCGCCACTTCCGCAATACCCTCATGTACATCCAGACGAAGAAGAACGCAGCGAGCTCAGCGGAGGGCAGCAGTGCAGCATCTAGGTGGGATGACGTCGATGTAGTGGGCGCGATGCTCAAGATGGGCCTTGGCGCGCGATAGCTTGGATTGCATGTAACTGGACGATCATCCCCGCCCTCTGTTTATTCGTCGTTCATATGCTATTTCTGGTGTATATATAATGTTGTAAGTGCCCTTGCTCTAGTAACATGGAATGCGTCCACCCCCGCCTCATCGGTTTCAAGATCTTGAGAAACGAGAGCTCAAGTCGAAGTGTCAGCGCTGGCGAAAGTGCGTGCGCTACGGCAGTACCAAGTTGTGAAGCTTGATGCAGGAACTTGTTGCGTAGCGTTCGATTGGACTACAATCTCTGTCGTCGTCACTCCATGTTGAACACATGCTCCAGGTCCAACGTCTAGCAAGCATATACATATAACCATACATCCACACGCATACAGAAGAGTCCGTTACAAGTCAATCAACAGCGCTTCTTTCCTCTCCGGCTCCGCAGATAATGGCTGGCCGTACGCCCCGTACACCTGAGGAGCACCCGTCGGGACGGCAGGGAAGTTCGGCAGCTGAGGAGGCGCGGCAAGCTGCTGCAGTTGCTGCAGCTGCTCCGAAGGATGTGACAGCGTATTGTGCCGGTGGATGTATGGATGTGCCTGTTGGTCAGAGGGCCGGGGGTGCGAGACAACCGTGGGCGATCGCAGTAGCGACGACTGGATAGCGGGTGCAGCAGCAGGAGAGGACACGACTTGAGGGACGGGGGTAGGAGCAGTCTGGGGTGGAGGAGCGGAGGGGGCAGGGACGTGTTGAGCCGGCGTCGGTGGCGGGTAGGGTACAGCTGCAGGAGGCGCTGGCGGGGCACCGTACTGAGGAATGGTGACCGGCGCAGGGCTCGCGGGTGCCGCCTGCGCATAGGGCTGAGAGTACTGCTGTGGAGATGTAACCATCTGCGAGGGCTGGTATGACGGCTGATACATCCCCTGAGGTGGTTGTTCTGCCGTGGGTGACGTTACGTATGCCCCATTGTTCACCGGGTGTTCACGACTAAGGTAAGGCAAGTTCGGTGCTTGCACGGGCCCAGGAGACATTGGCTGCTGTACTTGAGGCGGGCTCCATTGACCATAGACGGGTTCTTGTGCCCGATATTGGGGAGCATAGCCGCTGGCTTGCTGATAGCTCGTCGAGGCCTGTTGCCAAGTTGGTCGAGACACTTGCTGAGTCAAAAGATTGTCGTAGAGCTTGACCGCTTGGGAAAGCTTCTCATGCATCTCCTGTAGCAGCTCTAAGGACGACAATGATCAGCTGCGAACGAGATAGAGAACACGGAAAACATACGCTCTTTGCGCCCTGTGTCATTCAGGCCCATAGCAAGTTTAGGCCTCAACGCGTTCGCCTTATCGTACAACTCCGTTACCGCAGGATATCTCGAGACGTCGGTAATGCCTTGGGTCTGCACCTGCTCCACTGTCTGATTAAATGTCATGATAGCGTCCGCCTCCAACGGCTCGAGGTCGTAGTTTGGAGTACTGGGGGCCCTCGGTTTGGGCGTCGCCGCCGAGGGAGGATATGATGACGGGAAACCATAACCATTGCCGTAAGCACTAGGCTGCTCCTGCGAAGGCGTGTCGATAGCGACCGGTGCGCTCGGCCTCGGAGCGTTGGCCTCACGCAGACTGGCCTCAATCGCTGCTTTGAGATCCGGATCTTCCTCCTCCTCTTGTGGGCGTGGTGATGCCGCGTACGGATGCGTGCGCCGGTCCACCAACGGCGGCTCCGAGGTCTGCCATGGCGAAGGAGACGGGACGTACCCTGGCCGACGGCCACCCGCAGCGCCAACTTCCTCGAGGGAGAGCTGAATGGCTCGGTGGAGTTCTGCGTCGTAGAGATCCCGAGCCGCACGATGCCGAGAGGTAGACACGCTCTGAGAGGGTCGGTGATTCCTGACTCTGAGGTTGGCTTAACTCCGAACATAGGTGGATGCACTACGTACTTCGTAGCCCTCTTGTGAAGCTTGTTATAGCAAGTGTCGCAAACGCGAACTTCCTGTGTGATCCCAAAGTGTGGTAGAGGCAGTGTCTTCGACGAACACTGCTGATCGAAGACTTGACCACAGTTCCGGCAGTGGTGCTTGCGGTTCGTGAACGTGAAAGGTGTTCTACATCGCAAACAGACATCCGAATCGATCCACTCGGGTGCTGTCTGCGTGTCGACCATCGCAGAAGTAGTCGCGGCGGGGTCGCGAGGAGGGAACGTGAATCCTTGAGCAATCGTCAATGTAACGCGTCGCATGGGTGCATGAGAGGGCTCACCTTCGTGTTGCAGCATCCTGTAGACCTCACCGACATACCCAAGGCTAGGCTTACCCTCAAATGCAAGAGCCCAGTTCTGGATGAGCCTCAGTATCTTGTTCTTGACATCGTGGTTCAGAGTAGGCATCTTGAGAATGCTAATGAGATTGTCCATGAATTCGCGCGTCGCAACTTCCTGGAGGAATAGGTCGCCGCCATTCTTGACACACGTATCTGTCAACTGAGGCGTTGTGAATTAGTACCGCTTCATACGCAGCAGGGACACACGTACACCCAGCGCGAGGAGCTGCACGTTTGGATTCTTGTGGTTCAGACGTCGCTTGAGAGCACGCATAGCATCCTTCGGCGAGACCGACTTGGAACGAATCTGGTCACTGATCTCGAGGCTGAGGGCGATGTCCTCGGTGCCAGAGGGTAGGAGCTCTGAAGTCGCTTTGTCTGCGACCAGTCGGTCAGTATCTCTCGCGACGAGCAGAAGGGAGTGGATGTGACTCACCGACTGCATCGTCGACCTGGGACGTGCCCCAGATGAGCGAGCTCAGGTAGGAGGTCATGGTGGGCGATGCGGAGAGTGTTGGTTGGGCTGCGCCGGTCGCGAGCGCTGACCTCACCCAGCCGGCGCTCCTTGAGCCTGCGGGCGCGGCGTGACATGGCGTGACAGTCCGTGACCGAGGGTGGTCGCCGCGGAAGGTGTGACTAAAGGCACGGCCCCGACCTTGTGCGACTCATCGTGCGTTGTCCTCAACCACCTCCCTGCTTGTCGTCCCTCCCGTCGTCCGCCCTCTCCAGCATCCTCTGGTTTTTTTCGCAGCTCTCAGAGCTCTACTAGGCTAGCTGACGACAGCTCCTCTGAGCTCTGGACGATACGACCGCGTCTGACGGCGTTTACTCAGCTCAGTCAAAAATTCGCTAACGACCTCCTGAGCAACTCGGCTTCAACGAGCATCCTCAGAACGCGCTTGCAGCGACATATACCTGTCGGAATAGACCACTCGGACTCTTATCGTACTAGCCGCTGCTAATATTCTCGCCCTTCGCCCATCTCTGTACTGCAGCGTCTCTATTGCCTCCCGACTCTGTCATCATGCTGGGCCACCAATTCGCGTTCTCCGCGGCACCGATCCGCAAAGTGAAGGAGGTTCAGTTTGGTATCCTCTCACCTGAAGAAATCGTGCGTATACCTCGCACCATGACCGGCTCCAAACTCATGTCCCGTCCAGAAAGCGTACTCGGTCGCGAAAATCGAGCATCCTGAAGTCATGGACGAGACGACACACAAGCCTAGGATGGGGGGATTGATGGATCCCCGGATGGGAACGATAGACAGGAATTTCAAGTGCCAGACGTGTGGGGAGGGAATGTCGGAGTGCCCTGGGCATTTCGGCCACATCGAGCTGGCGAGACCCGTCTTCCATCCAGGTGCGTCACATTTGCATCCCAAGCGACTGTGTTGCTAACGTCTCTCCAGGGTTCATCGTGAAAGTGAAGAAGATCTTGGAGTGCATTTGCGTAAATTGTGGGCGGTTGAAAGTCAACAGCGTGAGTTCATGTTCTTTTCCTCTACTCGTTTCGCACCCCACCACCCAATTTTCTGGGGGCTCTCTCCGCACACATGGAGAACCCCAAGCCCGCTCTGTGGTAGTCCTCGACAATCGAGGCGTTCTTCCGCCCGGGTGAGGGAGACGCGCGTTTTCGGTCGCTTGATCGCCGCGTCGACCGCTACACCATCCGGCGCTGGTTGGACACGCAGTGGCGTGGTGAAATGGGGGGCTGAGCGAGATAGTGCGAAAACAAGTATGCGATGGATTCATGAGAACCACACTGCGATGGATGGTCAGACAGCCCTCTCTGTGACGCAGATTGAGCGGCTTGTCTTGTGGCCAGCACTTGATACTCGAGTTTGTAGCCCCCTGTTGTTCAACTTGTTATGTGGTAGTGGTCGCAAGACGCTGCACGACGTGTTTGCGTGGGTAAACAAGAATCTTCGCTGACATCCGCGTTTCATATCATCGACCTTGATACCTTGCCACCGCCGAAACGAATTTGCCTTGCCACCTTGATATTGTAAGTCGGACATGGGATTCGCTGCCAAGATAAAACACGTCCGCGACCCAAAGGCGAAGATGCAAATTGTCTGGAGTTACTGCAAGGGGAAAATGACGTGCGAGGCGGATGACCCGAAGGAAGACGCTGACGGTCTTGAAAACGACGAACCGAAGAAGGGACACGGAGGGTGTGGTGCTTCACAGCCGTTGATTCGGAAAGAGGGCCTCAAGCTCTTCGTGCAGTACAAGAGGTCGAAGGACGACGACGAGGTTTGTGCAGAGCTATTCCTGCGGGAATCAAAACTAACGGCTCTGCAGGAGGTGAAGTCGCTGCAGCCGGACAAGCGGCTCTTCCCGCCACATGAGGTGTATACGGCACTCAAGAAGATATCGGATGCCGACCTGCACATGCTGGGTCTCTCCGAGGATTACGCTCGTCCAGAGTGGATGATCTTGACAGTCATGCCCGTACCGCCGCCTCCTGTGCGACCGAGTATCGCGGTGGATGGTGGCACGATGCGTAGCGAAGATGATTTGACATACAAGCTCGGCGATATCATCAAGGCGTCGCAAAATGTTCGCCGCTGCGAGCAAGAAGGTGCTCCGGCCCACGTCATCACAGAGTTTGAGCAGCTTCTCCAGGTGCGTGGAGTCAACGTGAGGTTGGTGAACATCTGCTAATGTTCGGCGTAGTTCCATGTCGCAACATACATGGACAATGATATTGCAGGCATACCACAGGCCCTGCAGAAGTCCGGGAGGCCTGTCAAGGCGATTCGCGCTCGTCTCAAGGGCAAGGAGGGTCGTCTGCGTGGTAACCTGATGGGCAAGCGTGTGGACTTCTCCGCGCGTACCGTCATTACGGGTGATCCGAATCTTCAGCTCGATGAGGTCGGCGTGCCGAAGAGCATTGCCATGAACTTGACCTATCCGGAACGTGGTATGTAAACGCTTGATCCGCCTGAGGACTACACTCACGGTGTCACAGTGACGCCGTACAACATTGCATACCTGCAAGAGCTTGTTCGGAATGGGCCGACTGCCTACCCGGGTGCACGATACGTCGTCCGCGACACGGGAGAGCGGATAGACCTCCGATACAACAAGCGTGCGGACGCCTTCTTGCAGTATGGTTGGATCGTCGAGCGGCATTTGCGAGACGGAGAGTAAGTTAATTCGACTTGAGTCCGCCACATGTGTCTCACCCTTGCGATAGCTTCGTGTTGTTCAACCGACAGCCTAGTTTGCACAAGATGAGTATGATGAGCCATCGAGTCAAGCTCATGCCCTACTCCAGTACGTTCTTTGGATCGGCAACGATTCCGCGTGACTGACTGCCCACTAGCTTTCCGACTGAACTTGTCCGTTACGCCTCCGTACAACGCCGACTTCGATGGTGATGAGATGAACATGCAGTACGTACAGCATGTTATACCGTCTCTCGCAACGACCTGACGCGTTCGTAGTGTACCACAGAGCGAAGAGACTCGTGCCGAGCTGAGCCAAATTGCTTGGGTTCCGCGGCAGGTAAGACTTTCCGGACCTTGACGAGGCAGTCGCTGACGAACGTTCGCTCTCTTAGATCATCTCGCCTCAGGCGAACAAGCCCGTCATGGCCATCGTACAAGACACGCTGTGTGGGATCCGCAAGTTCACCCTCCGGGATGCCTTCCTCGACTGGACACAAGTCCAGAATATTCTTCTGTGGGTGCCAGACTGGGACGGGTCCATCCCAACGCCTGCTATCATCAAGCCCAAACCTCTCTGGACCGGCAAACAGATACTCAGCATGTGCATCCCTCGTGGCCTCAATGTCTTCCGTTCATCCGATCCGAAGTCTATCAACCCTGTCTTTGACGACGGCATGAACATCGAGAACGGTGAAATCATCTCCGGCATCGTCGACAAGAAGACAGTCGGAGCTTCTCAGGGCGGCTTGATCCACATATGCTTCCGCGAGAAGGGCCCGGAGGCGACGAGGACTCTGTTCACGGGCCTGCAGCAGGTTGTCAACTTTTGGCTCTTTCACAACGGCTTCAGCATCGGCATCGGCGATACAATAGCGGACCGGAGTACGATGGCGCACATTTCAGAGCAGATCTCGACTCGCAAACAGACGGTCACACAGATCATCGAGGACGCGACGCACGATCGCCTCAAAGCTGCGCCGGGTATGACGATCCGCGAGTCCTTCGAGAGCAAGGTCGAGCGCGAGCTCAACTTGGCTCGTGACCAGAACGGCCAGTACGCGCAGAAGGCCCTGAAGGAGGACAACAACGTCAAGCAGATGGTGACCGCCGGGTCGAAGGGTTCATTCATCAACATCTCCCAGATGTCCGTGTGCGTGGGCCAGCAGATCGTCGAAGGCCGACGTATTCCATTCGGTTTCCGTCACCGCTCGCTCCCACACTTCACAAAGGACGACTTCAGCCCGGAAGCCCGCGGGTTCGTCGAAAACTCTTACCTTCGTGGCCTCACGCCGCAGGAGTTCTTCTTCCACGCCATGGCTGGACGAGAGGGTCTGATCGATACCGCCGTGAAAACGGCGGAGACGGGTTACATCCAGCGGCGACTCGTCAAGGCGCTCGAGGACGTCACGGTCTGTTACGACGGGACGGTCCGAAACTCGCTCGGCGACCTCATCCAATTCGTTTACGGCGAGGATGGTATGGACGGTGCATTCATCGAGCGTCAGAACATCGAGACACTCGCCCTCAATGATCGCGAATTCGCTCATAATTACCGCGTCGACGTTACGGACCCGTCCGGTGGTTTCTTGCCTGGTGTACTACAGGCCGGATTGGATGACAGCTCGCTAGAGTTACAGGCGAAACTGGATGACGAGTATGAGCAGCTCGTCCAGGATCGTCGCCTCTTGCGCGAGTTCATCTACCGCTCGCAGGATCCCAGCGTCCCCCATCATCTTCCTGTCAACCTCCAGCGAATCGTACAGAACGCCATGCAAATCTTTCACATCGATAGACGCAAACCGAGCGACCTCGAGCCTGCATACATCATTGATTCCGTGCGCGAGTTGGCGGAGCGCCTGGTCGTCGTGCGAGGCGACAGCCGTATTTCGCAGGAAGCGCAACACGACGCGACGCTGCTTTTCAGGATCCATCTTCGTGCTATGTTCGCTGCACGAAGAGTTCTGGAGCGGTATCACCTCAACCGCGAGGCGTTCGAATGGGTGTTGGGTGAGATCGAGGCGAAGTTCAATCAATCGGTGGCTCACCCCGGCGAGATGTGCGGCACCCTCGCAGCGCAGTCCATCGGCGAACCGGCAACGCAGATGACGTTGAACACGTTCCACTACGCCGGTGTGTCTAGCAAGAACGTCACCCTCGGTGTGCCTCGGCTGAAGGAGATCATCAACGTCGCCACGAACATCAAGACACCATCTCTGTCTGTGTTCCTCAAGCCTCACATCGCTAAGGACAAGATCCTTGCGAACAGCGTCCAACAGGAGCTGGCGTATACGTCCCTCCGAACTGTCACGGCAGCCGTAGAGATCTGGTATGATCCCGACCCGACCTCTACCATAATCGAGGAGGACAGCGTCTTTGTGGAGTCCTTCTTCGCCATCCCCGACGAAGAGGTAGAACAGAAGCTGCACCTCCAGTCGCCGTGGCTCTTGCGTCTCGAGTTGGATCGCGCGAAGATGATTGATCGCAAGCTGACGATGTCCTACGTTGCCGGTCGCATCGCGGAGAGCTTCAAGACGGACCTGTTTGTAATTTGGAGTGAAGACAACTCTGAGAAGCTGATCATCCGGTGTCGTGTTTTGGGTGGCGCGGATAAGGACGAAGACAGTATGGAGACGGTCGAAGAGGACATTTTCCTTCGACAACTCGAGAACACCATGCTGAACTCGATCAGCCTGCGTGGTGTGCCCGGGATCCAACGCGTCTTCTTGCTCGAGCATGACAAGGTCATCGTGACGGATGAGGGTAGCATCAAGGCTCATCAGGAGAAGGAGTGGGTTCTCGAGACGGATGGAGTCAATCTCAAGGCCGTCATGACAGTCGACGGCGTCGATTACAAGCGAACTTACTCCAACAGTTGCGTCGAGATCTTCAACGTCCTCGGTATTGAAGCTGCACGCGTCGCGATCATGAAGGAGCTGCGCGGAGTCATCGAGTTCGACGGTTCCTACGTCAACTACCGCCATCTCGCGCTGCTTTGCGATTTGATGACGCATCGCGGCACGCTGATGGCGATTACCCGCCATGGAATCAACCGGGCAGATACCGGCGCACTCATGCGGAGTTCGTTCGAGGAGACCGTTGAGATCCTTATGGAGGCAGCCGCAGTTGGGGAGAGGGATGACTGCCATGGCATTGCGGAGAACGTCATCTTTGGGCAAATGGCACCTATGGGAACGGGCGCGTTCGATGTCGCTCTCGACATTGACATGCTCAAGGATGTCATCGTCGACCACCGTCTGCCGGTGCAGACCCTCATGGCAGCTCAAGTCGGCGCTGGCATGACCCCCGGCCAGGTCGCGATGACGCCGTACGATACGAACTCGCCCATGTGGAACACCGACGCGTCGTTCAAGGGAGAAGCTGCCGCGTTCTCGCCGCTCGCTGTCAACGGTGGTGAAGACCCCGCGAACTTCTCCTACCTCGGCTTCGGGCAAAGCCCCATGGGTGCTGGAGGTATGTCGCCAGCTGCGCCTGGCTACAGCCCTAGCTCTCCCAATGTGTATTCGCCGACTTCTCCCTACGTGCCTCCATCACCATACGGCGGTGCAACGTCTCCATTCGGCACCTCGCCGTACGCGACATCGCCATTCTACGACCGAGCCCGTGGACCGACTTCGCCTACGTACTCGCCGACGTCGCCAGCACTCAACCTCACGTCTCCGGGATACTCGCCGACGAGCCCTCGCTATTCACCGACTTCGCCATCATTCTCCCCTACGTCGCCTCGGTACAGCCCCCAGTCTCCATCGTTTAGTCCGACGTCACCGCGCTACTCGCCGACGAGTCCATCGTTCAGCCCGGCTTCACCACGATGTAAGTGTTATCACGTATCAGGTAGTGCCCTTGTGCTAACCTTTTAACGCCTTCAGACTCTCCGACATGTAGGTTTCAGCGTCGATTGATGATCAAGTTTATTGACTGACATGACTTGCAGCTCCTGCCCAAATGTCTCCTTCGTCGCCGAAGTATTCGCCAACATCGCCTGCGTCACCTGCATCTCCCAAATACTGTGAGTCGGTCTACATCGTATCGCGATGCTTGTACTGACATCTCTCCAGCGCCGACTTCGCCGACATATTCCCCAGCCTGTACGTACCCCGCTCAGCTGTGTTTCGATGTTCATACTGACCTGTGCTACCTCGAATCCAACAGCCCCCGCATATTGTGAGTATTTTCCGCCATATATATCATCGACGCCGTCGCTCATGCTGCGGCAGCTCCTGCATCTCCAGCTTACAGTCCGACGTCGCCGCAATGGTCACCGTCGAGCCCGGCGGCACAGCCGCCGCAGCAACCACAGAACGGCTCTGCGGGTCGCGGACACTCGTACAGCACCTCGCCGTCCTGGGAGTGATCCCGAGAAACGCGGTCCACACCTTTCGCCTCGTCGGACGTTGTCGTTGGGACATTCTTGAATTTATTATCTCTGCCCGCATCATCATAGCCCCTCGTCTCATACTAAGCACGCATGACTGTAGAATATCGGCACAGTACAACCATTTTGTTATTACCGCTCTCCCAGTGTATTCGCCGAGTCGTCTGTATGTACTCGATGCGATGTACGGATGCAATGGAATTGTCATCCTCGCTGGCAACGACTCACGGGCAAGCACGCATCGATGCGAGCGATCAAGTAGATAGTTGCGCAGTAAGAATACGATAAGAGAGCGGACGGACCAAGACGATTACGAACAAGGATGCGTGATAAGAGTTAGCTATGATGCGCACACTGCAGCCATGCAAGGTCCGTAATGAGGGCAAAGGAATGAGATGGCAAATAAGTACGGCACAGCGTACATGTACGTAGGGATCGGACCGACACGATGCGTCATAGTATTACACATGGGGCATTGATGGGGTATACTATAACTTGAGATGAGATCGACTGACCGCGAATATCTGATCCAAAAAGTGCGTGAACGGCTGTCATGTGCGAATAGTGTTGCAACGGACGACTGGGGCAGCGGGTTGAACAACGGAGCGTATGAAAGGTGGTGAGTGCAGCGCGGCGCGCGGGTAGCCCGCGGCCGCGGGAACCGTAGTATTGTTTTGCAATATCGCACAAGCAGGAAGTGAGAAAGAACCGAAAGCCGCCTCCACGAGAGTAAGTATCAAACGAAGAATTGCGTGCTGCAGAGGGCGGTGGTCAGGGGCGGGATGACGAGGAACGACAGACGCTACGCACTGGACACGACTTGCAGCATGCACCTCCATCTCCTCCATCTTGTACGAGTTGAGTTCCTCCTTGATGCGCTGCGCCAGCGCCGGGGTGAGCCGGCTCCACGTCGCAGGCTCGCTCCGCCTGTCGTACACCGTCGCGGGGAAGGTGTCGTACACGGACAAGTTGGACGCAAACGCGAGGCGCTTCGCGGGCGCGGTCGCCGAGCGCTGCGAGAGCGTCGGCGGATTTGGCGAGAACATGGTCGAGAGCGCGGGCGCGGACGAGTTGGGATGCGTGAAGAGGCCCTTCTCCGTCGCGCCCGAGCTCACGCTGCTCGTGTCGGTGCTGTCCTTTGGCGAGTCGAGCGCGAGCCCGTTGTGCTCGAACGACAGCGGCGGGATGAACGTGCCGTTGCTGTTCGCCTGGCCGTGGTGCGGGCCGTGCGCGTTGTGCTTGTGCAGGCCGTCGATGTGGTCGGGGTCGGGCGACGGTATGCGCGCGAGCGGCCCGAGCTCGCCGCTGCGCGAGGGCGCCGAGTCGTACGAGTTTGAGCGCATGCGCGCGAACGGCGGGTCCGGCTGCTCGTAGTCTGCGCGGGCTGGGCAACGAACACGGTCAGTCTGGGTCGGCCGGAGACGAAAAAGCTCACTTTTCAGGATGCCCTTCGCCGGCTTGCGCGCCTTCTCGACGCTCCGCCGGACGTTGACCGCCCACGGCTCCATCTCCGCCTGGTGGTGGTCCTCGAGCGTCGCGGCCTCCAGCTCGGCGCGGATCGTCATGTCCTCGTCCTCGTGCGCCTCGTTCCAGTCGTCGTCGTCGTCCCAGCCGTCCATGCTGTAGCTCTGCGGATGGCGGTCGAGCGGCCCTTCGTCGCTCCCGCTGTCCGAGTTGTCGTCCACGACGCCCATGCCCTCCTCGTTCACCCGCCGCGCGCCCGGCCCCCCCGGGGCGGCGCCCTCGCCCTGCCGGGTGGTCGTGTTCTTCTCCCACGTCGCCGGCACGTCCGCCTGCTCGCCGTTCTGGGCGGCGGCCGCTGCGGCGGCGCGGGCCTCTGCGTCTGCCTTGGCCCTTGCTGCGGCCTCGGCGTTGCTCTTGAGCGTGTGCTGCCGCGCGAGGCGGGCGGCGGGACTGAGGCCTGCGAGCTCGGGGCTGGCGTATTCTGAGCGGTCGAGCTCGGCGGTGGCCATGGACACGCTGGGGTCCGCGGGGGCGCCCTTTTCGCCCTTCTTCTTCTTGCTCTTCTTGGCGGCGGCGCCGGGGCCGGTGGCCTCCTCGTCCTCCTTGTCCTTCTTGTCTTTGAAGAGCGAGGTGATGCCGGCGAGCGAGTTGCGTCGGGTGAGCTTGCCGATGTTGCCGAGCTTGCGGATGACCATGGACGCGGAGGACATGGTGGACGAGAGCGAGATGTTGTCCGTGGAGCGGTTCAGGCGCGAGTTGAAGAGCGAGCGCGACTTTTTCTTCTGGACCGTCGCGGTCGACTCGTCGTCGCCGGTGATCGTCGCCTGCGAGCTGCCCGCCGGCGGCGGTGCGCCGTTCTTGGGCACCTCGTCCTCGCCCTCGTCCTCCTCGTGCAGCGTGTTGTTCGCGCCGAGCGAGAGCGCGCGCCGCAGACGCCCTTTGAGCCCGCCACTGCGCACGCCGGGTGCGTTCGGGCTGGGCTCGAGCATCGCGGCGAGGTCGCTGTCATCGCGCGACATGCGTTTCTCCGCGGCGGTGAAGTTGCCCTGCGAGAGTGGCGACGGTTTGCGGAGCGTCGCGCTGCCGCCGCCGTGGGACGCCGCGGTGGTGGTGGACGAGGTGCTGGGCGCGCGGGGGGCCGCGGACGAGGTCGAGGACTGGGAGGACGTGCGGCCGTGGGCGCGTTGCGGGGCGGACGGCGCGGCGGCGGCGGCGGGCGGCGGGGACGCGGCCGCGCTTGCGCCGCGGGCGCTGGGCGACTTGACATGATGGGACGAGGGCGGGGAGGCGGGCGGGCCCTGGTTGCTGTTTGTACGCTGGCGTTGGCTGCCCGAGTGACTGGAGGACGAGTTGATCGATGTGGACGATCCGGCAGCGTCGGCGCGGACGTAGGGGGGCTGGAAGGGGCCGGACTGGGGCGGTGGTCGCCAGTCCGTGCTGAGGGGCGGATCCTGGCTGGAGGAGCCCTGGCGGGGCGGGCGGCGGTACGGGTGGAAGCCCTGGTACTGCGGGGGGTGGGCCTGCTGCTGGTCGGGCGGGGGGTAGGGGCCGTTGGGGAGCTGGGAGGGATGTGGGGGCGGGGTGCCGCTGGGGAAGGGGTTGAAGGGGGGGAGCTGGTTGACGGAGAAGTAGTCGCCGGGGGGCGGGGCGGACCTACCGCGCTGGGAGGCGATGTGCTGGGGGACGTGGGACATTTGATGGGCCTGCTGGGCGTTGAACATCATCTGCTGATAGGCCCACTGGGCGTACTGGTTGTTGGCGGGGTCGTAGTAGGGGTTCATCTGCTGCTGGGGGGCGTGGGCGTGGACGGGGTAGGACGGCTGGTTTTGGTAAAAGGCAGGGTAGTACTGCTGGGGGGAGTGGGCGGGGGGCCAGGCGGCCTGCTGCTGCTGGACGGGGTAGGGGTAGGGCTGCTGCTGGGCGGGGGACATGGGTGCAGCCTGGTCGTTGGCGGGCGAGGAGCGCTGGCGGGGGACGGCGGGGCTGATTTGGGCGGACGGGGCGGGCAGCGCGTCCATGGTATGTTCTTTGGGAGGCTGCCAGTCCTGGGAGACGAGCACGGCCATGGACGCCTGCTGGGCGGCGACGGGGACGGGGCTGCGCGCAGGGGCAGCAGGGGGCCTTGGCGTCGTCGTCGCGATCTGTGCCGTCGTCGCGATCTGAGTCGTCAGAGAGATTGCAGCACGCCGGCCTGCAGCACAGCCGCGCGGTCAGAGAGCGGGTCGCGGAGAGAAAAGGAGAGACGGGCCACCTTTTGGGAGCGAGAGCGACGAAAGGGAGGCGGAGACGGCGTCGGCTGCTGGCTGTCGGCTGAGGTCGTCCGCGCAGCCAGACACGCCAACAGACCGTCCCCACCGCACAGGCGCCCGTCTGCGATCCTGCCACGCACGGCCAAACACCCGCCACCGCCCGTCGCTGTCCACCACGCTGTCGTACCGTATGCCAGTAATGAAATGGGATTGTTGCAGCAGTGAGAGCCGTACACTACCCGCGTCTGCCTTCAACCATGTCCTCCTGGCAAGACCTCTGCAACGCCCGCAAGCGCGCACAGGTCGCCGCCCTCCCCAAGCACTGGCTCATCGACCTCCCGCCCGACCACGTCCGCGACGTCCGCGCCGTCCCCCACACCTGCCGCCTCCTCTCCCCGCGCGAGCTCGAGATCACAGACACCACCGACGTCGACCGCCTCCTCCTCAACCTCCGCACCGCCGTCTGGTCCGCCGTCGAGGTCACCACCGCGTTCTACAAGCGCGCCGTCGTCGCCCAGCAGCTGGTCACATCCCTCTTCATTGATCGACCGCGTACACCGGCGCTGAACTGCTGATCCGCAGACCAACTGCTTGACCGAGATCTTCATTGATCGCGCCCTTGCCCGCGCGAAGGAGGTCGATGACTACCTCAAGGCGACCGGCAGGCCCGTCGGGCCCCTCCATGGCCTGCCCATCTCCCTCAAGGACCAGTTCCCCCTCAAGGGCCTCGAGACCATCATGGGTGAGCTTCTCGCGCCCTCTCCCCTTGGTGTCGCCGGCGACCATCTTCTGCCGTCTGACCTCCACCACTCGACGATCGACAGGCAGAGGGCGCGCATCACTGGGCACGGGCATGATAGAGCACGACGTCCACGCGCCTGCTCTGTTCCGTATCTCAAACGCACATGTCGATGATTCTGACATTGCACAGGATACGCGGGATGGATTGGCCGCTACGCCGACGCGGACTGCGTCCTGGTCGAGATTCTCCACGAACAAGGCGCCGTCCCCTTCGTCCGCACCAATGTGCCGCAGACCCTCATGGTGCGTGCGCGCCCAGATGCGCCCCGGGCTCCGGGCTGACGCTCTACAGTGGGGTGAAACATACAACCACGTCTTCGGGCGGACGACGCATCCGTTCAACAGGGCCATGACGCCCGGCGGCTCCTCCGGCGGCGAGGGCGCGCTCATCGCCCTCCGCGGAAGCCCCCTGGGCGTCGGCACCGACATCGGCGGGTGAGTCCCGCCCGCCACCGCGCACCACCCTACTGACCTCCGCCCAGCTCCGTCCGCATCCCCAGCGCGTTCTGCGGGCTCTACGGCCTGCGCCCGTCCTACGCGCGCCTCCCGTACGCGAACGCCGTCAACTCCGCCGAGGGCCAGGAGAGCATCGCGTCCGTGCTCGGCCCGATGGCGGGCTCCCTCGCCGGCGTGCGCGTGTTCACGCAGGCGATCGTCGACGCGCAGCCGTGGCGCCGCGACCCGCTCGCGGTGCGCAAGGCGTGGCAGTGGGACGAGTACGCGCTCAAGGAACATGGCGCGGGCGGGCGCATGTGCTTTGCGGTCATGTGGGACAACGGGGTTGTCAAGCCGCACCCGCCGGTGAGGAGGGCGATGGAGCTCGTGAAGGCCGCGCTGGAGAAGGCGGGGCATACCGGTGAGGCGGGTCGTGGCGGGGACGTGCGGGCGACTGACGATGTGCGCAGTGATCGACTGGGAGAACCACCGACACCTGGAGCTGTACGAGGTTGCGGTACGTGTTCGCCGGGTGCCTCTTTCCCGTTCCGTGGCGCGCTCTGCGCTCCATTCCCCGCCCGAGGCACCCAAACGCTCACCTGACAATCGTGCAGGAACGCGTATTCGCGGCGGACGACGCGCACGACTTCCTCACCGAGTGCGCCCGCTCCGGGGAGCCGCTCATCCAGACCATGAGCCCAGAGACGGACGCGCACGAATACGCCCTCGACGAGCCCTTCGCGCGCACAATCGTCGGCGAGCGCCGGCACCTGAGCGTGTACGAGGTGCGTCGCCCCTGATCACGCCGGCCGCGCGGTGACCGAGCCCGGCCGTCCGGACGACGCACAGCTCTGGCAGCTGCACAAGCAGAAGCGCGATCTGCGCAAGTCCCACCTCGACCACTGGGAGGCGACCGTCGCGCGCACGCGCACGGGCCGCCCGGTCGACGCGATCATCAGCCCGGTGGCCCCGTACACGGCCTGCCCGCACGGGTGCAACTCGTACGTCGTCCCCTTTGGTGCTGCCCGTTTCGCATTCACGTACCCTGGGCCGCGGGCCGTCGCCCTGGGCGCTGACTCCGTTTTTCGCGTCATCTCAGGGACGCGTTCTACACGACTATGACGAACACGCTGGACTATACTACGTCCGTCTTCCCGGTGACGTGCGCGGACGCAGAGCTGGACAAGGCCGAGCCGCCGCATGCTTTCTACAACCATGAAGATGAGGCGGTTTACAAGTTGTGTGCGTGGTCGTTGCCGGGCCTGACGCGCGCGGTGCGCTGACAATTTCTGGCCCCTTTGCAGATGATCCGCAGCTCTTCCACGGGCTTCCCGTCGGCCTCCAGTTGATCGGACGGACGCTGGAGGAGGAGGGTGTGATTGCGATGACGGAGGTTGTCGACAAGGCACTGAAGGCGATGCATTAAGGATCCCTGATAGTGCTTCCGAAGGTCATATGAAGTTCATGAAACGCAGCTAAATGTATAATAGACACGTAGATCCGAAAGGCACAAAAGGGCCGCAGACCGAAACCTGAGCCTGAGCGACGCCACACGAATCGATGAAAGCGTACCGACGAGCCTACACAATAGACGAGATCGAGCGAGAAGCGCGGCGACACCTACAAGAACCGCCCCACGAGCTTGTCCGCGCTGGCCTTCTTCCACCGCTTCTCCGTCACCCGCAAAATATCCGGGAACCAGCCCTCGAGGGCATCCTCCTGATCGAGCACCATGTACGCGAGTGCCTTGCCGCTCATCCAGGCGTGCACCATGCCCTCGCCCGAAAAGCCTGCCGCGAGCCACTCGCCCGGCGCGGCCAGGTGCGAGACCGCGCTAGGCCCTCCCTTCTCCGGTGCATGTCGGCTTGTGGGCGCGGGCGGTTCTGCCCGTCCCGACACCGTGGTGGGCAGCCGCCCGACCCATGGCAGGAAGTCGGTCGAGATGCCCAGAATACCGGACCACTGCGCCTTCGTGCGCCCGATGCCCCAGCGCACGTCTCCCGCTTGCTCTTCTGCGGGAACGGCCTCCCCGCCCCAGTTGTCCCCGCCGAAGTAGAGCGGCAGCGAGCCCGCGAGGTGTGCCGCGCCCGCAAAGTTGAAGACGGAGTCGTCCGTGATACCGATGTCCGGCAGGCTGTTCTCGCACGACTGCGCCCAGCCGCCGCCGTACATGAGCTCGTGCTCGCCCGTTGGCAGCTGCGTGAGGTAGTCGTAGCCGCTCGTGCCGCGGTAGAAGACGAAGGACCGATAGCCGTCGAGCGTCGAGTTGCGCAGGAGCGTGCCTGGACGCTGAGCAGACATCACGCCACGCGCTGGGATGACCTTCGCGCGTAGGGGCTCCAGCAGATGTGAGCACCAGCCGTTCGTAGCATGTATGACGTGCTGTGCTGTGATAGACCCGCGCGGTGTCTCGACGACATAGTAGGGCTTGTCCGCGCTCGCAGCAACAATAGCAGTGCATGGAGTGTGCGTTGCTATACGGAAGCTGATAATAATGTGGATAATCGTACATAAACGGATGAGTATGCACGCACTTGTCAGAGTGTCTGTCAAGCAACTTCGCCAGGAGCGAAGTTACAAATCTGTAGGGGTGCATCGCTCCGCCAGACCCATATATGCACCCCAATGTCTCTGAGGCGAGGTGGTACTTCTGTCGAGATACGGTGTGAGAGTCCCCATGAAGTAGATACAAGCCAGTGCCCACTTCCAAAAGCGATGGGTAGCGTATCCGTATGCTTTTCCAACTTCGAAGGATTCATGGAACATCTCGTACCCGTGACGTGCGGCCGAACCACAGAAACGAGATCTATCACATACCCTCGAAGTGTTTCGCAGGATGCGCGTCAACGTACCTCAATGGCTTCTTTCGTGTCCATGCACCCAAACGTACTTGACTCGTCCGGCATGGCTGACTTCCACTTCCGGAGGTTCTCCTTGGCCTCGGCATAGGTCTCCGGACAAGTATAGACGTCCAGATGTTCTGTCTCGCGGACCTGTGATTGTTTGACAATGTCCTCCGTCTCTGCGATGCGCTGCATTTCCCCCCGGTGTGCGAGACGAAACCTTATCATACGTTTCGCAGCGTCCTCACCGAAGTTCTCCTGTAGCTCGGAGTAGTCGTGGTACAGAGGTGGATTGATGTGGCCGCCGTTTCTACGGTTTCTAAGCCGGCGTTACGCAGGAGGATGCCTGTGTACTAACCTCCCAGTCGCACCCGAGCACACTGCCCGCGCCTCAAGCATCAGAATCCTCGCCTTGCTCCCATTCGAGAGGAGAGTGTAAGCGACAGACGTCCCTGTGATACCTGAGCCGACGATCACGATGTCCACGCTATCTGCTAGTGGTTCATCTTCAGTCAATATCGCGGAGGCAGGGACGGTCCAGAACGGGAGAGTGGGATTAGGGACAGGGATGCCTGGCGGTGTCTCGATTCGTTTGTTGAGGAGGTCGAATGTCTCCTTGAGCTGGGCTGTAGCTGCGATGTACAGCTTGACCTTAGAGGCGAGGTTACCCATGGCGGTCTGTGGCGGTCGCAAGACAAGACGGAGGACCTGCGGCGGACACTCCGAGCGGCGAGACTGGATGCGGCGTGTTACATACCCCACCTGTCTTCCGCTGCCGCTTCGATCTCCCACAGCAAACTCAATAATCGGCACTGGACTTTTATGACACTTGTGAGTGTTTGCAGTCCAGTTATCTGAGACACGCCGAATCGAGTGGTCGCGTACTGTGTAAGTGGAGGCAGCAAAGGACAGCTTGAAACACAAGATGACATGTCAATATTGTGACCGAGCTCAAGCTTTCATCCGGCTTCGCCACAACGTCCACCATCTCCGCCTTGCCGTCGTCAGCTCGGACATCTATCGCTCGTCATGTCGACCTCGATCCTTGTCTCGGCCTTTGCTCCGTTCCCGACGCTCTCGCTCTCAGCGCCGTCGGACGCGTCGTTCTCCAGCCTCTATGACTTGCTCGCCGACCGTTATCCGGAACTCCCTTCTGACCTCCTCTTGACGACTCACCGTGGCTGCGCGCCCCCGCCAGATGCTCCACTTCTTCGCTGCAAAATGATACCAATGAACCGTCGTTTGTTTCCCTGCGCTTGGTCCCCCGGCTCAGGGGAGGCAAGGGAGGTTTCGGCTCGCAGCTGCGTGCCGCTGGTGGCCGTATGAGCAGCCAGAAGACCAGCAACAACGATTCGTGTAGGGATCTCAGTGGGAGGCGGCTGAGTACGATCAAGGAAGCTAAGAAGTACGTACACATTCGTAGCTTCCACTGCAAATGACGAGGTCCTGACATTTTTCAGGCTGGCTGACTACATCGAAAGTGAGCCTCTTCGGAAGAAGAAGGCACAACAAGAAGCCCAGAGAGCGAAGCTCGAGGCACTCGAGAAGAAGCTCGGCATCGTGCATTCGGCAGATGGCTCCAAGACTTCCTCAGAGCCGTTGGCTGGCACGAAGCACCACCTGGACGACACAGAATACCTGGAGCAAAGCCGGGAGATTGTAGACAACGTGAAGACCGCTGTCTCCGTCGGTGAGTATTTTTTCTGGGCATGTTAGTTTAGTTTATAAGCTCATGTCGTGTTCAGCCATGTTGAAGAAGAGGAAGAAGGCGAAGACCTCCCAGAGCTCGCCAGCTGCAGACAAAGACAAGCCCGGTGCATCCAGCGTCCCTGCAGCAATCGCAGAGGTAGCTTCGTCTTCCGCTGCTGCTCTCGCCGGGAAAGTTCTAGAGTCAGCCACGACAGCGCCTGTGGTCGTTGCTGCTGCATCCGCGGTCGCTGAGGTTGCCAGCGCGTGATGCTTTGGACTTTGTACTTGTGTTGTATTGGTAATGTATACATGTGTCTTCCGATGTCCGTGTACCAACGTGTGGCAGCGTATCCTCAACGTGCGATCGTGCGCACCCTTGAGCGCCTGCGAGGAAGCATCGTTCAGACTCCAGAGACATTCGGGTCAGTTGCGAGTCAGGTGGGTACATTTGTATACGGCCTCATCGACAGTCATCGATCACGGTGCGCCCCCAAGTGAATCGGTGCAGCAGGTGGAAATGTTAGCAGCTGACGCGTCGTACATTGCCGCTGACTCGGTCCAATCGTACATCGGCCTTTCGGTGAGTCCTTTAGACATCTCATATGGCGTGCCCACAGACAACTCGTCGCAGCGTTTGCGAGCGTCTTGTCCCTCGCAAAGGTGACGTGAACTCATGCTCTGAACGACCCGGCCTTGGTCCGGGAACATGTGCTCCTCTTGGTCAGAGCGCTCGGGGAGTGTATATAGGCAGCAAGCGATCTTCGTCTCAGTATTCACCGGAGATCGTCCAGTTGTGCTCCAACTGCCTCCGTTTCTAACTAACAACACCAACCGCATTACCTTAATCCCATCATGTCAAGGGACGGTGTCGCTTTCTACGGCTTCACAGCCGTGCCAAGAGACCCCGATGTGCTATTCAAGGACCATCCCACAGCGAGTGGACCCAACCCGAAGCAAGACTTGTTCACGGTCGACGACCTCCCTCTGCCGGACTCTACAGTCGTGCGTGCCGTGAAGGAGTTTGTCAAGGTATGCAATCACTCGTGCTCAGCGGCACCCATGGCTAACCGAGGATCATCCCCTGTGCAGAAAGAGCTCGACGAGCAGACGTACAACCACAGCCACCGCGTATACATCTACGGTTCCGTACCCTCACCGTCCGACCACGCTTATGACGCTGTACTGACGTCTGACGTCGTTTCCCGCATGCAGGCACCGCCCTGGTGAAGACGCACTTCCCGTCGTGGACATACGACAACGAGACCTACTACCTGTCATGCCTCCTGCACGACATCGGGACCGCCGAACGCTTCCTCGCGACGACGAAGATGTCCTTCGAGTTCAAGGGCGCGATCGTCGCGCGCGACCTGATCTTGCAGCAGGGCGGGCCTGAAGACCAAGCAGATAGCGTTTGCGACGCCATCATCAGGCACCAGGACATCTTCGTGAAAGGGTGAGCACACTCTCTGTACTGTTGGCAGTCATGTCCTCATGCATTCGCTCGTGCAACAGCGGAAACATCACGATGGTCGGACAAATCCTGCAGCTCGCGACAATTCTCGGTAGGCCCGCGCCTTGATCATGCGCTCATACCGTGCTGATCATACGTCCTATGTACTGCATAGATAATGTCGGGATGTACGTGGTTTCTCGAGACTACTCGAGTCATGGCTTGATTCAACGCTGATCCAACTTCCCGTCAGCCGCGCGAACCTCATCCACCCCCGCCTCATCGAGACGACGACTGCGGCCTTCCCGCGCAAGGGCTGGTCAGAGCACTTCGGGCGCGTCATTGAGAAGGAGCTCGCGCTCAAGCCCTGGTGCCACACGTCGACCTTCGAGGTGCCGAACTGGAAGGAGGGAGTGCGAAGTAACTTCGCGACGGACGTGCGGGGCAACGATGTCATGCGGCCGTTCGATTAAGTCATAGCGACCACTATGAAAGTCCAGTGCAGTGATAATGAGAACATACTCGTAAGCCAAGCGTTTTGCTATTCCAGGTCAGTGCTGCGACTGAACGTTGAGGACCTCCCCGTAATGAAGCGCGAGCTGCTGCTCGACGTGATTATGCGTCGATGATAGCTTCAATAGATGTTTGGTTTCACATTGCGGCCATTGAAGAACTCGGTCAGACTCCCGTTGAATATATTGATCTTGCCGTGAACAACGGTCATCCAAGGGTCCCGTCTCACTTCAATGTTGGACACAAGCGTTTGCTCCTTCGCGGTGATTCCGGAGGCAGTAGACTTACAAGAGCACACCATACCTTGTTTGCTGGTCGGATGATAACATGGGGCTTGGACACGCAAAGGAACCATACATATAGCTGCCTCAGTCTAGTAAGTACACAGCATCGTAGCTACTAGTACGCAGGATCTGTAGAACGCCCGTTCAAGTTACACGATGACACCGAACCCTCGAACCACTCGCCCCGACACCTCTAACCCTCGACGACCTCAGCGACGGGCCGACTTGACATTGGACGGCGATGACGACGACGATGAACCCTCGCCGGCATTGCGAGTATCAGAGAGCGGCCCAACCGGCCGCAGCCGCTTGGGTTTGGGAGTAGGAGACAGTGGTTGGTCATCGTCGTACGTCTCTTCGGTTTCATCGTCCGAAGACGGTTGAGCAGTTCTTCTGGCATTGGGCGACGTGTCCCAAGTGTTCCCGATATCATTAGCCCTCCGTTTGTCCTCGTCCTCTCGGAGCTTCTTGAATAGCTCCGACGGGTGTCCTTCCTTTAGGCTCCTGATGTGCTTGTCGAACAGTCGGAGAACGTCCTCGTAGACAGCTTGAGCATCTCTACGATTGTCTTTGTAGGCAATTCTGATGAGAGCAAGGAAATCAAAGATGAGATCTTTAAGTGGCGCCATGAAGTCGGACACATAGCAGAGGAGCTCGTCATCCACCAGTTCCCGCTCGGAAGCAACGTGGATGAGATGTCTTTTGGTACGCATCAAGACATGTTTGTCGCCCTCGAATAGATCAATGACTATTTGTCGAAGTCCGGAAAGCTGTTCGCTTTGTTGCGTCGACGATAAGTCACGTCGACGCTTTGCCGGGCCTTCCCGTGTAAGGCATATCCATACCAAAACCCAGAGAAAACTCTCCAAATCATGGATGAAGTAATGCACCGGGGGCCCAGTGGCGTCCTTGCGTCGGAAATACACATGTCCCAGCAGCTCTCCAGACATGAAGGGAAGCGTCCCCTGCACGATGGTGGATATGAGCAGAAATATAGACCAGGGAAGAACACTCACGGTAAGTGGATCCTCGGGTATGGCTTCGTGTATTGACAGAATGATAGCATTGTCGAAGTCGATCAAGACACCCCTGCCGCCGACAACAATCAAGATGTTATTTGCGCTGATATCGCGGTGCAGGACCCCTTTCGTGTACGCTCCGTAATGTCCTAGATCGACAACAGCTTGTTACGACGGACGATGTATATGATGCCACAACGACACGTACCATTGATTGCATCTCTGAGCACAGTCGCGAGTTCCAAGGGCGACTTCGCATTCTTCGCGGGCCAGCCATACGTCTTCATAACGAGCCTTGAATGCACTCGCTCTCGAGGAAGCCAACGATCCGCGTCAGCGTCGGGATCTTCTGGCAGGTAATCGCCTTGATCGATGACGTATCGCGTGGTCTTATGCCTTTCCTCAGGTGTACCATGAGGTATGGCCTCAATGGCATCCGAGTCTGCAATCTTCTGTGGAGCAGCAACTTGGATATGGTTGCCAGAGGTAGCGAAGCCGCGGCGAATGAAGGATAGGGTCGTGTCCTTGCTCCCGTCGATAAAGACAGCTGCGTAGGAGTGCATGACAGCAACACCTTCGCAATGCTCGAGTATGTCGTATATGTCGCCCTCAAGGCCACGCTCTGCGTCACGCCACGTGTCTTTGATGATGTAGAGCTGTCCGCGATGACTGAGTCACAGCGCTGTGAATTTGGATACGATGACTTACTGCACGTTTCTCCTTGGGCAGGTGCATGTCGCTCCACGACCACGCTTTCCATACGCGTGTTGCACGACCCACAATAAACTCTCCGCGAAACAGGCTCAGGCTCTCGTACAGTACAAAGAATTCGGGTTGTGGATCGCCGGTAGGGACTGGGGCGTCAGTCTTCGACTTCGCGGGCGGCATGCCTATGACAAAGTAGTGATCCATCGCAGCTCCTTGATACGGGATCGCGTGGGACAGCGGTAGCGACTGAGGGTCGACGTTGGCGATATCTTGGTCCTTGGCAAGCGCGTGCATCGTGGTGTCCCAACCTAGTTTATGTAGAGGCAGCGTCTCTAGAGCAGCCATCACACGGATGAGTTTCTTCGGGTGCTGAGGTGAAAAACACAGGAGATGTCATTACGAAAGGCCAGAATTCGTGTCGATCGCAAGATACGTACAGCATTGATGTCGAAGACCGATTTTCGAGTGTAGAATCCCCTTTCTTTACGCTTCATAGGCTGTTGAGTCAAGAACAAATCCAAGCTAGTATGCGCACTGCAGCCGTTGAACAGAAGTCCTAGAGTACCTTTTACTGTGTCTCTGAATACGGTCGCAAGCTCCACTAGTGATGTTCTATGCTTTGCGGACCATCTGTACGTCTTCGTAACGAATCTCAAACATGCTCGCTCTTGAGGAGTCGGTGCTCAGTACTCAGTGCCTGTCTTGAACGATCATCACGACGATGTAAAGACACACGTAGTAATGTACGTACCGGTTACAATGTGACGATTGTACACCATGAATGATTTTTGATTTCACACAGATGCTAACATACCAGTAGAACTGTGTTAGCATCATCGATTACTTGGGGTGGTCTGGCTTCCGGTGAGCGCATGATAACGCCGCTCCGTGGTTACTGAGGCACAATTTTGTCAGTCATTCTTTGCTCGTAGTACGATTTCGGTACGAGAAGAACGAATTTATACAACCTATGCCCCGTAGAAAAATCCGCAGAACACTCGCCGTCTTTACCGTGACAAGACAACGCTCATGACCATCCGCACCAACTCCTCTAACACTCGACGACACCAGCGACGGAGCGGCCTGTTCCTAGACAACGACGACGATCGTGATCCCTGGCCGGACTCGCGATCGTCGGAAAGCGGCTGGAGTGGGTCAAGCGGCGGGGGCCGCTTGGACTGGGGAGTGGTGGGTCGTCATCGGTTTCGCCGTTCTCCTGGCACTGGGCGACGTGTCCCAGGTGTTCCCGATGTCAAATCCCTCCGTCACTCCTTATTCTCTCGGGGCTTCTTGGATAGCCCGGACGGGTCTTCTTTCTGTAGGCTCCTGATGTGCTTGTCGAACAATCGGAGAGCGTCCTCGTAGACAGCTTGAGTATCTCTACGATTGTCTTCGTAGGCAATGCTGATGAGAGAAAGGAACTCAAAGATGAGATCTTTGAGTGGCGCCATGAAATCGGACACATAGCAGAGGAGCTCGACATCCACCAGGCGCCGTCGGGTAGCAATGTGCATGAGATGTCTTTTGGCAAGCGACAAGACCTCTTTGTCCCCCTCGAATAGACGAAATACTGTCCTTCGAAGTGCGGAAAGTTGTTCGGTTTGTTGCGTCGACGATAAGTCACGTCGACGCTTTGCCGGGCCTTCCCGTGTAAGGCACATCCATACCAGGACCAAGAGAAAACTCTCCAAATCATGGATGAAGTGATGCACTGGGGGCTCAGTGGCGTCGTCGGGTGGGTAATACGGATGTCCCAGCAGCTCTGCAGACATGAAGGGAAACATGCCCTGTGTAAGAAACATGAGTACAACAAGTGCGATGCAAGGAAGGAAACATACGGTTTGAAGTGGGTCTCCACTGTCAGATATGATCTCATAATCGTGCGTCGACCGTAAACCAGGACCGTCAAGGTCGACCACAGCACCGCGGCCGTCGACGAGAATCACAATGTCTTCTGGAGTGATATCTCTCGGCATAGGGGCGCCTTTCATATACGCCTCGTAGTGACCTAACCAACGACACATCAGTACTTACAGAGGGTAGGAACAGGTATTCATGAGCGCCGTACAATTCAGTGCATCCCTGAATACAGATGCGCATTCCAACGGCGATGATGCGTTTGTCACGGACCAGCCGTGTGTCTTCGTGACAAGTCGAGAATGTGTTCGCTTTCGTCGTGCCTGGGCCAAGTTATGGCCCTCTTCGATCATGAAGACAGTGTCGTATCGCGACGTCGTCACTCTTCACCCAACTCGTGAATTTGTCGTTGTCAGTGTCGCTGGCGGCGGTGCATGAGCAGTGCAACCATCGCACACGCGCCTGTGGATAATTGTCAATGTCTTCCAAGATATGCGATCTCAACATCACGATCTCATCGGAATCTCGATAGTAGACCGGCCCCGACAGCCACCTTCGACTTGTGTTCACAGTTCAACACTCCAATATGCTACAGTAACACACGCTCACACACCGGCCTGTGTTCTTGGTGCCCTTGAATTAGCTGAGGTTCGTCTCTCTCGTTTTCAACTCATCGAGCGTAGATACGTCCTGAACGCCGCGCCTGAAACGATCCTGTATGTCATTTCATGGACATCTCCGTCCTGAGCGCTTGAGCAGTGACTCTGTCCAGCAGTCGCGCGCCATCATTGCAAAGTAGAGTCTGTGCTTCAAGCACCACACAGTAATGCCACTGTCAACGACTGCTACATACGGCTCATGCGACCTGGATGCGACGTATCTGACACGTTTGGGCGAGACGTGCGCGTGATCAATAACCATGGGGATGGACTCGGACAACGTGCGACGCTGGTTCTTGGCGGCAAGAGTACTGGAGTGTTGACGATTGTAGATCTGAGCCCTTGACCGGACACAGATGCTACGAACTCGTTCAAATCTGCTTGTTCGTTCTTGGGTCAAGTGGTAGGTTATTGGTAGTGCTTATACGTTGACTCTACCGCTGGCGGCGGCGTCTGGGTGTCGCGGCTGACGTTGGCAGATCCGAGTCCGCTGATGCCTTGTATGACTTGTCAGAATAGTCCCTCCGACGCCTGTCCTCATGGCGCCGCAGGGCACTGCACATGCCATCAATCCATGGCAAGCATGACCGCAAATGACGCATGGCTCATCGTATATATACTTCAGGACCATCCAGTGTCTTTCTCACCCTGGGTTCTACGCAGCTCACCCCGCGTTGTCGTTATGTTTGCTCGTCTCGTTACTGCCGTCTTGTTTGGAGCCCTCGCGTCAGCGCAAGATCTCGGGGTTCCAACATCATGGCGGGTATGCTTCCATCTTTTTGAGTCCACATCTGTCCACATAATTAATGGGTGGTGCTGATTTGTTGTCGTCTTGTTCAGGAATTCAGCAACAACCGATCGTTGTCTGAGCGTATCTCCATTGCACAAGCAGGGATCAATGTGATCGCTGCCAATCTCGACGCGAGCACGGCTTCATTCTCGGGGATTGGCTACTGGCAGAACGGCAATGTGTTCTCTGCGATGGCCAACCAGGACTACTTTGCGAAGACGACGACATACGAGAGCACCGTGGTGAACGCCCTGAACACGGCATACTCTCTCTACGCGAATGCTGACCAGTATGGCTACAATGACGATGCCATGTGAGTTCTTTCAAGTTGTCATTGCATGCCATGAGGAGGTACTCACACGCGCAATCAGGTGGTGGGCTACGGCAGCATACTATGCTTACCGCGCGTATGGAGTCAGTGCTACAGCCCCCGAGTCCGCCATGATACTCGCTGATGACCTGCGTTAACAGAATACGGACATGCTCACCCACGCAATCAAGACCTGGCAGCATGTCTCCGCTTAGTGGGTGTTTTGAGCGCATATACGGGAACCTGGCTCATCCGTCCGTCGATCTCGTAGCCAAATTACCGCCGCGGAAGCTTCAGCAGGGTCAACCTCAGTCAAGAACTTCTCCCTCTCTGGAACATGCGACGGAAGTGAGACACATATGAGATGTCGCGTTCTGAGTGTCAGATTTACTTACAAATCTCGCCGCAGAGTCCATGGCTGGCGGCGTATTCTGGCGCCCTACAATAGACGACCAGGGCATGAACTCGATCACGACGGGGTATGTGCATGTCACAATTTATCTGACTGCACACTGATAACGATTGTCCCCACTAGGCTTTTCCTCACGTATGTTACACGCCGCTCAACAGCGTGATCACATCGTTGACCACTGCATCGTAGGCTATCCGCTTACCTCGCCTCTGCGACGGGCGATACGTCGACGTATCTCGATCCTGCTATCGCAGCGGCGCAGTGGATCCAGAACGTGAACATCAACTCGGCGAATATCGTGCTGGACTCTGTCAATCCGCATGACTGCACTCGTTCCTCTGCGTCGTGGCTGTTCACGTACAACACGGGCAAATTCATCGAGGGGCTCGCGGTACTGTCGGATGTCACCGGAGACTCGCAGTGGAAGACGCTGTATGTAATTCCTTGTGAGGCTGAATGGACAGATACTGATGGCTTTGTAGTCTGACCGACGTTGTTGCGGCCGGCACGAAGAACGCGCCATGGCAGGGCACTGATGGTATCATCACGGAGGCTGCTGGTGATACCTCGAACAACGATGGCGCAGGCTTCAAAGGTACGCTGTCTGATAGTATGGCACTTGCCCACGCTCAACGACATACTGTAGCGATCTACATCCGCGGCTTGAACGAGGCATTCGTCCGCAACCAAGACGACTGGGACTTCCAGGTCCTCATTCACAGCTACATTGATGTCCAGGTGCGATGATCTCTCTTGATATTGGTATCTAGACGAAGCTGAGCTTTCATTCGTTCGAAGTATAACGCGCTGCTCGACCTCGCTGACAATAACAACGCGTATGCGATCGACTGGCATGGACCTGCTACCTCGTACACCGCGTGGGGGCAGCTCGCGGCGCTGGATGTTCTGGTCTCGGCGATTTCTGCGAACACATAGTTCGACTACTTGACACAACGAACCTAGTATTTATTGATAGGTATAGTATTCAGTTGTTGTAGCTCTGCCTACGTCCACTCTTTGTGACGACGCTCAAGCCTTTATTTAATCACATCTTAATGGTAGCCACTATCGCGAAAGCATAGGAATTGAAAATCATTTTCATATTTTTCTGACTACACGGTGTTTGATACAGAGATGTCGTGGCTAAGTAGCATGGTTGGGGACGGCACACATTTCAGAGCGGGTTAACGCGATATGTAGACGGTAGGCTCTCGCCCTATCACAATGTAGCCCTCAGGACTTGAGTAATGTCTTTTTGAATTCTGCCAAGATACGCTGCGAGCTCCTCGTCCGGAAGGGTCGAATGTTGGAAAGCTTGCGTCAGTTGCGTCCGAAGCTAAGTCGACAGATGTAGGATGCAGAGTGCCAGTATAAAGGGTCGTAGGAATTAGTTACCATCAGCGGAGCAACAATACGTGAAGGTACCCTCAAGAGAGCTTTGCGTCGTATAGCGACCTTGTTGGTTTGACTGCCTTGTTCCTGTCGCTCTTGAAGATCTTGTAAGCCTTCAGCGATTCGCCTGCCTTCATCGAGGACATCGTCTGGAAGGTCAGCCAGCCTAGCGAGTTCCAGGCCTGCGAGAGATGGTAGTCATCGAGCTCACGGCGTTTTCACGTTCCAAATAGCGTACCGTAGTGCTTGATGTCATCCGATGTACCGTCCACGATTCTGCGAGACTGCTCAGTACTTCATGAGAAAGAACCCGCCCACCATACTTGTATTGAAACGTGAGGCCAACATTCGCTTTTGACCTACGGGTTCGCTGTAACGTATGAGAGTTTGGCGTGCCGAACCTGTGGGAGAGTACATCCTACCTGGACAGCGAGATGCAGACTAGAGTACCAGTGAGTCAGGAATCGAATGAGCATCAACGATACGTACTTAACAACCGAAGGTTTATGCGACAATGTGACTGTCAGGTCTGTAAAATGTCTGACAACGGCATATGGCTTTAGATGCTGCTAGGCGGCGTTTCCGCTCATACGAGCTTACGTTGCGAAGAAAACATAAGACTGCGGGAAGGGGGTCAGCAGCAGTATGTTACAAGAGCATCAACTCACATTCATTCTGATGAGCTCCTCAGCGATTGCATGGGCAACACCCATTCCTTCTCTCGGGGAGGTGCCGCGACCGACTTCATCCATCAACACGAGAGAGTCCGCCGTAGCAGTCCCTGAGCAGAGGCATTGAGAATTGGAAGTGTGAGAAGCGGTCGGTCACCCGCACCAAGGATCATCGCGCAAGACGCCATTTCATTGGCGAATGTGCTTAGACTCTTCTCCATGTCATCGTCGTTAGAAAGACGCGTCAACAGCGCATCATGAAGCCTAAGCATGAGTGAGCATGCAACGAAACTGATCAGCTGAAGTACACTGACCGGAAGCTCCCGTATTCCGCAGGGACGAAGCATCCGCACATCGCCATGACGGTCAACAAACCGATCTGGCGCAGATACGTACTCTTGCCTGTATACACTGTAATCGAAGAGACACCCATCACTGATCTCATGGACGTACCGGACATGCTATGTGTGCAAAGACATTAGTGAACTCTCATGTCCCAGAAAACTACGACTGACTTCGGCCCTTGTACAATCTGGAACGACGCTGCGTCGGAGCAGTATACATCATTCGGCACGAGCGTTCCAGCGGACTGGACTGTCTCCAGGATGGGATGGCGACCTGCCTTTATTGCCAAGGTACCGGTAAACTCGGGTCGTACTGTGTCACCAAGACATTAGGTTCAGATCCAACATGAAGAAGTACGGCGTACCGTAATTTCGCACTGTGTAACACTTCAGTAGAAGCAGAAGTCACAGAGAGAGGAAACCGTACGGATGGATATATGTGCGAAAGACCAGAGCATGTCTAGAATGGCGACAGCCTCCGAAGCCTTGTATAGAGCGCCGATGTCTGTCACTATTTCTGTAGCCAAGTCTTGTATGATCCTGGATCATACTATCAACACCCATACGCCTGTGAGAGATGCGAACGCACTTATTGCTCAAGATCAATGACTCATCCAAAGCGTCCTTCATTCTTGCGTTTCGTTTCTTCTGTGACAATGAGGTGACAACAGCTAAGCCGGACAGTGAATCTATAGATGGGCTGAGCACTCGCCAGCTCAATGCTTGAGAAAAGCCACCGTCCCTTCTGCATGGTCACATTGACAAAGCCCTTTGGCAACTCTCCCTCGAGCTCATTCTTCTTCAGTGCGAAGACAAACCCAGTGTCCTGATAGACTAGACTCAGTGGAAGGTTGTGACGCTCTGATAGGTCCCGGTTCAGGGTGAAGATGTCTCCCAAATTCTCTTTGTACGTTTCTCGGGCGACGTCTAGCAGACGGTTGCAATTTGCCTAAACGAAGGGAGTAGAGATCAAACGTCTAGCTCATATGTTCGGATTATCCACCATACCTTCACTGCGTAGACGCGGGCATTCAGTGCCCCGAGGCCAGCCTATGTCGACCTCGGTCGGTCATGGAATGTGTTTTGATCTGCCAGAATCACATTACCTTTGCTGGAGTGGCTGCCTCGTTCAAGCTGTCTGTCACAAGCTTCTCAATCTTTGCAAGCCGTTCATCTGATACCATCTATAACAGGGTCAGAGAGTATCAACCGGTCTCAATGAGATGATAGGAGATGCGTGTACCGTACCTCCGCAATGATAATCAATAGCTGAGAACGGCACCCACCCAAAGCCCGGGATAAAATAGGCATAGTCTTCACCATGTTCCGCAAACTCAACATCTGTGATACGCGAACGGCTGCCGGTTTTGCGGTGTTGCTTTCGCGAGCTTCGGATGCGGCGAGCTAGGTTTGTGATGTAGTAGCAGGAAGTTTTGTACGCCGACATTCGGGAGTAAGGCTCACCGAGCAAATAAGCTTGTCAAAATCCATCTTGTTCAAAGCCTTCAGACCGTTTTTGACCTCGTTGAAGCGATCTTCATTCTGTACCAATTCTGCAGATGACGGGTCGGAGGTATTCACATGAGGTGTGCATGGAGCAAACCTTCTACAGCATCCAGACGAGCCTCGATCGACCCTTGGACTGTAGACATATATCTGCATCCACTGAGAACCCATGGTGGGGGCACCTACCGGTGATAGGGGCAAGAAGGTTGACTCGGAGTAATCGAGCCCCCATTGCCGTGTACGTATGATTCATCAGTCTAGCCACGGCTTAATGAGTCACAAACAGACTTCGAGGCCGCAAGGCGGAGAGTCACCCGAAGAGGGAGTGTGTCGATTTCTTGCTGGACATATTGCCGACAAGTTCTAGATTCCGAGATGTCTCCGGGTCGATCATCATCGTTCCGTCTGCTTTCCCAAAGCGGATGAGCAAGGAGGCCGAAGCAAAGCGGATGTTGAGTCTTGATTCGGCGTGCTTGAACAGTGCACTGGCTGCAGAGAGCGCGTAGTACCTACATACTATATCAGCGCGCCAAGGAGACGAGAGATGAGGCGCATATAGTCACTTTGTAGAAGCCGTAAGGATCGTAGCAGCCTTTTCGTCATCCTCCACAGTGAGTTGGGTGATGAAGTCAAGACCTAGACACGTCGGTTCTTTGTGAATGCGCAAGGCAAAGAAAAAACCCACCAGCAGTCTCGTTCCAATACTTCCTCATAACAGGTTCAATTGGCACGTCGAACTCTTCCATCATGCATTGCACAAGGACAGACGTCGTGCATGGCTTCTTCCCACCTGAAGCCAGCGAGACGTCCGACATGGCCAAGAAGGTATCGGGGACAAGTATGAGAGATGGTGAATGCAAGTGCAGTTGATGCAAGGTCTTGATATAGGTGGGGCTATCTGCGAGCTACACAGGTGCGTTAGTTTATGCTGATCATCGTGGTCTCCGTCACTGACTTGAATCAACGACACTCGACCCGTATCTTTCTCAAGAGCGGCGATACCGACTTCCCGAGCCACACCTCGACCCTCAAGTACAGCTACTACGTAGCTTGCTTCATGGCGCGAGGATGCAGCCGTCTGAGGACGACCGGTCGCTGGCCGTGATTGAGCGGTCCACGGGCGCGACATACTCGTAGCGGGGCGGGAGGAAGAAAATGGGGCCCCTGTGAACTGCGTTTGTTCCGACATCGTCGCGCAGAAATGAGGAGGAACGGAAGCCGAGAGCAGGCACTGACTATCAGCAAGAAGGGGCGTGAGGAGGAGAAGGGCGAGTCGACTCGCGCGACGCGCCTGCTTAGGTCACGTGGTTCGTGAACCCTGCGACACTTGGAGTTTCTTGGACTGTAGGCCTTCAGCGCGTCAGCTTCAGGCTCAATGCTGCAATATTGGCACGGCATCACAGACAACGATGATCAGACCGTGAATGAATATACAACTCCGGTGGACAACAATCTGCAAGCTGTCAATGAACCTAGCCAACGTAACAGGCTAAACTGTCATTCCAGACAAACTCGTGCTCCAAAACCTTGGTCAGCGTATCGTACGCAGCGACGTCTGCAAACGGTACGTTGGTCCGAGGGTCGCGATAAATGGCTACCTTCCCAGTGATGGGACAGTGTTGTACTGGCCGAGCTGCATGAAAAAGTGAGAGCTGTGTCAGGTAACCGGCATGTGAATCGCACGTACATAGAGGTCTCCCTTTCGACGTGTATACCCTCAGCTCTTCCCACTTGACGTGATCTCCGAACATAGCTTTCATGGTCGTGTGCCACGGAGGACGCTGTTTCACCTCTTGTGACAGCTCGTGTATGACGTAGTTCTTCGTCACCTTCTCTGTCCGTTCTATGGGCTCTGCTGGACTAGGGGCGGCGTGTGGCTGCGCATAATACTGATGGTAGTAATAATACGGATACGGATAAGGCGTCGACTGGGAATATGACGGAGGCGATTGTTGTTGCTGTGGATGAGAAGCGGGTTGTGAAGGTCCCGGAGATGATGCAGAGGATGTTGCCTGTGATTGCGACGGAACTGGGGGCGTGTATTGAGTTCGTGGATCAGCGGGATACACCGGGTATTGAGGTTGCGGCTGGTGACCAGTTGGGGCATTAGGCTGTTCGAGACCTGCGTGATATGCAGCGGAAACATGCAAGAACGATCTAGGATGCCCGTTACTAGCCGCCGCAACCTGTGGCGGTGGTGGTGGGGAATAGTACTGATACGCGGGGGGAGCGTAAGCGTATGTAGGCGGAGTAGGAGGCGGCGGAGGGTCGATCCGCACGGTGACTTCTTCGATTTTGCTGATCCACCGTATGAGGGGTCCTTGCACGGCCGTGCGCACGAGACGCGCCTTCCTGCGCTTCTCCTCCTCTGTACTCAGATATTCGCGGTGTTCCTTGATATTCCCTTTCTCCATTTTCAGCGCACGCTCCATAAGTTCGCGTTGTGTCGGTATCTGGACTGGCGTCTTTGCTTTCTTGGGCACCGTAGACTGCGAATGCATATGAGCGTCTCCGTCCCCAAACATGCAATCAACCGGAGATGCGAACCTTCTTCTCTTCCGCATCCTTCATACGGCTAGCAGTAGCTGAAGTATTCTGCATAGTGTGTGACCTCCGACTCTGTCGTTTGGTGCCCTCTACGACTTCGCCCGTCTCCGCGTCGACCACCGAGCCCATAGATACTCTTCTCTTCACTTTGGTAACATGAGACTCCGGGTTCTGCTGTTCTTCCACTTGTGGATTGAAGGTTGCCTTTTGACGCGCATGTGCAGCGGCGGTCACCCTGTCCAACTTGGAGCGACCACCCTGCGGGAATCTGAGCGGGAAGACTCATCATGAAGGTAATCCACAGACTTTACGAGGTTGCCTCTCGTCGTCCCAGGCCTTCCTCTCCTCCAAGACATTGATGTCTTCCTGAGCCTCCTCGTCGGTGCTCTCGAAGTCGGATTCGAAAGCGTCCTCCTCGTCTATGCTTATGAGGCGGAAAGCTCCACAACTGGCTCATTGCGAAGGCTACGGGCGTGCTCACCTTTGACGACAACGAAATCAACGTCCTCTTCCACGTCCATGCCTACATCCTCGGCGCGAAACTCAGCTAACGCTGCCTCCATCCTGCGACGGTGTCAACATGAGATGCAACACAGGAGATATGACAGTGCACGACCTATTCCCTGCCGTAGCCCGCTTAGATCTGCGCATGACAAGAGTGTCGTCGTGTTCTGCCATGATGAGGACGGGATGTGAGCGATACAGAGCGTGTGTGGCGGGAGGGTGAGACCAAGGTGGGACTCGGACACGGACACCGGAGGCGCTCCGCCTTGTGCGCGCAAGCATGACCCGCGATGTTACTGCATGAGGCAGCATGACCTCCGATGACCCGGCTCTTCACTGGTGACTGAATCAGTGAAGGCTTCAGTCCACAGCCTTCGTGGTCTTCGTGTCGTGGCCGCAATGTTCAGGCTGCAGCTAATCCGACCTCGCGCCTTCGGTCTCGTCGCGCGGTTCCACACTGGCTGCATCCTACAACGCAAAGCACTCAAGGAGTTCAAGCTTGCCGACATCGGTGAAGGGATCACTGAATGTGAGGTCATTCGATGGTCTGTCTCAAGCTGTCGTCGAAGGCGTCGTGCTGACACGTTGAGCTGGCGCGTAGGAGTGTAAAGCCTGCGAGCCCTATACAGGCCTTCGACCCGCTGTGCGAGGTGCAGAGTGACAAGGCTACTGTCGAGATTACTAGCCCTTTTGAGGGCGTAGTGAAGGATATTCTCGTCCGAGAGGGCGAGGTCGCAAAGGTCGGCGCTGGACTCTGCACGATCGAAGTCGAAGAGGAGGGCGACAGCCCCGCTGACTCCCCCGAAGAGCCTCCTGTGCCCACACACACGTCGCCTGCACCGGAAGTGAGTGCGACACCCGAGCCGCAACCTGAGAAGTCGCCGAGGGCACATAAGAGCAACCTTCATCCTCTGGATCCCCGTGCGAGTACAAATCCCGACTATTCTCCCGGGCTCGCTGCCGATGTTCTCGCAACGCCTTCCGTGCGTCATTACGCACGACAAAAAGGCGTAGATCTCGCTTTGCTTGTCCCCGGGAGTGGCAAGAGTGGCCGCGTAGAGAAGCAGGACGTCGATGATTACCTATCCCCCCCGGCAGCAAGCGCGTCGAGGTCTCATCAGCAGGAGACTCGTACGTCCGAAGACGAGATGACTGTCGAGCTAGGTAGGACTAGGCTCAACATGTGGAAGGCTATGACAAAGGTGAGTTTCAACAATGTTAATGCGACCTTCACATTCTTATGTGCAACAGAGTCTGGAGATCCCTCAGTTTAGGTGAGTTCATTGCGTTGTGCTGCAGAGATCGAAGCAATCTCATTCGTTTTGATAGCTTCTCGACGACGCTCGACATCACTGAGTTGAATCACATTCTACCCGTCCTGAACTCGCACATCCCGATACATTATCGACCGTCCGAGACCGCGTCATCTATGCATTCGCCCGTCATTTCGCCTGCGTCATTCCTTCTACCTCCTGCTGCTCAGACGGTACCCGACTCCGCGCGTTACGCTCGTCTAACGTACTTGCCCATCCTGTTGAAGACTCTCTCGAAGGCCATGCACGAATGGCCTCTCTTCCGCTCGTCATTGACGGCATCTCCCTCTGCGTCCGACAAGCCAACGCTCACTGTTCGCCCGCATGTGGACATCAGTGTTGCACTCTCCACCCCGACGGGCTTGTATACCCCGACACTGCAGGCGATCGACAGAGCCACCGTCTACGACATTGCTTCGCGACTGAAGCATCTCGCTCATCTCGGCCGCCAAGTTCCCTGCGCTCTGACTCCCGCGGAGATGCCGAAACGCGGGGGGACCATAACCGTGTCCAATATTGGTGGAATTGGAGACGTCGATTCAGCATCACCGGTCCTCGTGCCGGGTGGAGGCGTGGCCATTATGGCGGTCGGTCGCGCAAAATGGGTCTGGGATGTGGACCGCTTCGAGGGCGGCGCGCGGCGGTTGAAGATGGGCATCAGTTGGAGTGCTGATCATAGGGTTGTTGAGGGAGCAGAGTTAGTCGCTTTCGTGGAGGCTTGGAGAAGTTGGGTAGAAACTCCAGCCAGGTTGATAGGGAATGCTGTATAATATGGTAGGATGCATGTGCGATATATAGCTGATTCCATATTGATAGGTGGGCAGCCCTAAGGCTCCAACTCTATAATGTACTAGCAAACACCCATGCACTGCACGGGATGCGGTTCACGGTTCATTGGGAAAAGCCCCATTTTAGGATGTGCCAAATTGTTGAAGTAGTATACAGAATGTCTAGTAATAATCACCATTCACCTGTTCCATATATTCCGAGAAATTCACTACCCCCTTGTGGGCCTGTGGGGCAATGGAACATGTAGGAACTGCACAGCCATCAGACGCTATGCAGGACATGAGTGACTTACTGACCTTATCAGTGTCATTTTTGAGCCCAAATGCGAGCATCTTATGTCACGAACAAACATCGCTCGCAGCCACAACGCTGGCACTTACGCAATCGTCTGGCACAACTCATGTGAAGTTCAGTATAGAAGATCTGCAACAGTTTACCACCAAATTTGGATGCCTTTGTTGAGCCCTTTGTAGGACACAAGTGCTATTCAGTTTTGGACCTATATTGGGGGTCTGATGCTAGGAAGGTCCATCCCAAAAGTCGAGATATGACATCATTCCAGACACCATTAGGGCTTCTACAAATTACCTCATTGCCCATGGGATATACAAATTCCCCAGCAGAATTCCAGAAGTGCATGTCATATATTCTGCAGCATGAAATTCCTCGAGTTGCAGAAATTTTCATTGATGATCTACCTATCAAAGGTCCCAAAACAGATTATCCAGATGAAAATGGAGATCCAGAAGTACTAGCAGAAAATCCAGGTATTAGGAGATTTATTTGGGAGCATGCTAAAGATTTCCATTGCATCATGCACCAAGTAGGACATGCTGGAGCTACATTTGCTCCTAATAAGGTGCAATTGTGCTGTCCTGAAGTCATCATTGTGGGGCAGAAATGTACACCAGATGGCAGACTTCCAGAGCCAAATAAAGTAGAGAAAGTATTGAAATGGCCAACTCTCAAATCAGTACATGATGTTCGCGTATTTCTAGGACTATGTGGGACAGTCCGCATCTGGATTAAAGACTTTTCATTGAAAGCCAGACCACTTACCCACCTTTTGCATCATTCTGTGGAGTTTGAATGGGGAGAGAAGCAACAAGAAGCATTTGACACATTGAAGCTTGCAGTAACCTCAGCCCCAGCACCCATGCCAGTTGATTACCAGTGCAAGAGACCAGTTATGCTGTCAGTTGACACCAGCTGGATTGCTGTAGGATTTGCGTTGTCACAATATGATGAACAGGGCAGGAAACATCCTGCTAGATATGGTTCAATACCATTGAATGAAAGAGAAGCTCGCTATTCCCAGCCAAAGCTAGAGTTATATGGCTTGTACAGAGCTTTACAAGCATACAAGCTGTATCTCATTGGAGTACAGGAGCTACTGATTGAAGTAGATGCCCAGTACATCAAGGGCGTGCTACGTGAACCAGATTTACAGCCCAATGCAAGCATGAACAGATGGATTCAGGGCATTCTATTGTTTGATTTCAAGCTGGTCCATGTGCCAGCTGACAGACATAGAGCCCCAGATGCTTTATCAAGGAGGGAAAGAGCTGAGGATGAAGAAATTGAAGAAGAAGATGATTCATGGTTAGATGACATCCCGTTGTTTTGTCAGGTCAAAGACATTCATCTCAGACAGATAAATTCAGATGCATCAGCATTTGTAGGAATGGCCAGATCAATAGAAGGTCATACAGCTGACCAGAGTCTGAAAGCTAAAAGAGAAAGAGAGCTACTGCAATATTGTCAATATTTATGAAACCTACAGATGCCACCTTTACCTTCTACACAAGCCAAGAAGAGATTTATTAGGAAAGCTATCAGGTATCTCTTTAGAGGTGGCAAACTGTACAAAAAGAATGGGACTAAACCTCCAGCAGTGGTCATATTTGGAGCAGAGCCCAGGATTAAAATATTGAAGCATGCACATGAAGGCTTGGGACATAGAGGAGAATTTGCTGTGATGAAGATGCTGAAGGAGAGATTTTATTGGCCAGGAATGTGGAATGATGTTAGGCATCACATAGCCTCTTGCCATCAATGCCAACTGAGGAGTACAACAAAAATGGAAGTCCCATTGACTGTCTCAGTACCAACCACTATATTCCTCAAGATCTACTTGGACATCATGGAAATGCCATTAGCTAAAGGCTTTCAGCACATCATTGCAGCCAGAGATGACCTAACAAGAGCATCAGAAGGTCGTGCACTACGAAATAAGACAGCCAAACTTGTTGCAAAGTTTTTCTTTGAGGAGATATTATGCAGATATGGAGCTGTGGGAGAAGTTGTCACAGACAATGGTTCAGAATTCAAGGAAGCCTTCACAGAACTCATGGACAAGTATGGGCTGCCACAGATTAAGATATCCAGTTATAACTCCAAGGCCAATGGAGTTGTAGAGAGAGGACACTTCATTATAAGGGAAGCCTTGTTGAAGTCATGGGAAGGTGATTGGACAAAATGGCCAGACTGTCCATCATGTTTTCTTTGCAGATTGGATTACAATCACTCCATCAACGGGATATTCACAATACTACCTGTTGTATGGAGTTCACCCAATACTCCCATTTGATCTGCTAGAAGCTACCTTCATGTTGGAAAATTACAGACGAGGCCTATCAATTGTAGAGCTGCTCGCTTTACGCACCAGAAAATTACAGAAGAAACCAGAAGATGTAGCAAGAGCGGCTGCAGTTTTGAAGAAGACAAGACTGCAGTCCAAGGCTGTATTTGAAAAATGCTACAGTAGGTGGCTTAGGAAAGAGACCTATAAGCAAGGTGAGCTAATACTAGTGCAAAATCCTCGAGTTGAGACGCATCATAGCCGCAAGCACCTATCAAGATATTTGGGACCTTATGAGGTTGTGCGGCGTACCAAAGGAGGGTCATATATTCTGAGGGAGTTAGATGGCACTATATGGAAGCAGAAGGTGGCAGCATTCCGCATAATGCCTTATATCAGTCGCCAAGACCCACGTCTTAATGATTTGGCGCTGGATTTGGACGTAAATGATGACACAGATGTGTCAAGAGATAGTGATGTCAGTGCAGATGATAGTGACTTCTAAAAATTGGGCATAAGTGCTAGATTCAACAGACTGTGGGAATATTATGATTGAAAAAGGAACTTGTTCCCAATCAGAATCATAGCGCCCACAAACACAAACAGATACCCACAGTTACCACATTTGTCAGGATTTGCCCACTCATCTGTTGCTTCTATTGCCACCAACATGATCACCACACATCTTATTGCCGTCATCATCATCAGTGTCATTATGGGTGGTGCCTGGTTAGCCATCCTCATCTACTGCCTTACTTGCCCTCGCCGACCTAATATGGAAGGCATTCCCATGCACATGCTTGAGCTCCCACCCCGTGAGAGCATGACTAGCTTTGTCAGTCGTGATGCACGGCGAGCTGAAATGAACAGCACTGGTAGGAATACTCTCCCACCACAGAAACAAGTGCTAAACCACTGTATAATTCATACAGTTCAGAAGTTCAACACGCACGTGGTTATTGCTTAGGAGAAGGAGACGCGCAACTGGGGGCAGTTGCATTTTCTTTGTTGTGTGTAGATGTCACGTGTCCACATTGTGGGACGAGAAATCAGAAGTAATTTCAGGACAGAATTGTGACGATAGCATGATAGCATTGGGACTACAAAAGGAAAGCAAGGAACGAATACATGCACCCCTCAGTAGCCATGTTCCTGCTCCCACTGAGTACAATGTTCATCAAACCGCTGGATAGCGGCCAACGCCTCCTCCAACAGTTCCCCTGACACCTCCTCCGGCCCCGTCCCATTGTCCACTCGAGTTGAGATCACCTCGATGCGTGTATGCATGATGATGCTATTGCCCTGGGCATTCATCCACGCGTGCGTAAACTCCCTGTAGTCAAGACCTTCAAAGAACCAAGAGGCACGGAATACGCTGGACACAAATGAGTAACCAAAAAGAGATAAAAGAAGAAGACCTTGGACGTACAATGGCCACAATGGTATGTAGACTCAATTATCTGGTTGATCTATATTGACCAGCCCTAGGTACATTGATGTCGTTGGTGAAGGATCCGCCACACCGACCGTACATGAGTCGAACAATCCATTTTTGTGATGACAGTGCAAGTGTGATAGTAATGTTTCTCGAGACTCATGAAGTGTTCGTATTGTATGCCGCTGGGCCTATACCAATCATTGACCGACATTTGCAGAGCATGCTATACAATTGAGCCATGGACCATGAAGTGGTGCAAGACCTTGAAGAATAGAATGTGTGTGCTGATCACTCATGCTTCATCTATTCTCACCATTGTAGAGGTCACGCCGCTTTGTCTCTGGACAAGCGTTTTTTCCTTGTGGCTAATCTCACCACCGGTGTGGATCGGTATAGTTTCCTGACTATGGACTACGTGGATTGCTTCAAGTACAATATGTCACGCCCACTCAGAATCTTTCAATTGAGTGTGGAGGGAACACGAGTTGTTGTAGGGGGGGAAGCAGGAACAGCGCGGATTTTCGATGAGGTAACAGGGAAGATTCAGCAGACTTTGCGAGACGCAACAGGTAAGCTGTGCAGTCATCTGTGTGTTGCATCCCTCATCATCTTCCACAGAGGAAGACCCCATCCAAGTGGTAGCGGTACGTAACGGGTCTGGATGTTGTCCTGTTACTCATGTGCATGGCCATAATTAGATGGGATGACATGAGCACGGTGCAGTGGTGGTGACGGCCAGTAATGCAAAACCTGGGGGAGCGGTGTCTATCTGGACTGAGCGCAAGGTCTGAAAACCTCTCACACTAGGTGTGGCCTCTGGTGCTCATAACTTTCGTTCAGCAAATGCCTGGGCAGGACGTACCTGAGTGGCACACTCCTACGCCGGAGAAAGATCGCTTGTCAGTCATCACGATGATCTTGGTGGTCACTGTTGTGAGTGTAGTGTTCCAGCTCCTGGACGCACTCGTGGAGGGCGGCATAGCCGGTTGGGTCTTGCGGTGGATAAGGAACGATTTTCGCGAATCACGTCGGATGCAGTACAATGATGACTTGCTTGCATAAGGGTTTGCAAGGAGTATGTGGGCTTCCGTATCAGTTATGTTACACTCTATGTTCGAGTCTGCAGTCTGCAGTGGCGTGCACTTGATTATGTGTTATACCTATATTTAGCTATGTGGTCCTGCTCAGCCTTGCCGCTTTGGCGCCTCGGCACGGCTATTGCGTACACGTTCTTTCCTTCGCCTTCATCACCATATAGCAATCATCCCACCTCACATCTGTAGGATGTCTTGCGCACCAGTTGTGGGGCCTGCTACCGCGTACTCCATGACGGGGAGCCCCATCGGGCGAGTAGTGGTTGATGACCAGGGTGTCGTCAAAATCATGCACTATCCTGCTATAGATGCGCACAAGGAATTTGAGGAAGCCGTTTGCTCACCCCCTCGGAAGTGTCAACGTTGCAGACGATCTATGGCTGAACGGTATCTCAATGTTGAAGCAGAGGTGGACGAAGATGATGATGATGGTGTCCTGAGCCCAAATTGTTTGGCTCAGGGACAGGTGTCGCGACCAGACGCAGACAGCCTATACGCTGCCCATGCACGCCTACCGTACCGCTTGTACGCACACACCACACTGCGCACATGAACCAGCGGAACCGCCAAAACACGCACTACCTACGCAGTATATGACACACAATACGCCATACAACACACAATACGCCGTACAACACACAATACGCCGTACAACACACAATACCTGGTACGACGCACGGTCTATCACACGGTACAGGTGACACGCGGTACGCGCAATACGGCTCGGTACGTGCGATGCACAGTACATTGTGTGCAGGCGAACCCGTAGCGCATGACCAAGGACCAGTGATGCGCGCCTCAGTCATCCCTACTCAGGCCCAGCCAGGGGCAACAAGGGAGACAACTCACCTCGAAGAATAGGCTGCACAGATGAGCCTGTGACTCACTGCGACTCAGCACAACTCGGTAGTGACTCATAACCGGTCAAAGGAGGAAGGAATAGCCTGTGACTCACTGCGACTCGGCATGACTCAGCCTGACTAGAGTACCCCTGACCTGACATGTATATAAGCTAGCCCAGTTTCCCCCCAATCCAGTCTTTCCCCTATGTGCAGTTCCGAGTAACTCGTGCGCCTCACTGCTTGCTAATTACCCATGCATATCAGACAGTGTTAAGGGAGATTTGACCGGCCGCTGCAGCCTTAGCCAGCATAACCATCCTCTACTGCCATCTACGCCGAAGTTCTTGTCTCGTATCATCGTCACGCTTGCCGTCTATTGTCCGCATCGCCGTATCCTCGAAGTCTGTTGTATCGCCGTCGTATCATGTCCTGCCAAAGTTTGCCACGTATATCCAAAGTCTGTTGTATCGTTGTCGCATCCCGCTGAAGTCTGTCGTATCCTCGCCCATGTCCACGTATCCGCCGCATTGCTCGTAACCTTGCATGCATGTCGCACGTCGCACGTCACGCTAAATCGTACCAAGTCACAGTGGATCCTCTGCACACTGGTCCCTTCGATCACTGGCTTCTCCCAATCGTTACTCCACCCCCGAACTCACTGCAAATAGCCCGGCCTACGTCGCACCCGGTGAACCGCAGCAGAGAAACAATTTTCTGACTGACAACGGTGCTTCTCACGACTCTGAGTTTGACCTTGACGGTGCGTTTATTGTGTCTAACTGCGCAATTTTGGCCTCAAATGTTTCGTAGAGTTTATCAACGATGGCGACGTTACACCTGCACCAGGGACACCAGTAGACCACCCTGCAGTACTGCCAGACAACTTCCAACCGGACACGCTCCAAGCGGTGGCCAACCATTTTCAATTGGCGGCCATTTGGTCGCGTACGATGGCCCTGCAGTCCGCATCGACCAGCATGCAAGATGTGGAGTTGTCACCCGAGTCTTTCACGGGGTGTATTGTATGCATCCAGGTGGTGAGTATTCACAGTCAGCGGTGCTATGCAGGCTTACATATTGTGCATTGTAAGATGAGTGGATCACTTGATGGGTTCTTCATGTTTGTCTATTTGGCAGTGTTCAATACTGCGGATTCTGGCATTCTCTCAGTCTTCATTCCTCCCAGTCGTTCTGAACTATTCCAGCTTCAGCATACCCGCTTGTTCAATTTGTTTTATATCGAAGCCTCCAATCTTGCCTCTGTGCGTTCCGTACTCAATGCAGCAACTCACTCCGGGTATCGCGCGTCGACTGACCATGTTGATAAAGCCAATTATGATGCATTGCTCTCGCGATGCCCTGTGTCCCGGGTTGTCTCGCAGTTGTGTGCATTCTTCAAAAGTGGTCCTTATCAAGGTGATCCATGCTTCGTCAAGTTCATAGACACGGACAAAGTTGCAACTGTTTGGTGTCTCCCCCGGATCGACCTAGGAGATCCACCCCATCCAGAGTCCGAGGGCTTCCAGGCGGTTGGCAGAGCCAATGTGGTTGTGGAGGAGGAGGCTCGCGATGAAGACGAAGAAGAGGCTGGCGAGAATGAGGACGGACCTGTGGCCAATGAGGAGGCGCAGGTTAACATGGCCGCTCAACAGACCAGAAGGCAGCACCGCTCCAATGGTGCCCACCCTCCCTGCACCCCCTTTGTGCCCCACCGAGTCGCTCGCCATTACGGCCGCAAGGCTCTTGTTCGCGCCGATGGGCAGATAACTGACGTGGATGATGGGCAAGGAGGGCTGCTGCAGCAAGCAGTTCACCTGGGTGATCTGGGCACTGAACTGTGCTTCAGCTACACGCTGTACCTTGCCAGTTTGACTGCACCTCAGATCCCTCAGCAGTCAGCGGACAATTACTTCCTCTCATACTACTCCCGATCCCTCAGAGCTGGCAATACCGTTACAAACACCGCTGGAGAACAACAGGGTGCCGTGGGTCGGATTGTCTCTATTTCCGAGGACACTGCTCTCGTTGAGCTCAACTTTGTCAGCATGTCTACTCAAATTCCCCTCAGTCACCTCCGCAGACTCTTCCACATCGGCAACACGGTCGCTGTGACGATGGGGGTGAACAGAGGACAAGTGGGTACTGTAACAGCAGTGTTTGACAAGGAGATCACTATCCTATCCCTGTCTTATGCAGAAGAGGTATGTATCATTTTCATCCATGCCACAATGTCACTGACTAGGCTTCAGCTGACCATTGATGCACGACTGGTTGCATTTTGTGAGCCTCTGGTCTGTGCCGCCAAGGCCCCCCCCTCATTGTCTGATCATCTCATACTCGCGCCCAATCTCAACCCCACAAGCATTGATCCAGCTCTGTTGGCCATTCGGACAACATCTGATCTACGTGCTCGTCGAGATCTCTGCATCAGCAAGCGCGTATCTATCATCAAAGGGCCGCATAAGAGCTACAAAGGTCTCGTGAAGAGCTCCTCCACAAACAATTTATTCGTCATTGAGCTTGACGCGCTGAGGTGCTTGTATTGTACTGTGCAATGGAAGCATCTAGCGCTCATATGGTGGGTGCTATGTTTTGCACTAAGCCATCGCTCACATTTGCTTTAGGGAAAACGTACTCGTACCCCTAGATCCAGGGCTGAATGTGACAATTCCCAACATTGCGGCAGCATCTGCAGCGGCCCGTGAGCGGACCCCTGAGTACAGATCAGAGATTACTGCTGGGCCTTCTACATTTGCAGACATCCCCGTCAAAAATGCAGTGGATGCTTCGCACTCAGGCGCCAATCTTGCGGAGGCTCCACCTACAGATGCCAAAATCACCCAGGCTGAGATAGCTAAGGAAGTACTGCTTGGAGGTTATGAATTGTTACTGCAGGGAAATTATGAGCAGTGGTTGAAAGACTGTCACAATGTCACGTTTGTGTGCTTGTGCGTGGAACAAAGAAGTGGTTCTTCAAGTTCCATGAGGGGGCATGGGAGAACCTGGTGATGAAGACTGTCATGCCCCTTGCACTATGCACCGTTGACTACTGGGCCGGGGTCAAGCTGATCAGCGTGGGCTATCCTCTATGCACCATAGATATGCCCATTGAGTATCTCGGTACCTTCTTGGGCAACAAAGGCAAGAAAGTACTCAGCATTCAAGGAGCATACAAAGGGTTTTGGGCAAAGTGACGTGCATCACTGGCCGCCAGATCATGGTCATGGCTGAGGACGGACAACCTTCTTTTGATGATCTCAAAGATAACGTAGTACAGTTGCAGTGATGTAGCTGTTAGGGATAGAGGCTTGATAGCCTCAGAGTGCACAGAAACCCATTAGAAGTGTTTACTTACCGAGTGGCTGCATCAGTGAAAGTTTGTTATGTGCTTATCTTACTCTCCTTATCTTTCCTTTATTCCACTAAATGGACATCAATGTAGCACTTTCATTGTTTTATTACCGAGGTATTGATTACCGACGTTTTGATGCTTTAGAAGCGCTTGTTACTGTATCTACTAAACGGACTATTACCGAGTTTCTAGTGTGTTCTTACTCATTATGACCAGATGCTTTCAGTACTGATACAAGAGCTATTGTATGCTTGGTAAATGATGGTTATTACCGATCAATTACCGAGTTATAATGGTTTTGTATTGGCATAGAAAGGAATGGCTGTGCGACAATTACCGAGCCATTCCCAAAGCCATGTTGAATGGCTGTGCTATCCTTAGGCTGTACACCAAAAATGCAGACTCTTGCATGCCTCGGTAATGCCTCGGGAATCACAGTCCTGAAACAGTGGCTGTACTGTGGCTGTACTAGGATGACTCGGTAACATAGCTTGCCTCATTGGAAACAATGAAGTGTAAGGCTATGATCCTATTGTTCTCCTAGAATGGCCTCTGAAGCGGTGTAAATGAGTCAAGGACATGTACTATACACTTCTACAACACTCCTTGATTTTCTATATACTTCCATGTAGCTCCATTGGCTGTGTTCTTGGTAATGGCATAAAAGGCCATTCCTGAGCACAGTCAAGGACATCTATCTTCAATCCACCATGTACTCTTCACCGAAACACACCATGTGTGCCACTCAAAGTCTTACTTTGCCCCGAGTGCTAAGTTAGCCATACTAGCCACTCAACCACTCTTGCTGAGTTCTTACCAACACGCTCTAAGACCTGCGACAGTGAAACCTTACTTTGTACAGTCCTTGTGCTACTAGTAAGGTTTAAGTAACTCATTGACTGACTTCACAAGTTGGGTTCAGTAAGAGAAGGTGCTTAGTCATCATCTACTTCTGTAAACTTGTTACCAACATCAATAGATCTCTGTATCAACTAGTTCCATACTAGCATGTCTCAGTGGCATTACTATAATTAAAGTGGTTAGCCTCACCAGCAACTCACTTGACACTAAAGCAAGCCTTGTAGCCATCAGCTGGCTGAGGATTAATTGCCTTAGTGAGCCCCTCTTGAAGCACGGCCTCGCGCTGCTACATTAGGGTTTTTTAACTTGCCATCGTCACTGTGCAGTCAAAGCTAGCTGTTCAGACTTCCATTCAACTTCTGTTGTGTGACTTCAAAACCGAAAAAGCCCATTCCTTCGGAATCAACCTCTGGATACTAATCCTCTGTATTCAGACTTCATCCTCTATTCTGAAAACCTCTAAACCTCGGCAATAATCCCCATTCATTGCCGACTCAAATCCATTCTTAGCTTACTCTTCCCAGTTGAAGAGCAGTACTGCATACTTGTATAGCAGCACTGACTAAAGTCCCACCCTCTTTTGTATTCGTTGTGGATCTGGTATCCTCATTACAGCTCAACTTTGTGCTGTCTCGGTCATTGCATTGCCAAAGATTACCGAGGCGAGCACGGTACCACAATATTTTATGAGGCACATAGCGGTATTTTTCTAATAGACTGTTTCCTAGTACTAAGTACTTATTGTTAGAACCTTATGCAGTCTGAATTTCCCCAAGAGGAGTTGGGGATCCGTGCTTGCACTGCTACAGATAGATTAAAGCCTAAAAATAGGAGTTCAAAATTAGACGCTGGGGAAGTAAGGCCGCATGTTCAGTAAATTATCTCTCACTCCATGCCACCCTGCTCATCATTAGTTCAGCCTTACTATTCGTGTATGGATCCCTCTATTGGCACTGAGCAGTATCCAGACATCATAGTTGAGCGGGTACACCGGGTGGAAGCAGGTTTTGCCCATCCCTTGGGCATTCACACTCTGTGCTCTCAAGCTGCTCTCAACGCCCAGCGCCTTGCTGCTGCCACTGAACCCAATGTGCCTTGGTCACACACCTAGTGAGTTTAAATATCATTAATCATTCCGACTAATTCACATAATATGATTGCCACAACAGTTCTACCTACTACAAACGCATAGTCACCTATGCTGGAGGGGTAGAATTCTCATGCCATTACGTCAACCGTGATTGACACCGCCTCTTGTGCAGCGTACAGTTCAATATGTCGTGTGCATGCTGACTGGTGCAGCTGGAAATAATTGCAGGAAATGGGCAGCGGTCATACTACGAAGATGAATTCCCCATTCCCAATGTAGCACCAATTGAATTCCCTGAGTATGCGTAGATTACAATAGGTGCAAGAATGTCATCCAATGAATCAGTGGTGATATACCAGCAGTCAGTAAGCTCAAAAAGACACTCAATAAGCAACTTTCCAATGGAAGAGTGGCCCAAACAGTGGGTGCTAATACAATATACCCCAATCTCCCACAATATACTGTGTAGCAACTCATTTTGTGATACTGTGTTAATTAATACTGACAGTATCTAGTATCATCAATACAGCAACCCCCAGCAAACACTGTGATAGCTTGTTAGTGTCCCTACCCAGTGAACTACAGCAGAAAACAATGTGAACTGACACCAAAGGGATCGTACTGCCAGTAATGGCCCTCTCCCCAGCAAGTATGTGCCTAAAATTGGGAGCATCTATGGGGATGCTTTTCAATGTATTCAAATCCCAAAAATATGGGTCCAGTGCATTTATGGTCCAGAAAACTCAGTGCATCTATGAATATGCTTTCTGGGATGTTTGGAGCAATTGATATTCAGGTTCCATATGCCCGGCCAATCCATTTCCAATGTAGGTCTGTTATGACTGGCCAGTCAATGTGTAGTGAAAGTATGTCATGCCCGGCCGGTTTGTTTTGTGTGGGTACATTATGACCAGTCAGTTCTTTCTCAATGTAGGTATATCGCCTCCGGCTGGTGTGTTATAAATGTGGTTGCCAATCTCCGGCCGGTCCATTTACAACCATATGGGTGAACACAGGCCCCTTGTTAGTGACACCTCTAGGTGTTCCCCTTTGTCGGCCGGTCCGTTCAAAACAAGACCGGCCAGTCCGCTAAAAATGGGCACCTCCGGCACTGGCCAGTGGGTTTGCAACCTCCAGACTCATTCTGTTGGCCAACGTCAGGTATCCATTAATGACGGCGGAAATGCCTGTTGGCTGTACCGTTAACAATGTGAAAGTCCTCTGAATAGGCTCTCCTTTGATGATGGAGGGTAATGGTGATAAGTCTGCTTTGCATGGCCCCAACATTGCTCGATCAGATTGAGCTCTGGGTGAAATTTTGGCAGGAACAGGACATTGAAGCCACATGCATGACATGCTTCTTCCACATGGTCTCATACCCATCCATGCAGATGCACCCCACCACTGCTCCGACATGTCTGGGGTAGTGTGTGCGGGCGACCCCCCCTTTGAATAGACGCCCGCATAGCGCCAAAAGTAATGGTCACATCAACGATGCACCTGCCTGAAAGAGGCAGTGGCTGAAGTTCACTGGTCAATGATGGTGTTCCCTCTCTTGATTCTAGTAAATGTATCCACTATTCACAGAGCTGTGTCAGTGTTTCTCTGTGGTACTATATTGGTCCGGGATCTCGGCCACCTAAGCACTCATCAAGCCTTCCTCGCCCTATATACACTGTACTCCCCTGGACTTGTGTTTTATGTCATGTTAAAACATCCCTAGAACATGTTTAATATGTCAGAAAAATTCCAGGTTGACTGAGTGAAGGTCAGCGCAGATTTTTCTAGCACAAGTAGGTTAAGCTGTGCTGACTAAGAAGTCGGCCATGCTGCTTCAAGCAGCACTGTACATTGCCAACACACATCTGCATGGACCGCAAATCATGCAGATATATCCAAAGATATGTCTACAGCTCTTCCTTGGCCGCTAGACATGAGATCTGAGCAATGTGCCCAGTCGAAGTCGAGGGGTCCAGGAGATCCAGCCACTGATTACCTAAAATGGACATCCTCTCAAAGAATGATTTTTCTAGGATGCAAACCTCAATGCATCGACTTCAGCTGATGCACAGGCAAAGGACAGATGCACATTAATGCAATAGTATTAAATTCCTGGCTACAGAAGAGGCTGGAGCTTTACGAGGGTCCAGTGACCGACTAGCTAGGGTGGCCGAGATCCCGGCCCGATATAGTAATATCTCGGCAATGGAATCTGTGGTTCGGTATTACGCTTGGGTTTATGCTCAGTACACTCCACAACCAAATTCAAGAATACTGTACTACCGTGTCCCAACACTCTGTACTGCATGTGAGTTGTTTGCTCTTGGAAGTCTGTTTTGACGTCAATATTAGCAAGGCAAGGGAAAGAGCAGCGGGGGTTGCAGACACGCAAACATGCAAGGGTAGTCATAAAATCACAGGCAAATGTGTCCTGACAAAGACGGTATAATCAATGGTCCCAGGTCAACCGCTCCCGAGCATTGGCCATGGTGCGAGTACAACTACACTAACATTGTGCCATGCCGCAAACGTGCATGCAATTTATGGTTTGTCAGCGTGGGCAAGTTGCACTTGCGTGGTCAGCATAGCGTCAGCAAGGTCAGGACCATGCGTGAGTGTGACGTCAATTCGATAGTAGTGCAACGGAACGGCCAGCAGGCAAGATCCTCCCATTGAAGCTTTGGCCTACATACAGCCCGACGTGCTTACAGTTTCTAAACAACCGTATGATGGAGTACACTGTCAACAGGAAAAGTGTTTCCTCTGTGTTTGCTGGGTGTTTAGATGTACACTGAGCTATTACAGTTGTTCAAGGGGAAAATGCTGAGGTTCCAGATCAAGGGTTGGTGGGTAGAAGGTTGGGGAATATTTATAAGACTTTACTGAATTTATTGGAACAGAGATTTTGCCTAGACACAGAGTTCTGAGATGGTACTTCCAGGTGAAGTAGCACTCAGAGAGGATGATAGCACTTACTAGCAGTGCTATTGGACAAACTACAAGCAAGTTAATAACTGGAGTAACAATCTACAAGGTGAGGTCCCACACTGTGTGAGATACTGCCTCAAATGGTAATTGCTGACTCAGACTTTCTCACACCAGCTGTATGAGAGTAAACTGGCTCTAAAATTGCATATCCCTGGCCTGCAGGATGCATGGCCTTATATACAGGTTCTGAACTGCTTTGTCAGCAACTGAGTAAGGCATCTAGTAAGGTAGGATGTGTCAGATACCATATCCCACCAATCAGATCCCATCATGTGGTCTCTGGCTGTCCAATCAGCAAAATCACTCCTTGTGGTCTGATCTGAGTCAATTTGTCATCCTCTTATTGTGCTGACTGAGCACATTACCAACCAGCTTACCAATCCTATCCCATTGTGCTGACAAAGCCTTAGAACTGACTCAGCCCTGCTGAGTATCAGCTTCTGGATCTAAGTGCTCAGCTGACTTGTGGCTGAAGTCCGATCTGAATCTCTGCAGCCGCCCAAACATGCGCACCCTGTGCCATGTCACTTCAACCGCACACTCACGCACACACCATACCCACCCAACCATCCTTATCATCTATGTCTGGAATTGCTGCTGCCAACATCTGGATCACGTACATGTGCCGGCGTTTTCCAAAACTTCGTGCGGATCCACCACTCCATGCCATGAGCTGTCGGATTTGCGCACGATGGGCCATGGGTGAGACTTCGAGTGGGGGAATAGCCCTTACGATGCAGCTAGTGATATATAGCTCTCAGGAACACATGTCGGAGACCGCGTGCATCCTCGCGACATACCTTGTCTGCCTCTTGGTGCTGGGTTCCTTGTAAAGCTATGACCGCACTTTCCAGGTGTGTGCAACAATTAAGGACAAGTGACTCCCATTGGGACAATGATCTTGCTCCATAATGATCAATCATATCCCCGTGCAGTCTCATGAACAAGCTGCTATTGTTCTCCACCCTACGGCTCACCGCTAATCATGGCCATTGTCCAGTCAGCACAGCGATAATGACTCATCGACTATTGACTCACTAGATAATCCTGTGGTGCCGATTGGTGAAGGCAGTAAAAAAGGCGCGCTTGAAATCAAGTGCAATCTGCCTATTGTTGCTTCGCTTTCGCTGGTTACATATGACCAATCATCCTTCGCTTTCGCCGGTTAAATACGACTGATCATCCATTGTATTGACAATCATACATTGTGTTTATGACAAGATAGCAGACACGGTTCATTGACGAGCGATGCAGAAACACTGATCCAGAGTCGGCTGCTACTGTTATGGTTCTGTTTTTGTTTATAGACAGCTAGTTACCGAGTTTATTGCCGAGTCAATAGGAATAGTAACCTCGGTGATAAAGATTTGTATTGTCTATACAAAGCAGTAACAAACGGTAAAATCATCACTGTCATTCAATATTGTCGATGCCTACTTACTAGTGAGACTCACTGGGAGGCCCCTGGTGGCCCTCGCACCCATGGTGGCTTTGCCGCCCGGGCATCTCGGGGCCTCTAAGGCAGCATCTGTTGAAGTAATCGGTGGCGGGGCATGGGAACAAGCGGGCGGAACGAGTAAGCAGCAGGAATCAATAGGTATTGGAGTGGTTTGTCTCATCCTTGGGGCGCGGAGGCAAACACGCAAGGGTAAATACACAAGGATTGCAAGTAATATACAAGTCCATAATTAATGGGTAAGGTACATTAAGGGGAATGGCGGGTACAGTAGCATTGCACCATGATGCAGCACGTCGGTATTTGGGCACGTGCTCGGCCATATGTTCCAACAGCATTCACTTTGACCTGAACTGTCTTTGTCTATGTTACACCACACCCAATCCTTTGTTGAGAAGAAACTGGAGACACAACTTCATAACACACTTTTATATATACTTGCAGAGACATTGCATTGAGATCCAGCCAACAGAGCCGGGATGGAGTGGAATTACCTGCTATATGTGGAAAGCATGTGTGCTCATCATTATGGGTAGTGTTGCTCCTGTTATGGACAGTTCTCCCACGTGTATGGCGGCATGCTACGGCTTGTGAATGTTTCATCCTGAGAATGCCCTCCTCCCTTTGGGAGGAGTTGGGGGATCCATTTATGGTGCTTGTCCCCTTCTATACATTGATAAGTACTCATTCCTCATTCATATTCTTTATGCGTGTTGGGTGGATAGTTGTTCTGGCTGACAAATGTAGGTTGTGTGCATGATGTTACAATAATATTGGGGCGAGGGAATGTATTATTTGCGATGAAAGGGGGGTACAATAGCATAGGACAGCAAAAATTCTATGATTGTGACGACTGGGATGTGCTCAATACATTCCCGAACGCTCCTCCACCCACAAGCACACTTCGTGTGTGGCCAGCATCATGTCCACACCCTGCTCCCACAAGTCATCATCCCATCCAAGGAGACTTGAATCCTTGGGATAGTCAATTGGCCAATAGTAGGAATAATTGGTCCACACTTGACCGAAGTAGTCCGCGTACGCGGACATGTACTTGTACGTGCCATTTGGGAGGCGGACCACCCAGGTCTTGCACAGACCGCTGCTTGAACGTGTCAGCAGCTAAGGGTGCTATGGGTAATAGATCTTTACTAGGTCTTGCAGATATGCGCAGTGTTTGCAACTCTGCCATCAACCTTCTTCCACTTTCAATGCACACTCAGAGCCCAATTGAGGGCAACTTTTGGTCCTTGTGGCATCAGGGAGATCGAGCAAGAGTGGGTGCCTTCGTTGCAAGGTAGAGGAATTGCCGGCCTGACCGAGTCGAAGGCTGGGAGGGACAGGCGGCGGCTGCGGACTGGGCACCACTGCATTGTGGACATCAAAGTTAGGGATGTTTGGATAGCAGTGATGGGGGTTTTTAAATAGTGATGTGCTTCTTGTACATGTGCTGAATGCTTCCATTGGAACACGTGTATCAATTGCGATCATTCTGGCAGTAGCGTCTATTGGTACAGTCCAGAACGAGCCATTGTCCAACTGCCAGTCATACCCCCTGTTAGAGTAATTGAGTCACTAGTACCATATGTAGCTTACATAATCGGTCGCCCGTGTCCATCGCGCGTTGCGTGCAATGCGATCTTGCTTTTCTGCCGTCATTTTGCTGCGCCGACGCCCACCACTTTGTCACCCCCCTCTGCTGGTACCATAACTGAAATACTGTTTGTACTGGAACTCTGACCTTCCCCACGGAGTGACCACCACCAATTTCCAGGTGACCATGGTCGTCACGAGGTTGAGTTGGATGCTTGCATGCATCTCGCGGTCAGCGCATCGGTTATAGTGCGCCCATGCAAACTCCACTCCATTGGGCAGGACGTGGATCCATTCTTTGTAGAATGTCCTATATCGTGCTAAGTCATTTCGGGAGCCAGCTGAGAAATCACCTAAGCCTACATGGTCTGGTGCAATGGATTGTTGGCTTGTCCATAGTCTTAGATGTAGGTGATTGCATCATGCTGACAATTTGTCCAGATCTCTAGCCCAACCATCCCGATTGGCATCTCCCGGGACACGACTCCCTCAAATGGTTTGACGAAGTGGATGATCAGTTGCGTAGTCATGGTCGGCTTGGGTGCTAGGAGAATATAGGGCATGGTGCATGGTATAAGAGGCGGGATAGATAGGGCTGAGTCGCGGCACAGAGTAAGGTCGTGAGGGACAGGTCACGGTTGGGGCATGCGTGAGTATAAATATACAGTGATAGGCCCTGCATCTGTCTGCAGAGCCGCTAACACATGTTGGGATGACAGCTAGGGCCTTAGCTTCACAAAGCTTCGCAGGCCATAAGCCTTAAGCGCCGTGTGAATTGAGGAACTTGAAGTCTGAGAACAATGGAACGTGTTTGCAGTCTGGCTGGGTCGGCAGATTTGATCACCGATCCGCATCTTGATGAAGTCATGGTGCTTGTCCCCTTCTATGCATTAATAGGTACTCCTTCCTCATTCATACACTTCATCACTATTGCAAAATTCCTTCCCTGAGTCAACCTCATTGTCTATATCAGCTTCATTACTATCCAGATTTTCCTAGGCCTGAAAATTTTCATATTCATCTTCAATCCAATCTCTTTCAATATGTTCTAGCCGTGATACATGTACGCCTGTAGCACAGGAGGCCTGTAGATGTATCACAGAATACATTACAGATTGTGCTGTAATGTATCGAAGCACAGCAAGAGCATGTGCTAGCACTGCACAGCTGACTAACCACTGATATGCCTATATCTGGCATGAATCTGGTGGGTTTGATGTGCCTGCCCTGCTGTTCCGCATGGCCAGCAGCATGCAGGCATGCAGCACGCACTTTTGACACAGTTATGTAGGGCTACATATACATGTATGCTGATCACTGTCAGTGACACACAGTACGTGGCTGTACGTGCCAGTGGTAGTGTGATTACATAAGTGTTGGGTGATGTTCTACTCGCGTTAATGCTCACCTTAGCTTGTATAGAAAAACTTCATAGCAACATGTATTACTATATCGGGCCGGGATCTCGGCCACCTGTGGTACTCGGTCATTGCACCCTCACTCTACGACAGCTGCTCTTATGGACTGGAAATAAATACAAGCACATTTATATACATCTCTTCAATGCCTGTGCACGTTTTGAAGCCACCATGTTGAAACCCGGGTTCAGAATAAATCAATCAATGGGATGATGTCCATTTTTGGTAAGCTGTGGCTGAGCATCCCGGACCCCTCATCTATAACTGCGCACCTCACTCAAATCTTATGCCTAGCACCCAAAACAGAGTCTCAAATGCATCTTTGAATATTTCTATAGGATTACAGACCATGAGCATGGGTCCCGGCAATGTACGGAGCTGATGTCGACAGCATGGCCGACATACTAGTCGGTCCGGTTCACCCTACCCTCCTCACGGAAACAATGCACAGATCTCTACTGAGTGAATCCAAATTTTTTCTGATATTTTTATCATGTTCCTGAGATGTTTTAACATAATTCTATACATTGATTGGGGTCAGTGCGGTGAACATACAGTGGAGAGGGCTCGTCGAGTGCTAAGGTGGCCGAGATCCCCGCCCAATATAGTAGTATTGTTAGTATTATGTTGCAAAGCTACGGATCGTGAGGACCAGGCAAAAGCCTTAAGATCCAAGGCGAAGGTGTAGTGGCATGCATGGTGCTCTTGACTATTACTGGATTCAGTATTGCTGACATGGGTAGATCACATTAGCGCTCATTGCTCAGGCCACTCTCCCAATAGAAAACATGACATGGACGGCCATACATGCCTTGTATTTGTGGGATACAGGCCAATATAGCTTCATTCAACACTAAAACATAGATAATCACAACAATCCGCCAAAAGAATGAGACATCACACGGTAGATTGTGTGAGATTGCGGTAGATTGCGTTAGTGCCCATCGTTCAGGCCACCATCCCAATAAAAACATGACACAGAGGGCTGTACAGGCTTTGTATCCATAGAATCCAGACCAATATATATCCATTATATAATACAGTTTATGAAATATCAAAAGCTCATTGAAAAATGTACATTAAACAGAGCAAGTTCACATTCAATGTATACAGTGTACTGTTATTGCAGTTAATTGGTACAATGTATTGAAGCAAGGGTCGGCAAGGCGTGGGCAAGAGCGGGCGAAGTGAGCGAGCAGCGGTAATCAATAGGTATCAGAGCGGTTTGTCTCGTCCTCGGGGCGGTAGGCAAACACGCGAGGGTAATTACACAGGAATCGTGAGTAAATATACGAGTCCATAATTAATGATGAGGTACCGTACGGGTACAGTAACATTGTGCTGCATCCGTGCGTCGGCATTTGGGCACCCACTCGCCCGTATGATCCAACACAGTGAACGTGTTCGAACACAATATCTTGACTGGCAGGTGCTTATAAATTTTCCTCACTCAAGTATCAGCAAGATAGGACTATTACAATATGTTTGAACCATATCTGTGACAAAAGGAAGCCATTCAACCGCTATAAATGCTAAACGAGCATTGTGAAGATTTGCCTGACTGTTATTCACTCCCTGATTGGCTGAGCAATGTCCTTGGCTCACTTCTGCACTATACATGGGAAAGGCAGTTGTACACTGACTGGTGGTTCTTGAAGTTCTGCAAATCAACCACATTATAGGGCCGTGTGCGTCCCTGAGAGCTGAAATCTGTCATGGCAAAATTGGGTATCAATGCTACCTGTGTCCTATGGATTGTTAATGCGTGGCCATTGGGCATCAGACAAGGTATCTTCATAGACTGTGCAGCAATGGGCACTGCATTTTCTGGAAGGCCATCCAACTTCACAGGTGTTGGCGCAGCTGTGAGCTTTACAAATACAACCTCAAGCATTCTCTTATCACCAGTTAGTGGCTTAGATGCCCAGCCAACAACAATGGCTTCTGCACCATTTGTTACATTGCATTCTGTGGCTTCATTTGCCTTGATCATGACAGGTAGTCCTATGCACAGTGACAACTTTCCTGGATGGTTATTAGTGTCCTTGTGTGGCAGCATCCAGAGCTGTTCTTGCAGATGAGGATGAATCTTGTCAACCTTGTGCTTCACCTCTGCATTCTTCTTGGATTTATTGTGCCTAGTACCCTCGTCTGGACTGCCATAGTGATCAAGTGAATAGAATGTCTCCAGTGTCTGTCCTGTATCCTTGGCAAATCGTGTCACACCAAGCTCATTGATGCGGTCTCTGTGTGAGTTATATGATAGAATCATGGACACATTCTGGAAGTTGGGATCATGCAGCTTGGGCTTGCCTTTTCCACGGTCAGCTATACGGCCCCGCAAAAAATTGACATCAGTCATGGTACACGAGCATCACAAACCCGTGGCTTTGCCATGGGTTTTGTTGAGCTCGAATTTATTCCGCATTTCTGCGGATTATTCTGAGCTCCATTGCCCTGTCCAAGTCAGAATATGCGTCCTGGTGTGTTCTCCTTTATTCTACATGGACGCCATTACTGTACCGTGCATACTATATTTTTTCCGACCTCTTTCCCCTTCAGTCTACCATTGTCTATAATGTTTGACACTTCTGGGATTTGAACCATTGCACTCACTCGCTTTTCACTTGTTTGTTGATTTCGACTTTGTGGCTGTTCTACTATACAGATGTGGCTGTATTACGTAACACAGGCCGTAGACAGTCCGCCTCGTTGAGCTCTAAGTCCCTAAGACTTTACAGAGCTCGACTTAGGTGTGTATCTTCGCTTTCTTGAATATAAAGACTTTACAGAGCTCGACTTAGGCCTTTGGAATTGCTCTGAGGCGCACTGCAGCCAACAGGTTTACGGGGCAATTTCTTCATTCAGTGCTTCATGTAACTCTAAAGATTATATGCTTATGCAATGCCAGATCTGGGCTTTGCCGCAGGTCTGGCAGCAATTTATTCATTCTGTGCTTCATGTTACTATTGAGATTGCATGCTAATGCAATGCCAGCCCATGGCTGGCGGTGTTTAGTCGATTCATTGTTGCATGTCGCTGAGCTAAAATATTCCAGTCCATTGCACAAAGTTCCATTTGACCTGCCCTAAAGTAGCACAGTAAAGCACACTGAAAATTATTTTGGTTACAGACAAAGCATATGACTAATCTACTTTTCAAACACAGTCCAAGAAGGGAGAGAAAGACTATGGAGAAAGAGTTAGTATTGTGAAACATAGAGAAGCTGAACGTACACAGAGGATAGATAAGCAATCCCAGGAATCCGCATGAGGTCTGCATTGTAATAAGCTCAACTGTTTGTCACATATGAATATCACAAAGCACTTACAGATAGTTGAGGAGGAGATATGAGACAATCCAGATAATCCATATTGGTGATGGTCTACTAAGCTACTGTTCAGCTAGTGTTCTAGTCCAGGAATAACATAGAGCTTACTGTTACTTGAGGTTATGATTGAGGATTCACATATTGTACAACATGGAGCAACCAAGACATCTATATGTTATTTGATCAGCTAAGAATCCCAATTTTGCATGCACATCCAATGACTCACCAAAGGTTCAGCAAGCCATTTGTGAAGACTTCACGGTAGACAATATTGGTTGTTGTCTGCTCTTGTGCAGCATCTGGTGGCAGCACCTTGCGCCTGTTTGCTGATGTGCACTGGGAGAGGGCAACATAAAGCTGCCCATGGGAGAATACTGGTAGGTGCAAATCTAGACCAACATGCATGACTGATTGGCCTTGGGCCTTGTTGATGGTCATGGCGAATGCAAGGCGGACAGGGAATTGTCGGTGGGAAAGGGGAACAGGTACGTCTTCAGATATGATGACTCGAGAGAGATCCTAAGGATGTAAACCACATTTCCAGCCCACTGCCCTCCAAGTATGCGGCACTCCAGAACACGGGATCGGACAGACAGAAGCACCATGCGTGTCCCATTGCACAGACCATTGCCGGGATCAATATTGCAAAGAAGCATGAGGGGACATCCTGGCTTCAGAGCGAGGTTGGCAAGGGGGAAGGCCGGGAAGGCCAGAGACATTGATGGACTGGAGGTATTCCATGGGATAGTGCTCGTTTTCTACTCCAATGACTTTGTCTGCACTGGTGAGCACAACCTTCTCTCCTGGGAACTTGTCGAGGATATAGTGATTGAGATCATCAACAGTGTCTTTTTAGGGGAAGGGATGGTTCGGTCAAGGAAGTACTGATCAGGTTTGACTCCATCTGTGATCCCTGGATATACAGCATTGACCAACCCAGTGACAGTGTTGCGGGAAAGGACATGCTCTCTGGAAGTTTGACTTCCTTCTGTGGTGCAAATGGATCTCCAGCTCCAATTGTGAGGAGCCATTCATCAAATGCTACGCTTTCCAGAGAACAATCCAGGCACATATTTTCTGTGAGGTGTAGGACCTCAGTGTTGGGCCAAATCCTGTCAGACTTTGAGAGAGAAGCGCCAACAATCTGCTCTCGGGATCCCTTTGGCACCACAGGAAGTGTTTGGCGGAAGTCACCTCCAAAGAGCATGGTTATGCCACCAAATGAAATGGACGATTGTTGGAGAGCACATTTTGTAGTGTAATCCCAGATGATGCAGCCAGTCTGCTCAAGGAGCTTCTGGAGATCACTGGCTTGATCAATTTGGCAGGTACTGTCATTGAATAGGGGGATGGGGATCTTGAGGTGTGAATGTGCTGTACGGCCGCCATGGAGGAGAAGTGATGCAATGCCTGAGAATGCAACACAAAGGCACACCTGACCTCTTGCATGGACAATGGCTGCCACAGTATTGCAAACAAATGTCTTCTCGCAGCCTCCAGCGCTGTGCAGGAAGAAGACTCTTCCTTGATTCTGACCCACAGACTCCATCACCTTTGTGAATGCGTGTGTTTGTCCAGCATTGAACTGATCTTCATGCTCAGCCACCTCAAGGAGCAGTTCCTGCCTGTCGTAATTGAGCTGCTCCTAAAGCAAAGGATTATCTGCAACAGCTTCCCAAGGCTGTTGGGGTAGTGGCATTGGAGGGAAGTGAGCTCGGGTGAAGGGTTGTTGTAAAGCATGATAGTGAGGCGATGATGGAGGTTGTCACAGAGATGGACTTTAAACTGTTCCCACAGAGCAGTGGGCTCTGTAGGATGACAGTCCTTCAGGATGACTGCAAACAGATTTTGCAGCGATGGTCCTGTCTGCATTTCTGCAGCTTCCCGGAGACATTGTGTCCACTTGCCATCATCTTCTAGGAGTCCTCTTGCAGTGCATGCCGCCTTGTGTGTAGGATACACAACTTCATTGTAGGTCCTCATGTCTGCCCAGCTCTTTGCACCTTTGACCACTGTGAGCAGCAAGCGGAGATAGAACTTCTCTCTGGCTGATGCATAAACAAAGTTCATACAGCCAATGGCAAAGTCTCCCTGCCTCGGCTTCCACTCCTTCGCCCTCTGGTTTCAAACAAAGTGCTGGGGCATGGTGCTGGGGCATGTCTTGGTACAGGGTGCCATTGGCCTCTGGGAGTGCTTGATTTGCAGTGAACCACTCTGTCAACTTGGTCTTCTTTGATGACTCCCGGTTAAGAACATCCTCAAGAACATCATCTGGATCAAAGTACACCATATGCTCATTCTCCAGATGAACAGGCAGCCTATACACAGTGGGCTTCTCCTTGTGCATAGGGAACTCCGCAATGTGCCAGAATGCCTACGGAGGTCCAATATAATGTGAGTCAATGAATTGCTTGACTTCATCAACAGGGCCAACTTCCATTGTAGCCCTATCGTTCCCCTTGTAAATGTACTTGTGTATGTACTTGACTGCCTTGACGGAGGCGCAGATTTCAACATTGATATGGCAATCAAATTCAGCAGAGAGATGAGGATTATAGGGAACAACATTGCAGTTATCGTAGATGTGGCCTGCCCTGTTCTGATACATCTGGCCATTGTTGGGTCTTGCATACACTGGATACCCACCATCACCAAAGATGGTGTCCGCAGAGAATTCCTTTGGATATCGCTTTGTGCAGTGTCCATTGTCCATACAGCATGGACCACAGGGACCGTGCAACATACAGTTTGATACAGCATTGGTGTTTCAACAGGATCTGGCAGCTGCGCAGACACAATACAGTCCACATGCGCTGCATCTCAAATCTTGTGTGGATCCTTCAAGATGCATGTGGGGCAGTCCATGCTTTTGATATCTATGGTCCACACATCTGCAGCCAACTCCCCAAAATAGCCAGCTTTGATTTTCTTTATCAATTTCTGCATCGTTAGCCGGAAGACACAGGCTACAATGTCAGGGCGATCTGCAGCTGTCTGTTTACAGCGTTGAGGTCACCCTGGTTCATCATCCACCTCTCCATCCAATTCGAGGAGCGCCTCCTGAATCTCTAGCCAGTCAGGGTTGGCAGTTATGGTAAGAAATATATCAGGCTTCCAGGCATAACGGCAGACGGCCATGGAGTCTTGGAATAGCTGATACATGTGTCAAGGGCTGCCAGCATGTGTGCCTGGGACAATTATGTTCTGGCCAACTTGAGCAGGATTGCCATCCTGATCTTCGGCACGCATGGCATCCAACAGACCCTGGTACAGATCGGCCCGTATCTCCTTCTGGTGGGTACAAATCCAGAAGAGATTGCTTGCTTCAATGGAGGCCCAGGCATCGACCAAGTATTGCTGAAACAGCCTTCCACCATGGAAGAGGATATCTACATCCACTATCCCATTTCCATGGTTGATTATCCTTGGCAAGAACCAATAGGCATAATAGCACCACTGAGAAACTGTTGCGTTTTGACCGCAAACTTGCCCTTGTGGACCTTGTTGGGAGGGAATTGCACGGTGCCAGCCTTGATCACTGTGCGGGAAGAAGAGAACATAGTGCAGGGGAGAGTAGAGGGGATGCAGATTACTGATGTGCTTCAGATTCCCATCACGATAGCACAACAGGATATCTCGGTGGGCATCCACAGCTTCATCACCACTTCCAGGAATGATAGCAGCCACTTCTTCCACGGTGGGGAGATTGTAGTGTCTACGATCCTCCGACTCTTGCAGGATAATAGCAGCCTCAAGATTGACCCTTTCCTCAGGTTTCTCGTGGAGCACCTCATATGCCCGTTTGTACAGAGGCACAAACAGATTATGTTCCATGAAGAGATCCTGGAGAACATTCATGTCAGAGGGCTTGAGATTGTCATTGCAATCATTACGTGTTTGAAGTGCGGCATGCGGGTCATGAATGTAGAGCTGTGCAGAGGCAGGGGGTTGATCTTCATTGGGCAACAGACTACCCATGCGGTGGTGCAGAGAGCCGTGGATCTGGAAAGAGTAAGGCCCAGAGCCATTTAGGATGGTCTGAACCACTTTAACAGCCACAGAGGTAGATGCAAAGGCATTGTTGTACCGGCGGATGTGCTCGCAGAAGTGCTTGGACAGGACATCCATGCCAGTGAATAGACGTCGGAGGGGTTCAGGAACAGGTGTGAACACAGGTAGGTCAATTTGGCCCTGCATGTTAACAGCACATCCCAAACTTGGGGTTGCACTGTGAGGAGTGTGTAAGCCGTTTGCCAGGAAAGTGTAAGGCGTCGCAATTACGGCAGTGTACATCCATGGACCCAACAGAGTTCCGTGAAGCTGGGTCTCTGTATGGCTGGCAACCGGGAGGAAGTTGTTGAACAGCTTGGCGTGCATTCAATCGTGCTTGGTTATCCTGCACAACATCTTGATGTTGCTGATTCCTCTGTTCAACCTCCTCGGCATGACGTTGTGCCAGCTGTGCTTCATCGGCTGCTTGCTGCATCTGTTGCTGTACCTGAGCATGCTCCCTATCTCGTATCCTTTGTAACTCCTCTGCAGCATGCACTTCCTGGCGCTGTGCACGTGCTTGATCCCTTTCCCGCTGTTCAGCTTCATGCTGGCTCTACAACGCTTGGGCATGCCTCTGTGATTGATGTATGTCGTAGACATTCCCAGGATTTGGTTGAGGGGCTGGACCTGCATTCAGTTGTGGTAACAGGGCTCTAAATGGAGGATGTGGTGGGAATGGAGGTGGAGGAGGTACAGGGGGTTCAGTCGGCATTTGTGACCTCCATGTCTGCACACGTTGTGCATGCGAGCGTGCAAAGTTTGCCATGAGTTCTTGTTGATAATCCCGCCTTGGTGGTAATGGCTGTCCAGCAAATGCACCATGATAACCTGGCTGGATGGGAGCCTGATTCCCAGCATTTGAAGGCCCTGCAATTGGACAGTATGGCAGCATGGCAAAGGGATCATCACGAAAGCCATGATTTGGAGCTGGAGGGGCTTGTCGCTGATTCCCAAACTTTGGTTGCTCCACTGAAGCTCTATCTGGAGTGTTCCATGCCCTCCGTACACTTGGAGAAGTCATTTGGAGACGTCACACATGCTCGAGTTCCCTTTCACGGTGACAATCCCTCTCAGGAGTATGTGGTAGCCTACATTGGAATATATATGTTAGCAATCAGCGGTTGTATGCTGGTAAACCCACTTACTGTGGTCCTCTATCATTTGTATTCTCATTTGATGTGCTTTGCACAGAATGGTGGGCAGCAGATTGATCCCTGAATTGGGCTTAGTCAGCTTTCCCACACTCCGAAATGCATGCATTGACCACTCACATGGTGTAAGTTATAGGCCAAGTTTGAGGCAGGCTGTATCAGGTTGTAGCACTGCAACAGGGATTAGTCAGCTTTCCCACAGTTCGAAAATTTGTATTGACCACTTACATGGTGTAAGCAGCAGTTATAGGCCAAGTGTGAGGGAGGCCGTACCAATTGTGGCAATACAACTGGTACAGAAGAATACAATTGGTTGTAGTGACCAATACTGATGTGTATTCAATCAAGACTGACGTGTGGTTCAATCAATACTGATGTCGATGCAATCAGTTGTTATCACTGCTCCATCACTCCCTCACGAAGTAGGAAGGCCGCAATATTTGGTCGTGTTTTGGTGCGCCGCACATGAGGTGTGAGTTTACATGTCCACTATATCGCGTTTTTGGCGGGAGCCCCCTTACAATACAATTTCACCGATTTGCCGAAGTCGGCCTTTTTTGGGGGTCAATAGCTAAGTAGTCTCAAATATGGCCCAAGATACATTGGTCCCAATCTGAGAATATTTGGGGGCCAGGATATCTACTGATTTACTTCGAGCAAACGTGAGCTGTTTCGGCTCACCTCGGGGACACGTCGGGCGGGGATTGTGCAAGCGCCGGGGAAGCGGAACACGCCAGAGCCGTCAATATGGTAAGGATTGGGTGCACATGGTTTGCCACGCGGCCAACGTGCACTCCATGTGGCTTTCTCGTGGCTTTTTTGCGCCACATTGACCCCGACCTCCCATTCTTTTATGATGCCTTGTAGCGCAGATTCTCTAGAAGTTTCCTGAATTTGGCATCCTCTGAGGTCTGTGATTTTTGTCACATGTTCTGTCGGAGTATGACCACTGTTGTTACTTGATGCCATTTTGCCTAGAGATGCCTCTTGCTGCCTCCAACTAGATGCAGAGTGCCTGAGACTGCTGACCTTGGCTGAGAACAATGAGAATCCTGAACCCGGTGGCTCAAGCTGGGCAAAATCACCAGCAAAGATCATGTTCTTGCCTCCAAAGGGCTCTCCTTCATTATGGAATATGTGGCACAGACGAGCTGAGATATCATATAAATGATTGCAGTCCACCATGGATATCTCATCTATGAACATGTAGTCCACATTCTTCAGCCTGTCACGCACATTGCGCAGAGTACCTGAGTTTGCATCCCCATACTTTGAGAAACCTAACATGGAGTGATAGGTTGATCCTGATATAAGTGAGGCAGCAGAACCTGTTGGTGCCATGCATATAAATCTGTATGTATCCCTCATTACGGGAATTGAAGAATGTAATCAATGCCTTGATGACTTGGGATTTGCCTGTTCCAGCCATGCCACCCAAGTACATCTTCAACTTTTCTCCCTGTGGCTGGGTGGCATGATTAGCAACAATGCGGAATGCCCGTTCTGGCTTGGTATTAAGCTGGAAGTTGTATACTGTACAATCAATGATGTCCTGATTTTTCTTGTCTGAAGCTTTAAATTTGTAGTCAGTCCACTGCTTTGACAGAGTCCACATAGTCTGGTGCTGTAGGATGTGAGCTATTATTGATCACTGGAGGTTCAGAGGCTGCCTGTTCCTCCCTTGCCCGTAGAATATGCTCTCTCCTCTCTGTTAGAATTCCTCTCCATTCAGAGCCAGTCATGGTTCTCAGTGGTGTGAATTACTCAATATCAGCCATTTTCAACGTATTGTTGTCATCCAGCCAACCACTTGTATGGGCAATGTGTTCAACTTGCTGCATCTGAGCGATTCTCCCTAATGCTCTTTTTCCTAGAACATCCCAGTCTGGGTCATAGTCTATGGCACCATCATCTCCAGTAAGGCTATTCTGCACAATGTCTGCATAGTCATCAGCATCTGCATCTGTATCAGGCTGATCATCATATCCAAAGCTGTTGCCCTCAGTCTCCTCCCTCTGCTTAGAGAAATCATCTCTGGAGTCATTGCATTCATACCGTATATGGAAGAAATTCATGTTATCCATCTGATGGGAAGTGAACTGGTGTGCAGCAGATGCGTCATCCCAAGATTGCCCAGATTGCTTCAGGTCTGTACCTATCCTCCATGGCTTGAACAACATAAGCATAACAAGACAATACTCTTCCCTGTTTCCTTTGTCTTTCCTTGGAAGACTGCCACCTACAAAGTTAGGGACCCTTGCACAATGCTCAGGCTGCATGACTGCCATGTGTGTCTCATACTGCGGATGGGTTGGAAGAAATCGACTAGGCTCATGGAACTGTTCAGCAGCATACTTCTTTTCATCCTCTTCTGCCTGAAGTGCAGTATCCTTGGTAAGCAACATTTCATCGTCACTATCAGTCTCATATTGTGTGGTGGGTCCACCACCTCGCCGTCTGGGCAAAGGCTTGATGTCCCTGACCTGTTCAGCTTTCACATTTTGTGTCAACTGGGTGATCTTTGCATTGACAGCTCTGAGCTTTTGTGTTGCTTGCTTTTTTGCACGACCCATGGTCTGTTTTTCAGCCAGTCGGATCCAGTCATATAGGCTAACATGGTCATATTTTGTAGGCCTGTGGATGTAGTCCATCTGCTGGGACATGCCAACAAAACTGTCCTTGCTCTTTCCAATGACCACCTTGACAGGGTTCTGGTCAAGATTATACAATATGTCTTCCTCAGTCCAGGCTTTCATCACTTCATACTTGTAGCTGCGCCAGTAAAATGGTTTGAATATGTGGCTAGTATAATGATCAGGATGGTTGAGTAAATACATACAGGCCATAGGTGCTCCAGATTCTGCACTTGCAGACAGTGCATTGACCATTTTTTTAATAAGCTTATGGGCCCGGATTTTCCTGTCTGTGCCATCCTCCGTGAGGAGTTCTGTGTTGCGTGTAAACACAGTCTTTACTGCAGAGAACATTGTGTGGGTCTTCAGTGGTGTTTTGGTGATGTAGTCTGTGACATAGGCTGTGATAGCTTTGATGGCAGTCCCTGAGAGCAGACTGGTCACATCACTATTGCATCGCAAGATATATGTCAGTGCTGGGGTGAAGCTATTTAGCCGGGCTTCTCCCTGTTTCATGAGCAATGCTCCACTGTTAGGGTCAAGTATGGTACACGGCCTCACAGGACGAGGGAATCGTCTCTTGCAGACCTTGAGCAATTTACCTGTTTTCTGATCCAACTTGCAGCCACCTGCACCTGCAGAGCACTGATGTCTGTTGGATTTGTACAAGATATAATTCACTGTCTGTCTGGATTGAGCCCACCAATTGCTGTCTGAATAGCATGTGGTACAGCCAGCACAATCTGCTTCATGCTTGACAGATGGTGGTGGTAGTGGCAGAGTCAATGTAGGATCCTGATAGTCCTTGGATTCTTGTGAAGTTTTGATATCCTCCTCAACATAAGTCAATGAACCCTGAACTTTATGTGCAACATGGTCAATGCCCTGTATGAGCTGGTAGCAGTCTTTCTCAGCCTGTGTCTCTGGCTTGTAATGATGACCATCCTTTAGCTTATCTGTCAGGTGTGCAAGCACAGTTCAGCAACTGATGTTTCCTCTCTGCCTCAGATACCTTTGCATATCCACGGGCATTGCCGGGACGGACCGCCAAGTCCATATGAATACTGTTTAGCCATGGGAACATCTGCAGATACAATTGCGGGTTGGAAAACAAAGACTGCGGCTGGTCTGACTGTCCAATACCTAGCACCATATTCTTTTTATTCTTGAAATACTGTAGTGCATATGCACGAAGGACATCGGTACTCATCTTGGATAATTGCTCACCCACCAGCCCATCAACAACAAATGACATGGCCCTTCAGTGGTGCCTTCATTGTCATCTGTGTCATTGGCAGCCTTAGCCTCTTCATCCTTTCCTCCATCACCAGGATGATAGTCTGCAATGACAGGAGGACTGTCCTCAGAATACATGTTCAAATTCTTGTAAGATATGGTGAGGTCTGCAGAGTCTATGTGATTGAGCTTGAGCCATTCCAGAGCATTGGCCACTTTATTGCATCTCACTAGCAATGGAGTGCAATGATGTTCCTTGGCCAATGGTTTTGTTGGGCCAATATATATGTATGCAAGGACTTCATCCAGCTCCTCAGGGCTAGGGGGCAATGCATTGTATACCTTTGGCATAGGTATGGTATGGCATACTGCATTGGCTATCATTTTACTCTGCAGAGAGCCCTTGACCCAAACAACACATCTGTTATGGTTCACTCGGCTAATGAGAGTGCGCTCAGCCCAAGTCAAGTTCTGCAACTGCACACGTACCTCTCCAATCCACAGCCCATTGGCTAGTGCCTGTTGTGCCATTGTCCAATGTCATCTTGCAGTTCTGACAAAAATGTAAAGACTTTGGGAGAAGAACAGGCCCTTTTAGTTCCTCTACATGATCACATTCTGACTGTTGTTCTTTTCTTGTCACACCTGTCCCATCTGTTTCAAGGATGTGCAATTTGTGAGATACTGTTGACAGAGGATACAGTCTTGAAAATGGAGTCAATAAGCCACACACTGCACAGCCAGTTTCTGCATGTTGTAGTGGATGAATGGCTTTGGAGTAATCAGCTATGACTTGCTGTATCAGAAGTGGGCTAGGTGGTGTGGTGGGAAAGGTATGCTGGATGATGCATCAAATTTGGTGGTATTGTGGAACTTCTGTATGCGTGCCATTGACTTTGCATGTCCACTCCATTTTTGGAGAAGTGACACACATGTACTGCATTGACTTTGACACTGGTGAGACAGTACTGCGGTACGTATGGTGGTCACTGATGATTTCAATGGACATTGAATATTGTGTAGCTTTGTTATGATTTTTAGATGCTTGTGAGGTAGTGTAGCCAATTGCTGCAATGGGATACGGGCCACAAGCAAATTTTTTGACTCTGCTGAAAATGCTTTTACATCATCTGTCCTGCAATGTGTTGCAAACAAAAAGCAGTCATCGGCCATGGAATGGTCTGGCAGCAAATCATAAGATGCATCCCAAAATGGCTGGAGCTGGGACCAAGTCCATTGCTCCACTGCTACATGCCTCTTGGCTCCTCCCCCATACTGCCACATTTTCTGGTTGTTGTTTGTTGGGCTGACCAATCTTTTTGAATATATGCTCATGATAGACAAAATGTTGCATAAATGACTGCACATAGTTGTAGTGGGCACGTTGATGTATAAGCAGCCCTGATATCTTTGCAGAGTAGTCATGTGAAAACATCATATTGCGGGACAGGGCAAGTTTAATCTGCTGGACCAAAGGTTCTAACATGACACGTGGCACTACAAAACTGCCCATGAGTTGAACCAAGGGTGTGAACAATGTTGGGTTTTGGATGTCAAGTGGATGCAGATTTTTTGGAAGCATTTTTGTAATGGCGCTATCCTGAACCATCCCTGTACAGGGTGCAGAAGTTTTGGGATGTGTATCTGCAAGCACACAATGGACAAGGATAAACATCATGTTGCCTGCATACAGGCAATTTGAACAAGTCATGTGATATGAAAATTCCATCACATGTGATCAAGTTCAACCATATTTTGGCATCTAACATTTCTCCAACCACCATGATGCTGTCCATGCAATCTGCATTTTTTACTTTCACAGTTCTTCTGTGCTTTCATCAGCTGTAGTAGCAACATTACCACCAAACAGCTCATGACAGACACCTGGAATGGCACAAGATGCATCACAGTCCATTGAGCAGTGGCATGTGATTGGTTCATATTGCACACATGTCCTCAGGCATAGCAGCATATTCATACGTTCATAGTGTCATACACATATAAGGCATACACATTGCAATAAGTACATGATCAGTTACCCCGAGCCTCATTCCCAACCAGGATGACAACACCAGCAACATTGAGCAACAGATTGGTAGGCTCACCCACACGTCCATAGGTGGACACAGTGTGCAGCACTGCCACAACAGAATGGTGCGCAAGCTCCTTCTCCACAATAGGACAGTTGGCCGCAATTGTCTCCATGTCAAAGACAGAGGCCTCCTGCTGCTCAAAATAGTCTCTGGCATCCCAGATGGGTACTGTCAAATCACAAAGATAAGAGTGTATCCATCAAGATCATTATGCCACAAAGAACGTACTCTTCTGGTTTGAAGACACTGCTACCTGTGAGCTTGATATTTCCGCAGGCCTGCTGCAAGACTTGGGGTGCTTGGAGGGAGATGGTGAGAATGATGGAGATGACACCTTGTCCTTCATTGGGCTCTTGACAACCTTAGTCAGGTCAACAAAGGACTTTTGTGAGTATGATGGGCGGGATTGGGATTCCTCTATTGATGTATTAGCATGAACAACATCAATGTAATACCATACTGACCAGATATCTTGGCTGGCACGGTGCTCATGGACATACATGTATCCCTCAGCCTTCTTGAAGGATCCCAACATCAGATTATCATGACCCAGCACCTCACGCCAGAATCCCCATGCAAGATCAAGCTCCACTGCAAATGGCATGATGGTGATCCACTTGCTCCACCTATCATGAATGTAGTCGAGGTGGCCCTCCATGAGATAGCTGAACTCTACAGGGCCCAGGGTAAAGTTGATGACAGGATTGCCGTTGAAGGTGATGACTGGACAAGTGTAGGTAGGCTAGCGGAGAAGTTTATGCTTAGGGCTTGCACGGGCAGGCTTGACAAGCCAGTTGCCAGTGAAGGACCACTGGATAGTGCGCTTGAAGTTCCTGTGTTGATTGGATCAATGGGCATAATAGCACATATGTGTGTCTTACTTACTGTCTGTGGATATAAATGCCATGTTCCTGGAATGCATTGATGACAGGATTTGTCTCAACAAATGCATGCTCAGGAACATCATGTTTACTTGAACATATTGATGAGCACAATATACATGAGCTGGGTCATTGACATACCGCATAGGCCACATATCTGCATATGTGTTCTCAAGCCATCCCTCAACACTGTCCTTGTCCAATTGCTTGCAGTGCCTGTTGATGCATATCAACAATGTACATCTATACTGTGAAGCAGTTTCTCTCACTCATTGCCTGTAGGGGGAAAGAGCTCAAGCTTGGGCATCATGTAGCTAATGAGCCTGTCAGTATATGTGGATATATAATTAGTACAGCGGTTGAAACTCACACTGCACCAGGAACACCAGCAGCATCATCTCTGTCCTTTCTGTTGGATGATCATCAGAAGCATGATTCTATTTTCAGACAAAAGACATACCCAGATGGTTGCTTCCCACGCTTGAGGGCTTCTGGTATCTCAACAACAGTGTCAAGTCTGGTACCCAAAGGTTCAATGCCGTTCACATCAAAATGGAGACCATTTACTGTTTGCCCCCAATGAACACAGCCTTTGCCTTTATTGCTGTAAACATGGTCAGCTGTTGATCATCTAATCTGATAACATAACTTACACCGTTGTACGTGACTTCTTGGTTGGTGATGCTTTCAGGGACTCTTCTTCATCTGCAACAGGACTTGGTCGCTCAATGCTACACTCCTAAGATCAGATGACATTGCGATGACACAACGTACAACCTACCGCTTGGCTCTCACATTATCTTTGCTGTTAAAGGTCAGCATGCATATATTTCTACATGAATCATTCAAACCTTGGGGATGGTGTGGCCGGAGTGTCTGGCGGACCCGTCAGGTTTGCCCTATGAATAAATGAGCATGGTCAATAGGCTGCCATTGTACTGCTCTGGAACATACCTTTTGATGGGACTATCCGGAGTTGAACCCACAAGATCAGTGTCCCATTCAGGGCTACTTGACATGAATATCAGCTCAGTGAAACCAGTCACTGTCTACACACCTTGACCTGGACATCTCACTAAAAACACATGACAGAGACAGCACATCAGGATAGCTGCTGACAACTTACAGGATGGAGTGACGTCTTCTCAGTCTTGACCCATGGGCATGGCCTTTGTTAGATCTAGATGTCATTTTGTCAGCAATGCATCAATGAGGTTACATCAAACCATTTACATAACAGGCTCATCATCACTGGACACAATAGTAGCAACATCTGGTATCTCCTGCTGTTCATCCTCGTCACCAGAAAGCTCAATAATATGTTCATCATAATTGTCTTGATAATCGTCAGTGCCCTCAATCCCTCTGGCTTCCCGTGCTTCATCATGGTCATATGAAGCGGTGGACTTCAGCAGCACTGGCCTTAGCCTTTGCAGATGAACTGTATATGTAGAGTGAGGTGAAGCACTGGGGCTGCTTTGACAAAATGCAGACTACTTATACAAAGAGTGAGTTATCTATCAGTGGATCAGTCAGAGACCCATCAATTGTGTGATCAGTGTGATGGGGATAGTTGCCATCAGAAATAGAAGCATACACAATATCTTGGATGCACAAGCCAGCCACCTACATGAACTGCTGCATACACTCTCAACAGCTACATTTGACAACTCAGGCAACACACAGGTGCATTAGGAGTCAACATAAAACTGAGGGATTTCAAGTCATCATAGATGACAAAGTCCAACCATCCTGCAGAAGCCTGTATGTTTCACTTGGAATAATGAGACATACAGCTGTGCATTTGATACCCTATTTGGCATATTTCACAACATATACAGGGAGAATATGATATGGGAACAAGATATCAAGGTCAAAAATGCAATATTAACCAGGTTCACAGAGTTGTTGGAAAAGGTCAGAAACAATGAGCTGGAATTGGACTCTGTGAGGGACAGCATGCATATAATGCTACATGCACAGGACCCAGGGTCATTCCCAATTATAGCCCCAGCTGGATCTGACCTGTATGCACTCTGCAAAGCTGTTATTGCAAGCCAAGCCCCAACCTATCATGAATCTGACTGTTGTTCATCATGTCATGTTGTTGAACATGAAATCACAGCCTGTACCAAGCTCTGGGCACTGGATGCAACACTATGGAATTCTAGAATAGCACGTGGCTGTCCATCAGAGATCCGGACTATGGCCCAATGGATTAAGGCAGCCTTGAAACATAGGTTGCCTGACAGATGCAGAGTCTGCAATGCAACTATGATCCATGAATGTACAGTTCTGCAAGCACCCATTTTCATGGCATTCAATGTATACCAAGCAGACAATACAAAACTCAGTAAGCAGCTCACATTGCCCACTTTACAAGGCCAAGTGGATTACCATCTGGTGGGAGTAATTTATTTTGGAGGATTTCATTTCACCTGCCACATTATCTCAACAGATGGAAAAATATGGTTCAATGATGGAAGAGAGACAGGTAAAAAATGTACAAATGAGGGACAACTGAAAGCAACAGAGACAGGTGTGTTGCGTACACTGGGAAATAGGAATATGACAGTAGCATTATATGTCAGGACATGATGGAACATCTCTCAAAAGTGCAGTAGCATTGTTCATATTACTGAAGTATATTACTCACTTATTTGTTCCCTCAAATAAGATCATCCAAACTGCAGTCATTGTCTATTATGTAGTCCATGAATTATACAAATAAAGCAATGTGGTCCTCAGATACCCATCTCACCACTCTCCCCCATGCTGCCCATCTCAACCTCTGAGTCAAAGACAGTATCTTCATCATGACTGCAAATGCTGGTACATGTTTTTCATTAGCAATGATCTTTGCACGTTGGGCATCCACCCCATGTTTAGAATGCAATGTCCTTGTTGCCATGAGGGGTGGAGAAATGTAAAGAATGTACCAGCTCATGGACTTGAAGCAACTGATGACTGATTCCCAGATGTACATCCAGGTACGCGCAGGTTGTGGAACAACTGGCTCCATGAAGCAAGAGTGGGGAAGGTATATGATACAGGGGTTGAAATTGGCATGGTTGCTGGTGTCCGCCTGATAGGCAAGGTCAAGACACCAGCCTTGGAAGGCCAGCACATTGCACCATGCAGAGCGTATCAGCCGCGTGAGGTGGACTGGACCATAGATGTCCCTGACAACCCATCCATACGGCCGGAGGACTGATGAGGCAAATTTGACGCACACAATGTCAAGGATGAGGACTGAGGTGTGGGGATACAGACGCATGTTGCACGTCTCATACCCAAGCCGTGCGAGCACGAGGTACTCGATAGGGACCTCAGAGAAGAAGTCAGGGTTAAGGATCATGTGGTCGTGGTTATGGAAGATTCCAGTGATGTGAGGCCAGTGGCCAGGAGGAACGTACGGGGTGGGAACATAAGACACAGCGGACGATTCTGAACTCCTCCCCCCTATCCATGCCAGTCAGATACAATCATGGCCGAGCTTGTGAGCTTGCCACAATCACGTGCTCCAACATCAGATACTATTGTGGCCGAGCTTGTGAGCTTGCCACAATTGTCTGTTCCAACACTGATTGGCCAGGCATTGTACAGCTCAAAAACCCATATGCCGCTGCACATGATGCAGTGGTTCAAATGATATTAGAATTAATCATTTTATCAAAGGTATCAAACAAGGGTACAAAATCACTACACTGGGACCCACAAGAAAGTGCAAGTGAATCTGAAGAATCAGACTCAAGATCTGAATCAAGTGGAACTTATGAATGGGTGTCAGATTAGCAGAAGCTTCCCTTCTATGCTAATCAAGATGCGCTCCCATGCTGTCACACATGGCGCATCACATATACCTGATGATTCAGGTCAACACCCACCATCACACCCCACTACCTCACACACTACTACAATGAGCTCAGAGTCCACTGTGTCCTACATTCCCACCCCATATGTTCCTCATGTGCCATGTGTGACAGCGTGTGAGTGTGTTAGGTAGGCCTAACGTCAAGAGGATTGCCTAAGTCGCAAAAGCCTGTCAAAGCGGTTAGCGCTGACACGTGACTTACGGCGAAGACCTTCCTTTCCGGTACAAGACCTTACTTACCCTTTAGAGTCAGTGTCAGCTGATCCTGGAGATCGCTCGGTCGAGGATCAACTTGTCCAGACTCGGCAAGGGTGACTGAACTAAAGCCGATCAGTTCGGTCTAAGAACAATGAGTATACGGGTACTCGACCGAGGACGTTGGAAAGGTTACTGTTCTCTCGTAGAATATTCTAGTACATTTTGTATGTATTTAAACACTGTGGTAGTGACCAGACAAATAACACTCTCTTGAACTTCAATCCATTGATGTGAGCCACTCAATTGTCCATAGCCTCGCGCTGGACATACTAAGGTCAATCATACTTATAGCTGTGCGCTAAGTCGATCTACCTTGACCCCTTCAATAGTATAGCCCTGCGCTACTCTGAAGGGTTCGGTAAGAGTAAGCTTCATCGATCTACAGTTAGAGTCGGGTTTGTGCTTAGTGGCATCCTCAACTATTGTTGTAATGCTCTATTCACTATGGTCCTAACCGACTTACTTTGATCAACCAAGTTTCTTGGCTTCACTAAGAACGTAGGCACTACTGTGCCACTCCGGACTTAGTGTTTGAACTTGTTGAGCTAAATCGATTCTCGATTGACTAATCCTCATAAGTCGATCACTCAAATCGTTGTGTTAATCCTCTTCACAACGAGATAATCCTCAATTCATTTCTTAACTAAGGCGACTACGATTACGTAACTACCAACGGTTGTTACTAGGTAAGTACTCGGTAAGTTAGCAATCCCAGTCCATAACAGAGTGCATTTTGATTAGCATTGAAGGGAAACTTCTATGAATCTTGCACCCATTGATCAATTCCGCTTGATTTGGATCTTGAATCTGATTCTTCAGGTTCACTTGCGCTTTCTTGTGGGTCCCAGTGTAGTGATTTTGTACCCTTGTTTGATACCTTTGATAAAATGATTAATTCTGACATCATTTGAACCACTGCATCATGTGCAGTGGCATATGGGTTTTTGAGCTGTACAATGCCTGGCCAATCAGTGCTGGAACAGACAATTGTGGCAAGCTCACAAGCTTGGCCACAATAGTATCTGATGTTGGAGCACGTGATTGTGGCAAGCTCGCAAGCTCGGCCATGATTGTATCTGACTGGCATGGATAGGGGGGAGGAGTATGTATACATGAGTTTCTGACGTATTTACCTCACGCAATTGCCCTTTGGGCATTGCCCACACCCAGGACACTCGCGCTTGCTGTATTGATTTTCACTTGTTCTCACAATTGGCCTGCTTGGGGGGTCTATACCAAGCAAGGCTCTGGGGCAGCCTGTGAATGCCTGCCACTCACTGTGTTGCTGGATTGCACACCCATGATGTTACCCATTGACCTTCCCACAGACCACTATTGCCATTGACTTGCCTGCCTGGACGGGGCTGAAGCCGTCTACCATGCCAAACACTGCGTGCATGCTGTCCTGAGCCCAAACTGTTTGACTCAGGGTACTCATAATGAAGGAGTATCAATGCAGACATCACATCATGAACAAAAGCTGCAGGTGTCACTCAGATGATGATTGGACATCAGAGCAAATGCCACCAAGCACTAGACAAGAGCGCTTAACAAGGGCAATTTTCCTAGACAGATGTCTACATCTATCATTAAAGTCACACTTCCATAACACCACAACATTGATCCTCCCCTGACATCACAATTCCTGCCGCTATGTCTGCCCCCACACCCATCACCAACCATACTGCCACTGCTGTTATGTCAACAGCTCAACCCACACACAACATAGCTGGGCCCTAGTATCTGTATTGGGTCAAATCAGCCACTGCAGTGCCCATACAGAACCCATTCTTGTCCTTTTACGTAGACAGGACCACTTGTAACAATGCCAATAGTATGTTTGTGAATGAATAGCAGGCACTATTGAGACTACTGCAACACTACCGGCAGCAGCAATGACAGTGGACATGACTTCAGCACAACGGATCAGGAATCAGTAGAGGTGGACATGGTTGACTCCCAGGCCATGCCTTTTGAGTGCATGCCAGCAGAGGCCTACAAAGGGGTGACAGGTGAAGAAATCCTGGAGACCTTTGACCAGCGACTGACGGCAATGGAGGAAAGGTGGATGCAGCTGACAACAGAAGCAAATGAAGAGATGACTGAAGAAGAAATCCTGCAGAACCTTGACCAGCGGCTGACAGCAATGGAAGAAATGGGGGCACAGCTCACTGCGGATGCAGAGGATGAAGTAACAAACAAGGAAAACCTGCAGACTCTCAATGAGCGCTTGGCAGCAATGATGTGAATGGTAGCACAAGCATAATCTCATAACTAGATAGTCTGGGTTAATCTCACTATACCCTGGATACCTAATCCCTCCACTCGCTATAGTCAAACAGTCGCTGATGTCACTCTCCTCAAAAGTCATGCATACAATATGAAACAGGACATGGAATGAATGCCTGCCCCAAAATAAATGATCAGCTTGCCAAAGACATCATCACATGTGGTGCTAGCAGACAGTTGGTCATGAAAGACTGAACATGCATATTCCACAACACAAATGAGACATTCATGTCCGCAATCAAGCAGCAAGGCACACCAAGCAGCAACTTCATTACTACGGACCCTCAGATCACCTACTATGCGCAGACAACAATTGAAGAGTATGATGATGATGAAGCAAACCTGGGTACCAAAATGCTGGTAGGCTCAGTCCAACAGGACAAAGGAATCACTATGAGCACTGAACACAGGAAGACAACTACACACAAAGCCCGAGAACAAGCCATACAAGGGCATATCCCACCAGTTGAGGTACAAATAAACTGCGGATAGTACAGCCCCACAATGTCAGGAGGGACCAACCACCACATCTTAACACAGCCACGAATAACACCCCCACTGCCCCATGATTGTCAGCGCGACTTTGCAGCAATCAGGCCCCACCAATCCAAGATCATTGGGGCAATCGAGCCACTCAACCCACCGCAGCCAGACCAGACAACAGCCCTGCCCCCGCTCCATGTATCCAGCTGGTGGATACTGTGCCTCACCAGTTCAATCCCAACAATGATGACACTATAATGGAAGACTCAATCAACCACGCGGAAATGTCAGCCACCAGTGAGAAAGAATCAACAGAAAAACATACCAGACCATCTAAGACCAAAGGAGCAAAGCAGATGCAATGCCAGAGCCTCGTCCAGGCCCATGTTGATCCCTGGCAGGTGTTAGCAAAAGTCCTGAACATGCCGGTGATGTTACCCATAGGCAAGATATTCAGAATATTGAAAGAAATGTCAGCTCACCTTCAAGAAGTCCTCAATCCCAAGCTGCCTCCAAAGACTGTGGTCGCGGCTGTGTTTGTTCCAAGATCTAAGGGTGCATTGATATATCTACAAATGGAGGTCAATGAACGGCCAATAGCAGCGATCATTGACACTGGGTCACAACTCAATATCGCAAGCTAAAAAATCTGGAGGACTCACATACAAAGGCCATTAGACATGGTGCGCTCATGCCACATGAATGACACAAATGGCGGCACTGGAGCACTACACGGATTAGTCAAGAATGTCCCACTCAAGTGTGGGAAGGTACACACCACTGCGAATCTATACATCGGCAGGCGGGTGCCCCTCAATCTCCTGCTAGGATGCCCCTGACAGAGAGGGAACTACATTAGCATCAATGAACAATCAGATGGAACCTGCTTACTATTCAAGAACCAAGAACTAGAAGTGCAGCACGAGCTGTTAGTTGCACCAGAAGGTGACGCTAACAGCGTGTATGACCCAGCTGTCTGGCACGGACTAACTGGCACTCACCAAGAATGAAGACAAGCCCACGGTGTCAGCGTGCACCCACAACAACTGGCCAACCTATGCCAAAGAATGGAAGCAGGGGCACAAACATGGCAAGGACATATTGTACGACAACTTACTGAAGACCTGGCTGCTCTGCAGCCTGGGATGCAGTGGAACAGCACCCCCACAAACAGGTCCTATGATCTATCCCATCAACGACATTGCACACTTGCACCAAATGCATGAGTGGAATTGCAAGTGCAGATATTGCTGACAGCATGCAATCAACGATCACAAAGTCAGTGAAAGACACAACAAATTTGGCAAGTTATGAGGTACTCACCTTGATGTGCACACCCAAGGGACAAACCCCCTCCCCACTCAATGCACTCTTATTGCTCTTCAATCGGAGCCAGCAAAGTACAGACCCTACAGGAATTAATTTCATACCTACAGCAGACAATGTGCCACTTACCTCAATTACATGTACACAGACCTCAATTATGTGGACACAGTCTGTTGATGCAAGCCACAAGACAAGACAACCAGACAACATGGTGGCCACGCCTCAATGACCCCCACATGACTTCATCAAGACGCGGATCAGTGATCAAATCTGCCGACCCAGCCACACCACAAACACATTCTGTTGTTCTCGGACTTCAAGTTCCTCGATCCACACAGCACTGAAGACTTATGGCCTGTGAAGCTTTGTGAAGCTAAGGCCCAAGCTGTCATCCCAACATGTGTTAGCAGGTCTGCAGGCAGATGCAGGGCCTATCACTATATATTTATGAAGGGCCATACTCATGCACACCCCAACCACAATGTGTCCCTCATGACCTTACTCTGTGCTGTGACTCAGCCCTACCTATCCCGCCTCTTATACCACGCGCCATGCCCTATATTCTCCTAGCACCCAGGCCAACCATGACTATGCAACCAATCATCCACTTCATCAAACCATTTGAGGGAGTTGTGTCCCGGGAGATGCCAATCGGGATGGTTGGGCTAGAGATCTGGACAAATTGTCAGTGTGATGCAACCACCTACTTCAAAGATTATGGACAAGCTGACAATCCATTGCACTGGACCATGTAGGCTTAGGTGATTTCTCAGCTGGCTCCTGAAATGACTTAGTGCAATCTTGGACATTCTACAAAGAACGGATCCATGTCCTGCCTGATGGAGTGAAGTTCACGTGGGCGCACTACAACCGATGCGCCAACCGCGAGATGCGCGCGAGCATCCAACTCAACCTTGTGACGACCATGGTCACCTGGCAATTGGTGGTGGTCACTCCGTGGGGAAGGTCGGAGTTCCAGTACAAACAGTATTTCAGTTACAGTACCAGCAGAGTGTGACGGGTAGGCAATACTATGCCTGCCCTAGTAGATAAGATTATGAACCGTATAGTGTAGATTAGATTAGATTGTCCATACTTAGCCATCTGCCTTCCTAATTGGGAAGTAATCTATTCTTACACCTGAACTACCACATCGTCTGTGTGCGAACCCCGCGCCATCCGAGTACGTTCAGCCCTCCTCGGCCTGTGCTCCTCGCCACGCCTAGGACCAATCCTAGACAAGGCTCCTCGCCTGCGTCCAGGACTCCCCCTCGACACGGCTCCTCGCCCTTGTCTAGGACACGCCCTCGGCCTGGCTCCTCGCCCGACCTAGGACTCACCAACCCACGCGCTAGGCTCCTCGCCCTGCAACGACGCTAGCGGGAGCTCCTCGCCTCGCTCACGACCTCACGAAGCCACGACATTCTCCCCGGTCGCGCCGCGACCACCAAACGTCAAGTTCACGGGCAGCCCGGCCCCCCAATCAAGGGTTCCAAGCCCACGAACTCTTACATTGGTGGACACTCAGGGGACCGGTCCACTGCCCTGTGAACTCCCTCGTATATTCGAACCTTCTCTATTCTTGTTCTAACTGTCCTATACTCATTCTAACCTAATGCCTTCGACGACGTGGCTCTCGCGATCCCATTGGGACGCCCTGTCACCTATTCGGCAGCTCCAGCACGCGTCGTCGTCGAAGAGTGCGCGCGTGCTCGGTGCCAGCACCCTCTCCTCGACGACCGCGCCTCGAGGCTACCCGACACCTCCTTCCGCCACTCCCCGCGACTCGCCAGCACTCGTCGCGCCCACTGCGCCCGTTCGGAGGCCCGTGGGAACCGCGAGATCGCCCGAGCGCCCGAGCGCGTGGAACGCGCGGCCCTCAGCGCTCGACCATCCCGTCGACTCGCGCAGCGATCCCCCTCAGCCTCCTCAGCCTCTCTCGCACCCCGCCGCTTGCTCGACACGCCAACCGCGCTGCGAGGACGAGCGATGGCTCCGCTCTCCTCGCAGCCAACAGGCCCTCGCCCACGCCGCGAGCGAAGACCATCGCGCTGGCGCGCGCTCTCGACGCGAAGACGACCGACCGCCCCGCAGCGCGACGCGCAACGAGACGGCCCACGCCCACGCGCAACGCGACGCGGCGTCGACTCGCGAGGTCTCGCCGCGCCGGTACGAGGAGGCCCGGACGCGCGCGTTCCATTCTGAACGCGAGCGCGAAGCCGCCGCGCAAACTGCGCGCACGAACCTCCCGGGGCACCGGACGGGGGCGCCACGCGCCGCGAGTACGAACCACCGCGGAGGACCGCAGGAGGAGCTGCCCGGAGAGGAGTCAGCCGGGCGAACGGCCGAGAGGAGACACGGCGGAGCGAGCAGGGAGGCTTCGGTGAGTACTACCCACATCTACCTGCCTCCCCCACTCTCCTCTCCGCCCGCTCCACGCGCACGACCTGCGCGCCCGCTCTCGCTCGACCCGCGCGTCCCCGTCGAACGCGCCCGCCGCCCCTTGCCGTCGCCCGCTCCTCCGGCGCACCGCGCGCGTACCCCACCTGCCGACACAATCCATCCGACACACGGTCCTCGCGTCGGCGCGCCCTCGTCCGACGCGCTTCTGCGCTCGCGACGCCCTGTGGACGACGCGTCCCCGTCTTGCGGCGTTGCGCCTGCGCCCGCTTCGCACGCGCGCCCCCTCGCGCTCGAGGCTCCCCCGCCCGAGCTTCCGCCCACCTCCGGCGCTCTCTCGCCGCGCTCGCACGCCCGAGTCGTGGTACGCGCGCACCACGAACACGAAGCACTGGCTGCAGAAGCGGCGTGGAGGGCTCGCCTGGCGAGTTACTTGACGGAGCCCACCGCCGTCGTACAAGTCACGCCGACGCGTCTGTACGGGGCGGCCTCGCTCGCATCCGCCCTCTTGCACGACACGCGCACGCTCGTGGAACGCGCGCGCGTGCTCCCTGACGACGTGCCCCTGCCGACGCGCGATCCTCGAGCTGATGCGCTTTCGTCCCGCGGCCTGGCGGCGCCCGCCTCTGCGTCCCTCCCTCGCCACTCGTCCAACAAGCGCGCGCCCATTGAACACGCGCACGACGCTCCACCGCCCAAGCCACCCACGCGCACCCTCTCGCCGTGCTCGCAGGGGCGAGCCGATGTGCACGCGTACTTCGCGGCTCAAGCCCAGGCGTTCGAGCAACGTCAACGAGAACGCGCTCTCGCGCAACATGACAACTCGCCCGCTCGTCCTTTCCCGCTCAACGCTCCATTGCCCGAGCGTCCGTCCGCCGACGACGCTCTCTCACCGCGCTCGCGCGCGCGAGTCGAGGTACGCGCGCACCACGAGCGCAAGAACCAAGCCGCCGAGGCAGCTTGGAGAGCGCATCAAGCAAGGTGGTCACCGGATCGTTGGCCAAACACGCCCGTCCCTCCAACAACGGCGCTCCCGCGTGCGCACCGCGCGCCCGTCCCTCCGGCCGACGCGCCCCAGCCGACGCGCAATCCTCGCACTGGCGCGCCCTCGTTCCGCGGCCCTACCACTGCGCCTACGATGCACGCGCCCCGCGAACGCGACGTGCCTGCCTCCCGCAGCTCCGCGCGTTTGGCCGCGACTTCTCGCCCCGGTTCCTCGACCACCCGCGAGACGTCAATCTCGAGCGCCCTACGGGAGGGCTGCCGAGCTGTGCCAGCTCAACATGCGCTCGGTAGCCTCTCCTTATCCCCCACCTCAGCACGCAAGGGTGAGCAAGCCCACACTTACGCCCTCTCCCTCGACGTGTCCGGCTCCACCTCGACTCGCAGACCAGCGCCTGCAATCGACGCGCACGCTCCCTCCAAACACGCCCATCACCCTCCGGCGCCCACGCGCTCGTGCTCGCGCCCTTCCTTGCACTCGCTTTCGAACGGCGTACAAACCGCTGCGTCCAACCGGCCTGCGCGCATGTGCACACTCCCTCCGATTGACTGCGGGGACGAGCGATCCTTCCGCTCTCCTCACGGTCGGCCGGCCCCGACTGATGCGACACGCGAGGATCTCTGCGCCCGCGCCCAGCGTGAAGTTGCTCAACCTTCAGGTGAAGCTTCTCGCGAGACGCGCTCCTCCGGCGCGCCGCGCCAGAACCGGCCCAATGACAACACTACGCCGCGCGAACATTGGCCAGCCCCGGCGCGCACGGGCCAAGAGTTCGAAGCCAGCTTGCGATCCGTGCAGGCGAGCACGTCGATTCACCCGAGCAGCGCACTCCCCGTGGCGAGTACTAACCGCCATGACGGTTTGCGTGGGAGACACTCCCCTCCCTCGCCATCGATGCCGGGTATGCTCGATGCCTGCCCACCCTCCGCTTGTTCGCCCTCGGTCTCGACGGACATGCGCAGCTCCGCGCCTTCCCAAGCAATCAGCCTACCCGCCGACACGGAATCCTCTGGTCTCCCTCCGCAATGCGAAAACCTCGCGCGGTTCTGGAGTAGTTTCCTGCGGAAACCTCAGGCTCTGGCAAGTGTGTGATCCCCACGCCTTGTCTGAATCCTGGGGGGCAGCACTCCCAACACCTCTGTCTTGTCCCAGCCCACCCACCCTTAACTCCTCTCCTCTACCCTCACTACCCTTCTCGACAAAATCCCGAGCCGAAACTCACTGACCGGATCCTTCCGACTCGAGATTGGGGGGCAGTAGGGGGGGTAGGGGAGGAGAGGGCCCTAGGGCAGCTATGCCAGGGCCTAGCCGACCCTAGCCCGAGGGATGTGCAGACCCTTTGCGAGGATGATAGCTCGGGACGCTGTACAAGCAGGAGAGCACGTCCTCTGTGTAGGGAAGAGGGCAAGGCTGCTATGGGCAAGGGAGGTTAGTGGAGCATGCGGGGATCTAGCTGAGCATGCGAGGACGTCGCCGATGGTTGCCTGTGCGTCTTGGCTGATGCGCGGCAGGGATGGATGCTCGGATGTGGTGCGTGCGGGACAGCTCAGCCTCTGCGTGGCGGAGCCGCAGTTTACTGCCAAATTTTTTTTTCTTATCTCTTGTTCTTTTTTCACCCTCTATTCTACACTCACATTTACTTCTTCTATCTGCACTCATTTGTCCCCTCACCTTCACACTACACACTTCATAATGGGGGGCTCTGTGACGGGTAGGCAATACTATGCCTGCCCTAGTAGATAAGATTATGAACCGTATAGTGTAGATTAGATTAGATTGTCCATACTTAGCCATCTGCCTTCCTAATTGGGAAGTAATATATTCTTACACCTGAACTACCACATCGTCTGTGTGCGAACCCCGCGCCATCTGAGTACGTTCAGCCCTCCTCGGCCTGCGCTCCTCGCCACGCCTAGGACCAATCCTAGACAAGGCTCCTCGCCTGCGTCCAGGACTCCCCCTCGACACGGCTCCTCGCCCTTGTCTAGGACACGCCCTCGGCCTGGCTCCTCGCCCGACCTAGGACTCACCAACCCACGCGCTAGGCTCCTCGCCCTGCAACGACGCTAGCGGGAGCTCCTCGCCTCGCTCACGACCTCACGAAGCCACGACATTCTCCCCGGTCGCGCCGCGACCACCAAACGTCAAGTTCACGGGCAGCCCGGCCCCCCAATCAAGGGTTCCAAGCCCACGAACTCTTACACAGAGGGGGGTATGACTGGCAGTTGGACAACAGCTCATTCTAGACTGTACCAATAGACACCAACTGCCATAATGATTGGAATTGATACATGTGTTCCAATGGAAGCATTCGACGCATGTACAAGAAGCACATCACTATATAAAAACCCCCATCACTGCTATCCAAACATCCCTAACTTTGACGTCCACAATGCAGTGGTGCCCAGTCCGCAGCCGCCGCCTGTCCCTCCCAGCCTTCGACTCGGTCAGGCCGGCAATTCCTCTACCTTGCAACGAAGGCACCCACTCTTGCTCGATCTCCCTGATGCCACAAGGACCAAAAGTTGCCCTCAATTGGGCTCTGAGTGTGCATTGAAAGTGGAAGAAGGTTGATGGCAGAGTTGCAAACACTGCGCATATCTGCAAGACCTAGTAAAGATCTATTACCCATAGCACCCTTAGCTGCTGACACGTTCAAGCAGCGGTCTGTGCAAGACCTAGGTGGTCCGCCTCCCAAATGGCATGCACAAGTACATGTCTGCGTACGCTGACTACTTCAGTCAAGTTTTGACTGATTACTTCTACTATCAGCCATACGATTATCCCAAGGATTCAAGTATCCTTGGATGGGATGACAACTTGTGGGAGCGGGGTGTGGACATGATGCTGGCCACACACAAAGTGTGCTTGCAGGTGGAGGAGCACTTGGGAATGTATTGAGCACATCCAAGTCATCACAAGCTGCTATTGTAACCCCCCCTCTTTGTCGCAAATATTGCATTCACTCGCCCCCATATTATTGTAACATCATGCACACAACCTACACCTGTCAGCCAGAACAACTATCAACCCAACACACACGAAGAATATGAATGAGGAATGAGTACTTATCAATGTATAGAAGGGGACAAGCACCATAAATAGATCCCTGACTCCTTTCAAAGGGAGGGGAGGTTCTACCCGCTGTGCGACATCTTCGAACTGCAACAGGTTATGAGCCCTGCTTCAAAGCTCTGACCGAAGACTATCAAGACTTACCTTCATTTCTAATCTCTGCTTGTGATCTTCTTCATCCTCCACTCCTAGAACCGTGACATTACTATGGCCGAATCATCAGTACTCCGCTACAAGATCAACGCACTTGCTGGTGCCGAGAACTGGCAGACCTGGAAGGTACGCCTCTCGGATATCTTGATCGACGCGGATTTGTGGGACTACGTGAGTGGCGACCTCACATGCCCATTGCCATTGGCAGCAAATGCGAAGGCTGAGGAGAAGGCAGCAAAAGAGAAGGAGATCAGTGGCTGGAAGGCGAAGGATCACAAAGCACTTACCACGATTCGGCGGCGGGTAGCCCATAAGGTGCTTATCTACGTCAAGACAGTGCTGACAAGCCATGATGCGTGGAAGAAGCTCGAGACGATGTACGAGGCGCAGGGCATTCTCGCAATTGTCCAAGCGCGCCGCAAGATGTTCCGCGCAGCATGCACGGAAGATCAGGATGTCGAAGAGTTCATTCGACAGATGACGGGTTACCGGGACAACCTGCTGACGCTTCAGCAAACGGTCTTGGAGGAGGAGTTCTCAATCTCATTACTCACCGCGCTCCCGGAGTCGTGGAATACATTCACAGCCGCCATTGACTACCGCACCGGCCTGAAGGATTACACGGAGTTGATTGCTCGGATCTTGGACGAAGATTGGTGCATAAAGTCTCGCGCTGAGGAGACGGCCTTGCACGGGAAGTTCCAGAAGCCGAAAGGGAAGGGCAAGCAACCCCTGCCCAACTGCTGGAAGTGCAATAAGCTAGGATACCAGGCAGATTGCCCAGATCATGAGGGCGCGAGGAAGCGTAAAGAGGAGAAGAGACGTACCGAGCATAAGTCCAAGTCCAAAGACAAGGGCAGCAAAGACAAAGCGATGGTGGCGGATACATCAGACGTGGACACCAGAGATTACGCATTTGCAGTCACAGACATCACGTCGCACATGGACAACAACTCGGACCTGGCGCTTGCGGCTCTCGATGCCGATGATTGGCTCGGGAACACTGGGACAACGGTGCATGGTGCGCGCCATCGGGAATACTTCGCGGACTATTGCGCCATGCCGGGCGCGACGCTGAACGGTGCCGGATCAACTGCGGTGCTCGGGCGGGGGACGATCAACGTGCATGCAGACATAGATGGTCAGCACAAGACAATCACCCTCAAAGACGTAGTCCACGCACCTGCAATCCCTCACAACCTTGTCTCACTCGGACGGTTGGAGGCGGCTGGGCACAAGATCGAGATCAGTGGTGGGCAGCTCGACGCAAAGGACGAGAAAGGACATACCTTTATGCACGGCAGCAGGATCTTGCACTACCTATACTGCATGGCCATCACCCCAGAACGCGAGGAGAAGACTCACCTCACGGCACCAGTGCATCCGAAATAGCGCAAGTCATTGGACAAGTGGCACCGGATCTTTGGCCACATGGACGCCTGCGCAATCTTGACACTGAAGCGCAAGGAAATGGTATTGGGCCTTGAGATCGATGAGTCTGCACCGAAGCACCAGCAGTGTAAGACCTGCGTGGAAGCTAAGCAGCATGTCGAGGCATTCCCAAAGCAATCACTCACCGAGGTCAAAGAGATTGGAGATCTGACCGTCTCGAATGTGTGGGGACTCGCTCAGACTGCAGCAATTGGAGGTCAGCTGTATTATGTGTCCTTCACAGACGTCAAGGCACAACAAACAGCCACTTACCCAATGCGGCAGAAGTCGGAGACGCTGTCAAGATTCAAGGAGTACCACGCCATGATGAAGACACTGTTCAACATTGAGTTGAAAGCACTGCGGGCGGATAACGGCGGCGAGTACATCAGAAAGGAGTTCGGAGCATACCTAATCGACACCGGGATTGCGTTCGAGACCACTGCCCCGGATTCCCCTGCCCAGAATGGCATAGCCGAGCGCATCAATCGGACGCTTGTGGAGCACGCGCGCAATGTTGCACACGCACGACCTGCCAAAGAGACTCTGGAAGGAAGCCGTTCAGTACGCATGCTGCCTAAAGAATTGCTCACCTATGCGTGCACTCGGGGACAAGACACCAGAAGATTTGTCACAGGCAAGAAGCCGGACGTGGCAAACCTTCAGGAATTCAGCACTAGTTGCTGGGTACTCACCGATAAGCGAAAGCGCACGAAGCTTGACACCAAATCGGAGGCGATGATCTTCACCAGGGTTGCGGACGGTAGCAAAGCTTGGCGCTATTACAACCCTCGGACCGGAGCTCTCAGCAAGTCGCGAAATTTAATTTTTGAAGTCAAGGGGGAGCCGGACGATGGTGAAGAGTTGGATTTGATCGAGTCAGCTCCTATGCAACTCAAGGGGGAGAGTGGTAAGGACGAGTTGGCTGCGGAGCAGGGGGAGACGATGAAGATTGCGGGACAGGGGGAGCAGGGGGAGATGACGAAGAAGACCGAGGAACCGGAGACACTGAAGACGAGCGCCCCGATCGAGGCCAAGATCGCATTGCCCAGGACCAGCCCCAGACTCACGGACAAACCTCGGATGGATTACCGGCAGCTGCACACCGGTGCTCCAAGATGACCTCCGAAGGCTACCGTCGAGGACGACACTGAAGCCAACGCTGAGCTCTCCCATCACCTCTGCTTACTCACCCTCTCTGGCACTGAGCTGCTTCCCGAGCCACACACCGTCGAAGAGGCTATGAAGAGTGAGTATTGGCCTTACTGGAAGGCCGCGATGGATCGCGAAATGGGACAGTTCAAGAAGCTTGAAGTCTACAAATTGTGCGACATCCCAGCCGGCCGCAAACCCATCGGATGCAAGTGGGTATTCCGACTCAAGCATGATGAGAATGGCAATGTTAGGGAGTTCAAAGCTCGTCTTGTTGCAAAGGGATTTGCCCAGATCCCAGGTATGGATTTCCTCGAAACCTTTGCCCCTGTCATTTGCATGGATTTGATACGCGTCTTGCTCGCAGTCGCTGCAAAGTGTGACATGGAGCTAGAACAGATGGATGTCGTGGGAGCTTACCTGAATGGGAAGTTGGAGGAGGAGAACTGGATGGAGCAACCAGAGGGATTCAACGATGGGACCGGCCGAGGTATGTACATGCTTGGCGCGATCTACGGACTGAAGCAGGCAGGACGCGTCTGGAACATCAAGTTGAATGACGCGCTCCTATCACTTGGTTTCACGCAACTCCACTCTGACCCGTGCATCTACATCCGGCACACAAAAGACAATCGCCTCGCTATTGTGGGCGTGCACGTTGATGACATGGCACTCCTCACGGACTCCACAGAAGATATGAAGAATCTCAAGGCCGAACTTAATGCAAAGTTTGACCTCAAGGACGAAGGACCTATGCGGCACTTCCTAGGACTCGAGATCACTCGAGATCGCTCGGCGCGCATACTTACAGTCTCGCAGCGCCAGTACGTTCAAACCATACTTGATTGATTCACTATGACAAACTGCTCGCACATCTCAACACCGCTCAACACGCACATCAAGCTCGCGAAGACGCCAGCCAACGCGGACACTTCGGGCATGAAGACCAAGCCTTACCAGGCGATTGTCGGCAGCCTCATGTACGCGGCTCTCGGAACACGCCCAGACATCAGCTACGCAGTCCAGGCGCTTTTGCAGTACAACTCGCGACCAAGTGAAGATCACTGGAAGGCCGCAAAGCACCTCCTGTGATATCTCAAAGGCACACAAGATTTTGCGATCACGTATGCAACAGCATTGTCGCCTGGAGCTCAAAGAAACAAACCACGGTTGGAGCCCAATGAGTGTACTTTTACGTTCCTAATGGTACACCCGGGCTGCATATTCCCCGTCGTCAACGGAAACCCGATGCCGGCCGGAGAAATGTGTCCAGAGGTTGCAAACCCACCGGCCGGTACCTGAGGTGCCCATTGTTAGCAGACTGGCCGGTCTTGTTTTGAATGGACCGGCCGATGACAGGGAAAATCAACAAGTGTTACTGAACAATGGTCCGGAATTTATTCTATGGTTGTCAATGGACCGGCCAGAGATTGGCAACCACATTTGTAACCCTCCAGCAGGATTTCATCCCTGTGTTTGGAAATGGTCCGGCCGGAATGCATCCCTATGGTTTCAAATGGTCCGGCCGGAGGTCATATACCTTTGTTTATGATGTACCGGCCGAAGGTAATATATCTAAATTAATAACACACCGGCCAAAGGTGATATACCTACATTGAGAAAGAACCGGCCGGTCATAATGTACCCACGCACAAAACAAACCGGCCGGCCATGACATAGTTTCACTACACATTGACCGGCCAGGCATAGCATGCCTATATTAGAAATGAACCGGCCAGTCATATGGAGCCTGAATATCAATTGCTCCCGCCATCCTGGAAAACATATTCATTGATGCACTGAGTTTTCTGGACCATAAATGCACTGGACCCAGGTTTTTTTGGGCTTTGAATACATTTTTAGCATCCCCATAGATGCTCCCAATTTTCTAGGCACATGCAAACCATTCCAGAGCTTTAGAATCATCAAAATTGAGCTTTCTGGGCTGAAAATAGACCAAACCCAGCCTTTCTGGGCTGGAAATGCATCAGAACACATTTATTGAGCCTCCCAATCCACATTTACAACAGCTCTGAGCCTTATACATCAGGTCCGAGTATTTTACACAATCACCGAGATTCCACAAAGTCCCGGCGCCGAGGATGCACCAAGTCCCGGCGCCGAGGGTGCACCAAGTCTTGGCGCCGCAGGTGCACCAAGCCTCGGCGCTGCACTGTCTCGTTAAGCGCCGAGAAACATCGCTCGGCGCCGAGGGGTGCACTTGCTTCGGCACCGAGACTTGGTGCACCCTCGGTGCCGGGACTTGGTACTACCTCGGCGCCGAGTTGTGCTAAACCTGAGGAATAATTGTGTTTCTAACAATGATCACAAAAGGATTACTGATGTTTGTTACACCAATGACCTGAGCCACTTCAGTCAAAAATCTAGTATTCACTGACTATTTAGTCACCCGGCTACTAGTTATTTCTTGACTAATGGTTGACTTTTATTATCATACAAACACAGATTAGTATGGCTTAGTACTTACACTAGTCTACTTCACTACAAGAATGACTTTTAGATCCCAACTACATAGCACAACTTGTAGATCCCGACTAAATGTGCATGACTTATGTAGACTGACTAAACAAGAATGACTAGTAGGTATTGACTATAACAACAGCTTTTAGTAGCTGACTAGGACGTTTAGTAGCCGACTATGAGAATGACTTTTAGCCGCTGACTATGAGAGTGACTTTTAGCCGCTGACTACATGAGCACGGCTCGAGCACACTTTGTAGAGTGACTGAATGTGGCTACAGATAAGAACTTGTTCATTAAGACAGATGATATAAGGACACAGAAACACCCATTACAAACACGCGGTAAGATTGTAATACAGTACAAGGGGAGACATACAGGGCAGGCAATCACTTACCTTCGTTTTAATGATGATCTTGTCAGCATTGCCACAACTTGATTTCAGCATCAGCTGTGGCCATCAAGAGGTGGCTGGAGAAACGCGAAGGCTTCAGGCCCGATGCCTCGCACCCGCTCTTCGACTGGGATACCCCAATGAGCGAGCTGTGGAACAAGGAGTTAATCGTCGTCCTGTGCAATGCCTTCATTCATGAGGTCCACGAGAAGAAGCGCACACCGTTTTTGCGAAAGGACTGCCCCCCTTGTGTCCACGCTATATACAACAACCTTGAGAAGAAGGTCCAGCATGTACAAACAGCCTATAACAAGTGGATGTTGATGTCCACAGAGGTGTATGACAAGGAGAAGGCCAGCAAAAAGGTGGAGATGAGGTGTAACCAGCGGCACCTCGGCTGTTATGGACTGGGATTGCTAACTTACCAAGTACTTACTTAGTAACAACCGTCGGTAGTTACGTAATCGTAGTCGCCTTAGTTAAGAAATAGATTGAGGATTATCTCGTTGTGAAGAGGATTAACACAACAATTTGAGTGATCGACTTATGAGGTTTAGTCGATCGAGAATCGATTTCGCTCAACAAGTTCAAGCACTAAGTTCGGAGTGGCACAGTAGTGCCTACGTTCTTAGTGAAGCTAAGAAACTTGGTTGATCGAAGTAAGTCGGTTATGACTTTAGTGAATAGAGCGTTACAACAATAGTTGAGGATGCCACTAAGCACAAACCCGACTCTAACCGTAGATCGATGAAGCTTACTCTTACCGAACCCTTCAGAGTAGCGCGAGGCTATACTATTGAAGGGGTCAAGGTAGATCGACTTAGCGCACGGCTATAAGTACGATCGACCTTAGTATGTCCAGCGCGGAGCTATGGACGATCGAGTGGCTCACACCAATGGATTGAAGTTCAAGAGAGTGTTATTCGTCCATACTCTACAACATTGTTTATATATATACAAAGAGTCCTAGAATATTCCATACGTGAACAATAGTCCTATTGAGATCCTCGGTCGACTGCCCGCGTATTCATTGTTCAAAAGCCGAATTGATCGGCCTTGGTTCGGTCACGACAGGGGAGTCTAGTCAAGTCGATCGGAGGTCCGGCACGATCCTCCTTAGTCACTTGACTTAAGTCTCAAATAGGCAAGTATTGACATTTCCTAAACAGGAAGGCTCGTGCCGTTGGTCACGTGTCGGCGCTAGCCACTTGACAGACTTCGTGACTTAGACACTTTGATTAGATATTCCTAACATCAGCGTAAGTACCATGATCATTGCCGTGGGTCCTACTTATGCCCTATGTAGACTTACAAGCGGCGCAAACACATTGTAGCCAACAACATCAACATCGACCGTGATTTGTGGCAGCGTGTTGAGAAAGTTGTTGAGATCCTCAATGCTGGAGCAATGAGCTCAGATCATACGGACGACAAATCCACCCCCCGGAGAAAATTTGTCACATGCGCACGCACCCCCTGGCGGGCGGTTGAGATTACCAATCTCATGGAGTCGCTGGAGAGCTATCCGGCCGGAGGGTCTGCAGCGGGAAACAAAGCACTCCCTCGGGAGCACAAGCTGCATCGTGCACCGACTTCAGGCTGAAAGGCGATACCAAGACTGCCCATCAACTTTTACGGCCCACATTGGTATGCAGCGCAGAGTCAGGCGGAGAAAGTGCACCTTGTCGTGCGGAAGGTCACCATTGAGATTCTGAGCCTCATACCTCATGTAAGTGCACCTGCCCGTGCTGTGAATGCATGCTGACATTCACACCAGTCAGGCGCGTGAGCGTTGCGCAGTCTGGTCCTCATGGGGTCGAGCTGCTCGTGGAGTTGTCTTAACTATGAGTGTTTATGATCGTCGCTCATATTCCATACATACGGCGCCGGGTTGGATAGACATATAGAACACTTGTACCACAAACGAGATTAGCAGTCAGCGACGGGTTGCTTCGGGAAGCGCGACTCATCACCATGTCTGATTGAATTGCACGAGACCTCTATTGTTCTTCGCACCGCCTTTTCTCGCCGCAACCAAGATCAGATTGCCATATAGATATTATTTATACTAGCGGTCACAATGGACTATGTTGAGGTAACTTGCACATGCCATAGGCTGTCTTCAGTAGGCCACCTGGGGCCCTCTGCATCATTGGAGTCTGCAGAAACGTGAGGACTAGGCCAGAACATGTGAGAAGAACTTACCCGTAACCAGGTCCAGCTTCCGCAGCTCCTGTACCCTCCATTTGCACCACACAAGGCTCTCGTTTGCACAAAGAGAGTATGGTAGATCTACCGCCTTCTCGACGTGCATGAAGGTCCACTTCTGTTCAGCGCTCTTCCACATGCTGATTGGATCGGTAAGACCCAGACCCCACCGAGTGAAGATCAAGGACGACGGTCGCCTTGTGTTCTTCAAGTTGTCAAATGTGTAATGCATGGGATTTGTGCTGTCCTGGATGAAGTTAGCAACACTGTAACAAAACAAGACGCAAGTGTGTACAAACCTCGAGATATGCCCAGATCAATGAAACCTCTGATTGGTGATCTTGTGTGAGATCAATGACGTCGTCGTTGCAAACGTCGAGACGTCGACGTTTGCATGGCCGCGTGACAGTGTTGTCCGTGATACCGGACAAGCTCTGTGGGTGGCACCGGGAAGGACAATCAGAATTGTCGGCTTCCTGGGTGATGTCGATGATCTCCCCAGTTGGCCTTGACTATTGGACGTCTGCATTTTGGAAAGTCCTGCACCGAGATCCTTCTGAAGGTCGGTTTGAGCAACAGTAAACTTGGCCGACGGAAGAGGTGCAACCACTGGCTTCGAGGAGCTGGGAGCCGTCAAGATCAAAGGCCATGCTGAGAGGGTCCGTCAGAGTGGCAAAGACGGCAGCAGTGGCGAAGATGAGAGTGGTGGCAAGGACTCGGATGCTGCGAAGACAACAGTGGTGGCGAAGAGGCGTGCACGCTCAGTTGGTGTGGAGTCTGGAACTGAGGCGCACGGAGCGGGGCACCAAAGTCATTGTCCAGGCCATGCAAGAGTTTGGTGGTGATCCCTCGCGTGATGGTCCACTGATGCTAGGGTGAGCAGATGACGGTGTCTTGGGTGCGTGGGCTGCGACCAGTGAACGGCGGGATCCTGCGCTCACAGTGTCAGAGGCCTGGTTAGCACCAGACACACGATGGACTTGAGCGTGTCCGTTGACCTCAGTGCCAATGTTGCGGGGATGTCTGTCACATCGCTCTATGAAGGTGTGTGCGTCGTCTTCCAAACACGTCTGCTCTGCGTGCAGAGCACATTCCTGCTCCTCCTGCCAGTGGTTCTTCAGATCTTCATCTAGTCGGTCTGCATTGTTGTCCTTGGCTTTTGCACACTTCCACCGTAGCTTGGTCTGCTCTTGCTGAACCGTATGTATTGCATCCATGACTTGCCAACCACATGCGACCGATGAGGTGTCGCTCCTCAGAACCGACTCACTGGCTCAAATAACATGGTGACCCTTTGTGTGGGAACCCAGTCTGCACACACTGAATGCATGATCAGAACGGCCTCAAAGAGTCATCTTTAGTCCATGACTATTGTACATGACTAATCATAGTGGCTCGTTGTACTCGACTACCGAGTGACTTTTAGTTCTTGACTTTTATACTTGACTACTATAAATGGTTGTTCACACTCGCCCGGCAACACCGTAGGGTGTGTATATAGTCAAGAAATAGTCAAGAAAAAAAAGAAGCAACATGACTAATTAGTCAGTGACTTCTAGTTTCCTTATTTGAAGCTATTGTTACAAAGGTTTGTATGTGGTTACTTATAAAAAGTGAGGTTTATATCTCATTGTGTAGGGAATAGTCTATTGATAAGTAAATCTTCTATTGACACTTCAAGGATTTTCAATGCTTAGGCCAGTACAGCAGCTTTTCTTGTTCAGCCAGTAAGTAAGCTTATTGATAGCACTACACATATTTGTATCTCATCTTGTGGGGAACATTAGGTTGATAAGCAACTATTCTGATACAACTACAAGGATTTGTACATCTCATGCTATTGTTAGTACAGTAGACAGAACACGACATTACATATGTGTAGTACTATGACAACTTCTGGCTGATCTAGTGCCTGCACTAAAGTTGGTAGCACTTACAGCTTGGAAGATTAAGCTCTAAGATTTGGTATATGTGCTGCTGGCTGTATGAACATACATTATAGCCACTAACCTAATGTGGGCAAAGAATACTGCCATAGTGAGGAGAGTAAGAAGGGAGCAGGGACATATGGATGGGTTGCTGATACATGCTCATTTATCCTCATACATTCTGCTATGTTATGATGGATGTTCTCATTACAAAGACACACCCTACATATGTATCTGTATGTAGAAACCAATCCCAAATGAATTCTATAGAACTAATACATGTGAAGCTAGTTATATTGCTCTGCTACAGTTGGGACTCATTGACTTTTCTGGAAATGCCAGATAGTTCAACCTTGATGTATGATTGTTACTATAATGTATTCATTTGTGATAAACAGACTCTATGGTGTTCCTTGGTTTTCATTACTTCCCAATTGATATGAATTGTTAGAGCATAATGTCCTTTTCTCATGCAAGCAATGCATTTAAAGCTCAATCAATGAAGCTGAAGTAAGCTTATCAACCCTACAAGATGAGACACAAACATCACTTTTTATAAGTAACCACATACAAACCTTTGTAGTGTCATTAGAAGATTTCCTAATGAACCTACTGTTCTGCATTCACTGATCCACAAAAGTAACAAACATCAGGAATCTTTTTGTAATCATCATTAGAAATGGCCATATTCTTCAGGTTTAGCACAATTCACCGCCGAGGTGCATTGAGCATTCGCCACCGAGGTTTGCTCTACACTCGGCACCGGACCACACTGAGTGCTCGGCGCCGAGGTTTGCACTTGCCTCGGTGATTGTGCAAAACACTCGGACCTTGTGCAGAATGCTCAGACCTGTTGTAAATATTTTTTGGGGAGCTAAACACATGTGCAAGAATAGCTTTTGAAGCAATTCCAGCCTGGAAAACCTGGATCTGGTCTGTTTCCAGGCTAGAAAGCTCATTTATGGTGCTTTTGAAGCACGGGCATGGTTTGTATGTACCTAATAAAATTGGGAGCATGTAAGGGAATGTTTGTCAATGTATTCCAAGCCCAAAAAACCTAGGTCCAGTGTGTTTATGGTCCATAAACCTCAGTGCATCTTTGAATATGTGTTCTGGGATGTTTGGCACAATTATCATTCAGATTCCATATGACCGGCCGGTTCGTTTCTAATGTAGGTTTGTTATCACTGTCCGGCCCATGCGTAGTGTAAGTATGTCATGCCTGGCCAGTCTGTTTTTGGTGTAGGTAGACTATGACCGGCCGGTCCTTTTGCAATGCAGGTATATGACCTCCGGCTGGTATGTTACAAATGTAGGTACATGAACTCCAGCCGGTGCATGATAAATGAAGGTATATGAGCTCTGGCTGGTTCATTGATAATGTGAGTATATGAGCTCTGGCCGGTCTGTTATTAATTGTGGGTATATGAGTCCCGGCCGGTCTGTTATAAATGTCGGTGCCTGATCTCCGGCCGGTCCATTTACAACCATACAATAAATTCCGGACCATTGTTCAGTAACACTTATTGATTTTCCCTGCCATCGGCCGGTCCGTTCAAGACAAGACCGGCCAGTCTGCTAACAATGGGCACCTCAGGTGCCGGCCGGTGGGTTTGCAACCTCCAGACACATTTCTCCGGCCGGCGTCGGGTTTCCGTTGACAATGGGGAATATGCAGCCCGGGTGTACCGTTAGGAATGGGTATGGTCCGCTCATGAATGTGATGGTTGTGCTCTCGACCATGGAAGCCGAGTACATGGTGATCTCGTATGCAACTTGCCACGCAATCTGGCTACGCGCCTTACTTGCTGAGCTCACCTTCACGCAAGACGGACCCACACCTATCAACGCAGATAACCAGTTGGTGATTGCGCTGTCCAAAGACAACGTCAACCATTCATGGTCGGAGCACATCAATATCCAGCATCACTTCATTTGCGAGTGTATCCTTGCTGATACTGTCTCACTCAAGTATTGCCTGACTGACGTAAATTCGGCCGACTTGTTCACGAAGGCACTCGCTTGCGATCACCACCAAGGACTCACGACGCAGCTCGGCATCTTACGGACTTAGGGGGAGCTGCTCTGCGGCTTGGTTGAGGGGGAGTGTTGGAGTACACGCCAAACGCGCGTCGCGTCTGTGCGGTGACGACAACCCACGCTGCTCTGTGTACAATGTAGTATGTTAGATTGTTGACGGAAACTCTATTGTACTTAGTAGTATATATACAGCTCGTCTTCGAGCCTGGCAATCTCATCCTCTCGTCTACATTCTACCCGCTGTGCGACGTCTTTGTGTGACGGATAGGCATCACTATGCCTGTCCAGTACTATAGATTATGAACCATCTAGTGTAGATAAGATTAGATCGCGCATGTACTTAGCCATCTGCCTTCCTCTTTGGGAAGTAACTGATCTTAACCCACTACTGCCACCTCGTACGCGTGCGAATCACCGCACCGTCCGAGTGTGGAGTCTTGTCTCTAGTCGAGAGTGCTCCTCGCACTCTGACAAACAGTGCGAGCTCCTCGCCGCGCTGAGGAGCACGGCTCCTCGCTGTCTCCTAAACCGGGCGGCTCCTCGCCAGCTCGTTGCTCTGGGCTCCTCGCCGTGGGCTCTCCTCGCAGGCTCCTCGCCAGCGTACGACTACAGCCGGCTCCTCGCCTTGCTGACGACAACAGCCGGCTCCTTGCCACGCTGACGACCCTCGACTAGGCTCCTCGCCCGTCTAGGAACGACCCTCGACCGGCTCCTCGCCCCGTCTAGGACTCACCCAACAGCACTGGCAGCAGTGCACCAAGGTCGCCCCTGGCCTATAGAGCCGTGAAGCCCGTTCACACCCCTGAACAAGGCCTCCCAGATAGGCCGAGGTCTTACACTTTGTACTGCAACAGTATGGTGACGATGGTGTGATGTGACACATATTACGGCACTCAAACGCTGTGCACTTCAATAGAAGTTCGTATTGAACGAAGGACTGTAAAAAATGTGTGACGCCTCACACTCGGGCCCGCAGATACAGTGCACCCAATTCTATTGAGCACGCCGTGTATCCGTTTAGGCAGTGAGTGTAAAGGACTTGCCCCTACACTCACCGGGCGCCAGCCTAAATAGGCTAGGTGCCAAACACACATAAACTATGTAATTACAAGTGTTGCAATATAATATATGATATATATTGATTGACGGTAACGGACACGTTACACTGGTATCAGACACATCGCATGCGGCGGTGCAGCGACAAGGGGCGGGCACAGCGGTGGTGGTGGTGATGGTGGCAGCGTCCGGATTGGGACGTGTCACGAAAATGCATTGGGGGGGAGGTGTGCACGGAACAAGATTGTCCATTCAGATGATCAGTGCACAGCAGCGAGGGCGGTTGGTGCAGATGATGCAGGTTATGGAGTAGACAGCTAGATAGAATGAATGTCAATGATATGCTGGTGCTATTATTTGCCAGTGATCACAGGCCCTGTTGCCTGCCAATTGGGTGTGTCAGTGGCCATCACAAGCTGCTAGCAAAATGCTCCTTTTTTTGCTAACAACTAACGAATGTGAGCATTCAGTGACATGCTGACACATTCTAATGCAAAAGTGTTAGAATGTGTCAGCGTGTTAGCAACCATTAGCAACTGTTAGCAAAATCGGACTTCTACTGATGTAGTCCGCATCGTTGGAAGGAGCGGAGGAGGCGTTAGATGTGAGGATGTACGCCTTGCCCAACAACTGGTCAACAATGATGGAGCAACCATGTTGATCGATGCCGGCGGTCAGCATACTGGACCCAGAGGTAGTGATGGCAGCCGTCTCCGGAGCCTTGCCAGCCCACTTACGCTTGGCGGCCATGTACTCTTCTTGTTTTCCAGCCATGCCACCACCTTCGGCAAAGCAGATTGCAGCCATGTGGCCACTCAGGTGAGGGCAACCCGGGTTAGTGCAGACCTTGCTGTTACGACCCAGCTTAGGCTTCATTGTCGCCGCAAGCGCATCGACAGTGTAAGAGGCGGCCGCATTCGAGGCAGCATTCCCGTTGAGCATTTGCTGCTCCATTTGCTGCTCCATGTCAAGGTGTTTGACCATGTTGACAGATGTGTACGGGGCAGCAGCAGAACTCACAGCAAGCAAAGTGCTGACCTGGAACTGGAGGTGCTGCAGATACCCCGACATGGAGTTCAGCATGACGACTGTTGTGAAAGCCTCAGCAGTGGGGAGGCCAATTTTGAAGACACGATTGATGAGCTCCTGGATATGGAGGGTGGTGATGGAGAAGCGCTCAGAGGTGACATACCGGCAGTTCAACAACTCCTGGATGAGCATTGCCTGGGCATAAGCTCCGGGTTCCCTCTCGTGCCGCTCA